AATAATATATTTTGAAAAAAAGTTTTTTTTATTTTATATTTTTAAAAATAATAAACTTTTTACTTTTTATTTATTATTTAAATTTTTTTTAATTATTTATAAAGTTTTTAAATATTTTTAAAACTTTTTAAATTTATATTTTTTAATTATTTAAAGTATTTATTTTATATTTTTTTATAATTAATTTTTTTTTAATTATTTTAATTAAATAAATAATAATAAATATAATTTTATTTATATTTTTTTTAAAATATTTAAAAGTTATTTATAATAAATATTAAATTTTAAAATATTTATTTATTTTATAAAAGTTTTTATTATATAAATTAAATATTTTTAATTATATTTTTTTTTAATATTTAAATATATAATTATTTTTTTAAATTTTTAATTATAATTATTATTTATTTTAAAATTAACCTTTAAGTAATTATTTAAATAAAAGTTATTAATATATAATAAATTAAATTTCTATAGTAAATTAAAATAAACTATTTTAAAATTATAAAATAAATATAAAAATATTTTAAAAATTAATTTAATTTTAATTTAATATTAAATAATAATAATAAAATTTAATATTTAATATATAATTTTAATTTAATATTATTATTCAATATTTTTTTAAATATAAATATATATATTATATTATAAAAAAATTAATAATTAATAATATATTTTTATTTTATTTATATAAAAATCTTTTATTATATATATAATTTTAATATAAATTTTTTTATATTATATATATAATTTTAATAAATAAAATATTTTATTTATTAATAATATTTAAATATTAAAAAATTATTAAAATTATTTTATTTATAAAAAATTAAAAATATATTATATTATTAAATATAATTAATTTTTTTTAAAATTATTTTAATAAATTTATTAATAAATTAATATATATTATACTTAATTTTATTAAATTTAATATATTAAATTAAATAATTTAAAAAATTTATTAAGTAATTAAAAATAAAATATAATTATAATTTAAAAAGTATTTTATTAAAAAATATAATAAATATATTTTAAATATTTATTTTATAATAAAAATTTATAATAAAATATTTATTATAAAAATTTAAATATTATAATATAATATAAAATTATTTTTAATTTTAAAATATTAAATAATATATTAAAAATAATAAAAAAATAATTTTATATTTAAATATAAAAATTATATTAAAAATTAAAATATTAAATAATATTTAAATTTTTTTTTTAAAATTATTACTATTTTATATTTAATAAATTTAATTTTATATCAAACAAACCTATAAATAATAATTAAAATTATTTATATATATTGATTTTATAAATAATGTAGCCTTTGTTTTCTTTGATTACTTAACCTAGCTATTAATTTATTATCAGCTAAGTTAATTAAATCCTCGTATTAACCAACCAAGCGATATAGCTTGTTCCAACACACGAAGGCAATCCTCCAGCGGCATCATCCCAATTCAACATGTCACGCAAGGATGATGGAAATAATTTGTTTTCCCCTCTCGCCTTATACTTCCGAGGTGATGATTTTCCGACTGAAAAGAAGGGTGAGAAAACCATGATTGGACAGCATGGGTGGCTTGAGTGCACAGAGCAAACCGACTATGATAAGAATAAGCAAACACCACAGAAGAAGACACGGATCTTAGATGGCTTCCGAAAGATTGCGAAGGAAATGGTAAGCGGCTAATTTCATCACAAGGAGTTGAACTTGGCTGATGGGGGTTAGTCTGAGCTACACCAAAGCCGACGAATTCAGCCAGTTGCAAGAGGAACAGTGGGTACACATGTCGCAGTTTCACTGGATCCTAGAGAACAAAGCCTTTTATACTGTGAGCTCGAGTTCCACCTAACAACGGCTTTAAATATGTACGTCAGCGAAGAGCTCGACAAGGGTCACCTCTCCCCAGACAATCTAAAAAAGGTATCGGATGAATGGCACCAAAAAGGCCATCATAAAGTAATTGGCTTCAGATATGATCTAGAGACACAGCTGGAGCTTGTCAGTCTTCATATTAATGACTTTAGCTTCCATGGTCGTCGACAAGGTAATACTACCGAGATTGCTCTTCTGCTCGACGAGATGAAAATGAATGCACGCAGTATGCGTGTCCGGACATTTTGCCAACCGGATTCCACTATTGCAAAGCACCTAGTTGATTCGCAATCGCTGTTCAATCTGATTAACGCTTCAACCAGTCAACAAATTGCACTAGCAGAGATAGCCCGTTTTTTTAAGTTACTAATAAAGTAATATTCCGCCATCCATTCCATATTACCTAGTACTTTTTTCCCACTAGTATTGTAAGAGTACTACACAGTATAAGGGAAGAAAAAAAAAAAATCTACCTTGTTCCGTGCCTCCTAGTAATTATCCCTCCTCATTCTGGGCAGCCCTGGTATTCATGGTGTATTTCATGTATAATCATGATGGCCAAGCAAGAAGGATGTCATGGGTCGCAGACCTTGGACGATTTGGTTATGGGGGTATGTGTACATATGAATGATAGGGTTGACAAAATATTATTTCTTGGTTGCAATATTTTCATTTTGACTCCCGCAAGGTGTTGATGACATTAGTACTAATTCCATAGCAGACAAACAGCAGCAGCATTACTTCGAAACGCAGTGTTGAGCGTCTGTATCATTCAAATGAAGTTCCTTTCTTTCGCTATTTTGTCCCAAAGTTTCAAAGGAGAGCGCCCCTTATTAATAGAGGCTATTGGCTGCGTCTTCGGGCGATTGATACCATAGTGCACAAGTTTCTCACTAAAGAGACAGCAGGGAAAAGGGTCATTATCAATCTTGGTTGTGGCAGGTAAGTCTTTGCGTAATATACGTGATTAATTTGCAAAAGCTCACACCTCCAAGTGATGTCCTGCCTTGGCAATGCCATGCTCGTTATGATGCTCTAGGCAGCGATGTCCTTTTCATTGATGTGGACTATCCTGACCTCATAAAGAAGAAGCGGGCCATAGTCTTACAGACTCCAGAGCTTCGAAGTCTTCTTGGAGAAGATTTCACTCTCGGTGATGAAGATAAAGACGGTCTACTCCTGCGCAGCAATAAGTATTGCCAGCTTGGGTGTGACCTTCGACAGCTTGATCGGCTGCGTATGACTTTGGAATCATTTATCAGCCTTCCTGAGTGTGCCATTCTCTTCGTGGCAGAGGTTTCAATCACGTATATGGACACCCTATCTGCCGACTCTCTAATCCAGTGGGGAAGCACTGTTGGTCGAGGTTTGTTTAGCACCCAATTTTCACAATAATAGCCAGCGATTATAACCCTTATCCCAAGAACACCCAAAGCTTTGGGGCTTCTGCCTGATAAAATGAGTACCTGATACTAATATATGAATAGAAAACGATTTTTGTCTCCTGGAACAGATCCTACCATTTGGAAAAAGCCATCCGTTTGCCCAGCAGATGCTTAGTCATTTTGTTAAGCTGGGTACTCCCCTGCGCTCTGTTGAACAGTATCCAACAGTTGAGAGCCAAGTGCGCCGGTTCCAGGACCGCGGGTGGCCTCGTGTGGAAATAAAGGATCTGTGGCAAGCATGGTCAAGTGAAGAGTTTGTGACCGACTCAGAGAGAATTGCTCTCGATGACGTCGAGCCCTTCGACGAGTGGGAAGAATTTATACTATTTGCACGCCATTACTCCATTCTCCATGCATCAACCAGCTGCAACGAAAGCTCATCCCCACAAACGTCTGCTTCAGCCGCTAGTGAGAGTCCAAAGACGTTCGCAGGCCTACGCGTTGAAATGATCGGTAGATCCATCAAGAAACCTACCAAGAGACGATTTGGAAATAGCATGATCCTAAGTAATGCACTTGGGCAGAGATACGCTCTTAATTTGCTAGGGATGAGTCTCAACAGCAGAGAATCTACTTATGATATCTTCTCGCTTGATGGGCAGCACCAAACAACTCCGCAGCTGCCGCCTTCTGGACCTCCTGCTCGCATGTGTTTTACACTGACAGACCTAGGAGATTATGGAGTTATGCTAGTTGGTGGTCGTACGTCGCCCTCCTGTGCCCTTTCAGACTGCTGGCTTTTCGAAAGAGGTGTCAATCCGCGTTGGCGCGTGATGCCGCAATTGCCCGTTCCCTTATTTCGGCATTCTGCTCTTCGATTAGGGAATTCATCTCTTCTTCTCATCTTTGGAGGCAAGAAAAGCTCATCGCAGCTCTCGGACGAGTTTTTTCTTTTTAACCCCCAAAGAGCTTGCTGGCAAAGTTGTACGATACTGGGACCTGCTCCCGAGACTTGCTTTGGCTCACTCGTTTGCAATTCGTCCTCCCCGTCAAGCACCCCAGGAGTATTTAGTGGCATGTTAGCCGGAGGAATCTCCAAGAATGGGTGTATTGCTACTAAGCAGTATATATGGAAAATAAACACCTGCGAAACTGAGGTATGTTTCATCACCATTCTACGGCCCCCCCTGGGGAGTTTGTGAGCCGTCTATTCTTTCAAATATTGATATTGATGTTTCGCCAGCCGACCATTTCGTTTTCCCCCACCACAACCAATAACCCCAATAGCCAGATACTCTCCTCGTTTGGTGCTCAAACTGTTCATTTAGGGTCCTCTGTAATTATATGTGGTGGTATGGGAGCGGATCCGTGCCTGCATGGTCAAACTATTGCTGTTATTACCACTTCTGGTGAAGGATTTGAAGTTTCAAACTTTTCAACCCCCAATTACGAAGATCCTATGCCGTTTATGATTGGATCTTCAGTTGTACAAGATGGCGATTCTCTTCTGGTGCTCGGTGGGGGGGCGACTTGCTTCTCGATGGGGACCTTTTGGGAGACGGGCATTTACAAGATCTGTTTGCCTGACCATATCTTGAAGTCTTCTTATTCTTCATCAGGGATATACAACCCGTCCAACTCTACTGTCGATCTCATTGGATGCCGAAAATTTTCAGCCGCCTCAGCTATTACAAGTCCAGACAGTGTTAACAACCCGGATCATCAGGATCAGGGAGTATCTCTAACCTCTGTACCCAGAATACAACTTGAGTCAGCCGAACAGTTCCAAAAAATCGTTGGTGAAGGGAAGCCAGTCATTTTCAAGAGTTGCAGCATCGGAGAGTGCCAACAAAAATGGACCCCTGACTTCCTTGTAAACCGAATTGGCGCAAATGAGAAGGTAAGTTGGCATATATTCTGAATCCAATGCCCGAATACAAGAAACCAAACTAACCGCAGTAGTTTGTAATACATGAGTCTTATGAGGATACGGGTGTGTTGGACTTCAACAGCAAAAATTTTGCGTATGTGACAGACTCGTTTGGGAACATCATGAATAAGCTGCAGTCTGGGGCCCGGGTTTATCTACGAGCTTTATCTCGAAATAAGCCATCTGAACTGCCAGCAAAGCTTGAAGAGGATTTCCCAAATTTGGCAGAAGACTTTACCCTTCCACCAGAAATGGCCTATATCAAAGACCACCTATTCAGCTCCGTGTTGAGATTATCAGGGCGAGCAAACATGTGGCTGCATTACGATGTAAGTTCATCTTCATTCCCACTACATCTCGCTGGCTAGCCATCACATGCCGTTGGACTAACGGAGCATCTTATTATTGTACAGGTTATGGCAAACGTTTATGCACAGGTGGCTGGGGTTAGAAAGATGATTTTATTTCCTCCCAGTGACGTGAAACACATGTCCTTCGCCCCGGGTGCTTCTAGCTCGAGTGTGAACGTTTTTCAAGCGCTAGAAACTTCGTCTTTGCTTCGGGCGACGCATCCTCACGAAGCTGTATTACACCCAGGCGACGTCTTACTAATACCGGCTCTCTGGCTCCATACAGCTGCTCCAATAACCGACATGAGTACTGCAGTCAACGTTTTCTTCCGTGATCCAGGTCAGAAAGATCATTATTCTTCCGGACGAGATGTTTATGGTAATAAGGATCTGGAGGCATATGAGAAAGGGAGGCAGGCTATTGCTCGGATTGCGAAAAGCTTGCAGTCGCTGCCATCTGCTGCTAGAGAATTTTACCTCTGTCGACTTGAAGATGAGCTACGATTGGCTGCCGAGGCATAGAGCATGGTGTAATCAGCCCGTAGTAGGTAAATAATATACCCCGTCTAGACGAGGCATGGCCTCGCCCGCATACTTTTGCTGTATAGAGAATGACCAAGTTCTCAAGAGGTGAAAACCTACGCAGACATGTGCTGGAATGCTTTTCTGCTTACTCCACGAGCCACTCCTCAATATTTACCCCAATACCTCTCCCTATGCCGCGCATGACTTCCCATCCGACATTAATCCTCCACTTACCGGATCTATCCATAATATCTCCTGTCCCAATTCGTATAAGAAGCCTCAAGCTGGCTAAGGTGGCCAGAGCCATACCAATGTCGCCATCTGGGCCTGATATGATGGGTGTTGAGTCAATCCATTCTGTTCTTACTGCCTCAAAAATTGCCAACAGGCGTTCTAAAACAAATGCATGCGCTCCAAGTAATTTGCGGGAGATTTTACGCTGTTTATTTCGATTATTTGCTCGATTAGTGTTGTTACCGGGACGTCGTCGCTTGCGGCCGTTGTAAGAAGTAGAGAATAGGCTTATGTCGTGCCGGACAGCATTATGGGAAGCAAGATACGCTGAGAGCAAGAGAACTCTAGCAGTAGTCGGTAATAAGCCAGTTAATCCTGTTAGAGGCTGTGAAATTAGAGTAGTTGATACTGATGCTGTAAAAGTAAAGCCTCTAGTTGCAGGTTGCCGGCTTTTATCAAAGCTCATTTCAGATCCTGTAGTTTGAGGCGAGACAATCTTGGGGTTTAGAAATGCCTCATCTTGGAAAAAGGGTCTCGCCGCAATGAGAAGTTTTGAAAATTGTTGTGGTGAGTAGGTGCCGGCAATAATGGGCGCTACAAAACGGGGCCAAAGCGTGTAGCAGCTGTTCTTGAAAGAAGGTAGCGATCGCCCGGCAGATTGAGCGAGGGAATCATGAACTGCAGCGCAAAACCTGGTCCACAGATTTGCTAGTTCTGAATCTGTAGTCGCTTCATGTATTTCCTTTTCCGTTGAAGTTTCCCTGGAGATAGAGGGCGGAGGTTCCAGTGACAGGATCTGGATTAACTCAGACTTGGTGTACGGCGGAAAGTAAAGATATGAAGTTGGACAGGCTCGAAGAAACCCAGCCGGCGGAGTTGTAACGATAAAAACACATGTGAGGCACGGAATCTACCAGCGTCTTGTTAACAGTTGCTCGCATATCAGTTTGTCTTGATACCATAGGGCTAGTTTCACTCACAGTTTCGCATAATCTCGCCAACGCTGGCATCAGCGTTGGTGGAGGGTCCCTTTGCTTGTCCATCCCATCCAATACCAAAATAAAATGCGTTAACCCATCCTTCAACTGAGGCTCATCGAAGATGACGCCCAGCGAGGCTGCAAGTTGAGCTAACGTCTCACATCGTTGAGATGAAACCTCGCCATCATTAGACCCGTTCCATGCTTTAAGTGCATTGGTCACTGCGACAATGATGCTCTCGAAAAAATGACGTCCAGATATGCATCGAGCAACGTTAACCGTTGCGTGAACGAGGGTAGCAGCCCGACTATCCGGTGCTCTGTTGCTTTGTGACAATTGTACAAGTAGCTGTTTCGTAACGCTGGATTTCCCCGTTGCTTCTGAGCCGTGAATCACAAGGTTACGACAGGGCGCGGCATCTGTCTGGTTGGTCAATAGAGCGTCAGCCGTAAATCTCTTCCCCTGTGGCTTTCCTTGTAGGAGCTGGAATGGGACGTACATCGAGTAAGGAGGCAAGTGAGCGTATTTGGCTACCTCTTCCAGGAAATTGACGATATAGAGGGGCCAGGATCGTCTCATCTGGAAGTTGGAACATGAGTGATGCCATTGGGATGCCTTAGGAAGGGTAGATGGCAATGGTGCTTGTTATGACGCGGTGTACCAACGCATTTGCCCACGTCAAACGTCGTACAGCCTTGATAAGGATCTTCTAGACCGCCAACATGACGCTTACTCCGAGACTTGAGTACTTTATGAAGAAACAATGGCCCGCATCAAAACAAAGTACACTTGCCGAGGTGAGTCGGTGACTTGGGGAGCATGATCTTTTTGGGCAAATCTGTTGTATAATTGTCATTAATTGAGCTCGTTGATTGCACGCGTGTGTCCCACATTTACCCGTCAAGGAAGGATCTGTTCCGATGACATCCTTGTCAGTGTTGCTAATGTTCCTAAGACTAGTATATGAGCCAATACTGTGTGTTTGATAATACCGGCCTATGTAAATAGTAATTAAATCAAGTTAGTAACATAAATTTATAAGTACCTAACTCGTTTGATTTTTTATTAATATTATACTTACATCATAGGTACGTTATATTGCTAAAAGTTTACATATATAAGTTTAAATATTTTAATAACTTTTTATAAAGAAATACTAAATTTAAAAAATTGTTTATTTAAATACGCTATGTGTATTTTTATTATTCATAAAAAAATTTATACAAAAAATTAAAAACAAATTTACAAATAGCAATATATACCTTTTAGTATATGTACCTAGGTACTTGTACTCAAGTGTAGCGTTTACTTTTCGAGTGATTACCTACGAGTGGCGGCTCCACTAGGGACTAGGTAGCTACTAGCTTGGTGCATATGAGCCACATCCCACATGCACAGCTCAGAACTTTGTCTGTTGACATCATCACCTGGTATGTCACTACTTGGGTGCTCAGATTTTCAGAGATTTTGAGATACCATGGCCGAATATGGTCGCATAGATCCATTTTCCTTCGCAGCATCTCGAGATATTGAAAGCCCAGTTAGCATTCGAATGTAAGTCATCGTCACAGTCACGCCGACAATGTACTATCGACTAATCACTCTCTCAGAATTGGCATAGATGGAGACGAGCGTCCCACGAAGTATTCGACACTCCTCGAGAGACCTCAGGTCCGCCATATTGGCTCAAATACGAGGTGTGCCATGATTGAATAGACAACGGTAGGGAATATAGCGTTCTGATGGCTAGATAAACAGTTCTTCCTCCGAGCTGTATGTTACAGTTCAAGTCTGGGCCGGTTCCAAGGCTTTGACTGTACCTATCCAGACATCATATAAACCACCTCGTCTAGAAAGAAGGTATGCGTGTCACATCTGAGTAACTCTCTTGAGCGGCACTGGCTAACCTGGCGATTTAATCCGTTAGATGGAATGAATGGCTGCGGTTACCTATTTCATACAAGTCGATTCCCGCCAACTCCCGTTTGGCCATCACGATATGGGATCTTTCACCGGACCCGAGCAAAGCCGATCTTTGCCATGCGACTCCATTTGGAGGGACCACTCTTGCTTTGTTTGGCGACGACAACCAGGTTGTCAGAGGCCGGCAAAAGTGCTACATCCATAAATACAAGTACGCTGATGGAACTGACGACACGACAACACCTGCGGTTGTTGGAGGCAACGGAAAGGGAGCACCACAATTGGCCAACTACACAGAAGAGCTAGAGAGAATGGAGAGCTTATTCAAGAAGCACGAGATGGGCGAGATACCCCGAGTAGATTGGCTTGACCAGATGGTATTCAGGGGGTTTGAAAAGAAGGGGTTACATGCCGCCAAGCTATCAACAAAATTGCGCCAGCAAGATCACAATGCGAATGGCAGTGACGACAAAGAGGCGAATGATATTCTAAACCACTCTCGTGGAGACACGCCGGACCCTTATGTATGCGTGCTCAATGTTGAATTGCCACGATTCGACTTTCCTGTTGTCTTTGCAGATCACGAATACGAGCCTCCCCCAATCTCAGCTCTACAGCCACTGTCTGCCTCGCAAATTGTAGCGCAGAGACAACCTGAGGTCCATTTTGGTCCTGGAATCAAGGCCATTGGCGAGAGCTCAGCGGACTTTGGCTCTCGTCTTGTGATGACATATGATCCTGAAGTAGGGCAGAGGGACAACCCGGCGGAAGCGAAACACAGACGCCTTTTCCGAAGTTCTCATCGGCATGGCATACTCGACCGAGATTTAAAGCCCAACGCAAAAGTTCGTGATGAGCTAAATGTTATCATGTCATATCCGCCAACACATATTCTATCTCCGGAAGAGGCAGATCTTGTTTGGAAGTTTAGATACCACCTAACCAAAGACAAGCGAGGATTGGCCAAGTTTGTCAAGTCTGTCAACTGGAACGATCAAAGCGAACTGAAACAAGCCGTTCAAGTTCTTAGTCGCTGGACCGAGATTGACGTAGACGACGCACTTGGGATGCTAGGGCCGTCGTTTGATAATCCTACTGTTCGGTCGTATGCTGTCAATCGGTTACGAAAAGCTGACGACAATGAGCTGCTCCTTTACCTACTTCAGCTCGTACAAGCTCTTAAATATGAGTACATGTCAGTTGACTCAGATGTGGAAAACATTCAAGATTCGCCGCTGGCACAATTCTTAATTCAACGCGCTGCGGCAAATTTCATGTTGGGCAACTATTTCCACTGGTATCTCATGGTTGAATGCGACGACTATAGCCCAGAGCAGGACGTCCGCAATCGAGAAATATATCGCAAAGTTGCGTACGAGTTTATGACGGAGCTCGTCAAGCAGCCAGATGGTAACGAATCTCGGAAGACGCTCCTTAGGCAGGCCGAACTCCTTGCTATATTGTCAAGGATTGCAAACGACATCAAGTTGTCAAGCGATTCAATTGCCAAAAAGACAGAACGAGTAAAGGCCTTTCTCGGAGATCCAAAGAATGAACTTATGAGCATTGACCCACCCCTGGCAATGCCCCTTGACCCGTCTATCAAGATCATCAGCGTCATACCGGATCAAGTCACGGTATTCAAGTCATCACTGAATCCAATCAAGTGTACCTTCAAAACCACGACGGGAAGCCAGTATCCTATCATATTCAAGCTCGGCGACGACCTAAGACAAGACCAACTGGTCATTCAGATTATTACCTTGATGGATGAATTACTCCAGAAGGAAAACCTTGATCTGAAATTGTCCCCTTATAAAATCTTAGCGACGAGCACGACGGCTGGTGCCTCTCAATTTGTGCAATCACAAAGTTTATCAAGCATTGTCAACAAATTCAAGAACAACCCGGCCTTGGCCTACCTGAAGCACCATAACCCGGACGATAGACAGCCGCTCGGCGTTCGACAAGATACCCTGGACACATACGTCAAATCATGTGCGGGATATTGTGTTATTACTTATATTCTTGGAGTTGGCGACAGGCATCTTGACAACCTTTTGCTGGCCCCGGATGGGCATTTTTTCCATGCTGACTTCGGATACATCCTTGGCCGCGACCCTAAGCCATTTGCTCCTGTAATGAAGCTCTCCAAAGAGATGGTTGATTGCATGGGTGGAGTGCAGTCAGAACATTATAGACAGTTCAAGCAGTACTGCTTCTTAGCTTACACTGCACTGCGGAAATCGTCGAATCTAATTCTCAATCTGTTCAGCCTTATGGTCCATGCCAATATACCAGATATTCGACTTGAGCCGGACAAGGCCGTATCAAAAGTGAGAGAGAGATTTCATCTTGAGATGGGTGAAGAAGAAGCAATTCGTTACTTTGAGAGGATTATTGAGGATACTCTAACGGCGTTTGCACCTGTTGTTATTGATAAACTACACGAGTGGGCACAAGCTCTTAGAGCGTAGCCGAATAGAAATAGGAAGGGCATTGACTAAAGTTTGCAGTATCTACTATGATGGGAGGATAGTTTATTTCGTGAATTTGCAGAAGTTCACGAGCCAGCCATGACAGCTTATGATAACATATGATAATATATGTGATGCCTCATCTGTCCATAGCTCCTCCAAGCTGATGTTAATCGCACATACGGGCCCGCATGGCTCCGTTCAACAGTTGAAACGCCCGACATGACCCTACTATTATTACATGGACGCCATAACGAACGAATATGGGTTCGACTACAGCCTTGACTTTTGTGTGACAATTCAAGTATCGCCAAACACGAATATGCCCTTGCCACTTCTGAAGCCTTGTAGCCCGCCCTGCACCTCTTGTGCCAGGGTCGAAATATCAGTGTCCCAATTCCACGCCACTTCATCCAGGGGAACATCCCGGAATTTGCCTTCGCGGATAAGGTCAGCAATGTAATCAATCATATGCCTTCGCCCGGTGACATCCTGCTGATTCCATCGAGAAAGCCAGAAGCCAACAAAGCGAATGTCTTTGAAGATGAGCAGGCCGACAGGAAGAGCAACTGGCTGCTTGGCCATGCCACCATACGACACCATCGAAGCACCTTCGCTGAGCGAGCGAGCGAGGGCCGTTGCAGATTTGCCGCCGACGCAATTCAGGCCCAGCCCAATCTGCTCGCGGCCGTTGTTTGTGATATCTGCGAGCTGGTCTTTCCACTGCCGTGACAAAAACTGTGCTTCTGTTACGACTACATCGGCTCCAAGCCCAACGAGCTCTGCTCTCAACGCCTCGGTTTCTTCAGGAGAGCTTCGCTCCCGAACGACGTTGATGCTCCTCAGCCCCCAGAGCTTACCGAGCTGTATAGCGGCCCTTCCAACCCCCGAGTTTGCTCCGTTCTGGATGAACCACTCACCACTGCCAACCTCCAGCGGTCGCATTCCAAGGCCGGTGCTTATTCCAGTGCTGGGACCATACGCCCTCAAAATGCGATATGCTGTGCTGGGATTGACAGAGATGGTTGCCGCCTGAGTCGCACGCAGCCCCTCCTTGTTGATCTTCAAGACTTGATCCAGCTCCGCCACGGCATGCGTCCGCCATGTGCCGAATTGCGCAACGGCTGGTATGACCCAATCTCCTTTGCGAATGGGTGATGCCGGATCCCCCGTTGCAAGAACCTCGAAGACACCTTCATTTCCCGCGATGGCCGACGGGCTGGGCGTCCCTATCAAAGATGTGAAGCTGGGCTGGGCGCCGTACGTCCCTTGAATGGTGTTTATATCCGCAGGGTTAACGGGAGCCGCAAGAGACCGCAGCAAGACGGATTTGGAAGAGAGCGAGGGAGATATGGAATATGTGTGCAGCCTTGGCCATTGTCAGTTGAGACTATCCTCTATTTCCCGTCGCAGAGCGAGTAAATGCCTACTGGAGCACATCGGATGGCTCTCCATTTTTAGAGAAGACGAGAGCCTTGGCCTGAGTGTAGCCATACGGACCTGATTTGCGCCGAACGGGTTGCTGAGACAAAGGGCTGTCTATCCGCGCTCCAAAGACGCGCCCGCTCCGCGACAGAGCGCGTAGATTGTTGTGAGAACGGCCAAGCATTGCTATTGGAGTTTCGCAGAGGAAGGGTGAGATGCTTAAATACTGGCCGCCATTCGTAGGCGGTATATCCAATAAGTTGAAGTCAATTCCTGGGCTCAGCTTGCTGTCTTAGAGCTACCTTTAGCTACCTTACCTTTAGCTGCCCCTCCAACCCCACCATGTATGTATGTTGGAGGAAGCAACACGGTACGGGATGCCGAGGTAAAGATGTTGATCGCAACCTCTCTATGGTGTTTCTCAGAAGCAAATGGATGTAACAATATAATTAGTTTACCGGCACTGTCCTGTTCGCACACGTATTAATGGAACGAACAGCATTGTTCCCCTAGTAAATCATCACATCATGCATCTCACAGATGAGGTATATGGCTACTCCGCATATGCATTTAAATGACCTCCTTTTATATTGGCATCGCTCAATGTGAATATCCATCATTCGACAGCTAGCTACCTTCAGACTATAAATCTGCACATTACTGAGTTGCTGGGCTCTCCAGTGCCAGTACCTAATTATATCCAGTTAGCCATCATCTCCTGTTGACAGATGCAGTAGAATAGAGACATACCAGTGCGGATCGGCAAGGAATATAAACATGCGTCCAGTTCTTCCTTCCATTCCATTCCATGGCAGTTGTGAAGAAACGAGTCTCTTCGTCAATCCTGTTATGGCCGCCAACTCTTTCCGCGTCGCTGTTCAGCACCACTTTGTAGGTTCCGGGAACTTCGATTCCGATACGGTAGTCGCTGAAGCTTCGGTCTTTATGGAAGTTGAAAATGAAAACAACCCCAGCCCTCTCAAATACAATCACCTTGTCGCCTTCATGCTTCAAGGAGATGTAGGCCTGGGGCGCGTGCAGCCAGCCATATTGGGCTTCACACTGGTTCATCAGCTTGTCAAAGGTGTTCAGGAATTTGTATCGCAGCAGGTCATCTTCTGTGAGGTTAAACTGTCGACGAGCATACCAAAAAGAATTGTTGTTGCCTGCTCGAGGGAAGTCTAACCATTCGGGATGACCAAACTCATTCCCTTCAAAGTTAAGGTACCCCTCTCCGCCCAGACCATGGGTAAGAAGTCGAATCATCTTGTGTAGTGCCATTCCACGATCAATTACTGGTGTCAATGGTGATAGAGTCGACATGTTAGTATACATTTCTGCATCGCACAAATGCATCATCAATGTTTTATCTCCGACAAGTCTAGTGCTCGATTGTCAGTCACGATCCCTTCATCTGTCCTTAGGGGTGGAGTACATACGCTTGATCGTGACTTTCGCAATACGCAATGGTTTTTTCACCATGGCGTCTGTTGGTCAAAGTGAAGCAAATGTTGGCAAGATCCCAATCTTCATCTTTCTTTTCCTTGAGAATCTTGATCCACATGTCAGGAATGGCCATAGCAAGTCGGTAGTCGAATCCTATGCCACCAAGTGATAGCGGAAGACACAGGGCTGGCATTCCTGACACGTCTTCGGCGACTGTGATACAGTCGGGATAGAGCGAGTGAAGCATCTCATTGGCAAGCGCCAGATACACAACAGCTTCTTCATCAACATCAGGTCCGAAATATTCATGGTAACCACCGGAAAAGCCACTACAATTGATGAATTAGCCAACACTGGAGTATAAGATAAAGCGAACAATCGATTGACGTACGTTCCAATTCCATGGTGTAGGTAGAGCATGCTGGTGACACCATCAAAACGGAAGCCATCGAAGTGATATTCATCCATCCAGAATCGGAGATTGCTCAGTAAAAATCGCATGACTTCATGGTGGCCATAGTTAAAGAGTCTGCTATCCCAAAGGTCGTGGTTACCTTTTCCTCCGCTGTGAAAGTACTGGTGGTCCGTACCATCAAATTGATTGAGGCCATCAAGCACGTTCTTTGACGCATGGCTGTGAACCACGTCCAGGAGCACGACAATTCCCATCTTGTGGGCAGTATCGACGAGCTTTTTCAATCCCTCGGGAGTTCCATATCGGCTACTGGCAGCAAAAAAGCTGTTGACCTGGTATCCAAAGCTAGCATAGTAGGCATGTTCCATAATAGCCATCAGTTGAATAGCATTATAACCAAGGTCTTTGATTCTGGGTAGCACATTTTCAGTAAACTCGTCATATGTCGTGACGCGCTGCTCTGGCGATGAAATTCCGACGTGAGCTTCATATATTCTGATGCTCTCCGGCTTGCGTGGCCGTGGATGCTGGAACGAGTATTTTTCGGACGGCGCTGGGCTCCAAAATCGAGCGTCATATGCGGGTGACACAGAAAGGTCCTGGGTGACATATTTAATCCACGCTGGCAAGCGATCGATTCTGTGACCCCCGGGGAGAACAAGGGATATCTGAAAATTAGCAAAGATAATCGAAATATATCTGGCTCGGGAATTTTCAACAAAAATACCTTGACTTTAGAGTTATGGGGTATCGCCTTCTCGCTGCCCTTGGGTGGGACTATAATCTCGAACACTCCGAATGCATTCTTCTTCATTGGGTGAGATGTGTAATTCCAACCGTCTGTACCATTTGTCAATCGAACTGTTCGATCCCCAGGTGTGGTGTACGACTCACTGAAATCTCCAACGAGATATGCCTGTTCGGCGTTTGGCGCCCACTCGCGATATATGACATTATTCTTCTCATCCACGTTGAAGCCAAAGATATCAGTGCCCTGCAAAAGTTAGGGTGGGTCACTACGAAGATGAAGATTGGGAAGAAGCATGCTGGGGATCAAGATGACGGCCCATACCTTGGAGAATTTGTCAAAGCCACCTTCTTTTTCGTTAATGACCTTGATCCATTCCTGAGCTTTCCAGTATCGCCGCTTCAGGGTGTCGCCAAATGGGGCTAGCCATGGGTCTAGCTGGATGACGCCTTTATTTAAAGTTAGCCAAGATGTGATTATGACCCATTCGCTATTTGTTATATCAAACCTGTGCCATCCTGGGGGATATCCTGCTTGTCCTTTGGAGCTGCCATGGCGCAGAATGCTTGGTGGGAGGCGGGGTAGCTTCGATGAGAGCTTTGTGTTCAATTGCCTGAAGAACAAAGCTTGATGCCCAGGAGCTATGAGAGATATTATTATATGGCGCGCTGATGTAATGGAATGCTCTGCAATTAAAATGCGCAGCTTGCGCTAATTGTTTGCAAATGAAATGCTACCTCTCCTAGCTGTATGTAGGTATGTATCTTCGTGAAGCTTGAAGCTACGACTCTGAAGTACTAAGTACCTATCTAGGAGGTTTAGCAGCCGTTCTAATACACCGAGATAGTGGCGAAACTAGCGCGCTATTAAATTCTTTTATACCATTATTTCCTATATAATCTTATCTCATTATTTGATTTCTATAATTACCTAATTATTAATTTTAAACATTTTTCTTAAGCTGTTAAACTTCTTTCGCTTAGGTTCTTGTGATAGGAGAGTATTAGCGTGGTTTGCATCAGAGCTACCTTCATAAAGCTGAAGCTCATGTTGATGGCGGGGTTCTGACGTCAGTTCATCCTTGGGAACAGAGCCACTAGCTGCGGATCGTCTTCCTGTGTCTCCAAGCGGTGACGTCATTGAAGCTTCATTCGCCTCGCCCTTCCCATTCTGCAATGGCCAGCCTATTGCATGGTTGGGTATGACGCTGTTTCGTGTAGACGTTGCGGCTTCAGTGTTTTGCTGCAGTGTGGCAGCATTGCTGGAATCTCTGAAATTCCCATAACTCTTGCGCCTGAGCGTGGAGATGAGCCCTGGTCGGCGAGGCGAGGCCTCAGACAACTGATCAAGAGGTATATGGGCATTCTCCTCATTGTGGAATTGGTCACCTCTCAGTTTTGGCCCATCGTGTTTTGGCAAACTGGAGTTGAAACCTGCGCTGGCACTAGAATTTTGGTCAGGAGGGTTGTTGCGTGCATACATATTAAGAATAGACTGCTTCAACCTCGAATGAACGGGTTCATATTCATCACCCGTGATAGAGCCATTCGTCAATGGGGTTGTGTTCATGTCGTCATCGCTAGAGTCTGAGATGTGATCGCCATATGTCGAATCCTCGTCTTTTCTCGATAGAGATTGGTTGATATGTGGCGCGACCGAGTGTCGTTGGAATGGCTGATGCCTTGAATTCTCTGCTAATGACCGAGAAGGAGCGGCTGGTGCAGCTGAGTGATGCCTTGGATGTGACGTTGTGGGTGATAAGGAGCGTAGAGTCAGCCTGTTTCTACCCTTATTACCAGATAACGATGCCCTTGAATCGAAAGAGCTGCTTCTCATCGATGACCTAAATCCACGACGAGAACTGCCAATTGACCTGCTACGTACGAAACTGCTCTCACTGGAATCGGATCCTCGGCGTCGTAAAGTAGACTTGATGTTTACCGTAGGCTCTGTCGTCGGGTTGTGTGCCGTATGTTCTTTTTGACGCCTCAGACTATATTCTGGTGAGCCTAACGGGTTGTAAGATGATTTAGGTCGGGTGGCTGGACCACGGATCTCGTCTATGTATCTTGGTTCGTGGCTCGCTGAGCGTTTTGGGTGCGCTAATTTTTGTAATTTGCGTCCCATCGCCATACCAGTGCGTGCTGAAGTAGTTGGTTGCTGCAGCGAGCTTTGCCCTCTCTGAGCATCTGTCATTACAAAATCAGTGTGTCTCATGGGCTCTTCTCCCCTTTTCATTTCCATTGTAGTATTCTTTTTGGACGAATTTCGAGATCCATCAGCTGGTTTGAAACCAGCACGGCCCGAGACGGGGGTTTGAAACGGCATTGATTGCTGCCTTGCTTCTCCAGGTGATACTGATACTAATTCGGTTCGCAATAGGTGATCTTGTTGGGATTGGTGACGTTGACCTCTCTGTTCCGAATTAGAGGGGTTCTTAGAGACATTAGCCAAGGTTGTAGTTCGCTTTGTCGGTACACGCTCCCGCACAGCCTCATCATCAGCTTCCCGAAGTGCCTCTATTTCGAGCTGGCGTCTTTCCTCAGATGTAAGGCTTTTCCAGTATGCTTTAGCCTTCTCCCAGTCATCAGATGATTGAATGGGAGCACTGGTGGTTTTATCCAACGGCATTCCCCCAGTGCTTGCATTGATCCTTGATTCGTTGCCGCCCATGCTTAGCAATGGTGAGTCGACCAGTGCTGCATCAAGGGATATGAATCCACCATCGCCAGCTTCGGATAGGTCTTCATATGCATCGCTGTAAATACTATCCTTATCTGATTCCTCGTCTTCCTGGATGCCAGTCTTATACCTTGAAGTCTGTGCCAACACAGACGTGATGGATTCGTTTGCGTCGTCTATATGGGGCTTAGAGACATCGTCATCAACTGGGAAACTTCCCGGAAGAGAGTTCGGCTCAGTTGTAGGCAAAACATCCCGATGCATCAACAAAGGATCCGTATCTGAACTTGAATTGCCTGGCGATCTATCGGCTGCCTTTGAATTTACCTTTGAAGTCTCATCAGGAGACATGTCAGAGAGGGGGCTTGAGTCTGAAGATACAACTTTCGACGATTTTTGAACCATTGACTGTTCGGTGCCTGTGCAGACATCTTCAAACAGCTCATCCCCGGAACTATACATATCTTCGCTCACATGTCCAAGACTTTCGGTAGATGCAATGATGGCTGGTAGTGGTTCCCGATATCTGGATATGTTGGCGACATTTCTTGGAGTCTGTCCGCGACCAAAATGCAACGACTTTGTCGACTCTATAGGCGAGGGAACTTCGTTTTTAGCGGTAGAATATGGCGTTTGAGAATTGGACGGCGGTAGTGGTTGTGGGGAAAGCGAATGCTCACGAGGACGAACAAGCTGCCGTTCCTCGGGCTCCTTCCCCTTTTTGTCACGCACGCTTCCAAATAACGGAAGCGCCGGTCGAGGAGACATTAGTTCATCTTCTTGCAGTGAAGATGTCCTGCTCGCTTTCAAACTGTCAAAGGTGCCCTGTGTATTCTGTCTTGATTGAAGGCTGTGCACTGCTGCGAAATCTTCTTCTTCAAACTTGCTAGGTTCAGCAACTACAACTGTGCTGTTGTCGTTCCAGCTTACTCTAGCACCTTTTCTCTGACTTGCAACAGAATCATCCTTGTTAAAGTGAGAAGTGCCTGTGATTGAATACTCCATATTCTCATTAGGATGTGAGGATTGATTTCCTCTGCTCGAAATGGCGGATTTTAGGGCTGACTTCCTAGGAGACAGAGACCGCGGAGGAGGTTCATGTTTAACGACTGGCTGATCAGTTGACGATGCAAAATGAGCTGATCGTACGGATGTCTCTGAACCGGATCCAGCATAGGAAAAGGGTACTTCGCTCTTCGTATTGTCCCAGCTCGCCAAGCCGGTTGTCAAATTTGGCTCGATAACAAATTCGGAAGCTTCGTTTGGAGAACTATTCTGATTTTGCCAATCCCGAGGTCCTTCGACTTCAAGTTCCGTCTCCTGTGATAGCGTTTCCGTTGCCGTTGTCGGCATCGGGATGTTAAAGCTGGAGTCATCATCCGGACTCTCCCTCCTCAGAGATGCACCAGCCGCATAGGATGGGCCAGTCGTCATTGAAAAGGGTTCTGGCTGAATGCTGCTGGGCATTATGAGCTTCGTTTCATTGTATGGCTCTTGTGGCATATGGCCCGGATTGGCTGCTTTTGTTCCCTTTGCTTTCTCTATCGATTTTATAGCAGTACCGTCAGTTGGATGGCTCGATTGCACAAGTGAATCCTTCGGGACCATTCTTCTTGAATTCGGGTCATAGACAAGATCGGGTTCGGATGTCATGTGCGAGTCGTATGTTATTCGTGCGCGAGGATATGAGAAGTTGATCGATGAACTAACACTCCCCGAGCGAGATTCAGGTAAGTCCGGTGGCAATTTTGACAGCGCTTCTGTCTCCTTCTCTTTGTATGCATTCTGACTGATGGGGGCCCCAAACCAAGAGCCTTGCTGTTGGCCATGCGATTTCTGGCTTGCGGTTTGGAAATTTTGAGTCTGCAACGGAATTGAGACGGCCTTAGAGGCAGGGATGCTGGGCATGGGGGGTACATCTTGCTTCCCAAGAGGCGTGCGACCAGGCGATGGTGATCGTCGAAACGTTCGTTCGCTCATGGAACTCACGCTAGGGCTTCTCTGCTGCTTACTCTTGCCTCGGTCGCGGCCGGCAGGGGATGACACCGAGGAAGTGCGCCGCTGGCTTCTTTTCGAGGAAATTTCTGCAACATTTGTCGGTGCACTTGGCTGCGCTCGTAAGGCGGCAGCGGCAGCTGCTGAAGACAGAGATGATGACGGGGTTGGATTGCCTCGTATGAAAGCGGATGCAGCGGCAGATGCGGCATTGGGGTCGGCCGTTTCCTTCGTGAGAGGCTGCAAGATAATTCAGCTGTCTACTCAAAGCATTATCGCGAGTCGCTGCTCGATGTATTGCCAAGGGGGAAATAGCCACAGTTTAGGCCATTGCAATCACTGCTGATTTGCGAAGGAATAACATAGGCGCATTCTGCCATTGACATTGAGCTTAAAACCTTACCTGAACGGAGTGGTCGCGTCGTCGCGATAGCTTAAACATGGTGGATACAGCGGACTACGCCTCCACAGCTTGCACTTACACACAGCTAGCACACCATATAGGTCGAAGCGAACAAACTGAAAGATGAATCAACAAAAATGAAGCGTAAACGATGGACGTGAAGGGTATATTGGGTAAAATTACTGCTGAGATGAGATTGGGAAAACGTACCGAATACATCATCCTACGCGAAGATGTGGAGAGGCTAAGGCTTAGTCCACTGTACGTACTTAGTAGTCCCAGGCTAAGCCGTATCCAGCCTGCGCTACTCAGGCTCCTACCTCTGGCAGACTTTATTCAAAATGACCTCTTCCGCATGCAAATCATGTGCAACTGCTTTTCCTCTTTGCCCCTACCTACTAGACGCCCCAAACCTGGCTAGATGTTAGACATTTGATCGCACTTTGTTTTTTTGTACCGCGTATACTTGTTTTCTTCCCCCCCTTTGGTGCTTACAGTATTCAATGGCACCACCCTCGCCGCGACGATCATCCAGAGCTCGCACGCTGGCTTCTCATTCTCAACAATCCCTCTCATCGACCAATTTTACCCGTCTCGAACGACATACTCGATCCCTTAATCGACCCCCGTCAGGAAAATCCACGCCCAGTGCATCTGTGTCGTCCGATCCACTCGACGATATAGACGATACGCTACTTGGCCGGAGGCGAAAGCGCGGCCACGACGACGAGCAATACAAGGGCTTGCGAAACGAGACTCTCGACATGTCCAACGAACCAGACCCTCTGCAAGATGAAGAGGACGAGGCGGTTCGGTGCATCTGCGGCTGCGAAGATTACCCCGGCCGTCCTCCTGTTGATGGCTCAGACGCCCACTTCCTCGCTTCAATTGAACTAAGTGAAGATGTGACCGGGTTTTTTGTGCAGTGCGATATTTGCAAAGTATGGCAGCACGGAGCATGTGTCGGCATATTTAGCGCTGAGAGCTCTCCTGAAGAGTACTTCTGCGAACAATGCCGAAAAGATCTTCACAAAATACAAACAGCAAATAACGGGTGAGTCGATCCTTCTACTACGCCGTTCTCAGGCAAACTCTAACGCGCAATCTTTTCCGTTAGACAAAAATACTCCAAGTATCTACCTCTGAGTCGGCCTGCCCGAACTTCATCTCGAGCTACATCTATAGCAAAAGACGGTGCTCGATCGCCCAGGTTGGGAAGTGCTAAATCCATTCGGTCTCAATCAACGTCGCAGATATCTAAACGACGATCTACGATGAACAGCCGCGACGCAGCTTATGACGATGAACAGTTACGACGGGCAATTGAAGCGAGCAAGGAAGAGGTTGGTCAAGACGGAACAGAGAGTGTTATCAGGCGTACAAAACGGGTACGCAGCAACAGCGAAGAGTTCGTGATCCCTTGTCTAGGACCCGAAAAAATCCCGAACTTTTGTTAACCTCACCAGCAGGAACAATGTAACTGTTAAAAGGCAACGCACAAATTCGCAGTCTCCTTCGCCACCACCAAAACCGATGGACACCATCAGCCAAGAAAATACGGATGACGAAAGCAATGGTCGCAGTGAACAGAAGAGACCACGTACCTACAAAGGCACGGAGAAATCAGATAAAGAGGAGAAAGATCGTCTGCGGCAAGAGAATGCGAGTAAACGAAAGGGGCGGGCCGATAGGCGACGCACTGAAGGTGAGTTTAGCGTCACAGTTACGAGATGTGATAGGCACTGACAACTTCAGATTCCGATGTATCAGAAGAAGTCAACCTGCCGTCCACGAAGGCTCCCATTGCGAAGAGTGCAGAGCCATTGACTTTCCCGGAACCAGCGCCAGTACCGTCCCCTGTTCCCGGAACCCCTCCTGCAAATCACTCGTCAACTGCAAACGCACATAAGCGAACCTCACGGAGCAATCACAAGAAGGGCAAAGGGAAAAACCAATACACAAAGGATCGAAATGCGGAACTTGAACATTCGCCAGCCCGATCTGTATCGCGAGACGCCCAAAGAGCGACCAATGCGACAACATCTACGCATGCTAAGCATACCAGCGATCATAAGGGCAGCTCAAAAACCAAATTGGGCATTGCAGGTAGGATGAGCATGCTGGATATGAAGCGGCGGGTAGCTGCGATAATGGACTTCATCTCTAGAACTCAGGTCGATTTAGCAGCTGAAGCGACGCTGGATCGCAGCAATAACTCAACGAATCAGCACTCACAAGACCCTACCACATCCCCAACCGACACTCCCATATCCAAGGACTTCAAAGATCTAAGTTGCATCGAAATGATGGATGTTCTTACACGAGATATGGTTAAGTGGCAAAATCAATACGCGTAATATCGATTATAGCTGCCCCTATACTCGCCACTTAAGAGTCCTCATCCGTCTACTACATAATACCCAAGGCATTTGCATTTGTTTAATTTTGTTTTCTCGGAGCGGAGTTAGGAGTTCATAGCATGTCTATCCTATTTGAGGTCTTATCCGTTATTCCATTACGACATCATGATGGAAGGCAATCAATACTGCCAGCTATTCCTTTTTTTTTCTCCATTCTTTTTTTTTTTTTTTTTTTTTTGCTCCTTTAACTGCCGTTTTGCATTTCGGGGGAACGCTTTCATGACTGGCTATGTACACGCATTATATAGGATCTATCTTACACGTGTTTGCCATGATATGCCGCGTGATAATGGCTTTATTTCGCAGCAACCTCATGGGGTTTAAAACAGTAGGTGGGTTAAAGGCCATTCAACACCAAATAGCCTTGAATTCCTAGACCTGGCTTCTTCTATGCATTGTTTTCTTTCCTCTGCTCTTTCCATGCTTTTTTCCCTTGGTTGAGGCTTACCGGGGGACTGGCCGCCATCAGCTCATGACGTTGAAGGGCTTCGTCAGAGAGGTCATCCAATACATATTTGCCCAGTTTGCCCTTCCGCCACTCGGACAATACCCTGGCTGCAGATTCTCCCATATCTGGGACACCACCAGCCTTCAGCTTGCCATCCCGCTTCGCCACAGCAAGCAAGAATTCGTGAATATCGTTTGTTGGACTGCAGTACCGATGGTAGAGGTGGGGATCCCAGAGATTCATCTTGTACAGCAAGTAGTCTGCCAATATCTCATCTGGTATGAGGCCTTTCTTGATACCCTGTACAAGAGAGATTTTGATCATCGTCTCTCCATCTTCGACATACGGGAGAAAGACTCCTGGTGAATCGAGCACATATACACCAGCGCCAACCCCCCCTCTCTCTTCCGGTTCAACCACGCGAACGCTTGTTCCGATCTTACGGGTTACGCCTGCTTGGTCACCTGTCTTGGCTACTTTGGTCGTCCTGCCCGTTGTCCCAGTGCTTCTAAGGGCGTTTAGCAACGTACTCTTACCCACATTGGGCATGCCCACTATCAGCGCACACAGCCCTGTTATTGAGTCTACTTCGTAAGCAGTCTCTTTGAGTCGTTTCAGTAGCGAGGCTGTGGTTGAGGGATGGTTCTTGTCCCAAAACAATGCGCGCCGACCATGCAGCTTCTGCAACAATTGCCGGGCGCCAGGACTATCGCTACCTAGATCATGTTTTGTATATACGATGATTTTTGGGCAGCCGGAGACTGCCTTTTCAAGGATGGGATTGTGAGTTGACAAAGGCAGTCGAAAGTCCCGGCACTCAATGACGAGAGATATCCTTGAGAGAACCGTCTTCAATTTACTGACAGCGGCGTGGTGATGGCCCAGGAAGTAGGATTTTGGAACTGATGAAGGGACGCCAAATGAACGGCGGGGGACGAACTGTGCCATTCTAAATGTAGATTGCTATCTACATAGTCTGGAGAAGCAATCGAGGCGGACTAGGGACTATATGTAAAGTTCTGTTGTACGCAAATTATGGAGACCCAAGGTACCTATCGATATCATGATATGGAGCTGCGAATCTAGTGGCGATCAAACAAAGCTTGGTACCCAGGTACCTGCCTACCTCTACAGGTACCTTAGTAGCACCTTGTTCCTCAATATGCGCAGAGGTGTAGAAGTACCTTACCTTGTAAATAAGCTGCCAAGGTACCTCCAGATGCCAAATAGGTACATCATATCAAGATTAAAATCCATCAGCCTTGCCTATTAGCGTTTATAAAGTGGCTAATATTTAAAATACTTACTATTTCCTAAAACTTTTTTTTTTTTTTTTTTTTGAAAGGTTAATAATAAATACCTTACTTTGCAACGTAAAATTACTATTGTACTATTTTTGCTAGTACAATTGTGGTTATTACTCTGCAAAGAGGTACTTTGCTCAGCACTCTTGCCGACCATATACAGTATTGAATGAATTTATTCTTACAGGTACTCGGTCCGACTTCTCATCCTTATCTAAAGTTTAGAGCATCATTAATGATAATTTTTTTTTTTTTTTAAAATCTGGGTTATGTTGGGATTTGTCTTGGGAAGTTGACCTACTGGCCGGTTGACTACTTGCGACGAGTACGAGGTACAGCCTAGCTTCAGAAAAGGTACTCTAGAATATAGGGGGTCATTCTCCGGGACCGTGACTGCCAGGGTGCTTTGTTCCTCATCAGCGATGATCTGCACGGAGCACCATCCATTGACTGGCAGGTCTCGGACCTCGTTTCACCACCGCGACCAGAGGACAGGATAGTTCGACATATCATGTCTTCTCAACACAAGAAGGCGGCAACCGGCTCGCGCTTCGTGTTGCCTGCTCTGAACCTGAATTTTGGCAGTATTACCGATGGCACCGACATCCCTCCACCTCCGGAGTCTCCGATTGAGCCGAATACACCCTCCAAAACGTCCAAAGGCAGCAACGAGAGCACCGAGACCAATGACAAAACTGCGACGGCGTACGAGAACAAAGTTGGTGTGAGAAGCGTTGCTGAAAACGCGCCGCCTAGTCCTGCCGCGTCTGGTCGACAGGGTAGCGTCTGCCCTTGATCGTTTCTCCCCCCAAATGCATTTAATAACAATCCCACAGATAGCATCACTCAAGAGAGCGGACGTAGCATCGTCAATGCGTATCGCCCGGCCAGTCAGAGCGGCTCCAGCGCCGTTGACTCTGAGAAAACGAGGCGCGCGAGCGGCTGGTTCAAGCGTCTAAGATCGGGAGACAACCAGTCGAGGAGACGATCGAGTCTCCTCGGCCTCGAACAACATATACCAGCGGCAGCCAAATTGACTTCTGATAAACCACCTCCTAAGATTCCCCAACTTGTACATCTCGAGAGCGACAAAGGCACCTTTGGATCAAATTTATTCGATCACATTAAATAATAATAACTCATATAAGTCACAAAAATAGACATTTATCTTCAATTGGGCTATTTTTTAGTTACATTTATCTTAAACATCAGATTTATTCTGTCAATAGCACAGCTTCTTAATACAATTACCTAGGAACCTAAAGTTTATACATCACTGCCAGATGAATTGCGATCAGACTACTATCAATCCAGCTTAGACCGATGCGACTAGTGTGGATATTTGGAACGCCTATGACTTAATTTTGCTGCAAGGCCGGATTTTATATCCTCCGATCCCTCTTATCGCAGATGCGATGGCTCAATCGAGACTTCTCGCGCCTCAAACCAGTCGTGGCTTTGATTCAGTTTTGTTTGCGACACGATTTAACTTACAATCATGGACCGCGAACGGGATGGCCGGAGCCGAAGGTAAGTGCAAAATGTTCATTCTATCACTCCACCCATTTACTCCAGATTTTCAACTGCCTGGCGCTTTGTTACAACGATCGCGTGGTCATTGGGCAAAGCGCAAGGCCATTTTCATGAACTGGATTTGTTCCATGGAGGCCACATTCGGCGCATGGCTAATTCTTGTAGATATGATGACGGTGAAGTGGTGAGATATGGTGCTGGAGAGTCCTGGAGGCCAACCCCACGAGAGCGATCGCCTAGGCGGCCAAGAAGCCCCGTCAGGGACAACAGAGCCAGAAGCCCGCCGCGCACCAGAAGCCCTCGCCCTCGAAGTCCCATCATTCCAGGATCTGATAGTTACGTTCCCGGAAGATATCCTCCACGAAGGCGCTCTCGTAGCGTCGGAGATCGATACCGGCGCGAGCGATCTCGAGACCGCGAAAGCCCCCGTAGACGCGAGAGAAGTCGATCCCCAATCAGAAGATCTCCGTTGCCTCGTCGCAGCCCGCCTAGAAGAGACTCGCCAGGTAGAGATAATAGATATGAGAGGCCAAGGTCACCACGAAGAGACTGGGAGCGCGATAGACCGCGCGACTTGGATCGCGAGCGTGATCGAGATTGGGATCGTGAAAGGAATGAAAGAACCCGGGTCAGGGACTGGGAGCGGGATCCCGAAAGGCGAGATGAAAGGTTCGTCCGATGTAATGGCGTTTGCTTGAAAATCAACTAACTCATAGGCTCTATAGACGGTCACGCTCCCCATTTTCCCGAGATCGCCGTCGCGAGAGATCTCCCCCACCTGGCAAAACAACTCCTATCGCTCCACGGGGCGCACCTTATAGGCCACGCTCTCGATCACCGAACCGACGAGACGACAGATTTCAACCCTTTAAGCGACACTCGCCACTGCGGGAACTTGGACCATCATCCACGATACCGTCTCGACCTGCTTCGGAGAGGGCGGATTCCCAATCACAATCACAATCTGCGAAGACTCGCTCACCTCTTACATTAGAGGGCTCTCCTCCTCACGTCGCTGCCGCAATACTACCCACTGCTGCAAAAGACACACAGCGTCCTAATACATATGAACCCGCCTCCGCTCCATCCAAATCACCACCACGTGGCCCTGCAGCATTACGAGCACCGCCTATTGGTCCTGCCGCTGCTCGAGTATCCTCAGCAACCGCAACGATGCCTGCTCCTCAAACTCAGAAAAATCCCCAGACACCGAGTACTGCACCACACAGGCCAGATACCACAAGTCCAACAAACCCACCATCAGGACCTCGAGGCTATGTTCCACTAGCCAGAGGGTCTTCTTTTAGTTCTCGTGGTGGAAGAGGTGGATGGAACCAACCCCCACCTCGTCATTTGTCTGGTCCAACAGCATCAGCAGCGCCAAGTGGCCCTTCTAATATTCCTACTGGCCCTCGAGCTGCTTCTTCAAATGGAGCTGGTACGGCGGCGCCTCCTGCTCAACGGCCATTCAACCCACCAACGGGTCCCTCGGCCCAACACGGAAATGGACCAAGACATAGCCTCGCTCAGAGTCTACTAGCTACGATGCCTCCCCTTGTTCCAGGCGGGAAAACGGACCCTACCATGACGCCCTTGTTAATCGGCGTCACCAAAGAGATCGAGCCTCATTATCGAAAGCTGAGAGATGAAGAGGAAAAATTGCGAGAGGAGCTACGACTGAAACAAGAGCGTCTCCGAAGGAGTTTGTACGCATGGAACAGGCTTGAGCGAGATGCCCGCGCGTGGGAGATGAGGAGTGACCTAAGTGAGAAGAGCATGAAGAATTTAGCTGGCGAGGGGATTGGCGGTGCGGCCTTTTAAAGAAAGCCTGGACCTAATGTGACGGCAATCGGGGGTTTCTTTCGAATTCTCTACGTCTCTCTTTGTAAATATAAACGATTCACGATCAGGCTTGTATATATCTTGACTTATGCTCAAATACCCTTACCCAGCAGTTCTCAGCAGCAACAATGCGCATGATGTCCATTACTTCCACAACAATCGTAGGAATCTATTTCAGCATTCAGCTTTTGATGGCAATCCCAGGAAATTCAACGGGTAACCTGTCTTTGTATACATAATATGTAGTATTATGGCTCTAGACTCATATCTCGTTTCACAATGGTGAAGTGTGACATGGCAGCTTTGGGAAGTTGGAAAGGTTCCCCTTTTCAGAGAAACCTTTGGGTAAATGGAAGTAAATTGGTATCTCTAAAATGCAATGGTATTGTCATCGTATTGGTCATCATCTCCATCCCACTCCTCGCCCGAAGACTCGTCGTCATCAGCCAGGAAATCTTCCATGCTGTATTGCAGCTCCCTCACTTTCTGATTGTCAAATACGATATTGACAGTATTGCAGAGCCCCTGAATCGATGGCTCATCAGCAGCTGGGCTCCGCTGAACATTAGAGACCTCACTGTCCGACTCCTCCTCTGAGATACCACTCTCATCTTCATCGGTGTCAGGCACCCTGTACATTGACTTTCCGAGCTGGCCTCGCTGCGATTTGTTGTCTCTTCTCGAACGGCGGGGCGAGTCATGGGGGTGTGCTTCAATCCTACCACTCCTGCGAAACGGAGAGGTTGAAGAAGGAGTTCGCTTCCTCTTGCGTGACCTGGTAGGTTCGTGAGTGCCGTCTGTTTGCTGGATCGTCGTGTCAACCTGCGGTGACTCAACCTTCCGGAGGAATACGCGTTCAACCATGGGTCTTATGTTAGATCTCAAAGTAGCACGGGCCTGCCATGGGATGTCAAGCATAGTTTTAATGACAAGGTGGCGCAGATTCTGCATATTTCCAGCATTATCAACGAGCGACTGAATGAACATTTTTGCTGTTTCGACAGTCCAGTTTCGAATATGTTCGATATCGATGAGGCGAATGCTAGCGGGCCATGTGGGCACCTGATATGGGAGGAGAACAAAATCGTACATTGGATCGGCATCATTCAAAGAATCATGGTGCCGAAAATACGACATGTTCATGCGCAACTCTCTCAAATTAGGGCAAGCTTCTTCCAAAATTGGCAGGAAGGCAAGATTCAAAGACTGGTTGTGCAGCAGAGTAAGAGCGCGGAGGCCATTGCCATGAGTGAGGAGAAACGCGGCAAGGTCTTCGGATTTGATTTCCCAGCAGTTGATAAGCTCCAAGTGAGTGAGATCTTTGGGTAGGAGGGGAAGCAGCCGGTCTGTCATGATAGTAGAAGATTCGAAAACGAGATGCTTAAGATATTTGAGCTGCGCAATGGCATCCGCCATGGCATCAATAGCGGCGTTGTCTTCGAGGGTGCTCTGCAGATCGTCTTCGTCATTCTCGGACCTCTGCTGTAAGCCTCTCAGCGAAGGTACCTGAAAATTTGTAAAGCTCAGCCTCGTAAGGTGAGCGAATGACGGCGACTGGTGAACTTGAACAATATCGTTGATGTTCGCAACGTAACCGCCAAGAAGTCTCCCACTCCACTCCCAGCTTTTGAGGCTTATCAGGGCTGGCTGTTCCGCGAGAGAGTCGTCAGATGGCGATGCAAGGGCAAGGAAGATGTCCTCTGAGTAATTCCATCTTATATGCGCATCGAGCTCCCTATAGGGCGGCTGGTCCATGGGAGTGTAAAATATGAGTTCCTTTAGGCGAGTCAAGGGGCGAACAAGTTGGGAGATGATGCCCTGTGGCACAATATGAATATCGATGTGCAGGAACTCTATTTTTCTCCGGTAATTGAACCGTGTTTCCATCGGACAGCGTTCAAGCAGCGAAGCCAGTCGTCTCGCCTTGGAAGCATGCCTTATGGTTGGACAGCGATAGATTGCTGTCAGAGCTGGCTCAGACAATGCCTTACAGCTAGTAGCGACTTGAAGGAGCCAGTGTGTGTTTGGCGGATCTGCACCGCCATTGTCGCGGGCATACAAGAACACCTCAACCCAGAACTGGTAAGGAATCCGAGGGTCCGTCCAATCTGGGCCGCTAACTAGTGGCGTCTCATCCTCGCCTTTGCTCTGTGTCGCCATTTGTCGCCGCTTGCTCGGAGAATTGGAGGCAGTGGCAGGGCGGCCTTTGCCCTTCGGTTTGTCCTTCGGTTTGTCCCCTCTCTTTCTAGATGGAAGGTTCTGGGGGACCCTTGCCGAGCGTGAGGGCCTTTGCACTCTGTTGCCTGTCCTGTCACCATGCCCGGCTGCTATTCTAGTGCTCCTCCTACGCCGACTGGGCGATTCGGGGGCTTGGTCAGATGTCCAGCTAGACTCGGATGCATCTGAAGGGGAGGCTTCCGAATCAGATTCCGGAAGACTGTCGAAGACACGCCGCCCTCTCCCCGAGGTTGTCGATGACGGAAGTGCATTGGAACGAGTGCCAGCACGAGAAGCGCGAGCCGTGGACTGACGACTTGGGTTGCGCCGGCTGTTCTGGTTGCTCTTTTGGGCCAAAGTACGCCGGCCGGCGCTGCGTGTCAGCGGCATTGTACCACCTATTTCACAGCGCCGGTGCTGGAAAATCTGGGAGAAACTAGACGCTGAGTGCGTGGGAGCTGTGGAGTAGGAGACGATATATGGGGTGACACCTTGTGACTTTGCCGTATAACTTTGCTGGTTGTTGATGACTTGAGTTTTGTGTAGAAGCAGCGGTTTGCTCCGGATGCCACAGCTTTAAAGGCGTTGCAGGACGAAGGTTTGGCGGGGCCCAGCATCCTCAAAAGTATGCGGCACGAACATTACCATGTGATAAGTACTGTGCAGGTACTCTGTACCCCGTAGCCAAAGGCCGTCTGTCATTACTGCAGTACATGTAGCGGCATTGCATTGAAGTCCACCAGAGCACTTGAAGGAACTGCACTTGGAAACGAAGGTGATGAACATATGTCTCGACTAGGCGTTGACCTTTTATTCTTTAGCACCTTATCAGAGGACGCCTAATGCGCGTGAGGGTGGGTTAACATGGATCCCTGCTCTACTCGCGTGTACATTGCGCTCAGGCTGCTGCCGCTAACAGTAACTCGCCTGGAGCCGTTACAGAGTTGGTACCTCTCCGTACTCTGGCTGGGCAGGGCTGTCGCTTTCCCCTGCCACATACCAAGTACCGGCTACCTGTAAATACGGAGAGTTGCGAGTGTTTTGCAGGGTAGCACTACAGCTGCTAAGGTTGATGGCATCTGGACCTTGCGTTAGCGCCATGCGCCATGCTTGCAGGGAAGAGGCTCCGCAGGTGGTTGGTGATTTTACCTGCACAAACAAGTGCAGATGTTTGTTTGCGTCCGAGATGACACTTGGACGGTCTCTCCAAGGTACTTCTAGATACCTTCGTTCTAATGTGATCAGGCACCAGTTGGGTATTCAAGGTACACATTCTGTGTTTTATATCGTTCCTGTTATTGCTGCCTTCTTGGCATTCAATCAGCTACCCCGATCTCAAACTATTGACCTCTTAATCACTCCTCAGAGACAGGATGCCTACTGGCTACATGTAGCCACCACCAGGCTAACTACTGATGATACCAATTTCTCTAAGTTTCTGGAAAAATAAATTTCTCAAGGTCAACTGCGCCACCTCTTCTATTGTACCCCTTTCATGTGTCTCCCTTTGTCTCCCTTTGTCCCTCTCGCTTTCATTCAGATACCCAAGGGCAAACCCGTCGCGTTGGTTATACGCATAAACGCACTTACAGATGCAGTATGCCTATAAGCGTGCCTAGCCCCGAAGTACCTCAGCGAGTTGGCGAGGCACGGTAATGCTCTCCATAGCGCTAATGTACCTGGCACGGGAGCACTGGTACTTGGAGGTACCATGACCGCCAATTTAGGCGTGGGCTTACACTGAGGTCCGCTGGCGCTAGGCTTTTCTGGGGCCGTGATACAAACCGGCAACTCCCCGTTTGCCTTGGTCTCATCTACACGCGTCTGCTTCGTTCTAGCAGCCCCGTCGCGCTGCCTGAGCTTCTTTCGCATTCTCGACACTTGCACCCGTCACGGCCTCGCTCTGCTCTGCTCTGCTCTGCGCTGGGGAGAGGCGCCTGTGTATTTTCTTTGTCGCTTCGCCATTTGCTGGCTGGTGTGTGCGGAGAGGCGGCTGATATCCGGCCTTGCTCAATTCTGCCACTCTCCTTCACCTTTCGCTCACCACCCTTCAGCTTTCTTCTCCTGAACGACCTGCGGCAACGAGGTGTGCAGGGCTCGACAATGCTCTAGAGCCGAGGATCCGCCTCCTTTCTCTAGCCCGTCTTGTTTGTTTTGTTTGGCCCTGTCTTGGTTTTTGGCTCACCCGCCGTCTCGTAGACCACCTCTTCTCTCATGATTGGTTTCATCCCGCCATGACGGTGAAAACCAGGTGTCAGCGTCGAGCCCCCTTTCTTCATCGCAACTGGATCAAAGGCGCCAGAGCCTTGAAGGACTCTGCAGCTATGGGCAACATAGTATCTTCACCCATCCACAAAGGATCGCATCATATTGACAATGATGGGGGCCCGCCACTCAAGAGGCGACGCATCTCATCGCCCGACTCACTGGATGTCGACCATCTCATTGCCTCTCCGCACGCTTCAGATTCGAGATCTGCTCTACGTGTCGAGGTTCTCAAGATTGCCCACAAGGATTCCAAAAAGGTCAGATCTCATCACGCCCACGCTCCCCCCCGCGAGGTAATTCCCACCAAAGCTAGCTGCAGGATCACCATCTCTGAATTGAGTGCCGGCCGTGCCCGAGTTGTTCACTGCCAGAGTCAAGTTTGCGACTTGACAACGTTCAAAAATCCCGTGGGTCCTCATCGCATCGCCCGCGTCGCCCTGCCCAAACCATTTTACATCCCTCAGGAAAGTATCCTCATCAACCGGGCGGATGATGACACATTTGACCTGGCAGACTCCTACGAAATCGTAGTCGAGCTGGAGGCTGCTCATGACGGACATTGGCCACCATTGGACTCGAGTGATTTCGGCATTCTACCAACCTCATCCAACCTCTCCTCGGCCCCCGGCAAGGCATGGGTCCTGTCAAGCCGGTTTGACCAGATTTTTGGCAGGCTAAAGAGCTCCTTGTTCCTGTCTGCAAGATATTCGGCAGATGAGCCCCCAGTTCACACCGATTATGCCATGGACATTGACTTACGCTGGTCAGCTGGCTTCAAAGCCCTGAAGCGCTTGGAGAAAGGCTCAATGCCCTGTATCAACGCTGTGGACCCTGATGCTGACCCCTCTGCGGAAGACTTTTTTGCTCCATCCGTGAATGGAGGGTTTCATGGCATCAACGGTCACCACGTAGATGAGTCCTCTATTGAGATGGATGATGACGGCCTAGATGGCCCTGACGGCGCACAAACCCCTTCAAGGTCGTTGAGAACTCGCGAAAAGAACAAAGTGTATAACTTGAAAGTCTTGAGCGACCAAGCTCAAGGGAGGGAAAAAAAGCGTCGTTCACGGGCTAATCACATTGCGACAAATGAAGGCCGTGTTAGCTATCTTCTACCTTCTGATCAACCGGTTTGCCTAGACTATTACCGCTGTGTGACCTGCGGGGCCTACCACCAGACGATGCAGCAACTGCAAATCCATTTACAAACCTCCCACACCGCATACAGCTATGTGCTCGAAACGACAAGTCAAGGACCGCAGTTTCGAGTTACTAGCCGCTGCGAGCCCATGCTCTCTCCCTCAAAGCAGTATCAGATAAAGCCACCGGTCAAACCCTTCATTCTTGAGACATATCTGGATGGCGACCACTCATGGATTTCCTCTCGACTTGGGCCGGATACAGTTGATGATGTATTCACGTTTTCAAGAGACAAGAATCCCTATGACAGGCTTCCTTCCCAGTCGCCGGTAGTTACGCAACCGAGACCGGTTCAGCGGCGTCCCGGGACTCTCAGGAGCGATAAGATCCTTGTGCCCAACATTAAGCAACCTCTGTTCGACCCCATTAGCAGAGCACGATTAATCCCGGGCCAAGAAGTGCCAAAGCGGCCACTAGACAACACATGGTTGATCCAGAAGCATCGAGAGAGCACGAGTGACTTTTCCGACGTGACTCCCGCAGAAAAGGAGTACATATGGGAGTGGGATGGATATATTCTTCGCCAAAGCCTCACATCTGCCGCTTACTTTCCTCGAGCCTGGTTGGGTTTTGTTCGTGAGAAGGCATCCTGGCTTGCTGCCGCTGACCAACGTGTGCTAGAATTTGGCAAGCACGCCAGCTTGCTTCGAGTTCGCGATATGTTGGATGACGGTATCATCCAGGAGGCCTTGACGTACATCAACAACGCAAGAGAGGGGCTGCAGCCAGACGCTGGTGGCGAAAGCGGCAATGCCCAGACCGAAGAGCCAGATCCAAAACAGTCTCCTAAAGCGACCCAAATCCGCAAAGGCGCAAACGGCTGCACTGTCTGTCAACTGCCGGTATTAGGGCCGAGGATGTTAATCTGCTCCAACAAGGTACTTTTGACACTTGTTTCGCTCTTAGTATCACTTTCTGAACATATACTAATTGAAGAAAACTAAAAATATAGGCCTGTCCTCAGAGATTGTACCACTCAGACTGCGTGCAAGAAGCGGTCATGTCAGTTGAAAAGAAGGAAGTTTGGCGTTGTAATGCGTGCTGCGCCGGCAGATCAACCTAGGAAAAAGAAGCAAAAGTAGACACGCAAGACGAACCAGAATCCTCACCTGGGGTCTCCGAATGGGTCCAAGAATCTTGACGCGAGTTGCGACACTGCGCACTCCAATACCAAGTTGAGTTTAATATAAAGACATCACATATATTCATACCGCTGCGCTACCTAAGTAGGTAGATGGTTGCACCCAGCATCCCGCTGAGTCTCGCCCAAAGGACTATGCCGCTATAACTAAGTGCACCAAGCAGAAGACGAAGAGAGCAGTGCCTCCGAACCACTTTAGTTTTTGGGCGTCTATCGGGAGCACAGGTGTTAATTGCGGTTTTGATTGATGGGGGCGCTGTAAGCAATGGAAGACATGCAAGGGTAGATGCGTTAAACCTATCGTCCATACAAATACGAGGATGATATAATATGTACCTAACTAAGAGGAGTTTTGGCTCCAGTGAGAGATGCGAGATGGTTGTGAAATATTTGAATGGTATCAACGAAGCCGTAAGATTTACTATACACGAAGAGTCCCGCAATCAACATTAATTCCCGATAACCCATGAGCCGGTCTTGTTTGCTTTTATATTGTTTAAATACATGTGTCATTCGCTGCTGTCATCCCTTATCCCTGACTCCCTTGTCCAATCAACCAACACTCACTATTACAGGCCCGTGGCAGAGGGACGAGCCAGGGTGGTCATTCTTTGTGGTATTAAAACTTATACTTGCCCTCTCGTTTCCTCTCGCTCTGCTCCTTCTCGGTGCGCTGCCGCTTTCTGCTCTCTTCGGCAATCATCTGACTCAAGTCATCGTCATATGCCCATCTTGCACCTATGCCTTCTTCCTTATTGCTAGCCTCATACTTGCTCCGTAAATCATCTTTGCTGAGACCGCCCTGCTGGTTGAGCGAGTCCACATCGATGGCCACGTCCACGTCGCCGGGCTTCTTTCGTTTCCGAGTGTCATCGTCTGCACCCAGTACGGGTATGCCAGACGCAGCCGAGCGCTGGGCGGCGCTGATATCGTATGCGCGATCGCTACCAAAGAAGCCCTCGGCACGAACCTGCCGCTCAGGCACAACAGTGTAGGCGGAGCGGGGAGCAGAAGATTCTTCAGTATCGTATCCGCGCCGTTCTTTACGTAGATCCATCTCACCGGCAATAGACGTCTCGACTCCTTGTTGTGAATAGTCGGGATGTACCGTGCTAGTGTATCCTCCGGGCGTCTCGAGCCCGCTGGGAGTCTCGGTACCGCCAGGGACGTCATCATCCTCCGACTCTTCCTCTTCATCGTCTTCCTCCTCCTCTTCAGATTCCTCCTCGCGAGGCTGCAGTTCTCCCCACAGGGTGCGCTCCACGGCATCTCCGTTAGGTGCCTGAGGTTGTGTCACCTGTGCTTGGCCAGAAGCACCATTTTGCGCGGTGAGACCAAAAACATCACCGCCATACAGAGGACGGTTGAATTCGTCCACTGGAGGCTTTCCCCAGCCGCCGGGATGGAAGCCCCAGGATCCTCCGGCGGGCGGCGGCGCGTTCAAGCCGGGTATTCTCAAGGTTGGGTAACTAGGAGGGGTGCCGAATCTCTGTTGGTTGATGAGCCATGGAGGAGGCGCCCCAGGCGGCATACCTAGTGCTTCCTTTGTGGCATCACTCAACTCGCCAGGGCGGAAGTGCTGATAGTCTACCTCGCTCTCCTTGCCCTCGTAATAGACCTCGCCAAATCGCGTCAGCTCTGGCTTTGTCTGGAAGCGGAAAAAAGCGTCATAGAGTCTTTGGTAATCGATATCCAGCTTGCCCATCTTTGGTTGGACTCGCTCTCGCTGCTTCTGTTTCAGCGTCTGCTCCGCCTGCTTCTCCAACACTGCATCGCGCATCTCTGCAATTCCCGTCTCGGCAATGAACTTTGGCAGCCGGAATGCTGACTTCTCAATACCCCTCTTGGAAGATAGATATTCCCTCTTCATCGCCCAATGAGATGGTACAGGAACGACATTCCTCTGCGCCTTGATTTGAACCAGGAGTCGCGGGTCTGACGATGAGACATCCTGCCATTCAACCACCTCGGGTATGTTGACGAGAGCCTTGAGCTGCGCAACGGAGAGCTTGTTCATCTGCTTTCTCTTCTTCTTTGACAGCTTTGGCTGAGGGTTCTCATCTTCCTCGTCGGGAATATCATCGTTGTCACCGAAGAATACGTCGCCCTGGTTACCAGCATTGGCCTCCTTGGCAATCTGATCTTCGGCAAACGAGAGGCCGAATTTGTTAAATATGTCTCTGTACGCGGCAAACACGGGATCATCGTCTAGCAGGTCATCTCGGATCGGTTCACTAGCAGAAGCAGAGGGTTTCGCCAAGTCAGCTGCACTCTTGGCATCGGAATCATCAGTCGGCTGTGGCGATTCATCCCTCTTCTCGACATCAGATTGTTCGGTTGCTTGAGTCTGCATCGAGGTGAGTATTGTGCGACGCGTGACGGAGGCGGAATGGATGAGACTGACATCTGCCTTGACCTTCTTCTGTTCCTTCTTCTTCGCCCTCCGCATCTGGTTCTTGGTCATCTTTGGGGCCGCCATGGTGAAGCTGAGTTTGGCGACAGGCTGCTGGTCTTGGAGAAAGCGGCTGGATTGGCCGTCTGGGTGAGCAGCTGGAAGACGGCGTAAAGACCTGTGACAGCGACAACGTATCGCTTGGGATCTCTTCCCATGCCGCGGCGAGCTGGCAGAATCTCGGAGAAAAGCGACGGCGGTAGCTAATCAAGCAGCCCGGTGGTGACGCAGCGCAACGCAGGCCCGACTCGTGGCTTTTGGCTGGGTAAAGCAAGCCGGCAGGGCGATGGAGTTGGTGAAGCAGTGATGGATGGCCCCTACTCGGCGGCAGCAGCTTTTCCACCCAGAGAAAAAGAAAAAGCACCCAAAACGATCGTGTTTTGCCAAGCCCAGCGCGTGAAAGCCGGTGGGGCGCGCGGCTGTCGGCTCAAGGCCGGGTAATAGCTCCAGGTACCAGGAAAATTGGTGCAGCGCAGATTCGCTAAGCCGGCCACTCCTTTCCGGCGGGAAGGACTTGTGAGTGACCTGAAGCCGCGCTGGCGATCCCCTTTCCGCTGCGGCAGTGACCCTCTATCTCTGTCTGACCTCGTATTTTCTCTCCCCCTCATGATTTTATAGCGACATTTCTCTTTTTGCCTTGTTCCTTGGAGGCTGTCGACTCGTATGGCTTTGCCGTGGTAATGGACAGCTCACCTTGTACGCCCAGTCTCTCGTTTCAGTCCACTGTTCCAAATGTCAATTGATATCGCCGTATAACCAACCACATTTACGTCGTTGCTCCGGATTGTTTGCTAGGCCTCGTCATCACAAGCCGTTGCGCACTCGGAGACTCCCGCACTCGACAATCGCCTCCAAACACCCGACGATAGAAGCGAAGAACTCGATATTCTCGAATCGCATAGAAACATCGTTGCGCCCGCTGCGCAATGGAGAAATTCCCAAGCCTGACGGCATCACCATCACCACTGGGGACCAATGGCTTGAACGATATTGGCTCCGCGAATGGCAATGGCAATGGCCATAGCAATGGCTACCCTGCGGCGAATACGTGGTCGTCCTCGGGGCGCTCCCACAGCCGCCAGAAGAGCCTCGGCGATGCCTTTCGAACGATTCGCGCAAGAAACGGCAGCATGAGCCAAAATGCCCACGAGATCGCCGATGCGCTGCGGGCCCCCGTGTCTCCAAAGCTTGTCGTATGTCGCATCCCGTCCTATATATGATATTGCGAATGGTCAAGGAAATTAATTTCTTTTTTGCAGATTCTTTGCATCATGTGGTACACATCTTCTGCCCTGACCAACACGTCGTCAAAGTCCATCCTCAACGCCTTTGACATGCCGGCAACCTTGACATTGATTCAGTTTGCCTTCGTGTCTTCTCTCTGCGTTTTCCTCTCCTGGCTGTCCAGCATCTTCCCCGTTTTGCGCTCCAAGATTTCTGCGCTGCGACACCCCATCCGCCAGCCCAGCCGAGAAGTCATCATGACAACGCTGCCCCTCGCCTTCTTCCAGATTGGCGGCCATCTGCTCAGCTCGACCGCCACGGCCAAAATCCCAGTTTCACTTGTTCATACCATAAAGGGCCTCTCGCCGCTCTTCACTGTGCTAGCGTATAGATTGATATACAACATTCGATACCCGACAAATACCTATCTCTCGTTGATTCCCTTGACTATCGGCGTCATGCTGGCTTGCTCTAGCGAATCAAACTACGGTGGCCAACTACTTGGCGTTCTGGAGGCGCTTCTAGCGACGATCATCTTTGTGACACAGAACATCTTCTCCAAGAAGTTGTTCAACGAGGCCGCAAAAGTCGAGGCCGACGGTGTGGGAGTCCAAAGCAAGAAGCTCGACAAGCTCAATTTGCTGTGCTACTCATCCGGCATGGCCTTTGCCCTGACTGTACCGATTTGGTTCTGGACAGAGGGTGTCACCTTGATTAAAGATTTTCTCCACGACGGCTCGGTGGACCTCAGCAACAAGCCTAATGCCATGGACCACGGCCGTCTGACCTTGGAGTTCATTTTCAACGGCACATTCCACTTTGGGCAAAACATTATCGCCTTCATATTGTTGTCCATGGTTTCTCCCGTTACCTATTCCGTCGCAAGTCTCATCAAGCGTGTTTTCGTCATCGTCATGGCCATCATTTGGTTCAGGAGCCCGACGACCTCCGTGCAAGCCGTGGGCATTGCTCTCACCTTCCTGGGCCTGTATCTCTACGACAGGACTAGCGAAAGCAATAAGGCCGATCGGAGCGCACGAATGATGACACAATCCCGGACTGGAACGCCTCTCCTACCCCTTAGTGAGGTGCCAGCGCAAACTGGTCGCTACCAAGCAGGATCTCCTCAGCCAAGGAGTGGGACGTTTCACCCATGAGGGGCCCTTTATCTGACCCCGTATATGCAAGAAGACTTCCGATTCTGCCGATGGCAGAAGACAATCGGAAGCGGCACTGGCTGTCGATGATGCAATCCAATGATGAAACGGATTAGGAGTTTCCTTACTTGGTTATATATAAGGAGTACCAAATGTTTTTGATAATATTCATGTGCTACAGCGCGTGCCGGATCTAATATCTGTATCTTCACCTTTTTGAAGAATTAGAGGGTTCAACCATGAGAGAAGCACACCGAAACCGCTCAAACGGTATATCCCATGCTTAAAGAAACGATGGCGCTGTTCTGGGAAGAAAGAAGAGAAAGAAAAAAGAGATGATGATTTAAACGCGTTATCGTATATATTTCGGGAAAAGGAATGCTATTAGAAGGGAAATTATGTATAGAATAGGTACCTACTAGGTAGTTAACAACGTCTCAAGTGTAACAACAGGATAGAAAGTCATTGCATGCTACATTGCTACATGCTACATGCTACATACTAAACGCAGCCATCTTCCATGCCGCCTTGTCTTGTGTTTTCATTACGATCATCACATATTGACATTGTCCCTTTGGCGAGAGGAAAGTAAAGTAAAAACGCGATCAATAGTTAATGCAGTTTGATTCATTTCACAGATGACATCTCGACGAGATATTTCGTCCAGGCATCTATTCATTGGCCTATCTCTATCTACTGACAATAAACATTAGGGTTATGTTCATTTGCCGCAGGGCCCGTTATGGTGAATATGGAGACAGAAAAAAAAAAAACATCATATATCATCCATGCACGCACGCCCTGATAATTCCATTGACCAGAAATAACAAAAGAGATGATAAACGCCAATACAATGTATGTGTGCACCGCCAGACCCCTGATGAACTCCGTTCCACTTGTGAAAAGGCCGTGGTTCCCATGATTTCGTAAATCGAATAGCACGCTTGCATGAGGGTCATCTATTAAGATGGAGACGAGCTGGGGGAGTCTCAAAAACTCTCACAGTGCAGTCTCGAAAATATGGTGTACAATCCCCCCCATTATTGGGGGTGATAAAATGAAATGAGAGTATCTCCAATGCTTTAGAGCTTTTGGCATTAAAGGTCAACTCGGGTAATCGCCGATTGACCTAGCCCAGTGATGAATGTTGAAGGGTATCAGGACGCATCATATGTGGATTGAGCGGCCACGCTGACGCTTATTGGTAGATTTGAGTGATGACTGCAAATATACTGAATTGCAGTCCATGTAGACATTGAAATTTGATGATTCGTCGACGTGTGTAAAATGGATGGATAACAGTCGACTATCGGGGAGGGCCGAGAGCCTCGGCCAATATGTACAGACGGCCCAAGAGGCGCCACAGCTGGTGCTGAGGGGGTATAGAGGTCGGCGCAAGACATTGAGATTGCGACGACCATAGTAGGATGCACCTGCTGCATTGCACTATTGTACCCCGCAAGCAGGTTCTAGTATAGCGCCGCTGTGATGGTGGCCGAGTAATCGCGGGGAAGTCCCATGTCCGGATGTAGATTGATGATATCGGACTACTCGGTAGTGCCTCGCGTAAGAGTCATCAAGCGACGAGTGGCTGCAAATCGGCCTCCTTGGCATACGTTGGTACTCTTTCAAAATGATGAATGGCTACTGGGATTATAACTCGACTCTCCGGATTCGGGCCCCGAGGATGTGGGCGTTGTTCTCCGGTTGGAGCTTTTGCGATTGAAGCCCAATTTTGCTCCAACCTTTTTCCAGCCTTTGTTATGCGCTGCTACCGCACGGTGAAAGCCTCCATGAGTGGCACTGAAAGTCCATTCCGAGGTGGGCGGCGTGGTAGGCGGTGTCATGGGTTCCGTGACTGATGGTGAATTGCCTTCGCTGTCGGCTGACAAAGGCTCGAGATCCGTGCCACTCGAGGCCATTGTTCGGTCAGATGATGCCTTGGGTGATCCAAGATGAAAATCGTGATGCAGTTCAGCTGCGGGAGTAGCGACGGATTGCAAGAAAGGAACCAAGACGGAGTCGTTCATGAGTTCGTAGATGATGCGTCCAGCTTCGGCCAGTTCGGAAGGGTGAGGAGGATTAGGTCCACAGGGCACGCGAAGTAGGCGATCTCGAACTTGGGCAGGAATATTCACTTCGCGAGGGGCGCAAGGGATTATGTACACCTGCATCAGCTTCTCCCACCATGCACAAACCCTCTCTCTGCCGTCATCCGCGGGGGTGGCGTCGGCGAGGGACTGTTCGTAGACGGAGGTGTAGCGCTGAGCATCGAGTGTGAATTCCAGTGTCTCCATGCAGTGGTTTTGGGAGAGATAGGCCATGAAGGCACTCAGGTTCCATGGCGGAGGTGCAGTATCGAGAAGAATCTCGTTGAGGGTCGGAGGCCGACCCGTCATGTTGTATCGAGGAGATGATGCTTCGGATGAAGAGGAGAAGCTAGTCGGACGTGAGTACGGTGTGTATGATGATTCATTGAAGTCTTCGAAAGCAGACAAGGGCCGTGGCTGCTGCTTGGGGATTGTGAGTAGGGCTCCAAGAGGCTGTCGTATCCTTGGATTAACCATGCTCTGCGATATCACACCAGGGTGCCTAATTGCAATGTGCGTTCCCTGGACTTCTGGCAAGAGCGCTCTAAACGGGCCCTTACCAAAAGAACTCTGGGAAAGCACAGCAATTATACCTGGGGTAGAGGATGAATGACAGAGTGCGCTGCCGAGCTGAAGCGGAATCGGCCGGTCAAGTCAAGTCGACGGAGATGGTCCTTGATCATCCGGAAGCCGACGCAACGATGGTGAATGAGCGACCTCCAAGCCGGGACTGAATGGCAATGCCGAGTCGGAAGCGAGCGGGAGTGAGAATTCAGACTCAGCGATGAAGCCGGGCCAAGTCAAAGACGGTCACGTAATCTTTGGATCCACAGGCTGGCTGGCGAGGAGCAACAAGCACGAGGCGGAATTAGAAATTACTGTCGAATCAACCAAGCGGCGGAGAGCGAGAAGAGCGAGAAGAGCGAAGCAGAGCAGAGATGCGTAAAGCCGGGGCGGCGAGCAGATGATATGGATTAAGACCTATGACGGATGACGGATGGAGGCTCAAGTAAAGCGTCAAGTGTGATAAGCAAGGAACGACGGCGGTGAGGACGGATCGTCTTGTGGCGTGCAGAGATTCAAGCTGTGGGCTAGAGGCGAGGCATCCGAATAGGGTGGCGGAAAACAGCACGACTGAAGTCTTTTGTAAGTATCGAGGCCTGGCCAAGCCTGGCATATCCCACCTGGGTGGCGGGGGCAGAGGCACAGATGCACAGGCGGGTGGAGCCCTGACTTGGTGGCTGCGAGCTAAATCAGCATCGAGGCCTATCGGGGATCGGAGGGTGGGCGGCAGTGGCCCTGCTGCTGCTTTGGGTTCTGCGGTTGCTACTGGTGGCAGTGGTTTCGACGGGCTTGACTGGCTTGACTGGCATGCTAGGCGAGTTCTAGTGGGCTTGGGGTGGTTCTACTCTGCGGTTCTGTGGTTCTTTCTTTTTTTTCTCCGCCCCTTCTTTCCTGCTTCGGGTCGGGGGGCGAACAGCGAGGAAGGAAAACCTGACTTGACCTGGCCTGACCTGGCCTGACAATGCAAAACTCAAACTCAAATCCCGGCAACCCTTAGTACCGGCATCGCCTAGCAGCCTTAAAGCCAAATAATTTCCCCGTGAGGCATTGGCAGCGGGGTTTTTGCGTGTCCTAGAAGGGGAAATGAAACGAGAGGCAAGGGAGAAGAGGAAAAAAAAAGAGAAGAAAAAAAAAAAATTCCTCCTGAATCAGGACCGATTCGACAGTTGACCGAAAGCCGTCTTTATCCCTTCCCCCAGCTGCACGAAAGCGGAGGATAGGCAGCCGGAACGGAGATCTCTTCCCAAAGCTGGATCAAATGGCAGGGCGCGCGCCAAGTAACGGAGCTGTGCACTGCCGTCCCAAGTACCTGGCAGCCTGGCAGTACCTCGGACGCGCGCTGGATTGCCCCTCACCGCGGAGTATCCAGTACCTCGGTGTGCAGCTGGCCAAGCTGTATCTCCCCTTGCCTTGCAGGAAAGAGCCGGAGAGAGTCTGATGATTCCATCCTGCCGGTGGTCAGTTTTTTTTCCCCATTCGATCCCCTCGTTCACAGGAAGGGAAAGAGTGGGCGACCCCGAAAAGAGACCATCGAGCGACCCAGCGAGCGAGCGAGCGAGCGTCGAGAAGGCGCGACAAGGAGAACGGAGCTTGCGGGGTACCTTGGTGGACTTCCTGACCGCTGGCCAAGTGCGGGCACAACGCTCGCAAGAGGCTCTGGTCGCTCGTATCGCCAAGGTACCCAGTCAGTCATGTGGCCCTCGGGTCACCAAAAACCTGTGAGGGGCATGACCGCACCGGCCAGTCGGCGATAGCGACTCCCAAGCCACCGGAGACACTAGAAGGCCGCTGGAAGCTGGCCATACAGAAGCTGCTGAGTCTCACCAGGTCGCTAGAAAGGCACTAGAAAGGAAAGCCTCAGCAAGCCGGTGATCCTTGCTTTCGAGCAAAGGGCGCGCGTCCCCATTTGGCAGGGCGTCACCCGACATGATTGGGTGGCTGGTGGCTATGCCGACTCGTCACATCCCCATCTGATGCCCTTCAGCGCCGGTCCTGAATCGTGCCATGGCCGGGATGACGATTCGACGCCGCCATGTCATAACGATGCAACGTGCCGCCAACCACAGCGCAGTGGCCCAACGCTGTGGAACAGGTATTTGCATTACCTGGCGCTACCTGTCTTCTACCTGAAGCGGTGCGACCCCCCGGTACGTACGGGTACGTTGCAAAATGCTGTGTCGCCACCTCAATGGCGCTGTACCTCTACGGGTGCCCGCTGGCTGCAACCAGCAGAGTCGTGCCAAGCATCCCCAGTACCTGCCAGGTACAGTAGCATTAATCAAGACCTCCAGCTCGCAAGTTGTGCGCTGTAACCTGCTGGTTGGCACGCCTCACTTCTGCGACTTCTGCCCTCCACGCACGTCACATCAAATCACATGTAGACACAACTGACAGCCCAGCGCACACACAAACAAAACCCCCTTGCTTGGCCGCTGCCTTGCTTCGCTCTCTTCTGCGTTTACCCTGTAGACTAATTGGCAGTGATTTCATGCTGCCACGTAGGCAGGAGATGTGGCACAGGCCAGCCCCCATACCGCATCATGGGCCATTCGCAGCAGCGATTCAGCGACAGGACAGGATTCGACTCGACTCTCGTTCACCGGACAGCCCGACCAAACACAGCAAACGGCAGCCCATGCTCTTGTACACCGCTCCAGTGCGGGTAAATTTAGTACAGGACTCGAACTGTCATGTTCTGAAAAGGGCTGCTGCCTGTGGAGAGCAAGGGCCGCTTCCGGGCTAGTGACTCCATGTCAACCTCTCTATATATAGGCCGATGAGTATAATATAATACCAGTATACTATTACCGTATTACTGTATTACTGTACTCCGTAATTAGTAGATACTAAAAAGTTTGCACATACATGGATATGAAGGCATCAGATTCCAGCTGCTAATAATAGAGGCTGCCCTTTACCAAGCCGGGAAGGCAATCTCAAGAGCTGGCATTACCATCCCATATCCAGTGTATGAAGCACCGAACATCTCTCCCTACCGTTGCTTGTTTGACCATGTCCCGAATTACATGGGTACAGGACGTCTGGGAAGAGGCTGTCTTTTAAAGTCTCACCATGTCTGCTGCTTACCTCTTACTGTATGTGATGTGAGATGCTAGAGTGAAAATAGTGATTGCAGCAGGCACTAGGCAGATGCTAGAGGATATACTAAAAAAAGCTGTCATCACAACAGAAGCTAGTCGCAGATCCCACAGAAAGTAGCCATGGCAGCAAATACTAGCGAGAGTGGCAGATATGGGAAAAGGCAATCAGGGCACAAGACACTCGAACAAGTATTGATTTACAGTGGCGCATTGGATTGGAAAAAGAATCCTCGTTATCTACCTGTACCTATACTGTATATGATACTCGTCTGCCCATGTCCCTGGTATACTATATGCTGTCCCACTCCTGTCCTGTTATCCCAAGGGAGCTTGTCCATTGTGATAAAAAATATATTATACTACCCAACTCTTCCAACGCCTTGCTAAAATATAGAAAAAAAAAAAAAAAAAAAAAGAAACAATAAAAAAACAAAGAAGAAAAAAAAGCCCTCCAAAAAACAAACCAAAAAAACAAACCCAAAAACACCAAAAAGAAAAAAGAAAAAGAAAAAAGAAAAGAAAAAAAAAGAAAAAAGAAAACAAACAAACAAACAAAAAAAGCAAACAAAACAAACAAAACAAAACAAAAAACAAAACAAAAAACAACCCGCAGCCTACTGCTGCCAGAGGTCAAACTCCCCCTCGAACCCCCCGTTCAACAACATTCCCGCGATTCTCAGCCTCTGGAGGGCCATTTCCTCCACATTGTAGCTCTTGAGGGGGTCAAGCCCCAGAGCAAGGCAGACGCCATTGGTAATGACGTGTACACCGCAGTCGTAGCCGTTGGTCTGTTGAGGAGTCTTCATAACCATCACCTGCCATGGCCTGGCGTGGTAGAGATCCCCCAAGTAGTCTGACATCCATGCCAGTGCCAAATCGGGATGAGATGAGCGTCGGTTGAAAGAGTCCAAGTGCATCACTTTTCGATCCTTGGGTTGAACGACCAAGAGTGTCCAGTGATAGTCTTGGCAAATAGGAACCAGGACTGTGTCCATCAATAAAAAGTTCTTGGGAGTGACGCCCATCCGACGAAGGATTGATTGTGTCTTCTTGCCGCCTGCCTCTTTAACTCGAGGCCAGAAAAATGAATTCATAACAAGGCACTTGCGTCCCTGTTGTTTGTAGTCGGTGATGCCAGCCACCAGGTTGATTTGCTTTTCCAACTCTGCGAGTGCGCCGTTGACGATTTCGTCGTTGAGCCAGGTCTTAGCTGCCACCACTGAAGCGAAGTCGTGCCGGCGAAGAGGTATTCCCTGGCATGTCTTAGCCACCACCTCTGCTTCTGGAAGCTCAATCGTGTGCGCAATCTTGTCGATCCATTCGTCGCTGAGAGGAGCCACCATAGGCAGACGAGGTCCCTTGGATGTCCTTTCCTTCAGCTTCTGTAGGGCCTGCTCCCGCAGTAGCCTCTCTCTGTTGAACTTCTCGCGCTGTTGGTCGACTAGGCGAGTCTCTGCTGCTTTCGCTTGCATGCTTTCGACCTCAGCTTTTGATTCATCGCTGATCTTGAGGGTTTCGACAGATGGCAAGGCCAAGATCTCCTCGATTCGCCCAGTAGGATCGGCTTTGGGTGCTGGTTCTGCAACTGCTGGCTGCTTCCCTGCGCGAACTGATCGGTAACGTTGAGCTAAGCCTCTAGCAAGCTCGTTCAATTCGTCCTCGTCGTCAAACCAAATAATTTTTGGTTCGTCATCTTCGAATCTATCGTTGAGATCGAGAGGCGAAATGCCCAGTTCTTCAAAAATGTCGCCAATAGAAGAAACACTTGGTGAGGGCCCTGGTTGTGCCTTATTGTAAACGAGGGGTTTGCTCCAAATGTCGTCGTCTTCTTTCTTTGGCTCGACGAATCTCACAGTAAGTGCCGATTTGTCGCCGCTGCCGATACTGTCGTCCTTTGCGATATATGCAGCAATATCAGACATAACTTGTTGATTGTTGCTGCCAGAGGCAATGGGTTCCATGTCTTGGTCGCTGTCGTCCTTTGCGATGTATGCAGCAATATCAGACATGACATGTTGGCTGTTGCTGCTAGAGGCAGTGGGTTCCATGACTTGATCGCTGTCGTCCATGGCGATATATGCGGCAAGGTCAGAAGCCACTTCTTGGGAATTGTTGGCGGGGCCAGTAGGTTCCATGACTTGATCGCTGTCGTCCATGGCAAGGTATGCGTCAATGGCAGCAGCCACTTGTTGGGAGGTGTTGGCGGAGCGAGGGCGTGAGGTGCCTAAGCCGCTGGCCTCCATCTCAAGATAGTCGAGAAAATCGGAGTCTTCTTCGTCATCATTGTTGGCGGAAACAAAGCGTGCGATCTTATAGTTGCTGTCCTCGCGATCAATGTATTGGGCGACGTCGGCAAGAATCTCTTTGTTCTTATAAACGGCCGAAGTGTTGTCAACCTCGGTATCGGGTTCTCTGCCCAGGGTGTAGGTGGTGGTTCGTGGAGGTTGCTGAGTGGTTCTGGGAACCCCTGCGATGTTTGGTAAAGGCTGTGAAGGACGTTCAGGAGCACCGGAATATCTCTCCACTTGGGTATTTGGTGAAGGTTGCGTGCCTGGTTCAGGAGCCTCAAGATATCTCTGCGTCGGATTTGGCGAAGGCTGGTCAGAGCCACTGGGGTCTTCGGGGTGGCCGACTCTGCGACGTTTGCGAGAAATGCCATCGTCAGATTCTCGGACTTCATATTCCGAGAGAAGGCGGGTGCAGGCATCATGAAGTTTGCTGGAATGGGTATAAACTAGATGGGGAAGTTAGTATGGCCAAGTACAAAGAAAATGAGGTAGGCGACTCACCAAAAATTCCAACTCCAGACAGAGCGGCTGAGGCGATCATGAGCGCCATTAGGATATTTTGTGCAGAGCCGATGGCAAGCTAGTCAGGAGATGTTAGCAAGGAGTCTATACAAGAAGGAAGACCGGAGCCTCACAAGCAGCAGAAAGCTGCAAGGGCGGCGTTGTTCGGTCATGGTTGCTTTGAAATGCAAAGAAGCGAAAAAGGCAAGAAGCGTATTCGCAAATGGCGTTAATCGCAAGTGGAATAGCAACTGGAATAGCAAGAAGCGTCGCAAGAAGCGTAGCAAGAAGAAATCGCAAGCAAAAAAGCAAGGCAAGTATGGAACGGGAACGGGAATCTTACAGAAGGAAGAAGAGCGTCAGAGGAAGGCGGGAGGGACGATATATATAAACACAGAGAGAGAGCCGTGCGCACAGGACGCGTAATGCGGATTATGCTTTGCGAAGAGGAAGCATATTTCGAAGGTTAACGGGATAGAGTTTGTCGACGGTCGCGTTGTCGCGCAGAAGTGGTGACGCTACAGGCACATGGTTGAAGCCCATAGTTATAGCAGCTGAGTTGCAGGCGAGTCGCCCAGAAAGTTGGCGGGTCGTCAAATCAATTATCCGGCAGAACCTCGGCGCAGCCCTATTTCCTCAGCCGCGCAAAGGGGCGAGTTTTGATTGGCCAGCTTCGGGTCGATTGCCGCGCCTGACAAACGCCAGTTCAATGTCATATCAGTTTTATTTCAACGTCGACGATGCAACGGATTACTACCAAGACTGAGAGTGGCCACTATATATTGTCCCGGTTTTATAGGAGTATATTGTAGGAGTGTATATTTCCCAGATGCCAGAAGACTCAACATTTTAGTGACGGAGAGTATATGTCATTTCGTTTTGTATATGGTAGTTGGTAACTGCAGGCGGAAAAACTAAGACTACAATACATGGGTGCCATGGTTAATTGATACAGACTGGCACCATCAAATGTCAACATAAATTTCGCTCGCAGCTCTGCATCAACCACAATATCTACCTAGATACTTATATACGCGTCCTGGATAATGCCGTGATTCTCGCCGTGGGACGTGCACTTGAACCTTAACCTTAACCTTACACCAACCCATACATACTTTCTCCTTGCTAAGATACCACTACGAAGCATCATTGAATGATAAGAATAAGAATAAGAATAATAGTAAAGTTCTTTGTAATTTCCCAGTCATTCGAATATGACGCACGCAATTCATATAAGCCTGCAAGCGTATCACACTCATCACCCAATGGTCCAAGAGAAAGGTCCAAATTGATCATAATCATTAAACGTTTTAGCTAAATCCGGCAGCTACCGTAAATGATGCAGGTGCTACACATGATAGTAATTCCAGTACCTACTAAGCGACATGAAAACTGCAAAGAGACAGATACAAAGTGTAAAAGAAATATATGCCAATACCACTTCTATTCCCGCGTGAGCATGCCAAAGAGTCTAAGCAGCGCTTCCAAACTTCTTGGTGCAAAATGCTGAAAAATAGTCGTTGAGGGCGTCAATAGTGCCTGTGCCTTCTACCAGGGAGGCCACCATGCCAACATAGCCGTCTGGTCGAACAACCACCACGCCACCCTTCTCTTCATCGATGCCCATCTTTGCGTGCGCAGATGCGTGCGCATCGGGCACACGGCGGTCCCATCTGTCGTCTGCATAGATATGGTCGCGATAACGAGCCAAGGCGCCTGGTGCATCTCTTGGGATCTCGATGGCATGTCTCTTGGCCGCAAAAATGGTGCACAGAGTGAAGAACATGCTATGCGGGTTATGCTTCTCGTGGTGCGAGACTTGATCGATATCTGGCCGAGTGTATGCTGCATAGAATGACCTGGCACTAATCAAGTTGTCTGCTAGGTCGCGAATAGCAGCGCGGTTCTTGACTGGGTTTCCAGCGAAGATGAAGATGCGGAATGACCCGTTGAGCGGTATCTCCTGCTCGAGGTGTACCACGTTGGCATCGACAACTCTTGTCACATCCGCAATTGAGAATAGGCGCCCAGATTGCAACTTTGTGCCACTTGGTTGCATGAGTGATGACTGTGCTGGGTGATCTGGAGACCAGTTCAACGCGTTGGGCTGGTACGAGACGCCGTAGCCGCTGGTGAATTCGCAGGATTCCTTGAAAGTCCTGATAAAGGAATTGTCTGCTTCCAGATCTGCATCCGGTATCGTTTCCGAGGCCGCCTGGACTTCAGAAGCCGCGGGTGGCCGTTGAGAGAAGAGCTTCGCATATCGATTGTCAAAGTCTAATAGCGATTCCGCGACTGCTTTTCGCTCAGACTCGTATGTCTTGAGGATGGATCGGTCTGCGAGGCCACCCTCCACGGCATGGATCTTCCAAGCCAAATTCAGCGCATCTAAAAAGGCTGTGTTCATTCCCTGACCTGCCTTGGGCTGGATTTTCACATTTAGTTCCTGCATGATAATAAGAAAGGGGTAACCTTGGATAGCCACTTACGCTGTGGGTGTGACAGGCGTCGCCTCCCAGGAAAACTCGCTCATCCAAGGTATATCTATCTGAAATTCCCTGGCCAATAGGATAGACTGAATACCATTCGACATGTTCCCACTCGATCGAGTAGGGCTGCAGAATCTTCTTGGCGGAGGCTTGCACCTCTGCTTCAGTTGCTGTCTTTCTTGGGCTCCAGTCGGCATCCGTGGAAGACGCAATCTGGATATAGAGGCGAACCATATTGTCCTCACGTGGGATGACCATGATGGAGCCATGTGCACTGCGGATCGTGCATTTCATCTACAATGAGGATTAGCAATTGTGTCTCAATAAAAAAGATCTGAGCGGGAGGTGAAGGGGTTAGCTAACCTTGATATCAGGGAAATCGGTTTTCACAACGCCGTCCATTACACCCCAGACATATGCGATGGGATCTTTATGCTGAACCCCAATGTTCAGCTGTTGTCTGACAAAGGACCTTGAACCCTCGCCTCCAAAGAGGTACTTTGCGTAGACGGTCTCCTTTTCCGTGCCGTTGACATGTTCCAGTTCAACTTGAACGGGGTATTCGTACGTCTGGGGGTTGCGAGACTGGAAGCCCGTGATTGTCCAAGGGCGCTGGATGCTGGTGCCGTTCTTTTCAAGGTCGTTGATGAAGACCCTCTCGATGTGGCCCTGATGCAGCAGTGTGGTGAAGGGATAACGGGCGTCGATGAAGTTGGGGCAGCTAGCCCAAGTTCCTGTCCTGGCAATACCCTTGCTCGATTCTGAAGGGTCCCAGAATGCGACTTCATAGACACGGGCGGGCTTGTGGGCCATGATGGCAGACTTGAGCCCCATGTTCCGCAGCAGATCGAGAGAGCGAGGTTGGATGCCGTCGGCTCGACCAGTCGCCGTCGGCTCTGGCCTGTTATCGATGTGCTTAATACGGTATCCCCATCGAGACAGACATGTAGAAAGCATCAATCCCACAGGTCCGGCTCCCACAATCACTGCCGCAGCAAACAGGTTAGCATTCATGGAGCCGTGCGGCTGCTAGGGGAATTCTCGGTATGATCGTACCGACGTCATAGTTCTGGGACGCATCTTGACACACAAGAGCGGGAGACATGGCTCTCTCCTCGGCGACAGAAGAGAAGAGAAGGGATACGAGGCGAAGAAACTAGACGGAGATACGAGTACGCTTGCACACGACGGCTCAACTTGAGAGCGAAGAAAGACTCGACGATTGATGCGTAATACAAAAAAAGGAAGAGTAAGTAGGTAATCAAGGATGAGGATGGCACGTAATGTAATCAGCTGGTGTAGATGGCAGGGCGAGCAGAAGAAGATATAACAAGGAATCCAGAAGGGCAAGTCCAGCATCCAAGTGCCGAAGAGGCAAAAAGAGAAACTATGTTCCGTCCATGATAACAGCATCGGGACTCGACACGGGAGTCTGGTGTCCAGGCCGAATCCGAGAGGGGGCTCCGATTGTTCATGGCAAGAGGTGGGAAGTGGCACTAAAATCACGGCAAAGGATTCGGGAGTAGAGCGGAGAAGATGCTGCAGTACATGATGCGTTACTGTACTCGGACCATCTGTGGCCGCACCCAAGAGCCGCCAATCGTAGCCGCAAAGTCTTGCCCGGCTAGGACTAGCGGCCTGATCCGAACGTGCACGGGCTGGGGAGGATTTTGCGGAGCAGTTGGAGATCCATAGCTGTATTACCTTGTATTATTATGTATTACTACCCAGAAATTGAATATGGATTTTTTCTGTTCTAGTAAGGTGGTGGCATTAGTATTAGTACAAGTATGAATATACATAAATGCATGAATAGAGAGAGAGAGAGAGAGAATAAAAAGCAAAGCAGCCAATAGACGGTGCTGGGTTGATAATCACTGTGTCAATAGAGATGCGATGTAATGGCCCTATTACCTGGCGATGGCTTTTGGGGGTATTTGGAATTGACTTTTCTCTACTTTCTACGGTAGCTGTAAAAGGTAAACAAAGAACAGCCCCCCCGAGGATACCAAATTGCGCCCCAACTCGGACGAAAATACTGCTGTCCCGTATAAAAACGCACGCACTGCCGAGCAAACACAGCACCTCCTTATCGTTCAATAATAATACCTTGGCATAGTAATACGGAGTACGGAGTACCTAGGTAGGCAATTCAACAATTAAACACAGTCATGCCTTACATGAGCACTGCTCTCGTTCCCGAGTAAGGAAACCAACCAATGGCGGGCTTTCGCGGCAAGTCTCCAGAACCGCCCGGGAAGACATCACGGTAGGTAACAAGTGGGGTCTGGCGACGCCTCCCGTTTAGCCTGGGCCGGAGATAGTATGGATTTAGTTTAGCTGCACTGGGATTCCGGAATCAGTGTTTAGTGATTCCTTGTTTGGGTGGCACTCACTCCAAAAATCTGGTCGAGGTACCAAGAGCTGGTCCCCGAGATGAGCGTGGGGTTCACACATCGTCACTCTTACGGAGTATCATGATTGGGAATTACCTAGGTAACGAGTAGGGAGGCCTTGTGTCTACAGCTGCACACGCATGGCGGCATGGCCTTGTTGATTAATAAAGTGGTGCTACTACTACGAGTACATAATACGTAGCCTATCATCACCGATAGGCAATATGCAGAGCAGAACCAGGGCCACTGAATGCTGCCAGCATGGGCACATTATCAAGGGAGGCAGACTTTCCGAGTCGACTGCCGCTCCTCAGGTCAGACAGTGGGGGCCAGCCGGCTCAACCACTTTCCCCGTGCAAGGGTGGGAAAACCCGTGGAGCGGCTTCGGGGGGAGCCAAGAGCAGCTTATACGGATTCCTCCGTTGGTGATAGCTGCAGCTTGGGGATGGGAGCTGGGGCCCCGCAGACAAACTCCACCGTGGCAAGATGCCAACTGGGTAGGTAGTTGGTAGGTAGGGCCATCGGCACATACATAGGCATGTTGGATTGCCTTGGCACAGCAAACTCAAATTCCGCATCTTCCGTGATGCGCCTGTCATGTCATCTGTATTTGATATGAGAGGGATGTGCTGCAGAGCATGCCGCTTATGATTTAAGGTTTCTATGTATTACAAGACAAGCGTCAGCGAAGAAGCGCATTGCAACACCTGACTCATAGATGGCAATGAAAAAAAGGTCTCATAAAAACGAGTTATTAGTTAGCCAACAGCACACAGCAGCCCGTGGTAACGGCGCACGGCAAAGTGAGACTTCAAGGGTTGTCCTCTTCCGTGGTGTCTCCGTCGGGATGACTCGTAACCCTCTTCATGATCCATTCATGGGCTTCCTCGGCGTGCTCTTGCATCATGTGGTTTAGCCCAACCATCTTGCTGCGCACGACGCTTCCGAATCGTCTCTTGTGCACCTTTCGCGTCAAGTCGGGGTCGGACCAGCAGGCGTGGTCTCCCGCCACGTAGACGCGCGAGTTGTCCTTGTACCAAGAAGAGAGTTCGTTGTCAACGTCGGATTTTACGGGTCTCAGATTGCCAGTCACAAAGTTGACAATACCCGAGATCTTGTCTTTGCAATCTGGAGACAGCTTACATTAGCCGGTATAAACTACAGGTTGGGCATGGCCTCGCTTACCTCTGTTTATCAGAAGAACCTTCACCCCAAGGTATGCGTTGCCGACGCCAAGCAAGATGATTTCGTTGGTTTCGTAAAGCTGGAGAAAGTTGTCCCAGAGATAGCAAATCAGAGATTGTATTTGCTCCTGTATCTCTTTCTCATTAAACTCGGGAGTGAATGCGTCAATGTCCTATATTCAGCGTTAGATTAAATGGTGCAGTGGTAAGACACAAAGACAAAAGTGCCTACCTCTTCATGGGTAACATAAGCTGGAACATTGATATCCATGACTCCAAAGTTCTGGCCAACGGCCCACCCAATGTATTCCATCACCCCGTCAACCTGCGCAGTAAGCTCAGTATTTTGGTCATTTCCGCGTGTATGTGATATGTAACTCACCACCCACGTATTATGAGCATCTACAGTGGTTTCCGCCACGTCCACTTGAGCTAGTAATTGAGGCCTGCAACAAGACTGAGTTACCATCCAAGGCATGGGGGGGAGGAGTTTTAGCCGCTATACGTACGGATCATGTAGGATAACAAGGATCTTTTGTGCATTGTGCAGGTTTGGTGTGACTAGCACTTGATTCTCGAATGATTTTGAGATCAGCTCTCGCTGGATATAAAGCGGGATCATGCCGTATTTTGACTGCATGACTTGACGCTGCGCATTCCTGATAACATCATGTAGCCTGTCCGCATTGAGAGACTGAACATCAGGAACATCGACGACTCCGGGTCGCATGCATTCCCAATAAGGGGCATGATATGCTTGCACCTTTGCCAAGGTTCTGGCCGCCTCCTTGTTAATCTTGGGGAGAGCGAGTTTTGGCGGAGGCTCTCCCATCAAAGTTCTCGCAACAGCCACCGCGGAACTCGAAATTGCCCGGAGATTATAGCCGCCTTCTAGGCAGACGGCGACCTTGCCGTCAGCGAGAGACATGAGCATGTGCGTCATGTGGGCATAGCAAGCAGGCGTGACGAAGCAGCCGCCCAGTTCATCTCCGTCGGCAGCATCAAACCCGGCAGAAATGACCACTAGATCAGGATTAAACTCCTTCGCGATGGGCATCACAATCTTTTGGAATGCCGCCATATATTCGCCATCGCCCATGCCTTGGTCATGCCAACCAATGTTGATGTTCTTGCCCAATCCCTGACCTGTGCCGCAGTGTTCTATACCTCCATCAGGTGTCATGGGATTTGGCGGTTTGCCAGGATAAAACATTCCATTCTGGTAGACGTGGATGGATATGTAAAGAACGTTGGGATCCTCGTAAAAGATATTTTGGGTACCATTACCGTGGTGGACATCCCAATCCAAAATAAGGACTTTGCGGCATTGATCAGGGTAGTCTTGCTGGCACACCCTAATGGCCACCGGAACATTATTGAAGAAGCAAAATCCCATGGGCTGATCAAACTCGGCATGGTGTCCAGGAGGGCGGATAACAGCAAAGGCATTCTTTACTTGTCCAGTAACCACGCTTTTACAAGTTTCGATGGCGCCGCCAACGGATAAAAGAGCGGCGGGGTAAGACATACTCCCAACATAGAGGGATTCACGGCCTTGGTCGAACCGTCTTGTCAATTCACGAAGCTCGGCGGTGCTGATTGTGTCGAGGCTTTCCACCCAAGCCAGGTGGTCGGGAGAATGGGCCAGGCAGATCTCTTCCCGTGTGGCAGGTCGAGCAGGAATCCTCCACATGTATTTCGTAGGGCAGTCTTTCATAATTCTTGGCAGCTCTGACTCTGGTCCCGTGTAGACAAGCCCCATCTTTTTGAAGGCCTTGAAGATTTCGTGAATGCGTCGGGGATCCTCAGGATGGTGGGTATTTGGACTGAAGTCGGCATTCATATGAAGCTTCATTCGATCATCGTAACAGCAACCTGTGGGAAGCAAACCACGCCGTACTTTCAGTTGGGCAATGGTCTCTTCTATAACGCTCGGCTCACTATCCTCATGATATATGCTTTCCGAGGCAGTGGTGTCGTCGTTCATTTGCGGACCTTCTCCATGACCATTGAGACTGGTCATGTCGGTGTCTCCCATTTCATGGTCTTCAGGCTCCATGGTCACATTTCCAGCCATGATATGCGCAATCGTAGTGGGCAGTGAGTAGATCGCACAAGCTGACGGAGATGAACCCCCCAGGCCCAAGGCCGCCGTATCAACCTTTACTTTTGGCTATGCTTTTCCACTTGACAATTTGGAGGCAGTATGTGAATCTAATGCACCATCAGTCCTATCCACGCCGTGATATGGGGATATATCAAAGCAGCCACATCCATGAATTGGGGACAGAGAGAAAGAATGAAAGAAAGAGTACGTGCAACGCCCACGCAGGGGAAAGCTGTGGATAAACGCGTAGGAAGATTCATTGGGGGAGTAATGCAGCATCTGCGGAGCAAAATAAAGATGGCAAAACGAAACACCGGTGCAGAACAAAAGAAAGAAGCCTCGTGAGAAAGGTGGTAGCACTAAAGATGAAGCCTGACATGAAGGTGAATGCAGCGTAAATGCAACGCTATCCGCCGACTCACCTGAACCCCAGCCACACTCCCTTGTCAGAGTGAATCGTAAGAAATTGCAGAGAGGCGAGATGCCAGCGACGGCATCAAGTATAGATGTTTAAACTGAAGCCGGTATGTTCGGGAAAGTCGCCTCGTATGGCCCTCAGAGGCTGGCCGAGGTCGTCAATTAAGTATCTTGGGGAGAAAGATAGAAGAGGCTAAACTTATGAGATGCACAGGCTCGTTAGTGAAGTGACGCTGGTTTGAGAACGCTTGGACTTTTTAGCCCTGCTGCAGCCACTAGTTGCGGCACTGAGCCCCAGCACTGCGATAGTGGCTGGTGCGTAACTTGAGCGTGAAAGAAATCAATCACTTCCGCGTCAACACCAATCAATGCCTTTTTCCGTTTTCGGTTGGGCTCCGAGCTTTGACTATATTTAATTTTAATTCCCTAGCTGCTGTAGACAAAGAGAAAAGATGAAAGAGAGAGATTCCCTAGACCGCCTGTTCAGGGCTTAGCAGGAATGTGACACTACAACTACCTAGATAACGCTCTCTATCTCTCTTCATGTTAATGTACGACACCCTGTTGGGCAGAATGAATACAGGCAGGTGGTCAACGAGCTTCATAAATAAATAAGAATAGAAAGAATAAATAAATAACTTATTACCTTAGAATAGATTATAAGTGAATTCTGAGGCTGGATGTCAGGTAACTATTTTGGATACCTAGTAGAGTGCACGAAAAGCCATTACTCAACAGTGATATAACCAAGTGTCAAACATTGGGTGCTTCCATTCCCCCGTTTCACGCGTCATCTTAACCACAATCCATTAATATTTAAAAATCCAACAGTCTAAATTATTGATGTGGCACGGAAATGGCCTCGGCGCATGTTGGACGCGTTTGTGATATAAACTGCGAGACGAAAGACTGCCGTGCCATATAATCCATTTTATGCGCCGCCTGTGATAAATACAAATCAAAGTCTTGAGATTCCCGTCATCATCCCTTATAAGCTTTCATACCGGCTATGCAAACAGTTGTGTCTTATCCAGCTCGTTCTTGGCCGGTCGGTTGCCGTTGGACAGGAGTCCCAGATCATCCTTCCTAGACACGCGGCCAACTGACTGCTCCACCCTGCCGTTGTGCCTTGCAGCCTTTGCCCTCCGAATGTCGGCTCTGATTTGGTTGGGGGAGACGAATTCTCTGTTCTCGTATATGATTGGTCCACCGAACGAGCCTTCCTGTATCACCAGGGGCGTGAGAACGAATCTAGGTCCAATTTCGACGAGGTTGATATCCGTGTTAGATTTGCCGGTCGCGGGTTGTGCAGAGCTTTCATCCTCCTCGTCACCCTTCGATTTGGTCTGCTCTACTTCGCTAATTTGATAGTTTCGAATCCAAATCTTCCCATCTGCAATGCTGAAGCCCATGACGTGGTCGATAAATGGCTTGGACTTTCGCGCGCCTTGCGGAACGCCAAATGTGTGGAGGAACAACTCCTTCATGACACGGAAATGAGGTTGCGACTCGAAAGCGGCGTCAAATGAGAGGATTGGCCTTGAGCCCTTCAAGCAGTTGCCAGTGAAGTGTAATTCCTCCATCGTGTGCACTGGAGAAAGTGCGTTAGTATTAGGTACCGTCCAGAGGAAACAGATCTATCATAGAGCGCTCACAGTTTTGAAGATGGAATTTAACTGTCGGGCCATTGGGCACCTTGCTCATCCATACATATAAATCCTTGCCCTTCCTGGCCTCGAAAAACAAAACATTGTTGCAGTTGTAGAGCTCGGCCAATTCATTGAGCTCGCCGAGTCTAGATTTCGAGTCGAATTTCGCATCTTTTCGGCCATGGGGGAGGAGAGACGCAAGATCATTCAAAAGGTGGCGGTGTCTGCATATATCAAGTCAGCAAAAGACAGGACAATCATCAAACCCAGCGCCGTAAGACTTGCCTGTATGTGACACCTCGGCTGGACAAGATCAGCACCCTCTGCTTGTTTTTCTTGACGCCATTGGTCGACGATTCGTTCTTCTCGCTGCCGCCCTTGGACAGGGACTTGTATACGGCCGCCATCTTGTAGAGTAGGGATTGCTTCTGCGGTTTGAAATAGGCGTACAAAATAGTTGGCGACTTGCTAGAAAATTTAGAGGAGCGCAAATGCGATAAGCAGTCGAAATCCTTATCGGAAAAATCATGAATGTGGGTCGCCGGATAGCGAGTCCAGGCACGGCTTAGCGTTGGGTTGGAGCATAGTGGGGGGACTCTCGCTGAGCTCGGTAGGCAGGAATTTGGGGGCCTTAAAGGCGGAATCAAGTCCCTCGGCGGAGCATACGAGTACACCACCGCTCCGATAGGTGGCCATTATCAAGCTCGACACAGGTTGATTTGATTCTGTCGTCACCAATCTTGAATTCGAATCGACAGGATGTATTTTGCTTGCAATTTTAAATGCATGGTACCAAGCATCAGTCAGTAGCTATTCGTGAGGGAGGAGAAGGAGACGGTGCTGCCAATCTGAAAAAACGAATCATTTCATTAAGAGTTCATGTAGCTACGTAAGATGAGGCTTCGTAGCCGTCACCGGATAGATCAGCCCAGAAAACCCCATCGCGACAAACAGAAACAACAGAAAGTCAAAAGTGTCTGCGCCCTTCTAAATTGAGAAACAAAAGGAAGCATCAGGCCTCCTCCTCATTTCCTCGACACAGTGTCGAAGTCTTTCGGTATGCGACGTACATTTTCGAAACATGCGACTAAAATATTTCCCATTTCCCCACATGTCGTTGGCATCATCATAACTAACTTAGCAGCACTTGCCACCCTTGGAAGCCTCATCGTCGGCTGCCTTACTGAGTGAGATATTAGTGCCAGCACCAATGGTGGCTTGGGCACCGTCACCACTGTCGAGTGCCTTGCTGGATACAATTCGGTAGATCTCTGTACGGCGGAGGTTGTGTCAGTCCTGAAAATGGCTAGAAAAAGGTGGGAAAGCGGATCGTACCAGTCAGGATATTCTGGAAAGCAAGCTCAACGTTGCTGGCGTCGAGGGCGGATGTCTCGATGAAAGAAAGATGGTTCTCGCCTGCAGGTCCGATTGGTCAGTAAAAACGCCCTTTGTTTGTTGGACCGCAAAGACGAACTAGCAAATCCCTTGGCCTCATCCGTAGGCACAGCCCTCAGGTGTCTCAAATCGCTCTTGTTGCCAACCAGCATGATGACAATGTTTGCATCGGCATGGTCCCGAAGCTCCTTCAGCCATCTCGTGACATTCTCGTAGGTTTGGTGCTTGCTGATGTCGTAGACGAGAAGGGCGCCAACTGCACCTCGGTAGTATGCGGAAGTAATGGCACGGTAACGCTCCTGACCAGCTGTATCCCAAATCTGCGCCTTGATAGTCTTGGAGTCGACCTGGATCGATCTAGTGGCAAACTCGACACCGATAGTCGACTTGGAGTCGAGATTGAATTCGTTGCGAGTGAATCGGCTGAGAAGATTGGACTTTCCGACTCCAGAGTCTCCAATCAAGACAACTAGAAACAGCCTCAGGGTTAGCAAGAATACGGCCACGGGGCTGGCTGGCGGCGTTGGCCATCCACGGAGCAAGGGAGAGCGGCACCTTTGAAGAGGAACTAGTGGGGGTTGAAGCATCGCCGTTAGCGTTCCGCCAGGTGTTCATTTCGTTGCTGGGCGCGAGAGGGAGCGGAACCTACATCATATTCGTCGTTGGCCATGGTAGCAGCAGAGCGAGTCGGTGCGTGTTGAGTGAAGGTGGTTGATGCTGCACAAGTGAAGCTGTGACGCTGGGATGTGTGGTTGTTGTGGATGTGGAGGGGAAGAAGTGGCTGCGCGGCTCCGACGATTGGTAGGTCGCTAAGTCACCTGGGAATTTGAGCTCAGGAGGCGCGTTTGCAGGCAACGAGGAATGCATTTCCCGCAGCCTGACAGAGACTTGCCAGCGACTGCACCCTCCCCTGGGGGCTGCATGAATCAACAGGTACCTTTGAGGTACCCGTCTTGGGCCCCTCCGTTAGCTTGTGAAGGGTCGTTAGCACAGCAGGTAGTGCCCTTTGATACACCAAAGAAAATGCCCTTTAGGTGCTGAGGAACCCACTAACAGGAGAGCCGTATGGAGACTCCGGACCCCATTCCTTTAGTACCCAAAAGGACCGTGATAGAGTAGCAGTCCATGCTATATTACCCCCCCCCCCCCCCCTTTTGGGGGGTATCTCCTGATTATTGCGAGCGGTTCATGTACTTGAGAGGTACCCGTATTGTTATAGGGCTGCCTAAGACTGTTACGGCTTAAGACGCTGTGTGCTGTTTTATCCAGATGCCTATACTAGGCAGATAGATAACTGGAGATGCTCAAGACAGCTTGGACACCCACGCTCAAAACGTCGGCGGACACTACTTGGTTAGAGCCTTACTAGGAGAGTAGGTGGGGTTAAGGGTTAATCCACAGGCCGGAGAGAACTCATGGAACAAGGTAGTCTACTACTTGCATGTGGAGGATGTTTGCTGTCTTAGCAGCTGCTTAGCAATGGGCATCACCGCAGTTTGCAGCTATCAAATGCCCATAGCAGTGCCGTCCAAAGCACGCTCAGGACTACCTACTATAGGAAATTAGGTAGGGAATTACCACGTACAGCATCATCCTAGCAACGGTAGCCGTGTTCGGGGCCGCACCACCTGTGCGCAGGTGCAATCACGTGCATTCAATTGCGTTCAGCATGTTTGCTGCAAACAACTCCTGGCCAACAGGACAACCAGCTATCGCCACTGCTCTCTCATAAACGCGGTCTCTCTGCAACATTGTCTTCGGCAATGGAGTCTGGACCAGCTGAGCAAGATTTTGACGATGAGATTTCGCTCGCATCTACTGATGACGGGGATGGTGACGAGCTGTTCGTCGCCCAAATCCTGGCGGAAAGGCACGTTAACGGAGAGCCCCACTGTCTGATCCGATGGCAAGACCTCCCAATAGCAGAGGCAACATGGGAGCCCAGAGAGAACCTACCAGATGAACTCATGGAGACATGGGAGCAGACAAAGGCAGACCAAGAAAATGGATTGGCTCCAAAGTTCAGGGTCCAGGAGTGGAAAGATGCAGCCACCAAGAGCTACGAGTTAAAGCTTGCCCGGCACCATCGTCGCAACGCCGTGCGAGCAAGACGCGGCCACCCCCAGACGACATTGTCAACACTTTATGAGTTTATGCAACAGATCAGCATGTATCCGAATGAAGAAGAAGAGGAAGAGGAAGAGGAAGAAGCTGATCGGGTTGGTCCAAGCCACGCGGAAATGTGGTTGGAGCAAAACCTGTTAGACAACCCGGCATCTGGTCATGCAAATCCATCTATGATAATATCAGAAGCTTCAGCGATATTGGTAGAAGACTCTCCTTCCCCCCAAGAAATTATCCGAGAGGGGCTTTTCGGAACACCTGATGAAACCAGTCCTGTCAACCCGCCAGAGAAAGTAGCTGTGGATCATCCCGCCAAGTTGAAGTCAGCATTGAAGAGTGCCGAAACCACGACGCGAGCTTCCGTAAGCTTCATTCTTCCACCTTCAGACACTTCCCATGAGGTGCTAAAAAGGCCCTCTCTCTCTCATCGGGCGATTGCAGCAAGGTCACGGCCAACAGGGCACACAACAAACGTCTTCGCAGGCGGTCGCACTCGCAAGGGGAGAGGAACGCTGAGTGAAGTAGCAGCAAACCCAGAAGTCAACCCTAAATTCTTAAACTCGCGACTCAAAAGGAAGATAGAGTTACAGCGTCGAGATAGAGAAGGAATCAAAGAACCAGCTCGTCGGCCATCCGGACTGATCTCTCTTGATTATAACAATCCACAAGATACGCCAAGTGAGCAACAATCAGCCGATAATTCCAAAGATGATCAAGTCCACGGGAAACGCAGATCTCCTACAAAGGGTGTTGCTCATTGGGAAGATGAACCGATGGAAATAGACCCAGGCGATAGCCTTTTTGTATCTGATCAGACTCCTTCACCAGCCCCACATGATTCAGACGACGAAATGACCCAGCCCGACACTGAAGAGCAGCCAGCAAGTCAAACAGTATGCAAAACCGTGCAACTGGGTCCTGACAGACAAAGTGTTGTTACTCTCTCGTTTTACGGGATACCTCAGGAAACTGGCCTTGCTTGGACAGAGCAGTTTCGTTCAAATGAGCGACTCGTCTTCACACATACTTGCAATTCTCAGGACTTCTTATGCCAGACAGGCGCAAATGGCAGCCTATCAATTGTACGACTTTGCGAAGGCACCGTCCTGTCATATACAGAGAATGAATCCCTCAAAAGCGTGGCGAGTAACCTAAAACTAGGGTCTCTGGGATTGCTCTGTCCTGGCGAAAACTTCTGCGTGTATATGTTCTTCCCTGACAAGCTTGAGGGTCAACTGATCCAAGACTGTGATACTATAACCCTCGAATACCATATTTTCAAGCAAGTTGGGTCCCTGGCTCCATTAATGCTGGGTCCCGCTCCGCAACTGATAGTCTCAGACAAGAGCGACAAAACTTCACCGTTTTGGTCAAGACCTTTGGATCAAATTTTTGGCCACAAATATGAACAATTACTTCCTATTCACGCAAGCAATGCTGAGAAGCACAATTTTTTCTTAGCCTTTCCTACTCGCGCGGAACAGGAAGCTCTCCTTTTGACCCTATGGCTGCGAGATAACCAGAGCGATTGTGATATTCGAGCCAGTTACGCAGGAGGTCCCTGGTCAAGCTTCTTAAAATTAGCCCACGGGGTCGTCATTATTCACGAAGACGTACTCTGGACAATACGAAAAATCCCCAAATTGCACGAACTTTTACATGGTCGCAGAACGCACTTTACGTTTTGGATGTTCAGTCGCTCTACTCTACCCCTTCACTCACTTGGCTCTGGGGGCTCGCCAGCTCCCCCTCTAGGCGACATCCGTCTTTACCGTGTGTTCGATCCGGGAGCAGCCTTCTTAGTTACGCCCAGCTTCTTGGTCTCTGAGCCAGAGCATGCGTATTCGTTTTTGAAGTGGTTCTGGAACAATTATGTCAAAACTTTCGACGTGAGCCGACCCAGGAAGTTGGTTCTATGCGCAAAGGTGGACGAATGGATGAACAACTTATACCTGGAGCAGATTACGACGAGACGCAAACATCCGGCTTCTGCTTCAGAGGAAGAACTCAATGCCAAGGGTATATCCGATAAGGCAATAGAGTGTCGATGGAAGACTTTCAAGCTGTTCCAGCAGCTTCTTGCAGACGCTCCTGACGAGGGTGCTGGGAGCATTGTCCTTGCTCCCGAAGCAATAGACGGGAACGATGAACAGAGTTTGGTCAATTGGTTCGGCGAGTGGTCTACTTTAAATATAGATCAGTACCGGAGATATACTGTCATAGGCTGTGGCTGGCAAAGCGAAGAACGGCTCTCGAGAACTCTTCGGGCACCAAAATACGAAGAAAACGTCATAAACGATCCAGACGAGGCACTTGCGGGTGCTCCGAGTCAACTTGAACCATCGTCGCCTCCTCCTTCTGCGCCGCGAGCATTTAGAGAAGACGAAAGCTTATCAATAAAGGAGCGGCTGTTTGAAATGTCCGAGGAGGCCAAACGGGACTTTACTCCTGTGAAAACGTACCTGTACCCCGTGGCATACTCAACTTCAGATGTTGCTTTCCGGCTCGGAGACATCACATCAAAATACTATACATATGAACAATGGTTTAATTTTTTCTGGAAAGTATTTGATCCGACTCGCAGGCTACCGCAAAATTCGTACGCCGGGCTGTTTTACACATTTGATGAGCAGCAAGCTTCGTCTCGTGCATTTCGCAACGTCCAACGTTCCCCATGGGTGGCTCTATTTCGTCCAGTAAACCCACATATACGACCGTGGAGGAGTTTAGAGCTATTCATATGGGATGTTAGTTATTCAGAAAGCATCAGAAGAGGCAGGGCGTTTTGTTATTCGGATCTCCTTGAAGGTCAGCAGCGCTTGATAGGCTACCTACAAGAAAAAACCCGAGATAAACTCCCTCTCGAAAAGGTTTGGGTCGGCGCTTTCGGAGCCAAGCCTGGCAGTGCCCCTGCTCTGGATATCACAATCCAATGGCTCGGTGGCCTGTCGATGAAGGTTAAAGACTGGATACCTGCACCAGCCAAAGATATTGCCGGTAGGGGATGGAATCTTGTCACTGCGGAGAGGTCATCAGGAGATCAGGAGGGCAACGGCATTCCTGCTCGTGGCGAAGACGATATGAGGGGACATTCGCCGCCGGAAGAAGACGCATCGCCCCGAAAGAGAATTTTTCATCCACCACAGGGGCATGGCCAATACAAATATACTAAATGCAGAAATCGGCTGTACCAGTGGGCCCGACAATTCGATCCCAAGATGGAACGGAAGAGTTTCGAGTATGTCTTCAGGCCAACAATAGACTGGTATAGCGAGCAGTGTGAAGAAGGGCGGGGGTTTGAACATATCAAGGTCTTGCCGTGGAAAGATATATTTCAAGTGTACAAAATCGAGGAGTTTTTGCAAAAACGAGGCTGAGGGCTCTCTGCTGCTTCCTGGACGAATCGTTTCAACGAGTTTTCGGCTCCATCGAGAGGATGTATCGATATGACATATACTGGTTCTTTTTCTTTTCTTTTCTTGTTTGTATCCCAATCTTCATTGCGAATGTATATGTGTCGACAGTAAATAGCCGACGAGAGTGAGCATTCTATAACGGAGGCCATGATGGGGCATGAATCTAACGGTGTTGTGTCATGCATGGTTACGAATTGCAATTAGAATGATACCAAGGAGATACGAATTCCATCAATCTACCCCGAAGAAAATATTCATTGCGGATTTATATGAGATAATGGCAACTAGCCGAACTAAGGCATGGATCTAATGGTCTGTATCATGCGGGTGTACAAAATGTAATTAGTACTATACATGGGAAATAATATCGTCAATCTACCCCAAATCATAGCTATACGTCCATTCGCCAATTATAATGCCAACAACTGAGCAGTAAAACACAATGCACCTGATTCCACCTTCACCTAGCAGAGGTAGGGAAAGTCCTCGCGCTCAATAGAACACCCTTTATCCTTCGGATGTTATCCCTTACTTTCCGGATTTCGTCTTCGGAGTCCTTCTTCTTCCTCTTGTCGAAATTTCCGAATAATTCGGCGTGGTGTCCGTATGTCATATTGTCAAGATCGTCGCGGAAGACGTCTAGCAATACCTTGATATCCTGGGACTCGGTGCTCTGCTGTTTGAAGTCGTCTGTAAGGCCCTTGAGGGACTTTGCCAGTTTCGAGAGACGATCGGCTTGGACCTTTGACTGCGCCTCGTCTTTCCCCTTGGGAGATGAAGATGAAGGGCTGTTGGGGAATGAGGTCTGAGTGCCGACATCTCGGTGGAACATTTCGGATGGGTCCTCGGATTCGGTTGTCTCCGAGGCAGCGTTTGCTCCGGAACTCTTGTATGACGGGACGACAGAGACGGTACTCTCGAGCTGCTTCACGATGGAATCCAGCCTGTTTGCGGTGGTCTCGTGCAGATCGATTCGCGCGCTCGTCAGCTTCTCAACCATCGGCTCAACGGCGAATTTACTCGTGCCATAGAGAAGTGCCGATAGGCCGCCAAATGCGTAGAGGGTGTTGAGGATTCCATTGGTTGTGACCAAGGGGGGTGTGCGTTGAGGCTTGGTGAGGAACTCGGGATATGTCACCACGGGAGGCCGATCGCTGCCTGCCAGGATAGGATTCGACGGTTCGGGAACGGCGGGCGGTTTCGGGGCAAATGAGTTTTCAAGCACTTGCAGCGCTTTTTGTTTGGACTCCTGTCGCTGGCGTTAGTCTGATGGCCAGATGAAGCGCCTGGACAGGCAGTGTTTGTTTACATACTTCTGATGGTGTGGAATCCTTGGCCGATGATGGCGCCTCTTCTAGCCCACCGAGGAGATGCTCGATATCTTCATCTTCAACACCCTTGGACTTTAAAAAATCGACCTTGGTATCTCGCGGAGCTGCCTTGACGGCGTCGTCGTCCAGAAATCGTCGCGCAACCTCTAGCTTGTCTGTCTGGCTCTCCTGTTGCGACGGAGACGCATCTGCGGGCGCTTCATCGCTGGGCGCGTTGAGCTGCCACTTGGGCACGCCATCGGATGATGATTTGCCTTCTGAGTCGTCCATTTGTGCTGTTGCTGGGGTACTGGAATTTCACATATCTTCGTAGGGGAAGCAAGTCAGCTGAAGCGAGATGGCATCGATAACATTCACACCCCGGACATCGGTTGGCCGGGTAAGATCCGGCTTTGTCACAGGCCTCGGCACATGCAAGACGCGGCGCGCTCTAGTGGATATGCTGATTACTAACGTTCCAAGCCAATGAAGTCTCGAGCTGCGTGGATTATCGACCAAGTTCAGCCTTGAAATCGCCCTGGTAGGTGCATGTAACATGTAGTCTAACTTGTACCTGGAAGGAATTATACATATAGCGCGTTTCAATTGCCAACTACCAGTACCTCAAAGACTTGATGTGTTCTGCATATTACTATATACTCATTGAAATAATTTCACACGCAACTATCTAAGAGATTGTTATGAGGCACAGCAGTGCCAAGTTGAGTTGCGATTCCGCAGCGTTGCCCATACTGTTGGTCCGGCGCTACCCTAAAGCGACCTTGAAGTTGACGGGGGTAGACAATGGAGAATAGATCCGCGACTTTTGTATGGGTGAATGCAGCGAGCTGAGGCGAGCCACTCCAATTGATGAGATATAGAGCGGCACACGCCCCAATTGAATCTCAGTTTCAGCGTAGAAGCGATGTATCTATCATCGTCGATATTCAATCTGCTTACAATAATACACAGAGCACTAACAAAAGTCACAAAAAGTGGGCCTAGGGGGTCATGAAACTCTCAGCCATCAGTTGCTCTCAACACCAAAAATTAACATGCGATTGCGATACAGCCGTTGAATAAGAGCCGTAGCCGCTAAGCAACGCCGACAAACACTCAACTGCACCGATCACTTTGGCTGACGACCCTTGGATTCTGAGCCTATTTCCTTTTTCCTCCTCCCTTCGCGCTTCAGCCATTACCAAACACGCCTCTAATTTTTTTTTTAACTGCATCACGTCGAGACTTACCCTGCCGTCATCGCCGCGACGCTCAACGCCCATCAAATCATCTCGCTTGGATCCCTGATAGCGCAGTGCTCGCCATTGGCATCGACTACCTGTACCAGTGCTAACACCATTGGCTCAGCGCGGTGCCTCTAGCCTCCGGAACAGTGACAGATCAGGCCCTGCGCGCTGATCCTGGCATCCTGTTCTCGCATACGCCTGCAGCACGCGTATCGTGATTGCACGGCTTGGGTCCAATTAGAACAACACCACGAGCAGCCGTTGTGGCTGCATCCCCCAGCAAAGGTACAAGGTAAGCCAATTGGGCGCTTCCCGCGCAGCTCCCTTCTGTTTGTTTGGCCTGCTCTGTTTGTTTCTCGGTAGATGTGATGCATCATGATACAGCTAGCGGCTGCTGCGCTGTGTCTGTCATCATCGCTTCGAGGCTCTCCCTGCTGCTAGGTCAACCCTGCTCTTCAGTTTGTCTCTCTCTTCGTCCCTCTGGATGAGATCTTGTCCCCCAACATTGGCCTTCGTGGCCCACTGCCATTGACAAGGACTGCGAGTGCAGCATCCCGACAAGTGGCAATTGGCAAGAGCTCGTTGTTCTGATCTGATCTCCCTCTCAAGTGCTGAGGTTGGACGGCGTGTGCTTTGTCGTGGCCAATTCATTGGCGTGGCGTATAAAAAGCCTACTGCACATCTGGCTGCTTCATTGGACCGGCGCCTAAGACTCAATGCCCATCAGAGGCAGGGTTGCGTGGCGCGAAATGCAAGCACAGCTTCTCCAAGACCCAATCCGCGGCAGAGTTGCTGTTTTGGGGGCTGGGATCAGCCGGCACCGCTCGTGCTGTTGTGTGGAAATTGCCTGAGCAAAAGCTCGCGTCCATACAAAAACCCAGTTGCGCGGCCTTGCTTTAGTGGCTAGACCCCGAGCTTATCCCAACTACATGCCACAAGTGCACGTCACTCAAACGGCCCTTTGCAAATCCCCGTCGCGATTGCCGCTGCCCTGACTCCTGTTTCCTAAAGCCCACGGCGCCGCATAAAAACCACAGGCCCGACATATCCAGACACCTCAAGCATCTGCAAGTGCAGCCGGCGTACCATGTCCTCACGACCGCGGCGTTCGGCCGCTGCAAAGGCCAAAGAAGTGATTTCCGTCCACGCTAGATGGGCTGACACGAGCGAAAAGGAAGACGCAGGTACCACCATGTCCTCGCGACGGACAGGACGTGCCGGTGGCGCAACAGCCTCGCGCGATACAGCTTCATCGCCAGAGGAGACGCATCTTAGCGTTACAGTCAAACTCCCAACCAATAGGCCACGCCAAGCTACAAGGGGAGGCAATCGCCGGGCCGACCCATTTGAAGGCGGCGAGATTGTGCACGGGAAGCGCAACCGTGGCGGCAAAAAGAGCTATGTTATAGATTCGAGCCCTGACGACGAAGAGGAGGAGGAGGATGAAGAGGAAGAGGTGGTAGTGGAAGATGAAGAGGAGGATGACGACGAGGAAGATGATGATGACGAAGAAGACGACACGAGGGCTGACGAGGATGACGAAATGGAAGAGCTCGGCGACGAAGATGCCGAAGGTGAAGACGAAATGGAAGTTGATGCCGAGGGCGAAGAAGATGCAGAGGGCGACATTGACATGGCCCCGAAAGGTGTTGCCCGCCCTTCAGCAAAGAATTCGAGAGTTACCAAGTCGAGGCCTACGGTAAAGGTCACCTCATCCAGGATTAATCGGGACGAAGACGAAGACGAAGACGAGGAAGATGAAGATGATGATGACGAGCTTAGTGATCCCGCAGATAGCGAGGTCGGTGATGATACTATTGTTTATGGTGACCAGAACATGGATGATGAAGATGCCGAAGGAGAAGAAATCGAGGTTGCCGGTGATGAGGAAGATGTTGAGGAAGACGATGAAATGGCTATGCAACAAGAGGCCAATGGCGATTCAGACCTCGACAGCGAAGAAGGCAGCCGGGCGGAAACACCAGACCTCGCCAAAATGACTAAAAGACAAAGGGCCCGGTTCGAGGATATACCTCAAGAGTTTATGAAGCTGCCTGATGGTGAGTCTGCCGCCACGCATCTATGCGTCTTCATGAGACGTGGAGTGAGATTTGTTTGGCTATCCAAGGTCACGTCGCTGACTCTCCATTACAGAAATTCAAGTTAAGAAAGTGTTTACGGCGGAGGAATTATCCATGCGCCGCCAGGAAATGGCTAGACGGCGACGTAACCTCAGTGAGAAGCGTAATGAGGAAGTCAAAGTGAGTAGGACTCTTATGGGGGGAGTGAGACCCCGTATGTCTGCCACACTGCTAATACTGCCCTTACAGATGGAGACGATCAACAAGCTTCTCAAGAAGCAGGCCCCAAAGATCAACCGCAAAGCAGCTGCCGACACACAGGAGCTGGAATCGCAAAGAGCTAACCCCGTTTTCATTCGCTGGGTTAGCAATAAGAGTGGCAATCGTGTTGCCGTTCCAGACGAGATCATGGAGGGGCCCGCTGGTGTTGTGTTTGGAGACAAGGCCCAGCCTTCGTTGGGTAAGCCAGTAGTGGAAGTGGTCTGAGCCGGACTGCAATGCGGCTCGGATTTGGACTTTGGACAACGTACAACTGAATTTCTATGGGGGCCAACATAAATCGATGGGATACAGATAATAATAAGGGGAACTTCCTGGCACTGTTGATATCATATGGACAACAGGACCGGAAGGCAAGGGATGGGGCGTACTGGCAAAGGGGCTTGACTAGGACTTATAGAGCTGTAGCATATCGGTAATGCAGATGGTAATTGAGCGACTTCTAACTTGCTATATCTTGGATGCTTGCTGAGATGGGATTGATGTGCCTGCATCTACTTCCGCGTCGTTCTCACTTGGGTTATTACTGAGCTGTTTTTGATCCAAGTCTGGCTGGGCGTTACAGAATCGACCAGGATACATGCACCAGAGATGGCATGTAGTAATTTAATCACCGGGAAGACTGCTATAGTATATTACAGATTCATGTTAATATATGTATGTGCGGCTGGTTTATATTATATGCATTATTTTAGAGTCGGTGCTCAAAGCCCAATTATGTTAAGAAGTAACGAGAATTAAATGCTTCCCCGTATGAAATTTGGGATCCCGAGGTGCCTGTCAGCCACTTCCATACATTTATGTAAACAGCTCTCCAAGGGAAGGGGCCGAGGTAATATCAATATTGATAGTCCAAGCATAGGTTGTCTGCATGCGTTTTTTTTAGGGGACGAGAATATCTGCTCTGCGGCTTGTTTATTCTTGCAAATACTGGATCCCACCTGCGTCTCATCTTCTTTTCTCTTTTGCCCCATACCTAGCTGCATACGTTACTCATAGCGTTGTTTTGCCACAATCACTAAAGTACCCAAGAATTGCTCAAGGAACTTTTAAAAGTACTTCAGCTTGAATAACAATTACGCACACAACCGTCCTCATCCTCGTAGCATTCTGTTGCTGGGCGAGGCTGAGCTCCTTCTATTCTAAGCACCAGCTAACGCTTTGTTACGTACCTACATAAATTATCATCTTTATACCTATGTATACACCTAGTACAAGCCCATGCAACGGCTCTTGTGGTAATCTCGGCAGTCATATCTGATGTCAGCCTATTTGGTGAGCTTTCCATGCCTTTCTGTTCATAGCTGGCCATAGCAACTTCAATGTTCTTCATATAGTATACAGAAACTTAACCCGCTTGCACACGGCATGTAATAGTCTTTTATCCGATTATGAAGCCTGTAACTCAGATGACCCTTATGGGGAATTGTCTACTCTTTCTGTCCCCTCTTCTTGTCATGAAGGCCTAGCTATATTGACTTCTTATCTAGTCTACACCCCTGCCAGCAGCTCCCATACCGTAACTAACCTTCCACTCAAGCGGTCGTCATGGCCCTTTGCTCACGTTGACCAATATTTCTGGCGTTTCACTGCAGGATGGAGTTACTATACAGTGAACTACACGCTCTGTGTTTGTTACCTGAGCGGATTATTGAAGAAACCCTGTCTAAATATCGCCGTCCTCACAGTTTCTGCTGCCTATGAGGCTCCTATGAGGCTTTAACCCTCCTTCTTTTACCGACGTCCAGCTAATATTCTCACCTAGGATATTCTCTTCATCATTCGAATAACCCGCATCCAAGCCATGGGGTTGATCCTTGATCCCAGCATCCACCACCATATCCAATCGCTTCCTGTTCGTTCAACCTTATCATCTAACTTTTGCAAGACGGAATCCTCTTAGTCAGCGACGCTCTGTCATAACTTTATTCCCCAACGGTTGTTTCAAACCAACGGTACTAAGCCATATACTTTTTTCTTCTTCTTCTTAAGACAACACGTGCAGATTTTCTCTACAGGCGGGGTAGATGCTAGTTTGCTCGTTGCCCACAATCGAACCCACAGCCTGTGATTGTGGAATATGGACTTTTGCTGTTCAAATGCCTGCAAGTGCGGAGCATCACCATTGCGGAGAGTGCCGACGTGAATGAGGATAAATGCCCGACCATGGCTCGCCGCTTGTGATTGGTGGCTCAAGACGCTTACGAGTCACAGACAGCTTCACATGCAGCCCCCCGCTCGTGCATACCGCTCTTGTTTTCCCCTTGCCATTGGATCCTAGGCTGGTTTGGGAGGCCGCTTTGAGCAAGAGTTGGTTTGCGAGATGTCTCAGCTGATAGCCGTTGCCACGAATCACTCAACTAGGCGGCAAACCTTGAGCACATGCTCTGGAACTAGCAGCCGCTAGCTCTGAGAGGCTGCTGGCTTGGCATGTCTGATTCCCAAGGCCATTGCGGGGAAACGAGAGCGGGGAGGCTAAAGGGCAAAAGGCTGAGATCAGGGTGCTTCGCGATAGGCAAGAGGACCACTGTCAGACGCTTTGAATGATGATGGGATGCTGATTACAGCAGAGCAATGCCGCCGCTTGGGCCACGATGGCTTGAAGCTAAACGTCGGGGTCCGGAAGAGGCCTAGACCTTGGCTGGGGTATGACATGGACGATCTCTTGCTTTTGTGACTATTGGAGGATGAAACGGTAGGATTCTGACCGCGTATTCCGTGGTGAAGCCGGTGTGTTGTGTGTGTGATATTGTGTGTACGAGTACAGATACGGCCCAAGATAGAGTAGGTAATACAATGGAGCTGAGCGGCAACACTGACTGGGCGCATTCGCGTAAGAAGCCGGGCGGGCTGAAGATTTTTTCTTTGTCCATCGTATCCTTCGTGTCTATTCCTGCTAAGGATAACGGTGACTCACCAGCTTACTGGGCATTATGCAAGCAACAACTCGGATGTCGGGGCTCAGTTGGACGGCCTGGAATTGCGTTGCTTCCTCTTGCTTTGTAACTTGACAAATAAGCATTGTGGTTGGGCGTTTTGCTGCCGGAGCTATGCAGTTTGACTCGCGCCTTGCTTACGAGGTGATGGTGGCCAAGTTGAAGTAACCATATCTCTTTGGCGCCGGCTAGCGTTGACTCGTGGTAGTGTGTAGCATTCAGACAGCACAGTAGCCCTACTTGACTTGCCTAGGTAGGTACCCTCTTCTACAGTATCTTGGCTTGGATTGGGTTGAGAGTGGAGAGATGTGGTGGTGCAAGTATCTTGACTCGGGGCAATGCAAGGCTCCATGCTCCCGGCGACTACGAGTATGATGTTGTGCCGTGCGGTGTGATTCCAGCTCGGCCGTGGCATGGGTGCTGTACGATACGGTATGACGCCCAAATACGAATCGGAGATGCTGTGCATGCATGTGCCGTAATAAATCGGTGCAGACTGAACGAGATCAAAAATCAAGGATGAGGACGGGAAAATCCTTGGCGTCTCTCAACCCAGCAGACGATACTGGAGGGACGAGCCTCGGCTAGCGCAGCGACGCAATCGCATCATCCAATGCGCCGATCGCAGGTGGTGCCACGAGAGGGGAGATACGGGGGGAGGAGAAAAAAAAAGAAGAAAAAAAAAAAAGACATGGAACATAACTGGGTCACACGACGAAAGGTCGCTCGCCCAGCCCTGTCCGCCCCACCGAGCCTCCCGATTGCCTGTCGATGGTTCGTGATGGCGTTGAGGCAGCGTCTTAGCACCAAACCTAGAGCCCTGTTGAAATGGACGTTGGTGGACGTTGGGCAGTGCCATACAGTAGGGGAGTACCGTGGCGGCAAGTCTCCATTAACACAATACGATAGTACGGGTGTACTCCGCCGCCACGTATCTCGCTATGCCCCATCTTGCCATCTTGCGCCTCACCTAACCTTGAAGCCTACAGCACAGCGGTCCAATCTGCCCGCTTCCGTCCAGATTGGCTGCTCCAGCGGGGCTGCGTGCCCTTGAGCCCTGTGGTTCTGTGGCTCCCCCCCCAAACGGCCATTTTTGCTGCCTGACCTGACCTGGCCTGACCTGATCTTGGACCTCTCGTGATTGATCAATTTTCCCTTTGCATGCCGTCCTCCCCCGTTTTGTGATTGCCGGCTGTACTATTGGATTGGGCACAGCCTGGCATTGTCGGGGATCCTGCATCTGCTATCCGAACCGAACGCTACACGCTACACGCTGCACTATATCCTGGCCCTGGTCTTGGCCCTTGCTCGCGTGTGTTATGCAGCCCATCATCATGTCGTCGCAGCCGCCACCAGAGGTGAGAGGCTCTCTCGCCACAGCTTCTACTTCTGCCTCTGCTGCTGCCTCTGTCTCTGCCTCTGCCTCTGCTTCTGCTTCCGCCTCCTCTGCATCGCCTCAACTGTCTTCTTCTCCTCATTCATCCACCGCCAGCACCAGCGATACCGTCATTCCTGCCTCCTCTGCAGCTGCGACTTACAGCAATGTCCCCTCGTCATCTGTCCAACAACAGCCACTTTTAAACGGTGAGTTGGCGCAAAGCCTCGTCTTTTATATACCAACAACAACAAAAACAACAACGGCCAATCCGTCATGTCCCACCTCCTGTCTTGCCCACCGCCGTGGGGCCTCGCATTCCTGATCCTGAGATCCTCATCCCAATCCCAATCCTGATCCTTCCTCGATGCACAAGACTTGTCTCTGTCTCTTTTTTTTGCCCAGCTTTTGCCCAGCTTTTGCCCAGCTTTTGCATGCTTTTAAGCTTTAGTGTTTCCAAGCCACCATTTGTTGCGACAACCGTTGTACCAATGTCTAGTTTGACATGTCAATGTGGCACTTCTACGAACTCCTCCCCTCCCGAGACATTGCATCAGCTGGTACTCAAGTGGTACAAGGATTCACGGCTGGTACCTGAAGTACCTGGGAGACAACGACGTGAGCCCGGATTCACCTCCAGCTACTTCCTGTTGTCCCATCCGTGTTTATTTGTTTCACTTGTTTTTAAATCTCCTGCTTTCTCGACCTAGGTCTCAATCTTAATCCTTTCACACCCGTCCTCTCTTGTTTCTCTTATAACTTCCACTCCCTGTTCCTTTTACACACACATTCGTCATATTATCCATTATAGTCTTTCTCTGCTACTTTGGCAACATATCTCTCTCCTACCCTTGGTCGTAGCTACACCATCGGATGATGCTTTGGCTCGTCAGGTAGTGGAGGTTAGTACCACGAGAACCCTCAGCAGTAGCAAAACGTCCAAGCTTAGTGTGCTTGTGCTGTTACTGCTGCCCCCCATCAGCTCGTCTCACCACATTGCATGATACTCCAAACCTTTTTCTCCCCCAACGACTTCTGTTTTCATGGATTCCATCACAAACTTCGGCACTCAGCACTAGTTGCGTCGCCAATACAGCTTATTGTCATTTTAATCTACACCGCCTCCGCCATGACCCTGGCTCTGCCCCTTCGCTTGGATGAATATCGTTAGATGCGTTGTTGATAATAACAAGGTGCTGACGTCTTATTGCCCGATCTCTTAGACACTACAGATCTCACTGCCGATACTAGTCTCGGTCAACGGCACCCGCCGTCTTCTTTAGAAGACCACACCACCTCTTTACTACCGGCCTTCTCAGTTCCAGAGGCCATCTCTTCGTCTGCAGATCCTGACACAGCCATGATCTTCTCAGACTTTTACAAAGGGCCGCGGTCCCCTTTGTCTAGACTGCGTGGACAGAGTCCTCAGTCGCGAAATCAATCAGCAAACTCACCTCCTTGGCTTGCTCCCGAATTTGAAGACCTGCTCAGCAAAGACAAGTACGCGCAGAAGGATGCTATCAAACGATACTTAGCCGCCAAGGTCAGGACCAACTGGGGCTTTCAGTGGCCCCCGGTCAGCAAGTCTGAAAAGAAAACCGCAGAGAGGCCTTCTGATTCGGATGAACCAAGGAATTCTACCGCAAAGGATTCAGAACCTGAAGCAATTAGGGTCGATTCGGCCAAAGATATGCGAGATCAGGCTTCTGAGGATGCTGGCTACGCTGTTGATAGCAATGATTTGAGCGAGGACCCTTCGAATCATGAAGACATCGACGACGACAACGACGACGATACGGATTCAATCTATAGCGTTGTATCAGAAGATGCTGTCAATTACCGTCCCCGCATGGAATGGTATTCTGACCTTTCTGACGACGAGGCTGCCATTACTTCTCTGGACAAGCTCGAGGCCACCGATAATGCCACCAAAATCTCGATCTTGGAGAAGCGAGCTCAACGCCGGAGAGCTGCTAGAGATGAAATGACGTGGAATGAGGGATTGGCATGTTTCGAGGCACGGCGAAACGCTTGGACCGGCGCAAAGACCGTTCGCGTGCGCAGCAAACCAGTCTCCTCACCACCCGTGTCTCCTCGTTCTCCCCGGCGCTTTTTCTTCCGCCGCTCCATCTCAGGATCACCACCTTCGGCGGCTTTGATCGAGCCGAACCCGCTTGGAAATAGCCCTACAGGCACGATATCCGACATCTCATCCATGAGCAAGCAAGGCTCTAGGGACTCTGACCGCGTCTCCGATCGCTTGTTACCAGTTCAGACGTTGCTCCCTATCCCACCCCCCATCCTACCTCCCAACAATTCATTCCGAGCTTCCATCACCCCTGCGATTTATCTTAGCCTCTATGATAAGGTCATTCTCAACAATTTACAACCGTCATGCCCGATCAACCTAGCGGATATGATTCGTTCTTGCGTTACAGGATGGAAACGTGACGGCGAATGGCCTCCCAAACCATCGGCTCCCGAGCCCATTGTCGTTGCCATGCGGCGTAAGAAGGCTAAGAAGGCATCGACAACCACAGGGGGTTCTGTCGGCATTACTGCGCGGAGACTGAGCTTTGGGCTGCTTGGCCGCGATAAGGACGACGAATATCACGCCGGCATGGGCATTCGCAAAAGCCTTCAAAAAGTGCTTGGTTTGGGGGCACAACCGGATGGCCAACACCATTGATCGTCACATTTCGAAGGACATATAAGGTCCGATGGCTGGCGCCCGACGAGGAGATGATGACTTCGACTATTGTATAATGGCCTAGGACATGAAAAGATGTAATGGGAGGCAGCGGCGTCTAGAGAAACTGGAAATTGCCTTTTTGGTATAATGCCTGGGGGTGCTTTTTGTTTATGACATGCAGACACTGTATTGGTGAGGTCTGTCTTATATACCCACTCAAGCGTATAGGTTTGGCGAAGAAAAGGGATTGGATGGCTTCCGCTGCTCATGGACTTTTTCTTTACATTTTTTTTTATGATGAACGAATATTCTCTTATACCGGGAGTGAGCAGCGATTCTACTTATAATCCCCTCCTGAAAATACGGGTAGGAGGGCGATGAAGCTGGTGTATGGATTTTGCATTTTCGCTCGGCGTTGCATAGTTGGTATGGGGCTTCAAATATCTCTTCTCAGCGTCTCTTTTTTTTTTGTTTCCTGTGACCTATAATATACCTACGTGAATAATATATACACATCGCATCACTACTCTGATTCATTCTCGAATAGCTTGGCATGAGGATTCTTCAGCAGGGTTGCCACCGCCGCGACCAAATCATCCAGCAGCCCTCTGGCAAATCCTCCCCAGCTCTCAAAAGTTACAATTTCCAACGTGAGTTTGTTGCTGTTGTCGTGAACAAAGGCTTGGATCTTCCACTCGCGTAATGGCTCTTCGTGCGGATACACCGTCTCCAAGCGACCGCTTCCTGCAGCGGCAAACGCCAGTTTTTCGACGTGTTCGACATCCTGATGAACGACGGAATCAAACCACAGGTCCGACGCTTTGGGGCCGTCGGGCCGTAGCCAGTTGGTGCCACACAGGGTGGCTATCTCGCTAAGACTGACGCCCTCGTGTGCAGAGCTGGCGATGTGCTGATGCTGCAGGGCAGAGAGGACTTCCAAAGCGGTACATCCTGGTGGGAAGCGCACGCGGACGGGGATGTATTGCCAGCAGGGGCCGGTGATGGCGTTGGCTGGGCCGTGCGGGAAGTCGATGTTGCGGCCGCTGACGACTTCGCCGAACGTGACGTCGCGAAGGGAGAGGCGACGGGCGAGACACAGCGCCCATGCTGCGGTGGGGAGAGAAGCCACGGTGATGTCGCGGAGGCGCGAAGAGATGTCGACGGTGTGTTGGATGGCAAAGTGGTTTCGCTTCTGGACGGGGATGTCCGGCTTGAGGATTGTCAGGGACGAGCCGGAAAGAAGGTCTGTCCAGTAAGGGATGCTTTCGGGCAGATTACGGCCGAGGACGTGGTGGACGTAGGAGGAGAACGGCACGCTTTCCTGGACTGGCTCGTCTTGATATAGAGCCGAGAGCTGCTGTAGCATGATGGGGAGGCATATCTCGTCGTATTGAGCGTGCGAGAGGCGGAAGATGAGGCATGACTGGCCGGTGGTCGACTCAACCAGGAACCATTTCACGAAACTTGATCCAAGCGGCAATCTAGTCATAGCATCCAGACGACACAGCTGGTTAGCAAATGCCTCGATGTCGCCGTCAATGGCGTATTCGACAAACGAGGGCACCAGTTCTTCAAGGACAACGGCATAGCCTTCGTCTTGGTGCTCTGTAAAGACGGTGCGCAATATCTCGTTGCGGGCGACGAGCTGGTTGCAACTTTCTACCATCTTTCCACGATTCACGACGTTGTCGAAATACATGATCTCGTATCGCGCCGAGAAGCGCGGGAGCTGAGTTGTGCCCCTGACGGCAATCTGCTGCAGGGGACGCGTGGGAAGAACATTGGTGATACGCCAAGTCGAATCGGCCAACTGAGGAGCGATTATGTCGTTGACGAAGCGCAACTTGTCCTCCTCGTCTTGTAGACTGAGCAGGGAAAATGGTTTCACTTTCTGTTCTTCCATGGCGGCGCCGTCTGTAGATGATGTTGGCTTCTCGACTTCTTCCATGGCATTTGCCATTTCGTACAGCGTTCTCTTCTGGAATATCTGGACCACGGTCAATTTGATTCCTTCCAGCCGAGCTTCTGACACAAGCTTCATAGCCCCAATAGAATCACCGCCGAGAACGAAAAATCCATCATTTAGACCGATATCCTCTTCGCTCAGACGCAGCACGCGGGCCCACAGACTGCGCAACTTGCGCTGCCTGCTGGAACTCGCTGATATCCGGCTCTTGGTCACTACTGCTTGGGACGCTTGTACATTCCTTTCGCTGATAGAGTCCATCAATTTGATGCGGACGGGGTTTTGAGTTGAGTCGTATTTAGCTAATCGTCCCGTCCTGTAGAATCTTCCCTGTGAGAGGGCCGTGGAGCTGGAAGTCGCCTCCAGCCAAGTTGGAGGAGAGATTTCTGTCAAAGTGGACAATTCTTCTGGGTGTTGAACGATCAGCTCACCAACTGCGAACACCGGAACAAGACTGTTTGGGTCCTTGGAATCCGTGACATAGGCTGCTTGAATGCCAACAAATTCTGTTGCTGCGTCACTAATATCTGCAGTGAGCATTGTATCCCGAAGCTCTTTAGTATTCTCATCAGTCAACGACGGTTGGAGGCTCCTTAGAGTGGATGAGCTTTCCTTGTACAACAATTGTGCAATCTGCTTAAACTGGTCCAGAGCTCTTTGCATTACAGGAACTGAGACAGTCTTGGAATCGAAACTGGCCATTATAAGGAATCCTCGCGGATCTATTGAACAGACGAGCATGAGAGCATATGTGTTGAACTTGAGAGCTTCTTGAGCAGCCTCTGCGTCTCCTGCTGGGACAAGACAGCTTGCAGGGAGATCTTCAGACGAAGCTGGCTCATCGTCTGTGCTTGGATGAAGCACCAGGCCTGTCCGCAGCTCGCATGCATCATAAGCATCAGGACTGAGTCTCCGTATGTGCTGCAAGCCAAAATGCTCGTGGGGAATCTGGTCCACTATTTGCTCTTGAATACCTTGAAGATAGTCCGAAACATGTAAGTCTCCGTCTATTTGGACACGCACGGGAACGGTTGTGATCATTGGTCCTTCAATCTCCTCGGACCCAACAACAGGCGCATTTCGACCGGTCAGCGTCTCTCCGAAGATGACATCGGTACTGTTGATGTATTGCGATGCTACGAGAGCCCAAGCCGCTCTAATGATTGTAGCAGTGGTGGCATTTGAAGCTTTCCCGTCTTCGAGAGGAACGTATTGCTCTAGCAATGAATCGGACTGTGGCTGATACCCCTGCCATGGTAGAGGTGGAAACTGGGAGGCGTTGGCTCCTGAAAGCTGTTCTCTCCAGTAATTTGCAGAAGAATCCATGTCCATAGTCGACAGATACTTGATAAAGTGTTTGAACTCTGCTGGTCGCGATGATGTTTGATTGCTGTATGCTTTGTTTACCCGATCAACAACCAGGGGCATAGACCAGCCGTCGTATAATGCGTGATGGATGGTAAGCACAAAGCTGACCTTTCCTGTGGTGCTATCATCGATAATGGCATAGCGGACAAGAGGTTTGCCTAGTTCCATTGCATCATTTCTGTCATTCACCAGGTACTCGTCGAGATTGGTACCTAAGAACTTATTCAGCTTCTCCTTGATAATAACCTGTACAAGTCCGCGCCCAGGAATTTGCACGATTCTTGTGCGCAATATGGAGCTATCTTGCTGTACGATATCGAAAGCTTCAATAAGTTTCTCAGCCGTGGCGATATCTTTGAGTTCAACGACTCTCTGGGCGATATATGCTTCCTTGACTTTGGCTGACAAGGCCATGAGGGCTTCCTGGAGGGGAGTGCACGGATACGCATCCTCTACAGCGCTGGCTTCAACGCCACAGAGAGCGGACATCTCGTTTCGTGCATTTTCTAGATCCCAATCTTTCTCTAGTAGTGAAAAGGGAGGGATATCATCTACAGACGATTCTGAGACCTGAGTGGCTTTTGAAGCCATGCCACTGAGTGTTGGATTCGTAAAAATGTCAGCAACCGTCAAGGCGATGCCGTTCTCGCGAGCGGTCACCACGAGTCTCATGGCACGCAGAGAGTCACCTCCCAAGGCAAAAAAGTTGCTCTGCCTGTAGATATTTGCGTCTGACCCGAGGGCTTTGATCCATGCCTGTTGCAACTTCTTCTCCGTTTCAGTTTCTGGATCTTCTTCCTCCTGGGTCTCGGTTGCTTGCATTCGGCTGAAAACATCTCGCGGTATGGCGGCCCCAATCTCACGCAGTCTTTTCCGATCTGTTTTCCCAGACACCAACGAGGGCATGTGCTGAAGAGTCACGAATGCTGCTGGGACCATATATCGTGGCACCCTGGCTCCCATGGCTGTATTGACCGTCGCCAGGGCAGCTTTAAGCTCCAATGAAGGATCCACGATGGTCGGATCAACTCCAGAGGCCCCGGTAGAGATGGATTCTGAAAGGAATGCCACAAGCGAAGGTGCACCTCCATTCTCTGGCTTTATCACCTCTGCTGCAACCTTGATCCCGCTTGGCAAACAGGCCCGTAGGTGATGCTCAACTTCTGTGAGCTCGACTCGTTGGCCTCGAAGCTTTACCTGTTGGTCTTTTCTGCCCACAAACTCAATGGAGCCGGAGCCGTTGCTTTCATATCGCACAAGATCACCGGTTTTGTACAACCTGCCAGGTCGCCCGGGAAAGGCATTGTAGCCGGAAATCAGCCATGATGGGTCTTCAACAAAGACCTCTGCTGTTTTTTCCGGTTCGCCGAGGTAGCCGACACCGACCACTGGGCCTTCGATGATGAGTTCTCCAACAGCTCCAACAGGCATGAGAATGTTGTGGTCCTCAGGATCGACAATCCAGGTCACGCCGCCAACACCCTTGCCGATACCCGTCGAGATGGTAACCGTATTGTTGATGGTACAACCGACGGTACACTCAGATGGTCCATATGCAATAATTAAACTAGTGTGCTGACTCCAAGCCGCTGCATCACTCGCAGACACCGCCTCACCACCAAGACCTAGAACATCCAGAGATGGGATAATGTCGGAATCTAAGACTCTGGCGACGGAAGGAGTCATGTGAACCATGTTGGCTTTACTCTGTCGAATGGTGCCACTGAGATCGTTCATCCTGGCTTCCTCTGACGGCACACATATTTGTCCTCCAGCTGCCAGTGTACACAGCATGCAGTCGATGCTTACATCAAAAGCGTAAGATGGGAAATCGAAACAACGGGAAGTCGATTTGTAACCAACAGCCTCTGCTCTGGGAATCGCACCGCTGGTATAGTTGCAATGGGTAATGACGACGCCTTTTGGCTTGCCTGTGCTTCCGGAAGTGAAAATAATGTACATTGGCGTTTCTGCAGATACGTGAGGCAAGGCACTTTCCGAGTCGGAATTTTTGATACCATCAAAGTAGTCCCGAGATATGGCAATAACTTGGCCTCCCACTCTAGATATCTCTCTGCCCAACTCGCTCTGAGCTACGGAGGTGATGACGAGGTTTGCCCCTGTCTGCTCGACTATTGTTTGTAGTCGTGCAACTGGCTGGCTTGGATCTGTGAGGGAGAATGTTGCACCGGCTTTCATGACTGCCAGAACCGCAACAACAGTCCACATTGACTTTTCGAAGCATAGCGGAATTCTGCTACCGGCTCCCGCATTCCTCTGTAGAATCTGCCTAGCAAGCTGTGATGATAGGCTGTCCAGTTCTTTGTATGTCAAACTTCCATCCCAAGATTCAACAGCGATTTTCTCAGGCTGCTGCTGAGCTTGTTCTGCTATAATATCGTGCATGCAGCGTTGTATATAGGTAGGCACATGCTGATTCCACACCCACAGCTGTTCGAGGTCGGCAGTGCTAGCCATGCTGTTCTCGTTCGCTGGTGCTCCAGTCTGTTGCTCAGCCGTTGGCTTCTTCAACTCTTCGGGGCTCGCACTCGGGCCCATTGCGAGACTGGTTGAACTGGTATAGCCATTTCCGTCTCCATCGATAGCCATTGCGGCTGGTTTGCTTGGACGTGATTTGATGGTGTCGTAAGGTTTACATCAATAGCGATAGTCAAGTTTGAATTTTTCGACGATATAAGGAAATGCGTGGGGATCCGTTGTTCAGCATTGGTTTCCAGAGCCAGGACACACAAGCAAATGCCTCTCTTCATCATCAGATGCTGTCACTTCCCGCCTCCGACGATGCCCGCGCCGCGCCGCCTCGGAGCTAAAGCAGCTGCCCTCATCAATCCCAGCTACTCAAGCCAGTTCTCGTACGGCATGCACCCTCTCGGGTAAATCATCATAGCTTGACCCCATCTCCAGCAAGACGACGGCAGTTGCCCCAAGCTTCAACATGGAAGCGTGAACCAAGTGCACGTTTCAAAGCGAGGGGTGCGGCTATCGTCGACGCATGACAAGGATCTTGACCCATTCAAAGTACCGTGAGGGGGTCTGTTTTGCAGAGAACTTGGTGGTACGTCGAAGGAACCTGTTTCCCCTTGGGGCCTAATTGACGGATCAGATAAAAACTGGTGGGGGGATCCAGGGTTGTGAGTGGAGCGCAATTAGCCTAGAGCTGGGTCTTGGGACGATCTGATAACTTTTTTCATCATCTCGATAGTTGATTGGTGTTTTGCGCGTCGAAGCTGGGTGGAGAGTGGAGAGTTGGAAGAAGGAGAGAAATTGTGTAGCGAAGGTGGTGGAGGATGGGGGAAAAAGGTGCGTGCAGTGTACATGTACTTTGGTTATAGCACCGTAGCATGTAGCATGGCGATGCGAATACGGAAGATGGAGTTGTTCACGATGCCACGATTACGTACATGCACATACGCAGCAATTTTTGTAGAAGAAGGCAGACACATGTTTTGTTATTGTATCTTTTACGCGTAAATGCTGAGGCAAGTTGAGTATGAATATGGATGGCAATGTCAGGACGAATAGCGAATACACCAAAGTGTCGATTTGTTATCCATCCATTTGAAAACTACCTACCAAACCAACGGCAGATCCTGCTTCAGCAAAAAACGACTTGCGCAGTGCCAAGCATATTTGAGCAATTATACATTAAAATCACCTCATCACCTGCGGATACTATTATGCACATTAATTGCCATCCTCCCAGCATCCTCATTTGGTAAAGTAGCGGCCTTCACATGCCAGCAGCGGCTATCGTACCTACACCCCTTCCCCTGTCCACCATCCACAAGGCACATGTACAAATACATTGCCTGTAGCGACGGCCACTTTACGGATTTGAGCTAGAAAGATCTGATAAGAAAAATTTTTCATGTGTCTCTCAATTCCCTCATTGTGCTAACGAATGCAAGGGCCAGACCGATTTCGGTATTTCGTGCCTATGTTCCAACGGCGCAAAGACGGTGGTTTCACGAGTCAAGTGGATCTCCCTGATTCTCTGCCATGATGAAATCTTATCAGATCATCTGATTACAGGATCTATGACTCTTGATGCCGCGGAAACGCCGCCTGGGGACTTGGCACTTGGTTCTGTTCTCGGCAATTCTCGGATGCCCTGACAGCAGGAGAGGGCCTTGCTTCGAAAGAGTGGGAGCTCAGCTTCTCCTGGAATTAGAGGAACCTTTTCAGCTTGGCATGTCCTCGGATCAATATGGCATACTACACGACTTGCTAGGCTTTAGTTGGAGTGAAATAGCCGGACTTGCAGTGGGTCTTGAAGTGACAAACGGGATGGAATTGATCAACTAATTCAGCAGTTCCTCGGCTACGTAGGAGAGATGTCAAGCTGCAAATAGAAGACTGTAGTGCCCATTATTTTGTATAGTCAATGAAATCTTCGAGGAAGCTGCAACAATAGAGCTTTTCGCATTCCAGTCCCTCGAGATTTGCCAAGATGGCCGAACCAACAACAATCCAGCCAGATCCTGCACCGTCCACGCAGAAGCTTTCTTTACTTCATGGTCCATCTGATCCTCCCCTCGTCGATCTAACTCTCGGCGAGCTCCTCGAGCTCCAAACCTATCAATATGGCACGAAAGAGTGCCTTGTTATTCCATGGACAGGCGCGCGATGGACATATCACGAACTCAACCAGCAAAGTTCGGCTCTGGCCCAATCTCTGCTCAACATGGGCATTGGCGTCGGCGATCGTGTTGGCATTATGGCTGGCAATTGCGAGCAATATGCCGCAGTCTTCTTTGCCGTCGCTAAGATCGGTGCCATCCTCGTCATTTTGAACAACACTTACACGGCGACCGAAGCGAAATACGGCCTCACATTTTCCGACTGCAAGGTCTTTTTTGTGACGCGCACAATTGGACGGACGGACAACACGGCGCTGCTGCGAGACTTGCACAATGAGGCTTCTCCCATCAAGGTTGTCATGCTGAGAGGGGAGGGCGGCAACTACCCAACTTATGATGAGCTCGTCAAGGAGGGTTCTCGGCAAAGCCACGAGAGGCTGTATAAGGCCATGAGCAAGGTTCTTCCTCACCAGGTTGTCAATCTGCAGTTTACCAGCGGCACAACGGGTTTGCCAAAGGCGGCAATGCTAACGCATCAGTATGTCCAATCCTGCTCTCTTCCTCCCAGCGATACGTATACTAACTTTCATTCTCTGCGCTTAGCAATTTGGTCAATAATTCTCGATTCATTGGTGATAGAATGCGACTTACCCATGTAGACGTTCTGTGCTGCCCGCCACCTCTCTTTCACTGCTTCGGCCTTGTCCTCGGACTTCTTGCCATTGTTACTCACGGCGGCAAGATTGTCTACCCAGCAGAGGTCTTTGACATTCCTTCAACACTCAAGGCCATTTCCGACGAAGAATGCACTGCCATTCACGGAGTCCCTGCCATGTTTGACTCTTTATTCCAAGCGGAGCCCCCGGCCAACTTTAAGTGCGACAAGCTCCGCACCGGCATCATTGCTGGCGCTCCCGTTCCACGATATCTTATGGAGCTTCTGGTGAATCGCTTTGGCATGACTGAGTTTACTAGCAGCTACGGCCTCACGGAAGCTTCTCCTACATGCTTCAATGCCTTCACCGACGATGCCATTTCAAGGAGATTGACGACGGTTGGGACGCTGATGCCACACGCACAGGCCAAGATTGTTGATCGCGATGGCAACATTGTACCGATTGGCACAAGAGGCGAGCTTTGTATGGCTGGATATCAGCTACAGGCTGGATATTGGAACAATTCGGAGAAGACTAATGAGACCATGGTTCGGGATGCGGCGGGAGTGCTGTGGCTGCATACGGGAGATGAAGCGGTATTTGATGAAGAGGGCTACTGCTCCATCACAGGAAGATTTAAAGATATTATTATCAGAGGTAAGATGAAACTTATGACCTGTTTAACGGCATCTATTTCTAACCGTCATTTTCTAGGTGGTGAGAACATATATCCCCTAGAAATCGAAGAGCGTCTCATGGCCCACCCTTCCATTTCGCGCGCCATCGTAGTCGGCCTCAAGAACAAACACTATGGGGAGGTTGTTGGAGCATTTGTTGAGCTGGGCGATAACGGCAACAAACTTACCGACCAGCAAGTCAGAGATTGGGTCCGCAAGACACTGGGCAACCACAAAGCACCGGCACATATTTTCTGGCTGGGCCAGGATGGAGTGCCTGCGGATGTGCCTCTTACAGGAAGCGGCAAGATTCGCAAGTTTGAGATGGCAAAGTTGGGAGATGAGATTTTGAGCAAGATGGCCAAGACTTCGAAGCTGTAAAAGGGGCAGAAGAGTATACATGTATATAGATGTAGAGCATGATTTCAAGATAGAATGGAGTTTATTTATTGTTGCTTGACAAAATGCAGATATTGTTTTTTTTTTGTATATACAATTGAACTAAAAAGGCAATTGGCATCCAAAACAATGATATAGAACTACATGATATTTTATTCCAGAGACCTATTCAATCAAGCATCTCCATCGCGGATCTACAGCTTCGGAACCAGCCCAATCCTCATGCCACCAACTGCCTTCTCGTTATCGCCCAGCGGGCAGAGCTGGAAGAAGCGGTCTCTGTGGCAGCGCACAAAGGCACTTCGCTTATGCGGCAGGTCGATAAACTTATCAAGGCCAAAACCATGGATGAGGTCGTACATGACGACTGTCGAGTTGCTGTCCTTGGGCTCGCCCACAACGTACATGGTTCGAGGATCGTCAAGATAGAGGTAATGCATCAAACTGCTCCACCAGGCAGATACTCTATGCGGACCGCGGAAACGGACATCGCCAACGAGGGAGTGGCGGCCACGGTCGAAGTCCTGGGCTTCATAATAGCTTCCGAGCCGATCCTCCTATAGATTTGATTCAGCATTTTTCTTTATAAGTGTATTACACACTTGTCATGTTATTTGTCTTACCTTGGCCCAGTAAATCTCAAAGTATGCAAAGTATGTGTCGTCCCACTTGGCCAGGACGGCAACTTGGTGCGGATCGACATGCATCTTTCGTAGATACTCTCGGTGTTGCTCCAAAGTGCCCGTCTCGTTCCAGCCTTGCGACACACGAGGGTCGTTTTGCCACTCATGGAAGAGCCTCAGGTGCTCGGCATCTTGCCAATCAAGCGACACCATCGAAAATGCCTCTTGCAGGTGGGGGATCCATCGACTGTAAATAACAGCACCGGGAGCTGGCTTAGCGGGACGGATCGGATGCCATGTTTGCTGACGTCGGTCAGGGTCTTGAGGATCGCCGGCTGAAGTTATTGTCATTGTGTGCTGGAGAGGCGTGAGGGGATATGAGTTCAATGGATTGGACGAGGGCAGAGATGATGAAGACTCCTCAGGACACCAGACAGGTCGAGGACCGAAAGGAGATCCAGCGCCTTGCCAGAAAGTTGATCGCAAGGCCAAGACAACAACACTATCTGTGGTTGTGGATGGCCCTGGCTGCTCTTGAGGGCGGAGCGGATGGTCAATGGCAAGAACAACATCCTTCAGCTGCTGTCCCAAGACAATGGCGTTTGCGCCAGTGAGCTGAAGTCTGACTGTTTCTATGGAAGATCGCGTGGTGAAGAGCACATAGAGTATCATCCACGCTTGCGCCAAAGTCGGACGCTCTTTAAGAGTATCCCACGATATGGTTGCGCATGGCGATCGTCTGGCGCGTGCCCAGGCGCTGTTATTCGAATGCGGCGGCAGTTCGTTTGATTTGAGATCAATTGGCTCGGTGAAGACGGCGTGGGAAGCGTGAAGCTCTACGGGAGGCTTCTTTCCGGAAGCGGCGCTGGGCTTGATGTTTAGACGATAGTGTTCAACATTGTTGTCCGCGGTTGGTTCGGCCGACGCCTTTTGGATAGTGTATTCGGTATGATAGGGATGCGGAAGCTTGATCACAGTCTGATCAGGGGGTATTGACGAGAGAGAAACATTAGCCATTGTAGCTTTGCTCTACAGTGTAACAGGAGGACGGCGTGTAAGTCGTCTGTCAAAAGTCAGGACGAATGGTTAAGTGATGCGCTGGTATTAAAAGAGAAGAAATAAAATAAAATTAAAATAAATACTATATGCATCTACAGCAAATTTGCCTACTAATACAGCAGCTACAAGTAAAAGCTTCACCTGCAAGAAACTGGCTGCTTGCCAAGCTACCTCGGCCGACAGACTTGAGACCAAGGACTCCATGCCCGCACCTTTCCGCCTCATACATTCACGTAATTTGCCCAGTTCCAGCATGTGTATGCCACGGTACTTGCTACATGTACAGGAGGCAGCTGAAGCTATGAGGAAACGACCTCGGGAGCTATAGATGGCGCTCGGTTCTTCTTTTCCTGCCGTGAATGACGAAGGATCTACGGCTGATCAGTTCGCAGCGAGAATGTACCGGTATCCTGAGCCTAGTCCCATACAAGCTGGAGAAACACCATCCACTAAGGACTTCAAGGTATAGTAGGGCCAGGTATAGTGCGAGTACAGGTAGAGATACAAAGTTGGAGAATAGGCCCAAACACCAACTGACACTATCCCCGACTCTATCTCACACCCCCTCCCCTGCATCTCAGTCCCACGTTTATGCTTGTACAGTACACCAGTACACGCAGTAGCCATAAGAGGCAGAAAAAGCGACGAGTCGACCAGCTTTGCCAAGACGAGTCCAGCCACCGAGGGATAGGCGATGCAACCCTGTTGGCTCGAGTGGATCTAATCAATCAGTCAGGGAGATAATCTGCTCAGGCTCCCACTTGCAGAGTTTTCCTTCTCCGCCTCTCGCTCGGACGCTCCATATTTGGCCCAGTTCCTTGTTTCCCCCCCAAGTCGCCCAGGTAAAAAATTCTCTTTTGATTCCGTAACAGTTCGGTTACTTATTACCCGTGCCTGAAGCCGTTTCTGGGTTGTTCGCACGAGTGGCGCCACCCGATCCTTGCGCTTCGAGCGGATCAGATAACTTTATTGGAGCATGGCCGGTTGTCGGAGCGGCTAAAAGCATCCTGCCCTGGACATACATGATCTGATAATCCGAGTCTCTTCTCTTGACTACTGTACATACTGTACTAGCAGATTCCCCACCAACCATTGCGTGTCCTCCGGGGACTAGGAAGTTGCTGAATTCGAATTCGCGCAAGAGATCAACGGCGGCTTTTGCCCTATGCGTGGCGCACAAGTGCCGGACACCCGCTTCGAGAAACATTGACGAGGAGTCCGTGCATTTCGCCTCGATCTTCGGCAGCAGCAGCAGCATATGTAGTCTACTATTTCTCCATTTGTACTGCATTGCTGTCGCTTCTGGTTAGAATGGCGCCGAAAGAGAGGAACCTTCTCCATGGCCGAAGCAGGATCGGCCACCATATTGAATTGCCGTTGGTTCAACCCGTCGCGATAACGATGGAGGCAACAAAATCTTTTACGGCACGGAAATACCATTGCTGATGGATGGGTCTCTGCTAGTGCAACAATACAAGTGATAGCCTGGACGAAAGGGATCCATGGAGCCTTGCGCCAGTTACAAAACAGCAACCCTTGGCCGGCTCTATCTATCACGCGGCACAAAGTACCGACCAGGTAGTGCTGCCTTTACTCCTCCTCCTCTCCGTTAGTCGTGCAAAACTTCCTGTACTTTCTTACAACTTGATTTAACCGCCACATTCCGGGTTTACTCCCACATGGTCAGAGTGCTAAAACGACTAAAGAGTATGGATGTTGGGACTACGGGAATAGCATCTCCTCGACTCGGCCCAATGCTAATACGATGGAGACCAATGGAGTGTTGATGGCTGCATATCCTTCCCCAACTAGCCTCTCATTGGCCTCGATTTATTTCGACAAGCATTGAGTTTCCAAAAACCGCGTGCCGGATCCGAATTGTACATATCCAAGTACATGAAGCAACGGGTTGGGTAGGTAGTCACGACTAGTGTAGTGCCGCGAACCCTGTCTGCACCCATTCATCATCCATGTCAGCGGCAGAATCTAGAACTCTTCAACCTTCTTCATCCGTCACCTCTGAATTGATAAGTAGCATCATTATCCCTGGTGGGTGACCTCGATGGCCCGGATCGCCAACTACTGAGCTCTGAAGCTGCAAACCACGGATCCAGTAAGTAAAAGGCATCCCGCTGAAACAGCTGACTTGCGATAATCTTCTAGACAGACAAAGTTGGCTAACATCAATTCTTCAAGTCATGGGCGTCATCAAATCCCCCGAGCGCGACAATGTCGACGGCGGCGAATCTGGAAAGGAAAATCTAGATGTCAATGTCGGCCCTCAAGACTCCGACCTGGACGATGGCGTCAACCCCAATGCGCAGGCCGGTGTGCAAAACATCGAGGCCATCACTTCCGTCTGGACGAAAAATGCGCTCTACACTGCATTTGCCATGATCTGGGTCATCTATTTCGTCGACAGCATGCAACAAGGCACGACGGGCACACTTACGCCTTGGGTCACGTCCGCCTTTCAGCAGCACTCCCTGACGCCGACTGTCAGCGTAATGAGTAGTATCATAGGAGGTGTCTTTAAGTTGACACTGGCCAAGGTGCTTGATATTTTTGGTCGTCCCCAGGGTTACGCAATCTCTATTTTGTTTACCACGCTTGGCTTGATCATGATGGCTGGTTGCAATAACGTCGAGACCTACGCCGCTGCACAAGTATTCTATTGGGTTGGGTACAACGGCTTGGACTACTCGCTGTCAATCTTCCTCGCAGATACAACATCTCTGAAGAATCGGTTAGTCAATCGCCACCCTCGCTCGTGTGTCATAAACATGAAACTGCATACATGTAAGGCTAACAAAGGGTTGTTGATAGAGGCCTCATATTCGCTTACAGCAGCTCGCCTTATATCGTCACCACATGGCTCGCCGGCCCCATCTCCAACGCCTTCTTGAATGGTCCTGGTTTCCGATGGGGTTTTGGTACCTTTGCCATCGTCACCCCGGTCATCACCTTGCCGCTCTTCTTCCTCTTCATGTACTACAACAAGAAGGCCAAGCAGCTCGGCGTCATCCGTCCGCGAGAAAGCAAGGGAACCTTCACGCAATCTCTTCTCCACTACTGCCGAGAGTTTGATATCGTCAGACTTCTCCTTCTGTCAGGGGGGCTGGCTATGTTCCTCCTCCCCTTCAACATCTATTCCTACCAAACGGAAGGATGGAAATCGTCTCTCATCATCGGCCTTTTGGTTGGAGGATTCGTCACTCTCATCGTGTTTGCCATTTGGGAGCGATTCTTTGCGCCCATTACGTTTATTCCCTACTCTCTTCTCACGGACCGCACCGTCATTGGCGCCAATATCCTCGCTTCCTCTGTTTTCGTCAGCTTCTACATCTGGGACAGCTACTTCCTTTCTTTCCTTCAGGTGGTCAACGGATTGGATGTGACTGAATCCAGCTATGTTGGCAACATCTATAGTATAGGGTATGAGACAATAAGTTATCGCTTACATAGAGGATTGTATGGCTAACAAGACAATAGCTCCTGTTTATGGGCCATATTGGTTGGCTTCATCATTCGAACCACCGGAAAGTTCAAGCCCATCTGCCTCTACTTTGGAGTCCCCGTCACCATTCTGGGTGTTGGCTTGATGATTCACTTCCGTCAGCCCGATGTTAACATTGGTAAGCCTACGACCTTTGTTTTAGTCAGCATACCAACTACACGTCTTGCTAACGATTCTCTCTTAATTATAGGATACATTATCATGTGCCAAATCTTTATTGCCTTTGCTGGTGGTACCATTGTCATCTGTGAGCAAACAGCTGCCATGGCAGCCACCTCTCACCAGTATGTTGCGGTTGTGCTGGCTGTAGAGGCAATGGCTTCGTCTATCGGTGGTGCAGTTGGATCTACTGTCTCCGCTGCAGTCTGGCAGGCCGTTTTCCCTAAAAAATTGGGAAAATATCTTCCTGATTCCGCACAGGGAAACCTCACACAAATCTACGGAAGCTTGGAAGTTCAGCTGTCTTACCCTATGGGATCTCCTGAGCGCATTGCTATTCAACAGGCCTATGGCGATAGCCAGAAGATGATGCTGATTGCCGGTACTGCCGTGCTGTCATTGTCTCTGGTCGGTGTAGCAATGTGGAGAGATATCGATGTGAGACAGCGCAAGCAGGTCAAAGGAACCGTCTTTTAAGCGTTGGCTATGGTTAAAAAGGCGATGTTGGAGTTGGATATTTCGCCATATGAGCGTAACCTGTTCCACTCGCCTCTATCCATGCAGTTGCCTATTATAGCATCATAGATTACATATATTCCCATTAATAACAATAATTCTTATACAATTCTTTTCCCTGGATGAGTGCATACCGCAAACCTTAAATACGTACGGAGTAGAAGGCTACACTGGGCGAGATTCTCCTTTAAATTCCACGAGTATCATTGCTAACCGAGTACGCATTGCTTTGTTGACCAAGAGCAATCACGACGGACACTGGAAGAGAAATAATAACGGGAAGAGGTACATAGGGAAGAGACTTGTAAGAAGGGAAAAGAATCATTAAGTTTATGATATATATTTCTTTCATCATTCTACTCTATTTGTAGATATTCCATCTAAAGCAGCATGCCAACTCCTCAAACGCCATTAACCTCTTCCATCGACCGATATATCTATTTCTACGCATGTTGTCTCGATTAATTATGAAGAGCTTGTTTCCTGTGTCTTGACATCCTCCTTCCGGCTGCCAAGCTGCATGTAGTCCCAGCAAACTGTATCATTCATCAGCATAACGAAGACAATTGAGGGATTGTTGAATCGACTTACTTCCCCAGCCCAAATCATCCCTGAAATACGCCTGCATAACCTCAGGACCCGAAACAACGCCGACATCCGGTCCATATGCAACAGCATTCTTGCCCACCGCCAAGCCGATCATGGGCGGAATCTCCTGCAACTCCTGGAACTTGGGCTTGTGTTGCGCAGTATGCTGCAGCACACTCTGGTGAATGTTATAAGCAACGTAGTGGCCGCCGTGCATGGCGGCGCCGCAACGCTTGATGCCTGACCATTTGGCCACGTCGCCGGCGCAGAAGTGCGATGCGGCATTGGGGGTGCTGGGCTCGAAGCTCATGCTTGAGAGGGGAGCACAAGAGTTAGCAATGTTCAGTGAAGTAGGTGCTAGATATATGGAAGTTGGGAATAGCATACTTGGGAACAATCTTGACGAGTCCTTCGGGATCAGTGGCCGACGAAGGGAGATATGAAGCCGTCGAGATGCTGTTGGACAGAGCCATGATGACTACGCTGGCCGTCATCTTATGTCCATTCGTAAACTCGACTTCGTATTTCGACGAGCCATCTGAGGAATCGACCTTGGTAGAGCTAGCCAAGCGGTGGCTCATCAACACGTCGACGCCAGATTCCTTGACCATATCCAATGCCTTGTCCTTGCATTCGTCTGGCAGCGGCTCGGATGACATAAGCTTGTCTCGTGAGTGCACCAATGTGACTTTGAGATGAGGCTTCACATGCTTCAGCTCGGCAGCCATCTCAATGCCAACAGCACCACCTCCGACAATAACAACTCCATCTTTAGCCCCATCCAGAGCATTGATTTGCGTCTCGACTTCAAGAAGATATTGTTTCCGGGTCAAAGACTGGGGCACAACAGGCCACACCCTCCTCAGGCCAGTAGCAGTGACGAAGTAGTCGTACTGGTGAGTGACAGATTCTTTGGTGGTGCTGTCGACAACAGTTGCAGTCTTGGCATCGCAATCAACGTTCGACACTGAGCCCTGGACGAATCGGACGTTGGGCAGTTGCAGACCAGGGATGTCTTGGAACTTGACCCAGGCTTTCTTTGCGTATTCCGTATCAGCCAGAGCCAGTGGCGAGCCAATCAAGTGATCTATACTGTATTAGAGCCTCCTTGAGTCGTATCGCACTGGTAGTGATGCAAATATGTTGGCACGACGTACAATATCCATCTCTCTCATCAGCAATGGTGATTTGGAAATTCACCTTGGGCACACTAGGATGGTGTGTATACTGCTCATGTGCCATACGCGGTGAAAGTCCATCGCCCAAATCAAGCAGATTGACAGCCGCAGAGAGGCCAGCGTAAGAGCCGCCAGCAATAAAGACCCTGACGACAGGGGCAGCCTCCGGAATAGAACCCATAATGGTGTGAGCTGGAATAGCAGTGCTTTCGGTAGCAAGACGCAGATGGGGGAAATAGTGAAGAGCACGGAGTTGGACAGGGCTCAGGAGATTTCGATAGCCAGTATTTGGTTGAGTGTTGAGCAAGGAAAAAGATGAATTGTTGGTGCAGCTTGTGGTCCGCCAGCGCTTGGCTTGTTGCGACGAAACTACTTGAGCCGCGATGTGCCGAAACGTTGCCCTAGTCCTCAAGACGCCGATACTAGGACTCGATGACCTCAATGCAGAGAATGGCACAGAGTAGTTCATTGTTGCTTCGTCACTGCCATCGATGCCAAGCTGTGAAGCGGGACTGCTCCGTTCGTTGGAGCAGGCGTCATCTGCGGGTTGAGGACATTCGCCCAAGGGGGTGTGAACAAAAGGATCCCCTAGTTTATATCCAGTAGGTAGCACGCAATTCCCCGAATCAATGCAGCTCGAAGGGCGTCCATCTTATCAGATCCGAGGCCGAGGCCGTGAGGCTATGAAAATCCCGGCCCCCCGGACAACCGACGCTCCACCTCGAAGACCGAGCAATACAGCGGTCTTGATGATCCGAGACCAAAGATAAAGAGGCATTTTTCAGGCCCAATTCTCTTTACGCAATGTCTTTTTTGTTCTCCCCTTTGCCAAGTATGTTCTTGATAATCGCTGGCCGATTCTCGGACGCTTAGTGGAGACGCTTCGCCGAGAGAAATTATCTGATCCGAACCAAGGTCCCCGCTTCGGGCCACACAATTACACAATTGGGGGCGCCATGTACCGGTACAAGCTGCACGACAAGGATTCGCTTGAGGGGGGCGTGTATCTTTGTGAATCGAGGAACATATGAGTGACAAAACGGTACTTTCAGTCCCCTTCACGAGCCCAAGCGGTGGATATTGTCGGTCTTGTCGTATGTCCCAAGGTATGGAGCTTCTCATCACGCAGAAGCACTAACTGGTGGCTCAGAGAAAAATGATACCCTGCTGGCTCATCAAGGGTCCATGCTTGGCTGCTGCGAATTCAGTGTGGACCAGCTCCAGGGAGGACACAGCAAAGAGGGCATCATGGCAGCGTCTTCAGTAGCCGAGTCAATCGCGTCCGCTGTCGATCATGCAGAGAGAGCTCGGGGATTAGCGGACCTTGCGTGACGGCAAGTAAGCTCTCAACTGCCGGAAGCTGTGCAGCTACATGTAGCTTTGACGGCATTTTCATCTTGAACATCAGGCCATCTTATCCCATCTCTTCATGTGCTAGGACGGGCCATGAGAGTGTGGCGGCTTGTAGAATAATCATCGACAAACCGCGACTAGCCAGCAATGGCCGCTCAGGACGACGCAGCAGCCTCCAATGGCGCGACCGAAGCTGCTACGGTGCCTCAAGATGGCAATGAAGCCATGGTAGAATCCATCTCCAATGCTAAAGGGGAACAAAAAAAAGCCAAAAAGGTTAGTCTGAATTGCCCAATCTTCTCTATAGACGCTGTTAAGCTCATGAGCACGTTCAGTTCTTCTCGGAGTTCTTCGTCTATTTCCAGCTTCTCGTCTACGCCAACCCAACATGGATCGACATCTCCCTTCTCGTCACCGGCGCGGTTTCCGCAGCTGCAGCAGGAGTGCCGTTCCCTCTCATGGGAATCCTCTTCGGCCAGCTCGTCGACGACCTCAACACCGCCAGCTGTGACGCCAAAACCCCTGACGCGGACGAGGCCTCGCGCATCCAGTCCTCCATCGACAGCAAAGTCCTCGAGCTTACTTACATTGGTATCGCCAGTTTTGTCCTGATATACATCTACATCGTCAGCTGGAGCATCTTCAGCCGTCGACTAGAAGCACGCATCAGAGACCGCTATTTCCAGGCACTGCTGCAGCAAGACGCGACTTTTTACGACCAACGCCAGGCCGGTGAGCTTTCATCTCGCCTCAATGCAGACGTCCAGGCTGTCCAGTCAGGTACCTCCGAGAAAGTCGGCATCTGCATCGCCTGCACGTCCTTTTTCTTGACGGCATACATCGTCGCCTTTATCAAGAACTGGAGGCTTGCGGCCATGCTTCTATCCCTTATCCCTGCCTTCTTCCTCATGGCTGGTCTGGGAAGTGCATTCACGGCGAAATATACGAGTGCCATGTCTGACGCGATAGGATCCGCCTCGTCCATCGCTCAGGAGACCTTGTCCAATATTGCTGTTGTCCAGGCTTTTGGTGCCGGGCCACGCCTAGAGGGCAAGTTTTCTTCCCAGATGATGAATGCTCAGAAAAAGGGCATCAAGAAGGCATTTGCCGCAGCTGTCCAGGCCGGTACTCTGTATTTCATTGCCTACGCCGCGAATGCATTGTCCTTTTGGCAAGGCAGCCACCAGATTGTCAAAACAATTGCCGATCCCAGCGGCGTATCAGTGGGAGAGATTTACACCGTCATATTCCTCCTCGTGGACGGTAAGCTCTGAAATACGATGGTAAAGATGACCCGAATCTTCACTAACACCCATCATAGCTTGTGTTGTCTTTGGCTCGATCGCGCCTCTCCTGCCTCTGCTGGGGGGTGCATCCACGGCATTCCAAAAGCTACGACAAGATATCGAAACCCCAGCCATCATCAACTCTGGATCAGATTCCGGCCTCAAACTCTCAGACTCTGCCGCCGCCTCGATTTCATTCCGCAACGTCACCTTTGCCTACATCTCTCGGCCAGACCAACCTGTTCTCAAGAATGTTTCTTTTGACTGTCCCGCAGGCAAGTACACCGCTATCGTCGGACTATCCGGCAGCGGCAAATCCACTGTAGCCGGCTTGACGACGAGAATCTACGACCCTCAAGATGGAAAGGTGTTACTTGACGGACATGACCTAAAAGATCTAAACGTGAAAAACCTGAGAAGCTTCATCAGCTTGGTTCAACAAGAACCATCACTGTTAGATCGATCAATCTTGGAAAATATCGCACTAGGACTATTCAACTCGCCGTGGGAGAAGTTCCAAAAATTCCAATCCATCATCCTAGGACAGGGACTTGCCGAGGTGGCAGCTAAGGTCAGAGATGGACAGGACTTGACCACCGCTGCACAGGCGCACAGTCAGGATATGGCTGAACTTGTGGAAATGGTTCGTCACTCCGCGTCTCTAGCAGACGCCTCAAATTTCATCGACAGGCTGGAAAACGGATATGGAACCATTGTTGGCACCGCAGGAAAACTCGTCAGTGGAGGGCAGAGGCAGAGACTGGCCTTTGCTCGCGCTCTCATCCGAGACCCCAAGATCCTTCTCCTTGACGAAGCTACGGCATCCCTGGATTCAGCCAGCGAGCGGCGCATCCAGGAGGCCGTCGAGTCCATCTCCAAGGGTCGTACCATCATCGCCATCGCGCATCGTCTGTCCACAATCAAGAATGCTGACAACATCATTGTTATGAACAATGGCGAAATCATTGAGCAAGGCACTCATCTGGAGCTCATGGCTCTGGATGGCTCATATGCCGGTATGGTTCGTCTACAGAATCTGACGTCCAAAGAACATGACGACACACCATCTCTATCCAGCACATCCAAGGGTGACACCGACATCATACTCTCAGAGAAGGAAGCCGCTCTAGATGAAACCACGCGAGCGTCAAAGGAAGAGCTTTCAGCTTCGACTTCAAACGGGCGGGAATCCGAACAGGAGGCTGTTACAGAAGTAAAGGCGCTCGATGACAGCCAGTCACCTTGGACAATCATCAAGAGTCTTGGCCGCATGCTCAGACCACATCTACTGATGCTTCTCTTAGCCGTCTTCTCCGCCGTCATCGTTGGCGGTACTTTCTCTTCAGCAGGTGTCATTTTTGGCAACACGGTTGAAAAGGTGAGTCCCTGCAATTCGACCCATCAGATCCTGTGGGCAGGCAAGTTCTTTGGCGGTCTTTTCTTCATGCTAGCCGTCGTTGAGCTGTTCGCATATACAGGAAGCTGGTTTGGCTTTGGTTACATTGCAGAAAAGCTCCTCTACAAAATCCGCGTGCTCACCTTCCGATCTCTGTATGAACAAGAGCTGGACTGGCATCAATCAGAAGGCCGTTCTCCAGCCTCGTTGCTCTCCATCATCACAGCGGATGCCGCTGCCGTTGGTGGCTTCAGCGGGTCCATCATGGGAACAATGTTCTCCATTGTCGTCAACTTCTTGGTTGCCATCATTTTGTCCCACATTATTGCGTGGAAAATTGCCATTGTGTGCTTGGTCACAGTCCCCATCCTCCTGGGCTCAGGCATCATGCAAGTACGATCACTCTCACGCTTTGAGCGAAAACATGCCGGAGCATTCTCCAATGCCCTCGGCATTACTGTCGAAGCTGTCACCTCGTTCAAAACGGTATCCTCGCTTTCAATCGAAGATGAAATACTGAACACGTATCGTCGAGCACTCAAGGCTCCGCAAAGGGAAATGGCCCTCGCCAGTGTTTACACCAACTTTTGGCTCGCAATCGCCAACAGCATCGGCAACCTCATCTATGCTTTTGCGTACTGGTGGGGCTCAACCAGAATCACAAAGGGAGAATACAGCCAGGCTCAGTTCTTCATTATTCTCATGGCCATGCTTGTAAGTGCCCAGCTGTGGGGTCAGATGTTTACGTTGGCCCCCGAGGTCTCGCGATCCAGAGCAGCAGCATCCAGAATCCTGAGTCTCATAAATCTTGGGTCCTCCAAGCGCCTTGATGCCAAAGACACCGAGCTTGTCCTCTCGTCACGCGGAGAGAAAGATATTGAAGCTACGCCAGATGCAGTCTCAAGTCGCGTGCTCAACTCGAACCGTGGTGGAGCCACAATCACCTTCCGAGATGTCTCCTTTGCATATCCTGCTCGGCCGCACATTCAGATTCTAAAAGGTATGTCATTCACTATACCCGCCGGCCAATTTTGTGGTCTCGTGGGGCCATCGGGAGCTGGCAAGTCCACCATCATGTCACTTGTTCAGAGAATGTATCGCCCGACTGGTGGAGCTGTCGAAATCGATGGGGTCGACATCTGCGCTCGTGAGGGTGTGGATTTCCGCCATGATATCGCCGTAGTGCCTCAGGACTGTGCCTTATTCGACGGAACAATCAAGTTCAACGTGGGACTCGGCGCTGTGCCAGGTCACGAAGCGACCGACTCGGAGATCGAGGAAGCCTGCAAGCTAGCCAACATCCACGACACCATCATGTCCCTGCCCAAGGGTTATGACACAGAATGCGGCCCTAATGGATCTCGATTGTCTGGGGGCCAGCGCCAAAGATTAGCCATTGCGAGGGCACTAGTCCGAAAGCCGCGGCTGCTACTGCTCGACGAAAGCACCAGTGCCCTCGACGCAGAGAGCGAAAGGGCACTGCAAGAAGGCCTAGAGCAGGCAGCCAGAGGCATCACCGTGATTGCCATCACTCATAGACTGCACACCGTTCGCAAAGCTGACGTGATCTTCGTGGTCGAGGGCGGCCAAGTGGTCGATAGAGGACGTCACGAGGAGCTTGTGGAGAGAAGCGAATCGTATAGGATCAATGCCCTGCAGCAGATGTTAGGCTAGGCATGTACATACATAGCGAAGTGAAGCTGCGTCTCAGCATAGTGTGAAACAGAGGAAGAGGCATCAGAACATAATAGATACCAGCCAATAGCTAGAGCCAATTCCAACACGTGGGGGAACGAGACGATAAGAGCGGCTGTCCAGGGGAAATATATAGCTAAGGCATCACCATCTTGGAATCGGGAATTGTCGCCATTCTCTGTGACTCGATCAAAAAAAGGTCTCGAGAGCAAGTCATCTGCCCGCCCCTCACATCCATCAGTCATTCGCAAGGCGGGATGGATGCGCTGCTCCCACCGTTGCAGCGGCTTGTAGAGTGCATAGGCCGCTAACAGGAGCTGTCGCTAGGCCGCCATGCACCTGAAGCCGGTGCGTTCCGCCGCTGCCGCCCTCCCTGCAGTCCCTTTCCCCCCTGGCCCTTAGCGAGCAGTGACCTCTTTAGCGCAGGGCTGTCAGCTGCAGGTCACATGTCTCGTACACCTGGCTTCGTAACGGTGCCGCCCCTGAGCCAGTCACGGCTCGTGGATTTACTCCTTCGATAAGGTAATGGCCGCACTTTTTTCTGGAGACCGGTAGCGCCGCAATTGTGCTGGGATTTGGGATTTGGGATTGGGTCAAGGATTGACTCGGGGAACGGAGACCCAGACTAAGGCATCAATCGCAAAGTTCGATCCGCGTCCAAGGTGGCCAAACCTTGATCAGAATTCCGGGTCAACTCACGGCAGTGGCACGAGACCCTCGAACGCGACTCTCGGCTTCGACACACAGAAGACCTCAACCCACACCACCAAGCTGCCACCATTCAGTCCCAGGAGCGGCCGGGCAATCCCTCCTCCTCCATTCTTGTTACAGACCTGACTGCACCTTCTGTCAACGACAATCCACGCTCGATCGGTGCCGTTGAGCGAGGAGGGAGTGTACAATTGGCTGCATCGCCCAACACGTACGAGCTCTCCGACTACAAAGAGATTGCGGAGCGCAACACCATCCAAGACCGTCAACGCCGACAACAAGAGAAAAGGGCACTGAAACGACAGTGGCTTGAGACACAGGACGAGATGAAGTTCTCTCACAGCCTCCAATTCAATGCTGTTCCTGACTGGAGCAGCCACTATATTGCCTACAGCAATCTCAAGAAACTGTAAGATTCGCCCCCTCCGAGCTTACGACTTGAGTATGTCCATCAACTAATCCTGCGTCTCCCTAGGATATACCAACTTGAGAAGAATGCCTACCAAGCGAGAGCCGGCGATGCTGAATCACGACCCCTGATATCGACCGAGGAGCCAGAGGACGTGTTTAGCAAATCGCTCGGCATAGAGCTGGAGAAAATATGCTCTTTTTACTCTCTCAAGGAGGGAGAACTGCTTGAGGAAGTCAGCCAACTCCTACATGATGTAGGGGAGGGTCCGTCTCTTGAAACATCCACCACACTGCGCCCGACTCAATCCGAAACCCATAGCACTCACGCTCGGCCTACCAGCCTGCGCAGCCGTGGCTCGGATGACGATGACAGCGCAACAGACGATGACGAAACCACAGGCCTCACAAGATATAAGGGCAAGGGTGGGAGAAGACGGACTGCGCCTAGCATCCCAGATATGACTGCATCTTCAGAGTTTGGTCGGTCTAGAAGGCTTAGCACGACCATTGACGACTACGGTGACCAGTCGTTCCTCTTCGGCTCGACGCTGTACTCGTCAGGCATCATGCTGAAGAAGCGCATCATTTCTCTTTATGTTCAGCTTTGCGAACTCAAGTCCTACGTGCAGCTTAACAAGACGGGTTTCAGCAAGGTCCTCAAGAAGTTTGACAAGATTCTCGATAAGGAACTGCGATCATCCTACATGAACACCTATGTCGATACCGCATATCCATTCAAACCAGAGACCAAGAAGTTGCTCGACGAAAATATTGCCAAGATGGAGGTTGCATACGCCGACGTTGTCCTCGGCGGCGACGAGGAGCTTGCAAAGAAGGACCTGCGCTCTCACCTCCGAGAGCACGTTGTTTGGGAGCGCAATACTGTTTGGAGAGATCTTATCGGTATTGAGCGAAGAGCGGAGGCTGCCAGGTTCGGTCAAACATTGCTGGGCCAAGAGAGCGGCATCGCACCAAAACGACTACAGGGTGATGACGAGGTTGGACCTACAGAGACGCAAATCAAAACACCTATTGGTAGAATTATCCTGCCATCATGGTTATCCAACAGCTCTGTGCTCACCCTGGTCATCTCCGTGGTGGCTTTCCTCCTGCTCCTATTCATCCCCATTCTGGAGAATCCTGAGCAGCAAAACTGCCTGGCACTTCTTGTTTTTGTCAGTTTGATGTGGGCTACTGAGGTATGTCACCTTGTCATGTCAGCTTTTCAAGTTTTTTTACTAATTACCTTCACAGACTATCCCTCTGTTTGTTACGTCTCTTTTTATCCCCTTCTTAGCTGTCGTCCTTAGGGTGGTTCGTGAGGAGGATCCGAGCAAGCCTCCAAAACGCCTGACCTCAAAGGAAGCCACCTCGGCAATCTTTTCTTCCATGTGGTCCCCCGTTATTATGCTCCTGATCGGCGGCTTCACTCTCGCTGCCGCTCTGTCCAAGTGCAAAATCGACAAGCGTCTTGCGACGCTCATCTTGAGCAAAGCTGGCACCCAGCCCAGAACCGTGTTGATTGCAAACATGTTTGTTGCTGCCTTTGCCTCTATGCTCATCAGCAACGTTGCTGCCCCTGTTCTCTGTTTCTCCATCATCGAGGTATGTCATTGGTCACTTTAGTCATGACGCTATTCTCAGAGTGTATATATCTAACTTGCCATCATAGCCCATGCTACGAACTCTGCCATCGGACTCGAACATGTCCAAGGCCGTTATCATTGGAATTGCCCTTGCTTCAAACATTGGCGGCATGCTGTCGCCAATTGCTTCACCGCAAAATGTTGTAGCCATGGGAATTATGTCGCCAGAGCCGACATGGCTTCAGTGGTTCTTCATTGTCATCCCTGTTGGCGTGGTCTCAATCGTCCTGATTTGGTTGCTCCTCCTGGTCACGTTCCAACCCGGCAAGGGAACATCGATTGCACCTATCCGTCCTCTCAAGGAGAAATTTACTGGTGGGCAGTGGTTTGTCACCATTGTTACCATTATCACCATCGTCCTTTGGTGCACAAGCCATACTCTCGAGTCTGTATTCGGAGACATGGGTGTTGTGGCCATTATTCCTATTGTCCTCTTCTTTGGCATTGGTATCTTGACCAAAGAAGATTTTAACAACTTTCCCTGGACCATCATTATCTTGGCCGCTGGTGGATTGTCGCTCGGCAAGGCTGTTCGATCTTCGGGCTTGCTCCATACCCTTGCTGAGCTTGTTTCGCACAGGGTCGAGGGCATGAGCTTGTACGGTGTTCTCGTTGTGTTTTCCTCTTTGATTCTTGTCATTGCCACCTTCATCAGCCACACAGTTGCCGCCCTCATCTTCCTTCCTCTGGTGTACGACGTTGGCGTAGCCATGGACCAGCCTCACCCTAACCTCCTTGTTATGGGCGGCGTCCTGATGTGCAGCGCTGCGATGGGTCTGCCTACCAGCGGTTTCCCTAATATGAGTAAGTCTATCCAATCATTTCCCCCTCCGAGAGAGTGGCAGCTAACATGGCGTAGCCGCCATTATGAAGGAAGACGCTACCGGTCAACGTTACCTGAGCGTGAAGCATTTCATCAGCAGAGGTGTACCAAGCAGTGTGATTACCTTGGTGGTTGTCGTGACCCTTGGATACGGCATTATGGAAGTTGCTGGTTTGGACTAGTTGGTGAGAAGGCTGTTTGATGGGCGAACGGAGCATATATCTAGAATTGGATTTCACATATGGTTGGTTGTATGGCATATGGTTTTACATGGATGACAAGGATTGTAGGTGATGAGAAATTGTGTCAAGCATCACAAAGAATATATATTATCTGCAATTGTTTATTAAAGAATTAAATGCCTACCTTCAATTGAAATTATATACCGGGCAGTGATTTTTGGCAATTTCCTTGCACTGTGTCGCGCCCTACTCCGTGCTAGCTTAGGCCAAACTCATGTGCATTGACGTCGTTGGGATAGTAGCGGCGGCACCTGACGTTGGACAGCTCCGGCACCTCCTTCAGGCAAAAATGGCACCGTAAGGCACCTCGGCTTCTTGCACGACATTCCGGATTCTGTGGCTGCTGATAAGGAAAAGAGAGAAGGGGAAAATCCCAGGCTCTAATTACATCGGCACTCATCTGATGCACGTCTTGAAAAGATAACATTCTCTCCCTGGAGCTGGGCGGCGCCATGCTCTCCGCCTTTACAGCCCGTCCGATCATCGAGCTGCGGCAGCGGGACAAGTCCAAGATCGAGACGATCCTTGCGTATGGTAAGGACCAACATGTGCTGATTGATGCGCTCTTCCGCTGTCCGGGTCTTTTTTAACCGCGTCTCCAGGCGACCGCATTCTCGTCGGGCTCAACAACGGCGCTCTTCGCATCTACCGCCTCAACGAACTTCCTGCTAATGGCTCTTCGACGCCTCCACACACCGCAAATGCGACTCCTCCACAGAATGGCGACCACGCGGCCGCAGATTCGGTAGCCAAGCCGACGGATTTGCTGCGCGAGGTGGAACGATTCTCGACGCGGGCGATAGAACAGCTGGCCATCATCAAGGAGGCAAACACAATCGTATCCCTGTCCAACTACCACGTCTCTCTCTACGACCTGCAGTCCTACGACCTCATTGAGACCCTTTCGCGAAGCAAGAATGCGTCCTGCTTTGCCATCACGTCCAACATCGTCAGGGATCCCGACACGGGCGTCCCTGAAATCATCAGTCGGCTGGCTGTGGCTGCGAAGCGGCGGCTCCTGCTATGGAGCTGGCATGAGAGCGAGCTCAGTAATGAAGTCTCCGAAGTGTTGCTTTCCGAATCGATTCGATCAATCACATGGGCGAATGCAACAAAAATAGTTTGTGGCATGAATGCAGGCTATGTCATCGTCGATGCCATTACGCAGCAGATTGAGGATATCGTGAGTCCAGGTGCGGTTGGAGTGTCTGGTCAAGGCAGCCGATTTGGAGCTGTGAGCAGCGCGGGAATGGGATACATGGGTCTGGGGAGCTACATACCCAAGCCGCTGGCTACCAAGTTGGCTGATGGGGAGATGCTTCTTGCCAAGGACATCAATACGCTGTTCGTCAACGATGAGGGCAAGGCACTGGAGAAGAGGCAAATACCATGGCAGTCGGCCCCTGAATCCATCGGGTATTCATACCCGTATATCGTTGCACTGCAACCTCCATCCAAAGGCTCTCTTGAGGTCCGGAACCCGGACACTTTGTCTCTCCTACAGACAATTACTCTGCCTGGAGCCGCCCAGCTACACTTCCCTCCGCCTACCGTAAGCCTAGCTCATGCTGGCAAAGGATTCCATATCTCGAGTGACCGCTGCGTGTGGAAAATGGGAGCTACAGACTATGACTCTCAAATTGGGGAGCTCATTGAGAGTGGCAAGTTTGATGAAGCCATTAGCATCTTGCAAATGCTTGAGGATGCTCTGTTGAAGAACAAGGCAGAGACACTAAGAGAGGTCAAGATGTTAAAGGCAGAAACTCTGTTCAAACAAAAAAAGTATCGGCAATCGATGGATCTGATGAATGAAGATGACGTCCATGCACCGCCAGAACGAGTCCTGAGGATGTATCCTGTTCTCATCGCAGGAGAATTATCCAGGTGGACAAATTATCAGGAAACCCCAGAGAATACCGAAGCAAATCCGAAAAAGATCAATGGAACGAGATCAGATAGTCCAGAAACTGTCAACGAGCCTCTGGAGTCGCCTACTGCTGTGGGAGGATTTGCCAAGTATTTCAAGGGGTCGCAAAGGAAGCCGGCCGAGGTCGCTTCCATCATCTCGAAAAAGGATGGGGAGACCGAAGACTCGGACAACGCCAAAGAAGCGCCAGTGCCGGAAGACAAGCCACTCTCGGGTAAAGAGCTCACAAAGGCCGTCTTGGAGTTGAATAGCTACCTAGCTGGAACCCGCGCTCGCCTCCAACGTGTCATTGATCCCGTCACCGGTAAACTGAAGCCGCGAACAGACCAGCCTAGCTCAGCAGAAGAGGCGGAAGACCGACTCCTGAAGATCACCATGGATGAATCGGACAAGGAACGCGAGCAAAAGCTACGCGAAACTTTCCGCCTGGTTGATACCACTCTCTTCCGCGCTTACATGTTCTCGCAGCCCTCGCTTGCGAGCTCTCTGTTTCGCATTCCCAACTTTTGTGACCCAGATGTCGTCAATGAGAAGCTGCTGGAGCACAATCGCTATACGGAGTTGATTAACTTCTTCCACGGCAAGAAACTGCACAAGTCGGCACTGGACTTGTTACACAAGTTCGGCGCTGTGCCAAAACCGAATGAAGCAGCACCTGATCTACACGGCTCAGATCGCACTATAGAATATCTAAAAAGCCTTCCACCTTCCGAAATCGATCTTATCCTTGAGCATGCTAAATGGACATTGAAGGCAAATCCGGAATATGCTATGGAGATATTCATTGGCGACACGGAGAATGCGGAGACCTTACCGCGCGAGAAAGTCTTGCCTTACTTGCAAGAATTAGATACGAAGCTTGAGAGGCAATATCTAGAACATATCATCATGGAACTCGACGATAGTACGGCGGATTTCCATAATCGACTTGTCGAGCTCTATGTTTCGAGTCTGAGTAATAGTGAGAGGGGACATGATTGGGATGACCTAGAAGAGAGATTTGTCAAGTTCCTGCGAGAATCTCGACAAGTCTACAGTCTCACCAAAGCGTTTGCGTTGATCCCCAAAGATGGTAAGAGAACTTTTGATTTCTCACATAGGACCTCTAACGCTTGAGAGATACTAATGGGCACATAGATCCCGCTTTCTATGAAGCACAGGCCGTCGTGCTAAGCAACATGGGCCAGCACAGACAGTCGCTCGAGATTTATGTGTTCAAAATGAAGGACTACGTCAAGGCAGAAGAGTACGTGGCCGAACCATTCTAATGAGAAATGATGACAGTAACAACTAACCTCCATCTAGCTATTGTAACCGCGCACATAGACTGCAAGCTCCATCTACAACCCCTTCGGATGATCCGGACGAATCCGTGTCTGTATATCATACACTGCTTTCTCTCTATCTCCAACCACCTCCACCCCACAAGCCAAACCTCGAACCAGCCCTAGATTTGCTTTCCAAGCACGGCTCTCGCCTCCCAGCCACATCAACGCTTGGGCTGATCCCCAACGATCTTCCTGTCGGTTCTCTCGAGGCATATTTCCGGGGGAGAATACGGGCCGCAAATAGCCTCGTCAATGAGTCTCGGATCGTGGCCGGCTTGCGCAAAGCAGAAGGTATAGCAGTGGCTGCTGAGTTGCAGCTAGGAGACGGCAAGCCTGGAGGTCAGGGCGGTAGGAACCGCCACGTCATCATCACAGATGAGAGGCATTGCGTCGTGTGCCACAAGAAATTGGCTGGCGGGATGCGAATGGGCGGGAGCGTGGTAGCCGTGTTGACAGACAACACGGTGGTCCATTATGGTTGTTTGAGCAGAGCAACGGGCTCCAAAGCGGATGGTTTGAGAAAGCCCAGCTGGAGTAGAGGGTTTTAGACGCTCACATTGTCGGATATTTTCTTGGTTTTCTTTTTCGTTCTCTTAGCTAGGTTGCTGCTCTTCATCTTCGTTGGAGTCGCTGAACCGGGTTGGCTTTTATCTGTTCGTATGATGTGGCTATACCCTTCTGTACACATTCTAAGGCGCGCTGTTTTATATAAATCGTATGATGTCTCTGCGAGCATCTTGAGTGATATAGAACGATTTAATCATCCTCTTCCTGGACTTCCTCGCCGTAGTTTTCTTCTTCTTTTTCGTCGTCTACAGCATGCACGGCGCCGGCAGCTTCTTCGCGAGCTTTATCCTCCTCCATGCGGGTCGTGAGCTCTTTGTTGATTTGGTCTTGGGCCGTGGCAATAGAGGCGCGTAGAGATTCAAGATATTTGGATTTACCGGCCGCATCGAGGGTGGACGGCGCGGGGATAGACTGGGTGACGCTAAAGGGAGCGTTGTCGGGAGAGGAGTAGGATGCCGTGAGGGCAGTATCCGAGGGTGCTGATTGGGCCATTGCGAAGAGTTTGTTGAGAAGAAGATGGGATGAATCTGGAGTTTGCTTGTAGATGCTTTGTTGAAGGGAAGATGGCTAGTGGGGGTTGTAGAGAGCTTTGCTGCGGCTTCAATGGAGGGGCAGAAATCACGTGGCGGTGGAAGGCAGATATACCAGCCTCGAGCTCAGTTCCGGATGACCAAGACGGGTATTTGCTCTAGAGATTTGCTGTAGCATTTCAACTATGATAAGAGTCATTATGACTCGACAATGCAGCTTTCAAGTACGCTTTGTGGTAGGTGAATGCATCAACACAGTCTCTATTCCTCGATGGGGATCCTCGGCGATGGATCAACAGATGGAGAGCTTATCGATTTGACAGCAAGCGCGAAAACTGTCTGCCAATGGCTTTAGACGAACGATTTACACGCCAGATACGGAGACGTCCGAGGCAGAGAAGAGACTACACATGGTTGGGATGAATCTACTAGTATGAGTCATTCCATCCGATCTCTGGCCCTAGAAGGGTCATGAAAAATCTACATGGCTGTTGTCCGCGTTAACGGCCAGGTTGATAGCCAAATTGGGTAGAGCAATTGGGTATCACCATCATCAACAACGACAGCAAAGAGTTACAAGGGCCATAAATGAGTGGGCCATTACGAAGGAACACAAGGGCTCGGCATGGCGGTACACGTTCGTTGTGTATAATATCTAGGAAAACTCGACAGGAGATGCGAACCGTTAGTAGTATTCTTGAACAAGCAAGGGTAGCAGATTTCCTGCACAGCATAATCATACCTGAGGAAAAAAAGAGGTGAAGCATCGCCCTCAACAGAATGATCGGAATTGTGTGATTCATCTTGCACAAGGCAAGACAAACGCTGCATATCGCACTCAAGTTTGCGCAACAAGCTTCGCAACGACTTCCCATAGGCACCGGGAAAGAAACCCACGCATCTTCCCCCCGCAGAGCAGAGGTATACACACGAGGCCTCCCGGGCCTGAGATTTCTGATGTCTGTTGCAGACGTCGGGATGACGCCAGGCCATCACAGGCGGACTCGAGAACACAACGATGAACGTGGAACCGAGCACAGGAGGCGGCACGAGGCCCCTCCTGCTTTGAAGCTTTCTCCGAATTTCCCACATGCGAGGAGCAGAATGCGAGAGGCTGCTTGCGCAGGCTCTCTGTTTGTAGCATGGAAACGCAGCGTTGAAGAGGGCGATGCTTGGGGAGAAGCAAAGCCAGAATTGGCGGGCACGACGATTTTTTTATACTGGGCTGAAGCTAGTTTGTGAGCCCCACATGCAGCAGCCGTGCCTTAGCCTGAGTGGAGAGCTGGACCAAGGCCGAGCCGCATCCATCGGTACTTGTGCGGGCAGCTTTTGTAGCAGGGCGAAGGAGGTACCTGTTGCTGCTACCAAAGTTCCAATTGCTTTGTCCATGTGTTTCATGGAGATTAATATTAGTTGTTTGAGAGCAGCTGGGGTAAATCTATGCCTCGTGATGCAAAATCCATGCCAACATCCATATCATTCTGCAAAACGCGCCTCTCTCTCTTCCTCTCTTTCCCTCTCTCTATTATACCACCTGCACCTACGATACACCCTGTATTGCAGCGCTGAAAACCCTTGGCAACAGTGTGACAACGCTTCATGCATGTCTGTCGATCTGCTCCTCAGCAACAACTAGCACTGGCCGCAACGCCACAACACCCTCCTCCTCCCAACCACCAGCCTTGTATTAGCAGCGACTTTTAGCCTCCCGCCGCTTCGTCTTCTTCTTCTACTTCCTCCTCGCTGCTTCTTACTTCATACTCCTTGCTTATTCACATCCCCGTGTCGACAAGCCTGCCAGCAATTCTGCCCGCGGGGCCTGACGGCGATCTCGAGCCTGACACGGCGCCAGAATCGTTGCGGCACAGTCAAGATGTAACGAGCCCCTCGCCATTCCACGAGATGCAGCCCTCAACATCATCAGCCTTGGGACGGTCCCAGGGCCGCGCTCCAGGGAGCTTCTCACCCTTGCCCAGCATGCCTCGCTCGTCTAGCGACATCCAGACGCCGGTAGCGTCACGACCACCTCCCCTGCGCATTGACTCTCCCAGCAGTAGCGAGGAGAGCTCGCCTGCAATCGCCATCCCCAAGACGCGGCAGCAGAGCCTAAACACCCCTTCCACGCCGATATATCAACAGTTTGCCACCAGCCATGCCAACTCGAGCAACGCCAGTGTCCAGCAGACTTATCCTCGCCCAGCCGCACCCCGAACCGCAGCTCAGGGAGCTTCGTCGCCCGTCCTCAAGACCCATTCGAGGAAACACGCTGCCACGCAGGGCATGTTTGAGCCATCACTGCCATCGACGAGCACCTCCAACCTATCCCAAATCGGAATGAATCACAACAGCCAGGCCGCGGCCTCTGCGGCTGTGGGATTGTCAGCCAGCCAGATCGCTGCGCAGGCGGCTGTCATGTCCCATCAAAATACCCTCCAGTCGCGACAGCGCTCCCAGACGGCCCCAGAGACTGAGGGCGCGAGGAGAGGGAGCGGGAGCAAAGGTCCTATAAGTCCACCCACTTTGAGCCTAACGGAGGCGAGTGCGCCGCGAGAATCTGCCTTCATCGGCCAAGGAGGAGCACATCAAGACAGGCTTGGGGCCGCCGCCTCACAGTCTTCGGCTGCTGCTACGGCCGCCGCCAATGTCGTGTTCCCCCGGTCTAGTAGCAATTCTCCCAGGGACCCGTCCGCATCACCACAGCCGCAGCCATTCCCATCACTACCCACTGCAGCCTCTACTTCCACTATCTCAGAGAAGCCTCTCTCCAAGTCGGAAAAGGCAAAGGCAAAGCTGTTCTCGCGGCCTTCGAAGATTAGTGCCAAGGACACTAAGGAAAAGGCATTGCCAAGCCCAGGCAAGATTGGTTCAGCTTTATCAGCTCTCCAACGAAGCAACTTTAGCTCAACCAGCCTCGCAGATCCCAGTGGCCAGTCGTTTTATGCTCTCAACAACTCGTCGTCAGCAACCATTCGGCCAAGCGAAGTCACTGGAGAAGAGAAAACCAAAGAGAAGGAGAAGAAGCACCACTTTCTATCAAGGCAGAAACAGAAGCTCAAGGACGAGTACCACTTGCCTCTCTCATCAGCTGCTAGCAACTCAAGGCCTACCGATCCAAATGCACCAAACAGCCTTTACAACTTCAGTGTCCCCGCCAGTCCAGGCCCTACCACTTCTACCTTTGCAAAGGCCAAGAAGGACAAGAAAAATGCGGAGAGATCAGATAGTCGCATGGACAGCGAATCGGTCCCAGGGGATTGGCCAGGAAGCAGCAGCCTGCCATCCATGTCACAGCAGTCAAGCAGCTTATTCGACCCGATTGATAGCGGGAAATCTGTGTTGACCAACTTATCTATGGACGACGCCTGGCATTATCTAAAGCCAAAGCTTCTTGTCATTTTCCAGGGCGAGGACCTGCGAGTCCCAGTTGAGGATATTAACCGTATTGTCAACCTGCATATTCAATGGTGTATTCATAAGAGGTCACCGAATAAAATGCTAGAAGACCTTAGAGAGCTTTTATCCTCGGGCTTCGCTACAATGGACAGAACCCTACGAAGAACGCCAGATGATCGCTTCATGCCGACTCTGGTGGAGCTGTGGCTCTTTACCTTTACTTCAATCCTGCCATATATGCAAGCGGCGTTATTGCCCCTTGACTTGGAGGTGTCAGGCTGTGGAACCATTATGACAGCTGAACAATCTCGGGACTTCTGGGGCGGCGTTGTCACGGCCCCCTCTCCCTCGCCCGGGCAGGAAGCACGAGTACTGCCTGCAGCTGCCGCCCTCGACGTGAGACGGCTGGTCTTGACGGCCTATCGTGATGCCGTCATCCTGCCGCGGTACGATACTCTTAAGACCATATTCTCCCGCCTGTCTCTCGAGTTCCTCCCCTCGGCGTTTGCAAACATGGCACTCGCCTCCCCTCCTCTAGAACCCAGCCTCTCCGCATCGCCTCCCGAATCCTTCTTTTCCATGGCCCGTCCAGGCACGGCCATGTCTCTCGACCCTTCAGTCGGCTCATACAACTCCACGAGCACCACCCTTCTCGGGGACGGCTCTGCTGGCAGTCGCAGCCGGGCTGTGAGCAACGTCAGTCTTGGCAGCCGGGGCAGCGATGGAGTGATTCGCCCCTTCACCCCGTCTGGGGCCCTTAGCAGTGTCCGTGAGCAGAATGTCGAGGATTCGAAACAGGTGGCTGACATGGTGGGCCGGATGCTCCAGTGCATGAGCGTGCTCTCGAGCATCGGGGGCGTGGGCGGTGATGTCGACGACGAGGGCAACAGGAAAATGGTTGAGCTGTGCAAGATGCTCAAGCTCAACTGGTTGGGTAGAGGGCGAACTGGGCGCAACAGGATGGGCATTGTCGGAGGCAGAGTTCGGAGAGATGAAATTCGCGAAGAGGTGCGAGTTGCATAACTCTAGTGATTTGTCTTTTTTTTTTTTTTTTTTTTCCTTTCTTTCTTTTTTTTTTTTTTTTGCAAGCTGTGATATGGTTTTCATTTATATAGCAGGGGGGTGTCCATGGCGTTTTCTATGTGGGCAGAATATACGATTACAGCAGTACGATATCAATTGGAATAACTATACCTCTTCTCCTAGTGGTGAGAAACGAAGACGCAATTTACTGTTGATTTGTCACAGAATATCTACGAGATATCTAGATGCCGAAGGTACTAATGTATCGTATTACTTGGTTACTGGACTTTTTTTCCCCGATGAACTCTTACAGACAGCTCGAGAATGCTGAATTACAAGTACCAAGTCACAAAACGATAGTCAATCATGCTTGACTACCTTACCTACTAAAGATGTATCTACATCCTGCATATCTAAATCGAGGAAACATACTTCTCTCATACTAAGAAGCCGGGCTAGCGATACCAATCCTTCCTAACAGCTAGCAATCAATCACATAGGCCCTCTTTAATGCCACGGAAATCAGGATCCGATCAAGGCTATTGTAATTTACTCGTGTAAGCGTCACTAACAAATTGTTTCAGCGTAACACTAGCGGCCGACCCTTTCTTCACAAACAAGCATCTTCTTAGCAACTTAGCAATTTCTTCGTCCAAGAGCTTGTTGGCAAGAATGTCCACGAAAATATTGGCTTGGAACAATGGCGAACTATTTTTGTTCTTGTGGAAATATTTTTTTCCTTTGCCGTCCAGCGTCGTATATCTTACTTGGAAGGCAAGGCGAGAAACGGGATGTTTATCTGTTGCAGATGTTGTATAGGCCGATAGGTGTTTCTCACCTGCAGGATAAATTTCAATCTTAATATAAAATATATTATCGACTGTTTTCGAGTCATTAGGGAAGTCAATTAGGTAATCTTTAACGCAAATATAGTACTGATGGTTAATTCCTTGTGATAGTATTTGTACTCCTTGTGCTAGTATTTCTTACCTTTGGCTTTTTCCTGCTAATGATCGATTTGGCCACAATCTTTTCTTTGTACTATATTCATTCTGTCGGTGCCTTTCCTTAAATTGGCCCCGGCAATCGCTTCGGCAAATAAGCCCATTTTATCTACAGTGCTAAGGGAGGTTATCACAGATAGGTTTACCTACGCTACCAAGTCCTCAAGGGTTCACCCAAGTCATCAGATCCTCAACTGAGGGTTCATGGTCAATGTTGGCCTCATTCACCACCTCATCTACCACCTCTGAAGTCTCCGCCTGACGGGAAATAGAGGACTTATGGCTAGTCGTAAGAGCCTTAGATGACTCCGGCAGCTGAGATTGCAGCTGACGGATACAAATATCTTGCATCAATGCAAGCTCCAAGATATGTACTGCGGCTGCTTGATGCATTTAAATATCAAACGTCTCGTGCGCATATACTTTTTGTTTTTGATAGCGTTTCTCTTGGCTTTTCCTTATTAAAAAGAGACGATGATCTGGATTCAGTCTGGACCGCTTAGCGAGCGCATGTAGCATAATAATAAGACCGCAAAGCTTGGAGATTGGGACAATGCTAAACCTTGTGGGTTTTTAACCATAACTGGCGCAAGGCCCAACCTTGGGACAGTTGGCCACAAGATAGCCAGGTTTTTACAATAGGCACAAGTCAAACACAGATAGTTGCATATAGCCTTTGTAACACACACCCTGCTGCAAACAATACAATATCTTTTATCCCCGTAAAGAAGTATTATAACTTGATCTGGTGATCAGCTAAATTGCGCTAATAAGAGGGTAAGAAATATGTGACGTAGCTTAAATCGATCGACATATGTTAGCAATAGTTGCTGGAAAAACAAGGAGAAAGCTGATGAATATGTAGCCTTAGTCCTTTCAATTTATTTAAGCCAAACGCATATTGATGTACTAACTTAATACACTGGCTAGCTAATCTAGCAGTTTAACAAACGCCGGCTATCTGTTTTGCCTTACTAAGGTAAGTTGTCTGCTTCCGTAGTAACGTACTCTTTGATGCAGTATTCTGTGAAGAGATATAAGGTTCCAAAGTCCCAAACAATTAGCTGCAGAGGAACGTTAGGGGAAATGCGTGGGCAAAGGTTATTTTGAGGAAATGAGGAGATGTCGGCTATAGACGAACAACTGACCTCATAAGGAAAAAGACAAGAGAAAAAAAGAGAATTTTTTAAAAACAACTGTTGAAGGTAGAAAGAATTATAAGGCATGCTTGTACATTAGGAAAACTTGAAACAAAGCGAGAAAAAGATACAGATTAGCTCCTTACTTTGGAAATCAAAAGCAGGAAAAAAAAGAAGAAGAAGAAACAATAATCATAAATATTGGCTAGGGAGTCAAAAGAAAAAAAGAAAACTATAATTCTGGCACTTATACTCAGATAGTGTAATAATTGGCAAAAAGAAAACCCCCCGCGGGACTCGAACCCGCAATCTCAAGATTCCTCGTAGAAGTCTTGCGCCTTAGCCATTAGGCCAGGGGGGCTTCTCGAGCTACTGCTAGCTCCTTGTTGTGGGAATAGGGTGTCTCACTCTACTTATAAGCTCAATTCAATATACTACAGCTTTAATTGGCCGTTTGCTCTCGATTGAGTCTTCCTATTGGCACCATAATGGTCCGTGCACAGCCCGTTTCCAAAACCTATTGTAACTTTAAGCAATGAAAAAATAGCTTAAATAAAATAAAATAATTATATAAAAATTATATTTAAGTATTTTTTATCTTAATTTTCTAGAAATTTTTTTAAATTTTAATTTTAATGCTATATATAAGCTAAAATTACTGTAAGATAGTACCCTGCTGACACAGCAGCACAATCCCATAAAAGCACACTGGCCTATCTCTGATCAGCAGCGGCGATTACATAAAAGCGTCTAGACTATGCCACAAATGGCCTAAGGCGGCGAGTCCAGTCTGGGCCAGCTCAAGGGTCCTCTTGGGAAAAATTCAGGCACAATCGGCTCCACTAAAAAGTTGGATTGCAATTTCATGCAACATCACGAAACCACCAAAAGTCTGGGATAGACACAATTGCAAGACGAGAAAGGAGGATTCAAACGGCATATATGTTAAAAAATCATATTTGTTTTCATTATGAAGTTCTATGTAATGTCTACGGTGAGCACATAAGCTCTGGAATTCCTGTTCAGCTTTGCAAATGTTAGCTCGAGTTTCAGCCATCGCGTAAAAGACCAACATTGCGATAAGGGAAAAAAAAAAAAAAAAGAGAAAAAACATGTGTTTGATCAGACATCCAAGGAAGTATTAACCCTCATCTGTTCCAGAAAAAGGCTCATCGGAACTCGAGTGGAAACTGCGAATAGTGATGGAAATTTCATCATGAAAAACACATGTTGAAACGCTGTGATGTATATTGAAAGAGACTCACCATATGATGATCAGCAAAATGCTTCGCGGCTGCAGGGTTAATCGTGAATCAAATTGGGATAGCAAATGGCGAGGTATCTAGAAATCTATTGCTATAGCGTTAGCATAGCTGGTCAAGCAAGAAACAATTCTGCAATGAGCACGAGAGGATGAAGGTCAGACAAAGTATACTGGCAAGTAACAGACCCTGAGGATCCGAGCAGTCAAAACTTCTTCATGGTCGATTCGGTTGGGAAAAGAAGACGTTTAATAAGTGTCATCATGAAAAGGGGGAGCGGAAAATAGAAATTTTCCTGTGCGAGGGCAAAAATACATATCGCAAGGGGGGAAAAACTTACCATAAGCCAAAACCGCGTTTGTTTGCAAAACAAATCCCCAACATCCCAGCAAACACGCTGCCTTTCCAAATGAACCAGAAATCCTCGGGAGCCAAGAATCACACTCTTCGAATCATTTGCTGGCATTTGGAAAAGGCAGCCGAGCTGCAAGGGTGCAGGGTTTGCAAGCGGAAGGAAGAAGGTTGGAAGGAAAAGAGATCCGTCGGAAGCCCGCAGGCGGAAGTAGATATTCACAAACAGTGCTAGCAAAATTTTCCTCGCTCATTGCACTGTGAATGCTTCACGTGACGGCGACGCCCGCTTAAGGCACTAGCGGCGGCAGCCGAAAATTGGCGCCTCGGATTGCGTATCTAGTGACCGGAAAAACTGACTGCTAAGGCTGAATGCAGCGATAGGTGACGCAGGTTTTGTGACGAGATGATGTGGGTGCCTCTCTGCGGATAATTGTTGAGGTGCAGCGCAGTAGGCTGTATCGAGGCGACAGGTTGGTTCCAGAGTCTTACGCCTTTGTCATGGCCGTTCCAAGGTCCTGTACGGCATTTCGCCAAACGAGAGCGAGGTGTCAGATTTGGGGGGAAGCACGATTTCGGGTAATGGCGCGGGCGATGCTGCCAGGTACCAGGTATTCCGCCTCTGGAGCATGCAAGAAAGAGGTACCAGATGCTCGCTTATAGGCATAGAGCAATACTAGCGGTGATGGCTAGCGCGTACTTTGCCTCGGTAGAGAGGTAGCGATGCTATGATGAGAAGTGCCAGACGGGCCCAGCCACCGATTTTGGGGTTGGGCAGATGCTGGCGTGGAGTTACAGTAGGCATCTTGAAGAAATCTTGGAAAGGCTGAGGCGTGTTCACGAGGCAGTTTCGCAAGAGAAGAAGCGCAAAAGAGTGGTTGTAGGCGCATGCAATTTGATACCGGTGAATATTCCGCCAGTTTTGAGCGCAATGAGTTGAACTCTACGGAGTACTGGGGCCTTTTTTTGCAACTCTACTGCAAAGAGAGGCTTAGCGCATCTTGTGTCTGGCTTTTTGAAATGCGCCGAACGGAGTATATACAGCAAAGAAGACACACTTGCGACGCATACTTTCTTTTCTTTTGACAAACAAAAAAAAAGAAAAGAGGAAAAAAGAGGGACTGCGAACTGATACCTTTCCAACTATATCTATCTCATCGCCTTTTCCTCTTTTTCTTCTTCCTTTTCCTCGTGCGAGCAACATACCTATCTAGGTACCGGGTAGGCACTAGACTACTAGAAAGTACTTCCACCTCACCGCGCTACTTGCAAACCTCCCGCTACCACAGGTCAGCACCGCAAACACACGCCTCTCGCTGCCTTTTGATTGCCATCGTCAGAAGCGGGGCTCTGGAACGGGATAGTTGCATATTCTCCACCGCCGTCCCCTGGACCTCTCTCCCCTGGTCACTCGCGGCCACCCACTCATACCCACGCAGCAAAGATCCAACGCCGTCTCGCTCCCGCAGGCATTATCGACGCCTTGCCTGCACTGCGACGTCTTTCGTCTCGCCAGACGGCCTGGGACCTGACACAACTTTCTGGTTCTGATTCTGATCCTGCCCGCCTGTCTCTCGATTCCACTTGATTGCCCTCCTCTCCTCGTCCCGTCCCTTTGCCTCATCCCCGTTCCTGTGGGGGACAGTGCTGGGAGTCGCGCTGGGCACTTTTCCACGGCCTTTGCCAAACAGCCCGGTTGGGTCGGTTGCCTTCTACTAGGCTGAAGCTGGCTCTGCAGAATCCCGTTGAATCGGTCGGGGAGATATTTTCTTGCCTTCGCGCCCTGCATCGCGTCCCATCTGCCAGCCTCTTCTCTCTCGTTTCCCTTTGCTTACAACGGCCCGATCTGCCATTCCCGAACAAAAGTCACTTCTCCTTTGGGCTTATTCCCCTGCCTGCTGCCCACTCAGCCGCTAGACCTGTTATTTGTCACCCGTCGCAGTTGTCTTGAGTCGGGCTGGTGTGGTATCACGCATCGCACCACCAACTACCCATCGGACCGCATTAACTGCTGCCGATGCATCGTCGCCACTGCACGCCTCGTCGCTTCTTCTCGCTATAGATTCGTTTTTTTTTTTCCGATACGGATCTGCGCCTTTCGATCGATATTCCTTCCCTCCCAATTTTTGGACGCCCTGGGTACGGTGCAACTGTCTCCACCGCCTACTACCCCGTAATCCACGCTTTGTGGTTGCCGCGACGCGAACTTCGAAAGAAGAACAGACGGAGACGACAACAGAGCGAACTCAACCGACAACAATCGTCAGGCGGGCTCTCTCTACATCGGCGGCGCGCAACCTCTCACAGCCTTCGTCGTATGCTCCCGCGATAGTGTCTACGGGCGCTTGTCGATATCCACGCTGTGGATAGCCGACCTCAACTAGAGATGATGGCTACAAGTATGGGCCCCAACTTCGCGGGGCACCCTGCCATGGGGCATCCGGGAGTCGCAGGGCATCCCATAGGCGGTCCTGGCATGCCTCCCAACGCAGGCCAGCAAGGCGCGCCTGCCGGAATGCCTCACCAGTTCGCCGGCGGCCACATTGGCGTCTCCGGCCCTGGAGGCCCGGTCAACCCTGCTTTGATGGGCGCCATACCGCCCGGTGCCAGTCCTGGCCCGCACGCGGTCCATCAGCTAAGTCCCGCGCAGCAACAGCAAATGTTCCAGCAGCAGCATTTGCAGCAGCAGTGTAAGTGACGGGGGAGAATGAGCCTGGAGAAATCTCGTGGAACTAACGTGGGCGTCGGCGTAGTTGGCATGAATAACCCGAGCGCGCAAATGGCCGCTATTCGACAACAACAACTTCTTCATCAGCAACAGCGGCAAGCCATATTCGCCCAGCAGTTTCAAAACATGGGAGCTGCTGGTGTTAACGGTATGCCTATGGGCATGCAGCTCAGCCCTCAGCAACTTCATCAACTTAGACAGCGTAATGCTGCTGCCGGATTGGGTCATGTAGCTGTAAGTTACTTCCATGTAGGCTTTAATAGTGATGACAGGAGCAAGACGCTTACACACATCTCTCATTCTAGGGGCACACTCCTCAGGCGATTATGGCTCAACAGTTAGCTCTTCAACAACATGCGGCGCAGCAGCAAGCAGCGCAACAGCAAGCCGCCCAGCAGGCGCAACAGCAGGCGCAGCAGCAAGCGGCGCATAATCAGCAAATGTCGGCCGGTCATAACCCAGCGCAGCACATGGCAATGAATGCACAACCTATGCCGGGCATGCCACAGCAGAACCCCATGGCCGCTGCTGCCGCCGCCGCTCAGACACAGATGAGTGCACAGCAACAACAGGCTCAGCAGCCGCAGGGCCAACCTCAGCCGCAGCAACAGCAGCAGCAGCAGCAGCCTGGTCCCCAGTCACAGCCAACGCCTCAGCAAACCTCACAGGCCGGTACACCAGCTCCGTCAGGACAGCAGACACCGTCCCAGACACCCGCACCGACACCCGTTCATGCAAACCAGATCCCGCCAGGTCAAGCTCAGCCTCAGCAAGCTCAAGCACCAAACCAAGCTCAGATGGCCGCTGCTGCCACACAGCAGCTCATGGCGAATTCCATGATGCAACAACAGCAGCTGAGGGAAGGGATGAAGACCCGGTGCCTCTTGAAACTGATGCAGTTTGGCGAACGCCTCAGTGGCTTTCCTGTAGGGTCTCTCCGAAATGCTCAAAGCGGAGTTTTGATTGCTAACACACGACTATTTAGGGAGCGAAGAGTAAAGACGACCTATCATACTGGAATAGATTTGTAGCCCAATTCTTCTCATCACCCAACGGCGTGTTCCGATTTTCATTACACGTAGGCGAGTCCGACGACACACCAGATAAGCAATATGAAATTGCCTACCCAGCGATTGCTCGATTCTTCCACACCAATTACAGCAGTGGCGTTAAGAGTATGCAGCTCATTCTCGATAGCGGAAGTAGTGATAGGCCGCTACCCGGAGACTGCTACTGTATTGAGAACCCCAATGCCAGTTTCGTCTACTGGTATGAGACAGGATCACATGTATGTTCTCTACCTGCAATATTCAAGCAGCCCTATCTATCTTATTTGCGCGGGTTGCTGACTTGACTTTTCTTCAGCTCGTGGCCAAGGGTACACTCCGTGCTCAATTTGATGCCGACCAAAAGATCGAATTATTCGAATTCCTCACCGTAAGACATGAAGAATACGTCTCCCGGAAACACGTGATCGAAGCTGCAAAACCGGCACACGAATGGTATAAGGAGTGGCGTAGCTTGAATACGATAGATGGCAAGCAGTCGCCAGAAATGTCCAAGAAAGGAAAATCTCGCCAGCTCAAGTCGCCCCAGAAGGAGCCGCCTGGAGTTCTTGTTGATCTACCAGACTCGGCAGTTAACAGTAAGGGAGTGACAGAGGCTGTGCATCAGTTCCTCGAGGTATGTGAACACGGGACTATGGGTGAGTGAAGGAAAGGCAAAAACTAACCAGGTGCGTAGATCGTGGAAGTAATGGGCCAGATGAACCCTCTGTTTGGATTCTACCACTCCAACCCTGGCCTTAGTCCCTACGGCGCCCTTGAGCAATACGTAGCAACTCAGATCAACAGCGCAACACCGATAATGAATGGACAGGCCATGGCACAAGGGCCAAGGACGCCTAGTTTTGGGCAATTCCCGATGGGAGCCAGCCCTGCGGCAGTGCACATGAACCTACCTGGATCGCCTCACATCGGCAGCCCTGCGCCAGGCCAAGCACCTGGTATGCAGCTCCAGCCAAGCCAGCAGGGGACAAGCTCAAGTGGGCCGAGCGCAAACACGTCACCGGCTTCCAACAAGCGTCGCCGTCCGTCTACCGTCAAGGTCGAAGATGATTCCGCCACACCGGGTTCTGGTCAAGTCAACGGAATACAGAACAGGGGCAAACCTCAAACACCTCGGATGGCCAAACGCCTTAAAGGCAGCACGACTTGAGGTGCGGTAATACACGATTCACGTTGTCGGACATCTTCTCCTGCCTACGGTTCACAACTATGCCGTAGCACGCATCACGTCCATTTTTTTAATGTCCCTAATCATCATGCAGCATGGTGGCGTCTCTTGCTTGAATATTTTTTATGCTTTCCAAGTATTTTGTTTTATGTTGGCCTTTGTTGATTGATATTGGACAAGTTGGAAAAAAGCTCTGTTTTACAAAAGAGAAACTGGGACGGCGTACTGGTCTCTTTGGCAGTATGCGTGTCTCGGTGGCCGTTTGAAAACGCCGTGCTTCCCGCACGTCCCTTGTGTCGGTGGATTGATACCCAGCGGTTGGTGTGTGCATATGTTGGCAATGACCAAGACCCGGAGAGCAGTTGGACACGCTGAGTGGGAAGCATTGTTGATTCACACGGCTCCGAAAGGACCCAGTGCTCTTTTCCTTTTCCAACATTGTTGTGCTCTCTAAATGACGATATATACGGAGTAGACGCCATGAGATGAGGCGTTTTGGGTCTTGCAACGATGTGCGGCAGTTTAGCGAAGGGAACATTAGAGTTGTGTTGGCGCTGACGGGAGAGAAAAGGAGGATAGGCTCTTATAATTTGGGTAACGGAGTTACTCGTGTACGATAAATTTTATCTCGGAAGACTCGACCTGCCTGGTGGTTTTTGCTTTTACTGCGCCTCGCTTGATTTCTTTTCTCTCTTCCCTGGTTCCACGCTTCCATGGCCAATTTTTCTTTCTATATATATTTCTACCTGGGGATCCCGTCTATCCTCATTCCCCATAACTGTTTGCAAGCAGTGTGTGTCCCAATATGGGGCCGGCACAGCATAAAAGCACTACTCCAATAGCTGGTCAAGACAGAATATTTCGTTTACCCCCCATAGCAGAACCTGAGAGGGCTGCTGTGAGGCAGATGAAGCAACAAAACGAGAGATAGAGAGAGAGAGAGAGAGAGAGGTGTCGGTTGATGGGAGATGTCGGGATTCGAACCATGTGGCGTCGCTGTCAGTCGCCTTCTCTATTTCTCTATTTCTCTTGGTTGTTTGGCGGAGAACTTCCTCCCCCTACTTTCTTTCTTTCTTCTTTATCTTTTTTCTTTCTTGCTTTCTTGCCTTTGTTCCCCTTTTTCTTGGCGTTTAGGAGTTCCGTCACGCAGTCGCTATTTCGATATATAAGCAAGATGGTTCTTTATTTTTCTTTCTTTCTTTTTCGAAAAGGAGAAGACAAAAAAAAAAAACTGGTGTTTTTTTGGAATACAGGGTGTACAAGGGGTGATTATTGTTTTCGTGCTTTTTTTTTATTATAGTATACTGGGGGAATTCTTGTATTGGATTTTTTTTCTTTCTCGTTTTTGGTATACGATGGACAGTGTCTTAGTCGCACATACTGATTTGTCTTTATTATGAAAGTTGCTTCAACTACATGTGCTGTGACGCCTTCCTCCATGCTCTTGTGAAATATGATCCCTCCTCGGTTGCAGCCGTGACGATGATGATGACGGCGGTGATGTTGCTGCTTTGTCAGTCTGTAGTTGTCGTCACAGCTGGAGTTGGAGCTGGAGTTGCATCCGCAGTTGTCGTAGCCACATCGGCATCTCCATCTCCATCTCCATCTCCATCAGCATCAGCATCAGCATCAGCATCAGCATCAGCATCAGCATCACCATTCGGAACACTTGCGCTCATATCGACCACGACAATCGCCTCAAAGCTCTCCCTCCTTATATACCGCACCGCCTCCTCCCAAACCCTCTCATCGACATCCAGCGTCACCACTCTGACCACATCCGCGGGAATCTCCAGCCGTCCTCCCCCCAACCCAACCTGCATCCCACACGACCCCCCTTCTCTGCCCGCGCTCCCCCTGGGCATCACATACAGCTTCACTTTCGCAGCATCGATCCTGCCCCCGGCATGTCGAATCGTCAGCCCATGAAGTCCACTCCACGACCCAATCGCCGCCAATAGCCCGTCTCGACTCGGCACGATGTTTTCCCAGGCGGCGTGAATCCCGCACCAAGGGTGATGATGACGGCCCTCACCTGTCGCGTGACCGAAATAAATCACTTTGAAACCCTTGCTGGGCGGAAAAGCGCTTGTTGGAGGAGCTCCTGGCGGCAGGATGGACACGTTCAGCGGGAGTGAAATCGGAACGGGCATGACGACGACCGGGGGAGACGAGATCATCGTCATGGGTAGAGGGACAACAGGCTGAACTTGTTGCTGTTGTATTGCTAGAAACTGTGATAGCGGCGACATAGCAACCACCATCGGCTGCTGAAAGACATGGTATTGCAAGGGTTGAGACATCTGGGTCGTGAAGCCGGGAATAGAGATATAGTTGTAAAATGCCATCGTCAGCTCATTCAAGCGCTTTTTTACGTATCGATGTAAAAAGGTGAGAAGAATGATGGATGCTCTCGATGAGAAGAATAGGAAGGAAACGGCTATTGATAATTGTTTGTAACTGTCCATGATGATCTTCTGCTTAACAAACCTTCTCTTGGCAGTGATTTACGACACCAGGGAAGTTTGAACGAGGTTGAGTTGAGGTCTATTGTGAATCACATATGCACATGTATTCATCACAAATGGCATAACAAATCATCTTCTTCTCCTACAATGATGGGTCTCTTACATGTCCCCCGAGTCATCACATAGCAAAAGAGCAACTAAGAGATTATTGCATTTTATTTGAGAGTCAAGCAATCATAAACTCACCCCTTAATCCTTGGCCGATGACAATGCATTCCGTGTACAACGTTTACCATTTCCAATCCAATAACCACATGAGTACAAGCGTAAATAAGATGGTATACTAGTCCTTTTGTGCCGCTGGTCGGCAATTCTGATCCTTGCTCTCCCCCAAACTCCGTATACTTTCAGTTAATGGTCAACTTATATGCTTCCAATATGTCCTCATCCTGTCCTTCGTTCCTTTTCCCCCACAGCTCCCATCTCGCGACTGCTCAGAGGCTCTCGGGAGTGGGATTCTCGTGCTTAGCAGTACTTCCCTTTCCTCGCCAAGTGCTAACGGCAGGAATGTGAGCCTCATATCGAACCTCCTCGGTGCCATACGCCCTTGGCGTTAGCTTGATCAATGTGTGAAGCGGCACATTCATCCAGGGACTCTTTGCCTGGTCTTTCTTCATAAAGTATGCATAGATGCAGCGCAAAACTGCCTGGTGCGTCACAATGAGAATGTCCTCACTACGTTCCAGTTCCATTATGATGGGCTCCAGACGGATGACCACGTCACGGTAAGACTCGCCACCGCGGTATCGGTAGTTATACTTGTCCTCATCACGGGCCGCAAAGTCTTCGGGGTAGCGATCCTTGATTTCCTGGTACGTCAGACCGTCGCACACGCCTGAGTCTAATTCATCCAGCGCTTTCCATTGCAGTTGGTTATAGTGCGGCGGGAGGAATCTGGCTGTGGCAATGGTACGTTTCAACGTCGAGGTCCACACTGTCAGTGGGCGGTCATCCTAATTGGTCATTGTCAGCGCTGGTCCTACGAAGCGCACACCTTTTCTTATTTGCCAACGGGTGAATACGAGAGCTTCGCATTGCAAGAAATTCATCGCAACCAGGAAGGGGTATAAAACGTACCCCGACAGACTCTCGCACCAGTTCCGGTAGCTTCTTGGCATACAGCTCGCCTCGGGGAGACAACAGCATGTCACCACCAATGCGCCCACTTAGATTATATAGAGATTCTCCGTGCTATAGGTTGTAACAAAGGCAATCAGTATGATGAATAGGGGAGACGCGCCTTGGCACAGACTGGGATGATTGCTTACCCTTGATAGCCAGACTGATCGTGGCCGGATATGCAGATTCATGAGGTAGTAGACGATGCGACTTTGAAGATAGTCTTGAATGCGGTTAATGATGACTTGCTTGCCGACGTTCATCAGCTTCAGGTAGGTGTAGCTGTCCTCGTCATCGTCGGCGTTGATGGTTTTGTAAACCTTCTCATAGTGGCTGATGCGGTTGCGAAAGTCTTGGGCTGCTTCTTCAGGATCTTGGCCGCGATAGTCGGGGCTTGTTAGCTTGACATCACGGATATTGGCCATGATGACCTCCTCATCGTCGCACTTGCTCTCGACAAAGAGCACTTCAATGCCATGAGCGGTGCACGTGTCCATGACCCATTTGCGGCGTTCCTTTGTAGAATTGGTTGCGTCCAGGATGCCGACAACGCCGCCGGTGCGGAACCAGGCAAGCATGTCAGCAACGGCGGCCTCGGCAGCCGCACGGCGCTTCCGCTCTCCTTCGGGATTGTTAAAATCAAAGAAGTCGGCGGTCGGCTGTGGAGCGTCATGGCGCCGATAGTTGCCGACATTGAAAGTCGCTGCTGGAATCGACAGCCATTGTAGGTATCTCTGGGCTGTGAATCCGAACAAGCAGAGGAAGAATACTGTTAGCTAGATTTCATAGAGTTCATGTGAAGTGGCGTGAGAAAATGGAGGAAATCAGGCACTTTGGATGCTAGGGGAAGAGGGGAAGAAATGGCCCAAAAAGTAGACATTTTGGGGACATGCATGGGGCGGGATGCAAGTGCTGTATAGGAATATATCGGAACCAGGGAATAGGTTTTCACACAACGAAGAAGAAAAAACCACACTTTGGGAAATACACATACCTAGCTGGGCAATGTAACTCTTTCCGCGGGCTGGGAGACCAACCATGACAACACATATCTTTGTGTCCTCGACCTGAACCCCCACGCCATTGTTAGTTTTCGACGGCATTGTCAAGATGATGAAGCCAGCGATGCTGCAGCGGCAGTTTGCTAAAATCAAGTATGCTAATACGGTGTTTAGGGTGTGATAGCAGAGGCATCCGGCGAGACGGCTGATACATATGAGGGCGAAGCAGGAGTAGAGGAGGCAACAGTAACAGCAGCAGAGGCAATGGCAACAAGGGCAATAGCAGAGGACGGCCTGGCCCTCGGATCCCTCCTGAGAGAGAAGGCGAAGGTGAATTCAGCTGATGGATGAAACCGGGAGACAGCCCAGCGGCGCAGAGGATGTCAGGCGTGGGTTGCGTGAGGGTGGCTGAAGACGTCGACAGCAGGTTCAATCAATGAGCGAGAGACGGCTAATCGAACAGAGCGTGACGAGAAGCCCGGCAATGGCGAGTGCGTCAAGGGGTGTTGATTCAAGACTGCGCGCGTGAGGGTGTGGGAATGAGTGAGGCAGCTCAAAAGGGTCCAAGTTTGAATCGACGTCAAGCCGCTTTAGTGGCTGATGGGCACTAAGCCTCAGTGGTCGAGCGAAAACCCACAGCCGAGGCAAGCCTGCAGACGGGCAGCGGGAAAAATTGCTGCAGGGCGGGTAGCACCGCAGCAGAGATGACGGCGGCTGTGATTGGAGGCGGATGACGATGTGAAGATGCAATTCTGCCGTCGATTTTTTTTTGTCGTTTGTCGTGGATGAGGAGAAGAAGAACAAACAAATTCCTCTCTGGAGACAAGGTTTTTGTGGAGATGGAAAAGCAATGATTGTGGATAAGGCAACGAAGAAAAAGAACCTCTTAGTAACCGGTATATCGGCACCCAGAAGTATTGCCTAGTACCAAGCGTTGGCGGTGGTGGCTGCTCGTGACTCGCAGATACAAAATCCGGTACAAGATACCCCAGATCGTCAAGGTACCCGTATACCCGTATCGTATCGGATCGAGCAAGGCAAGTGCGCACCACGTTGGGCAATGCCCAAAGCCCAAAGCCCAGATAGGCAGTGGCAGGTGCTGGAGAAGGTAGGTAGTTCCTGCCAAGCGGAAACAAGCCCAGACGTCGGTTTATCCTGTTGATTGTAACAGGAATAGAACAGGAATAGGAAGGAACAACCGACGGCTTGCTGGTAGGTGTGTGTGAGAGCGTTGAGCCGGTGGTGGTGGCAGCAGCTAATAAATGAAAAATGGCCGCCGGGGGGAAGGAGCTGAGCACGCGGGTAGGCAACCCAAAGGGTAGTGACAGTGCCCAGTTTCGGCAAGAGCGAGCACGAGTGCAACTTGCGCACTGATGTCCTCCCAGGCAGAACCGAATTAAGAAGGAATGGAAATAGAAATGGAAAAAAAGAAGAAACAAGAAGAAGAAGGAGAATTCAACAGGGGGTGAAAAAGGGTCCCCTGTCTCATAACTTTTTTCTTCAATGCTTGCCAACGGATTTTCTTCCAGCAAACGGACACACCCCGCATTGATTGTCGTCTCCTGTTGTGAGATTTTTGCCTTAGCTGGTACGGTATACAGCTCAGGCCTCTCCCCCCCTTCCCCTTCAAATTCCATCCAATTGTCCCCGTGATGCGTTGTGCTTATAACACGGAGCAGGAAGTAATTACGATTACTCCATATTGCGTGGTTGATTTTGCCCGGCGGCTCTCCGCCCCCTGTACCGAGCAGCTCGCAGTGGGGGAGGGGGGCGCCGCTCTGGGGAATTTGGAGCTTCAAGACGGCGGCTCACGGCGGGAAGACGCCCTGGAGCTGGGCGCGCAGTTGGCACCAGTTAGGGGCTTAGCACCTAGGCAAGTGCGCTGCGGGGCCGCGAGCCGCTGGAAGCCCTTTAGTGAAGCCCTTTGGTGCAGCCCCTGACAGCGCCCGCCCAGCGCTGGTGCCCGAATCGTCCCGGCCGACACTCCATTTCGATTCCGATTCGAGGCGCCTCGTTTTCGTGGGTGGCAGGTGACCGCCCGTGAAATGAAGTAAATCACAGCCAAGTGTCAACCTCTTTGTCTCCGCGTCGAACCATTTGCGCATCCGTCTCGCCATCTCGGACGCGGCCCAATCGCAACGGCCCGACGATGTTGCTGCATCGGTTGCAGTTCAGTTGGATGTTGGACCTCCATCACAGTGACAAGCTGCAATGATCATGATCTCTCCACCTCGGGGTCATCCCCATGATTGCCTCTTTCGGGCATGGCAATGGTCGCCTCTGCAGGAACACACCCCCTAGCCGAGACAAGGCAGCGGCCTGTCAATTTTTTTTTTTCTCGGTTCAAAGGCTGTCATTCACCCGGGGCTATCCGACAATGCAGAAGAGAAAAAAGCAAAAAAATGCAATCATGGGACCGGGTGCTCATCTCGTATGTTGCCGTGGCCTGAGCGCAACTGGGCCGGCAGGTCGAAAAGCAATCTTAGCCTGTTGAAGCCATGCCGGTCTCCAGGGTCTCTGCTCTGCTCTGCTCTCCGAATGTCTCCCCCGTCGTGTGAATCAGGCTGCTCGTCTGCAATGCCGTGCTGTTGCTGCACTTGGTGGAACCGTGGGTTGATCCCGTCTTCACCCTCACCGCCTGCGTCTGCTCTGCATCTGCATCTGCATCTGCATCTGCAACCACTCTCTCGCCATGGCCTTATTTTTTTTTTATTGCTCGCTCGCAGTCACTTGACTGGCAGCCATCCATCGTGTCCGCACATCGGAGCCCGTGCTGGTAGGAAGTAAAAGAGTAGAAAGACCCAGACAGTGTCCGTCGGGTGACGTTGCATCAAAACAGGCAACAACACATGAATGAGAGACGCAAAAGATAAGGATAAAATAGACGGCTTCGCTCATCTCACCTTGCTGAAACTCCACGTATTCGCCCTCATCCTCCCCGAGGGCGATTTCACCGCTGTCGGCGGCCCAGCAGCAACGCCTCTCATTGTCTGTCGTCGCCCGTTGACCAATGGCTGCCCAGCAGCAGGAAATGCCGCGTCTTGTCGTCGACCTTGATACTGCCCACGAGGTTGGCTGAACGCTTCGAGAGAAAAGAAAAGAAAGAAAAGAAAAAAGTAAGCCTCGTTTGATTACCGTTGTAAGAAGCAGGGAGAGACTGGCAGTTTTTTTTCTCCCTTTGCAATTGGACAAAAGCACGCAAGAGCCTGATAATGGCAGATTGGGGGGGCGGTGGATTGGCTTTTGGCTTTGGATTGGGGCTACGAGTACGCGGTGTTATTAGTACAGGGAAACTGTGATAAGCCTGGTCGCATCGTGTTGCCCCCTTTACGCAAACGCTGCATTCCTCTGCATTTGCCTCTTGTTTCATCTTGTTTGGATATGTTGATGCTGCGATAAGACACTGACGTAAATCTGGGCAACTCAATTGTGCAGAATGTACTTCTTATTGAAGCCAGAACAGCACAGAGGAAGAAATCGTTGTCCACCAGAAATTAAATGTTGAATTAAAACATCAAATCCTAGATTCTCACGACAACGTAACACGGCCACGTAGGAGCAGAAATAAAATGAAAAGCAACCAGCTGCCTCTACAAAACATGCCATCAACTACCAGCACATACCCAGGCCACGCCGAAATCACCCTCACAAATAAAGCCTCACTTCAAGTTTACTTCCTCCCGTAGAAGCGCATCTCCGCCGCTCCCACGTCAAACACGGCCACAACATTCTGCAGAAACACATCGCCCAAGATATACGGCCCGGGCCCGCCGCTGGCAATGCCAATGGCGCAGTAGCCGGTCAGCGGGTCAACGAGGTCCTGGTAGATGAGGTCCGCCGGGTTGATCCAGAACTCGACGCCCGAGATGAGGATGGCGAAGTGCGGCGGGATGGCGTCGCACTGCACAAAGTACGTGCCCCATTGGTACAGGTACACGGCTCGCGGCTGGAACGAGTTGGCGATGGATTCGGCGAGCGCTGGAAGGGGGGGTTGCACACGCTGTGTCAGTACATTGGAGCTGGTCTCGGCTTGTGGGAGTAAGAGCAAGGACTCACGAGGAGGGAGGTAGAGCATCGTCGTGCCCGTGTCGACAATGTACGGATACTTGGTCGTGTCCGTCGTCTGGTCCCATTTCATGCCGTCGGGCACAATCGTGTAAAACGAGTACTTCCACGCCGTCTCGGGCTGGCCGATGAGATTTGCCTGCATCCCGCCAAACCGTCAGTATCCAGTCCACATCATATCTCGTCTTTGGAACATTTTCAACACTCAACTCACCACAATCAGATCCGTCTTTGCGAACCCCCTAAACTGCCAGTCCATCGGCGGCAATCCTCCCCAGGCAATGACGCCGTCGGTCGAGTTCTTGACCAGGGCAACGCTGAAGACAGGATCGATGCTCCCCTGGCTGATGGCGCTGGTCAGGAAGGGCGTGTAGCTCATGGCGTTCCACGGCGCCTCATCACCAACATCGCCATAGTAGGCGCTCGTGATGGCGGGATACGCAAGGCCAAGGATGCCGACGGTGACGTTGTTACCGTGCCAGTAGGTGCTGTTGGCCAGCCCGACCTGCTGCTTCGACACCGTCACGCCGCCGCACGAGATGTCGCTGTAGCCCATCGGGCCCGAGATGCGCTCGCCCGACCCGTACTTGAGATAGAAGTGCAGCTCGTCAATCTGCCCGTGGCCGAAGCCGTCGATATACGGCTTGGAGAAGCCACAGGCCGCCTCGCTGTGAGCATCGCCGCCCAGATCCGCGCACTTGAAGCCCGTCTTGGTCGCCCACGTGTCGGAGCTGCCCGTGTCGAACAGCAGCCAGACCGGGACGCCGTCCCAGCCGCACTGGATGGCGTATTGCGTCGAGGCATCGGTCAAGGCGCTGACGTTTTGGAACGACTGCTTGAAGGAGCCGGCAGAGTTGAGGCTGCTTCGCACGCGGCTCAGCGCAGACACGGCCGAGTGCTGCTGGCCCGGCCTTCCCTTGATGCCCCTGAGGTGCGAGAAGTGCATCGTGGCGCGGTCCTGGCTGGGCTCCTTGACGGCTTTGGCCCGCTGGAAAGTGAGGCCGTTCATGGGCTTTGCGAGATCCCAGTCGGGGGCGTGGCGCCTGACTTGAGGGAGGCCGGCAGAGGACGCGGTGATGACGATGCTGCCGAGGAGGCAGATGAGCCATTGCGTGAGTTTCATGATGACCATGATTGAATTGATGAAAGACGGGTTGGAGTAGGTAAACAAATGCTCAACAGGGGGGAAAGCGGGTTTTAAGAGGTAGCCGAAGAGGAGACGAAATAAGATGAAGATCCAAGAAGCTTGTTTGATGTCTCGAGCGTATAAAGGTTAAAAAGAAAGCTGGGACATGGAAAAGGGGAGAGTCGAGGCAAAAGCACGCAGCTCCTTGCCAGCTGGCCACGGAGTAAAAGAGCAAGAAACCAATTGGTTGTTTGCATCAACGTGCCACCCGTTTCACCGGCGGATGCCCTTTGTGCAAGCAACGGATATTGGAGCCGGGACAGACTCGACGACAATAACAGGGAGAATGTTTGCTTTCTTTTCTATGTATAGGCCGGGAAGATGTCGTCGAGTCTTGTGTTGATGTTTTACTTGGTGCGAGGTTGTCCCGAGTTGATATAGGAGAAACTGCGGCAGGATCCTCGTAGGGCTGTAATTCCATCGTAATAATATTGTGCACGATAGAACGCGCCATCTGATACAATGTGAAGAATAAAAAGGCAGCCGAGCTATCAGATTGTAACCCGTAGACAACTCGCATGTACCCTGATCAAACTCAATTCTAAGCGGCAAAACTTGGTACAATGCATACAAGTAAAAACACTCACCCTCAAAGAATAAACTTGCAGTGTCTTGTAGCTCCATGCCATGGCCCGACGTGACACCCGCCTCTGGAGCTCTGTAGCCAAGACATTTGCTCTGACCCTGATTCGTTTCGTGGTCTTTTTTTTTGTATCACAGATCTAGCTCTGTCTTTCGAGACACACGGCTAATTGGCCGAGTCTCGATACTTCCTCAACGACATTTTTTTTTTTTTTTTTTTTTTTTTTATAAAAAAAGGATCATGCTCTTGGTAGTGAGAATGATTTGGTTGTGTAGCCATTGAATTCTGATATCCTGTCTAATATGTAGTTAGGATATGGCCAAAAAGTCCATCTTTATCCTCCAATTGATCGCGGCTTCTAGACCGCGAATGAGGGAAATAAAGCATACTTGTTGAATCATTTTCACTTCTCAATAGCCCCTAGCATCGTGCAACCGCCATACTAGACAGAAACCCCCCTTGTGCAACTCCATCACAGCCGTCGGGTTCGCATATCGAGATGCTGCGTCTTCCCAGCTCCCCCCTTTCTCCACAAGACATTCTCCCCAACGAACAGTGAATACGAAACACGAAAACAACCCGAGCCGGTTCTGTTACATGTAAACCATCTCCAATTACCCTCTCACCAGTAAAAGATGCCATCGAGTCTTGCCGTAAGTCCCGCCATACCTCAGATGGCAGAGTCGTACATCACTTATACTTGCGACACTGCCATCCCGATCCGGCATTCATGGTAGCATCTCATCTTGCACTCTGTGCCCAAGCCTCGCTTATTTGCCGAGACAGGCAACGCTGAGTGTTTTGTTTTTCCCAGCATGCAACCTAGGATAATATGCATGCTTGGTTATTAATAGTTGCTGGACTGGAGTGACAATGGAGTGACAAGGAGGCACATGCATATTATGCAATCCGACAGTAACTGCAACCCAACTCTACAGAATTAAACATGAAACTAAACAACCATTCCTCTAGAAGAAAAAATCAAAACATAAAACTCGACAGGTCTTCTTCTTCCTCTCCTCCCACAACAATTCACCACGAAATCCAGCAATTACCCAAACAGGAAGCATGCCAGAAAAAACCCACGGCAAATCCGCCACGCCCCCCAATATTTCCGCTACCCCGATTGGCAAATCAAAACCCGGGCAATTGCGCTTCTCAACGGCCTTACCTGTCACTTACCGGGGAAAACGCAGACCATGCCGTTCAAGCCGAGGTTAGAACCGTCGGCAAGACTCAATAATTCATCGACAATTCGATTGAATAATGAATGCCCTACAACGACTCAAACACACACCCCCCGTAAAATCAAGTAGATTGTCCTAAAACCACCTTGGCATTTTCCCCAATACACATGCCATTATATATCCCTTTTATTCTCCTTATCACAAAAAAACAACCGTGCATCTCTCGCCAGCCAGTCGCATCTCCTGCCAAGCTGGGCTACCTCTGCGACACTATCCCAAACCACACGCCTCGCATGAACATCCAAATCTCCATAGTGTGCCATAACCCTTAACTCCCACAAATGCCCTCCGTCGCCGCCACGTTGCCGCGCATGCTCCAGGGCATTGATGCTCTCCAGTCTCGCCATGTGATTCTCGCTTCGTTCTTCAGCTGCGCGCTGCAGCGGCGCCCAGGCCGAGACGTGGGCTCTCGTCTTCGTCTCCGTCCTTGTCTTCATCGTTCTTTGCACAGCAGTCGTGGCTCAGTTGCTTCAAGACCGTCTTTTGCGCCTCTGAGAACGACTTATACGACAACGCAGACGAGAATGGCTTCTGAAAAGTCCTCAGTTGCCAAGAAGGGGCCGCCTCTTTCGTACATGGAGCATCTAAGTCCCTCTGTATCATATTACAGCCCACCAGGTGCTGCACCTCTCGACAGGAACAACAACTTCAACTCCAATCCCAATTCCAATGATCCAGAACTCGTTCTCGTCCTCAGCTGGATGGGAGCCCGAGACGTCCACATAGAAAAGTACATTGCCCAGCACCGCAGTCTCTTCCCATCATCACGCATCCTTCTCATCCGCTCTCCCGCATCCCACGTCTTCTGGCCAAGCCTCGCCCGCAAGCACATCCCGCCGGCCATCCGCATCCTCAAGCAATTTGCAGAGCCAGAGACGCCAATCCCCAGCAACGGCGGCAAGCCCCGAGTCCTGTTGCATATCCTTTCCAACGGTGGCGTCAGCACGGCCGCCAGGATCCGCGAGCTCCTGAGAAAGGAGTTGGGTAGAGACGCCGCCGGAAACAGGCTCGTCATCCCTCGGTATGCCCTCTGCCTCGACTCTTGCCCAGGCAACTTCGTGTGGGAGAGTACCCATAGGGCTCTCCTCCAATCTCTGCCTCGCTGGACTTCTCCTCTTGTACACTTGGTCATTGCAGTTGCCTGGCTGATATACAAACTCCGTCTCACTCGGCCCGCTCAGAATCTAAACTCTGAGGCCCTCAGGAGGAAAAGTCTGCTCCCAAGGGAGACGCAGAGAACCTACCTTTACGGCACAGCAGATGCCGTCATCAGCTGGCGCCACGTTGAGGACCATGCGAAAAGGGCAGAAGACTCGGGCTTCAAGGTACGCAAGGAGAGGTTTGAGGGTGGAGAGCATGTGTCACTTATGAGGAAAGATAGCCAGCGATATTGGCAAGCAGTCAAAGAGACTTGGGCAGTGGACGAGGTTGGATTGGAAGCTGAAAATGCTAGCTAGGAACAGATTGATGTAGAATGACAAATGATCATGGATAGATAGGTGGATGTGATGTGATGAGAGGGTCAAACCCATAATCGAGCAGGGGAAAGAAGGGAAAGGCGCCCTCTCGAATGACCTTCATCCATAGATTTAGAAATATCCAGGATAGAACTAGACATACAAACCGTGAAGCACGTAGATAATACTCCTGGCATCTGTTGTGCCACAAAAGGTATCGATAAGCCGAAATTGGCCATACCCCCGTTTGTTGAAGCCGTCTCCATCAGCACCATCATCATCATCGGATATGGTCTCCTCTCTCTGCAATAGTAAAGACTCCATGGTTTCCGATAAATTACCACAACGCCGCCCTTTATTAGATATGCCGGTTGACAAATAGTAGTGCAGATTCGAAAACAAAAGGAAACAGTGACCATTTCAAGGTCATTTGTTAGTTGCCGACGCCCCAAATCACCCTCTTTCAACTCCATCAACGCCTAAAATTGTACCAACACACATATATGTCCCCGAACCATTGGCTTGGCCAAGGAAATAGGAGGAAGAAGAGGAGGAAGAAAAAGAAAAAGAAGAAGAAAGTATTTGTACGCCACGCTCGCTCGCAAGACAGTCGACTCAATCGTCGCAAAGTGACAAGGGTTGGTTTATATCGGGGGCCGATCAAGTTTTGGTCTTCTTCCGTGAGTTTGTCGACCTCTCTTCATCAACCCCTCGCTTTCCATGGGCCACAAGGCCCTCCTCTACCCCCGCCTCTTCGACATCACCGATTCCTTCATCCTCCTCGTTGCATTGATCACACTCCTGGTCGAAGTGGTGCTGCTCTTGAAATACCCCATTGGAGCAATCCCCAAAGAATCCATTGTTTTTCGCCTCGAGACATGACAGCTCTTGTGTGAGATCCTCCCATATTTGCTCTTCGCCACACTTGGTGCAGGTGCCACTGAAAATGACTAGGCGACACATGATTGTGATTTTCGAAAAATAGTCGATGTTGATGATCGTTAAAAACAGGGTCTAGGAACTATGCCCAATCGTGATTTTCCCATCAATGAAATACTTTTGAGAAGATTCGAGGATTCTGCAACCGGAAAAATAATGAAACAAGCAAAGAAGGGTTAACTCCTTGGCATGGAAGCAGTATTAAAGATAAATCTGTAGGGGCTAAGGGACGGACTTTAGCTCGAGTTCCCTCCGCGACCAACAACGGGCAAAATTCACATTGTGGAAAAGACAACAAGGGGGGGAGGGTCCATACAGATCAACGAATTCGTGTTAGTAGAGGTGAGGCGTACACACGGGCCTCCGTCCAAATCTCTTGGTCGGGAGAAATAATCGATAATTTTCCCTCTCTCTTTCCCCTCCTCAACCGGCAAATTGTGTTGGTTGATTGAAAAGAAAAACAAAATTGCTTGTTGTACGAAACGCCTACGTCTCAATTGAGTTGGGTGCCGTCAGGGTTGCACGGATGACAAGAAACGGTCTCTTCCCGTTTGTGTTAGCACTTGGACAGACAGACGGGTCGTTGCATATCATAAGAGATGAAGCCCTCCGGGAGGAAAGGTGAAGGAGAAGGAAATGTGGAACAGGAGAAAGAAGAAGGAGGGAAAGATGAGTGCATAATATGGCGTTTCTTGTGGTGCGGGACAAAGTTTCGGTGCGGAAAGCGAGAAAACATACCAACCAACAACGACAAGGCAAAGAATGGATCTGTGTGCGCATACTTGACATGAAAAGCCGAGTCGAATCTCCCTCTCAGATGGACAAGAACTCGAAACAGAAATGACAAAAGACATGATTAACAGCCCACCTGCATAGAGACGTCGCACCGCTCACTTGATATGGACACAGCAGCGCCGTCTGTCATCTGTCATATTCGTCTAAGCACACCACGTAATTGATTGTGCAAACATGTTGGCAATAGAGAGTGGGTCCTCAGCTTGGAGCTCCCATGTTGAAATCCAGAGCATACCAAGCTGCATCAGCTAGGACTGATCAAGGCATCGGAACAGAGGGTTACAGGTCAGGCACAGGTAGGGAGTCGATTAGAACGGAGCCGTGTTCGCGAGACGAGACAGCGCCAGCGTCCATCCATCTCGCTGCCTATGTCCTTGGCCCACGCAATCTGGACATGCATAGAGATCTATCGTTTTCTCAGAGGCGACTCTTCCCTTTTTTTTTTGCCCTGTAGCAGGTTAGAAGGTGGGTGCTTGTCTTTCTTGCATGGAAGAGTTAGCCTGTCAGTTGCATGCACACACCAATGGGTGTCTCAAAGTCCGCAGTCGGGCATCTCATCACATGCACAGCTTTATTGCACCACTTGCGGGTTAGTATACGAGTACTTTCCGTTACCGCTCTCCATGTATCTCTGTCCATTCTTTGGAGGCCGTGACACTATGGAGTAACATGGTAAGGGCACTACTACCCGTGTCTCGTCCTGTACCACGACAAGCACTGCGTAAGAGGCACACTTGCGCACTCGCCACTTTGGATCTGAGTCGCCGAGAGGAAGAAGAAAGCTAGCCTTGACTGAACTTGGGTTGATTTAGGCTGGACAAATAAAAATGCATCATCGAGTTGTCAGGGCCGTTACGAGTCGCGCAGGAGCTGCCGCCAAAGCCCACCCGTTCTGTATTATCCAGCCAAGGGATCGAGGAAAAAGTCTAGAGAGTGGAACCGCAGCGTCTGCCAAGGTTGCCGCCGGATTCCTTCCGCTGCCTCGGACGGGATATAGCGTTGCAAGGCCCAAGATCTGTCTCCGTCGCTCTCTGTGGCCCGAAAGGCGTCCACCGCGGGCGGATGGGCGGGACGAGAGGGGAAGGTCGGCGCCACCATGCCTTTACAAAAAGTATCATTGATAGAGGGTGGTAATTCCGATTCACAGCTGCGGAGGCAGTGAGCGGTAGATCGACCAACAGATTAGCGACGTGGGAGAGGGTTGAGTAGACTGACAGGGTGATTCAGATGCCCTCGAGAGGAAACAAGGCCAGGGGTCTTTGTCGTACACATTTGCCAGCCTGCATCTGGCATCTGCTCCCAGCTAGCATTGACGTCCGCTGCTTCCATTGGCCGGGAGCTGCAAATTGGAGCTGCAATGCACAAGCACAAGTTCGGATGGGGGGTGACGGAAGCAAATCAAATGGCCTATGTGTGTTGGCAGCAGGTTGACGTCTGAGTAAAGGTACGAAGTTTGGGAGTACAGCATTGGCCTACGTAGGTAGAGAGAAAGAGTCACTTCACTTAGTCATGGCACTCCTATCGATACCCTCACTCCCACCACCACCTTCCTCCTACCTTATGCATCATCATCATATATCGAATATACGAGTAATACCAACTCATCATACTCTTACTATACTCTTACGCATCAGCACAGGCTATTACCAAGCTAATCTCGCCCCTGATTCACCACGCCGAGATGCAATTCTACCGCCTCTTGTCTCTGGCCCGCTCCCCATCCTCGCCGACATGATCGCCGCATGTCTCGCCCTCGTCCTCCCCGTGCACCGGGAGTCTGAATGCTCTCTCTCAACAGTCTGTGCGGTCCAAGATCCGGTTCGCCGTCTCGGTTACAAACAAGCAGCGCTGCAGCAGGCCAAATGTCCGGGCCAGAGGGCAGCATAAACGAGTCACATGCAGCCCGGCCATCTGCGGCCTGTTGAGGCGGCCCGGCCATTGTCGCGATTCATGGGAGGCTGGACGATGCCAGTAACCGCGCAAGTGTGTGAGAGAGTGTGTGTGAGTGTGCAAGGGCTGCCGGGAAGCAGTCTTCCGCGCCTCGCTCATTCGACGCCCCCCAACTACACACGACGTGAGATGGGGGCTCTCTGCAGTACGAAATTGCGCACGTATTTAGCCCTATAGCAGCAGAGCAAAGCCCTCGGATGAGCAGCCCTTTCAACCCGCCGCATTGCATTGCATTGCATTGCATCTGCATCCACCTACCTACCTACACGACGTCTACCTGACAAGTTTCGGCGTCCAGCTCACAAAGCCCGAGACAATCCTTCAATCCGCAGGCAGCCTGACTTCCGCCGTACGCGCCCGGGCTCCTCGTCTACACAAAAAGTGGCTCTTGACAGTGTCGCTGCCCTTTCTCTACCGAGCACAGGTAGGTTTGTGTGTCTGATATGTTTCTTCCCAAGCACAGCGTATCTTGGCACCTAGAGCCAGACTCCATAGCCAGCTCCGCGCAAAAAGGGAAGAAAATCGATCTCCAGGGATGCTCAGGTCCACACCGCAACCGGACAGACATTTGGGATGGCAGAAAAGTGACAGCAGGAAGATGCCCCGGCCTGCCGCGATGTCAATGGCCCTTCCTTAGTTCCTTGTCCAAGTCATCCTGGCAGTTTGTGTGTACATACATGGACATGGACATGGGATGGTACTAGCCAGCAGCAAACATCGGTACGCATCAGCTACTCAAGGTACGCGTACATGATGTATGTGCGTATATTGTCTCTGATGCGGCCATATTACTACGCATCCCCATCGAAGCTGCATATACTCGTATCAATCACATCGCTTCTCCATACTCCAGACCCTCAACTCTCCTCACCGGCTCCTCGCCACAACACCACCCGATTGGATGCCTCTCACTTGCCTCTCCCTTATTCCCGCATGCATCTCATCTGCATCGCATATGCGTCCCTAAATCCCCAATCGCAACCACGCCTTTCAATTCTTCCGGGGCCGCTGCCAGCCGCACATGCAAGTTGCCTCGTATAGTAGGATCGAGGCCCTGCTGCCTACGGGTCGGCAGGGCTTCAATCGCAAACATTTTTGGCAAACAACAGTAAGATGGGGGCATCTTTTCAGCTCCTTCGCGTTTAATGTATTGTGAATATTGTCCGTCCTAGGTACTTTTCCCACCTATCAAGATCACCTCGGCCGGCACTTATGCCTGTAAACTAGATGCTCTTCCCGTTTCACAATGGCATTTGTATTATTTGATGCAGCGAATTATGCTAATATACAAACCGTGGCATTCTTTTCAACTCCATGCCACTCTTTGCCGCCCCCTTCATCAACCACAGGAAGTACAGCCACTACCGATATCAAGGCATCGCATCGCATCGTACCACAATCAGATGCGAGAAAAAATAATAGTAATAATAATAAAAAGGTAAACACGGGGGCAGAGATGCGCTGGCACATCTGTGCAGGACTCATAGTAAGCCAAGACAGCAACGTCCTTTCGTCACTCGACTTTGTCCTAGAATTGTCCGAATGGTATCCGTAGGCAATAAGTCCGGCTGGATTACGTAGGTTGAGTAGCAGATAAGAAGCGACATCAAGATCCAATGTCCTTTTTTTCCTCTTCAGTTTCTTTTCTTTTTGCTTTTTTTTATTGTTCTTTCTTCTTCGTTTCTCTTCTCTTTCTTCTTCTTCTTCGTCATCTTCTTCTTCTTCAGCGTTGGTTTGTCGCGGAAAGTCACCTGCTTGTGACATATTGAAACCAACACAAACAATGTCCTGGGCATCTTGGTCTGCGACGGACAAGAGTGCCTTGATAGATAGTATGTATGGCAGGAAATAAATACGTCATTCTCGCAGTAAGAGACCAGAGCCGCCGATCCATGGTGAGTAGCATGTCGATATGTCAAAGTAAATCCAAAAGTCACAGCGCTGGAGAATCCACACCCAGTTGCAACATCCAGATTCAGAGCAATGCAGTCTGTCACCTAGCTCTGTCAACTTGTAATCTTTTTCCAGGAACATTGACCTCAGGACCATGAATGTACAGAGGCAATACGGGAGTCAAGAACATAGTACGCAGGCATGGGCGTCGCTCGCGCAAGTAGAATGTCAGGTCTCCATGTCTGACGGCCACTAGACAAAGAGAAAAGGGGGGGTATACGTTCATCATATTAAACGGGCCGTGGAATCGAACAGAAACATTGAGCGATCCTCGAGATTGAAAGAAGGAAAAATGGCGGGGTATAAAAAATAGTGAGTACAGACGTGGACTCCATAAAATAGTGTCATATAGTCGTGGGCTTTTTTGTGTTTTTTTTTTGTTCAAGAGAGGTTAAAGTCGGGAAGAAATCTGAGGGTGGTGCTAGTCAAGAATCATGGCATCTTAAGGGGTGCTGAGTCTGCGAGTTTATTAGGCCAGCATCCAGTGTCAAGGTCACACCCAGTCACGAAAGCACGCGGCTGCTTGCAATCAAAACACATGCAAGCTTTACTGGGCTCCAGGGGGAGGGGCACCGGCAGGAGGGCCTCCGGAGGGAGGTGTCGCTTGTCCTCCCTGTTGCTGCTGCTGGTACATTAAGGACTGATACCAGAGAGCGACGTAGTTTTGATAGCCACCATCTAGAGAGGGTTGTCAATAGGGGTCAAGACTTCACGTCAGATAGTGGGCACGTACACTGAGCATATGGATCTGGGCCGTCGCCTGAAGATGACTGAGGAGGTTGGTTAGTAGACGAGTCGGGGCCCGGTTGGGAGTAGCTCGGTCGATCATCCTGCGGCCCGCGACCACGACCGCCACTGGGGCCACCGCTACCGCTGCTCTTCTGTCGCTGCTCATGTATCAGTATTGGCGCTCGTTGAAAGCCATACAAGGTGTCATCATCAACTTACCACTGCTTCTACTTTCTCGTCAATAGCTTGCTTAGCACGAGCGATGCTCTCTCGGGTTCCGATGAGCGCAATTTCTCGTTGGACTTCGCCAGGGCCTGACGACTGCGCCACATTGATCTTGCAACCAGTGGTGTTTTGCATTTCCCGGATGGTTTCACCCCCTTTGCCAATAATCATACCTACTGCATCTGACGGGACGTAAATTGCATCATTGATCTTGTCAGAACCTCCGGAAAAGTCCCTCGGCGGCCCATCGTTGCGAGGAGCGCTGGTGGGCTTCTTGGTGCCAGAAGCCGGGCCATCGCCCCGGCTGTCGCTATCGACAATCTCCATGATGAAATCCTTCGCACGAGCGGCCGCCTCCCGGCTACCAATGAGATTGACAGGTCGCAAACCATTCACACTCTTAGATTCCCCAACAATATTAATATGGCAGCCAGATCTTTCCTGTAGATCCCTGATCGTCTCGCCTCCTCGTCCAATGATGAGGCCGACGGTGCGATCCGGAACCATGATTTGCATATGGTCCTCGCCATCTCTCAAAGCTGCTGCTCCGCCTCGAGCAGGATCGCGAGGTTTTTCCTGGGCGCGGTTAAGAGCTCCCATTCCACTGTCCTCGATAATGCGATTGATGGCCGTCTTGACTTCGGCACGACGAGCACGTGGGCCGGTGATCTTGCACTGTCGGAAGGGACCACCATCAGTAGCTGCCAAGAACTGGACACGGCAATTGGTATCAGCTTCGATCCTTCGCAGGTTCTCGCCTTGACGGCCGATGATGAGGCCAACCAGGCTGGATTCAATCTGGATCGTCTCGGAGTTGTCATCACCACCTCTCAGAGGGGATCTCTCTCGGCCACCGGCTCCACGAGGGGAAAAGGTGCGTCCACGTGATGGGGGAGAATAGGACCGGTCGCGATATTCCCGGCCCTGAGCCCCACGACGGTCGTCCCGATATGAGCTGCCATTATGATAATCGCCTCCGCCGCGAGGAGGAGATCGTGATCTAGATCGGCGGAAGGACCTGTCAGAGGTTCTAGAGTCCGAGCCATAGACAAGCGGGCGGTCGTAGGGTGTAATGCCCTTCTCAGTCGCATAGGCTCTCGCCTTGGAAATGACATCGTCAAAGTTCATCGTGCCCGAGTTGACGGGTCGAAGAGCGCTCAGGTCGACATTGCCGCTGGAGGCGGGAGCGGGCAGGGCAGAGCTGGGGGCAAAACCCGCGACTCCTGGGGGTGGGGGTTGATACGACGCTGGCTGGGCGCTGCCAGGCGGTGCTGGGTATGCGCCAGCAGATGCGGGCGGCGTCTGGGTCGAGGCTGACGACGGTGGCCTCTGGGAAGCTGATGCGCACGGTTAGTTTGGGGTCTGGGCTCCATCACAGGGTTCTGCTGTCTCACCAAGCGCGGCCAGAATGCTCTGGATATCAGGATGCGCAGGCTCGGCCATGGCGACGGATTATTGCAGTGAAAAGTATAATATATGTTCCAAGCTGAGGGGAAACCGCTGCTATCATACGGCACAGCGCGATTGACTGATGGGCAGCTAAGGTCGGTAACCGAAGTCAATGGCAGATTGAGAGCCGGAGCGAGCGAGCGAGCGAGAGTACAGTAACAGCAAGAGTAGGTGGTGGCAGTTAATGATTTGATTAACACAGCATAGGCAATGTTCACAGATTGGACACGCGCGCGCAATTTAGAACCCGGCGACCCAAATTGTAATCAACGTCGTATAGCCACTTGCGATCGGATTGTAATGGTATCTCGTTGGACACAATGCGACTTGCGAACAGTAGATGAATTCAGGCACTAATAAATGGTTGGTTTGCGAAGAAAGAGCGAGAGCGCAGCCTGTGTTGGACCAAGTATACAAAGCCGTCCAGGCGGTCGCAGCGCTATTCCCGAGAAGTCGCCTCACTCAAAGCCAGGTGAAGACAAAGGGCGCTTTGTCGCTGAGCCTGTGGATAGTGTTTGCCTTGAGGCTGAAAGATGGTGGAAGGACTGGCGATGGCCATGATATTGATGCAATTTTTCGTGTAGTTCAAGGCGACCGGATTAACAATGCGCCGGGGGGGAGTTTGGGGTTGTAGCGTTGGAGCGTTAGAGGCGGACCCCAGTCGCCGAAGCTGGTACCTGAACAGACCAGGCAAAAAAGGCCTCTTGAGTAATATTAAAGCAATGCTTAACTACTGCTTTCGTACTCGGCGCTCCGTTCGGAATACCACCTTGGCATTAGCCGTAATTGACATGGCCTGCGGATTCAAGGCTCGACTTGGCAGAAGCTACCTAAGGTACTCCGTACCTCGTGCTGCATCGACGTGTTTGCTGTAAGTGGCGGGTACGAGGCCCTGCCGCTTGACCTCGGTGCTGTTCCAGGTACCTAGGTTCCTGAGTAAGGTGAATACATGCTCAACGCCTTTTCGGAGAACAAGGCATGGATGCCACCATGTGATTGATTGATGCTTGCTCAGGCCACGAGACGCGGCTATCGCGAGACATGCACTATTGCAAGCTCCTGGTCCATGTTATAGCAGAAACCGACAAGCAACAAGTCACATGCGGCGACAGGGGCACTTGATTGAGACAAGCTGCGGAATTGGCTGCGTACTCGTACCTTGCCTTGTGAATACGTACTGTCCGTCCCTTGTAGTGGCGCGCGCTATTCGCAAAGCAAAGGTACGAGTATTCATACGGTGACATGAAAAATCCTTCCATTCGGGTCTCAAGTCTTTCCCGAAAGCTATTGATTACGCGCGCCGCGGGCTCTAAGCCGCACCCATTATGCTTTTTTGGCCCGGTAGCCACGGAATCTTGCTCGTATCAGGTCAGCCAACAGTGGGCTGAATCGGTTTTTTCTGTGTTTTTTATTACGCGCGGCCGCCCATTAAATACCTGAAGCTGCCGTCGGTCAACAAATCCGTGATTCTTGTCAAACTTGTATAGACTTCACACTCGTTCAACATGAGACATCGCCCATGAACCGGGCTGGCTTTTTTGACTTGACTTTGCTACGGGAAAAGAAGAAAAGTATCCTTTTTTGCGTGTGACCGCCACCAGAGCCACTCATCGTACATATCCTCATTCGATCGATCCGCAAACGATCCCGAGCTACGAATCGACGGCTTCCGGCACAGAGCGGACAATTGAGCAGCAACATGTGCACACGCAACGTCATCGAATATCGCTGCAAGCATCAGGTCTTCCGGGGAAACACGCGTTGCTACCGCGACGATTGCCCGGGCAGGAGAGACGAGATCGCCTACGACACCGAAGACTGCGCGCAGTGCGAAGGCCACAAGAGAATCCAATCTGCGCGATGGTGCCCCATGGGCTGCTCGTGCAAATGCGTCGTCATGTAAGGCCAAGCGGCTGAGCGGGGACCAGATGGATATCAGAAGCTTGCCGAGTTGTGTTTGTACCGCCGGGATGAGGCAGAGTCAGCTGGCGTACGACCCGGGCTGAAGCTGGGAGCTTGCGTGCCTCCATATTGAGGGAGGATGGCTTCAATCAGCAAGCCAGTCATTAAAGCAGCAAAATCGACAGCAGCAGCAAAACCAAGGGGGAAAAAGGAAGAAAAAAAAAAAAAACCTTAAGAATGCGATGTTGACATAATCACCGCGAGATATTGTTACATACCTCTTTGGATATTTTCGCTATACCAGTCAGATCTTCGGCATGTTGGTTTCGGGTTTGATTTGGAAAAGATCGCAATGTTATGCATGAGACGACGATAAACGTGCCCATTTGGCTGTATGTGAGGAAGAGGAAGGAGATGAGGAAGGATGACGACAATACAAGTGCCATACAATTGGATACGAGATTTTTTTTGGATTTTTTTTTTTTTTTTTAGCCTGTGGTTATGGGAGAGGTTTACTCTCGACGGGCGTCTATCATCATCTACATCATGTATCTTAATACACTACCTATTGCATTGCCTGCTCATGCTTAGTAACCCAATGTGACGCCAAATGCACGAACCAAACCTCTCCAAATCCAAACCTATACTAGATAATACGAGTACTCACAACACGCAGATCGCTCTCATTGCCCCGTTACGACAACCATCGATAGCCCTCTCAATTCTATCGAGACCAGGATGCAGGATGATCACTGCTGGCCCCCACCTGGGGAAAGCTTGCCGGCTAAAGCGCCGCCTAGTTGCTGACCAGACGCTTTTTAGCCAGCACCTCGTTACGAAATAGCTCCTAGCAGAAGCCTCGACTGCTCCACGGCCACTGAGCCACACGTGGAATGACACCCGCAAGCGCTAAAAGCCGCACTTCTGCAGGGCCTACAGGGGAGCTGCTGGCCAATCCAACGACTCCCGCCGTCGTCTGCGATTCCACAGCGTAGCATCCGCAACTTCTCCAGGTTTCCCTCTCCGAGACATCGCCATTCGCTGCCAGACAAGTCGCCAGTTTGTCGAGCTCTGTGATTCTGCTTCGTCATGGCCAAGAAGGCGCGTCAAAGAATCAGCTATGGTGAGACCCCCCGCCTACATTCCCAGCATCTGTCGATTCCGCTCCATTCCATTCCATTCCTACTGCAGTTCGGACCACACACTTGCATGTTAATGAGCCCACCCCGCACGCGACCGACGACCCAGATCAGACAAACCACGGCTCTCGTGCGTATGCTTGGGAGATGGAGCATATATGACAGTGCTGTCGACGAGACGCTGACTTCAGACTGCTAACTTCCTTTGCCCAGTGCTCGAGAATGCCAAATCCTCGGCAGGCGGCCATCGCCTCGGCGTCAATGGCCTCGCCGTTGATGCGGACAACGCCATCCTGTAAGCCATATTTGCGTCCAACAGTGTATCTATGCTATAATCAAACAAAACAGCTTCGCTAATATACGATCTCTCTCTCCAGCTACTCCGGCGGCCGAGATGGCATGATTTGCGCCTGGGACTTGAACCTTGACCTGCGGCGCCGAACCGACGTCACCGACGATGCTTCCGCAAAGCCCAAGTCGACTACCACGTTCCGAGCCCAGACGCAGGCGCATATGCACTGGATCAACGACATCGCCCTGGCGCAGCACAACACTGCCTTGGTATCAGCATCTTCCGATCTTACCGTCAAGGTATGGCGGCCACACTCTCAGGAAGATGGCGCCCGCGCCCAGAAGATTGGAGAACACGACGACTATATCAAGTGCGTCGCAACGCCGCCAAGCGATATGAATGCCAACTGGGTTGCCTCGGCGGGCCTGGACCGCAAGATTTGCCTCTGGGATCTCAATGGCGGAGGCAAGACGCTGGAGGTCGACGTCAAGGGCGAGGAGACTACCGAGAAGGGATCCGTCTACGCTCTCGCCGTCGGCCGCAATCTCATTGCCAGCGGCGGCCCCGAGAAGACGGTCAAGCTCTACGACCCTCGTACTGGCTCCAAGGTCTCCAACCTCGTCGGCCACGTAGACAATATCCGCGCCATTTTAATCGACGATGTGGGCGACACCATACTGAGCGCCAGTGCCGATAAGACCATCAAAATGTGGAGCGTCAAGGGCGGTCGCTGTATGTACACGTTTACAATGCATGACGAGAGCATCTGGTCTCTGTATTCGGATGACCCTCGCCTCGGCATCTTCTACAGCAGTGATAGGTCGGGCCTCGTCGCCAAGACCGACGTACGAGGAAGCCTGGAGGATATCGATGATGGACTAAGTCTCGCTGTTGCGCAGGAGCATTTTGGTGTCTCCAAGGTTGTGGCTGCGGGCGGTCACATCTGGACAGCTACGAACCGATCGTCAATTAACCGCTGGGAAGACGTTGACACGAGCGCAAACCTGCCGCTCCCCGAAATGTACCGCCGTCAGCGCGCAATGTCGGCTGCGTCCAACAAGACACGGCAATCAACGGCAACTACTCAGCCGCAAACAAACGGGTCGTCCAAGAAGGAGATCCCTGCTGAGTCGATTCTGAGAATATCCAACACAGCCACGTTCCCGTCGCGCACGCCTCTGGACTCAGAGCCAACGCCCGGTAATGACGGCTTGTCAAGAAAGGGATCAGAAGTGGCCGTGGAACAGCCCGAGCCGGAAATCAAGCCCATCTACAATTTGCCATTAGAGACGATTGAAGGTCAATTCGGTCTTTTGAAGCACAAGCTGCTCAATGACAGAAGGAGGGTCTTGACTTTAGATACAGCCGGTGATGTGTTGTTATGGGATCTGATCAAGGTATGCCTAAACCGCACCCTTTCATGCGGCTGTGGCTAAAGGTGGCTACATGCTTACAACTATGCAGTGTAAACCTATTCAGAGTTTTGGAAAGCAACATCTTGAAGATGTCGAGAGGCAGGTTAATACGCGAGAAGCAGTAGCTCCCTGGTGCTCGGTTGACCTGAGCTCTGGCAACCTCACTGTCGTGTTGGAGCCCTTTAACTGCTTCGATGCCGAGGTATACGCTGACGAACTTGAATTGGACGAGCCTATTGAGTTTAGGGATGATCAAAGAGGTAGATGAAAATCCGTCGTTCGTTCTCCAAATCTATGGTAAACTAGCTAACATGATCATCCAGTGAGCCTCGGCAAATGGATCCTGCGGTACTTATTTGCCAACCTTATTGACGAGGAAATTCGACGCGATGAGTTACATCGCTCAACAATGAACGAAGGCGTAGAGAAAAGACAGGCTGCCAGCCGAGCAGATGCGCCATCGTCAATCATCATTCCCGGGCCTGGCATTGGAGATGTGTCTGATCAGCTCTTGACACCACGTGCAATCGCCCCTCATCTTCAAGTTACCACGCCTGGTTTGGCGATAGGGCTGGCGTCGCCTGGTGCTGTGATGACACTTCAAGGCGTACCAGAGGAAGCAGTTGCCAGCCCCTTGGAAAAGGAAGCGTCTCGTCCATCGGCTGAGAACGATTACTTCAATGCCGGCATTGCGCCGGCTGGTGGCGCGGCAGCGGCTCCTGCAGCGGCAGAGACATCAGAGCCAAAGACGTCTACGGATAACAGCAATGAGAAGGCCAAGGAGAAGGAGAAGGAGAAGGCTGCTGATAGTAGCAAATCACCATTCAGCAGAAAATTCCGCATGTCTTTCAGCTCCAAGAGAATCGGCCGGTCGGCGTCTCAGGCAACACAGGAGAAGCCCGTCGTCGTGGATGACAAGGCCGACGAGTCCGAGTCTTCTTCTAACCATGAAAAGGAGGTTGACGACAGCTTCTTTGGCGTGATCCAGAAGATCCGAAATGAATACGACAAGCAAATTGCCGAGTCTCCCGATAAGTTTGTCGAGACGCGAGTAACGCCGAGCTTGCCGTCTGATACCCCCGTTTTGAAACTGCCTCTGGGCACCAAGGTCATTATCCAAGAGGAAACATCGGGTGGCAGTGCAAACCTGTACCAAGGAACGGTGGAGAATCTTGGCCGAGATGCCGACATCATTGAGCAAAAGGCGCCCATGTGGCTCGGTGATGTGCTGCTGCAGAATCAAATCCCGCTGAAGGACCCCGTCAAGATATCGTTTATCCTGAACCCGATGGATAACCTGCCTCCCATCGCCACGGATGGCAACAGCCGACTCAACGCCAACCGGATGCTGCGGGTGAAGAAGATTCTGGCCTACGTTTCCGAGAGGATTGAACCGGAGCAAGAGGAGGACCCCAACGCGCTCAAGCCAGAAGAGTATCTCGAGCTGTATTGCAATGACCAGGTAAGTACATCCACAGCCATTTCCCACACCCCCTCCCACTCTTCTATGGTTCAAATGACTGACGATAAACCCCCGCTGCAGCTGCTCCATCCAACAATGAACCTGGCCACTCTTCGGACCCATGTCTGGAAGGGCGGAAACGATATCCTACTCTATTACAAAGCCAACGGCCGCAAAGAGATTCTCCCATTGCCGACTACATCTAGCGCGCCATCGGGAGAAGCGAGCGTGCCACCAGTCCCGCCGCTGCCCGCAACAGAGGCAGCTGAGACTGCCAATGGCGTGTAGGCGTGAACGGCAACGCAAATTCTTGGTATACCTTGTTCCGTGACTTTTTCCGATCCCTGATAGCGTCGTGTTATATATGGTTTCTTTCTTGCTTCTCTCCTTGATCTATAATTTATATCCGCACCTCGAGATCTGTTGCTATCTTCCGAGTAATTGTCTTTGTCATCTATTCTCATGTCGTTACTATACAAAATCATCATGGATGGGGGGAGGAGGATATACAGTATTGATACGCTGGTCTATTCATACAAAGAGCCCTCCTAATTTTTCTTCCTGTTTATACAGCCAGGTTGATATATATATCCCCGTCGCCAGAGCGCCGATCTATATAGTCCCATTTTGATTCTTGTTTCCCATTTTATTCCCCTTCCTCAGAAACTTTGTGACGTCTCGGTTATGAGCTTATGCTGTTCATAGTGTTGATGACCCATTGGTAGCTCCCCAAGAATATCGCGCCGCCAATGGATATCCACGTCACACGCGGCGCAATGCCAGCGAAGAAGGGCCGCACGCCCTCGTCCCGCGCCATGCGTCGGAACACTTCGCCCACCGAAACCCGCTCCTTGGACAGCATGACTCTCGTCTTGAGCACGTCGAGCGGCGTCGTCGAAGCAGCCGCCACGCCTCCCGCCAGACTCCCGTACAGTGCACTCTCTCCCGCCGACACGTCCTTGCCGTCGCCGCGGCGCTTCCGGCCCCAGGCCTTCATGCCCTCCCACAGCGGGAACTGAATCACGGTGAAGGGCACCTCGCGGAAGATGGTGATGCCCCAGCCGCGGTACAGCTCGCGCCATACTGCTGCCAGGCTGCCTCCGGGGGCAGAGTACCGGCTCAGGATGTGGCCCAGCGCCTGGGCGGAGGAGCCGCCGTGGTGGCCGGCTTGGGCGCGCTGCTTGACGACCTCTGTGGGCACGCGGACGGAGCAGGCGGCGATTTCGCCCAGACTGGAGGCGAGCATGTGCGTCAGGGCGTCTGCGGGCACCCACGTCCGCCCGTTATCATTGCCGCTGCTATGACTGCCACGTATGCGCTGCCCGAAGAAGCTCTTTGCCGTCTCGTAGGTGCAAAAGAAGAAGGCTGCGCCGGGGGCAGAGCCGACGAGGGCGGAGCCGATGCCGCGGTAGATGCCGGAGAAGCCGCCCGAGGGGAAGAAGCCGGCGGAGGACTGGAGGCGGGTCTTGAGGGTGTCGAGGGGGAAGAGGGAGAGGTCGACGGTGGCTCCAGCGAGGGCGCCGGCGAGGAGGGCGGATTGGAAGGATGGCTGTTGGGGAGCCATTGCGGAGGTCAGAGAGGAGGATTTAGATTTATGAGAAAATTGAGGGAGAGAAGGGAGAATTGGAGAGGAAGGGCTGTGAAAGCCCAACCTTTTGGGGGTTGGGATGGGGAGATTTAGGTTTGGGAGATGTAGAATCTTTTTTGGAATGCCGATATAAAGTAGTAGGCGAGGCCAGAGGTGGGAGGATTGGATCTGCGGGTTATCGATAACCGCTGCATGCCGAGTCGGAGATGCGAGCACTTTAGGTGTGTTGCCGAGCTGAGAGCTTGGCTTACCCTATGAGGAATGAGGAATGATTTGACAGCGCTGAATTGGGCAGATGAAGAATATATTATCACTATTGTAGCTGTTGTTTATGTTTGGGATTGATTTTATTTGCTTTCATGTGATTTGATTTGATGCAATTGCTGAGGATGCCGTCGCGACCGTTGACTTTTCTTGAGGCTATGTATTTAGACACAATCTCTCGCCTTGTGCAGAAGCTGTACATAAACAGATAGACAGCTCTCATTAAACCATCCACATCAGCAACAACAAGACGCTCACTATCCCAATCTTCATCTTGTTCAACAATAGCAATATTAAATAGAAAAGGAAAACCAAAGCACCATTCTACATCACATCCCTCATGCTCGTCCCCGCTTTGCTCGACTCCTCAGCAGCCCTCTTGGTCCTCTCCTGCAACGCATCCATCCTCTCCCCCAAATGATCCCGCGACGCCCGATCCGCCCTGACAGCCTCCTCGCTGTCGGACGCAAGCTCCGGCTTCCAATGGCCCGAGCCCCGCTTCTGCTTGGCGAGGGAGTCTCGTTTGTGCAGCTCGTAGTCGATGTTGGTTTCTAAGGGTAATCTGTTAGACGAGACTATTGGACTTGTGACAAGGCGCTATCGTTTTTGCTTCGTTGGAAAGGGAAACAAAAAAAACCTACGGGTTGAGGATTCTTTTAGACCCAGTCTCTTGGTTGCTGAAAAGGCAAAGCCGCGAGTGGCAATGGCTGCTCGCGTTCGCACGAGGCTGCGGATCGGCATCATCTTGGTGGCACTGGCAGACAGCATTGTGACTTCAATTGAGGGTTATCAGATGATGGATAGATTACTTGGTTTTGTTTCAAGGATGAAGAATAAAAAAAAAAAGATGAAAGAAAATACAGAAATAGGAAAATTCAAGAGCTTATAAACCAAATAACCTTCTTGATCGTCATGTCACTCTCCACCTCGTCGCTACGCATCAAAACGTCAGAGACACCGCACATCTCCAAGTCACTCCACCATGCGAGTCTACAACACCACGGCGTGTGACGTCACCATTGCGATTGCTCCTGATGTCCCCCAATATAAGGACATGCGATGTTCGTTATCGTCAACAGGGCAAAAAGGAGGCAAGATAAGGCTGGAATTCCTCTCTTGTGCATTCCAACAGCTCAACCTCGCTGTTTTCATCGACCAATTCTGCATTCATGGAGCCAAGCCGATGCTGGCGAAACTTACCGCAGCTCACACCCCAGCGTCCATCTCAATGAACCAAATGCCTCACCCATCAGATCACATACACTTTAATGGAACCGCCACATTTGTTTAAACATTCGTATATTCTCGTCCTGTTGGCTTTCAAGCCGCGGTATCTAAACCACACACATGCGCCATAAAAAATACCCGGACACACTTAAGTTTCCCATGAAATTGCAACACCAGGGCGTTCCAAAAAAAGGGCCTGAGAACCCTGGGAACCCTACCCGCAAACCAGATCATGTCATAGCTCCTCCCATCCACTCCAAGATGCTTCGCAACAAAATAATGAAACAAGATCAAACACATTTGTCTTTCCCAGACGAGAATATCCAGTAACACAGGGCTCGCGTGTTGTCAGAGCAGCGAAAGGAAGAACCAGACAGGACAGAATCCACGCGCTGCCTCCTTCAAGGAGGAGGGCAAAAAGTTGTTGTAGGCTGTTAAAAAAACAAACAAGACAAAAGAACAAGCCGCTTTCCCCATTCGATTTGCACACTGCGGCGCCGCAACAACTCCCCCAAGAAATCGACTCAGACCAACTCCCCATTATTTCCCGGTAATAAAAAAAGTAATAAAAAACCGTTTCCAGTATGGTGATGCGCAAACAAGAACCGCTCATCTTTCCAAAAACCCCGCCAGCCCAAGGTATTTCCCATATGTGACTAGACAAGAACAGCCGTGCCCCTCCAACACTTTCATAAAGATATTGCTTCTATATCTTTCTTTTTTTGTTGTCTTGATGACTTCGTAAACCCGTATAACCGCAAAGGGAGAAGGCATTTTATGGTTTTTAAGCAGGAAGGACAATCCGCTTCCAAGATGGTGAGACGCCGGATGATCGTAAAAAGAAACAAATCCCACAACTCCACTGTCGGTTACCGATGCAACACAATTATAGAGAACTGCAAGGAAATTTGCCGTGATACAAGGGTGAAAAAAAATAAAGAAAAAACGCCATGCGTGCCCAGCAGCCTTGATCGAACAAGGCGAAATGGCAAGAGAAAATGACAAAGCAAAAAAGCAAAAAATGGTATCGATCTTTCTCAAGTCGCGCCGGTAATATCCTCGTAAGAAAATCCTGTCGAAATAAATCGGTGTATGGCGATTATAGGTGCTTATACATAGGAGTGGGTGGAGGTAGTGTAGAGTGTTGTGACAAAGGTGAGATGTTTTTTTGGGGGGAGAGAAGGGAGGGGGGCCAACAGCACAAGATGGTGATCAAGGCCGCACCCAACAATCCCAAGTGTATAGAAAAAAGGAGTCAACAGCCTCGAGGAACCCAGCCCGCAAGAGAAGTGAGAGATGTCACTTTTGAATTTTTTGGTTGTCAAATTTCGCTTGTGCCCGCCAAGACCAGAAAAAAAGAAGCTTGCTGCCAACGGCGCAGTCTCGATTTTTTTTCCATCCAACAATCACGGCAACCGACAGCAGCGCTCGAGGTCGTCTCCATGGGATCATGCCATGGCAGTCTCCCCAACCAGGGAGCGCAGACGACCCGCTAAGCACTCTACCATCGGCGAACGGATTGCTGCAGTCGGGCAGGCGATAGTGAAGGAGGCGGGCTGGGCACGGAGGTGCCAGTGGCGGGGTTGACGATGGGGATGGCATTGCGAGGACGGGTAGCCATCCGGAAGGCCACGGTCAGAGGCTGGACTCCGGGAGGAGGAATGAAGGGAGGAGAGGACGAGTTGAGAGAAAAGGCGGGGGCGACGGTCTGAGGCTGCTGGGTGGGAGAGGCCTCGGGAGAGTTGCTGGCCAGCGACGAGCGCTCAGAGGCAGAGATGGACACCAACTGTTGCAGCGGCGAGTCAGACAGGCTGCGTGAAGGGGAAGAATCCACCGGACTCGGAGGACTACTCACGTCGCTTTCGGTCAGCAGGTTGGGGCAGAACTCGAGGTCGTCCTCGAGATCAAAGGACCGGCCGGCCTCGAACCGTGTGCGGAATGCAGACAAAGCCGCCGTCTCGTTGAGTTCCCTCATGCTGCGCACGCCGCGGAACTGGCGTTGCGACTGGGAGACATTGAGACGAGGGGTTCTGCGATTGCGGCTGTTGTTGTGGTGGTGAGAGACAGGGGCAGCATGCGCGGTATGCGCGTTGAATCCGTAGTATGAAGACATGGTTGCGAAGTTAAGTCTGTGAAGCGGCTAGGGATCCAGCGTAAGAGAAGGGGAGCGGCGTCTCGAGTTGGGATTGTGATTTGTGATTGTGTGCGGCAAAAGCGGTCGCGGAAACGGTAGGGCAGGAAGATGTGCAGTAGTCTTCTTGGCCTGAGAGCGAGATTAAATTAGACAAAAAACGACAACAAAACAAGAAAAACCGGCGCTGTTGTCGTGGCGATGCGTTGTACTAAAGAAATCTAACTTTGTGGAGGAAAAGTGTGAAGAGATGCAGAAATCCGTTGGTGGTTTATTTTTTACTTTTTTGGTGTCGAGGTGGTAAGTTGGCAGTAGTCAGAATAGGTTCGGGTTGGGGGCGGGTGGTACAAAGAATAGAAAGGGTGGGAGGCAGAAAAGCAGGAGCAGGGCAGAACCTCTTGGGGGGCTGGCAGCGGCCTTTTTGTTTGGTTGAGGGACCTGGAGGGACGCGAGAGAGACTTGGGCACAGCCTGTCGAATAAGATTCCGGCGAGCCAGGATAGGCCGTCTTCGCCACCAGCTAGCGATTGGGCTGGCGTGCAGCAGCGCTACTGGTCCTGGTCGGGGCGCCGTACTGGGCCTAGGGCCGCTGGGGGGGTGCGTGGCCGCACAGTAGGCGGCACCGTGTGGCTTCCGGGCGGCGGCTGTTGTGCGTAATACTGGGCCTGGCCTGTACGAGTGAGTGTACCAATGTACGTACCGGGGAATCTTCGTAAGAGTTACAGCTGGACAGTCAGTCAGTCAGGTCAGCCATGCAATCTGCCGTGACGCGCACTGTGGCACCGTGAGAGTGCCAACGCAACGGTGAGGGTGAGGGTGCTGGTCCTGGCACCGCGTGGTGGTTCGACGGGGCCTGGAGACCGTGCCAGGGCGGTGGCGACGACGCTGCGGGCACACTGCTGGCATTCGGCATTCAATCAAATTTCGCACTGTGCTGTGCTGTGCTGTGCTTACTGATGTAGATACTCGTACTGGCATACGAAGCACCTTATTACTTGACCAGCCCATTGACTGACTGACTGACTGCTTGCAAATGAGTCCATGTCCCATCGCCACACGGCCGGACTCGGGCTCTGCTCATTGCCTGCTTCAGATACTCAGACAGCGTCTCACCCCGAGAGAACCCCCCCAGATTCTGTCGTGCACGGACACGCGGATGCAGCACTCACTGCTCGTACCGGTATGGTATTCCGTCCAGGTACACTTACAGCCATGCTCGTTCGCAAAATGACATGTACGGATGCAGATACGCCCGCATTCACCTCTCGCAGAGTACAGGGCACTGGTTACCTACGAATAGCAACTGAGACATTGATGTCTGCAGATGCAGCTCTCAAACCCAAACCGCGCGCATCCAAGACCTACAGTAGGACATGCATACACGCTGGTACAGTGTCCGCGCCCGGCAACCATCACACAGTGCGGCACGGTACTCCCTGGGGCCGGCTGGTTTTGCCATTGAGCCCGGCGCTGCCCCTGCATGGATGGCCAAGTACTGTGCAAGCATCAACCTCAATGCCCAGCACTCAGCGCCCCATCACCAACTGGAGCCTCCATCCACAGCGTGGATGCTCTGCGCTGGCCGGTACCAGCAAATTGCGTGGCCGGCTGCGTGGAGGACAAGTCACCTGGTACAAGCGAATGATGTTGAATGGCTGCACTGTGGACTCACGGCTTCACCTAAGAAATTAAAGGCAGAAAACACATTGCCAGTACTGCCGGTTAAGTTTCGCACTGTCCTTCTGGGAGGTGTTGGATCCATCCAGTCACATTGCAGTACCAGGATCCTTCACCCAGAACCTGTGTATGGGTAGACTCGACCTCGTCTATACATACACTCTGCCGGTACTGTGCTGTGCAGAGACACAACCCAAATCACCGCATGCGAGGGCTCGGACAGTACGAGTACAGACGTAGTACCAAGTACGAAATCACGGAACGCTCGCCGCTCGCCCTCGTTCGTTGGGGCCCAGGATCTACCGGTCGGACCTCAACTGGGCCCCCTCGTGGTGCTGGCCCATTCCAGCTCGCCAACAAACGGCATCAATGATCACTTGACTGCATCGTTTTCGCGGCTAGTGCGCCGTCGGTACGTGAGACTGCTAGTCCGCGATCTGCTGCTGACCAACTCGGTGCCAATCCTGCAAGCGATGCCGCCTCGCGTTTGGCACCTGGTCCCGGGCACAGTACATAGCAAGTTAGTTGCCATCGCATCGCTGCGAGGTCAGGAATAGTAAGATTGAAGCTGCTTGCTTGGGCTCGCTGCTGCCAGACGACTAATGAAATTACCAGCTCGTCAGCCCGCGGGCATGGAGGATTTCTCTTCATGGAAATTTCGCAATCATCAGCTCGGAAATTGGGGCAATTCCGCCCGCCTGTTCATTGAGTATTTTCTGGTCCGGGGCCTGGGGGTGTTGTTGGAATATCCGCCTCGAGGATTGTGTTTCCGCTTCGTGGCATCAAGTTGTAATTACGAGGCAATCAAAGTGCACAAAGAACCTCGATTCATCACTTGTACGTCGATGAGCAACCAAATATGGACGGCACGGCAAGGTATTACTTACTACCTTGGTTAGGTTTCAGTCTCGGGCCTTGCTGGCCCGCATCTGCATGGACGGCTGCTACCGACATGCTGGCTCCAGTGTCAAGTCAATCATCCTTTCTTTACCTTGATTTCATGTTTATTTTTGTCCTTGTTTTCGCCGCGTGTGTTTTATTGACTTGCATTTGATGTTTTTGCAAGCGCAGGCGTGTGCCGAGACACCTGCCGCAGAGACAGTGTCAGTATCACTCGATACCACCACGGTTCTTCCTTGGAGATGGGGCCTAGGACGGAATCGCCATTGTGTGTGTTGCATTTCTCACCTGTTTTGACGCGCTGAAATTGCACACGCCAAAATCCGCATCGCTAGGGGACCGACTGAGAAACGCATTCCGTTTCTCGCCTTGTCATCTGCCTCCATACTTGGTACCTGCGCCAGCTACCTTGAGGGTTAGTGAAACCCAGGCAGCCCCTGGCAGGGAGAAGAGGAGCCTTGGACCCCCTTGGGTCTTTTTTATTGACCCGCCGATGCACAATCGTGATGCAGAATCACTCCAGGCATTTTCATCGTAATCTGTGTCTGCCTGTGCCATCTCAGAAGTTGACAGCATGGGAGTCCATATTCGCCACATTTGCGGATTGACTTTTCCCCAGGTACCATCTCTCAGATACAGACAGGTACATGCGACGCCCTGAGCTCTTTTGCTCTCGATGTGGACGACAAGAGGACCCCTTGCCAACGGCCCGGCCGCGCACCGGCTCCAAACTCTGTAGAAGCCTTCAGGTCATTTTCACGCCCATGTTGTGTGAATGTGAGTAGCCGTCAATCCACTCACACTCACAGACCCAAAACCTCTCACCACTAACACTCTGGGGGAAAGGTGGCTTGCTTAAAGTAAGCTGGGCTCTTTGCACCTATTGATCCGCACTGTGGCGTGTTGGTTGGGTGGTTGAGGTGGAATGACGATGCTTAAAAAGGATGCAGACACAAGCGCCACAAGCAGCAAGGTTTTTGCTCTATCAAATGACAGGTCGACCAACGCCACCGTCGGCAGCCAGCCGGCTTGCTGCTCACTTGGCGGCAAAGCATTGAATCCAATCTGGTCATGGGGAATCCTTTCCCGTTGCTGCAGATCCCACCAGCGGATTGCTCCATTGCTTCTCTAAAGATTGCTTCCGACTTGGCCCAGCTCTCATGTCTTACACAGATCCACCGGATCACGAAAGTGTGTATACGGATGCGCCGAGTATGAATGTGAATCTACCTGCACTTGCACGCAGATAGAATGGAGGACCAAGGGAGGCAACCCTCCAAGAATGATCGGCTCATGGCTGCCCCCCAAGAACAATCTAATTTCAGGTTTCACAGCTGCATTGGATCGAGCAGGGCTTCCGACCTGTTACACCGCGGCATCGATCTGCAGAGAGCTGCTTCGCCTCCCCCATGGCGGGCTGGTTCGACTCCAGTGCAACGCGGCTTGGTTCTGGCCAATCTAATCTACCCCATGAGAGGATCTGTCTAAGTGGCTGCTGGCGGTTGGAGCCGTGCTTGTCGCAGTAGCATTCGCAGTGCCCGAGAGCTATTCTTAAAGTCTTGCTGTCACATCATGCCATGTGTTTGGCCATGCCTTGAAGGGGATGCCGTCATCACTGTTACCCTCTCGCCTTTAGGTGGTCTGCTTCAGCAACGACTCGCAGTAGCGCCATAGCCGCTGGTTATGATGCCCATCTGCAGTCCTTACTGTACCGTTCATCCTATCAAGAACTAGTATTATGCGGCGTACTGCACGATTTCCACGGTTGACCCGGTAGCGTTACGTCTTTGCAGAAGCAAGCTACTGTACTGCTTGGGGTTCAGACTTCGAATAGAACACTGCCATGTTGAGAGCGCTAAAAGAAGCGTCATTCAGCCACAAGCGCCGCCGTTTGTACAGGACGGCCACTCCTAGTGTTCCACTAGTTAAACGCCGGGTCGGCTCCGACGTGACCCTTGGATGAAGAAGAGATGGATGGGTGGTCTGGCTCCTGGTTCGAGTAACAGCCATACTGTATTAATGTGTGGCACGGAAACGCACTGTTACACCACTTGGCTGCTCGCGCTCGCGCTCATGCTCGCTGCTCAACTCTTTTCGATCCTGGCATCCCTCATCTCATCTCCCTGCAGACACACGCAGCATGTCTCGGAGCATTGCCGGATACGGTCCCCAGCCAGCCAGCTTCAAGTCTGCACAGACGTGTAGCACAAGCAGCAAACCATTTCGAGGGCCATTTCGAGAGCCCCAGATCGCCCGCTGTATCCGGCTCGGTTCGCCGCTCCATCTCGCGGCTGCTGCTTGCGCCCGGCACCTTTGGGCTCTCCAGGTCCGTTGGATTGTCGGCATCTGCACCCCATACTTGAACTTCGGATTCCGTACTCGGGCCAGTGCGCCTCGGTATTGACGTTGTGCAGCTTTTGTTGCGCCTGTACCCTGTGCCTGTACCTGCACGGCGAGTAGTACGATCGATCGTCAGCTTATTGGCTCTTGCCCGGATGCAAATGTTGAAGCACACCCCCGTTCCCTTGTTCTTCTCTGTCTCTTCCTTTTGGCCTTCTGCAAGGGTTCGATCCCGAAGAGTGTCAGTCAGCCCGCACTCCGCGGGGTCTACAAGTCCTACAAAGAAGTACATGTATCTGTTCGCCAACCACAAGACTCTGCGTATACACCAAGTACCCAAATCAGTACTCTTAGGTCCCCTGTCTCTACCCTAGCTGTGCCCTGGCAATACCCTGGGCGAACCCCATGAAAGAAGCGGTGTGGCGGCAGGCCATCAATGTGATTACCCTTTCTTATTGGCTGGGTCCTTGTCCAAGGATACCGAGTCTTGATTCCTGTTGGCTGTCTCGGGTCCGTCAGGTGGAGAAGAAAGACATGGCTCTGTGGAGTCGTCGCCCGCATGTGGAGAGAAGAGACCTTGATGCTCTCCAGAGGTGACTTGTGGTCTGGATGATAGGTACTTTGGGTTTGGCTGGCGTCTGGAGGTCAGGTACATGCATCCAGGTGCTGGTTTTGTCGACTACTGGGCGAAGCGACAGACGACGCAGCCACTCTCCCAACCCAGCCACACGATGCGGAGACATTTCGACCCAGACAACCAGGGTGGCTTCGTGGCGCCGGGTCTTCCGCTCTCCCTTCTGCGAGTATTCCGGCTTGTTGAGGGACGAGACAAACAGCGCATTCTTGTGAGCTGCTACTTTGGGCGACCGCACGGGCTTGCCGACCGATAAGGTGCTGCCGTGTCAATATTGTATGCAGGACTCCCGAGCTGCAGCCAGAGAGTTCTGGAATTTCTATCCCACGTCTCCGATCTTATCCATCTCTCCACTTTCAGGCCGGAGATGCTAATTGACTCAGGCTTCTTTGTCGGATTCCCCTTCCCTTCCTTCTCTGCCCTTACATGGAAGCACGCAGGGGGTTCGTGGGATGACGTAGGACGCAGGAGACGTGCTTGTTGCGCAGAGGCTCAACAATGGCCGCTAGGTGGTTCGACAGATGGCTTCATCATAGCGCATCGCCTAGTCTTTTTGCCGGCTGAGGCTGAGTTGCTTTACGAGGTTGAACTGGAGTCGTGAACAGAGAGCCCCTGAGGTGGCTTTGAGTTATTTTTGGTGATTAGTTTCTGCACCTGTCTGGAGAACCACAACGTGGTCTGAAGCAATAGGCGGCACCACAAACCCATGGTGTTCGTAGAGGCAAATGCCAACTCGCCACAACTACTGCCAATACCTGGACCCGATGATAGCAGCTACCACAAGGTTGAACCCGCGGTAAGCGACTCAACATGCCTTGCTCTCAGCTTAGAGACCGCTGCCGTGTATGAAGGAAACGCTGCATCCTCGGCAACATGGCGGGGTGAGCCTCGGAGGCGGATTATCCTACCGATATATCCAACCTTCGGCCGGCGTTGACCGATATCATCCCTTTCGGCAATCTGTTCAAGCAGCTGCACAGCCAGGCGCAGACATAGATCTCCCTTCAGTCCGTGTGCGAACCGCCCTGCGAGATTAAACCAGAATCATGGTTCCGTACGGACTCCGGCTCCGCTCAGACCAGCTCACAAGGAGGGGCTCTGCTGCCCTGGCGGCGGCAGCATGTCTGTCGCTCTACCTGCTCATCAGGCCATCGCTGTCGCCTCCGGCAAAGTCTCCCAAGACGGATATTGTGCGTGTAAAGGATCGGTCGGGGACCGACCCGAAGGACCCCGAAAGGGCGGCGCCGTATCCTCCGGACCTGTTCCCTGGCGGCAAGGACGTCGAAACGGTGTACGGAACCGTCAGGGTGTTTGAGTGGGGGCCCGAAGAGGGCGAAAAGGTGCTTCTGGTGCATGGTATTGGAACGCCGTGCATTGCGATGGGCGGCATGGCCTGGGAGCTTGCGCGGAAGGGGTACAGGGTGATGCTCTTTGGTACGTGCTGCTCTATCTTTTGTGTAATTGTATATTTGCATCCTCAAGGGAGGCGAGACGACGACTGCTACTTACACGATGCCACATATAGATCTGTTTGGGAGAGGCTACTCCGATGGCCCTTCAAATGCTGCTTATGATGAGTGTCTCTATACCACTCAGATCCTCCTCGTCTTGGCATCCTCATCTCTGTCCTGGACTGGTGCTTCTTCTTTCCACCTCCTGGGCTACTCGCTGGGAGGTGCTCTGGCCGCAGCCTTTGCGGCATACCACTCGCATATGCTGCGCTCCCTCACCGTCGTCTGCCCAGGAGGCCTCGTGCGTGAGTCCCACATCGGCTGGAGGAGCCGCCTCTTGTACTCCCACGGTTTGCTGCCCGAGTGGCTTCTTAGGAGCTGGGCGCGAGGGAGGCTCGCCCCGCAGCACGGGCAGAGCGCAGACGTGCCCGATGGTGACGAAGCAGATGCCAACTTTGACGATGTGACCATGGCCGTCGGGAGGAGCACCGTCAGGGTCGGCGATGTCGTAGGCTGGCAGCTGGATGCCAACCCGGCCTTTGTCGACTCCTACATGAGCACCATTCGCTACGCGCCCATCTACGGGCAGCACGACAAGATGTGGGCTGTGCTGGGCGAGAAGCTTGCCGCTAATCGGGAGCTTGGCTTGGGTCTGCAGAGAGTATGCGTTATCCTGGGTGATAAAGACACTTTGATTATCAAGGATGAATGGATTGAAGATACCAAAGCAGTTTTGGGAGAAGAAGGCGTAGACATTTGCGTAATTTCCGGTGGCCACGAAATTGCCATTTCAAAGGGCAAAGAAGTAGCTGAGGCTGCCATTTCGTCGTGGAAGAGCAGTCGACACAGTAGTAAATCATCCAAAAGCAGCAGCAGCGGTAGCGGAACTCGGCCCAAGAAGATTAGACATAGAAATTAGAGCCCGAAGAAGATCAAAAGACCGGCGCTGTTCTATTTAATGCGTATGAGTTATGAGCCTTTGATGCATCGATTCCCCAAGATAATCCCACCCTGTCCATGCCATGGCCTAGCCCGTATACTCCAAAACAAAGAAATAAAGAAAGAAGGCCGCTGATTTGTGAAATTCAAACAAAGATATCGTTTCAAACAATCCAAAGACCCTTCCAAGACGCCGCATACCCAATGCTTCCATGCTTCCAATGCTTCAACCCCCCTATTTCTAAATAACATCATATTTATGATAAACGCTATTCGTTGTCGCAAACGTTTCAGGACGGGGTTCTTCAGCGGCTATTTCAGCGACTGTCACTGCCAAGTTGTCCAAGTACTGGTCTGATTGTTCATGGTAGGTAAGTGCTGGTGATGAACCCTCCCTGTCGAATTACATGCAATCAAGTACCCGGCTGGTTTGCTCCTTCGTCGGGCCCGACGACGTGCCTATTTGTCGAGATTTCGGGCCTTGACGAACCGGTTGATTTGCTCCCTAGTGAGCTTATCGTTGTACTGTTCATAGCACTCGTAGAAGGATATTATCTCCTGGGTTGCGTCTACCATGGCAGCAATGTCGACGTCGCTCTCTGCCAGCCAGGCCGCAAAATGCTGGACGCGGGTGATTCTGGCTTCCTGAACCCTTTCTTTGACCTCTGGTGTCGAGGGAATCTCAGCGAGAATCCCGCCCTGGCCTGATCGAGCGGAGTGTGCTTGGCTCAGGGCGGCCTGCGCGGCTGCCAGACCAGCTGCTGCGGCAGATCCCGAGGCGCTCTGCCCTGGAACCGTGGAGTTTGGGCGCAGAACGAGAGCCAGGAGGATTGCAACCAGCGCGACGATGTGTGGTGCGCAGAGGAACGGCAGGTCCGTCATGTAGTGGTCGTTGATGATCGACTTGGCGAGCTGCACATCTTCATCGACCAGGGACAGCTCGCTGCGCAGAGCCAGCAGACTTCGGTAGGGTTGATGTACAATGAGCTGGGAGCTCATCTCGCTAATGAGAAAGAATTCGCACTCTCCAATCTTGGACGTGTCCAGCCCGATGAAATCCTGCCAGAGTTGCCGAGCCTCGGTCACAATCAGGCGGATGTGCTGCGGCGCCTCTTCCATCTTGCAGGCCAGGTATATCGCAGTCGTAATGACGAGATAAGGGTTCGTGCGGCGGATTTCGACTCGTGTGTAGAAGCGCTTCAGATAGACCTGCGCCGTGGCCATGGCCTGCTGGCGGATGGTGAGACGCTTCCCTAATCGCAGCAGCTCTGGCAGACGGGTTAGCTGGGCGGAACACAAAACACTGACGCTGCGGCGCGCAACGACTCACGTTGATTGAAGTAGATGGCCATGTGTCGCGGCTGCGGGAGAGGAAACATGCGGACGAGCTCGGCGCTCTCATCCTCCAGCTTCTGTCGCATCGAGGCGAGCTCATCTTTGGTGAAGAGCCAATGCCGCCGCTGCGTCGACTCCCAGTAGTTGGCGGACATGGCTGCGGAGACGGAGCCGCGAAGGCACCTCTCCCCGTGGCAGAGAGACAGAGAATAGTCCCTGCACCGAGATGAAACGTTCTAGTAAGTGATAATTGCTGGTGGAAGAGTGTGTCGCGATAGCAATGCGGTCGACAATGAGATCTGACCAGCCGCCAAGTTAATCTTGGGACTGACAGGCAAGGCTGCGGGGCGATAAGCGATCGCCAGCCTTATCGGACTCCCCTATTGCTCAGCGCTGTGCAACCCCCTAGCAGCGCCTAGAATTTATTACGTAGTGGCCGTCGCCCCCCATATCGCAGGCACTTCTCCCCAAGATCCGGCATCGATTCCTGCTACTCCCGAGCTACGACGTCAGTAGCTGTCAAGGCCCGCAATCGCTCCCAATTGGCATCGCCTGCCAGACCACAAGCTTCCAGATCTCTACGATGAGGTTGAGATAGCACCCAAACGCAATACAAGACGACGCGCCCGCTGAACCCCCCACCGCGGCATCGCAATTGCCGCCTCGACGTCGCCTTCGAGACATGCCACAGCCATGACGGCCAGGCCAGCTACCGAGGTGGAGAGAGGGCTTCGTGAGCCTCAAAACCAGAACCCAAACCATGATCGCGTTGAAAGCCTTTGGGCACAGCTGGGGCCCAGTGCCAATGGAGAGTTGGACCTGAAGGGCCTGCAGAAGGGCTTCCGGAAGATAGACCATCGTGAGGATTTTCTTTTTTCTCTCTTTGTTCCCCTTGTTTCGCAGCTTTGCGCATCCGCCCCGCATTTTCTAGCTAGATGTTGACGGGTTTTTTACCTCTTGCGAACAGCGCTCAAGAATGCGGACGCCATGTTGAAGAAGATCATGACCGAGGTGGACACCAACGGCGATGGAAAGATTCAATACGAAGGTGCGTGTGTCTATTGTTCTGGCGCGGGGGCTTGTGTCCTTTGTCCAGCACAAGCCGTGGCCGCTGGAGCGCTACAAACACAGCTACGGCTACTGACGGCGATTTTGCTTGACTGCGCAGAGTTTCGAGTTTTTGTACAAAAGGCGGAAAGCCAACTCTACGACTTGTTCAAGTCCATCGACCGCGACGGCAATGGGAAGCTGGACCAGGCAGAGCTCCAGACGGCGTTCAAAGCTGCGGGGTTGACGGTGTCGAACCGCAGGCTGCACGACTTTTTCAGCGACATGGACCAGAACAACGACGGGTACGTCAGTTTTGACGAATGGCGGTAAGTGAGACGAAAGCGAAAATACTTCCCTTGATTTGCTGTGGGCATAGATTGGCAGCTTGTTTATCGATCTCGGGTGGATCGCTGTCAGGCGCGCACTCCCAAGGGTCATGTGCCGCGGTCTTGAGTTGGACAAATGAGCACGTTCAACACCACAAGACCGATTTCCCCTGAAACCGCCGGCATGCGCCCCCAGCTTGCCCTTTTGATATATGCCTCAGGAGAAATGCTCCGAATGGCTGCGAGGAGAAAAAAACGTTCACCAGCTGACCGAACTACGTCAGGAACTTTTTGCTTTTCATGCCGGGAAATCAAGATGCGTCCCATCTGCAGGCCGTGTTGTCCTTTTATTACTCGGTAGTTAATGTCACGCCGGAGGGAGACTCCCTTGTGAGTGGGGAAACACTGGAAGGCTTAGGTAGGGCCGGCTCTAGCTCTTTTCTTAATATTCTCTTTGGCTCTCTCCTACGAGTTGCCTTTCCCTCCTATCCGAGGACACCCCCAGAGCTTCCATCACCTCCTCCGCCATCTCCCGCGCAAGCTGCTGGGACAGTCGAGCCGGAGGTCCAAGTGCCATTACAACATGCAAGGGGAAGTTTTGTGGACGCGACGGCGCATGCGTCTGCTATCGGGATTTCAGAAGTCGAGCAAGGCCCGTCAGGGGCAGGTGCTACTCCACAGACCGACGGCGATGGCACCTCAATCGAGCACCGTGAAGAGTCCTCTACCGGAGCTACACCGACCAAGAAGAAGTTTAAACTGACAGACTTTGCTCCCCATCCAGGTTACTTCGTTGCGGGTGCCATCGCCGGTGGAGTGTCGCGGACGGCCACCGCTCCGCTCGACCGATTGAAGGTCTATCTGCTCGTCAATACCGACAGCGGTGCCGAGACGGCAATAGGAGCGCTGAAGCAAGGCCGTATCGTTGATGCGCTTAGGAATGCGGCGAGGCCCTTTGGCGATGCTATGAAGGACCTGTACCGATCGGGCGGGTTGCGCAGCTTTTTTGCTGGTAAGCTCATACTCCTACCTGAAGCCCCATGGCCGGCATCTTTTTGATGAGATTTGAGCTAATGTTGGCGTTTGCCTAACCAGGCAACGGGTTGAATGTTGTAAAGATCATGCCGGAGACGGCCATCAAGTTCGGATCATACGAAGCGACCAAGCGTGCGCTGGCAAATTTCGAGGGCCATGGGGATGCCAGAAACATTAATTCGTATTCAAAATTTGTTGCTGGTGGTCTGGCCGGAATGGTTGCTCAGTAAGTGATGGCTGATGACTCCTACATTATTCGACGGAGTCACGACTTTCCTTTCTCCTCTCTTTCTCTCTTTTGCTGACAACGTATGAAAATATACAGATTCTGCGTCTACCCCCTTGATACCCTCAAATTTCGACTTCAGTGCGAGACGGTCAAGGATGGTCTGACGGGGAGTGCCCTCGTTCGACAGACGGCCATAAAAATGTATGCTGATGGCGGTCTGCGAGCCTGCTACCGAGGTGTCACCATGGGATTGATTGGCATGTTCCCTTATAGTGCCATCGACATGGGCATGTTTGAATTCCTCAAGAATAACTACCGCATCCGGTATGCGAAATACGCGGGCTGCCATGAAGATGATGCTGAGCCCGGCAACATCGCCACGGGCATCATCGGCGCAACATCTGGAGCTTTTGGAGCGTCGGTTGTCTACCCGCTTAATGTCGTCCGAACTCGACTACAAACGCAAGGCACCGTGATGCACCCCCAAACCTACACGGGAATCTGGGACGTTACGCAGAAGACGATCCAGCATGAAGGATTCCGAGGTCTCTACAAGGGCCTGACGCCAAATCTTCTCAAAGTTGCCCCTGCGTTAAGCATAACGTGGGTGGTGTACGAAAACGCAAAACGCCTTCTCTCACTGCATTGATTGATTGATAATTTTTTTTTATCAATCACTGACTCAACGAACAAGTATAGAAAGGATACGATGATACCACACGCGCATCTATTTATTGCATTAGCATTGTCAATCTCATTTGTTGAACATATTGGTAGCGAGCTTCATCCGCATTTGGACGGCCATTTGGTGTCTATTTAGCTCGAGAGGAGGCCAGGACTTGCTGGCGGGTGGCTACGGACGGGTCGTGGGGCGGCATTTGATCGGCAGCCACGTACTTGATTTGAGTGCTTGGATGTGAAGGGTTACAAAAAAGAAACCACTATGCCATATTATATAAAGTCTGATGTGGGGGAGGGGAGGGAATTAGAAATGATGGATAGAAGAGAGAGTTGGTTGGAACCAACCTTTTCCATCCGAGATGCTTCATAAGGGGGATGCCGAGGCATAGGAGAGTGTACGAAATCTAGCTACCATGTCATAGATCCTGCGAGACTCAGTTCTCGATGAAACGTTAACATTGCATTGGAGGGAATCAAGAAACAAGAGCCGCGATAAGAGAGGCGGGTTGTCCATATGTGAAGTCTCACGTCGGGCTCGGTACCCGGAAAAGTGGAGACGAGGAGCTCCGTGACCGGTGGCAAGGGCCGGGGCTTTTGCTGGAGCCGGCGTCTTGGCCGAGCGTCTTTATTGCTTGATTTGCCTGGCCGTTTGCTCAGCTGGCCGGCGCCATGGCCAGGCAGCAGGGATGGCGATGATGAAAAGGAAACTAAAGCTGCGAAGGGCAGCCATTACATGGAAGTACAGTAGTGGCGAGGTGTTGGAGCTGTCATGAATCACAAGAGTTGCCCCGAATGACGAGCGCTTCGTCTCCGGGTTGCGTGCTTGCTTACGCAGGTCGTTGGAGATTTGGGAGACTTGTCCTGCGGGGGTTCTACGGCTACGGTAGCAAATGCAAGTGCAAATACATAGGTATGCAAAGGCAAAAGGCAAATTGCAAAAGGGCAAAAGGCAAAAGGCACAACAGCAGAGTAGAGCGAATCACAGCACGTGCGAGCCCCGGCCCGTAGCGAGCTTATGGCGCCGTGGGCAAGGGAAAAACAGAGTTGGACTAGTAACTGGAGCGCTACTGATTGGGGGGTTTGTGGGTTTGTGGTGGACGAGTTTTGGGGACTTTTGCAAATGACACTAGCGGGATTGTTGGCTGGACGTGGAATGGCATGCGCCTTTTGGAAACTTGATTTTGTGATTAAGAGCTCTTTTTCACTTTTCTGTTTTTCATTTTCTTATTCTCTGTTCGTGATTCAGCACTGAGCAAGCACTCATTCGGTCTTGAATTGAACTCAATTGCCAAAGGTGACCAGTCATACCACTAAACTGGTTGGGTTGCTGTCTGAGTTGGAGCGGCGGCTCGCTTTCCATCACATCGTGGGCGGGTCCTAAGAGTCAATGATTTAGCGGATCGGAAGGAGCAGTGGGAGGTGTGGAGAGGCGGAGAGGAGGAGAGGAGGCAGGAAAGCAGACAATCGACATGGGCAGTACCGCCAGTGGACGCAGAATCCGGCGGCGCTCACAAGACAGCAGCATGTAGCGGCCAGGTAGCGACGGGGTAAAGGTCGACCGCGCTTACAGGCAGGCCCTCTGCTGTAAATGGAACTGAAGCGACTGCTATCTGCTACTACCTAGTAGGTAGTAGGTACCTACTATCTGCGAGTTGCTTATCCGGCTCTTCAACACCTTCGCTTCCTCTCTCGCGGCCTCTCTCTTTCTTCCCTCTCTTTCTTCTGCTTTCCCCATCAGGCCACTCCCCTTTGCCGTAGAGACGTCTGGCAGAGGACACGAGCGGCTTGCTGGACCCCAAACGCGCGTCTCTTGTTGCATTCAGACTCCAAGCGGCTGCATCTCCACAGCCGGCCGTTTCGTGGTGCAACGTGCAACCCACTCATTCCTGCGTCTGTCGCCTCGTCTAAAGCTAAAGGTGACTGCAGCAGAGACGCTGGTAGGCGTTTCGTCAGCTCCCGAAGAACTTTATTCCGCCGCTGCAGACCCAGACGCAATGCCGGCCCCGTACTCCGACAATCTCTACTCGGGCGATGACAACCCCTGGGAGGACGACCAGAACGAAGCGCTGTCGCCCGCTGACGGCTACTTCCACGCGTCGTCTGGTCTAGAAGAGGCCCAAACGTCATCGCCCTCCCCTCCCGTTCGGCAGCAGCGCCAATCAGCAAACGTGCCTTTTGTGCCCAACGTCATGGTGGAGGATCCGACTCTGAACGAGGATCGAGCTGCTGCAAAGGCGAGAGAGGCTGCCCAGGAGAGGCTGATAAATAGTGCCTCTGCTGGCCGGTCGACTCCTCTTGTTGAGAGCCAGCCTCATCACCAGCCTCATCATCAGACCATCCCGTTTGCTCAGGGGCAATCTGGCTTTTACAATCCTTCTCATTCTCCTCACTCCTCCCAAGTTGCTTCACCCCCCCAGCTTCAGACCCATTACCAGTCGACGTCGGCTTCAGCGTCGTCGTCATCCCCCTCCTCCTCTGGCCACTACCACAGACGTAGCATTGACGAGGAGATCTCGTCCTTTCAGCCTACAATTGCTGCCGGCCAGGCGCCCAGGCAGTATACGGTTCGTCGGCCATCTGACGCGCCTCCTGCGTACTCCCCGTCTGCTTCCTCGCCACAGTCATCTGGTTATCAGACCTTTGCCCCCCCGCAAGCCGGTGCCGAAACCATGGGTGTGCCTGAGGAGAACCAGAGTTTGCTTCCGCGACAGCCTGAGTCTATGGGCGGAGCTGTAAACGGAGCTCGAGAACCTCTATTCCGAAGGATTAGAAACTCCACCACCTCTACCACGAGAAAGAAGATTCGGACTGTCCTTGGTGTCCTCGTCATCCTTTCTATTATAGTTGCCCTATTTGGCGGCACCATCGGTGTTGTCGACAGCCCCAAGGTGAGTAAACGCTTCTGTGATTTCCTCTCACATAGGAGTGATGAATCAGTGTAAAACTGTATGGCAAAGCTAGTACTGTGATTTCCTAACATGACCATTCAGAAGCCGGGCATCATTGACAAGTCACCCGTAAAAGCCCCTCCGACCAACAACCCTCCCCCCAACATGTCGTGGCCCCCTAGGAACAGCAGAAACTGCTTGGGTGAGCCGCACAAGTCTTCAAAGATAAACGAAGTCATCAGCTTTGGCCACGGCAAGAAGCTCAGCATTGTTCAGACGGTTGAGAGGGAGAATGGAAACCGCCCAGGAAACATCCGCACACCAAATGTATATGGCGAAGTCATCCTGCAGCCTGTCGACACCACTTCCACTGGCACCATTCAGCTTGAAATCATGACTAATGATGAGACCCTTCGCGTCGACGTTGAGTTTCGTAAGCGGGACCAGCAGTTTCAAGTCATCGTTCCCCGCTGGACCGACTGGAGTGAGCCCAACTGGCAGCCGTGCATCCTACTTCGAATTACCGTGTCCATCCCCCGTGAAGCAGAGCTCGAATCGCTCCTTGTCGATTCTCTTCATCTGGATGTCGCCGTCAGGGATGGCCTTGTTCTTAGCTCTGCCACTGATGCCCAGATCAAAACTGTTGCCGGAGATGTTACTACTGGTCGTGTGTCGGGGGATGTGGCGCCGTACACTCTCGCCTCCCGAAGCATTATCGTCGAGACTGTTAGTGGTGATGTTGCAGGCTGGTTTCCGCTATATGACCTCCTCAAGATTCACACTGTTTCCGGCGAAATCAAGACTGACATCACCCCGAAGCCGTCGTCTGATAAGAAACCTGAACAAGCTGTGCTCAACGTCGACTCCGTTTCTGGAAATATCAAAATCACCGAACCCGTAGGCTACGAGCATGACACCAAACGTGAGGAAAAGTTCCCGCCGCGAGATTACGTCGTTACCGTGTCGTCTGCCTCTGGCGACATTCAAGCTGACTTGGCTTTTACGTCAACGGCAAAATTTGAGACGGTGTCTGGCGACCAAAAGATCAAGTTGCTACCGGTCTTTGGATCTGGCTCCTCAGCACAACCCTCCATTTCGACCGACACAAAGAGTGGACAGACTACATTCAACGTCTTCGAGCCGCTGTGGAAGCACTTTGCCGCTAGCATTGGCCACTACGACCCATTGGCACCACCTGTTGGCGGCGAGGATGATACGGATAGCGATGAGCCTTGGATCATCATTCACCCTGACGAGCAGTTAAGCAAGCTTCCCCCACCACCATACATGGACATTAAGCCGAGCATGGCTGCCAATGGTGGAGGTGATGACGAACAGCACGGATTAACCGACATCAAGTCTCACCATGCATCCATCAGTGGAGACTTTAAAATCCACTATCCCGCTTCGTGGGAGGGAAAGTTTTCCCTGACTACTTTCTCGGGCTCGCAGGATATTCGAGGCGACGACCTCCACTATAAGCGGACGGGAGGTATCATCAAGCGTATCGAGGGAACCAAGGGTAATGGAAGGTCGAGCCTAACTGTCGATTCCATGTCTGGCCGTGAGGAGTTGGTGTTTGGAGCTGCTTAAACGAAGATTAATTTACAATGATGGCTAAAAGAGGAGGCTTTTAAGATGATACCACGGAGAAAAAGCGAGAGGGCAAGCAGAGAATAGGAAAGAAGAGTTGGATATGAGAGTACTCGACAGTGAATGTTATTCAGCAAAGGAGAGCGAAGCGATGTGTTTAAGCGATTTATGCGGGAGTTGATTTATCGAAGAGAATAAGCAAACGAATAATGTCTTTTTTCCTTTTTCCCCTTATCACTTTGCTTATGAGGGTATGGTAGGGAAGTGTTGAGACGTACGTCTTCTTTCCCAATGGGAGGATATGCCGCTCCTTTTTGTCATGAACATATTTGTATGGCGCTATGTTTCCCCTTTTCTTTTCTTTTATGTGTGTTGTGTAGCAAGGCTTTCTCTGCCCTCCTATAAGGAGAGGCTAGCTGATTCTGTTAGATGAACTTCTCAATATTAACAACAGTACAAAATGAACCCTGAATCTTTATGAATAGCTATACTATTATTAAAGAAACATGCTGTGAGTATTGATTAGTATACGCAAAAAAAGTCATGCCTCACATTACATCAAAATGCCCGCTACTGTCAGAGGTCTCGCCACAAAGGAACAAAGAAGAGATCCAGCAGCTTATTTACACCTAGATTACAGCTGGGTGTTCAACAATGGCTGTATTCAACTCTTAGCCTGCTCAATAAATGAGAAATGACACCCTCCGCTTGAGACTGGTGAAGATGGCTTTGTAATGGAGGTTTGTTCGCATAAGACTCTTGAGGTTCTGTAGTACATGTGTGAGGACCTGGAGGTGCAGGATTACCAAGCTGTACTAGCCTGCTGTGGATATGTTATGTGAAAAGTAATAGCCTTCAAGTTAGAACAAGTTACCCCAATTCGGAACTATGAATAATAGATAATTTATTCGGATAGATTGATACTGATAGTAAGCGGCTCAAGGAGGTCGGTTTAGAGTCCAGCCTAGGATTACTCAGCTTTGCTTTATTGACTTCTTGTGGATAGGTATACCTGATTTGGAAGGATAAGATTTGATCCTAATAGAAAAGATTTAAGACAGTTTAGTCTCATTCTCTGAACCTAATCATGCGGATCTTCAATACCTTCTACTACAACAACGAGAGATTGCGGGACGGATCTCGGGCGGGCCAGACTTTGATGGCGAGGGTCGAGATGAGAACCGGGACCAGGGATCTTGGGATCTGTCAAAGGTATAGGACATGTACATAGAATTCGATACGGTTGTAGAAGACTACCGAGTCAGTCGAATCAAAGATTAGGGTGAATACATTATTTCGTTATGCGGCTGCAGTTGACAAATAAGCCATTAATACTGTATGAGGCTATAAATGCTATCAAGTTCTACCGCAAATATTCCATCTAGACTATATTAGAGAAGTTAATGGTGCTTCTATGACTCAATTTGGTAATACACATCTCGAGTTCCTGGATTTCACAGTGCCTCCCACGCCGAGCCACCATGAACAGGACTGATTGCTGAGTTTATGCTGTCACTCCTGGCATTTCGTCCTCATCCCATCCTTCCTGGCGATTTTTAGGGATCCTGACAAATATGAGTGCGATCAGGGCCGCAGCACCCGTCATTCCGACCCCCAAATATAAAGCATGCCTATACCCCTGTACAGGACCGTCGCCTGAGTTGGTGTAGTGTTCCACGGTGCCAGCGAATCCAAGCCCAGTAGCAAGTCCATAGGATAGCAGGGTGCCGATGAGAGAGCCCGCAATACCTTGCTGCGCTCTTTTCACTGTTGCGCTGGCGATGATTTGTGACGCAGTAAACAAGAAGTCCGGCCCAAAGGATACCAGGATCATGGCAGGGAAGACTTGGCGCCAGTACATCTGCTGTGCAGGCATTGTTGCTATGAGAATCAGCGACACACAAGATGCAAGCGACCCAATTGCCATGATATGCTGGGCTGCAAGATAACGGATCGCCTGGGCGCTTAGTATAGCTGCAATGGCACCGCAGACGGCGAGCGGCGCGTAGGCTGCTGCACAGATAAAGATGGAATAATGTCGAACATAGAAGTTCCAGGCCGTAATGTACCAGACAACAATGCCGACGCCCATAAACGTCAAAAAGGCCGAGACCGTCATGGCTACGAAAGAGGGCGACTTCCATATCGTCAGTAGCAAGACGGGTTCTTTCGCAAACTTCAATTCCCAGAGAACAAAGAGCCCGAAATGAACCAAAGAAACAATAAGCAGTGCATAGATATACGGCTTTTGCCAGCCGTCCACGGAAGCTTGCCTTTTTTCCAGACGTTAGAAGAGTTTTGGTCTAACAGTGGGCGAACATTTGTACTCACGTCCACGAGAAATTGAAAAGGATCAGTCCTGTGACGCCGCAATACGCGCCGATGTAATCGAATTTCCCATCGGGATCCATTGGTCTATCCTCACCAGGAACGACAAAGAAGAAGAAGGCGAACACCATGGTGCCTAATATCGCTCTAAAACACATTCCCCGTCAGATGGAACAAAGCCTTTCGCATCCAGCACTAAAGGGACTTACAGGAAGAAGAACAACCACCACCAAGGCGCAAGTTGTCCGAAAAACCCTGGGAATACACTCCCACCAGCGGCACCAATAGGGGCCATGGCACCGAAAAGTCCCACTGTTATGTTGCGCATCTTGCCAGGCGGGAATCTGGTCGTGAGCAGGGCGATGGCGTTTGGTACGACAAAGGCACCGCCGACGCCACTCAAAGCACGCATGATACTCAAGGAGATGACGCTGCGCATGAAACCCGCGATGAGTTGGAATATGACCCAGATAACGCCTGCCCCGACAATGGCATTCTTATGGCCGTATATAGCTCCTACTCGACCGCCTATAAGGACGAACGTTCCCTGCGTGAGACTGTGAAGGGTATGTCTGGTCAGCCAGGATATATGAACTGACTCTGTAAGGTGTTGAAAGAACCTACGGATATGAAGCTATAATCCAAACTGTGTTTTTGGAGGCCGTGTGAATTTGCTCGGCTATATTGGCTCCGCCCGTGATGCCAGCGCCATAGGGAATCATCTGCCAAGATAGATGGTTAGTGACATTTACTTTGTCGAGTAGTATGCCATCTTGGAATCTCACTTGAACGAATTGCAGTAGAATGATGCTGAAAGACATTAATAGCAGCCTCGACTTGGGGAGTGTCTTCCCCATCTGATTTGGTTTTTCCATAGCTGCCCCGGTGGACTTTGGCTCTAGTGGCGTTTCCACTACTATTGTAGGGTCATTGGATAACGAATCTGGTGGTGTTGACATTTTAGTGTCCAGAGAATAGATCGAATTGTCCTACCTGGATGGAGGAGCCATGCTATCGTGAAATACATCCTGAGGTACCTTGGAAGTCGAGCTTTATAAAGTAGTCAGAATTTGCATTCGAAGCAACCCTGACTTGACATTAATCATCTTGTCGTAACGGAAAGTTTTGATTTATTACACTGGCTTGCTGGTTATCCTCTCGGAGTGATTATTATTCGAAGGCCGTTTTGATGATATTGTTTTAAGCGATTCGGCTCAATGAGGACTACCCCTAGCTACCCCGTATAGTATCATAGCTCAAGCTCGATTCTGATATGGGCCATACGTTGATTGGCTATGATATTGCTTAGAAGAGAAGAAACGGGGCTTACACGTGTGAAAATAGAACATATTCACGGCTGCGGAGTTATTATTAATTTTGCCGTAGCTCGCCAATTACCGACTCCAAAGGGCCGAGTCTTGAATAATGTATCATGGATGTACAAATAATATTTCTTTCTGGCCATACTGTCACCGCGGATGGTTTCTCTACAGTGGTTAGGTATAGTGTTGCGGTCGATATAAATCGCATTACAACAGTCAGGGACTTGGTGTATCAACGCATGAGGCAACTGCATATATATATATAATAGGCCACCCGCTCGGGTCCTCTTGAAATAATTTCATTCTAATCTTAGTCGTATGCTTGCGGATTGCCTATGATGACCTCGGAATCAGAGTCTTTCGACTTTATAGTCGTTGGCGCTGGGCTCACAGGTTACAGCACGCGAATGGGAATCTCTCCAATCCGACTGCTCTTTCATTAGGTGATAAAGGCCATCAAACAGCTGCTTTCAGAGAGTGAAACTTATTTCTGTCTGGTGAAATGCCTAAAATTAGCGCTTCTGCTGTCACTGGCCTTTATCAAAAGCGAAGCTGTGATCCGCGGTGCTGAGTTTGGCAAGTTTGCCTTCCAAGGAACAGTCTCATTTACGTTTACCTGGAGTTCCGACCTATGGAGTTATTGCAAGCGCGTCTGCTCTAAAACTGTACACCGAACCGCACAATACACCCTCGTTGTTACTTTTCTTCATCGTCGCGCAATATACACAAAGTCGTGGAATGCAAGAGATTGCTTCTGCCGACCCTCTCTGTGCCGTTGAATTCCAATCCCGCATTTTTAAGCTATCCTTATGATCGCGTACTAATAGCATGGAGGGGCACGGATCTCAAAGCCTGGATAACTAATATGTTTTATTTTTAAATTAATAAAAATAGTATTGGAACTGTTGAATAGTTATCGATCACTGTTTTTGCTTGATGCTTATGCAATCAGCCCCTTGCTCGATCGATCGGAGACAATACGTAAATTTCCCGATCCAAACCCTAAATCCTGCAGCTTACAAGTAACTGATATGTAAGCAACTCTCCCATTTACGGAGGACTCTACTACTTAGTTTGAGAATATTGCGTCTCTCTCAGCTTCAAAACACCATGTTTGACTGTTCTGACTGTCGCTGGTGGTGGTACTCATCGCCCAACTGTTTTCCGACGCAACATGTCCGCAGCGGGAGTCTCTAAGAGGGGCAAGGGGCGTCCCCGAAAAGAAGTAAATGCCATCGACTCGGCCGTAAAGGTTTGTTGGTGTAATTCGGTGTCAAGGCGAGGCAATTACAACAATGCGAACTTACTTGATATGTAGGTCCAAAGAGAAAAGAACAGACAGGCTCAAAGCCTATTCAGAGCTCGCAGACGGGCCACTGAGGTTGAAAATGAGCTACGAATATCTCAACTTGAAAAGACAGTTGAACGGATGGGGGATACTTTCCTCACTCTCGTGAACCATGTTGTCCGGTCGAATCAGAAGCGGAAGGATCTTGAGTTGGCAGAGAGGCTCCAAGAGTCCATAAACACCTTTCTCACTTTAGCCGCAAGCTCGTCGGATCAAGGGGGGGACTCTATCAACACTAGAAATCACGGTGACATCCGCCAACCAACTCTACAGGGGGTGCGGAATCCCGGTAATGAGGAGAGAGCCGGTCTAGCAGCATTCGTGGAAGATACGAGCTCATCCCAGCAAGTCTCAGCTTCGTCAGCTTGGAACCCGCAGAATTCTGGCAAGCTCTGGAATCTACGTGATCAGTTCGACCCACCCCCATTCATGTTTTCCGAGCGTATTGGGCCTCCTGCCAACTTGCTGGGAAATGGCTGGACAGGAGGCCTGCCTTTTCCGCATAAGTCCACTCTTGGTCAGGCTGTTGGACATCCTGTAACTCAGTCTATGAGTACCCTCATCATCCAGGCCACTCTATACTATGTCTACTATATTTTGTTAGAGGCAAATGACCCGTCGCGCTCAGATGCAGCCATGAGTATATTTCGCTATGCACTTAAATCACACTCGAGAGATGAGTTGTTGTCCAACATCCGATGGTTCCTGGGCCCAGGCCAACGAGAGACCTATCGACTGGGTATAGCGGAGTTTCAGATTCTAAATACTCAAGGCCGTGATAAGTTTCCAATGTTGAATCCTGCTGTGTACTCCCATGCGTTAAGTGACATTTGGGTACAAAAACAGCACAGCTCCAGCCTAGACCAAACACTGCTCAATGCAAGCGGTGTCGAGTCTTATCTGCTACAGCGCGGACTTCGGAGAATAACTCATGATATCTTGGAAATCGACCTAGAGCAACATGACAGCTATCGCGAAGTGCAGCCGGAAACGAAATCTACGAGAACTCCCAATCTGATCAATGCAAATGTGTTTTTCCCTACCGTGCCGGAAGGAGGAAGCAGAGTAGCGGCAATTCCAACCCAACGAGCCCATACTACACGAACTGTGAGATTCTCGGAATCACGCTTTATACGGTTTCTAGCTACGCAAGCGTCACATTGCCTAACAGATGGACCTGGGTATCGAAAAGATCGGTTGCCTGGTTTGATCAAAGCTGCTTCTATCCAAACTGGGTGAAAACAACAACCAAATTGGCTGGCAGACAAAACATAACGGATGTGAGAAAACGAATCGAGGCACAGTAGTGTGCCACAGCAACAGAACGGCGTTAGGCGCTGGTATTCGCGTTAGAGAGACACAAGTTGATGAGAAGACGTCTCAATTATGCAATGTAGTCTTGAGACTCACCACAGTAGTTTTACAATTTTGCTGAGTCTGTCTTCTGCTTACACCTGATTCAAGATGCTTAGTTTTTCGGTACTTCTTAAACGATAAATTAGATTTGCCTAGTGAATTATATCCTAGTGAATTAAACAAAAGAGATAGAGAGTGAAATACAATTCGGAAACTTCTAACTGAGAATACATGTCATAGCCTGACTAATCTGTATTTCTTCCCCTTCACTGTTGCTAATAGCAATTCCTAAGAGCTAAGCCTGAGGGCAAGAGTGCTATTGTTCTCAACGTTTCCAGCCGTGCTGCTCATATGCGCTTCCCACGGCATGGATGGTCGGGTTATTCGGGAAGCAAACTGGGCCAAGCACGAATTTTCGAGCACATACGATTTAAGCATCCGGAGGTCCGATTTATCAATTACCACCCCGGTAGTGTTCAATCCGATGGCTTCATCAGGTCTGGTGCCTCGCAGCCCCAGCTGGCATGACGGCTGGCAAGCTTACGGGCCAGTTCTTTGATTGGCTTGCTTCTGACGAGGCAGAGTTTTTGAGTGGAAGGTTTGTCTGGGCTGTGGGAAGTTGATGAACTCAAGGCAAAGAAAGAGCAGATTCTTAAGGAAGATCTACTGCTTACGATAATTGATGGCTTCAATCGGGGTTGACGATATATACGGTTTTCAGGAACTGAAATAGCAGAGAAAGTAATGAAGTCAAAGAGATGAGTAGCCACCATCTACTACACTGCAACTAGACATAAAGTAAAGATTGTGCTTATAGTTCCATCTGTCAGTAGACAAAACTGGTGCAATGTTGTGGAAAAATAAATAAAATAATGACACACATTATAATATAAAGTAATATATAAAAAATGGGTATAATACTATACAATAAGAAAAAAAAGCATATAAACTCAAGAAAGAAAGAAAGAAAAAAAGAAAAAGAAAAAGAAAAAAAGGAGAAAAAAAAAAAAAGCCAACCCATTCATTTCGTGTGATGCAAATCGGGGGCATGCTCCCCATCCAAAGTTTGTCGTATATCGTGATTATCATCCATCCATCTCATCTCGCCCGCTGTCTCGTCTCATTCATTTCTTGCCTTGATTTCATTTCATGGGTATGTCAAATATGCGAAAATTTGTCGGCTGAGCATGTATACACATATATCATTGTCAAATCGTTATGCAGCACTCCTCCCATGTACGCTCACATTGGTTCTCTCATTATACTCCTCTCCATTTTTCTTCGTTAGTTTGCTTCTCTCATATATCATTCATCTACCGTCCAGGGCAGGTCTCTGTTGCCGACTTCGGTGCACGTCAAGTACCCGATGCTATCGGCAACCCGGCTGGAGCCGCTCAAGTCCAGCTCCAGGCCGCTGTTCATAAGAGGCCGGACCACGGACCGTGCCATGGCTTTGAGCTCGTCCATGCGCTTCTCGAAGCGCCGCAGGTTCTCGCGGCTGTAGAACTCGGGCGTCAGCTTGAGGAACTTCTTACACTCGTCGTGGCCGAGGAACGTGTTCGGATTGCCGGAGCCGAGCGTGCGGTACGCCCGGCCGACCGAGTTGAGCGGCGGGGCCGGAGGAGGAGTTGGTAGTGGAGCGGCGGCGGGGCGGCTGTTGTCTCGGGATCCCGGGCGGCGAAACTCGGGCGGTGGCTGAGGCGTTGTGTTGTCGGCGAGCCACTGGCGGAAGAGGCTCGTGGCTAGCCAGTCGAGGTAGCCGTTGTTGGGGCTGACACGCTCGCCGCGGGACGTGGTCAAGTTGAGGCGGAACAGGCGGCCCTCGACGCGGCTGACCGTCTCCTCCAGCTCGTCTACCTTGTCCTCGATGATGTCCAGCACAATGTCGGGCATTGTGGCGCGTAGGCTGCGCTCGCCTGCGGGCCACTGGCCGACAACGTGGATCAGGGCCTCCTGGAAGATGACCTTGCTGCGGGCCAGGTAGCCGAGCCGGAGGTACGAGATGGGGTACTTTGCGATCTGTTTCCACAGGCGGGACTGGAACTGCAGCAGGTGATGGTCCACGCGGGGGCCGATGACGGGCAGGGCGTCGTACTGGTCAGCCAGCGTCAGCAGGCTCTTGCACTGCACGTAGGCGTCGGCGACGTTGATGCTGTCCAGCACTGGCGGGTAGTTGTAAAAGGTGCGAAACAGGTTGTCGTAGTCGCGCAGCAAATCCTCGTCGGCCTGTGAGAGAGTCTGGGGCTGGGCGCCGAGGCTCATGACGGAGCGAGAGTAGTCGCGCTTTGACGAGTAGCTGTTGCTCTTGTGATGCGAGCGCGACGACGATGTCTTGGGGCCGGGCCCGAAGAGGGACGATCCGAGCGTGCGCCCATCGTCTCGAGGCTCGTCTCGCTGCACCAGCATGGGGATGTCGTTGTCGCCCGAGCCCGAGTCCAGCTCGTATCTCCATTTCTTCGTGGGCGTGGCTCCCGGCTCGGCCTCTCCATCCACCGCGGCCGTGTTACCGTCCTCACCGATCCTCGACAGCTCGTGACCGCTTGGCAGCAGTGGTTGGGCTCGCGACCATTCGGACGAGGTGCTGGCCTCGAAGAAGCCACTGCATCTGGTGAGGGTGTGGCGGTGCAGCAGATATCGATTCTCGACGGGCCCGGCGCGGATCAGGATCTCGACATCGCCGCTGTGGGAGAAGACGGGGAATTCATTCTGCGGCAGGTATGAGCTGGTGCCTCCGACTTGCGAGCGGTTGTAGCGCTTGCTGCGAGCAGACGGGCGCGAGACAAGTGACGAGGTGCCGCGGATTGCGAGAGACGAAGGGGGCTCTGGTTGAGAGACCATGAGGATGAGGCGATTGCGGACGGCGAGATGGTGCGGTTCCGGAGGGGGACGATGTTGTTTATTTTTTTGCTTTTTTTGGGTATTGGCGATTGGATTGGATTTGTTGCGAGTCAGCTTGACTGGCGTAGCTGCATGAGCAAGGAAGAGTTGAGCCAGCCAGCCCTTGTTTTTCGCAGGTGGTGGTGGAAGTGGGGGAGCGAGGCGTCACAATCGGGGAATCGAAGGAGACTCTGCGAATCCTGCGCGAGATTTGAGAGGAGAAGAGAAACAAAAAGAAGGGGAAGAGAGAAAAGGGGAGAGAGATGGCGATAGTGGTGACAAACGGCAATCATCAAGACGCTACAGAAAATTTGAAATGAAAAATCGCCGTCGTGTCGAATCGCTGTCGTGTGCACGCATGGAGCTGAAGGCAGACTTGGTGGGCCTCAGCCAGCTGTTCGCTGTCGCAACCGCTGCAGTTAGCCTTGCCATGCAGGCGCGAGACCGCTAAACCGGAACGCCGGTCGCCTGTAGGCTCGGGTGGCGACAGGCTACGGACGCTGTCTATCTGTTTCAAGCCTCAAGCTGCCCTGGTTTGATCGAGCTGATGCTCCATCTACCGCGTCCCCATCGTATCAAACAAGATACAGTACACGTATATGCCCCGTATTATCGGCAGGGTTGATGCTGTATTATGGAGTGCTGGCCAGCGGTTCGTGCTCCTTAGTGCGTGCTGTCTTTCTTCTTCTTCTGCAACAAGCGAGACAGACACAGACCAGACCTTGAGGGTTTGGGAGGCAGCTCGCCGTCCTCTCCAGTGAGAAAAATTCACTCACTCTTGACATGTGCATGCGCGGCTTTTGGCATCCCTGAAATAATAAGGGGAAACAAGACATGTGCCTGGCAGCATCGGCATGCTGACCAGCCGATTGGATGCCAGCGCTGCTTGTCAATCAAAAGGTGCTTGTGATGGCCTCGCCTGATCCATTTCGATTCGCTCAGCCGGCACAACAGCGGCACTTTGCGAGCTACCGCCCGCTGCAGGTCTAGCTCGCCTCTTTTCTTGCCGTGTCCCACCAACCAAAGCAGCTGGGATGCAACCTTGAATTTTAGCTTCAATACCCCAAACCAAGCATTTTTTATCTCTACCAGCTCTGCGTCTCTCCAGCTGCTTATATCTCCCGACATCTATCTATATGGAACCCCCTTGATCGTGCTACCGTGGCGTCCAAAGCTGCTCCAGCTGCCGTTGCAGCGCTTGGTGGAATGAGCACGCAGACGCTGGCTTTCCACCATGCTTCAAAGCCCATCTCCGTCAACGAGTTCCGCGATGCCGTGCTGGCAACATGCCGGCCGCGGTTCCCTATGGCTTATTACGCCCGGCCGCAGCGTATAGGCAAGTTGGGCAGAGAGCTCTCAGTGATTGAATTGCATGGCTAACCTCGGTTCCCCCAACAGCCCTGGCCATCAGCGGAGGTGTAGACTCAATGGCAATGGCATATCTCTTCTCTGCCCTCCTCAAAGTATACAGGGGCATCAAGATAGCTGACAACCCCACCGAGAGTGCCTTTGGGATTGTTGTCGACCATAAGCTGCGGGAGGAGAGCTCCCAAGAAGCTTCCCGCGTTACCCAGGAGCTGAAGCAGCTTGGCCTCAAGGCTGTCATCAAGACCCTGAATTGGAGGGAGCATAGGTGGCACGGTATTGAACCGACCATGTTGCCTAATGTCGAGAGTCTTGCACGTACAATGCGGTATCAAGCTCTGGGGTCTACCTGTAGATATCTCCAGGCCCCTAGCCTCTTTTTCGCGCACCATCAGGACGATCAGTATGAAACCGTATTGATGCGACTGCTTGCCGGCCATGGATACAGAGGCCTCCAGGGCATTCGAAAAGCCAATGCAATTCCAGAGTGTTACGAGTTGCATAGCGTCTACAAGAGCGGTCTCCTCGATGACCAGATGCAAAAGCACCCCTTCCTAAGCTTCAAACCACCGGCACGTGCCATGAAGCGGCTGCGATTCTCTCTAAAGGACGACAAAGAAGCAGAGCCCTGGGATCAAATCAAGTCATACCTCAGTTTCGATGAGAATGCCAGGCCCTTTCCTTGGCATCTGTCCCGAGATTTTGACCCTAGCGTGCCGTATCTGACCCCTCTGCAGAGCGAGGATGGTGGTGTCATGATCTACCGGCCACTCCTGGAGTTTGATAAGAATAGGCTCATTGCGACCTGTGAGGCCAATGGCGTCCAGTGGTTTGAGGATCACACCAATACGGATCCAACACTCACAACCCGCAATGCCATTCGGCAACTCACGCAAACCCACACGTTGCCCAAGGCTCTACAGAAACCATCTATCCTGGCACTGGCCAACCGATCGAGACGGAGGGCTCAGCTGGAAGAGGCTGAAGCTCATAGACTGCTGGTTCGCGAAAATGTCATCAGGGATTTTGACCCAAATGCGGGCACTTTACTCGTTGATGTATCCACACTTTGGAGCGAAAAGCCACCTCAGATGAGGCGTCCGTTCGCTCAGGCCAGAGAAGAGGCACGCAAACGCTCCCGTCGGCTGATGGCTACCATAGCAGTTCGCAAACTCATTGCCTTTGTAACCCCGGAGCTCCATCTGCCGCCTCTTACTAATCTGGATAATGCCGTAGACCGACTCTTCCCAGATTTGTCTGGAACATCCAACACCGAGCCGACAGCACCGCCAAAGGCTTTTTCAATCGCAGGTGTACTCTTTGAACCCGTACCCAAGATGAATTCAGCATCATGGCTCTTGTCGAGAGCCCCGTATCCCTCGAGGCAACCATTGCCTGAGCGGAAACTCCCCGGTTATCTAAACTATAAAGCAGGCGTCTTCAAATTAGAGGCTGCTGGCGAGCATCCAAGCCGACATCGTCATTGGCGCGGGTGGAAGACTGCCAAGCTATGGGATGGGCGCTTCTGGATACGCGTGAGTGCCTGTGTCGCGGCAAAGTTCCATGTGCTTCCCTTTCTACCCTCTTACGCAAAGCCATTTCGCATGGCCCTGCCTCCGAGAGAGCGCGCAAGCTTGGAAAAGGTTCTCAAACACTATGCTCCAGGAAAAGTGCGATATTCACTACCCGCCCTTTACAGTGTTGAAGAGTCTGGCCAAGAGGAGGGCTCGGAGCCAATTCTGACATTGCTGGCACTGCCGACTTTGGGGATTCACGTCCCCGGCCTTGAGAGATGGGTGAAATATGAGGCAAGGTATAAGAATATAGACGTCACCTTACTCTCATCCGCCAAGAAAAAGGAAAGCTGGGCATCACTCTTGGGACAGCCCAATATCCTAGCCAAAAAGCAGAGGATACTGCAGACTCGAAGAACAAGGAAGAGTAGTCAAGCAAGACAGGCCCTCAGCTCATGGAAATTGTCTGCAAGTCAATGATAAAGAATCTCACTACATCAGTAGTCAGACTTGCAGCGCGGCCATTGCCTTTTAAGTTGAAACGCCAATGCATAAAGGGCCAATCTACGTGTTGCAGACCAACGGAGCAGCCCGCTATGGAGTAGCCATGGAATAATACCCTACGTCGTATCATGTTGATATTACCGATGAGTGCGCGTGACCAACAGCTGTCAAGGGGTGAGCATACTGACTCCAGCTACTCTATCAACACTCTGCTTTTAATAGGCCGATATCCGGCACAGCCTCCTGTACGCATAATCAGAGCACTTATACGCACAACTCCCTGGTACCGTGCTAACAAGCCCACAAAGCACAACACGTTGCTCTTCTCCCAAAGCGTAGACTTGTCCTCCTGGACAGGAGACTCGGTACATATCAAGTACCGCTAGTCGGATATTTTTTATGCGGACTTTAAAGAGCTGCGTGGTTGGGCCTCAGCTCTAGGCGACAACAGTTGCTACCTAATATGCGAAAATTTTTCGATATAAGTATATGCGGAGCCCTGATTCATAATTTCTGGCCGCCAAAAAAAGGAACTGGACAAATATATATTTTGCCACGCTGGTGGAACTGCACCTGTATCTGATCCTGTCTATTGGAGGTTGATGCCGAGACTTGAATATCCCTATTTGGAGGACATTATCGATACTGTCCGTGCCTTCCTTCGTGCTCGTGTTTATAGGCGGGCCGCTTTTCTACTGGCTGCTGTTGCCTCTGGATAAATGCGCAGCAACGACGCGTGGAATTTGGAAGGCGGCAAACTTCACGGTGGCAATATTATCGTCTCCTTTTTACTCTTTATTTTCCAAACCCCAATATTTTGATTACCAGTAAACATGAAACTCAGAACTTGAACTTGAAAACCTTCAATCATCCGGCCCGTTGTCAGAGCCTTTCCGCTGGATGCCTGCAATCATATGGCGTCAAAGAAAAGATGCCAGATCCCTCCTGTTCAAAGGCCAACAAACCTTCCAAATCGCCTCATAACGATCAAAAACGTTACCATGAAAATAAGCAATAACAAGACGCAATAACAAGATAAGGTTGAAAAGCCACCAGGGTACGTCTGCCGTGTGTCCACACAAACAGCCATGAAAAGAAACGAAGTGAACAAAGGAGATTAACGTTGATGGAGTAGAGATGGATGCATCTTAGATAAATGCATCTTTGATATATGGCCCTGCCCTCGACGTGCAGTGATGGGCCAGCTCACCAAATACACGCAAATTAGTGATATCGATCGACCTGCCGATCGTATCACTATCATGAAACAAATCTCCGGATCTGCAGTAGCTGTGACATCCCGCGTCACGTTACTGGACGCCTTTTTTAGACGACAACCGATACGGCAGACATGACATCGAACAAGATGTCTGACTACGACTCTCGGATGATGCATCATGGCCTTTCACCATGCATTTATCGGTAGTAACCGGTTCGAGGTTCGTGACGACGTCGCGAGCTACCTCTAGGTGGGCCAGACTGCACCCATACAACCGCTTCCCGATTTGCACTCGGCGCTTCTGGGACGGAGTGGATGCCATGTTTCGGCTGAGGCGCTTCGTGAAAGTTTTTGGCACGCTGAAAGCTTTCTCTGGTAATCAAGCGATTCACCCAGAGATGGTGGAGAAAGTAAAAGTCAGGGCGAACGTCGTTGATAGTCGCACCCCGACGATAGTGACCTGCAATGTGATGCATTCTCTCCGTATAACAGAGCCAGTGCTGCTGCGGGTTGTTCGGTCGGGCGCGGAACACTATCTCATCGCAAAACCAGCAACAGCATTTGTTTGGAAGCATCATGTGGAGGTGGTGGGTAGCAACGTGATCTACCCAACCGTCGATGTCACGGAGATCAAATGTCTGTTCGCAATCGTCGTACCAGTAGAATTCGCACGGGAGTCGCTGCCTTTACAAAAGAGAATGATGTCAGCGGGGTGGCCCATGGCAAAGAAACATGAAAATGCAACAAGGACATACCCTGGTAAAACCGATGAGATGGAGGATGAAGACTCGATCGGGTCAAAGATGGAGGAGCGAGGAGTCTCACCACTGGTGATGGACAAAACGTCCGTCTCTGGGAGGCGGCGAGCATCTTGAGACGAGATCGAGGCACGCCGGGGCGTTTCTGGACGTACTCTCAACGGGGTAAATTCGGAGCTTCCTGTCGCTGTGGACCGGATCTTGTTCTCTTCAAGCTCCTGCAAGAAACGGTATATATCCTCAGTCAAAGAGTTGCGTCGCTGTGGCGCCATGCTGAAGGATTGCTGCTGGCTTTCTGGAATGGCTCAGCTTGTACCTATCAGGCCAGTCCGGAATCGCTCTTTGGCAATCAAACGGGCGACTCGATAGCTTAATATGCCAACAAGCTTCTGCGCTCAAGTGCTCCGATGATGGCTGCGATAACCGACGGTGGACTGGGATGCCCCCAGAGATGGTCAGGTAAAATGGACAGGGCCGTGACGATTAGGCGACCGCAGCTAAAACGGTCTTAGGCGAAAGCGTCTCTTGGCCGGCAGCGGGTGCCGTCGTGTCTGTCGCAGAGGAACGAGGAAGAATAGCCAGAGGCAAAAGGTGTGGCTGGAAGAGGGTTCTTTTTACCCTTCTGCTTCCTTTCTCCTTGGCAGAAAAGCAGAGAGGAGTGGAAAAGACGCGGGCGGTTTGGGATTTAATTGGGAATGCAAGACAAGTCTGAAGATGACTGGACTCCACTACCACCACCAACTATTATGCAGGTATGGGAGCGTGCTAAAGTACTCGTACCGACAACGCTCATCAGGCACAAATACAGATCGTCGACGACAGGGTCAAAACGGATGTATGGAAACCATGAGTGAGAGGCGGTGTCAGCCACCTATCTATTGATGGTGACGGTATACTACGGGTCATATGAATGCATGCATACGTCCTAAAGGCTGTATGGTGCCAACCTCACTGGCCAACCCTGCGACTCTTAACAATCAGCGTGGACGAAGACTATCTGCCACCAAGTTATGCATTTGCAATAAAAAGAACCTTTGGAAGCCGTGACACACCGTCAAGCAATTAACGGTTAACGTGCCCAAGGCAGTATTTTCTGCCTCCTTTTTCTACCTCGCCAGAAAGATCGAGGACGAAGGCTGATGTCTAATCAGGGCCGCGTCATAGGCCGTCTCGCGGTCAACGAATAAAGTGGTGGTTTTACACCGTATACGCTGAAGGTTGCTAAGCAATTACGACTTTGATCAGACAGCCGCGTATCTTGTGGCCGGTGAATTGTAATAGGCTGGCCCCTTGGCGGCAAAGCCAACTTGCTGTATTCGGACTGGAAACACGCAATAGATTTGAGCTTGTCCTGAGCCGGCCCTTACGACGCTGGGCCAAAGGCCAGCTTCAGCCATTGCCAGGGATCTAGATGAGCAACGAGCAAAAGCCGCGGGGGGACCACATCAGCTCAAATCGTTGCGGCTCTCCGGCCTGTGGGGATCCCCGCTGGCACAACCCCGCCAACCGCCCATCCAGAGACCTGGAGATACGGAGTCAGTACGCAAAGCAGACAAGCGGCCGTTGGTGTCTCCCGGAGCAGCTCAGCTTCCGGGTGCCAACGGTGCATGCTGCTCTCTGTCGAAGTGTGTCGAAGCCCGAATTTGCTGATCGCTCTGTTTCGGGGCTAGCTGTCAGGTTGCCGAATACCTTGTCTTTGATTCAAGCATTAGACCTGGTGCCTTTCCGGTGACACTGGCTCGCATTTACAAAATTGCCACGACAGAAGCAGCTAAGGGACCAAGAGATTCGGACGTAGAATTAGTCTGGGTAGTGAACTCTTTGAGCTTGGCACCCTGCGGCATATGGCATTTACACAACCCATCAGAGACGAAAGTAGCAACACTATTTATTGCAAATATTACTGGAGTGCATCTTTGGTGTGTTACTGTAGGTACTACTATAGGTACAAGGTAAGGTACCGTCCAAACACCACTAACACACATCATATCTGCACAGCCATTCCGACAAAATTTCTCGCCAATCAATGAAATCCTACTGCCTTGAAAGTAAATCTGCTATATGACGCCCTCGCAGGTGTCGGATGACTATTTCAGTCTGCCTTTTTGCTTCCCGTGACCGCGAGACATTAATTAACATTCTCTCCGGTGGCGAAAAGAGAAATATAGGAAGAAGACAGGGGGGGCAAAGAGGCTCCGGCGAACAGAAAAGAGAAGGTTTGTGCTACCGGCCCCGGTTTTAAGTGACGTCGCGGAGCAGTTCCTAGCGAATGCAATTGCTTGCATCTTCCCTTTTCGCAAAAAAAGGACTCCTCCTTCCAGCTTTGCTCTGCGGAGGGCACGCCATCGATAGGCAGACGCAGCATTGGGCAGCAACCCACGAGGCCGGGCTGGTCTGAGCGATACATGCCTGTACTTTGCTTTGCAGCTGGAGGCCAGGCACACCTCAAGGTTGTATCTGTATCGTACGAGTATGAGGTTTTGAGTTGTGGATGATACTGTGAAGATGATGGATGGTGGCGGGTTCGGCGTCACGGCCCGTCTCCCGTCCTCCGCCTAGGCTGAGTGCAGCTTGGGTCCGCTTCGCACGGAGACACGGAGGGCCCTGGACAACGACGTAATGGTGCAGAAAAACGCCGGGATCCTTTATTTTTTCGAAGACGGCGTTTTATCATGGTGCTTCGGAGCCTATTTCATTTTTCGTGGGCCTGTGCTTGTAGGAATCACAGGCTAATACTTGGTATTATCTCTTCTGGTCTATTCTTCTGGGCTACACAAGACCCTCGCCTTGACAATGACGTTGCGGTACTGCATGTGCCCGCCGTTTTCGTCCCCGTGCTTGATGACGCCGGGGAAGACGACGCAGCTAATCTCCCGGTTGGCTAGGTTCTCCTCGTCCTCCTCTCCGCCCATGTCCTCCATGGTGTCCGGCTCGAAGAGGACCTGCTGGTGAGGCAGGATGACGGGCATGTACACCCGCAGTCGGGCCTTTTGCACGACGAGCAGGCGTGCGAGTTCGATGGAGTTTTTGATGAGCACGCGGAGGGCCGAGTCTCGGGCGGTGGAGGTTGCGGGGGCTGAGGAGGGAGAGGTCGTGATGATGCTGTCGAGCAGCTGCGTGATGCGGGATATGACGGCCTCGGCAAACGCGTCTGTATTATCGTGGAGGTGGTGTGCCTCGCGGCGGAGGAGCGCAAGGGTGGATGAGCGCCATTGGTTTACGACATCGGTCGAGGCTGTTTCTCCATTTTAGTCTTATTTTCTTTTCTCTCTCTCTCTCTCTATTCCACAAATTAAAAAAAAAAAAAAAGGGGGGGGGGGGAGGGGGGGACGCACAGCAAAGTGAGGAGAGCAGCTGCTCCATCTGTTGGATGTGCTGCGTATCTTGTTCTGATAGGCCAACGTAGTAGGCGTTGAAGACCATGTCGACGAGGATGCTCGAGACGATGGACTGCAGGAGGTGAACCTTTGATGTGTGGACGAGCTCTTCGTACATGGGTACGAGCTGGCTGAGTTCTGTGAGCGTGGCGTCGCTGGTCTTTGACAAGTCTGCTTTTTGATCTTGTTAGTCAAACCAACTTGCCCCCCTTCTCCCACACAATTATCACGTCTTGAGGGGGTGAAACTTCTCTCTTTTTTTTTACCCACCTAGCTTTGCCTTTCGGAAATTCGTAATGACCCAATTCTGCAGCCCGTTGCCCAGCTTGGTCATGCCGTCCCCAAACACCTCGTCGCTCGTTTGATCGTCCGTCCTGGTGCTTGTGCTCACAAAGTCCTTCAAGCCCCTGACCTGGCCCCTCAGCCTCCGTATCTCGTCGTCCCTCTCCTGCAGCTCGCGCCGCAGAACCTCAACACCCTGCCGTAGCTCCTCCCTCTCGGCCTCGCGCACGTCGACCTCGGCCCGGAGCAGCCTGAGCTCTGTGTCGGTGCGCAGGTACTGCTGGTTCAGTGCGCTGTGCTTGCCCTGCCAGAAGGTGGCCGTCTCGCTCTCCGTCTGGCTCAGTCTGTCGAGCTCCTGGTGGAACTCACGCTCCATGATGGCCATTTCGCCTTCTAGGTATGTGATGCGCTCGTCTTTTTCGCGGAGGAGATGGGCCGTTGCGGCTGCGTCCGACTGTTGAGGACGGCGATACTGCTTCGATACTGGACTACCGCCGCCGCTGGTAGTACTATTGCTACTGGCGTTGCTGCTGCTTGACACGCCATGGGGACTGGACCCCCTAGCCGTGCTGGAGGAGGAAGAGTTGTTGCTGCTGACCACACCGCTCTCTCGAGCCTTTTCCTTTCGTTTTCGCTCCGCGAGCGTGCCGCTTGCGCTCTGAGAATCGTCTCCGCCCGTCGAGCTCGTATTGACGACGGCCGCGCGAGGCGGCATCACGGGCATGTTGTCTGCATTGCTTGCTGTGCTGCCATGGCGACTCGCATGCGATGCGTGTCCGGCTCGCCAGGCGGGCCCGGTGCTGTTGCTGCGCCCGCCTCCGCGGCGCTTATCAGATGGGTTCATATTGTTCTCGTCTCGTCCCGAGTCGCGCCCCGGGTTCGTGTCGATTCGTCGTCAGGTCGCTGAGGTGATGCCAAAGTGGAGGGCTAGATGATGCTGGCTCGGCATGATGGCTGATGCGTCCAGCAGGCCACTCTGGCGGCTTTTGCTTGTTGCTCCCGGCAGGCGACAGGAGAAGGCCCGCTCCCCTGATTGCCCACTCTCCCGGACAGAGCAACAGCGAAGGGAATTAATTAGACGTGCTGGTTTGGTGGCTGCCTGGAAGCCGTGAGATGCCAGGATATGCAACGCCTCCCACAAATCGGCCGAAGAACTTGTGCAAGGTAGTTGGAGGGGCTTGGCAAAAGGCCGGAGGCGGAGCTGCTATTTCGGAGACGGCGCGGGGCGTCCATTTTGTGCTCCATATGTCTGCTTGTTGTGTTGAAATGAAACAAAGGATAATTCACAACCGCCGATGAGCATCGGAATATGGCTCTATTTGGTGATTCGGCGAGTCGCATATTTATTGTAACATTGATTAGACTGACTCATCATCAATTCATGGTGTATAATCCTGAAGATCGTCCAGGGCGCGCGACAGCATATCGGCGTCAGTGAGCTGATAAACCACAAGCCAAGAAGTATAAGTTGGTTGCACACAAGTCGGAAAAATTATAAAGCTCATGCGCCAGTGAATCCGGTAGCATGTCAAGCTTGCACAGTTATATTTCAACTTCCAAGCATATGAATTCGTTGAGAGAGCAAAGATGGCTGGGCGATTTCAAGTGACGGTGATGTCAATGCTGTAGACTCAACTGCTTGCTCGTAAATGATACAAGGCCAGTACCAACATGTGCCACCACATGCTGAGCCTCGAGCTACATCAAGGCTCAAACTCAACCTCCGCCTCGACTTCATATGCTGCATTATCTGTCCCTGGAATGGGCTTGGCACCCATTCTACACAGCGCCACACGAGTGATGGGCATCTTTTCGGCCCACAGATAGTCATCGTATCTATTCAGCAGGTCGCGTGCGTCAATGGTCAGTTTTTCCCGCCTTTTCCCTCTTCCTCCGCCGCCGGTATTATTTTTGACATATATCGTGTTGATAATGGTGGCGTGAAGTAACAGCGGGCGGTTCTCATCAATCATCAATCCAGAGTCTTGAAATGGCTTTTGTAGCTGCTTGCAAAAGTCGTATAAAATGCCTTCAGGATCCAAAGGAGGTGCATATAAAACAGCAGCTCTTTCTGCTGGCTGCATTGAATGAAGACCTTGTAGTGTCAAAGATAGGCCGTCTGCTTTAGACGGCCGACTACCATCATTGCTGCCGCCTGACAATCCCAAGACGGAGGCAGATGTATTAGCATCCTTGGCCAATCTCGTCGCGGCGAGTATTTCCCTCAGCTTTAGGCCCCTGAGAATATCTACTGCCGTTTCTACACCGTCCCTTTTCAGGGCCATGACTCCCAGTGTCAAGTGTAGCGTCCCCAAGGGCCGAACAGCATCCTCCGGCAGGCCGAAGCTCATGGCGCTCGTTACATCGGCTCGGAACGCCGCAAGAGCCGTGGCCAGCTGCACCCCAGCGAGGGGTATGCAGAGGAAATGCGTAGGAGTAAGCTTCGGAGGCATGCGTGCAGTGGGAGGGGCGCGGCTGCAAGTGGCTGTTATAAATGGTAGTATCTGCTAGGGACCAGTGGTAAGGAGCTGTCATATATGATCAATACTTTGGGCTACAGAACATGGGGGGGTGAACAGTGCAGCGTGAGAATGATGATGTAGTGCAAGAACACAAACAACGCGGTTGGTAAGAAAACTGCAAAGTAGGTAAAACACATAAAATGACCGAGACATGCAATGCCGGGCCACGACAACGCTTCATCGGGTCCATTGCAAAGTCGTGAATGGCGGCGTCATACCCGCATCATATCCGACATCTCGATTGCGGCAACCAAACCAATAGAAGCCAGCAAATAGCAGGCTGCCGTGTGTAACATGAAGCAATGCAGATATCAAATGCTCGTCCACTCAGCGCAGACTCGGTGGGACAAGGCTTTTGTACAACTCATTGCAGTGCAGTACAGTAAGCCCAGGCTTGAGGCCAAAATCAACGCCACGACAGTCCAGCGACTAGAGACTAGACCAGACGCACGGACTGCAGGCGTATCTGACTGGTCTGCGCAGGTAGAGATCGGCATCTTCAAACAGGTGTCACAGGACAAACACGGAGATGATGGGCAATAAATGCAACTTGGACCGCAATCAAGCATTTTGGCAGTCAGAGTCCCCTCCATGACTCGAGCTGTAGGCATCGGTACTGACTATACCCCACACGCCAATATGTACAGGTAGAGCAAGGTATTGATGCTTGGATTTGGAACATGGGAACATACCTTTTAAGAGTCGTACGTCAAGGAGAAGCAGAGACAAGATGCAGCAACTGTGTTGTGTTTTGGATAAAGTACTTTTGATGTTTCAATTCTCGTCGTACTAAGGCAGATGAATGAGGCAGCCACGTGCGTGCTGATCAGACTTGCCGATATTAGCCACAGATCTCCACCAGATCGCGCCAATCTGCATTGGGATGGTGGCACAAACTACGTAATTTATGAGCACTCGATACGAGAAGCGGCACACAGCCATTCATCAGTGGCTTCACTCACGGAAAAGAGAAGAGGGGGGGAGGCGCGTGAAAGCCGCGACGAGGAAATGACGAAAATAGTTTCTTTGACGGCAGGCCATCGTGGAGTTCAGTCTTTAAACGTGTTGGTATCTCTTCTACGCTACCCCTCCCCTTCTTGTATAGGCCTCTTCTTAGTGTGTAAACCAACTTTTTGAGCTCCCGGAAAAAACATTCATGATGCTACCATAAACCCATGATTGCGCATGTAAAGACAGCCTTGCGCGTTCCCTATATCCTGCCAAGTTTCAGGCGCCAGCCCACAGACGACAAACACCAAATCTGCATTGGTCGCGGCTCTTATTGCTGCCACCACTTATAAGTGCTGGTATGCGTAAAAAAAGGAGTCGTGAGCGGACGGTATGAAGAGTGTAAAAAAAAGACGAAAAGCGATGAGAGAGAGAGAGAGAGAGAGAGAGAGAGAGAGGTTACAGCGAGAAGCGGCAAACGTGCGGACGTGCATCGTTTGCTCCTCGCGTGAGAATATACAACAGCGCGGAGCATAAGTGGCTCCAGCTGTGCAGCTAGCATCTTGAGTTCCAGCAGTGCTTGGCAGAATCAAGGCGTGTAGCCCTCAAAAAAAGTTGTCATCATCCGATTCGAGCGACGACAAGTTAGGCACCGTCTTCATCTTCATCATCCTTGTCGTAGAATTTCTTGAGTCCAATCTCGACTTCTTCGTAATCAGACTTGACGGCCATGAGCGCCTCCTTGACGCGAGCTAGGCACACGTCGGCGTCCGGCTCTGGAGAGCCGTCGAGATTCTCCTGTTTGCCATATCTCTGAATCTTTTCGCAACCGTCTCGAACCTTTATTAGCCCTAGCGTCGCAGAGGAGCCTTTCAGGAAATGTCCGAGCTCTGATAGTTTTTCGAGATCCTTCTCGTCCCTATACAATAGGAGAAATGCAATGATTAGCAGGTGCGAGACGCAATCGTGTGGAGATGGTGAGAAAGATGGCAGTGCGAACCAACATCAAGGATCATCGAGCCCTATGCCAAGATGGTTGGGGTAGATGCGGGGAGAGGGTTTAGAAGCAAAGGAACAAAGAACATGCTGGAATGCAGTGCAGTGTTGGGTAGCGGGGTCGACCTACAGGGCTACGTCCATCCGCTCGAATGTCTCCTCAGCTTGCTCGAAGAAGCCAAACACGATGGATGTGCTGAACTCGTTATCGCCGGGCTCGTCCATCTCGAGAATCTGCTTGAAGGTGGTGAGGTCGACACCATCACCGAGTATGGACTCGAGCTCCTAGATGGTCTCGAGCGTTAGCCAGTGTCAAGCCAAGCTCGCGGGCGCAGCGATACCAACCTTGTCGTCGGGAAGCGCCATTGCTAGAGATGTGTTGTGTCAAGGGCGAAATCTGCGCTGCTCGGCTGCTGCTGCTGGTGCTGCTGGTGCTGGGCGAAGAAGATGGCCACGATGGAGGGGTCGAGGTTTGGTTTGGTTTGGAGTGGGGGCCAAAGAGCGTCCGAGATGAACGGATTTAATAGTTGGAGGATATGCGACCCACAAGCTGGCGGAGGGAACGAGGCACAAATGAGGATCTACGTGCAAGCAAATCGGACAGGAGAAAGTCGCTGTCAAAGGCTATACAGGCGAGAAAAGAAAAACCCAGCCGGTCAGTGAGATGTGAGGAAAGAAAAAAGAAAAAGAGAGGGAACGGGAAGAGGAAAAGAGCAAAAGGAGAAACAAAGGACATGGAGGTTTTTTAGCACGACAGGGGATGGCACGCATGAGCTGCGAGGCGAGAGGGGAGCAGTGCAGTGAGGGAGGGGTCTCGGTACATGTGGCAGAATGGCCGACCAGCAGAAGCGAACGAATGGACGAATGGCCACGAAGCCGAGATCTGGGGGGGGATCGTGAGACACGGCAAGCTGGAGGACATTGACTCACTAATGCGACTGTTGCAGTGAACGAGGGTCACCGTTTTTTCGGCAGCTGGAGAGCTGGAGAGGATACGGGGTCGACACGCGATGCTGGGCGATGTTGAGGTCAGAGTTGAGCATCCATCGCTGAGGGGCAGAGGACGAGCTTCCAGGTCGCTCGCTGCGTACAGATAATACCGGCACGGTACAAGTACAGGTACCAACACCACATGCAGCGAGACGAGCACTAACCCGACAGGAATCGGTCAGAGCAGTGGACATCCAGTCTGCCTGTACAAGCACAAGCGCACGCAGCCCAGCGGTAGCGTTACCCGCTAGCTACCGCCTGTCTGTGTGGCCTAGACACCCGAGCTCCGCGTTATTGCAGACTGGAGGGATTGATGGATGCAATAGAACTTGGCTACGTGCTAGTACTACTTGGTAGGTGGTAGCTGGATGCTGGCACGATTATATCAGCCCGATACTACCTACTTACTACCTGCGCATGCAAGTACTAGCCGGATTACTGTGATTATGTTTCCTTACCTTTACTCATTTTACGAGCTTTACTTGGTCTTTTTGGTTCTTATGTTGCTTTATCCTCAACTAGGAAACGCAGGATGGTGGCAATGAGAGGTAAGCCTGCAACCATCGTGGGTAAATTGGGCGGCCGAGAAGTCACTCACTCAGCGGCCTGATCCCGCTCAGCCAAGCCCGCGCGACCTTGTGCGCTGCGAGCAATTTACCTGAGGGAGCTGGCAAGAAAAATTTTCTCGTCCAGTCTCTTTTCCTTGTTATTTTTATATCGAAGCCTGAGCATGACCAGGAGTAGAGGGCAGGGCCGCACATGATTGGACGGCGCTGCCACCCTCTGCATGTTTCCTCTTTTCTCCTGCGCGATGCCCAAACGGCGCTTCCGCAGGCCGATGCTGCAGTTTGAGCACTCAGAAGCCCAGTCAACCAGTCAACCAGTCAACCAGTCAACCAGTGCTAACGGCCGTCTCGCCGGGCTCCTGTCACTGGCCCATCCAGCTGATGGCTTGGAGGGGGGCCAGGGTCATTTGCAGGGGGCTTGAAGCAACATGGAACTCAGGCCGCTGAAGGGGGAGATGCACGTACTAACAAACAGCTGAGCCCAGTTTAGCTTAAGCTGATGCATGCACGCATGGCCAGAGCTGTTTATCTGCGCCAAAGACGTCAGTGGGGGGAGGGGCACTGACGTCTGTGTCTGCCTTTGTCACAGCGGGCCGCATAGTGGGGTTGCAAGCCTGAAGATTCCAGGCTGTGTGGTTGGAGGTTGGGACAAGTACAAGTACCTGGTGTGGGCGTACAAGCAGAGACAAGCAGAGTCTGGGCAAACAAACACCACCATGTGGTGGTTACATTAGCTCGTGTACGGGGTACGCAAAGACGTGATGTTGTCTCCCTTGCTTTGGTCGTTTTTCTCGGTCCTTGATGCAGCTGCAGCGTCTCGCAACCCACAGGGGCGCCGGACTCGGGGGAATCCCCATCGGCTGTTATGGCTCCGTCATCACATCACAAGTCCATCGCCAGAATCTCGGCAGACGGCGCCAAAAGATGATGGATTATGCCTGGGTCCCGCTTCTCTCTCATCCCAGGCTGCTGTAATTACTGTGCCGTACCGTACCGTACTAGTTGGCACCTTGGCATATGTTTATAATCAATAGTACTGGCATGTTCGGAGCAGCGCTTGGACGGGAAAATGGCGCGATATCATCTCTCTCCCAAGCACAAAGGCATCTAGACTCGGGTAAGTAAGTGGTAGAGCAAACCCGCTGGCGCGCCGTCGCAGCTTAGCTCGACTCACCACTCAAACAGGCAACGGGGAGAAGCCTCCGTTCGCTGGCCGAGGGCAAATCCCCACCCGAGTCTGGAAATGATTCTCCCCCTCTTGCGATTCTCTCCGGAGTGTCCTGTGCTCAGTCATGCAGACTTGGGTAGATGCCGCGGCCGGGGTCCCGCGTGAAACCCAGGTACAAGCATCCATCTCAACCCGCCGGTGACTGGCGAGGCCAAGGGCCAGTCTTGCGTAAAGCTAATTTGACGCACAAGTTCTCCGTGCAGGGGAGACTGGGGGGGAATCGAATCAGGAGCAGAAGAACAAACGGGGTTTTGGAAACGACAAGAGAAAAAAAAAGATGGAGGGGTGGACATGGAGAGGGGGGGGAGCCTCCTGAGGCGTACAGGAAGCAAGCAGGGAATGAATCAATTTCCACAGGTGGGAGCGGGAAAAATAAGAGACAAGAAGAAGAAAAAAGCAGGTGGGTGGAAAAGTTGTGTGAGGGAGGGGAGGGGGAAGTTTCTTGCTACCAGATTGAGGCATCCCACAATTGTGGTTTGTGCATGTGCGTGCTTGAAAGATAAGGGCAACGCAAGTAAAACGGATGAATAAAATAATCTAGATTATAAGGAATCAACAAGATAGAAACGAGGAATCCTATGACTATATGTCCTTTGCACTCGTCGTGTTCAATATCCGCTACTAGGTGTCCAGCATCGTTAACCCCCCCTGGGAGCTTCAGACAGTACGGTACGAGTACTCCGTACCTAGTGGCACCAAGTTTCGATACAGAGGCCCATGCAGATGGAGTTTTGACCGCTTCAGCCTCCTACATAGTACGCCTGCAACTGATGGCTTCCCGAGCTGATGGCACCTATTACGTCTATGGCTGCAGGGGGTTCGTGAAAGCGGGAGGTGGTTACATCATTTTGCAAGGCCCCCTCCCTCCTGCAATGGATATGGCCGTTCTAGATCCCCAGCAGCTCAAATCCGCGCTGATTGCCGCGCTAATATCTGTAGCTTCGACGTTGAAGTGTTTCTGGTCCGGGGTTGTCACCGACGGCGGAGTTCAAAGCCGCGGGTACTGATGACATTGGAGGTGTGTACCTTTGGTAGAGGTATGTACATGTAGAGCTTGTAGGAGGGGAGGCGTGTGAGATGTACTCATCCAAGGGTTTCGGGATCCGCGTAAAAGAGAAGAGCTTCAATGGCCTTGTGCTGTGTCTCTCCCTCTCTCTGCCCCTAGTGGTGCTGCTATCTGTACGCTTCCAATCGGATGCCTCTACCTCCCTTGTATGCATCCTTTTAGCAGTAATACCCAACTCAACATCTTTGCGGGCACCTAATTATGCCTGACGACGCATTCGAGATGCCCTCCATGATGGCTGCTGTAACTGTACATGGGCCAAACAAGTGCAGAGTGTCCACTATTGTGTAGGTACAGTAAGCTGCAGCGGAAATCATGCTGCAAGGATTCATTGGGGCTGTTTACAGTATTGAGGCATCTACCTAGTAGTATTTTACACAAAGGATCAAAGACTCTATATTCTTTGGTACTTTATTGGATTCCAATCGAACCAATCTGAATGCCTCTTACCTTTAGTCTGACAACCAAGGTATTTAGCACTCTGCTCTGTAATATGTGCTACCATCTTGAAACTTGCACTGCAGCAGTAAAAGAAAGAAACGGACAAGCCAACCCACGACAAAATAAATGGAATGTACCTACATCAAATGGCTCCATGTACACACCACCTTGCCCTCTCCATATCAAGACCTCCAGCCTTCGTACCGGTACTAGTGCCTGTAAGCCATCAAAACTGCCCACATCCAAGCTTCCAACACTAGCGGGGCTCGTGACTCCCACCACAACCATGGATGCTTGCAGGAGCCGCCTTGGTCCTTGCTAAACTTCCGACGTCCATCAAGATGCCATTGGATTGCCAGATCCTAGCCGACACTCGTCGAGAAAACTTACGGGGGTAGCACCAGCAGCGCACCAGCAGCGCACCAGCAGCTGGGCCAAATGCTGCTTAGCACGATGGCATGTACGTGTATATGCAATGCTTTGGTAGCGAAACCCCTTATTCTGCCGTCTTTTGAGGGGGCAGACAGAGTCCAGCTCCGAGAATCCGAAGTTCCACGGCTCACGCAATAGCCCACAGTTTGCGCCCAGGCAAAAACACTAGGCCCTACGAGGCCTCTGGAAGCGTCACGCTGTGGCCATGGACACGACGTAAACCTGGAAGAGGGCCGCGAGCTCAGGCCAGACATCAATCAACCAAGTACAGTTCAGTAGCCTTTGGCGGGCGGGCAGCAATCCTGCGCAAGGAGGCGCATCCAAACCGCCGTGGCGTCGTCAACGGGGCAAACCAAACGTCCGCAACTGTTTAAGGAATATCCTTGAAGCCAGCATCCGGCTTGGCATGCCGTTTGTTTCTGTCTATCAGCGTTCTAGACTTCGAGCGCCGTGTGGTTGTGCTCAACACGGCGATGATCTGCAGCCCAAGCACACGCCTCTTGACCACCGAGTGGCATGGACGTTGCTTAGCGACTCAGTCATGATTCTGCGGCATCAGAGGGTACCGCGGCCGGGTTTTACGCTGGCAACCTCCGGCGCAGGGTGAAGGGCTGGAGAGGCAACAAGGATGGCGGGAGTCGCGCACAGCAGCCAACGAGGGCAGCTGACTGACTTGGTGTTGATACGGTAGGGTCGGCCAGCCCCGAAGAGCAATGACTAAAGAATCCTTTGGAATCGTATCACTCGGAATGGCCAACGCGCGATGACCCAATTTGGCCAGGCATCTCTCCACCGACCGCTTTGATAGGGAAAAGGAGTCGACCTGGTGGTCCAAGGCAGCAAGCAGAATACATGTAATCGCCAGTCGCGGAGAGACAAAAAAATGAAACCACCACCTTCATGAGGGGCTCGAGCTCGACTACTAGAGCATCATGCAATCTCGCAGTGTCTGTTGGTCCTCAGCGAAGCGGCATTAGTAGACTCCAGTGTTTAAGCTTATAAGGGATGCTTTATCCTTCCTGGTCGCAGCCAGCCCAAAGCTGTCCTGGCCTTGTAATGAATCCGCGCGTCGCTAAACAAAATATGCATTTTGCAACCGGGCATCTCGTTGGCGCCAACCTAGCATTGCATTTTATCCTAAATGCCTTATATTTCCTCTCTTCTTGACCGCATGTAGTAAGCCTTACTTGCATGTCCTTAGACGGCATACCACTAAGCAAGTCAGCTACGAGCAATTCAAAACATGTTGACAACAGTAGACACGCAGCCCTAACTCGGCCGCCGATCCTATTGCTCGCTACTACTACTACTACTACTAACAGATTCAATAAGACTGGGGCTTTGAATGATTAACGCAGGATACTGACAACTGGCTATATGCCAGGTGAAGACCACTGCAGGGGGGTTGTAAAGAGCAACTCGGCTCTCTAATCAGAGCGGAAATGCAAACAATGGCATTATTCCTACTCGTAAACGTGTTTCAATTAAAACTAACGAGGTCATAGAAAGTGGCGTTGTTACTTTCCATTGCTTTCTCTCTGATGAGACGCGAGAAGCGAAAAGAAAATGTACGCGTACGATGGAGCTTTGCTTCGTACATTTCGAACGTCTGTGAAGCAGCAGCTAGCCATCTATAACAAGGTCTTCTTTCCAACAGCCTTTTTCGTCGTATTGGAACACCTCTTTATTCATTACCGCCCTGTTCCCTTTTCCACTCATTCAGCTGCCCAAGCAGGCGCTGAGCAGTTTCTGTAAGATCCCGGTTTTCTTCATCTTCCGCCTCGCTGCTAGCCAGCAACACCAGCTCGGGCTCTAGCTGTTCCCACAGCACCCCAATAGACACATGTTGCTCTACAAACTCGAGGAGATGCATCAGCCACTCGGGATCATTTCGATTCTCGGGGATAATCTCCTTGATCGGGTCAACTGCCACTTCGGGAAAGCGAGCAAGCTGCTTTATACAGCCCGATCGAGGCGGCCAGTTGACGTCGGCAAACCAGCCGAGCAGATCCTTGGCATGGGGTCCCATCTGCTGTGCCGTGTGGACTCTCTCCGAGAGGCTTCGCTCTCCCATGAAGTCGAACTTGTGCTTGGGCGCCCATGCCAACTCGGGGAAATCAATAAACTTGACTGCATCTTTTGCCCTACTTGTCAAGGATGGCAGGGAAACTCTAGGAGGGCTCTCTTCGGTGCTGGCAGCTAGAATCTCTATGCCGGGTCTGTAGAGTCGCAAAGTTGCGAGGGGCAGGTAGCTGACGATGCAATCGAGGCCAGCGCAGGCAGTGAAGAAGTCATCCCTGGATTTGACAGGCTTGGATAGGGCAGAACAGATGCCCCGGATGACTAAAGGCTCTCCCGCTCGATCAATAAGAATATCGCAAGCCTCCGTAGTAGAGACGTGGTCGGCATCTGCTCCAGCTCCAGCTGCAGCTGCAGTACTTGGTGTTGTGCCAATCCAGCGAAGAACTTGGTCGAGAGACCCGCTGCCAATGGCCTCATCAAGGGTCGCCCTGCTCCACCGCGCCTCTATTATTTGCTGGCTCTGGCTGTCTGGCATGGCACCTAGATTCGCAGTATTAGCAGCAATACTCCTATGGCCTCGAGGAATCCACGCGCGGGGGATGCTGCGTCTGTAGTGTGTACATGTACAGGCACTCGTCCTGGTCCTCTGGGCTGCCGGGTAAGCCGCGATGGAGGGAGTCACGCAGCGCTTCGGTATACATGCGCCGAAGCCGAATTTCACCACAGCAGAGACAACACGCTTGCCTGTAATCATGCTGCCCGTTGCGGTGTGGAACCACGTTTCTCTCGCAGCTGCAGCGCCGCTTTGCTCTGTTTTCCGTCGTCTCTGCGCTCAGAGGACTCCTACAGTGCAGTGCAGTACAGACAGCATCGTCTGATTCGGCTCATGCAGGTGGATCTCGACATGCCGATAATGCAATTAGACCAGTGTACTGTGCTGTACACAGGTACGAGTACGAGGACAGCCTCAGCTCAGCGATTCGTCTGATGGATCTACCTTTTCTCCCGCCCTTGGCCTTGACGCCTAACCCAACACAGGCGCTGCGCTGATCCCCGTCGCTGGAATTCTGCTCTTGGGAGACGGAAGAGGGAAATAAAGAGGACGAGGAAACATGTCTGTGATGGAATCGACGGCGCCTGCGCACCCTCACCCTCACCCTCACCCTCACCCTCACCCCGACATCTGGAGGAGCACCGCCGACGACGACTCGACGCTGCTGGACGATCTGGACCATGAGCCCAAGGTGCTCAAGTGGTATCGCGACTGGGACGAGTGGCGGCGCGACATCCAGCCCTACGTCGACGTCTTCATCTGGCGGTACATGTGGTCGGACAAGGCCGCCGACGACCTGCGTGCGTGCCCAATCCCGCCTCAGGTGCAGCAGTTCAATCCTCATGCCAGAGACGTGTCGGAGCTCACCAAGGACGAGTTTGACCACTACCACGACCAGAACAAGATCTACTACTCCAAGAAGCAGGAGTATGACCGCCAGAACGAAATGGTCGACAAGACAAAGGCGCTGATCCTGCGCACCATCGTCCCGGCCAAGGCAGAGCTGCTGGACGAAAAGCAGTCGCTGCGCGAGTGGATAGCGGTCCTGAAGGCGACGACGGCCCCGACGTACCGCCAGCGCATCGAGATTGAGCGGAGCAACTACAACGGCGTGCTGGAGCGCTTCGACCTGGAGAACAGCGAGGCGGACTGGGCCCACGAGTGGTACAGCGCTGTGACGAGATGCCACAAGCTCAACTTTCCAGAGACGCACTGTGGCACCTGGCTGCGCGATCTGGCCGACTGCATCTTGCCCTTTTCGCCGCCGCTGTTTGACAAGTTTATGATGGGGGCTGATAGGCTGGACCTTGCCGCCATTGAGTGGAAGACGGAGGCTGAAGAGGCTATTGCTTTCAAAAAGACACACAGGTGCAACAACAGCAGCAGCAGCAGCAGCAGCAACAACAACAACAACAACAACAACAACAACAACAACAGCAACAACAGAGGCAGTATCAATCGACATGAAGATGCTCCGAGTGAGATTAGAAGCAGTACTGAGGTGGCGTCTGCCGGACGCGTACAAGCAGAGCCCTCGGACGAAAAAGAAGTGGCAGAGCTGGATGCTACCTCGCCGGCCGAAGAGGACCGCCTGTGGACGTTTCTAGAGGTGTACCGGGAGATTCGCGACCTTGAGCTTTCCGGGTCAGAAGCCGACGTGGCCATCGACGATGCGGCCTCTGGCAAGGACTCGGAGTCGCCGCTGTGTCCCGCCTGCAACCTCAAGGGCCACGAGCTGCGACACTGCTGGTACGCGTTCGAGGAGCGCCGGCCGCGGGGCGTGATGCTGAGCCGGTCTCGCATGCGGCGGGTGGAAAAGGCGATCCGTACGGACAAGAACCTGGAGCAGCGGGTGGACGACATTTACACGGCGTTTACGGGAGGCCGGTTTTACCAGCGGCAGCTGATGCTGGGATCGACGCAGTCTGCTTGGTGAAGGCATTTTTGCATTCTTTGCATTCTTTTCTTTTCTTTTCATTCTTTCATATTACATATAATCGGATGTGAGAATGCGTTGATGAAGAAACAGACAGATAACCTTATGATGTATGATATACGAAACTTGAGCGAGAAATGGGAAGCGATGGATTTTTCTTTTACATGATTCGAATTTACCTATACAGCGGAATGGAAACACATTTTATTTTTATTTTTACCTTGTTTTGTCTCCTCTTCGTTCTCCTTTCAAGCATACCATGATTGATCGATTCTCGAGAATCGCTGTTGGATATTGGCATTGATAAATGATGGATAGCTACACAAACTATCTGAAGAGGTGATGAAAAACATTCCTTGAAAACTTACATACATAGGTATCCCCGACGTTTGCTCACAACGCCCTGGCCAAAACAGCTATACAAAGCAGATGCCGATCCCGATACCAATATACATACAAATACAAACCCCAATATCAATACAGAGCACAACGCCAACACACATATTGATATAAATAAAAATACAGCAGTACACATCTTCTGTTACCTCGGACTGTACCTCACCGAACTAGTCTCCACTGTCGTCGTCGGAACTCCTCCTGGAGGATCATCATCCATGTCGAACTTCGAGCAGCAACAAGATCTGCCATCCGAGCAGCACGCCCCCATATTGCTCGAGAAGCAACACCCATTCGTATCAGAGCAACAACAACCCTCGCGATCGCTGCAAAAGAACCCCCCACGATCCCCCCAGCAGCACCCGTCGCGGTCGGAGAACACGCAGCCGCCGCGGCTCGAGAAGCAGCACCCCTCCGAGTCGGAGCAGCAGCAGCCCGAGGAGCTGTCGGCGGCGGCGTGGCTCTGGCCCCAGTGGTCGTAGCGGTCGATGTTGGAGGCGCTCATGGGGGTTGTAAGGAGGTAGCCTTGGGTGTTGATGCTGGTGCGGCCGTCGCGGCCTGTGAAGAGGGATGGGAGGGAGGAATTGCTGTTGGATGCATGTTGGGAGGATCGGACGGCGACGCGGATGTGTGCGTCGCTTGGTCTGCGGCTGTTTTTGGGGGGGATGGGTTGAGGAGGCCAACTTGTCAGTTTCTCAATTCACATGTGATGGGGGGACAGTTACTCTCTCTCTCTCTCTCGTTTCATGGACCGAATAAAACACATGTGTTGTGCAATCGCGGGATAGCTAAGAAAAGGGTTATTTACAGCGTGGATGCCTCATACGAGGGCGGGAGATCGCTGTCGTCGGTCCGGAGCAGACGGCCGGCATCGCGAGGCCGGGGAGGAAGAAGCGGCGGCGGCGTCGGAGGCGCTTCGGCTCTCCTCGGCACGAACTTGTCGCTATTCACGGCATTCATTTGAGAGTGTCTGATGTGGTGATTTCAAATTACAGAGAAGAGAAAGAAGAAAGGGTAAAGCAGGAAGAGGAGGAACCGGCAGTTTTGGGCCAAATCATGTGGAAACGAGAATTAAACTTCAACGCAATACCCCACGAACCCGGGAGCTCGGGAGCTGCGTGCGTGGCGAGAAAAGCTGGGCCATAACGCGGGAAAGCTAGTTGTTCGCTGGCGATTATTTTTTTGGGGGGTCATTTCAACACGTGCTGACGAGATAAAAGGCATCTCCCAGAGCAGAGGGGAAAGCAAGCCACCACTAAGTCAAGCCTTGGACCCCGTTTTATTGTTTTTGAGGAATGTTGTTGCTTCGTTTTTGCGTGGCGGAAGGCGTCGTCAGCTGGGGTGAGCTGAGGGCCGAGATGGAGAGCTGGAATGACATTTCATGTGGCATGATTGCGGAGAATTTATTATTTTCTTAGTGACGATTTGTGCGTATGATGGCCCTTGATAGGGCGGTTTATTATCCCGACCTCATTAATTGCCATCTCTACTGCTCATCTGTACTCGTATTCTCTATTGCCCTAGATGGCTCAAATCAGCCAGATCGGGTGGCGAGATCCGGGATCCACAGCGACAGCCTAGTAATAATGGAGTAAACTGGAGCAGCACTAATTCAGTTGCTGCTAAAAGTATGAACAAGATGGTTATTAAAAACATCAATCAACGCCGTGTTGCCGTCGTTGGGTGTCACGACAGGCTCCAGACTCCGTACATGTACTTGTACTACTCAAATGACATGTTCCCTCCTCCTTCCTCCCAACCGTACCCATGAATGATATCCCTACCGTGCATCAAAAAAAAGAAGAAAGATTTGTACAAACAAATTAATAACTGGAAAGCAATATAAGCCCAACCCTAGCAAATCATGCTATGCACATGTACCCTATTCACCGGAAAACAGCCGCCGCCATCGTTATACGTGCAGCCATGACACTGACATGGACGCTTCAGGCCGAGTTGGCATGGCTTTCGGCCCAACGCTTGACGTAACCGTCGAAAAGGCAGATTCGTCTGGCATGCTCCTCCTCCTCGCAATGATGCTGCCATCCTCTGCGGTAACTGTGCCCAACGGTAGAGCAGCGGCGCCAATGGCCGGAGTGTCGATGAGGGCGAGGCCTCTGTTGCGGCGCATGTACTGAGAGAGCTCGACGAGGCGGTTCAGGACGCTGAACTCCATCTTGAGCTTGATGCTATAGACGAATGGCTTCCACGCCGTCTGGAGGTCGTAGTGGTTGGTGTACTGCAGAATCAGGATGCTGACGTCGAGGGCGATGCTGACGAGGTTGGTGAGGATGAGATGCACCATGGTGGTCCGGTTTGCGCCCGTCACGAGCCCCCTGTAGCTGCGGAGGATCTTGTACGTCTCGTGGATGTACAGCGCCGAGATGATGAGCTCTTGGACGAAGAAGACGGTCAACTGGATCCTCTCAAAGACAAAGTACGGCACCTGGTATTGCGCTGCGCTCGACGAGTTGCAGAGAAACAGCAGCACCGTGTTGGGCACCAGCAGCCAGATGGAATTGACGATTATCATGATGAGGACGCTGCGAATCAGCCTTTCGCGAGGCAGGATAATATGCAGCCGCGAGTACAGAACGAGTGACTGGCCCGTGACCATGGCCGCCCAACCGACGATGCCCAGCGCAGAGTAGACGTACGTCGACAGTGACAGAGAGCCGGACATGCTGCGGAGCAGGAACCCCACGGCGTTGAGGGCGATTCCACAGGTGGCGACGAGAAAACTCCAGCAGTAGAGGCCGCAGTAGCGCTTGAAGGTGACGGCGATGTGGCAGACGAGCTCGCCGACGTTGTACAGCGCCAGGCTGAAGAAGACGTACATGACGATGCGCGTCTGCTCGTCGTGGACGCGGCCCTGCGACACGATGTTGTCTCCCATGGCCATTTGTCGATGATTCCGGGCGGAGGAGAGATGGGAGATGCGGATGGCTGAGATGTGCGGTTTGGACGACGCTCTGCCAGTTTCAGCAGCATGTTAATGTTGTCTCGGCGGCATCCAGATTTTTTTTTCGATTTTTACTTTTGTCGAGACTCGATTTGACGATCAAGATGCGAAGAAGGAGATGGAGAAGGAGAAGAGGTGTAATTGGAAAAGACGGGCAATATCCTCGTCCGGATAGCAAGTATTAGTCGATGGCTGGGGGGGAGGAATTGAAGGCCCCCAACAGCTACAGCCAGCCCCTATATACGGAGTCGATATAATAGATGGAGACACACAAGATGGAACGGGCGACTACCAGAGGTTTATACAGAGTAACAAAGAGGGAACAGCAGGAGAGGTCAAGGGAAAAGCCATCGGCGATGCAGATCGAGAGCCCAAGACATGGGAGCTTGTGCAAGACCAACGACCCGCGGCACCGGGAGGGCCAATACCGGCTTCAAGACATTTTTGATTTGACGCTTGCATATGCATGTTCATGTGCGTGTACATGTACATGTGCATGTACGCACTGCGAATATTGGCCTCGAGGCCCTTTTTATGCTTATACTTGCGGGACTCGGTCTGGAGCAGCCAAAGGCGGAGGACCAGCCACAGCCACCCGTCACTTGTCACAAGCCGTGTGTGTGTTGGAGGGCAAGTTTTTTTTTGCTGCAGCCTTGAGGGGGGAGGGTCTAGAGATGGGAGGCGCAAAAGGCAAAAAATTACAAGCTCCAGGTAGTGCCAAATGGCCGTCCATGGATTGTGCTGAAGCGAGACTGCAGGTGGTTGGCGGGCTGAATGTTACGAGTATGCTGCTGAACCTGGTCACTACTACTATCATATTCATCGGGGGGTGGCCCAGGATGCATGGATGGATTTGATTTGACGTCTTTGCTATTTTTTTGATTTACGAGTGGCCAACGATGGATATCCACTTGATGGAGACCAAGAGACACGTACTTGTAACGGTGGCATGGCCATGCATCCAGTTTTTGCCATCATGTCACGACTCGAGTTCAGCTTTGAGGAGAGGGAATTAACCGCGGTTTATGCCATGGGCTTCACCGCATCCTTGAATTGATTGCGTGACCCCTTTGGTATATAAAACGGGTATAGCAGACGAAAGAGCAAAAAAAGGAAAAAAAAAAAAAAGTAAAAATGCAATCGGGAATACCTGCCCAAGCTTAAGCGAGCCATCATGGTTTAGGTACGAGAGACCAACAGCGGGAGCCGGCTGATTGGACACTGAATATGCAGTACAGCAGTAGTAAAAAAAGGTAAAAAAGAAAACCTGGAAAAAATAAAAAAAAAAAGAAAGGAAAAAAAAAACATCATGCAAAAACCGTTAGAGCAGCATAATGGGCCGATAATTATGGCACGATGTTTGGAATCATCCGGCCAATCTTGAGGCTGGACATAAAACAAGACAACCCTGGTCTATGTCTCTTTGCTTTTTCTTACCTTTTTTTTTATCACATTCATGTTTTGCTTTTGGCTCTCGCCTCAGCTGTAAGGGAGACGAGGGTATTCGGAGTTAAAGTGCCGCCGTCAGTTCTGATGCAAGGGTCGGGTCTGGGCTGGAGGGATGCACAGCACATGCTGCATGTATGTGCTCTACTTGAGACGCCGTTTTTGTGATGCACCGCTACGTGTGTAGACAAGACTTGCACGAGCCATCACACGCCGTTTTTAGCTGCAGTAGTTGCAAGACGGCGCTGCTCATCAATACCAACGACGGAGGGCTAAAAAGAATTAAAACAAGATCCAAGTAAAATGGGCAAAAAAGACCACGGTAAAAGCTGAAAGAGGGGGCGGCGCGAAGAGCTGAGCGGCCCAATCTCCCCAAGCTCCAAGAGCAGAGTAGCATCAATATCAACCACCCCTGCTCGGCTTCGCAGCCCGAGTACATGCCCCCCCCTCCTCTCTCTTCCTCTCTCTCTCTGTCTCAAGCCCTTTTCCCTCCCTTTCCCGTCTCGTTATTGGGTGGCGTGCATGGGCTGGTGAGAGCTAGCGGCACACGAATGCATGGCTAATATTGGAGCCACTCATACCCAATGCCTTGGGCTCCGTGAAACTGGAATAAACTTGGTAGTGAAGCGTTGAGTACATACATGACACGACATTGCATACATACGTACATGTTGCCGCTCCTGTAAGGCGTCATGAGAGCCCATCCGGAGCGGGATTTGCATGTACAAGTATGCAATAGACAGGCCTGGACACGCAGCCGTCCGTCCATCGTGACATGGCCCCTGTGGTTCTGCCCAATGAGCTCTGCGGGGATTCTCAAGTCCCGCGGCCCTGCGAGTGTCCTTCATGTCTCTGCGAGGGCCGGCATGGGCGAGGTCCTAACCGCCGGAACCGAGCCCGGGGTCTTGTGTTGCCGCCTCTTGATCTGAACGAGCTGAGCGGGATACATACTCGTATGTGATAGTGCTAGGGATACAGACGAGCCGTGCCTAAAGCTAAGACATGCGGTGGAGATTGTCCTGGCCGGGATGCTTTATGCACATTGGACGTGCATGCATTAATCGCATGTATAAGTCGGTCTGATGCTGTACATGAGGGCGAGTGACTGGGAAAGGGCGTTGCACAAGTTTGGTGTAGGTGGACATGACATGACATTGATTGTATGGATTAAGATAACCTGACTACTACCTATGCATTGCTCTAGTTTGAACAGGTGGAAAAAACAGTCTATCCATCTGCCAAACAGCGTGTATCCACTTGCAACACGATCGATCGATCGATACATCCGGGGAAAGCGACTACTACTGTACTATTAACACACTAGATTGAACGAGTAAAGAGGACACAAGGGGAAGAAAGCATCAAAGGATAGACTCATGGTGGCTGGCTTTGAAGAGAGAACGAATTACTACTGGTGCCGGCAATAGATGCTCAACAGATGCTCGTGCTCCATTCTCAAAATATGACCTTTGACGCTACGCTGAGCAGCCATGCCGCGTCGCTCCAGCTTCCCTCATCCGTCGTTGGAGGCGGCACGAAATCCTCCGGGTCTAGAGGGCCCTCGACGTGACGCTTGAGCCAAGCGCTGCGGTCCGCCTGTGATTGCGAATTCGCCAGCGACTCGTCATACTCCGACTCGTCGTCCGTCTCCTCCTCGTGCTCGTCCACCGAAAAGAGCGACCAGCCCATGAAGCTCGTCATCCACCCGCCTTTGCCCGCCGCGCCGCGCCGCATAAGTCTCTTGACAGCGGCCTCGGCGTCCTCTACTGTGTCTCGCTCGAGCTCCTCGAGCCTTTCATCGAGGTCGACGAAGTCGGGCCCGGCCAGTGACTCTTGGTTCGGGAAGTATGAGTCGTCGAGGAGTCGCTCCACGGGTGTCATGAGTTGGCTCCGACTGCCGTGAATGCTGTGAGAACGACTGTGGACTTTGCTTCCAATGACGGAAATGGACATGTCATCATCTGCTAGACTACCGCGCCTGCTCGTAAGTAGGCTCGTTATCTCTCGTTCTCGCGCTAGCTCGTCTTCAAACGCCACATCTTCGATGCTCCGGATGCCAGTCAGGCTCGTCGAGCTCTGCCGCGAGACAAGCCAGGACTGGCCCTTGAATTCCCTCGCCTCAAAAGTCATCAATGCGCCGGTCCTCAGCAGCCAATCGCCATCGCCTCCCTCGTCGTGTCGCCTACGGGGCGTCGATGCACCGGTCGCAGCCTTTTTCGCCGCGGTAAGATGCGACGATGACTTGCTCTTGGTGATTGGGGCGCCTGAGGCGGATGGTGTCCGGTTCTGTGACCTTGACCGTGACCGAGGGTTGGTTGCGGAGCTAGCTAACAGCCGAGGCGTAGTAGGAGCAGATTTGCCCTGGAGATATGAGGTGCTCGGTCGCGACAGCGGCACCGCAGCGTCGACAATGGCCTCATCATCATCGATGGGAAGCTTCGACGTTAGAGGGGCCAGTGAGAGATGGTTGATGTTGGTGGACGATCGATTCTTGCGGCGAACGCGCTCGGCATGAGGAATGTATGAGACGTCCATGATGGGAGTTTGACCGCCGAGTGACGGCTTGATGAGATGCTGGGAATCAAAAGCTGCCGGTTGCGATTGTGGCCAATTCACGCTGCTGAGAGATTCATGTGCACATATCAAGCTGAAGAGAAAATGAATTGTATTCAGCAGAGGCGGCGGCGAGGGAGAAAAAGCAAAGGGAGGAGGCGGAAGAGGGTTGATATGATTTAGCTTCCAAGGTTGCAGGACTAAGAACTTGATTCCCGAGGTTGGAGGTTGCTCGTGATTCGCCGAGTGCCGTCACCAGCCGCTGGAGACCAATGGCAGCAGCGCACTGTAGGCGCCTGATGACGCTGCAAATGGCTGATTTACAGGCGGTGATGAAGCCGGGGTCACATTGGATGTATCATGATGTATAATGCATGCAACGTCGACATTTGCCGAGAGAATGTATGTGTCAATGCCTGCAAACTGTAGGTTTTGTTTCCAACAGTCAATGGTAAGTAGGCTTACATTGGCTATCTCATAAAGCATCCATAATATATACATTCAGGTACTGGTAATATAACGAAACACCTAGGTAAGCACTGCGAATACACTGTGCTCACTGCTGCTTAAAACGTTAAGCAACGTCGGCCCTTGCTAGCGCCGATCTGCCGCAAAAATTACGGCTTCAGGCTGCGAGTCATCTAATGCGCAACCAGCTTGGTGGAGGAAAAAAAAATAGAAACTTTTTGTTTTAGAAATAAAAAATAATCCCATCGTCTCAACATCCACGGCGCTTGGCCTCAAAAAGGAACAATACATTCTTGAGGCAAAGAAACGACCAAAAGACGAAACGAGGCCGCAGTCACCCGATTTTCCACCTGTTCAAAATCAGCCCATCGACAAGGGCTTCGCTTTTCTCCTGCTCATGCGCTGAGCCCCTCCAAGCCGCCTCTTCACGATGCGCAACCTTCGCAACCTCCGATTCGGAAGATGGCGGCATCCCGACATCACCGCCGCCTGCTGGGATCCCGAGAATGACGAGATTGTGTGCACGATAGGGCCGACTGCCGAGAACCCGACGATTGAGCTGGTCAGACTGTCGGACGCTGATTCCATGTGCGTTTTTGCTGCAGCATTTGTGTTTTGCGACTGAGGCGGGGGCGGGGCAGCGATTTTCTTTTTTCTTGTGTTTCCTTCTTTTCGAGATATGCGTCCTCGCCGCTGTATAGACAAAGGGTAAAAAAGAAAAAAGGAAAAAAATGCTGACATGCAGTCTCCCAAAGAAATCGACGCACACTTACTCGCTGGGATGCGCCCAGTCCGAACCCCGATCTCCTCGTCGACCGCATCGTCAATCTTCACTATCTGAGTGGCAGCGGCACAACATGTCTCGTTCTAGAAGGCGGTGATATCATTACGGTGCGGGAGGATCTTTCGACTGGCCATGTTCACATTGAGATTATGGGATCTATTGATGCCGGAATTGCGGCCGCGCGATGGTCCCCGGACGAGGAGCTGCTTGCCGTGGTCACCAAGGCTGACACTGTCGTCTTCATGGGAGGCGCCTTTGACCCCGTTGCCGAAGTCACCATGACCGAGGAGGATCTCAAGGCGTCAAAGCACGTATCAGTAGGATGGGGCAAAAAGGAAACACAGTTCCAGGGCCGCGGCGCAAAGGCCCTCCGAGATCCCACGATACCTGAAAAGGTCGATCAGGGCCTTCCGAGCACCAACGAGGACGGGTCGGTATCCATTAGCTGGCGTGGAGATGGTGCGTTCGTAGCCATCAACTCGGCTCAAGAGGGCTTTCGACGAGTAATCAGGGTGTATTCCCGTGAGGGAGAGCTGGATAGTGCCAGCGAGCCCGTCGACGGGTTTGAAGGTGCTCTGAGCTGGAGACCGTCTGGCAATCTGATTGCTGGTATTCAGCGCCTGGCGGATCGAGTCGATGTTGTATTTTTCGAGCGCAACGGCCTACGACACGGACAGTTCACTCTGCGGTCACCGAACGGGGCTGTTTTGGATGCCAGCGACGCCAGGATTCGACTCGAGTGGAACTCGGATTCGACAGTTTTGGCAGTCATTCTCACGGATACCATCCAGCTTTGGACTATGGGCAACTACCATTGGTATCTCAAGCAAGAGATTGCCATGGAGCCGGGATTTGCCTGCCTAGCCTGGCACTCGGAAAAGGCACTTCGATTCGCAGCGGCATCTGCTGGGAGCCTCATCCTGGCCGAGCAAATCTTCCACACGTCTCGAGGTTCATGCCGGCTACCCAACGATAATGGTGTAGTTGCTGTCATTGATGGAGAGAACGTCAAAATTACTCCCTTTCGCACTGCCAACGTGCCTCCTCCCATGGCCCTATTTGAGGTCAAGGCAGAGTCCTCTGTGGTTGATGTAGCCTTTGGACACGGAAATTCCTCATTCGCAGTCCTGCATCAGAAGGGCGTGGATCTCTACGAGCTGCCCCTAAAGAATGGAAGATCTACTAGGCCAGTGGAGAGGCTCAAGCTTCCATTTGATACCCCTAATATGCCAGAGCACCACATGCCGCTGAGAATCTGCTGGGTGTCCGATAACAGCTTACGTTGCATGGGCTACCAAGACGATTTGGGCCATTTGCAGCTGGTTGTATCTACTGGCGAAGGAAATTCTGCTGAGATTAGTATGCTGGACAGCAATCTGGTACTAGGAGCTGCCGCAACTCGGGATGATGATTCTGCCGTGGAAAGCTACGGCCAAGACCAGTCCGGCAGATTGTATAGGCTCTCCAACTCGGGTGACGACCTTCTTCCTGTTCAGTTCGCGACACAACTCCCGTGGTTCGAAATCAGCAAGCATGATGACGTCGAGATGGCTTTCGGTCTTTCAAGGGCCGGCCACATCTTTGCAAACTCTCGGCTGCTGGCCAAGAACTGTACATCCTTTATTGTCACGCCTAATCATCTCATCTTCACCACGAGCAACCATTTCGTCAAGTACGTGCACTTGGTGGCAGACGTCGAGGGTAAGTTTGAAATACTACGAGATCCAACCGTGACTAGTAGCGTGCTAACTTGGTTTAGATTTGGAGGTTCCTGCTGATGATCCCGAAAAGGATGAGAGATGCCGCAGCGTGGAGCGTGGTTCCCGTTTAGTCACCGCAATGCCAACCAACATGAGCATTGTGCTACAGATGCCACGAGGAAATCTAGAAACCATCTTCCCCAGAGCCATGGTCGTTGCCGGTATCAGAAGCCTCATTGAGGAAAAGAACTACGCACGAGCCTTTTCATACTGCCGGTCCCAGCGAGTTGATATGAACATTCTGTACGACCACAAGCCTGAGCAGTTCCTCTCATGCGTCAGCCTATTCTTGGACCAGCTAAAGGAGGTATCTTATATTGATCTCTTCCTCTCATCACTCAGGTAAAGACAACCCATGTTCTTTGTTCATGTGCTTCTCCAGCTTCATCTACTGACTACCATTTCACAGAGAGGAAGATGTCACGCAGACAATGTATCTAGACACCAAGCGGGCAAAAGCCCTGCCCTATGGTATCAATACGGCCCCTGAGGCATTGCCTTCGCAGAAGCCTCACGGCTCCAAGGTCAATGCTATCTGTGACGCAGTTCTCAAGGCCCTTCAATCCCACAAAACGACTCACCTCCAAAACATCATTTCAGCTCATGTCTGCAAAGTTCCTCCTGCTATGGATGACGGACTGACCCTCGTTGCTGAGCTGATGCAAGAGGATGAGAAGCTCGCAGAAAAGGCTGTAGAGCACATTTGCTTCTTGGTCGACGTCAACCGGGTGTATGAAAACGCCCTAGGTCTATACAATCTTGACCTTGCTTTGCTTGTTGCGCAGCAGTCTCAGCGAGACCCAAGAGAATACCTCCCCTTTATTCAGAACCTTCACGTCCTTTCCGAGCTTCGTCGCAAGTTTGAGATTGACGACCATCTCGCCCGCCGGCAAAAGGCCTTGGCTCATCTCCAAGCTCTTGATGCATTCGACGAGCTATGCAACTACACCAGCAAGCACGACCTCTACCAAGACTCCCTCAAACTGTACCGATACGACCCACCCCGCTTGCAGACCCTAACTGAAATCTATGCCATCTACCTCGAGTCCAAGTCTCAATACCGGGAAGCAGGCCTGGCATATGAGTCAATCAAGAACTATGCCAAAGCCACCAGCTGCTACCGCTCAGCCGGTGCCACATGCTGGCAAGAATGCCTCTTCACTGCCTACCAGCAAGATCCTCCTCTCTCCGCAGACAGCAAAGCCGAGCTTGCCACCGCTCTTGCAGACGCGCTTTGGGAGGCCAAGGACTTTTCCTCTGCCGCGACCATTCATCTCGATTACCTAGCCTCACTCGAGATGGCTGTCAAGTGTCTCTGCCGTGGCTACCATTTCGCTGAAGCCATCCGCCTCGTCATCCAGAACTCACGCCCGGATCTTCTCGAGACTGCCATTGACGTCGGGCTCGCCGAAGCGCTTGGGCGAACCACAGAGTTCCTGGCCGATTGCAAAGCTCAGCTCCGTGCTCAAGTTCCCCGCGTTGCTGAGCTGCGACTCAAGGCTGCTGAAGACCCTCTTGCCTTTTACGAGGGTGAGCGGGCTGGCGGGATGGACATCCCCGATGACGTCTCCGTGGCAGCAAGTTCGCGCGTTAGCACGTCGGCGAGTTTGTTCACGCGCTACACCGGCAAGGCGGGTAGTGTTGGTACCGCTGGTACGGGCGTTAGCAGAGCGACGAGCAAGAATCGGCGGCGTGAGGAGAAGAAGCGTGCCAGAGGTCGAAAGGGCACTGTTTACGAAGAGGAGTATCTCGTCAACAGTGTCCGACGACTGGTTGAGCGCGTGGAGGCGTCCAAATCCGAGGTGGAGAGACTGGTGTTTGCTCTCGTGAGGAGAGGAATGGCGGAGCGGGCTCGCGCGGCGGAGACGCTCATGGCGGACGTCACGGAGGCGTGTGAGGCTGCTGTGAGGGAAGTGTTTGCCGTATCGGCGGAGCAGCAGCAACAGCAACAGCAGCAGCAGGATCAACAGGCTGCTGCCAATGAGGCAAATGCGTGGAAGGCTACGGGGGGTGAGGGCGTGTTTCAGGAGTGGATGCAAGAGCAGGGCAAGAAGATGGAGCCGCCGGTGATATCAGGGATGAAGAAACTAGCATTGCTGGGATGATTTGGAGTTCTTCTTCTTCTTCTTCTTCTTTTCTATGTATGATTTTTAAGGGACTCGAGTAAATTTACTTTTTATGAGATACAAAAGGAAGATATGTGCCCAATGTCTGATATTTGCTATCCAACGGTCAAATGTATTCCATGAAAAGCCGTCTCTGCGGTTGCACACATCTACACATCTTGAACCAAGGATTCAATTATGCTTATTTGTTCTCGATTGAAACATCTCCGCTACTCAATCTTCCACAAAAAGTCCACCACTCTCCCACGACACAAGGATTCCCAATCTCTTCCAATCTACAAGAAGGGCTAACGATGAAGAAAAAAAAATCCAACCAACATGCAGCACAAAGACTAAAAAAAAAAAAAAACCAACTGATATAATAATGAAGAAAAGAAAAAAGAGATATAGGTAAAGCAGAATCCGTCATTCGCCTCCGCTATGAATTCAATCACAAGTTAATTAGTCAATCAGTCCATCCATCAAAGCCATCCATCAATGAACTCTCGCCTCCTTCCTCAAAAAAGTAATACATACTTTCTTTACCATCAATTTCATACAAAAAATATAACGAGAACAGGATAGACCAGACCAGCCCGATCAACAGTAGCGAAGCAGGGGGGGTAATCTAGAGATGAAAGTATGTTGTAACATACTCTTAGAAAAAAAAAAGAAAAAAAGGGGGAAAATAAAGGAGACGTCATGATAATGACAGATATCTTGTCCAACCATCCAATTGGATCTCCTCACATCGATCAACATTAACAAGAAAAGAAAAGAAAAGAAAGTAAGGTAAGGGATAAGGGCCGGAGCGATAAACTTGAAAGGGAAAAAGACAATCAAGTTGCTCCTGTGAAAAAGGTCACTCAGGTGGTTGACAGGAAGTCGTTTCGGCAAAACAAGAGTATACGGCCCCTTTCCCTTCCTCTGTCCATTCAAGGAGATCGCAATAACCCCCTTAGGATTCATTGGCTGCTGCGGCGCCATCAGTCTTCTTGGGTGAACCAGGCTGGCTTCCGTCAGCGCCTCCGTTGGTTTCCTCGTCCACAACCTCTTCTTCTTCCTCTTCGCCCTCTTCCTCCTCCTCCTCCTCCTCTTCCTCTTCCTCATCATCTTCGCCGGCGACATAACCGTTCATCCGCTCCCAAACCTCACGTCGAATCTTCTCGTCCTTGGCAATTCGTGCGCGCTCAACTTCTTCGAAACCTCCAGACTTCTTCAGCTTGCCTTCGGCAACAAAGGCATGAATCTCACGGTGAAGTGCATTGTCGTTGCGGTTCTTCAATTCCTTCTGTCGTAGCTTCTCGGCGCGCTCAATTGCCTCCAGACGGTCCTGGTGGTTGGGCTGAAGGGCTCGAACTTCTCCCAACATATCCTCTTTGGCAGCGTTCTGGTCAAGGCTGTTGCCAAGGTTGTTCAAGCCTTTAGAAAAGGTGCGGGCAGTGCTAGCGCTGTGGCCCGTTCCGCTGTCCTTCATCTGCTCTTTTGTAGCCTGCTCAACGAGTGTGAAAGTCTCTGACGCCTTCTCCAAGTCGTCGCGCAGATCAATAAGCAGCTCCTCCATAATGCGCAGCTCATCACGACCTTGGCAAACGTCCTCGAGTTCCTTCTCCCAAATCTTGGTCCAGATTGGCTTCTCCTTGTGCATGTAGTCTTCCATTGCCTTCAGCTCTTTAGAGAGTGCTGTAACATCCTTGGCAACACCTTCAAGCTGTCGGGGCAGTGGTCGAACACCACGGTGCACGACATCCTTTCGCAAGTCTTCCACCAAATCTTGGAGATCGTCAACCTTGGCCACCAATCGGTCGGAGTCGGCGTTAAGTTGCTTCCGACCGTTGGAGACATAGGCGTAGCCGGCATCTCCCTCCATGCTAGGGATCGCGGCCTTGACAGCCACAGACTTGACATTGGCGGCCTTGGTGCGAAGGGTGGACATGGAAGTCTGAATCTCAGACTGGAAAGTTGAGTAGGTTTGACGGAGCACAGCGAGGTCGCGCCGCAGGCTTTGAATTTCTCCCATCTGGCCACTGTCGAGCTTCCGGCCAGCTCCTAAGAGCGTCTTCGACCCGTCTGTAACTCGCACAGGCGCCTGTTGGGCCTGCTCCAAGACAATCTGGGCCATCTCCTTGGCTGCCTCCTGTTGGCGATCCGACACCCGTTGGAGAGTGACGGCCTGGTCATCAACATTCTGCTTCACCTCTCGAACAATCTTGGTGAGCGCAAACATGCCCTCATCGATGTGCCGTTTAACTTCATCCAGCGGCTCCACATTGAGTACTAGAACAGTTCGATCCTTGATGTCGCTTAGATCTTCCAGTTCGTGTCGCACACCGGATACGGGATCCTGGATATAGATCTCGGGTAAGTCGGTTCCGTTTTGCTGCGTGTTCCAGGAGAACTTTTCGATGAATGCCAGCTGCAGGCGCCCAATAGAAAGCTCGTCGCGACCTTCGGGCAAAACAATCTTCTTAACCTTTGATTTGTACTGGAGGAAGAGTGTCAGGTCTTTCGTCGGCGTCGGAGGAGGCGAAACCTGGAAGTAGGGCTCGTTTGGCTTTGACTCTGTGGGATGAGGGGCTGATGTTGGGGCTTCGTCTAGCTTGGTTTTCTGCTCCTTCTTGGATCCAGGGCGTGGCGCTTCGCTCATGAAGGGGTTGGAATCGGTCATAGGGCCGGAAAGAGTCGCGCTGGGGGCATATTTGTCATCTGGACTCTGTACAGATGGGCTCTCCACAACCACCGCCGGCTGGCTGGGCAAGGTCTCTTCATCTACCCGAGTAGGCACTCGAATAGGGGAGTTGTCAAAGCTGGAACCGTTCTTGATTTGGGATGCGGTTCGACTATGTCGGACAGATTCGCGCGACTGGACGGCCCGTAACGACTCCCTTGCTTCTTTCCTTCCCCTATTCGGTGTCGGTCCGGTTTGCGAGGGTAGCATGGGAACGACATTTCCGGATCCTCCAAGATGCTTTGAAATCTGGTACTGGGAGTATCTTCGGGACGCCCTTCTCTCCAAATCGCCGCCCTTTTGCAGCGCTGCCAGGGCACTCGAAGTCTTATCCGGGGGTGGCGGTGGCGGCGGAGGAAAAGCGTCGATGTTGAGTTCTGCTGCCGGTGGCCCTGCGGGCAGAGACGAGTCGTCTGTTGGGTATGGTGGTACAACGGGCATATTCTGCATGGTAGTGCTTGACGCAGACGACTGCTCTGAAGCAACCGAACTCCTAGATTGGTCTCGATCAGCGGTAAAGCGCCGCGTGGGCGATGATCCACCGTTCTGCTGCGGACCCGATCCTGGTCGATGTGAGTTTGGTCGGTGGCTCTCCAGGGTGTCCTCCAGCATATTGGTCAGGCCGCTGCTTCCACTTCCGACGGTACTGACGCTGGTAGTTCTCTCTGGTACAGCAGAGCCATCCCTCTCACGTCCTTGCTTCTGGCGCAATCTCTGTTGTTTTCGCTTCAAACCATGGAGCAGGTTGATGATGATATCTCGAATCCTAGGCAGATATTTCTCCAAGCTCTCGGCGCTCGCTTCTTGGCTCAGGCAAGCCTCGAGAATGCTTCGTAGTAGATCGGGGACGTTACCGAGGTCGGAGGTGTCGACGTTGATGGCCGTAAAGGCCCGGCAAGCCATGTTGAACTCGTAGCCTAATCGCACATAGACATCGGAGACTTGCGCATCGGTTGCTTGGCCGCGCGACCATTGCGTCAGCGTCTCAAGGAGCTGCTTGGTGGCTACAAGGAGATGAGTGACGCTCTTTTCGATTTGCGATAAGGGCATGTTGGAGCCGCTTCCCGATCCGGATGAACCCTGCACACACGGTCAGCTCGAGTCGCGCCGCTGGATTTGAGTCGCCCAGGCGCCAGGAGCAGGACAAACAAAAGACATGACATACCTCGCGGGTTGTTCTCCTCGAACCGCTGCTGGACGGAGCGGATCTGATGGAAACGTTGGATGCCCGCTGGGGGTTGCCCGGCGGGATGCCAGGAGAGATGGCTCGCACGGAAACATTTGGCGGCGGCCCAGGATCCATCACACCTGGGGATCGCCGCTGCGAATAGGCCCTCTGGGCGGCAGAAGCTTGTGGCTGCATCGCTCTGCTTCTTTATTTTCCCTTTCTAATCTTTTTCTTCGCTTTCTGTCCCCTCCAGAGTCAGGATGCCGGGGTGGTTTCTTGTCGGATCGGCTACGCCCCTAATATTCGCTCGACGGGCCGTGATCGCGGGAGCCAAACGGGTGGCTGGCTGGCGGGACGAAGAAAGCGTCGTGTGGCGGACTTGAGAGAGAACGAACGAGCAACGATGGGTGCCCGATAGGATATAGAATAAGTCGGTCGTTGGGTGTTGAAGTGTTTCGCCCAAGCAATTTATAAACAAAAGCAGCGACAGTCAAGTGCGACAAGAGACAGGCGTTACATCATCCAGCGAGCGGCAGACGGCAGAAGCAAAGAGGCCGTATTCGGCATGCGCACACACAACGTCGGCGCCAGTAGCGAAAGGCCAGATGTGGCGGCGGCTTCACTGCGGGAGACTCGGAGAGCCAGAGGAAAGACGACAGCAGAAGAGAAGCAGGAAAAAAGGAATGGCGCTGCAAGAGGCTGGTTTGTGTGCCGGGCTCGTCTTGTTGAGAGAAGAGCGAGAGGGGGTCTGTGTGTGGTAAGCACAAGTCCGTTCGTCCACCTGAACTGCACGTGCCATGTACCTTTGCTGTACCTTTGCTGTACCTGTGCTGTACCTTTGTCTAGCCGGAGAAGCTTCGGGTCCGATCGAGGCTCATGAGAGCTCCGTTTGCGTTGAGGAGAATACGAAGTACAAGTGGCTGATTTAAGAAAAAGATGTCTCAGACAAGGTTTGGCAGGTCAAGGGTTCGTATTTCTGCAAGCGACAGAAACAGTGCAGGCGACTAGGTACTGACTGGAGCTTACTTGCAGAGGACCTCTCACGTACTGTAGATGGGATGGATGGAAGACATGGAGGTGTTTGTGACTCGCCAGCTTCAAGGGGGGTGGAAGAAGCGACACACAAAAATGCACACCGCGACTTTTTTTTTTTTTTTTTCTCTATGATTGGATTCTTTCCTCTTTCAACCCCCTATCTTTTATCCCGTCTCAGTGACTGGCCAGCCCTGATGCATTGGGGGGCTCGACATGCGCAACTTGCACATCAGCAGATCAACGAATAGCGCCAGCGCAGGAACCAGAGGCTGTGAGTGGCTGAAATGCGCTATAACGTTGGGCAGCATTTCGATGTGACTGGTTGCCGTTGTGGGTGAACGTTTTTATTTATAGCTGCCCAACGCCGCGGTCTCAAGTCTAAGTGCAGTCTATTGTCACTGCAAGGCAAGATACGAGTCCTAATAATAGCCCTATCTAATATGGAGTAGATGCATAGGTAGAGATCTCAACTAATACCACATTATCTACATGTCAAGGCCTCATCTGAGATTGACGATGGACACTCATATATCATCACAACAAAATAATCCCGACCGACTTATTTTACGCGATTTACTGGGCCAGTATCCTCGTACGTAAAACGATAAGAAGGCAGCAATAAGCACGTAGCACATGTGCCCTTTGCGTGACATTCGCCCAGTTTCACAATCTGCGCGTGCCTCCCACTAGCATCTGTCGCCATCCAGGTGTTGCATCAAACTGATCCCTTGTGCATGTGTCCCTGTCTTTATTCGACAGACACGCCATCCGGAAGCTTTCTAGAACCCTGGCGCTGAGACCCAAGTAAAGGGTTCCCAGCCACCGCCTGCGGTACCTTGCATCGTACCTTGCACAATCCTAGAACCCAGGTACACAGCTACCATGGCAACGCGGTCCGTGGGAAGTCCGCGAAAATATGTGTCACGCAATACGGAGTGGATGGACTCTAATTCCGCGCTTGTAATTTATGTCCGTTGCTCTATCAGATGAAATTAGGAAACAAATCAACCGCTCAGTCATCATCGCACGCCCCATCCGTTGTCTAGCAACGCCGTGGCCTCCTCTAGACTCAAGCCGGCCGTCTCGGGGTATATCCTCCAAACAAGGGCATACCCAACAGCACAGACCGCCGCGTAAAGAACAAACGTCCACGACGGGCTCAGCGCATCCATCAACGGCAAAAAAGTCAAGCCAACCGCAAAGTTTGCTGCCCAGTTGGTTGCCGTCGCAACCCCGCTGCCCACCGAGCGTACGGACAAAGGAAACAGCTCGCTCTGCATCCATGGCACGTTGCCTAGGCCGAGAGCATAGGATGCCACGTAAATCATAATGCTGACGAGGACAACGACGGCTGGCTTGGTTTCGCCCTCGCCTGCCGGTGTTGTAACATCGTCGTCATGAGCGGTTGGCGACGGCTTTAGAGATAAGTATGAGAAACCTGCTGCGGCTAACAGCAGTCCCAAGGCCATAAAAGGTATTGAGTACAGCAAAATACGTCGGCGGCCGATGCGGTCAATGAGGCCCAAAGCAACAAGGGTGAAGACAAAATTAGTGATGGCAACGATAAGAGAGGTCAACGTAGGACTCTCGAACCCCATGATGGAGAATATGGTTGCCGAGAAGTACATTAGCGAGTTCTAGGGAGTTTCATGTTAGTCACAGGTATAGTAAAGCCCAGGCTGTTTAAAAAGCACTTACAAAACCACACAGCTGCTGCAGTCCTTGTAGGAGACACGCAATAGCTAAAGCGCGGCGATGTTTGCCCTCGCCCAACAATTCGTGCCACGCACCGAGTCCCTTCCAGGGGCCCGAGGCCTGGCGATCTTGAAGTAGCCGTGCCTCCTCCTCTTCGCGGACCTCAATCTCAATCTCCTTGATAATAGCATCTGCAGTGCCATCGAACCGCCCTTGCACACCATTGACCTTTTGAATAACACGTTTCGCATCATCAGATCTCCCAGCCTTTACCAGCCAGCGCGGTGTTTCTGGCATGAAGGCAACAAGAGCACCCTGCACGGCCGCCGGCAACGCTCCCAATCCCACCATCCACCGCCATCCAGTCTCTTTCGACGCATATGTAGACAGCGCCCAGCCAATGATGTACGCCGCCATCTGCCCAAGCGTGATGAAGAGCACATTAATGGTTACAAGGCGACCTCTGTATGACGAGGGCGCAATCTCAGCAATGTACAGAGGCACCACAAAGCTTGCAGCCCCCACCGCGGCGCCAATTATGCAGCGGCCGGCTACCATGACCGGCACAGTAGAGCTGACGGCCTGTAAAACCGCGCCGATGATGAACAGAACGTCGGCGTACAGAATGACTCGTTTGCGGCCCAGCCGATCGGCGATGAGGGACGAGAATGGTGATATGAGAAGCGCAAACAAAGAGGTTGACGACGTGATGATTGATTTGTCTATCGAAGTAAGATCTCGGTCCGACAGCGCCTTTCCGATCGAGACGAGAGTGGCGGATATGACACCGGTATCATCTAGAGAACCCCCAACCCGTCAGCGTCTTCTCTGTTGCTCCCAAGCGAATGGTAAACTTACAGCCAAATAATAGCCCGCTGATTCCAGCGGCAAACGTCAAAATCAAGACAAACAGGCTAGGATGCTCGTTGATGGCCTTCCCCGAGATAGCCCTCGATGCAGGCTCGTCGTCAACGGCATCGTACGGCGCATCGTCATCGTGGCGGTTGCTCGCAATCAGCGGCGCCTGGGAGCTATCCATTGCGATAGCAAACTCCGACGCTGGTGCCGCGATTGTGTCGCGCCCATGAGCTTCAAGCGGGAAGTTGAAGTTGTTTGGAGCAAGTCGGGTTCCCAGTTCCGAAATGGCGGCGTGACCCCGGCACTAGGCTCGGTGACGTTTCCCGTCCCACCACCATGCATTTAAAAGGAGCCCTGGTCGAAATCAAGATCTGATAAGATACGCAAAGCCTCGATGCGACCTGCTTGTGTTATTGCGAGGAATTGTGCTAACCGCCCTACAGAATTGATGAATATTCAGTTTCGTTGTTATTCATCTAAGTCTCTGTCGTTTCTCGTGATACAGATATCGTAAAAGGAAACACGAACCACTATATCGGGATTCCTTCATCACCCCAACCAAATCTCACTGCGCGGGCTTCTTCGCCAAGGCTACAATGCTAAAGTTCAAATTCCCATTTCCAGCCGCCAAAAACTTGCGTATAGCTTGGCCCAGAGCTCCTTCGCTCAGCACATCATCGCCGTCTTGCATCAGTCCCCTGTCCACAGGGCCGTCTGTGGCGCCTTCCAGCTCCCACAAATGGCCATCCTTTCCCTTGACGAAGGAAATGAAATGAAAATGGTTATCCTCGTTGGCTCCAGGTGGGTGAGAACTTCCTGTTCTTGCGGCTTTCATGTGTTTCTTCTCCAGCTCTTCATTGTTGTACAATAAGGCAGCTCTTTCGACGGGCTTGAGTGGTGTGGCTTCGTTCAACAGGCCATCCAAGAAGGACCCCTTCTGGACAAACTCTCTCGCCTCTCCATTGGCTACAGAATGCAACAATGCCATAAGGCCGCACGCATGACCGATGGTTTGTTGAAACCAGATAATTGGTTCCTCATCGCCGCTCTTATTGTAGGTCAACTGTGCTGGTGAGACAGTAGTCCCATCCTCCTTGCGAACGGCATAATACATCTGCGCCGGAGTGATGAATATCAGGGCTAGAACTGGACGGGGCACCAAAGAAAGAAGATCGGCATCATCCAGGCTGTAGACATCGTAGAATCCGAGGCCGGGTGAGACTCCGAGGTCGTGCACGAGTGACGTGAATACTTCTGGGTTGTTTTCCAAGGGAATAAAGGTCTTCTGACCGGATGGACGAATGTACACGCCTTCGGTTGGCATTTTGGATGATGGATCTTTTCACCTGATTATCAGTTCATCAGCAATAATTGTTGTTTTTGATGAATAGATGTTAACTTGGAGGCCAAGTCATTCCTCTGGTGGTGATTTTGGTTGTCTAAGAGAATCACGTTTGGCGCGGGGTTGCCTAGCTGTGACGCAGCAGGTACGCGGCACTCTGGTGCCTGCCATGGATTTGCATATCACTTTAGGAGAGAACGATGTGTCAGAAATATTCAATTGCTATTCTTGAGAAATAAATAGAACTAATCAAAATATTTGATTGGGTTACATATCATGTGACAAAACAGACCAAATTCAACCTCAATGTTGCTCGCTCGCTGGCATTTAATCTGGCGTGAATACAACGTCAAAGTAAATATTAAACACGCCATCGTATATGGCCTTTCAAAGGTCAAAAAGGATGAAACAAAATCCATGGATCCAACTACAAAACATCCAGCCGGTGGAGATAAGATCATAACCCTGGAATTAGGTTCGGTTCATAGCATCAGCTTCTGCCTTGGCCTTGGCCATGGCTTCATCCATTGCCTTGAGCTCCTCTGCGGTCTTACCCTGTGCCAGTTGCTTCTTCCGATGCTGCATCACCTTGTCAACAAGAGTCTTTGGCACACCCTCGGAGAACATCAAGCCCTGACAGCGGTCCCAAGCCAGTTGCTGAATCGTTTCGACACGAGCTATCATGTCGGACTCGAATCCGCGGATCTGTTCGTCGAGCTCTTCGGTGCTCTGAGCCTTGAGGATCACTCGAGCAAGTATCATGGCATCTTCGAGAGCTTGGTTGACTCCTTCACCGGCATGAGGCGTCATCAAATGTGCTGCATCACCAATGAGAGTGACACCAGACTTGTGCTGCCACTTTTGTCCAATGGGCAGCCGCCACAGAGACCTGGCCGTTGTTCGCCCTTGAGCAGCTTCTAGAGCCTGATGAAATTGAGGGCCCCAATGCTCCAACTCTTTCGTCAATGCCTTCTTCACTTCGATGAGGTTTTCGGAATCGTAGCCACACTTTTCAGGCTTCATCCAGTCTGGATCCTCGCGCACGAAACTAAATCCCATAGAAATGCTGCCGTCGCCCATTTGCTGAAGAGTAAACCGTTGACCGTCCGCACTAGCAAAAATACTTCCACGGTTGACGATTTTGTAAATCTCAGGGGCAGTCTTTTCAGCATCAGGGATGGAGATGTCGTGCATTGCCACTCTTGTGTATTCCGGCTGTAGCTCTGGCGCAATAGACAAACGAACTTTGCTAAAAGCACCATCAGCGCCGATAACAAGGTCGAAACTGGCGGTGGTTCCATTGGTAAAGGTCAAAGTGCTGCCCTCGACCTTCTGCAGGCGATGCCCCCATTTCACGGTGCCCTCGGGGAGGGAGTCGAGCAAGATTTCTCTAAGCTTCACGCGATCAATCTCTGGACGTTCGCCGAAAGCGACATTTGATTCAGTGTCGGCACCTCGGACGATGTAATAGTGAAGGTCCTTGTCGGCAATGGCCATGTATTGGCCGTCGTACCGCGCATGAGACAGAAAAATGTCCCATAAGCCAGCTTCTTTAACGGCTGCCAGACCGGAAGTGGTGTGCAAGTCCAGGGTTCCGCCTTGGGAGCGAACATTGGCAGAGGCCTCGCCTTCGAATATGGTGGCTTGAATGCCCCCAAGGTGAAGAAGTCGGGCGAGCGTGCAGCCTGTTTCGAGTGTTAGTCACCGGTGTCAGGGCAGTGAAGGTGCTTTGTATGTATATGGGTGAATTTACCAGCTGGCCCAGCTCCAATGATGGCAATCTTTAGATTTTGCATATTGAATGGAAGCTTATGCGGAGTAGTTGTTAATGGCTGTGGTGTAAATGAGCTGCAGTGGAGCTTATCAATGAGATGCTGATGAAGACAAGAGAACTGTGAGGAGTAGAATTGTTGTGATTGTTTACTGATTCATCTGTCCTCAAAACTAGACACCCGGAAGCCTTTTGTATTCATTTGGAAAAATCCGACCCGTGAAACTCGAGTTGCATACTCTCCGTTTAGACTTTTGCTCGTGTCACTTTTTCCCAGCTACAGCCACTCAGCCGGACTTTTTAGTGCCTGCGAAGGATCCGGTCATCAGCCCCCAAGGCGACGCGCGGAAACTGGATCATTGCCTACGAAGCTGGATCATTGTGTGCAGTAATCGATTCGTTAAGCGAAATCAACTATTGTTTATTGATACTTGCTGTAGACTATAGGCCGCGTCACACGGTGGTTACGGAGAGCGACTGAAGATTGGAAGCAAGCCATTATAGAGAAAAGCGTGGCTGCGCTGTAGGATTTCTCTCATTCCAGAGACCAATGGCGCCTCACGTTCTTCTGAGTCTTGGTTATAGGACTTGTGCTCTGAATAGGTAGAAACGTAGCCTCTTAGCATCGATTACCAATTTCAAGTTACCATTCTGGGAATGCAAAGTCATTGTTAAAGACATCCCGCATCAAGATTCAAAAGCCCGATGCTTGTACTGCAGTAGGTAAGCATGGATCGTTGCGTACCTAAGCTCGCTAAGGTAAGCATCGCTACAACTCCAATCGCTGTGCACGGTTCGATCGTTCGTGCACAGAGATTTGATAAGGGAGAACGGGAGCTAGTGTTGCCGGTTCAGAACATCTATGCTCATATTATGACTCTATTCCTGGGAATGCGACAAGGCCACGCATGTAAGTAACGGGATTGGCTCCGTGGAGGCAACGAGGCGATAAATCCTCGGCGACGGACTTTATACGATATTCTCCGCCCCGGCCGGTCCACCAGCCAATCAGGGCACGACCCAGCCGGCGCATAAATCATGGCCGCGCCGCCAGGGGAACGGCAGGTCCTGGAATTTACTAGAGATTTCCATGCAGCAGTTGTTCATGTTTCTTTTTTCTTTTTTTCTTTTTTTGATGGGGTTACAAATTTTTCCCCGGGGTCAGCCCAAACAGATCCTAACACCCCTGGAAAGAAACAGACTCTGTTCCGATAACAGCCGCTTACCAACCCGGTTGTGCTCAATCTGGTTCGCTAGCCCGCTACTGTACGTGTTAGGTCCGATAGCTGGAGTCGCTCTTCGGCCTTTCGCTCCCGGCAGAAAAAAAAAATTGGTGCTGGACCGACTGAGAAATTACGTCATTGCACAGCAACGGTCAGCACAGAGGCGATACCGGCCGGGGCAGCACGTCGGATAGAAGAAAACCTTCGGACGGAGGCTCCATGGGGAGCAGCCCGAGAGGCTATGTTGCTGTATTTGAAATTCTGCTGGACGCGCTAACGGTGGGTATCAATGCGATCATACTATGTACATGTGCATGTAATACGATGATCGATTTGCAACGCCCGCTGTGCGCTTGGCCGCTGTCTCCGTGCCGAGGAGGCAGCTTGTATTACTCGTACTCCGTATATGAGTATGTTTACTCAACTCCATCTCCAGCAGACCGAAATGACAAAGGGGACGCAGCTGGACATGCTGTGGAGCAAGGCTGCTTGGCAACGACCTGAAGAACAGGGGAGATGATTCAAAACATGCAATCGGGCATCAATTGTCCACGGCTGGCTACCGAGCCTAGACCACGATTCGTTCTGCTCCGTAGATATGCCATGTGTTTCGACAGGCGGTGGAGCCAGGCCAGACATCCGGGATGCGCACGGCAGTGAAGACCCTAGCTCGAGCCCTATCTTGCAAGCACTCGGATTTTAGCTGGCTCCATTGTGTGGGCTCTGTCCCGTCCAAGCAGGTTTGCCGCAGGTCCAGCTGGAGACAAGACGAAAAAATAGGGGAGGCCTGTTAGGGAGCGCAGAGATTTCAAAGCCGGCCCCATCGACGGCTGGGTAACATCGGGGCGAACCTGCTTGTGAATCGCGGAACATGGTCCGTAATCAACTAGTAGTAGCTATAAGCCAAATGTCGACGGTAGCAATTAGTGACGTTTCTGCGGTGTCGAGTCGCAGCCATAAAGACGAGCGGTGCGCCGCCTGTCTTACATGCATTGGCCATTTCCATTTATCCGCCATCCCTTTCCGCGCTGTCTGTCGCTGAGATCCTTTGTGTCGCCCTGCTAGTTAGTTCGTTGATGCAATAGGCTTGGTGTGCTCATCACCCGCGTTTCCTACATTCCCCTTCCAGACAACGGTTAGCATTGGAACAAGCGACACCCGCCGCCGACGACGACTCCTATATCACTCGACATTTACGAAGTAAACGACCGATTACTACATTACCCTTTTCTCTTCTCTTCCTCCCGCAGCCTCATACGACTTCCCTCGTAGCACTACATCATCGTGTCTACCTTACCTAATAGACCGCCCCGCCAGCTCGCAGACTATCCCCTGCTTGTACTAGCCCCCCGGCCGCCTTGTCCTATTCCGGTAATACTCGGCTGTACTAGGCCGGCCGAGTCGCAAGTACATGACATCTCGTTCTTGCTAGTTCCCGATCAAGAGTACCGTAGACCAGCCTGAAGGCTTTCCACCTATCGCACAACTGCCGTCCCTGCGACAAGCTTTTTCGGCCCTTGCCCTTCTAGCTCTTGCGTCCCTCTCTTCTCTCCTCTCTCGGCCCTTGGACAGACATTCTTTTCGGTCCATCGATACTCTGTACATATCACAGGCTGCATCCTTTTTCCTAGTCCCCCTTTCCTTGTAACTGCTTCTTGTAGTTGCGACAGCCATCCATTGGGAAGCGAATTGCACATCATCGGGACACCATGAATCCCGCCGATCGACACATCATGGACGCAGAGCGCGATGCGTCCCCCGAGCGCTATCAACGCCGGGCAAGCAACGAAATAGAGCGCGTCATCACGGCATCCTCAGCCTCGTCTGCGTCTTCGGACCAAGGCAGCATCTTCCGCCGGAACATGAGCCGCGTATCTACACAGAACGATCTGGAGCGCCACCCCACCGCCTTGAGTCGAATTGCTACTCAGCGAAGCCAGCATGTTAACACTGTTGGAGGCTCAATTCGTACCGAGAGTAGGGCTTCTCGAAAGCCAATGCCAGCGTTTGGCGGTGGCAAGCCATTCCCCCCTCAATTGCCAGCGCAGGAGGAGTACGTCGTCGAGTTTGACGGACCTAGCGACCCCCTACATGCCCAGAATTGGCCCCTTCGAAAGAAGCTCTTGACATCTGCCATGCTGGCTTATACCACCGTCACATCTACCTTTACATCATCCATCTTTTCGTCTGCAACGAGCGCCGTCGCGGCAAAGTTTGACGTTGGCCTCGAGGTTGGCATTCTAGGCACATCCTTATATGTGTTGGGTTTCGCCTTTGGTCCCAGTCTCTGGGCTCCCCTATCCGAACTTCAGGGCCGCCGTCTGCCCATTGTCGTCTCCATCTTTGGCTTCTCCCTCTTCACCATTGCAACCGCCACCGCAAAGGACATTCAGACCGTTCTCATCTGCCGATTCTTCGCCGGTTTCTTTGGCGCCTGTCCCTTGGCTGTCGTTGCCGCTGTCTTCTCCGATATGTTTGACAACAGGACTCGAGGAACGGCAATTGCCATCTTCTCTATGACTGTCTTTACCGGTCCCATGCTGGCGCCTTTCATCGGTGGCTTCATTGTCGAATCATATCTGGGATGGCGCTGGACCGAATATCTCGCTGCCATTATGGGATTCGCCGCCTTCATTCTTGACCTGTTTTTCCTCAGCGAATCGTACCCGCCAGTTATTCTCGTTGGCAAGGCTTCAGAACTGCGACGCCGCACCAAGAACTGGGGCATCCACGCCAAACAGGAGGAAATCGAAATCGATTTTGGCGAGCTTGTCAGCAAGAACTTTTCCCGTCCCTTGCGACTCCTGTTTACGGAGCCAATCATCCTGCTTCTGTCTATTTACATGAGCTTTATCTATGGGCTGCTCTACCTTTTCTTTACTGCGTACCCGCTGGTTTTCGTCGGTGTCCATGGGTTCAACCTTGGTCAATCCGGCCTGACCTTCTTTGGACTGATCATTGGCGAGCTTCTTGCGACGCTGACTATCATTCTCCAAGTCCCATGGTATAACCGCAAGCTCGAGGCCAACCATGGCATCCCCATTCCCGAGTGGCGATTGCCCAACATGATGGTTGGTGGCGTTGCTTTTGCTGGCGGTATCTTTTGGTTTGGATGGTAAGTTTGCTCATCTAAAGTCACCCCTCATACTCTGTTCAAGCAATCAACTAACAACATGTCAGGACTGGATACAAGGAGAGCATTCCCTGGGCGGCTCCAGCTGTCAGCGGTATCCTCACCGGCTTTGGTCTCATGTCGATTTTCCTTCAGGCCCTCAATTACATTGTCGATGCATACCTCATGTTCGCCGCCTCGGCTCTTGCTGGCAACACTTTTATGAGATCTCTCTTTGGAGCTGCTTTCCCGCTCTTTGGCCGTCAAATGTTCCTCGGCATGCACATCCAGTGGGCTTCCACCTTGCTGGGTTGCGTTGCGCTCGCGCTTGCTCCCATTCCCTTTGCTTTCTACTTCTATGGTGCCAAGATTAGATCAAAGAGCAAGATCGCTCCCGTCTTTTCTGCTCCTGCCGACGAACCAGCTGATTCAAGCGCCGACGAGAGCGGAGAGAAGGAGGAGGAACACAATGCAGCATTGGCCAATGCCCCGACGAAGAATAGCGAGGCTGGTGGTCCCGCTGAGAACGTGTGAAGCAGCTGTGAGGGGGCTTGATATTTCGTCTTTTCTGGCATGTTCTTTTCATCTCTCCGGATTGGGGGTCTTACTTTGGGTTGATACCATTCCATTTAAAATGTGGGCGACGGCAGCTGTGCAAGCATGGCGTTTTATTTAAAGTATTGGATTTGGAAGCGTTATATATAATATGAATAATGTCTTACTTTGGGGGAGGGGGATATAGATGCTGTATGCACAAAGCTGTTGGCTTGAAGTGTCGATGAAACAGCGATGACACCAGCCGGTGTCAATGATGAAATAAATATCCTTATAAATACTTATAACGGTGAATCCTGCTTCTTGTGCTGTGGTGATTAAAGTTCTTACGGTAAATTTAAGCATACAAGGCGAACTGCAAACAGCGTCAGCCTAACAATGTGATTGTGTGAAACAACCCTTGGCGAGTAATACTGAACCATCCATAAATGCTTGCATGATCTGAATTGATGGGTACCTTGGTAGGTAGTGACTAAAGACAGTGTAGATATACTGAAAGCTCGCACTGTGATATCCCGCTTAATCGCATATGGCAGAGCTCCCGTCCACCACACCACCATCATGAGATGGAGCTGCAAATAGCTTTCGGCTTGACATCATAACCATGCCTCGTCAATATCCGCCATGACCACGTCTCTGTCCCGCTTGCGCTGCCCTCAATGGCGGCTACAAGCCCGAATTCTCTATGCGCGGAGCTTCTCAGACGTCAAGCGTCCCTCGTCCGCGCCAAAGCCCATCATTGACATCAAGCACATTCGGCAAAACCCGGAGCTCTATGAGCACACATGTCTGGAGCGCAATTACAAGCGCCAGGCGTCTCACCCTGCCAGGATCGGGCAGCTGCATGCTGAGTGGCAGCAGCTGCAGAAGGATGGCCGTGCGTTGAGGGAGAGGTCCAACTTGCTGAGAAAGGAGCTGGCGAATTCGGCGACGAGCACCGACGATGAGGACCTGAAGGATGTGAAGGAGATGAGCCGGGAGAAGGTCCAGGAGGAGGCTCGGGCGCTCAAGAGCGAGCTGGTGGTGATTGAAAAGAAGGAGGCCGATGCGGTTGCGCAGATGGAGGAGCTGGCGCTGGAGATTCCCAACCTCACCAGTGCCGACACGCCTAAGGGGGATGAAGCCGAGGTTTTGAGCTACATCAATGAGCCGCCAAGCTTCGAGCAAGGACCGGAGCAGCTCTGGAGGTCGCATGTTCACATTGGCGCCGAATTGGGTATTCTCGACTTTGCCGGGGCGGCGACGGCGTCTGGCTGGGGGTGGTACTACCTGCTCGGTGAGGCAGCACAGCTCGAGCAGGCTCTCATCCAATATGCTCTCACCGTTGCTACCAAGCACGGATGGACACAGGTATCGCCTCCTAGCATGGTATACAGCCATATCGGTGCTGCGTGCGGCTTTCAGCCCCGAGACCAGAGTGGCGAGCAGCAGGTCTACGCAATTGCCCAGTCCCAAGCAGACGCTGACCGTGGTGTGCCCGAAATGTGTCTTGCCGGCACCTCTGAGATCCCTCTCGCTGGCATGAAGGCCATGTCCACCATCGACGCCGTAGATCTACCCTTGAAGCGAGTCGCCGTATCACGATGCTACCGTGCCGAGGCCGGCGCTCGCGGCGCCGAGACAAAGGGCCTGTACCGCGTCCACGAGTTCTCCAAGGTCGAGATGTTTGCGTGGACGAGCCCCGACGAGTTCGAGGCCCGTGAGGTCTTTGACGAGATGCTCGACATGCAGACCGAGATCCTCTCGTCCCTGGGCCTCTACTGCCGCGTGCTCTCCATGCCGTCCACCGATCTAGGCGCCTCGGCCACCCGCAAGATCGACATGGAGGCTTGGTTCCCGAGCCGGGAGCACCACAGCGGAGGATGGGGCGAGGTCACGTCTGCAAGCTTGTGCACAGACTACCAGACGAGGCGCCTCGCGACGCGGCTCAAGACGAGCAGCGGCAAGCTGAGCTTCCCCTGGACGGCCAACGGAACCGCGCTGGCGGTGCCGAGGGTGCTGGCCGCGCTGCTGGAAAACGGGTGGGACGAAGAAGAAGGCACCGTGACTATCCCCGAGTGCCTGCGGCCGTGGATGGGCGGACAGGAGAAGATTGGGCCGTCTGCGCGGAGGAAGAAGGATGGGAATGCGGGCGAGATGATGTCATAAAAGAAGAGATGGGCAACGTTTCGATCATCACCACATGATATTCACGGAGGCATTTTATTTAGCATATCAATGCGTGTACCAAGGAACCGGGTTTTCATACTATTTTGTCACGCAATGGGAACATTACACCCTGGAGGGTAGGACGGACGGGGGTACGGACACGACTGTATGATATTAGTGTGAGAAGAAAAAAGGAGGAAGATACAATGAAACCGGACATGATTCCGTCACACACGCCTCACAGAATATCACTATGCCAAACACTGTGAGTCTCATCGCTTTGCTCTCGTGAAGATAACGCTACTGCATACAAAGATGATTCAGTCCATATCAACCAGGTAGTCCATCGCTAAAGACGCTCAGAGTTGAGAAAAAGCTGCTCCAGATTCTCTCTCTCTCTCTCTCTCTCTCTCTCTCGTGCTGCCCGAGATGCCTTACCCACGTATCCTGCGCCCTTCATCTGCTCCAACTTCTTCGACTGGCCCGGCTTCTCTATCTGAGTTGGCATGTCCATTCGCGCGGATTCCCTCCATTGGCACGACTTCGATATCCATCAATATTTCTCCAGCCATTCTGGGAGCTTCGTCCAACTCCTCTTCGTCGGCTGACACCGTTTCGTCGTCATAGTCGTCCTCTCCGTGGTACTCTTCTGCTTCTTCCAATCCCCTGATTTCTTCAGCCGTCAGGATTTTTATGTCCATCTCATACAGTCCATTTGCCGTGCTCGCTTCGCCTGGCCTGATCGCTCCATTTGGTCCAATCGATCCATTTGGCCTTGCTGTTCCGTTTACCCTGATCGGTTCATATGGCCTTGCCGCTCCATTCGCCATGATCGTCTCATCTGGCCTGGTTGCTCCATTTAGCTGAACCGCTCCGTTTAGCCTGGTCGTTTCACCTGGCAAGGCCGTTCCATTTGCCATGATCATATCATCTGGCTCAACCGTTCCATTTGGTCTGATTGTTCCATTTAGCCTTGCCGTTCCATTTACCCTAATCCTTTCATCTGGCCTTGCCGTTCCATTCGCCACGACCGTGCCATCTTCCTTAACCGCTCCGTTTTCCCTGGGTTGTCCATCTGGCCCGGCTTGTCCATTCTGCCCAACTTCAGACCCAACGACATCCCACCGCCGCTGCAGCCTGCTAATCATATCATTCCACGCCCCGGTATCAGCAAAGTAGGCCCCCTTGGTACAGAAACCCAGTTGTCCCGCCTGATCGTAATTGTTCTCCAGCGCCCTGGCGACGGCAAAGACCATGTCTTGTGTCATGTCGCCGGGCCGCAACGCAGAGATGAAAGTCTCCCATCGATGGTACACCAGCAAGTTGATGTACGCCTCGAGCGTCAGCCCTCGCTTGGCGGGGATCTGCAAAATCTCGTCCTCCATGGTTATGTGTTCGAACGGCGGCGGGGGGGCTGTGAAGTCCGGCCGCCCGACGAGGAGGATGGGCATCGTCATGTTCCAGAGCGAGACGGAGAGCAGCACGACGTTGCCGTGGGCGCAGCTGTACTTGGTCTCGGTGCACTGGCTCTCGCGAGGTACAAACTGCGGGAATATCCAGCGGCCGACCACCCTCGCCCGGTGTTGATACGCCCTGCACGGATGCCCGCGCAAGTGGTCGTTGTAGAACCCCCAGTCAGGGCCGCCAAGGTTGAAGAGAGTCTGCCATGTCGGCACGTCTATCCACCCGGGCAGCACCATGGTCTTGGGGTAGGGCGAGGCCGACTCCAGCTCGAGGTGCGCGCGAAGGGCCTGCATGTTGGTGATGTTGATGATTTGGCGGTCGCAACGGCACATGATGTGGAGGAGACGCGCTCGACGGTTTGCGAGCTCGCTGAATAGCGGCATGGCGATTTCGAGATGCAGCGGTTTGGTTTTGGAAAAGGTATACTGTCTTTGTAAGTGATAAAGGAAGAATGTGACGTTCAGCTGCTTGCTATTTTGATTGCTTCAAAAAGACTACGGATAATATTGGTGGAATGAGAAGCCAGACAAAGTATTTGGGGGGAAAGATTCTGGTGTGTATACAAACAAATCTAAAGTCTTGGGTAGGTAGTTCTCAAGCAACGGGCATTGATCAACGTCTCGGAAGGTTGATCCAAAAGTAAAGTTTCTGTTGCAATACATTGGTCGTTCCTGTTAGTATATGGCTTGAATTGTCCAAGTCATTGTATCTCAAAGAGGTAGAGGTAGTAGAAACCGGTTGCTGAATTGCATCTCAAAGTTAATATTATTGGCCCCTTGGACACTATTCTGAATAAAATCCCCAAACAAAACAACCCGAATGCAAAGAAAAACAATCACATAGTGACACGCTCAGACTCGTCAGAATATCCTTGTTCTATTGGTAGATCAAACGTATCTTCATAGACTGTCGACAGTTTACATGACATGCCCTTCCCGGCGCCAGAACAACTCCCATGAAACGCCAAAAAACCAAATAAGACGCCGAATTCAAGTGGACAGACTTGCAACGATGCTGGACAGACTTTTCTTCAACAATAATCCTAAACGACAACTTTGAGGGGGCATCGTACGGAATCCGCTATGAGTTTGTATCTGCTAGCTTGCCTGCTGCAAAGCAAAATGAGCGAATGACGGGATATTCCATGCAGGCATCAACTCCAAAAACGCAAAAACTTGGTCGCTTGAATAAAAGACTCAAATGTCGTAATCTTAACACAATCCCCATAACCCTAGCCGTGTGCACGCGTGATATCAAAACTTAGGCCGGAGCCTCGTGGAGAGAAGAAAGGTAATTGGTTCGACGTCGAAAACCCCAGGTTTCAAAGGGCCATCTCAGCTGCGGGATGAGGGTGATGAAGCATAACCATAATTTACGTCGTGGAATTGCACATCGTCATCGTGGTGGAGCGTGACGCTGTTGAACTCGAGGAACGGGTCTGCAGCCTCATTGCCAGGGGTTGCTAGTCCGCTATCCAGGGGAACACCAACGGCATTGATTGCCCTGGCCCCGCTGATGTCAACGCTTTCGCTCTCCTTGACGTTCCTAAAGTTGATGGTATCAATTCCACGGCCCTGGTTAGGGACAATGGGCGGCTTCATATGGCGAATCAGAGCCCACTGAGTCGTTCGGAAGAAGGGGTGGGCTTTGATATCAGAGGCACCAGCGCGGGCGCCTAACCTGCGGTTCTCGTCCTTGATCAACAGTTTCCTGATGAGCGATTTGCAGAGGCTAGAATGAGATTTGTCAGCAACAATTCCTACAGCAAATGAATCGAAATTGGGCAAGAGAGGCATACTTGGAGATTTGTGGCGCCCCAGTGTGGTCAGGGAAGGGAATATCCTCGCGCAGGATGTTGGCGAAAGTGGCATTTCGGTTCTTGCCCTTGAAAGGTGTGGTTCCGTAGAGCATCTCATAGATGAGAATGCCCAAAGTCCACCAGTCTACCGCACTCGTGTGGCCGCTACCCTTGATAACTTCCGGGGCGATGTACTCTTCAGTGCCGACAAACGAATTTGTTCTGAAGTCGGCAATACATGATCGCGTGTCAATCGTGGGCAAAGAATCCGTCCTAGCTCCGTTCTTGCCAACGATCATCGTCGGCTTGCCACCCGGGCCAGACTGCTTTGACAAATCGAAATCCGACAACATGATGTGGCCGGATTGGTGAAGCAGAATGTCTAAACAAACGCGTTAGTCAGCTGCGCTGCTTCTTTCTCTCTCTTTTCTTATCAGGGGACACGTACTCTCAGGCTTCAAATCTCGGTAGATGAAACCCATGAGATGAAGGTACTCCAAAGCGGCCGTGACCTCGGCGGCATAGAAGCGGGCGTCGTCTTCCGGAATGCACTTGCCAGGGCGAGTTTGGAGTGCTCTGAAAAACTCTCCTCCGCTGCAATATTCCATGCATAGATAAAGATGATCTTCTGATTGGAACGAGTGGTATAGAGTGACGATGAAGGGGTGGTTGCTTGTCGCGAGAATTTCCTGTTCAGCGAGGGCGCGCTTAATCTTGTTTCGCTTAATCATCTCCTTCTTGCTCAAGACTATAGGCCGAATTAGCAACTGGGGAGGATCTCTATATTGAGGCTCGCATTTTACCTTTCATAGCATAGAGCCTGTTGCTCTTCTTCTCCCTGACCAGATAGACTTTACCCACATCACCCTTGCCAATCAGCTTAATCTTGTCGAAGCTGGAAGGGCCAACTTCGACATCGCGGACCTTGATCGAGTTGGAACTGTATGTCCTGCGGAAAGCCAAAGGAGTCTGCGGAGGAGGCAGAGCGCCCAGGGTGTCTTCGCTGTGCAAATGCTGTGGTGCATCGGCCTTGCCGCCGTCGATGAGGCCGAGTGACCCTGATTGGGAGTTTTGGATCAAGGGGTCTTTGCCGAGTTCAGCGGTGCCGGGGCGGTCGCCCTTGTTTCCAGAACTCGCAAACAGTCCCTGAGCATTGGGTGCACTGGCAACCCTCCTTAACCTGCGGGCCAGCTCTTCCTTAGTTTCGCTCGTAGCCTGTTCGGCTTCTGTGCCATCTGGGCCCGACACCTTCAAGGTTGGCGTATCGGGAGGGCTTGGTGGCACAGAGCCTTCGTTGTGATGGCGCAGGCCGGGCTGTCCTTGGTGAGCAAAGTAGGGGTTGGCAAGCGCCGTAGGGCTCATTGCCTCTTCTAGCTTGTTGCTCTCGCTGGCGACGGTATGTGACCTCAGACGGCCGACGGTGCTGTTGAAGAGCTTGGTGTGTCGAGATGTTTTGGTTGAGTGCGAGTCGCTGCCGCTGCCGCTGCCGTTGCTTGTGGGCCCGTTAATGCTAAGCGAGTTGCTGGCCCTTTCCTTTTCGCCAATGCTGCTCGCGCTGCTGTTCATGCGGAAGAAGTTGCGCAGGCGATTGCTCACCTGGCCCCCTGCAGAGCTGTTGGCGACCTTTGAGGATGGCATTGTTGGTTTTGGGAGGTGCAGATGACGACGAAGATGATGAGGTGAGAGATGTGATGACGTAGAACAAGTCGGAGTCGAAGACGAAAACTCAGACGATGGCGATGACGAAGACGAAGAAGAGAATACGACGAGTGGATGCGGAGCGGGCTGTGGATTGACGGTATCAATGTTCGGGTGACGCTGACGGGGGTTTCGCTCAAGCAACTGCGGCCATGGTTCGCACAGCAGACGTGGAAGCAGGCGCTGGACGGCAGAGCTCTTTTTCAGCGGATGGCGAGAAAAGAGGCCCGAGTTGTGGCGGCGTTTGGTTTGGTTGGACGAAGGTCGATGTTGTGCCAACAGTCAAAGCGGCTGGACGAGGTACCGCGAGTTGAGACAAATCTGGTGGGTCGGTCCGCTCACGGCAAGCCACGTTGCCTCAGGCATCAGCGTCACTGGCACTGCGTGCTTATCACTGGGCGAGATTTGTGGAGGCGCGGGCAGGTACAGGTACTTGCGTCCCAGATCGGGGGGGGCCAGTCCATGCTGTTACAGCCAGCACAATTGAGTTACGGGGGACCACAGCGGTTAGGACGAGGCGTTCAGGGGGCGTTGGGGAGTGCCAACTAGCGGGCATACGTTAGCCCCGTAGCGGACTAGGCCACAACATCTTGAACTTTTTCAGGCTGCTGGTGCATGTACCGCACAGCGAGTCATGAAGGCGATGGCGCATCAATCAACATCGAACATTCACAGCGCTTCTCTGCCCACTCGTAAGCACAGGCACAGGCACACAGCCACCTGATGCTCGATTTTTCTAAACCTGGTATTCGGGATTGCGATACGATACGGGGCGACTTGGCTTGTCAGAGTGCAGAATGCAATTTATAATGCAGCATATCTGGCTGCACATTCCGGAGTGTACCGGAACCTGTCTTGCTCTGACGCCATGCCGCGCGCGCGCATTCGCTTTCGTGTTGCGGCGCTGAAATGAACTGCTGGAGCAGCTGGTCTGGTCGTCGTCATGCCTCCCCCTCCACTGCTGCAGTGCCTGTGCCTGCGCCTGCGCCTGGTGCTCGTACCGGTACCTTTGCCGACGAGGTAGGTACAGGTACTTGTTGCGCTGCGGAGTAGACCACCTCTCCTCTCCTCTCCTCTCTGCATTTTCCCTTCCCAGTCAACCAGTGAGACGCGCTCCAGCCTAACAGATCAAGCGGCTTACAAACCAGGCCAATGAGGCAGAATTCACGACATCCATGTTTCTATTATCCGCAGCAGCGCCCGTGTCTCCACCGGAATCCGTCGTGATGTGCATCCGGAAAGGGCTGATGCGATGACTGCGCTCGTACCACTACCTGATGTGCCTGAGTTGAGGCTAGGGCTGCATTAGTCCATGCAGTCTCAAAATCAAAAGCACCCAGCTTGCCAGCCGAGCCAGCTTTCACTCGTTCATTTCCTGGCATCCGAGACACTGCCTCGGCGCGCGGAATCGCCTCTCCTCTGCTATGCTATGCTATTGATGCTATGCTATGCTATGCTATGCTATACTGTGCTGAGCTGAGCTGAGCTGTGCTGTCCTCGTACTGCAATGCAATGCAATGCAACGCCATCCATTTGCCGTTCGGTCGGTATGTTCGGAAACCGGCGACGACTCTCTCTGTCATACGAGCCCAATGCGTGACGTGATGCCTGTCCGTCCCTCCAGAATGTCGCCGAGCACCCTTGCCTTGCTGTCCATCAACATGGCCAATTCAACGTGATGAGGCCCAAATCTCCACCAGCTTGAACATCGGAATTTGTTTCGCGCTAAAACACGGAGTGCAGCTGTTCATGCTATGATGTAATCATCCCATCAGTGCTGGAAACAAGGAACGGCAAAGAGAGAAAGGGAGAAAAAAAAATCCAAAAAAAAAGGCACGATGCTCCTCTATTCTCCATTCTCCGATTGTTTCAAGCCCGACAAGGCGGAAAAGGGTGGGTCGTGAAGCTCCATAAGCTCCGCTGATGCTGATCGGCTTGAACGAGGCGCCGTGATTCCCGTCATTGTAATTGTTTCCTTGCAGCGCCACAGCCGCGCGCCCTTTTTGCATGGCCGGAAGCTCGGTGGTGGGCATTGGATGCCGTCAAGGAGCTGTAACAGCCAGTTGCCCATCTTGGTATCTGGTGTCCCCTAGAATGTTCTTAAAACCCGAGAGCTATATCCGAAATTGGAGTTTTAGAATGTACATGCGGTAACATGGAAGAGTTCTTTCGGTACGTGTAATCATCGACACTAAATAGATGGGATGAACCCTAGTTCTATGAACAAATTGGGCTGAGGTATGCACATCTTCACCTGCACAGGCAGTAGGGTAGCACTCTCGCCCGGCATTTGTAATGCCAACCATTCCATCCTAATGGTATGAGGCAAGAGATTGGACATGGTAAACAAAGCAAGAATTGCTGTGCAATATCTAATACATCGAACTTTGATACTTGAATGATTCTACAAACAGTGTAGGTGAAAGGCAAGACGTCATTTGCGAAAAGAACTGACTGAATCGCGGTACTATAGTTTTATTTATAGTTAAGTGGGCACATTTCCTCATTAGGCTCAGCCATCAATTGGTCTCTCTCCAGTTTATATATAGGTACTATAGCATGAGCATCAAATGCTATACACCATCCATGGTCTTGATATTATAGCATTGAATGGCTTGTTGATCAATATGCAGAGTTGATTTTTTTTTTATGTATGTAGCAGCTGCTCTTACAGAAGTGAGCAAGATTCTAGGCAGTATGTCTCCCGTCTGTATTCGGGGGCCTTCGGGAGGGGTCATCTCTCATCCGTAGTCGCCCATTTTGGGCTACCGTGCACGCTTGGCATACATCGACATTGACGTGTCTTTCCATTGAACTCCAATCCAACATCATCTAGAGTCTACAAACACAAACTTACCGAATCTCCATCATGGCTTGCGGCTCCAGCTGCTGTGGGCCGCCCTCTGAGGCACTGCCAGAGCAAGATTGCTGCTCTGCTCAGCCTCCAAAACAGGAGGATCCCGGCTGCGTTGGTGCTGTGCCAGATAACAGTCTTGATATCGCTGCTACCGAGTGCAACAAATTGATCCAGAAAGACGACAACCCGTGCCAGGACACATGCTGCGGCGGATCGATGGAAGAGCTGCAAGATGACAAGAGCAAGGATCAAGAGGTCGAGCCCGAGGATGACTGTTGCGCTCCCCAAATCTCCCAGTCCAATTGCAGCAAGGGTTGCTGTTCCAAGGTAGACACACCATGCCCCGAAATTATGAAAGCACCACCCTGCTGCGAAGGCAAAGTCTCTCCATGTTGTGACCAAACCTGCCTGGATCGCCTTGCGCTGCGTGAATGCGAAGGTTCTCTGTCTGGTAAGCCACTCAACAGTTTGCTAAAACCCCGTGCATATTTCTAACCATGTTAACCCGCAGGTCTAAGCACTAATAATAAGCCAACTTCGTACTGCAGTCGCGGCAAAAACGGCAAGCCATGTGACGGCCACTCTCGCAAGATCCGAGATATGTACATGGAGAAACTTGAGGCTCTTGGATGCATATGTCGTGCCCTTATCGCCCTGGGGCAAGATACTTGTTGTAATATTAAACGCCGCTCGACCTCAGGGAGCGTGCGAAGCCGTCCAAGACAGACACCATCACTCCGTTCGCGCAGCTCTATTGACTCGTGCTGTGCCGGAGAGGGGGCTGGTACGAGCTGTTGCTCTACAAAGAAGCCAGCCAACTTGAGCGAGAAACGCAAGGATATCCGGAACGCTCTATCTAAGCCAAAGGCCCCGAGCGTCGCAGAATCTTGTGCCGACTCTTGCTGCGCTGAGACGCGACCAGGTCCGTCCGTCAAAACATCGACGGAAATCGTTACCAACATCGTTACCAACACAGCTCATGATGCTGATGTTGAAAAGAGCCTATCTCCCAACCACGAGAAGGAACATGTGGTCCTGAGTATTTCGGGTATGACCTGTACCGGATGCGAGACAAAGCTGGTCCGAAGTCTTGGTACTCTTCCATCGGTCAAAAATTTAAAGACCAGCTTAGTGCTTGCTCGCGCTGAGTTTGACCTAGTTGGCTCTATCTCTGTGGCCGAGGTGACGAAGCATCTTGAAAGAACCACTGAGTTCAAGTGCGAAAGAATCACCAATCAAGGCTCTAACCTTGATATCATCGTTTGCGATGGTGATGCAGCTGCCTTTGTCAATCAGCCCTGGCCTGACGGAGTTACTGATGTAAAAGTCGTTGATAACAAAACTGTCAATGTTAGTTTTAACGCCGAGATTATTGGTGCAAGACATTTGATTGAGCGCGGCTGGGGTGACGTTCCAATCCAGCTGGCGGCATCTCGCCTCGATCCAACTCTCGAGGCCGGCAGTAAGCATGTTCGTCATATTGGCTACATGACACTATTCTCTGCCTGTCTCACCGTTCCGGTTCTGGTTATGGCTTGGGCTCCTCTCCCCAAGCACGACCTGGAATACAATTCGGCATCATTGGCTTTAGCAACGCTCGTCCAATTCATAGTCGCTGGTCCATTCTATCCAAAGGCACTCAAAGCCCTCGTCTTTTCGAGGGTCATTGAAATGGACCTTCTCATCGTTCTAAGTACTAGCGCAGCTTACATCTTTTCTGTTGTCTCGTTTGGTTACTTGGCTTCTGGTCAGCCCCTATCGACTGGTCAGTTTTTCGAGACCAGCACTCTCCTAGTGACACTCATCATGGTGGGCCGATGGGTGGCTGCCATGGCTCGCCAAAAAGCTGTGGAATCCATCTCAATTCGATCTCTTCAGAATACCACAGCCCTCATTGTGACTGACGAAGGAGAAAAGGAGGTTGATGCCCGCCTCCTTCAGTATGGAGACGTGTTCAAAGTTGTTCCTGATTCTAGGATTCCAACAGATGGCACGGTGATATCTGGCAATTCCGACGTAGACGAATCTATGATGACTGGAGAGTCGATGCCGGTCGCGAAGCATACTGCATCCCCAGTAATCGCCGGATCTCTCAATGGCTCGGGTACGCTCTACATTCGGTTGACGCGACTTCCTGGCGATAATACTATCAGTACTATCGCTGGTATGGTGGATGAAGCAAAGTTATCAAAGCCACGGATTCAAGCAATAGCCGATCGTGTTGCAAGCTATTTCGTACCCACTGTAGTCGTTATGACGATTGCTGTCTTCTGTATCTGGGTCGCCATTGGGATCAAGATACGCAGCCTCTCTGGAAGCGAGGCTACGATCCAGGCAATCACCTATGCGATCACAGTTCTGATAGTGTCCTGCCCTTGTGCCATTGGCCTAGCAGTGCCAATGGTTGTCGTCATTGCTAGCGGCGTAGCCGCCGAACGGGGCGTTGTGTTCAAATCCGCAGAAGGCCTCGAAGTTGCTTATAAGACGTCACACGTTGTCTTTGACAAGACTGGTACCATTACAGAAGGCAAGTTGACAGTGGCCCAGGAATGGTATGCCGATGGCGGCCAGAGTACTACAAAGTCTCTCCTCCTTGGCCTTGTTGATAGCATCAAGCATCCGGTGTCTGCTGCAATGACATTGCATCTAAAAAATCAGGGCACACTACCTGTGTCGGTATTAAATGCAAAAGCTTTGACGGGGAAAGGCGTTGAAGGCATTGCAGAGGGATCTGGATTGACTCTCCAGGGAGGTAACTCTCGCTGGCTTCATCTCGAGTCCAGTCCAGTTCTACAGTCAATGCTCTTGCATGGGTACACAGTTTTTGGCTTCACGATCGACGGTTCAGTTGCTGCAGTTTTTGGCCTCCAAGATTCGATTCGACCCGATGCTACTTCTACGGTTCAAACTCTGCTCGATCGTGGTATAACAGTCCACATCATTTCAGGAGATGACGATGGTGCTGTGAAATCTGTTGCCGCCCGGTTAAACATTGACGAGGCCAATGTTCGTTCCCGCTGCACCCCTGCTGACAAACAAGCATATATCCAGAACCTTCTCCAACGTCCCATCTCCTCTGATCAAACCAACAAGGTCGACAAATCCAAGAAGCCTGTCGTCATCTTCTGTGGCGATGGAACCAACGATGCAGTTGCCCTCGCCCAGGCTACCATTGGTGTTCATATGAACGAAGAGGGCACCGATGTTGCCAAATCGGCAGCCGATGTTGTCCTTATGCGTCCTAACCTTGCCGGCATCCTCACTGTCATTGCAGTCAGCCGAAAGGCGATGCGAAGAATCGTCTTCAACTTTGGCTGGAGCTTTGTGTATAACCTGTTTGCCATCCTGCTCGCCGCGGGGGCGTTTGTCAACGCAAGGATCCCCCCTGAATACGCCGGCTTGGGCGAGCTTGTCAGTGTCTTGCCTGTTATTGCTGCAGCCACGCTACTGAGATGGTCCAGTATCCAGTCAAGTAGCTACTCGTGATGAGATGGGGGTTTTGAGGCGTCAGTGTGACATCGACACAGCATCTCTCTCCAATATCGCGTCAAGGAGCAACTTCATGCACCTGCGCACTCTGTTTCTTTCTTTGCCTACTTCTTTACTGCATGCATTTGATCTGAAGATGCAATGAGCATCTTGCATCTTTGCACCCGATCCGAATGCGCAAGTGAAGTGTGGCGTGAGGGTAAGGATTCAACATCCTACCCAATTATTAAGTGTTTTTTTTTACTTCTTCGCTCTACTACATAGGCCTATATACTTGAATCATATTTGGAGAGGCTTCTCGCTCTTCCTTTTCAATCTTCATAAACAGGAGAATCTGATTCCTCGCTTGGCAGATTCTCATTCAATCGGATCAGCAGATCTTTTAACTTCTCGCGATTGTGCTTCCAGGTGGCGAAGTCCTCCACTTCTTGATCGCGTATAGACGGTGTTACTTGATTGCCTTGAGCGTCTTTGAGATAATCTGGAATCTCTTCATCTTTCGGTCGTTGATTAGGGGCACCGTAATTCTGCGGTCCATCACCTGTATGCCAGCTGAACGGTATGAGATGCTTCTTCTCCACATGTGCGCGAAGAGACGTCGCATCGGGGAACTGATTAGGTGAAGTGCTTTGTGCACATTTCCCCCAATGGCACACGAGCGGCGCTTTCCGGCAATGAACTACGGAGACATGGCGTCGTAGCGTATCCAGGTTGTGAAGCTCGGCCTTGCAACCGCTCCATTCACATAAAAATGCAGTAAACGGGGTTGGCAGGGACCGGTAGACTTGCCAGGGTAGAGGGGATGGAGCCTTGGGCGGTCTTCCGCGGCGCTTTGGAATACCCACTGGGATAGGCTTTGGTTTAGATGGCCGACCAGGTCTCCCTGTTCTCTCTTTGGCAGGCTTTTCTGGAACAGGGCCTCGTAGTGAAGCGTAAGACATGCCGGGTTTCCAACCTTTGGGTCGTCCACGACCGGCACTAGGCTGAGAGGCTGGAGCTGGCACTGAAGTTGTAGTTGATGATGCAGTTGCGGTTGCAGGCGTTGGTGTTCTTATCAGCTGTTTGGGAAGAGGTACTGGTGTAGGAGCTGCCACCGATGTTGCCACCGGTATAGCTGCTGGTGTTGCTGTTCTAACTAATGGTTTTGGCAAAGGCACTGGCGTCTGAACTGGTTTTGCCGCCGTTGTCGGCGTTGATGCCCTAATAAAGGGTTGCGGGATAGGTACTGGCGTTTCCTTCTTTGCGCGTGAAGCTAAGCTAGGAGCAGCCCGCTGTGATCCTGTTGCTGCCATGTTTCCACTCCCACTTTCGCTCTCGGCTTGCGACCACGAGGATTTGCTCATATGGGCCGGCGCCTGCAGGACTATGGCAATTCGCGACTGTCGCGGCTCATTCTTTTCGGCAGCCCTGAACTGAGCAGGAGGCGCTGTGAGCAGGGGGTCGTCGCGATCCCTGCTGCCAGAGCGGTTGGACAGCCGTTGCGAGGCGGAGCTGGAGGGCCTTTTGGGGGCCATTTGGCTGCTCCAGAACTCGATGGGATCCATCATGAGCTTTTCGCCCTTGTCTGGAACGCTGTTCATGACGTCTCGGTGAAGGTTGAAAGTGGGAAAGAATAGAACAACAAAGGCGATTGTGGTTGGAAGAGTGAGTGAGAGTGAGAGCAGTGACATCGAAAATAGCCTGGCGCTAGACCCATCTTTTGCCATTTTGGGATTTCGCTGATAGGCGATAAGCCGTGCTTGTACCAATGTACATGTACATGTATCTTCGAACTCCAGGGTACAGCCATTTTCATATTGAGTATTTTGACATAATAAAATGGTAATCAGAGAACATAAGAGGTTGAGTAGAGTGGAACTGCGTAATGGAGGCATTTGTTAGCCACAAACTATGATAGCAGATGCCGCGTTAATTCACATCCACATCGGCCCTTTGTCGGAATTGAAAAAGTGTATTTCTTCCTTGCTCCTACCTAAAGTTCATATTGACTGCATATGAACCTACTTATATAAATGGAGACGAAGCCCCTTATTATAATCCCCAATGCAAAGAACCTAGAAGCAGCGGCATACACTCGGGATTTCCTGTTCTCTTCACCGAGACTCGGAGGGTTTCTTGCAACAGGGTGACACACACTCGTCAGTTATGAATCACTCCAAACGCAAAAAGATCTCTATGGGATCTGACAATGGTTCTTGAAGCTAGCGTTCTTGAGAGTCCCTCTAAGACGTAGAAATCCTCCTCCTTGGGTCGTATTGATAGAATAGCAAACACTCAAGTCTTACGCTGTTGGTGGAGAGCCGTGCCAGGTCACATTGCCGCATCCACCAAGCGATATCGATTGATGCACGCATGATAGATCGAGTGAAGCATTTAAGACTGAAAAAGAGTTGCACTGCTACACACATGTATATTCCATGTCCCTAAAAGAAGATTGGAAAAACGAATGACACAAAAATACTGCTCCTTTGCCATGAAGCCCCTCTCCCAAACCAAATTCAAGCCGCTGAAGACCAGAGATGCCCGCGGCCTTCCAACAATTTACGTATCTGTGCATGTAGTTAGTAACAGAGTTCATACATGACTTCATGTAGAGCACATACTTCTGCTTTCAGAGTGGGGTTTCCACCTAAAATCCTAGAAACCGAGCCACTGATCGATGGTGCGTTGGTTTTTGGGATGTCTCGAGGCGCTCATGTGGACCCGTTGTAGGAAAGCTTGCTGAGAACCTAAATATATATGATTTTCTTTCCTTTGTCAGCCCCCGCGAATGTCACGAGTAGGCTGGTAGGGTGCGGCGTCAAGGAAACTCCGAAGAGAAAGCATGAACCCGACCCCCTCTCACCCCTTTCATCCCTCAGAAGGATGACATAGGTCGTCAACAGCATTGCTGGAAGCTATGTGCAATGCCTCGGTTGTGCTTTATCTTCACTGGGACTCCGGGGGATCATCTCAGGGGTCCCTATCTTGAAGCCCGTCAATGATGAGAAACTCCTCCTAGCGCAACGAAGATCTTCAAGGATCCGATGACGGCTCCTGAAGCCAGCGTCCTAGAGAGTTATTCTGAGATGGGCTGCCACTCTTTTCATAGGCAGGCGCTGAGGGTAAATGTGTCCAAGTGGTATTTCGTTGCGTCGGCATGAAGGGGTCGTCGACTTGTCCAAGTGTCACGAAGAAGCCGATCGGAAGAGCAACAAAGGTATGGGTAAATATACAGAGTGGTTGAGAAGAAACTAACGAAGATTGAGAGAAAAGGACGAAGAGGGTCAAAGAGCGAGTTCTCATTGTTTATAAGTCTGCGCTCTCTTCAGATGCAACTTCCTGTCGCGGCTGGACTGTCATCAGTCTTAATGCAAGAGCACCCAAAAATCGCATAGCATAGATAAGTTCTTACATCGTTTCTACCTTACGGATTAATGTTTTAGCAAACAGAGTGATTTTAGCTGCGAGTTCGACTTCCTTAATAGAGTACGTTGTTCGGGTCGGAGGGCAGTGGCCAGCGATGGTCTGGCTGGGATCTTCTTTCTTGCTATGGTAGCACCCCTTCTTGGTGAATTGGGGGGAAAGGATGAAAAGATTCTGTGAAATAGTGTGTAAAATGTTTGGGGAGATACATCTGTAGTTTTGAAATCGAAAAATAAGGAGCTATTCCCAGTGAAGATAGGATTATGTAGTCCAGACTTTGGAACAACCTGAGTATTAATCATAGACACACAACACGGCCTTTGATAGGAGCGGCTTTCAAATGAGGTTTACGAAATGACTAGGAAATCAGAATGGAAAGCAAATTGTATTTATGAAACATTAAACCGCACGCATTCGCTCCTTACACTGCTAAATAGGCAACAATCTGTTCTGAGTGAAAGGGAAATACATAATTAGGCTCGATATATTTTGTGAATAACGGCCATAATAAGAACACGAGAATCGACATTTCCCACCCATAGATGTCCAAGCAGTAGAAAGTTACATGAGGAGTCTAGAGGGTCCCCCCTAATCTTCATATCCTGTTCACCCGCGCAAAGCCATGGAGACCTAATTCAATAGTCCTCTCAGCTGTTGATATTAATCCGAGTTGCCTGGTAGATTGAATCCGCCTTGAAACTCATGAGCTGTTGTATGAATATCCTTCCGATGACGGTAACATTTAAAACAGAGCTTATAATTCTTGCAGGTTGAGCACCAGTACACTGCACCAAGAAGATCCTAAAGTTTTTTTTTCTGTTAGAGATTTTGAATCGAACTTTTTGAGAACGGTTAGATGCTTACCGAATGGCAGCCACGACAAGCTCCAAGATGTAGATGGCCCTTTTTCTCTTCGCTGTCTCCCACTTCCTCCTCGGCAACGGGCTGATCCATGAGCAGTTCTTTAACTCTACCCATAGAATCGGAAAAGATGGCAATGTCCAGTGGTTTCCACATCTCATTTTTATCGCCATGAACTCTCACAGACTTGCTGGCTCCTTTTTGGAGGAGGAGCTCAATGATTTCTACCTGAGCTGCACGACGAAAAGAATTGAATTTAATAGCACGTTTATCGCGAGCTGCCCAGCATAGAGCGGTCCAGCCATCATTATCAGCTGCATCGATGTCTACGTCAGGTTGAGAGAGTATCAGACTGACGGCTTCAGTGTTGCCGTTTTGTGCTGCCCAGTGTAGGAGGTTGCGACCCGTCTTATCAGTGGCATGAATATCGCACCCGAGGTTGAACAAGTGCTGGAAGCAGTCGGACCGTCCGATGGTTGCCAGATGAATTGGCAAGTGGCCTGCGTCATTGGATAATTCATATTTTGCGTGGTATTTCTCGATGAGTAACTTCAAAATCTGTGAGCTACCCCGAAAACAGGCAAAATGAACGGCAGTCCCGTCAATCGTCCCGTGCAACTCATAAAGTTGGTTCACATCCACTTTGACAACTTCCATGAGGTACTGAATCACTTCACGCACGGCATCGTCGCCAGCCGGGCTGGTGCAGGCAGCATGCAGGAGGCCCCCATAGCCATCGTCGATGGCAAGGTCCGTCAATGCTTCAGATTCGTAGAGCCGCTTCACGATCTTTGCATTTCCTATCTCACATGCGCATTGGAGTGGTGATATAGACGAAATGTCGGCAATGTTCGGATCAGCACCCTTAGAGAGCAAATGGCCGACTAGGGAAAGGTTTTTTGCAATTATAGCACGCATAAGTGGTGTATAGCCGAACCTATTCTTGGCGTTTATATCTGCACCAGCATTAAGTAGCCTTCGGACATCATCTCCGCTGGGCAAAGGCGTCTGGGCCAGGCAATGAAGAGCTGTGTCCCCATCTTTATCAGCCATTTTAACATCACCACCGTGTTTAAGGAGTAATCTGATCATTCCTGTTGTTCTGGCAGTATGCAGAGCTGTTTTCTTTAGGTTATTTTGGTAATTTACTTCAGCGCCGAGGTTGAGAAGACACTCAGCAACATCGAACTTTCCCTGACCCACGGCCGCCATGAGTGGCGTGATATCAGGCCCTTTCGACGGCAAAAGATCAACATTTGCACCATATTTTGCGAGTGTCTCGATGGCATGGAGCTCAGAATTCATGGTGGCGTAGTGTATCGGAGCCTGCCCGTCGTCGTCATATGAATCTGCATGTGGTTCGGGTACGCGCTGCATTACCGACAGCAAGGCTATAGGAGAGGGAAGAGATAATTGTATCATAGATCTTCCCTTCCATCCTCTTCCACTGACACTCGCCCCACTATCCAACAAAAATCGTACTGTTTCGACGTTTCTGTTGGCTGCGGCCTTGAACAGGGCTGACTCTCCATGCTGATCTCTCCAGTTTATATTTGCCCCTTTCCTCAGCAAGATGTTACAGCACCACACATTTTCGAACTGTGCAGCGAGCATAAGCAGAGAATGATCATTGTACGTCTCGTTTGCGTCGACATCGCTCGAGATTAACCGCTGGAGAGCTTCCGAGAATCTTTTTGGTGTCTCCGTTGCCGGTGACGGACCCCCCTTTTGGTCTAAGAGTCCAAGTTGCAAACCAGTATCGACTAGATATTTAAGGGTGATAGCACTGGCACCTTCATGAAAGCAATCTTGGGAACTCATTTTCTCAGTCATTTTGACAACGTATTTGTATTTGCGCCGTTCGTTTGTCAGAAGTGTTTCTGCCACTGCTTCAAAGTGATTCGAGACGTTGTGATTGAAGTGAAATGGAACGAAGATGAAATGCAATGGAATGACAGGACACAAGAAGCGCAAGTGGTGCCTTTTATAATGGTATTTGCTAAGCACCTAGTATAATTTCGTGTGAACTCGGCGCCTCGTATAGAATCTTCCCACAAGAGATTTGCCCCTATTAGAGAGGATAGGGTCTGAAGGATTAAAGAGGCTTTAGCTCACCTGATTCAATTTTAAGCGCGAGATCAGGAAATTGACGTTTATTGGCTCTTAGCATCTCTTACAAGACACAATGGAAAATGTACCCTCAAAGGGTGAGGCTTTGTTTAACAACGCAGATGACCAGGTCCTAGACGACGAACAAAGGGAGATTCTCTGCGTTGAGATTGGCGTGTTGCTATTGTACGACAAAATTTCTCGTATCTGCAAAGTCTAGAGATACTCCTTACCAACGAATGGCAGCCAGTGGTCATCTTGGGGGCGACAGGACGTTGTACATAAATTTTCTTTTTCTCTAGAAGGGAACAGAAGGTGGCATATTACGGCATTTGATTTGCCATCGGGTCAGTGGGCATAATTGCCACCAGGACTTCGAATTGCCAAGCGGCGGCTAAAATATACACATAGCTTTTCCTTTGTTTTCATCGTCGTCGACTTCGCCGGCGCTCCCAGTAGGGGGCTCTCTCTGATTGAGAATTTGACTCTGTAGGGTTTGAGGAATAATTATCATCAAAACGACCTAGATCGTCCTCCTGTTCGCTGTATATTTTTCGACGTATCGGTTCTCTTGGATCGAAGGAATAACCGTCGGAAAAGTGATTATCCACTCGGACATACGTTGGATTGCGTCCTGTTTTTCTCGAGTCTGAGGAGTACTGGCCGTAAAAATCATCATTTGTTCTGTAGTACGCCCTACGGCGTTCCTGTTCTCCTAAGCTTGGAGGGGACTGGTAGTAATCATCCTCATCCTCATCTGATTGCTGCGGCCAGCGGTATTGTCTCTCTCGGTAGCCTGGAATATTTCGGGGATGCATTACCTGTTCTTCTTCATCCCTTCTATGATGTCTTGATGAACTATTTAGCTGATAATATTGATTCCCCTGTTCATTCCGCTGTGTTCGTCTTGTGTTTGATGAACTAAATTGCCGTGCTCTTGGCTCTGGAACTTCTTGCATATATAGCTGAAGACCTGTTTCTTTAGCGAATGTCATAACCGAGTATGGTTGATTTCTGAAATTTAGAAAAAATCCTTGTACTGCTTTATCCTGTATCTGATCCAGAAACCTTCTTTGACTTTGACCAGTGGTTGCCTCGGAGAGGTACGCATATCTAAGACAGTATTTCCACGATTCAATATAGTCAAACCAGGCCACTTTCAAAGAATCTCGCAGGCGGAATATTTGTGTGTCAAAATCCACATCTTGGGCCCAGTGCTGCCCCTGATAAATTACAGGGTGCGCCAGAAGATAATGAGGGACGCTGATGTACCTGCCAGATTTGAATATTGACAGGATATAAGCAAGCCAATCGAAACTCGAGGATGAGGCGGACATCATTGTTAACCAGAATTTTGAAATAAATGTGTATCCGTTCTCTCGACAAAGGTTTCGGTCATGTTGAAGAATAGCCTCGCTCGATCCAGGCCTGCTAAAGAACTCTTTCGCCGTCTGATGCATGAATTGCACTGTAGTTTCATCCAAGACCTCGATTATACCACCACAACGGCTCTGCAAGCGCCGGCGTGTAGCGGTTAGAAAATCGTAAGAATAAGGGTTAGATGGCAATTGCTTCGCTGATTCAGATGGCGAAGCTCCCAAAGCGGTTATCAAAATAAGGCCCAAGTCTCGTAGGCCCAGAGTATGTTCGCTTCGCAAGACAGTTTCGATCAATACATAACTCTCAAATCTGTATTTCAAAGGAACGCGGTCGATAAGCCTTTGGTATGTCTTATCGAGATCGTCAGGAAACGATGACAGTACCTCCATTAACTCCCCTGGCATGGCGCCATCAGTGCAGGCATTGAGAATCTCATCCAAAACGAGACGGACCCAGATAAAAACTCCTTCTGCACGAATGATGAGGGCATGTTTCAAGGACTCAAGAGTATCATTGTTCTCTCGTTCCTGCTGCCTCATCATATTTCTCATCCGTATGTTTGTCTCAAAGCGACCGTCAATGTATCGCTGAATATCCTCTTGCGTATATTCATGTACTTTGCATCCAGCTGCATTGCCAAAGACATCGCGAAAGGTATTCCAAGGTCGACTAGAGCAGCATATCTTGATTTTGGTTGCTGATTCGGCTCGCGGTCTCACCAGGTCATTTATGAAGTCCGCAATCATTTGAGGCTCACCATCAAACTCATCCAACGCATCAAGAAAGAGGAGAATTCTTAAAGGTAGCTTGGTTTGGTTGAGAATGATGTCGAGAGCCTCACGCAAAAAGTGAAGAGACCACATGGGGCGTGACTTCTTTGGACGAGAGGAGAACATGGGGAGAATCATCTCTACAATCTGTTTCTCACGGCGCATGAGCTGATATAATACGCGGTGGAATAGACCCTCGAGAGATTTTTGCATGGCCGAGCCACGGTCGTGAAAGAAAAAGTCAACTATGATGTGTGTTGCTTCAGGGTCCTGTTGTCCGAAGAAATTTGAGGTTCGGGTATCCTGCCGAGCTAGCTTCATGAGCGTGGATTTTCCAGATCCGGGCTTCCCACTAATCCAGTATATTTCTTCCGAACTTTTTAGCCACGAACAGAAGCCTAGGTCTTCGTCGTCGAATATCCATTCAAAGGTTGATTTGTATTGTGCTTCGATCTCATTCAGCCTGTGCCCAGTCTCTTCAATATTAAGGCTATCAATCAATTCTAAAAGTATAATGAGCGAGTGAACATATTAAATGGCAGAGATACACACCTTCAATTTCCTCATCCTTAGAACTGATTTCGTCTGCTGATGGATCAAAGTGTACAGGAGCCCTGCTCTTTTGGGATGCATGCGAAGTAACATTGGTACCTATGCTATGCATAAAGGTGATAATAGCTTGGCAGTCCTGGTCATCAACTCCAAACTTGACCAAATTGGAATGGTCTTCGTCAATTGGTATATATAGTTCCGAGTTCTTCTGAATAGCGGACGACTTGTTGACGAGGAGGTCTGGCGGACCATCTCTTCGCCATTGACCTTTGTCATTCTTCTACTCCAAGGCACGTTAGATGTGATGGCCGTCAAGATTAAAATGGGCGTATACCTTTGTTGTAGCAGATCTCTTTGTCTCATATGCTGATAGAATTCTGATATTCTGATAGGTGGTGACTCCTGAGAAATGTTCATCCAAGGTTTGTAGGTAATCTGAGCTTGTAGATAACAGATGCACGAGATGTGCATTTGGTCTATCTTCCACCATTGGAAGCAGATGTGAAACCTTCATCCCATGATTTGGTACACCGAAAAAAACAATACCACGGATCGAATGCATCATAGAATTACTTGACTCGCCGGTGCGAGCCATCATGACCATTGCTTGCTTCAAGACAATACCACCTAGACTATGAGCAAGTAAGAGGAGAGGTTTGGCAAAGGGACTTGACGCCCCAATTGCCTTGAGTTTAGTGATAAGAGCAAGTGCAATGTCATCAACACCCTTAACTGACTCAGATCCGATGAGCGATGTGTCGTACCCGTAAATAATGCTCCGGACAGTAGGCATTTCCTTAGGAAGGCGATCTCGGAGCCACATAAAATTGGACCGAGAGCCACGCTGTTTCCATGAGCCGAACGGGTGGCTTGCCAGACCAGAAATAGCAATGCAACTTTAATAAGCGTTAGGAGTTTAGTTAAATCTTATAGGTTAACTCTTGGATGCATGACTTACTCCATCACATGTTCGTCTGGAGGAACATCGTTTAACGGCGTAAAGTCCTGGAAGTGGACATCGACAAGTATGTCTCTTAAAAGCCCCGCGGTTTGTCCAGGAATGGTCCACTGACTATCATTCGTATCAAATGCAGGGGGCATGTGATCGAACATTACGGTTGCGACTTTGGTCGCCGGGATCTCCAAAGGGTTTAAACTGGTTGCCAGCGAAAACACTTTGACATCCTCAACAGAAAGATACGGCAAAATGCTGGACAGGAATGAGGCGACTTGTCGCGGATAAATTAAAAAACATGGAAGCTGTCGAACTCGATACGTCCTGGCATCGTTGCCAGCCGACATTCTGGTGTAGTATGTTCAAAAACTCTTGGCACAGAAACTCTGCAACATTCAGGATACAAATTTAGGACAAAGGCAAGTGAGGCTGAATGGAGAGGGAGTTGTGTGATGTCTGTCACATTATTCCGAGCCTAGGTACTTATGCTGGGTTCATGCAGGTTGTCAGCAGGACCAGCCATTCAGGCAAGGTTGAATCCTGGGCTATCTTGGCCAATTAGGATCGAATGAGGCGGAGTCGCCCAGAGCGGTGAATTGGTAACGGCATGCCTCTTATTTAAAGACGACATTGAAATAACTGTTGGCATGTCATCTACAGAATCACAATCTCTATGTTCTCTGGATATAGATTGCTTGCTGATTCTAAGCCGGTATATCTATGGGCCCTTGCCCATGCAACAAGATATTCGCGCATCTATTGCACCAATTAACGCTGCTTCTATACTGACCTTGGCCGAAGCACATTGCACACGATTGCGTGGAATCAGGTATTGATTTCTCTAATTCGCTATATACAGGCAGCTAATAAAATATTTACCTAAGATTGTAAAGCAATAACGCGCCATACTAAGCATCTACGACCATAGGGTCGGATTCCCGTCGAGTTCTCTCTCCTAGTTTCCTGTCTTCCATCCTCTGTTAGCTAATTGGCTTGTTTTCAATTCGACAAAGCATTCTTTCAAGAATACATGTATGGCTAGGCCAATATATAGGAACACTGTATGGCCATCAGCCACGCTATGGCCATTGGTAGTTACAATTGTATGAGCTCGATGAAACTGTCGAGATCCAATTGGAACACATGAGATCAATTGGAAATTTACCCTCAAGACGACTGAGTCGAGTCTACAAGCATTGCGAGTAATCTATATTTCCGCGATTAGTATTTCAAAGGCCTTTTGAAGCTGTTTGACATTGGAATATACTAACAGTCATTGTTGTACTGGCAAGTAGTGCCTGCTGTGCAAGTGGTGCAGCCAGTGTAGCCTTTACCACCGCACTGGCCCCAATGGGTCTGGGTGCAGCCTGGGGCACTGGAGGTAGTCGTCCTGCTTGAAGTGGTGGAGGTTTTCAGGGTTGTGCTGGGAGGAGGAGGAGTTGAGCCGCCGGAACCGGTAGTCGAGCCGATGTCACCCCATCGAATGTTGGAAAAGATGACATGAGTGGTCGGGTTGTTGGCTACAATGTTGGCCGGGTTGCCCTCCGTGCTGCTGCAGGGGCCGTTGTTGCCGCTGTCCAGCCAGTTCATGTTTCCGCCGTTATCGTTCCAGATGCTGAATACCAATACCATTCCGCGAGCCAGAGCCTGGCCCATGGTTGTGAGTCCGCCGTAGGCTGAGGCTGACGAACAAGACGAGATAGTGTCACCGCCGGATTGAGCGCTCGGGATGTCAACACCATTTTGCCTGTATTTTCGTGTGATGCTCACGAGATTTCCGGAAGGCAAGCCGTTGTCCGTGTTGAACTGTGTAATGATGGTAAAGACCTTGGAGGTATCAAGCGTTCCTCCAGGGGCCCAGTAGCTAGGTGTAGCATGTTAGCTATACTCAAGTTTGACTCTCAGAGAATAGCAATGAAATGACCAGAGAGGAAGGAATCAACTCACTTGTGGAATCCATTGGCGTAAGGGTTAAAGCCGCAACCACTAGAGTCACAGGCCGTGGCCGTACAGGAATGGGGGGTGAAGGCATTAGCCTTGGAATTGGCCTCCAAGATATCCATCTCGTTACAGCAGTAGCCCGAATGGTCGGTGTTTAGAGTACCATTCTTCCAGGTCTGGACAGGGCATTGAGCATCGCAATATCCGCTTCCATAGTTGGCGCCTGCTGTGTTGTACTGGTTGGCACCACCATTTGCGGCCATTTCAGAGAGATAAAGAGCTCCATTTTCTCCACAAGGTAGAGTTGAGAGGTCGACATCAAAGCTCAGCTCTTGCCCGTTCAACTTCAGCGTCTCATAGTTCCCATCAGACCCCAAGAGATAAAGCCGAGGGGATACGCTGTTATATCCACCAGAGCTGCTGGGCATGTATTGGTTCATGGTGAGGGAGCTGCCCGAGACCGTGACACCTGAAGCGGCATAATCAACGCCCTCGATGAAGCAATTGGCGCCACAGGTTGCTTCATTGGGGCAGAGAGTAGAATTAACACCACCGTTGACGGTGCACGAGTTGAAGTTCTTGTCGTGCATCCAGCGGTAGTTCCAATCAAGGACGACGGAGGTATCCTGGGCCACACATCCTCCGGACGTTGTGCACTTATAGGTCGTTAACTTGGGATGAACTTCAGGAGTGCTAGTTCCAGGCTGCTGGGCTGCAGCAATCTGGGCAATACATGAAACCAAGATAGCTGCGGCCAGCGGCAGAGTACTTGAGAGAGCCATTTTGGAATTATATGGACTAAGAAAAGAGACTTTGGCAAGTCCTAATGGTAATGATTTTGAGGCGAATATAATGAGAAGCTGCGGCCCTTTTAAGCTGTTTCCCACGCAGCATGGGTGATTCGAGACGGTAAATTACATTACAACTATTCTATTTGAAGAAACTGCTGATTCCTAGTGCCTTCCTTTTGTTAGGCTATGGGAATTGGTAATAACCTTCAAGACCCTATAGGTTGGCCCGGAATATCTGACTAGATTTTGCCGTTTTCTGCAGGCCGAATGCTACCATCATATAGAGGTTATATACATACAGTATGTTTGAGTGATTAAGCTGCAACAGCTAGTTCGATATAAAGGCTATACACAATCCTTGGATCAAAATACTACCGTTGTATAGCCCTGCAATTAATATGAAGATAAGGAAATTAAAGAGGGGCCAGAATTTCTTCCATTTGTTGCCCTGAGCCAATTAGATTGACTCAAGCCTTTTGTTCTACATGTAACCTATGTTACCTTTAGCAATCTCGGCAAAACTCATATTGGCGACAGTCGAATGACGGGTAAAAGGAAAGGTAAAAAGAAAGTAAGAAACGACAAGGGGTTCATAGAAATTTGCTAGGCTTATTGTAATAAAATTATTTAGCCTGATTGGCTAGGCTTTACTCGCCTCTATGAACTATATAGTTTCTAATATAGATAAAACGATCAGCTCCGATTTCCTGAAACATCATCTTCCACTGGACCTTCCGTAACGAATCTGGCTGCGATCCGTGCAACCAGGCCCAAAGGCAAAATACCCGATCAAACTTATCGATCAACCAAACGCAGGAAAAGGTAGCCAATACAATCTAATAATGAAATATATGTATTTCGTTCTCCGGCTGTCGCTTTAGCTGTACCAGGCAGCGAGCGAAGCCGGGCCAGTCAACGTTGTAGCTGGCCGGCCCGATCAATCTAGCCCCGATCGATCAAATCTACTTGTACATACTTAGCCAGGCCAATCTACGTAGCCGGATTCTCCGAATCTACGCTTATATCTAAACCATATTTAGATGATGCACGTATCTGCATATCAATCCATGCGGTCTTTGCCATACTTTACATAATCTAGGAAGAATTAAAAATAAATATTTATTGCCTCGCCATGATCAACATCGATGTGGGCTAGTGTAGAGAGATTGCTGTAGCCATAGAAGAACAACGAATGAAGTCTGCCCAAGATATTCGACTAGAGAGACTCACAATTTTTCTTGCATCTCTCTTAATTCGCCGGTGCGACCCTGATTTCAGTATATCGCCACGAGAAATATCATGCTTTCAGTGTGCGTGTAGGGGTGTTCCACCCAATCGCATGACGACTTTGCCAAAGTAGCTTTCATCTGCGCCGGCAATTTTGTATGAGATACCTCGTTAAGGCGTGTATGTCTCTGTATTCCTCTACCAATTTCTATCATCACGCCATCGGACACCGCGATTTCTTTCAACGGTAGCGTCGTACTATCGTAGTTTGACTTTTGAACTTGGTCGCATTTTCTGCCGCCGCGATATACTAGGTAGGGACTGCACCTTCAAGGTTTTGTCCACAGTGGATTGAAGATTTGATGCAAACTTTCCTGACCTTGTCGACCTTTCGCTGACCGTAGTATGCATGCTCTGCTGCGCGAGTTTAATGTCTCGGCACGGCATGCAACGCAATTGATCAGCAAACCAATGCAGGGTTCAAGTAAAATGGAACCGGTCATTTGATTTGCGACAATGCTGGCCAACGAGATGTTTTTGACGCTGCTGACCACTTGCTTGCGGTGGAAATGGGTGGTGGATATGGAAGCCACTTCGTCTACTACGGCGATGCCTCGCTGGCAATTATCGTTCGACCGGGGGGAGGACAACGCTTTTTTACACTCAAGATAAAAAATCAAGGCTATCAGCCGTGATAACAACAATAAAATTATGGAGAGAAACTCGATAGTGGGATGTGGTGGGAATGCCGTGACCGCTTGCTGTCATTTAGGGCAAACAAGCCCAATTTACTTCTTCGAACAGCGCGGTTTTACGGCTATGCAGCTTGCGGGAGATGAATTGACAGTAACTACCTATGAGACTTCATTTACTTCCATATTGAAGTCGCAGAGTAGTTTCGCTTTTTGTTAAGAACTGGTTGATTCATTCAGCGGTATGGTGTATCTTTGCTCCTGTTTCTGCTAACCAGATAACAGAGACATGGACTCAATCTACCGGGAGAACTGCTACGCGTACTGCCAAGGCTACCCCATAAATTTCTTCGATCTAACAAGTCCCTCTCTTGCCGTGGTGAAAAATTGCGGGCACCATTGTTGAGACCATCGCAGCGGTAGCTACCAGTGCCTTCCCTGGGCGCCTCGGCGAGACTGGAAGTGGCGCAACTCACAGGCTTGGGTCTCTTAGAGGCCACAGCAACCGCGGCATCGGCGGCGGGTGCTGTTATGTCTTCGAGTGTAGCTAGAAACATGGCGGGAAGCGTTGTCAATAGCCCATTCAACGCAAATTTTGGAGATTGATGGGATTGTTCTGCCCAGAAAGGCACCGCCGCCCTCTTTGGCCGGCCATTTGTGCAACCCCAGACGGTTATGGCCTTTGTGGCTGCTCTCGTCATAGGAGTTTTAGCAACCCGCTAAGGAAGCCATCTATACTATCAGCGTCTCTACGAGCGGGAGTTGGCGCGCAGACGTCCTCCTAGCCTAGCGCGGGAGATGGTTAGTATTAAAATAAATGTGGTGAGTGCGAGAATTCAGCCAAACAACAATAGAAAACCCTTGGTGGCGTATATGGTTGTCAGAACATAGAGATGAACTTACTATCTGGTAGTTGAAAAGGTGCTGCATCTTATAGAGAGGAGCACTGCATTTTCTACCCCAGTTATGCTGCAGCGTGTTTCTCAGACAAGTCTCTCTATCAGCTATATATGACCAAACACTTTGTCGTGTACACATGGTGAAACTGCTTCGCAAATTGTTGCTCCGGCCCCAAAAAGGGCTCCGCGCCGTGTGGGGCCGATCAAACCTCGGCTTCCGGCCCGGAACAAACGAATCCACCCGTAAATTGGCAGTGCGGGGAGGGTGACTAATTGATAATGAATAATGGCAGCTTTTGCTTGATGCGTTTCGCTGCATCTTGAGATTTGATGACGCCATTGGAGCTCAGGTTGGCAATGTTACGCCCCGAGCCGATGGAGCTGTAAGAGCGTCGAGCTCGCATGTCAGATTTCCTGTGCGGCGATCGAGTCAATTAGTGATCACACCACTTCAACTCACTCCATGGAAAACCCCTAACTACACAAATGGAAATGGAGAGCGCGATGAAACGAATAGAAAAAGATTCCAGATGAGCAAAAGATGCCACCCCGCACGCCCAACTCGTCATCACCACCCTTACCCACATGCTGTATCTGGGCATAGTTGCTTTATAAGCCAGAAAATTAAAAATGGCACAATCACGTCCCCAACCCCCCATCCGGAACAAACCGCGTCAAGTGGGAAAGGGCAGATTTATCAGCGTTCCTATTGTTTCGTTGCTGTCGGTTGTGATGCGCTTGAAGACGCTGTCTTGCGCCATTCGTCGCTTCATCATCGCCATTTCTATATAAACACACTCTCATTTCACACTCCCACTCATTATATCACTCCAACTTCCTCCTCACCAACTCACCTCAACCTCACTCTCCCTTAATCCACCCACTCATCCAACTCTCCTCCCCCTCAAAACACACATTATGGCACCTCCATTCTTCGCCATCATCTCCGGCGTCGGCTCCGGCACAGGTGCCTCCGTCGCCCGCCGCTTCGCCCAGTCCTACGCCGTTGTCCTCCTTTCCCGCAAGCCCTCCAGCTACGAGCCCATCGTCGCCGAGATCAAGGCCTCTGGCGGCACCGCAATTGGCATCACCGCTGACGCTGCCGACCCGGCCGCCGTCGATGCCGCCTTTGCCCAGATCGAGAAGGAATTACCCGGATCTAAACTCGCAGCCGCCGTGTACAATGGCGGCGCGGGAATGGCCCGGAAACCCTTTTTGGAGCTGAAGCCGGCTGATCTAGATCTCAGCCTCAGCACCGCTGCGTGAGTTCCCCCCATGGCTTAATATGTCTACATCTCAGCTCAATTAAAGCAAACCTCCACTAACAAAAACATCATTCCCCCAACAGCAACGGCCTCTTCTACTTCGCTCAAAAGTCACTTCCTCTCCTCCTCTCAGCCGTTGACTCTGCCCCTCACCCTCCTTCTCTCCTCGTCACCGGCGCAACTGCTTCTCTCCGCGGCTCCGCCTTCTTCAGCACCTTTGCCGCTGGCAAATTCGCCCAGCGTGCCATCACACAGTCTCTGGCCCGCGAGTTCGGCCCCAAGGGCGTGCATGTCGCCCTGGCTGTCATTGATGGTGGCATTGATACCCCCTGGGGTAAGGAGAGAATCGTTAACAACGGTGTAGAGGATGGCAAGATCAGCCCTGATGCTGTAAGTGTTGTGATGAAAACTCGGTTTGTTTCCTGAGCATAACTAACAAGATGCAGATTGCCGAAAGCTACTGGCAATTACACGCACAGCACAGATCGGCTTTCACTCAAGAATTGGATATTCGCCCATTTGTAGAGAAATTTTAAGTAAACTATAGCGTTTGTGATATCATTAAACATAATAAACATACATACAAATACTCTTGATAGGTATTTTCGCAACTTGTGCGTTTGCCAAAAGAGGAGTCAAGGGTTGATCAAAAGAGCGTTATCCAGCACCCCCAACACCATATCTCGTAACATTCATGTCATAATAAATTGTTTGTTTTATCCATCCAATCAATTCGTACACGGGGTAGAAGAAATTCCAATGAAACCAAACTTTGAAAGATAAAGTAAACACGCACACAAACATAAAAGAAGCGACAGATCCAGCAATACGTAAAGGGTATTATACCTCCGTTTCCACGTCTGGTTTCCGCCCAGCCAAAGAGCCCATCCTTTTCACCTTGCGGACGGCGAACTTGGCTTCGTTCTTGGCAAACCGTGCATTGCGCATGGGCAACCACTGCATCAGCCCACGTTGCTTACGGTTCAAATCCCGGCTCTTTTCCCTGTAATTTTTATACGCTCTGATGGGATTCTTGCTTCCGGTGCTACCGGTGCTCTTCTTCGATGCGCCTGATGCACGGCTGTCCAAGGAATGACGCTCATCACTGCCCTCAGATGGGGCAGAGCCATACGTTGGGTCCGTTTCCGTCCTGCGCATGCCCACAACTCGATCTCCATCTTCGCCCTCCTCATCGTCGTCCTCATCCGTATCGACCTCAAAATGCTCATGGCCATTAGTATCAGCGCTGGACATGGGCTGAGCCATCGAGTTTTGCGGATCCTGGCCAAACGCTCCGGTCCAGTCAGTACCGTCCTTTGCTAACCAGCGTTCTTTTTCTCTAACGTCGGCTTGAGCAAGCACATCTCGACCCTGGGTCAGCGACTCGTCATGCAATTTCTGTGTTAATTCGGGGATTTCAGGCTGGACCTCCAGTTGTCGCACACCCTCGGCATAACAAGCTTCCCAAGTTTCGATTGTCTCGCGAGAATCGTTATCGGTGACAAACCTAATATGATCCAAGTCGGTGCCAGCAGAAAATCGACCCTTGAACCGAACCCGTCCAATTTCCTGGATGTTCGTATCGGGAATGGAGGCAAAGTTCTCCTGGGTGATATAGTTCTGTGATAGTCGCTGGGAATTGTCGCATTTCCACAGAGGAATGTCAAATTCCTTCTCCTGGTTGTCAACCAGCTCAAGTAGCCACAAGGAGGCAAACGCATCAGCCCCCCTCTTACCAGCTGGATAGAATTCCATAAAGATTGGAGATTTATATCTATAGCGTACTGGCAGCCGAAGCTTCTTCCCACCTTCGGGGGCGCCAATATTGAATGTCATGCCATCTCCTTCACGGACAGAGTGATCCCTCTTAACGTTGGCAGAGGAGCCTCCAGTGCGCAGTCTGATCCGAACCTTGCTTGATGGGGCGTAATTCGAGACCTGGATTGTGTCGGAGAGAAATTCAAAAGTTCCAATGTCCCAACCCAGTTGTGAAGGTGGTAGTCTGAGCTCGACGGAACGGAAGAGGAGAGAGATACGCAAACGCCCGAAGCCGATACCACCATCGAGAGGGTACCATCGTGTCACCTCGCTACTAGTCTGCATGATGTCTGACAACTTGAGAGGAACAACTCCGATGAGTGGATCGTGCTCTCTATTACGAGAGTCTCGAACTGCAACAGTAACAATGCAAGAGCGCCAGTCTCGGATAAATTTCTCGGTTCCGGCGTTGAAGATGGGCTGCGATGACACTACCTTGGTTCGTGTCTTGTAAACCAAATCATCATTGACGAGTATGGTGCAGTAGGAGCTCGGCAGCCTCTTGCTTTGCTCTTCCTTGACTTCACCAGCTTCCGGCCTTGCAGGTTCAAACTCTTTGCCCTTGCGGTTCCCCTGTGAGCCCTTGACATTAGCTAGCTCAAGGCCCACAATCTGGTGGACAACCACACTGAGGATTCCAGATGGCCAAAGAGGGTCAGGGGGTGTGTGGACCACAGAGTCCTCTTCTTCGTTCTGGATCGTGCCCCAATCCTCTTGAAATTCGGGTCTGTTGCCCAATTCCTTAACCACATTAGGATTATGACCATCGGTGCGAAGGGCTTTACGGAATTGCGCCTTTCCAAAAAACCCAACTTCCCAATGAAGCTCTCCTGGCATAACGCTCTCAGCTTTGAGGCCACTCAGCGTTGACACGTGCTGAAACATCTTTCCCGGGTGCTGGATGAGCTCTTGGATGCTTAGCTCAATCTTGCCTACCTCGTCATCCGCAGAAGACCGGTCACTATCCCAGAGCTCCACTGATAGCTGTTCATCAGCCTTAATGAGGTCGCTGGTAACCAATAGGCCGCAGCTCTCTTCGAAGACGGGATTGAGATTATCTTGGATGACTCGGGTACAAAACATGGGCTTTCCAAACTTGCTCCAGCTAATGGTGATGTACGGATCGGAGCCGCCGCCTTTGCTGCCACGCTGATCCTGTTTGCTGAGACCAGTAGCTTTGTGTATTCTAAGGAAGAGGATTCCAAATGCCTCCGTCTCCTTTTTGATATCATCTCCCTGTACCATTTTGCTGATATCCAAGGTCAAGCTTTTGGGAGCGACATACATTGAGGCTGCGGCACTAATAGCCCAATTAACGAAGTTGGAAATGAGGGGCAGGTTCAAGATATTGACACCTCTTTCGATCATTGGAGTACAGCCAGCTTGTACCTTGGGAACGCCCATTAAAGTTATAGTCATTGTCTTTAGGAAGGGAGGCTCGGGGCTCAGCTGTAGCCTAACACGAGCGGTAGCAACGAGGCCAATCAGCTCAGCCCATATTGGAAGGGGAACGCCAAAGAGGCCTTTGATTCCCAGGTAGAATACAAGCTGCATCCCCATGTTCCGCGCTTTCGAGGCGATGTCAGCACCTGAGGGTTTGGCGTGGTATGCGATCGAAACTTCCATGTTGTAGAACGCTCCAGCCTGTGACACGGCCGCAAGTTCATCTTCGTCCATGACTTTTTCATTTTCTTTGTGGATTTCGTCCTTGATGTCCTGAACGTGAGAGTCGGGCAGAGCTCTCATGTTGAGAATACGGATAGGGTTGTTTCCCTGGGAAATATCGGCTACTCGAACATTCTCAATAATACCGGGAACGGACGCGGCCATGACATCTTCGATACTACGTATGTGTTAGTCACTGCTTTGGTAGAAATGAAGATAGTAAAGGCTCACGTGTCAGCAACACCGGCAAACATTTCAGGGTTGATCATGCCCCAGAAGACGCCGATTGCGGTATTCATCCATTCAACAGACTCTGGAATCAGATTGATAGTAGCAGTTTCGCCACGCTCCTGCTCACTAGACCACTCCAGGTCCCGTCCTTGGCGGATCAGTTCTTTCACCCATAAATGGACGCCAGAGGTAACGCATATAGCCAGGGGAATCAGGCCAAGGAGCCGACCGCCAAAGAGCCTGCCAAAAAAGACAATGCCCATGAAGATTCCAGCACACAAGGCGTTTGACCGTAGCTCAAGAGAGTTGAACATGGGCTCATAACTGACCGACGGAGTTTTGTAAAACAGGACAGACGTCTTTTCACTGCGAATAGGCACGTCGGAAGTTGATCCCTCTTGGATCGGATCAGGAGGTGCAGTCACATCTTGGGCATAACGGTACTCTTCACCAGATTGCTGAGATGATGTAGCGATGGTGGCAGGTTTTCCCAGATTCCCATTAGGAACAGACATCTATTCGAAGGGTTAGTTGAACGTGAGATTATTGAGAGGCTCTCAAATTTGAATGAATGCATACTTGCGGATTTTCCACAGCTTCGGTGAAGTCCATATCCGCATCACGAATCTCAACGTCCTTTCCGGTGACTGGATCGCGCACTTTGCGTGTTCCCTTTTTCTTGAGAAGCTCATTGCGGTGGGTTTTAACATCGGGGTTACGCTTGTTGCGTCTGAGTTCGGCGTCAATTTCAGCATCTCGTTGCTTCTTTTCGGCGTCAAGACGCTGCATAAACTCCTGGATATTGGGCACACGATTGGTGGCGCTGTAGTGTTGCCCACCAGAGGGCACATGGTCGGTGGCATTCATGGCGCCGGCATAAAAGAGGGTTTGTCTCTAATTGAGATAGAAGAGACAACCGCTTTCTCGATTGATCTGATTTAACGTTGAAGACACCAAGTGGTTGTTGATGCTAGAATTCGGAGAATTTATCAAACTAGGTAAAATCTAGTTATGACAATGATGGGCGAAGCCGTAGATACATGTACTCGATTCCCTTCTGACAGCATCAACGGCAGCCACCACGCATTTGCAGAAGCCAACGCGGGGAACAACTCTCCTTGGCAAGAGCCGTAGAGCAAGACAACTGTCGAGATGGACAAAGTCAATTTGAATCGCTTCCATGGCGCCATCTTATTTGCACAACCCGGCCGTGCCGTGGCAATTGTCGACACAAGCTGTTGGAGCTGCAAAGTGATCCGCACACCTCTCTTCGATGACGTATAGTGACGGCCGCCACCAGCTAAAGAAGCGCATCAGACAAATTGGTGGGGATCTAGCTTCCAGCTCAAGCTGCAGATTAGCTGTCTTGTGCTTGGCAGCTCCAGTGTGTGTCCCGTCTTTGCAATTTGCAGCTGGGCAAACTTTGGCGGCCCTCGCGCTTTCGTCATACTGGCGATTGAGGCCACAGCGTTCGCGACTCGGGAATCCTCCCCCATCACGGCGAGATGGGTATTTACTGGGTGCTATTTAGAAGGCTGCGCACTGTGGGATTTCTTTGCTGTGCCGTGCTTTGCTTGGGCCTCTAATCGCAGGGGTTCCATGTTGTAGAGTTGCAACGACGCAATCGCGGGAATCAATCTAGCCAGTGATGATATTGTGCGTCGTGGATGATGCCACTCGGTTTCACAGCAATCATGGAAAAAGAATCGAAAAAAATCATGCTGTAAACCATGTCGCAAAGCGAAGATCGCCAAGCCTTGGGATCTCAGAAATGGGCTTGTTAGGAAGCGATCGGCTTGAGATTGCGTAGATGGCGGCGAGTGGGGAGCCGAAGCTTGGTTTCAAACTTGGCTGAGCCACAGTCCAAAGACTAGCCTGGCGAAGCCAAGGAGTGGGAGGATGAGAATTTCGTTTGCCGGAGTCCTTGTCCCGCGCCCACCGAAATGAATGGCTGGACACACATGATGCCCCTTTTTCGTTCGGTCGTTTTGATGCGGTTGGATCTGAGGTGAGGATTGCGTTTGGTGGATGTTGCTAGACAAGACAGAAGGAGAAAGAGGCACGATCGTTTCGGGAGTTTAGCGATGACTCAGCAGGGGCTGTCATCTACATGGAGGTACCTCTAGTAATGCACACGACTCGGAGTTGCAGGAGACAAGACGCCATTGCAGTGGGAGTGGTGAGATTAAAATATCATTGATTAGGAAAAGAGAGGCCATCTAGGTATCCTATAATAATAACAAGTCATAAACCAGTTCCAATTTTGCTAATAACAATGCGCATTTCCACCCATCGCATGGATGTTCACGATTCCTTCATGCTCGCTATGACTTCATCCACCCTAAGAGCTGCTTCAATGCTGTGCTGCAGTATCGAAATCTCCTCGCCAGTTAATCGTCTTCTCGTCTCTCCCACCATGCAGCTCATATCCTTCTTCCCGCCTTTTTCCCATTTGCCATCCATCATCCAGTACAATGGAACTTCGTACCCGTTCGGGTCCACCAGCTTGTTCTTCAGCAGACTGCCGTTATACCACAGGAGCTTGTCCTTTTCATCCGTATGCGCAATAACAAAGCTGCATACGGCCTTGTCATCCGGGCTCCCCTCTTTTTCCCACCCAACGATTGAGCCATAGTGCTCCTCAAATTCATACTTTGATCCGGCAAGCTCCAGCCCAAGCCACCACGTCTCCTTATCTCCGTAGGTGATTTTGTATGAAACTTCGTCTCGCACTGCCCACGTATTTTGCCATGCGATATGAAGTAGACCGACAAAGATTTCCGTTCGGGACTTGTCCAGGACGACAACCCCTGAGTCGCATTCTTCCGCATAGTCCTCAGTCCAGACGAGAGATTTATTCATCGCGGGTGAGGGCTCCTTGATCTGGTCTTTCCACCACTCGTGTCTGTCTTCGAAAGAATGTTGCCATAGTAGTCGATCGTGAAATAGATACGCTCCGTTTTCGACATACGCTCGCTGTTGGAAAAGCACTTCCGGGGATTGAAGGAATACTGCATCGGCGTCGAGGACAATGACGTGTTCGAACCTGGATGCTAGAGCCGCGAATGCTTTAATGGCCCAGCCTTTCCTCCGAAGACGCAAGGTGGCATCGTCAAACACGGTCCACACATCTAGAAACTCGGTATTGTTTGTTTTGTCGAACGATAGGAGGGCATCGCGACGCTCCTTCGGCAAGTCGGAATCCCCTGCGTAGGCAATTTGGATGGGCAACGAACAGCCAAATACTTCTCTGAGAGAAGCAATCAAATGTCCGGCAAATCTGATTTGTAGATCGCTTCCTCCGGCAGGAATGACGATCCCCCTTGAGTCTTTGGTGAATGAACGTTGCAAGTCTCGTAAGGGCGTCTTGCTACCTTGTTTTGGTGGCGGCGGGCTGAGAAATGGGAAGAGGGAGGTAGCCGTCGTCTCAATAGCTGTACCAAGCCTCTCTTTCTCAAATCCACGAAGTTGAGAACCCCAAGGGCCATTGAGTTCGGCAAGCCATCGACTCAAGTTGCGAGAGCGTTGTCCAACCTCCCAGAACTTATCTTTGTATGGGGGCTCCACAGGATGCCTGTGATAATTCCTTGCTGTTCTCAGGATGTCTCTGAGAGGTTCGTTGGCCGGATAATGAGAGTCCAAAGTCTCTATGATAGCATCGCCAGCGATGTCACGAATACCGACGTAGAGTGCAATAACAATGACAACAAACAGAACCACGGTTCTTGGCGAACGTTCAAAACAAGCGCGAAAACGAGCGAGAGATCCAGGCATTATGAGACGAAAAAGGCACAGAGCGGCGGCAATTAGAGGCTAAAAGACGAAAAAAGCAATGCCAAGAATGCTCGACGGGAGAACGATCGATCTAAAGAAACCTCCCCGCCATGGAGAGTGACATTTCTGGGCATGAGACACCTCGAAGAGTAAGACGAATCACGAGCTTGGATTACGAAATGACGGGCCAAGCTTTTGCATTTGCTTCTCTACTTTAGTTCGGAGTACACGTACTTGCAGCTGTCATGCCCATGCTACGGCGGCGCCACTTCTGGATCCTCAATGACTTGGCTTTGGCAGCCAAAGCTTTTCTCGTATTGCCTCAGTTCTATTTCTGTGCCGCGTCAATGGCACCCATGTCTATGTATTGGCCCCTGTCAGGTCGCATCTTCGTATTTACGAATAACGTTAATACTTTAACTTGTTCTTTTGTGATATCTTACAGCCCTTTTGTTTCACATTGCCGCGTAGCCCATCGGCGGTTCTCGGTCTGTCGGCTTACATCTTTCTGGAACGATAGTATACGCAATGACCACGTACTGCGCCACGCACCCACATTGCCAACACGGGGTTTTTTTCACAGCTAACGAACATACATACCTTGTCTCAGCTCCGTAAATCAATCGAATGCGTGATAAAGTTGAGGAGCTGGAAGAAATATATGTATTAACGGAATAGTCAACATTGGTCCTTATTGGGAACTGGCCGCTGCACCTCAGGGTCCACATCATGCTTGGCGTCACAAACATATCTGCTTTGTTTGTTCCGCTGCGCCTTCCCTAGACATGGCTACGTTGCCAATTGTTTGTCAAAGGCTTGGCAGCTGGGGATCTATTCCATGTAATCCCCAATCGGTATTGATTGACGCTATTGATTGTACTGAAGGTGGAGCCCTTTGTTACTAGGCCTCGGATAAACGGCCTCGACGACATAACAGAGAGTATCATGATTAGTATTTTCTCTGGATGTTTCTGTACTCGTATTTCGGATGGTAAGCTGCCATTTTCCCCTGCGTAAGAGACCGATGCGCGAGACCATAGATGGACATACTCCAACGACAAGATAGCTGTGTCTATGTACCTAGATATAGCTTATAAGGTAGAGAACTTTCGACCATATTCGTTCATCTTCTAACATTAATGAGATGCGTGTATTAAATTCCAATTACACTCTATTGGTTCTATATAGCACCACAGGAGGTATTATTTACATTGTTAAGTATCCAACTTATGGGGAAAGGTCTCAGGCTGTTAGATGTCTACCACTTAACTACACTGCATTGTAGCGGCTATTGCATATGAATGCGGGAATAGAAGATGCATTTTCTTTTTAATCCTAAAAGTGGTAGTTCAGTGGTGACCTCAAACTCTCGCAAATTTAAGGTAACAAGCCCCCCTAACCATCATTTGTAAATGAAGATTGTTATCAAATTTTCAATAATACCCATTCTATGGTATGTCATGAACTGGAGAAGTTTAATTGCACCTATAGATACATGTAGATAAAAACAAGGAAAGCAAAGGAAATAGAAGACCTGTTTAGCAACTATTCCCATCCTTTCTTGGAATAATGCCATCTGTTGTTTAGGCTATATGGCGCCCTCTGCAACCATTAGACACAATCAATTGGCCCGTATTATCTCTCTACTACTACATGACTGGGATAAAACAAGTCCCTGTTATCAATCTTATTCCGTTAGCTATGATATACTATGAGGAAGTAGGCTCATTTAGGTGAGCACTGCTGAATGTGTGAGCAAGTTTTGCAAATTGTTTGACAACTTGTGTTAAGGAGGTACGGTGTTACTCATCCATCTCAGCAAGAGGAATCTCACAAATGAAATGTGAATGGGTTTTAGGATAAGGGTTGCCTGGGACAAGTTCGTATTCGGAGGTCTGTCGTATAATCAACTAGCCCTTGCTGGTAACCCAACGCCGTGTGGTAAAATTCAGAGCCAACGCGGGCCACATCAAAGCGGGCATCCCGGCAATCAAGAGGAACATAGCTAAACAAAATCCTAGTGATTACAAACTGGATGTTGCAAAAGTCTATTCGAAGGCCAATGTGATCTGGGAAGATGGCTCTATCACCTTCGTGTAGTGCAACGCTATTGAGGCGCAGTCAACTCCAAGTATACCCATCTAAATCCCGGCTACATAGTGATCCAAGCTACACTATGACGCGGCATACTGATAGGATGGAGCAAACGACGTCAAATGGCAAGGCAAATCCTTAGTTGGGTGGAGCATTGTGCTTGGGGGAACCCAATCAACTTGATGGCGGACCACACAAATAATCTGCAGTTCTTCGTATAAATCTCCAGAATAGTAATCAGGAACACCATGCCGGAGCTAGACAGCACAGATTACATGAAACAAATCCAACAGTTACGGATATGCGGAAGCTCTGGTTGTGGGGGCAGAAGGGCCACAGATGGCAAGGAGATGAGAAGGCATGTCGAAACTGCCTCATTCCAGGCCAGGCAAGGTCTCAAATCTCAAAGAGGAATGCCTCTTTTCAAACCTAGATACCAGTATTCCATAGATTCGCTATAGTTTTCTAAGCTGTTAGTAGGATGACCCTTGAACTGCTACCTGAGTGGATCTTGAGAAATGGGGGTTGGGATGATTTAATTTCAAGCATCTACAATCTTTGCAAAAACCGTCTTCAATTAGCCTAAGATCATGCTAACAGATAAATATCTTTTTAACAGATAAATTATCTCCCTCCCTCTATTACCCCTACTTTTTCTCTCTTTCTCTCCATGTATATATATGTAACGGGTACGGAGAAATCATACCAGCATCGCAATAGAGTATCTAGTGTCTACCAGGACTGAAAGCGATTCTTTTGCCTAAAATTCATATCCTACTCCTAAGTAAGTTATTTATTCAACATCCCATGTTTTAGGGGACTCATGAACGTGATATGAAGTTTAATTACTTGGAACCTTTGATGTACTCTCGCATCAATCATTCCATAGTACACATGGACACCTGGCTAACCGCACTTGTAGACACATAATTTGTGGGAGTGGCTATTCAGCACCCTAAGTTCGCTAGTCAACATCCCATTCTCAAGTTTAAAACAGCCTGAGTAGTAATAATAGCAGATATTATAGGAATATATGGATAGTAGTAGATAGTAGCGGTAGTAGAAGAAACTAGGGATAGTAGCAGAAACTACTAAACGATAGTGGCAGAAACTAGCGACAGTAGCAGAAACTAACGATAGTAACAGAAACCAACGATAATATTAAGAGATCTTCATTATACGTTGTTACTCCATTCGGAACTCCTCTTAGCCGCTGGGATGCTGGATAGCCAGCTTGGGGTGTTGAATAGCTCTTCCCTAATTTATGGAATAGGCGGCCTCTAATGATTCCTTATTCCTTCATAGCCTCTATTTATTTTCGCATCAGGAGATTGAAGGATGCCTTAATAAACCCAGTCAACAGCTGAAACTGAGCAAGTAACCACATTACTGCAAAGTGGTAATAGGCAACATGTCTACCCCTTCTAAGCAGCGTCTGCTCATGCAGAAACTTTTCAACCTCCCAAAACTTCCTATATCTATCCACCGCAGCCTGGCCGTGCTCTTTTTGGACTTGTACGAGCCATCCTTCATCCGGGTTTAGAAGCAAATGGCAATCCGGTTTTGCCCCCGCCTGAAGCAGAACGTCGACAATGTTCCAATGACCTCTTATCACAGCCGCGTTAAGAGCAGTGCGATATCTGCCGCAAAACTCATCCGATACGACAGCGGCACCATGATCTAACAACAGCCGTATTGATTTCAGCTGGCCCGAGTATGCTGCCGCTTGCAGAGCAGTGCCAAAGATCCCTCCCTGTGCATTGATATCAATATGGGGACATTCATCAAGGAGCATCTTTACTGCATCAGCGGCCATATTGATGAGTTGAATGCGTATTTTAGCAGCATCAGATTCTCGGCGCAACAAGCTTATGCGTGGCGGCCCGTTTGCACAAATGTCATACACGACCGAACAGGCCGCTTGGAGCGGGAAACCATACCTGCCCCCCTTGAGATTGACATCGGTGCCACGATCGAGAAGAAACCGGATTCTACTTCTCATGGTCTGAAACATGGCAGACGGATCTACACGCTCGCCACTCCTCAACTTGCGAAGGTTTTCTTCTTGAGAGAGCACATAGTGAAGGGCCGAACCAAACTCCCCAAACACGAAATCGTTGACATTAACACCATGATCCAACAGAAGCTGCATTTGAGCATTTGTGTCGTCAGCGCTGGTATGAAGAAGAGCAGCAGCTTGAAGTGGGCTCCCGTATTCGCTGCTTTTCACAGTAGTGACACGCGCACCATATTCGAGTAGTATGCGTATTTTCTCGACTTGGCTTGTGTGGTTACCATTAGCAGCACATGCTGCCTGCAATGCGGTTCCGAATCTTCCACCCTCTGCATTCGCATCCGCACCTCGTTCAAGCAGAAGACGCACCATCTCTTCGCATCTACCCCACTTAGCCGTGGCACAGGCTGCTTGAAGTGCAGTTCCATATTCATCACTGGTGACAGCGTTGATATTGGCTCCATAGTCGAGCAGCATGCGCATTATCACATGTTGGTTGTCGCATCGAGTATTCATAGATGCTGCTTTTAGCGCGGTGCCGGACTTTCCACCCTCAGCATTCACATCGGCTCCTCGTTCAAGCAGAAGGCGCACTATCTCTTCATTTCCTCTCTGCCGATCAGAGGCACAGGCTGCTTGAAGCGCAGTTCCATATTCGTCACCAACGACGGCGTTGATATTGGCGCCATAGTCCAGCAACAAGGCCACCATGTCAATGTCCCCCTGGTGACAGGCTGCCTGTAATGCGTTTCCGTATCTACCACCCTCGGCATTTACATCGATGCCCAGTTCGAGCAGCCTATGCACTGATCTAATGCCTTCCCTAGAGCAACAAGCTGCTTGTAGCGCAGTCCCGTAGAGACCGCCTTTGGCATTGACATCAGCTCCATGGTCAAGGAGCAGTTGTATCATTTCTGCTTTTGTCTTAAGAGCCCTAGTACTGTAACACACTGCCTGGAGTGCGTTACCATACTTTCCTCCTTGTACGCTCACATCGCCACCCTTTCCTAGAAGTAACTTTGCCATACTCAAGCAACCCCTGTATGCACTTCTCTGCAGTGGCGTTCCGCGGTTTTCCCCAACAATGTTTACATTAGCACTATAGTCGATTAGAAGCCGGGCTGCTTGAACGCAATCAGAAGAACATGTAATCCTGTGGTGTTCACATGCCTTGTGTAGTGCAGTCTCACACTTAGCATCCTGAGCATTTGGATCTGCACCAAAGTCGAGTAGGCGTTTTAGTCGGGGGAATACTTCGTCCACGTTGAATTTGTAGTTGATGGTCAATTCGTGGAGGGGATAGCCTCCCTTTCCACCTAGGTTACCCTTGGCCCCGTGTTCAAGCAGCAAGTCGAATTCGTCCCAGCGTTTTTCTTTTGCTGCTTGACAAAGAGCTGTGCTTTCCGTATTTCCAGTCCCACGCATGTTGACATCTGCTCCATTGTCGAGTAGAAACCGGAAGCAGTCCATATTCCCAATAGCTGACGAAAGAACGCATCCCGCTTCATTGGAAGGGCCGTTGATGTCCGCCCCACGCTCTATAAGAAGCTGTAGCATACGGAGATTTCCTTCTTTTGCCGCAGCTTGCAAGGCGGAACCCCATCCACCGCGCTGAGCATTGATATCAGCACCTTTGTCTAAGAGAAGGCCTACCACTGCAAGGTTCCCTCGGTATACAGCCGCTTGGAGCACATCTCCGGCTTTGCTATATCCAGGCTCGCCTTCACTTGCTATTCTCGATGCATTCGCGCTGGCACCTTTGTCAAGCAGAAGTCGAACAACTCTAGGGTTACCTCCACGAATTGCGTAATACAAGGCCACATCGAAGTCATCCTGCACGAAGTATATCTTCTCTCCGAATGTCTGCGAAAGCATATGCTCCGTCACAAGAGTGCAGCCAAGCCAGGCAGTGAAGCAGTATGGCCGCATCAGCATCTCCACCATGTCCGAATATATAAGCTCATCTTTTCCTCGCATCATTCTTAGAAGCCCCTTAGATTCAATTAGCATAATGAGCAAGCTTTGGCTTTGCATTGCAAGACAAAATGCCACGTTCTTAACAACTTGAGCAGTCCATGATTTACGAGGAACCATTTCGAGATGCATCGGCCAATAGCGTGCTGCATAATGCTTCATAATATCGCGATTCCGGCTGAGCTTGCTGGCTGAAGTACTCAAACATTTATGGTAGGCAAGACACCACTGCGCAATCCAGAGATGGGCGTTCGTTTCGCTAAATCCAAGCGATAGCGCCTCATCTTGGTAAATTCGACTGGAAGTCAAATATTCCTTGATTGAGAAATGTGCCAAGCGGACTATTCCATATTCCACGAGAACAAGCCCTGAGAAGTATGTCAAGACATCCTCAGCATTGAAAAGTTGCTCGGATTCATGTAAACGTCGTTTTATTCTATGGCTTAAAGCCATGTCGCTTGGTCGTATGATGAATATCTCCGCTAATTCACCCACGGTGAGGGTATAAAATGAGAAGGCAAGCCATTTCAGTGAACTTAGGATCTGCTCTTGGTACTTAGGGTCTGTCATGCGAAGAATCCTCTCATATGTTTGGTCAAGTCCTTTGGGTAGATCTTCTAAAGCCCGTTGTATTTCACTCGGAGACTTTAAATTTCGCAATGCTTCAAATTGACAACGAACGTACTGGAACCTTGTGTGGCAATTAGTAACACGAAATTCTCGACCAAACTGTGCATTAGAGTTCATGAAAGACTTACATTCCATCTGACTTTTCAATTAGGGTCTCTTTGACTTCTTTTTTTATAGGATCCGACCAAGATTTATAGTTGACGTCCGCGAGGGTTGAGTCTATATAACGGCCGATATCGCGCTTGATTGCCTCTCGGTGTATATAAGAAGATAGATCGAACTCTACCCTCGTGGGTTTAGATAAATGGCTTTGAAGCTCAGCATATATATCTGATTCCTTTCGGCTTGTGCAGATCACATGAAGATTATCGGGTGCAGCATTTAGGATGTAGCGTAACGTCTTCATGAGATCTTCACGCCGCCCACCGAGTTCTGGGCATTCATCCAATGCGTCGATGATGATATACACCTTAGAAAACCCGCATAAAGTCTCAATAAGTTCCGCTTGAAGCTCTTCAGTAGGTGGGCGCATGCCATTATTTTTGTATTTGCCAAGTCTTGCAACTGATTCGGGCATGTTAGGGCGGGAGCAGCAAATCTGCTTTATTAAAGAAGCGAGCATTCCATCTCTTTCCTGCTTTGTAACATCATTAAAACTGAAGTAATAATACGCAATAACGATCGTAGCGTCGTCCTTGTGTTTATTCTGCAAGAATTTGATAACCGAAGAGCTGAGGACAGATTTTCCAGAACCCGCTGGTCGGGTATGTTAGTTCATGCCTGTACATGTAGTGTACTCAAAAATGGAGAACAGCGGAAAGGAGCAGACATAAAACACACCTTTACCATGCAGCCACAAAAGGGAGCGAGGATTATTCATCCATGATTCAAATTTTTCGTTCTCCATGAACCATTCACTCGTGCCAGCCTCGTGCCTCTTACGGGCTGCATTGTACATGTCGGACGGATCAACGTCACATAGCCAGCGATAGAAATTTTGATGATCCTGCTTCGCATTGGCTTCCTCTACTGCCTTTCGCAAGCCGGAAATATCCGCACCAACGGTCACCAAACTGTGCATAGCTTCCTTGTGTCGCTCCTGAGCAGCGGCACATTCTTCATCATATTGCGTATCGCTCCAAGCCTGGTTGATAGCAGCCATCTGGCTCTCTTGTTGCCGTATCTTTTCTATCATGCCGCTCCAATCATACCGCCCGGTAAGATCATGGCCCAAACGAATGGCTTTATTGTTGGTGTAGTAGCAATAGCATTTTGCCTGAAATTTCAGTATTTGCTGGTATAAATTTTCCAGAGTGCTCTTATATAGCACATGCGACACTGAGGATGCTTGAACATCGCTGTGTCTTATTTCATAACACCGATAATAGAGTTCTTCCCGCATTCGACTCTGGACAATGAGTGCGGAGATATACTCCAGCCCCTTGGCGAGGGATGTAGCTTGATCCATGGGATTCAAGAAAAGCTAAGTGCCCGTTTCAGTCAATGTACTCCATAATGAAGAATCGAGGAGTCACAGTCGGGCATACCGATAGCAGTGCGCTAACCCCGACCCACGCCAATGAGGCATAGGGGTTGGAAGCCAATGCAGTGACGATGAAGTCATTGGCCAGTTTGACAACGCCCAAGACGGGCTGCACAACTTCAACTGGTTGGATCTCGGAGCTCCGGAACGAAATCTTCCAAATGTTCTTTTGGACCTCTTCCATCTTACATCGCAGCAAGGTGTTCATCCACTTCCCCCTGTCCTCCTCTGCGCCTAACGCTGAGCTCAGGGCACCCGTGACGCTATCGCGGAGTCTCGCCTCATATTCTCTGATGAGTGCCCCATCTTGTTGTTGTAATTTCTTATACGCGAGATTCCAGAGCTCGCCAATGGGAGTGTTACGGTATTCGTTATCATCTGTGGCTGAGTCTGATGTGTTGGGCACGGGCAGAAGAACAGATGAGCCTGATACCCCGCATTAATTAATGCTGAAGCTTTATCAATTCATCGTGACACTCTTGGATGCATCCTACCATGCGAGTGTCTGGACTCTTGGGGCTGCCTTGTGACTGAGAAGCTCACAGACCCGTCTTCGTCTTTGCTTGGAGAAGAGAAGAGCTCCTTCACCTTTTCTGTCTTGTGCTTGATTCTGTCGATTCTGGACGGCTTCAGCATATCGTCTAATTCCGCCCCTCTTTCAAAGATGGTGGGAGAAGGTGTGTAAAGCGCTCGTAGTCCCATGAGAGACTGAAAGAAGCAGGACAAACGACTTGATGCCTGAATGAGGCCAGAGGTACCTTACATAGCCACAATCTCCTGCAGCCGGTGTGGTTGAGAGGCGGAAATCCCCTCATCGCGACGCGAGCATCATTGGCCTGGTTCGGTCCTCGACTAATCCAATTAGTTTAAGCATGATACCACGAGCACTTTAATTATGCTTCGCGAATCTCATCCACGTTCTAGAATGATGTGTGCAGCGACGACATGTACAGTGCATGTACTGTCGGGCGTTGGAACGGCGTAGTTCTAGGCCGACCTGCGCCCGTAATGCTTTAGAACAAAGGAAGAGGTACCTCCAAGTACTGCAGGGATCGGGTCGATGCCTCGGCGCTAACAGACGCTGCGCCTCTCTCCCGCTGCATGACGCTGAGCGAATCGATCCGTTCGCCCCAAATTCAACTCCAAATCACCATGTGGCGGCACGTTTATCCGTACAGGTACACCGACCGGGCATTGCCAAGATCGATTGGGTTTGTCCAGCCTCATCGTCATTGCGGCCATCACGTGTGTTCCTGAAGGATTCGCGTTCGCCTTACCCGCGAGGCTGTTGCTATGGGCTTTGTGTATGTACTTGGTATGTTCCAGTCTTCCATCTTATAAGACGACGTCACCACGGCCTGTGCGCCACTTGTGATCACCATTGAGAGCACAATCGCCATCTATATATATCCATCATCTTCCGCCAGTAGCATCATCTGTGTCTCGCTCTTTACATCAAAGAAAAAAAAAAACCAATAAAAACCAATACTCTTTTCCCTCCATCATGACCAAAGGGTCGTCGCCCAAAGCGGAGGCACCTCCAAACGGCGAGGCGCCGCCAAGCTACACCTTGGCAACGGGAGATGTTGCAGACGCCACAGATCCGTCTCCAAACATCGACGTCACGGCCGCTTTTGCAAATCTCTTCGTCTCCTCTGGCCCCTCAACTGGCCGCCCCAATATCGATACCACTCTCGCGCATCTGAAGCTTCTCCACGCCATCGACGCCCTCAAGGAAGATGTTGGTTATACTGACGGCCTCTTTGGCATCTTCGACAACCGTGCCAAGTGGGACACTGAGATCCTTCATGGCTCGGCTCTGCCTCCAGGGGTCAAGCTAGACAAGCTTGGTGAAAATGAAAGAGAGAAGCTTGCTCTTAGTCGTCTGCGCGAAAAGCGATGGGCTATCTACCTTGCACGAGCAGTGGATAGATATGAGGCATGGTGGAATGCAATGGCCCAGGGCAAGACCATGTTGACCGAAGAGGATGTGTTTGCACCGGATAGCCCCAAGTATATTGGCTTTACAACCAATGGGACACCATTGCCTTGGATCAGAGAGTCGATTCCACCGCTAGGTAGGTTATCCCCACAGCTTCGTTCATAGAGACCTCTTGGCTAACACACTTACTGTACAGACGTCCTCATGGTTATGCATGCCCACATGCTGAACCCTAGGGCCTTCCTTGAAGACACCTTGCGCGCCAACATGGTCGAGTACTGGAGCGCCGGCATGCCATGGAAGGCCGTGAGTGAAGGCATCGCCACTGATTTTGCAGAAAATCCTAGTGAGGAGGCGAAGGAAAACTGGCTTTCCCTGACAGGACGCCAATGGAGTAACTCGGCAGATCCCATGAACAAGCTCCTCAAATGCCCCTGGTGCAAGGTGGACATGCAAGTTCCTTGGACCACTTGCGGAGCCCTCGAAAATGCAGACACGTCTGTGTAAGTATCACTTTGTTGAGTTTGTCCAAAAAAGCACATTGCCGCTAACACTTTGCTGCGAACCATGCATATAGACCGATGGGAGTCCTTGGAAACGGATATGGCGACGGCAACTTCTCTCACCAGTGCCCGACCTGTAACAGAACCGTCAACAAGGAAATTCTTGCCCTCTCCAAATTTGTTCAAGACACTACTCTTTTGCTTAGCAAAGGCGTGCCAATGCCCGGCACAGTCCTCGACATACAATCCGGCCGGCCATCTACTCCGCCCAACCCATTGCTCGTTCCAAACTTCACTCGCAACTTTCCAAATCGCATGATCCAGCATGAGCTGCGCATCAAGATCGTGGAGCTCCTCGACCCAACAGCGGAAGGCTCCAAAGCCTCGCCATCAATCGCCGACGTGCGAGATCTCATCGAGAAGACTATCCGGAGTAACGAGGCAGTTCGTCGAATCGACGGCGCCGTAGGCCACGCGGGACTCCAACTCGTGCGGCGCGATGCCAAGATTACCACCCGCAAAATGATGAGCCGCTATTGGGAGAATTTCTCCCCCTTCGCGCTCGATCTGTGTGGTGCGGTTATGCGCCAAGGCGTCTTCGTCGAGAAAATGGTCAAGCTTGACTGGCTGCACAGCCCATCCGCCAAGTCCACTATGCTCCGTCTCATCACAAAGTACGATCGCTTCATGCGCATCATTAAAAAGTATCCCCTCAAGATGGCCGTTCCTACGCTAGATGTAGATCTGGCTTGGCATACACACCAGCTGAGTCCGCAAGATTACTACGCTTTCACCACGAGGGAGACGGGAAAGTTTATCGACCACGATGACAAGATTGAGGAAAATGAACTGAGCGACTCATTCGAGTGGACCACCAAGACGTATCAAGAGCTTTACAAAGAAGTATACAGCGAGTGCACATGTTGGTATTGCGAAAGTAAGCTTCTCTCCTCATACAACAAACCCCACCAGCCCTCCTCTCAGAAAGAAAACTAATGACAAACTCTTCAGCCATACGTGACTCCCAGGGCTCCAAAATCGGCAAAATTCTCAATGTCTCGTCCAGCCAAAAGCTCGCCGACTCATTTCACGATTCCGGCAACGCCAAGCTCTGTCCCCCCGATAACTCGGCACATATCTCGGCGCATAACTCGGTCAGGACTCTCTACACCCCCGAGCGCGCCGGCATCACGGACTATATCCGCGCCCGCCAAGCACGGAAGCTGGATGAGGCCTACCAGAAAGCGGCTAAGCGAGCAGAGAAGAAAGGAAGGGCTCTGCCGCCCAGGGACGAGTACTATGACCATTGGGGATACAACTACTACAGTGAGAACCTCCCTTCCCATGCAGGCATGTATGTTAGAACCTATACTGACCTCATCTCCCCTTAGTGTATGGTCCGTTCATGTACCCCATCTACTTCGCTCCAGGCCTGTACTATGGTTGGGATCCGTGCTACATTCCCGCAGGAGATGGAGCCTGGGCCAACTGCGCTGCCGGAACCTGTGGAAACGGGAACATCGCCGCCGGTGGCTGCGGAGGGCCTGGTGGCTGCGCTGTCAGTGTAGTAAGTCATGATATACTCCATTGGATCCAATTTTGCCACAAGCTAACCAAAAATTGCGCAGGGGCAGGGTGCTTGTGCTTCAGCAGGATCTTCCGGTGCATGCGGAGGAGGAGGTGGGTTTGGTGGAGGAGGATGTGGTGGAGGGGGCTGTGGTGGAGGAGGTGGTGGTGGTGGATGCGGAGGAGGAGGCTGTTAAGTGTTCTTGTTGCGTGATTTATCTGTTGGCCAGCATGAGCATATGAATGAATTATGACACTTGGTTAGTTTGAGCGTAGATAGCCTTGGCAAGGTGTGTATCACGCACTTTGATAAGAAGAGATACATAGTTTGATGATATCAGTATAACTAAAGCCTTTCTACTATAGCGAGTTGATGTAAATTAATAGCATTATGTGTATCCAAGTGCCAAATTATAGACCAGAATTTGTGCCATGTCATTGTTATTTATTATTTACCAATAAGATCCCTGGCTCAGAAGAAAAAATTGCTTCAATTCACCCCTTTCTGATATGTTGAATTCGGTCGACTTGGTATGGATGATATAAAGTGTCTATGTCTGTTTATTTAAATTCTTCTAACCTTGGTATAATGTCTGCTATGGGTGCTGTGGGCGCCATTCTTATGCTCGTGATATCCGTAAACTCCGTTTCATCTAGTGTCCTATTCATCGATATAGCTGACACGTCCAAACCATGTAACAAAATAAAATAACCGAATGTTGCGCGGTTGTAAGTGGGTCGTTTAGTATGCGATAAGGAGAAAGATAAAAAGACAAAATCAGCTTGCTTTGTGGGATATGCCATTCAGTGGGTAGTCTTCGACGGGCGTTGGAGGATCATCCTTGACAAGATGCTCAACGTCGGGTACAACTTCGCCTTCGCTAACGATGGGAAATGGAGTGAGAACGTGACTAATGTCTCCCCACCATTGCTCACCAAAGCGCCGGTACCATTCCACTGTCATCTGCAGGCCCTCTTCAAACGTAGTCTTTTGCTCCCAGCCTAGATTCCGTAGCTTTGACCAGTCAACGGCATACCTGCAATCGTTGAACGGCCGATCATGAGTATACTTGACCCATTTTCGGAACTGCTCTGGAGTATCATGGGAAATCTCCATGGCGGATAGGATCTTGCCGCATAGCTCGAGGTTGGAGATTTCATCGGTGGAGCCGACATTGTATACATGGCCAATTTGGCCTTTATGAAGTATCGTGTCAAAGGCATCTGCCGCGTCAGCAGCAAAAAGATATCTCCGTGTTGGACTGCCATCACCGTGGAGAACTACAGGGCGGCCCCGATTGAGCAGGCAGATGAATTTGGAGATGATCTCTGGAGAAACAAGTTAGCTTCGATCCACGTCGAAAGAACGAAAGGCATAAAACTTACTCTCGGGATATTGGTGGGGGCCATAGACGTTATTGCTGCGAACAATAATGGTAGGGAGCTTGAAGCTCTTGTGATATGAGTGGACCATCATTTCAGCGGCAGCTTTGCTTGCGGCGTAAGGATTGGTCGGGGCTAGGATGCTGGACTCCTGCAGTTCATCTTCGCCGTGTCCAACTTCGCCATAAACCTCGTCTGTCGAAACGTGGATGAATCTCTTAATGCGAGCTTTCTTGGCGCTTTCCAAAAGAACGTGGGTGCCATAGACGTTTGCGTGGGTAAAGCTGTAGGAATTGCCAAAACTCAGATCCACATGCGACTGGGCGGCAAAGTGCATCACGGTATCGATGTGATAGCGCTCCATGCAGTCGAGGACCTCTGAGGGATTGGTCAAGTCGCCATGGTAAAACGTAAAGTTGCGCTTGTCATTGAGGACTCTGGTGTTGTTGAGAGCAGAACAGTAATCAAGCTTGTCAAAGGACACAATGTTGTAAGCGTGGGGGTATGTCAAGGTGAGATGGCGAACAACCCAGGAAGCGCTTGTGTGATGCAAATGTTAGTCATGCGCGCATGGCCGCTTATGTGGATAAAGAAGGAGCTGAAGGGTTGTCTGGGAATCTGGACTTACATGAAGCCTGCGCCGCCGGTAATCATAATATTTCTAACATCTGAGCGAGGCTCGAACTGGGTGGTGCCCGTGAGGACGGGGGCCTGCTGCCAGATCTCAGGCTCCTGGAAGTAGCTGCGATGGCCGTTCATAGTGCCTTTTTTTTCAGCGTCATGGATCAGTTACCCGACTTGGAAATGGACGGATGGGAGTGGGATGTCTGCCAGATCGGGGCGCATGCATACCGTTGGCCAAGGAGGTCTTGACCATGGGTCTCCAGGGCTGGTGAATCGCCGTGGCCATGAGTGAATCAGGGTTTCTGATGGGATCCATGGCTTGGCCCGGCGACGGGTTTCGGCTACAGGCGTGGCGCTGGAACGGCGAAGCCAGCGCGGCGTCTGACGAGTGCGATGACGGCGAAGACGAGTAGGAAGAGGTGGTCGAGGCAGGATACGATGCCGCCGGAGAAGACGATGGCGACAACATTGGTGTTGCGTGGGAGAAGCAGCGGGAGAGGCTCGGTGGAAGGGCCTTGATCAGCCGTTTCATATCACGGAGTGCGGCTTCCTCAGTTGCAAAGCGAAGGTGAGTGGCCTGGATCCAGTTCCAGGTATCCAGAGGCGAGGGCAGGCGAGGGCAGGCGCAAGCGGCGGTTTATATTGCGCAGGCCCCAAACGAACGTCTCGCCGTACCAGGTTTGTTTGTTCCGTGAGCCGCGTCGATTGTCTGCTAACGCTCGAAATTGGCTGACACACACTCAGCGCTTCACGCGATTCCAGTAGCTCCAGCCGTCGGTGCTAGGGCCGAGCAGAGGCGCATGTAATCGGGGCTCTGGACTGTCGCAGTCTTGATCGGAATTGCATCCGCGGCGAATGCAGATTCAAAGGCGGCGGTGGCAGCAGCAGCAGCAGCGGTGATGACGGCGCAATCCGCAGAGCTTCGTTCCATCGGTCCGTCGTCGCCTCGATTCGACGGTCGCATGAGACTCGAGCAGAGCATGGGCAAGGCTTTCGTTTTGCCTTGTCTCAAGCCAGCACGAGCCGGAATCCACTCTTTGCAGACGATCACCCAGCCATGCTCGTGATTGATTTGGCTGCTTTTAATTGCGATGTGGAGGGGGAACGGCTCACCCACGCCTTGTCCGCAACGGGGCTAGCTCCGCGGTTTTTTCCCAGCGAGACCAGGTTTTCCGAGACGGGGAGAGTACTTAAAGGATACTAGACATTGCTGCAGCGTTTATGATGTCCCAAGGGTATTTCTCAGGTAGCCAGGTGCAGAAATTGCCCCCCAAAGTCCCGTTCCGTTCCCACAAGGCAAAATACGGTGCGTACCAACCTTGCCTCGTCCCTGTCTGTACCTGAGTACGTCATGCCTGGGCTTCTCACAGGTACGAAAGCATCCATATTACGGAGTACTCTAGGCATTATTTGAGCCAAATCAACCCGGTCTATGCTTGCTGCTGCATTGATTACCCGCAGCTGCTTCAATGTACCGCTGCCTTAGGTAGTTACCTGGTTCTCCGATTGATTGATTGCTCCAGGCTCTCCTGGTACCTGGACAGTGGCCACTCAGCTGCTAAATCAGCCACTAGAGCCTCTAATGGGCAAAGTCGCCAGAACGGCGTTAGCACTGTGGAAGCCGTGGATCGACAGGAGTCAGTCACACCAGAATTCGTCACATTTGCCTTTGTAACGCATCGATTCCATCAACTGTATTGGCGCGGCTGGCGGCCCAGGCACAAGATCCCGTCCATTTAGTGCAAACGAGGGTCCTTGGCCGAAGCTTGAATCCATTCCCGTCGCCGTCCTTTCATGTGACGGCAGAATTTTAGCATTTAAGCACTGCAGCGACCGGGGTCTCTATTTAGATCGCATTTGGGCCGCGTATCGTTGCAATTACTTCGTATAGCCAACCTGGTCAGGTCACAGCCTCGAAGTGACCAGGTTAGGTAGGTACTGTAATGGGTTTGATTACATGATGCGTATCACTGTATACAAGACAGCTACGCTGAGAGAGGAAAATTAAATCGAGGCGAACCTACTCGTACAACACTGCCCTTTTTAGCAAATTGGCTGTGTTTGCTGACGGCACGATCAATTTCTTTCTATGGACATATGTCTCGGTACCTAGGCATTACATAGGTAGGTAGGTAGGTTAGTAGGTATTGAGGAGGTCCTAGCCGGGAGAGTAATAGGAGAAGCTGTTGCGTTAATGTACTTACCGGAGCTGATGTAATAAATGCCACTACAACACAATCCCAGTCAACGCTCATAGCACACCAAGGCACAACTATTCGGTGTCCTCTCCCATCGATGACGACAAAAAATCGCCCTTTCTCTGTCATATCAAGTAAATTGTCGCAAGAAAGTGTTCAGTTAAGCAGCTGAGAATCCCCGCATTTATCGCCAAGCCAATCGCTGCCGCTGTCCAGATATCCGATCTGATCGCCCAACGACATCTTTCCATTCATTGGTGCACATGCCGGAATGATATTGTGCCGTATTGTCGGCGTCACTATGCAAGACCTGCAGCTTCATGATACACAATATCAATCGATAATTTAAGCTGTGCAATGGCTCTTGTCCTACCTACCTATAGCTATGCACAGGTAAATGTGCTACATGGCTGGATACTCGTAATACTCAGCATCCGGTCTAGATGATAGTTCAATATCACCATTACTAAGGTAAGACACTGAATTGCCTGCAAGGGATCAATTTGGTCGATTCCAACGTGTTGCACTTGGGTATCTATTGGTGGTCACGGAGTACATGAAGTGGAGACATGACGGCTGAATGTCTGAGAATGCTTGCAAAACATCATAGCTGAGAAGGGCGATTTTTGGATCAGTAAGATTGACAGACTTAGTCAATAGATGAACTGGGTTAAGTAATATGCACTATAAATATGAGGTCAAACATCTGCGCTGCTCTGTTCAATTAAACATCCAGCAATACCTATGTTATCAAGTAAACATCATGCAACTACCACATGGCTGTATCAATCCAGAGAGGCCACTCTCAAATGTCATCATGGCACCCCTGGTTACTCTACCGGCACCACAGCAAAAGTCCCACCGGGTTGGTGGCTGGCTGCCCCAAAACTCCAAACTCTTGACCGGCTATCTAAGAGAACTTGTCGCGGAAGTTAATCAACATAAAGACTTCGTTCCTACTGGTACTTTCTTCTTGAGCGAGCCAGTCCGGCAATTCAAAGAGCTCATTGAGAGCACTGCAGAACTTCGAATGCTGGCTTCGGGCATGTTTGACGAAGTACCCAACAAGGCTCCTTACAAGGAGGATCCTGTTGAGACCAAACAGATCCAGTCGTATCACGAAATGCTCGAGATGTTCGATTTTGTCATGCATCGCAAAGCTCCATCCTGGAAAAGACTCGAGAATGAAGTTGGCTTAATTGGATTCCCATTTAACGCCATCTTGGATTGGCCAATGGCCACGGCAAGCGGATATGCATTCTTCCTCCGACCTGAAGTTAATAAGAAGCTCAAGGTTATCCTCGATACTTGGAAGACCGAAGTTCTGATGACTGAGAAATCTCAATACGTCATTACGACCGATGCAGATGGCTGGCTGAGCCAAGACTCCCTGATGCACATTGAAGACGAAACCAATGTCACCGACCAAGAGCTGACATTCCAGCAGATCTTCCAGTGTGACCCGCAAGGAGACCCTAAGCACTGGGGGTTCAAATCATGGGACGATTTCTTTGTTCGCAAGTTCAGGGATATTGACCAGATTCGCCCGGTTGCTTTCCCAAAGCAGCCAGAGTGGGTTGCAAATTCGTGCGAGTCTAAGCCCTTTGCCCTGCAGTCAAACGTTCGAGAGTACGACTCTTTCTGGCTCAAGGGTCAAGCATACTCGGTCAAGGAGATGCTTTATGGACACGAATTCGCAGAGCAATTCGTCGGCGGCACCGTGTATCAAGCGTTTCTGAGCGCCACCTCGTACCACCGATGGAACTCACCTGTGTCCGGAAGAGTTGTTCATACCGAGGTCGTTGACGGAACTTATTTCTCAGAGCCTACCATCACGGGCTTCACCTCTCCTGAGGGCCCCGATCCCGCTTCCCCTGATCGCGCTCAGGGCTACATTAGCCACATTGCCACGCGGGCCATCTTCTTCATTGAGGCTCCGCAGCCAATCGGGCTCATGGCTGCCATGTATATCGGCATGGCTGATGTTTCGTCTTGCGAGATCTTGGAGAAGTTCGATGCCAAAAACCTCCCCGCTAGTGTTGAGAAGGGAGAGGAAATTGGGTTATTCCACCATGGCGGCTCTACCCACTGCTTGCTCTTCCGGCAGGGCGTGAATCTCGCTTTTGTAAATGGAGCCATCCCAGGCAATAGCAGGAAGAATTTGCCTATTCGAGGTCCGCTCGCTGTTGTATATTAATACTGAAATCGATTAATTCTGTCCAATTCTTGTGGAATTGCTACAGTACATGTACCATCAGTAACGTACTATATTGTCTCCATATTATGCAGCAAAATGTATACCTTGCAAATAGACACGCACTGGGGATTTTCTCTAACCGTGAGGCCTTCACTACTGCAGAAACAGCATTGGAGTTACCGTGATAGAAAATGTGTGGAATAATTAGAGTGAAGACAATGCATGCTCTAGTGGTGCTCGGTACAAGGAAGGAGCGGTTAAGTAGCCAGTGCTTTCCAGCTCCTGCCTTCCAGCTTTCAACGAACCCACTCGCGACTTAATCATCTATTCTTCCTAGAAATAGGTCTCTTGTAGGAAATCCAGCCTAGCAGAAATCCAGCTCTGTAAATTCCCACCTGTCATCACTGTCTTAATACAGCAGATTCACCTCTCTACTTCTACTTCTGTCTTCTTCAATATCCGAAATAGACGGACGAAAAATATTCGGGATCATCAAGTAGGGCAAATGGATGACCTTGAAGAAAACAGGGGCAAAGAAGCTGTTGAAGATGCTTCCACTGGCCTCCTTGCCTCTCTCGATGGGACTTCAGAGCCCAAGCCTACGACTGATCCGCTCCAAGCCATAGCATGGATGACTATCAACACTCTCGCGACAGTCGGCATAGTAAGTAATCCCCGGGAAGAATACCCTGTCATATACCTCTGCTAACAAATGCCACAGGTCTTCACCAACAAGGCCATATTCTCGGAACCGCTGTGGAAGAAATCTCAACTTACGTTCGCTTCCATCCACTTTCTTATGACTTGGTTTATGCTGTTCCTACTCTCGCGATCGCCAATCGGCATCTTTGTGCCTCGTCGTGCCCCTAGGCTGCACCTGATTCCTCTGGCTGCCGCAATGTGCTTCAACGTCATTCTGCCGAACATGTCTTTGGCCTACTCCACCGTCACATTTTATCAGATAGCGCGAATACTGCTGACACCAACGGTTGCCATCATGAACTTTGTCTTGTACAGCCGAGTTCTTCCTAGAGGGGCTATTCTCTCTCTAATCCCTGCCTGTCTAGGAGTTGGCATGGTGACATACTATGATTCCATTCCCCTAGACGACGAAGCCATCAAGACAACCTCTGCGTTGGGAATTGTGTTTGCATTTTCAGGCATCTTCGCATCTTCTCTATACACGGTCTGGATTGCGGGCTATCATCGGAAGCTCAACATGAACAGCATGCAACTCCTCTATCTTCAGGCGCCAATGGCCTGCTTCTTGCTCCTCTTCTTTATTCCACTTGTCGACAAAGTCCCGAATCCACTATATGTGCCATCTCGATTCAGCAAAGGAGCACTTGTTGTTGCTGTACACTTCTCCTATCAACCCTTTACTAGCAAAACATTAGCTAACATTTACCAGTCCACGGTATTTGCTTCTCTCGTCAACATATCTCAATTCTACATTGTGGCGCAAACCGGTCCTGTCTCGAGTACTGTTGTTGGCCACATCAAGACCTGCACCATCGTCGGACTTGGGTGGGCCATGTCCGGTCGTGCGGTTAGCGATAAATCCGCAGTTGGAGTTGTAATAGCAGTGGCAGGCATCACTTCGTAAGTTCTACGGACACCTATAGTGCGGGTGGGAGGCTAACCAGGTAGATACTCCATCGTAATGCTAAGGCAGAAGAGAATGAAACAAGATGGATCTGGGATTGTGGCCAAGGGTAAAATGTGATGGAAATCCATGTAAAGCAAAGAAAACATGGCATGTGTAGATGAACGGATGTATTTATCAACTATTGCAAGTGCGTCTCTTAGTGGTGTGTAGAAAATCTCAACATGATGAACATAGAATTAGTAATATTGTTCTCATTGCCATAACTGAATTTACAAATTGAAACGCTTCCTGTCCTTCTCCATCTTGGATTTCCATTCCCATTGAGTAGCATCCTCGCCTTCGCTTCCGGCCCGTCCAATGCCCTTATCAACACGCCTCAGCTTCAGCGTAAAGCGCGGGCCCAGCTCCTGCAATCCCGCTCGGATGCTCTCGACGCCCTCAAGCGCTTTGCCCTCAGCATCGGTAACGCTCTTCTCGGTCGCACGCTTATCACGGAAGGCGTATCGGAAGCGTCGTACGAAGATGAAATCTCGCTGGTTGTGTAGCGCGACAACCTGTCGTCCCTCAAACTCTGGGCGCGGGGGGAACATGGTCTGGAAGAGCTTCGCGGTGAGAAGACCCAGAGGCGTCTTGAAGTTGTTGAGCATGAGCTCGGGGTAGTGGTTTGTGGGGTTGCCGTGGCCGGGAAGTTTTTTACCCTCTATCCAGTTGGATATTGTGAAGTGGAACGTCGGGCCCTTGGGCAAGTGAACGATGGAGAGGCCTGTGGGCTTCTTGAGATCTTCCTTCATGAGGACAACGGCAGTGTAGTCCTTGCTGGCGGAGAATTTGCAGATTTCGCGGAGAGAATATTTGTATCCATAGCGATGGGATGATCGCGGGATGTATCTGGAATTTGGAAAGAGGGTGCAGAGGAGCTGTGCCTCGTCGTGGAGGGTAGAGTTGAGAGACGTCGTAACGAGAATCTTGGGTTCGGGAGGAGGTTCGTCGTTGAAGAGAGAGGGGAACTTGAGAGCCAGTGAGATCGGCGTGAGGTCGAGGTTCGTGCTCGTTGTTGACGGGGCAATGCTGGGGACTCTCTGTGCTCGCTTCTCTCGTTGCCTCTCTAGTCTTGCTTCTCGTGCTTCCTCGTCTTCCTCTTCGTCAGAATCCAGCATACTGTCGTTATCGTCATCATCCTCTTCCATCTTCTCTGCTGCCTCGATTGCCGCTCGCTCCTCAGCTTCGGCCTGCTCGATGCGTCTCCTCTTCAATTGCTCGAGATCCACCACGGCACCAAGGCTATCGTCGTCCACATCATCCCAGACTCGCTTATGCTCCAATGTTCGCGGGACATTCTTGGCAAGACGGGCTGCCTTGAGCTCTGGGTCTCGGTTCTCTTCTCTTCGGCGACGGTGTCGTTCTTCGTGGCGCTCTTTGTTGCTCGCCTTCTTGTGCGCAACAAACAATTCTTTGCGCTTCAGCTTGTTGGCCACTTTAAGCGCCTGCACAGGAGGCTTTGTGAAACCCATCGTGACAATATTCTGACAGTCAGCGACGAGAGAATGGTGTTGGAGAAATGGCTGATTGTAAAATCCAAGGCCTGACAGCAAGTTGTCAGAAAATTTTAGCGGCATGTAACTTTTTTTACTATGTTCACGCCTATGAGATTAGATAAGGATAAGATAAAGATCAGATGTGGCACTTTTGATTGGCTATCACTCAGAAAATAATGGGTCTATTGCAACTATGTGCACTACCAGGGTTGATGTATTAACAGAATTGGCTTGAAAAAAAAGTTTTGAGACAATCTTATCGAGAGGCTCGCGTCTGTATCGTAGAATAAATCATCCTCCAACCTCTTCACCTCGCCTCGGTCGACTGCCCATAATCTGGGAATCAAACAGCGAAAATGACGACCAACGGTACCAAGAGGAGAAAATTGGCCCACGACGCCTCCGACGATGAGGCGCAATCCCGAAAGGCCCAGAAAGATTTCTTCAAACAGGCCGCCAACTGGGATCTCGAAGATAGCTACGAGAATCGTCGCCGCAAGAGTAAAAAATCCAGCAAAGAAAGCACTAAGCTACCAATCAAGACTGCAGATGGTCGCCTGGAGATCCTCCGCGAGCTTGAGAAGGAGGAGGACCTGGTGTCTGTCGAGAGCGACACGGAATGGCTAGAGGGCCGAGAAGACGACATCGAGTCAGAACCCGAGGAAGTGGAAGAGGAGGCGCCCACCGTCTCCGAGGCTCAGCAGATCCGTGAAGCACAGGAAGAGCTCGCCAAGCTGGCCACTGCTCTAAACGAAAACCCAGAAGAACATGTCGGCTCGCTCAAGACCCTTGCCACGATTGGCGAGTCCAAGATCCCTGCCATTCAGATGCTGGCTCTCATGACGCAAATGTCGGTTTACAAAGACATCATCCCTGGATATCGCATACGGCCTCAGACCGAAGACGGTCCGACGGAGAAGGTGTCCAAGGAAGTTCGCACAATGCGCCAGTATGAACAGGCGCTGGTGTCTGGTTACCAAAACTACGTCAAGGAATTGGCTAGGTGCGCCAAGGAGGAAACAACTGCAGTGAGAGGAGGACAGAGCGTTTCCGGCATTGCCATCACATGCGCCTGCACTCTGATAGCTGCAGTTCCACACTTCAACTTCCGCTCCGAACTACTGAGGATCTTGGTAAATAAGCTGAGCCGGAAGAGGATCGATAGCAACTCAGTCAAGTGCCTTCAGGCTCTAGAGACATTGTTCCGTGAGGACGAGGATGGCAAGCCAACAATGGATGCGGTCTCACTACTGTCCAAAATGATGAAGGCTCGAGACTACGAGGTAGACGAAAGTGTCCTCAATCTATTCCTCAGCCTTCGCCTGCTCTCCGAATTCGCTGGCAAGGCCTCACAGGATACAGTCGAGCGCCCTGAAGGAGCCAAGGTGAAGAAGAACAAGCGAGAATTCCGAACAAAAAAACAGCGAAAGGCCATGAAGGAGCAAAAGTCTCTGGAGAAGGATATGGCCGCTGCGGATGCCCTGGTTGACCACGAAGAACGAGACAAGATGCAGTCTGAGACGCTCAAGCTCGTCTTCGCCACGTACTTCCGCGTCCTGAAAATGCGCGCTCCCCATCTGATGGGCGCCGTCCTCGAGGGCTTGGCCAAGTATGCTCACCTTATCAACCAGGATTTCTTTGGTGACTTGCTCGAGGCTCTCAAGGATCTGATCCGGCACAGCGACGATGACGTCGATGCCGACCTCGCCGCTGAGCACGAGGACGACGACAGCGTCTCCATGAGAAACTTGACACGCGAAGCTCTTCTCTGCACCGTCACTGCGTTCGCCCTCCTCGAAGGCCAGGATGCACACAACTCACGCAACAGCCTCCATCTCGATCTCACCTTCTTCACAACCCACCTCTTCACGTCCCTCCTCAATCTCTCGGTCCACCCCGATCTCGAGCTCACCAAGATTGCCCGCTCCGCATCGACCACCTCCAAGATTAACGTCCAAACGACAACCGTCCTGCTCCTCCGCTCTCTCACTGCAATCTTGTTGCCCGCATGGAACATCCGTTCCGTGCCGCCCCTCAAGCTCGCCGCCTTCAGCAAGCAGCTCATGACGGCCGCGCTGCAGCTGCCCGACAAGTCCTGCCAGGCCACCCTCGGCCTTCTCAACGACATTGCAAACACTCATGGCAAGAAGATTGCTAGCTTGTGGAATACTGAGGAGCGCAAGGGAGATGGGCGCCACAACGCCCTGAGTGATACGGTCGAGGGCAGCAACCCGTTTGCTGCGACGGTGTGGGAGGGCGAGCTTTTGAAGAAGCACTTTTCACCAAAAGTTAGAGAAGGGCTGAAGCTTTTTGAGAAGACTTTGCCTTCATCTTGATACAATATGCAATTTAAAAAGAGTAGGGGAGCGCTGATTTAGATGGGCAATTGGATAGGGCATCGGTTCATACCACTGCATTATAGTATAGAACATGCCAAAATAATAAATCATTTCAAGTTGATCATCTCTGTTTGAGAGCCACCCTAGTAATTATTGTCTCGTTATCATTAAGTTGATAGTCCTTGTGCCCTCCCGTGATATGCTTGCCGGTAGCAACGTTGGTCGGGGTAGATCCGCAACATATCAAAACCCATATACTTTCCGAAAGAAATTGTTAGCCCCTATAATTCCCTTATGCCCATGCTGAGGCCGACAATCCTTTTGCCTTTGTGGAGGGAGATATGGGCGCTCCATTTGTACCAGCAGTTTGTCCCTGATCTCTACCATTGCTGGAGACAGCCGCCGCTGCGACTGGGGAGGGCTTTTCCGATTGTGAGTGGCCTAATCCTGAATTTTGGTTTGTTCCGGCTTCAGATCTTTTGGGCTTATCGCCGTTGGATTGGCCTTTTGGCGTAGTGGCCTCAGCCACTGGTTCTGGCGCATTGAGGTCCATTGCTTTTGGTATCATTTTAGTCAGAGTGTCGATTTCCTGGCCAATACTCGGCTTTTTCGCCACGATAGACAAAAAGGCGTCAAGAATGTTCCCACGTGAGATACCTTCTGTTGGCTGTGGCGAAGTGGAGGAAGAAGCACCATCTATCGCTGAACCATTGCCGGTACTCTCAGCTTGTTGGTCAACATTGGCTGCTTCGCTAACGATGGGCACTGGGCCCGTTGGAGGCTTCTCGACATCTGAAGGAAGTCAACACCTCATTTTAAAAAAAAAAAAACTATCACAACTGTATATTCTTACCCCGCGACTTGGCACCCGATGCCTTGAGAAAATCCAGCCCCGAACTTCCGATGACCGATTTTCGTACTCCTCCAGTCGAGAACGACGATAGAGAAGAGTAGTCCCTCTGGCTGGGCGGTGGGATTGAACTGCTAGATGAGGTAGAACCCTGCGTAGAACCCTGCGTAGGACCCTGCCATGACGGCGCAGGAATCTGACCGTATCGAGTCTGTTTTGCTGGTTGTTGACGGTAAGGTTCAGAGTGTTCCTTCCGGGGCCCCAAGCTGCTGCCGCCAATGTTCCTCTTCTTGGGGTCTTTTGTCCTCGAAAAACTCTGAGCCAGCTCTCTTGCTGCTCTGAGTTTTTCAGCGTCACCAAAGCCACTCATTTTCCAAGGAGCGCCGCCTCGGGTTTCTGCTTCGGTGATAAATAGATAGACAAGGTGCAGTGGGTAGCTACTGAAAATGGAAGAAGAGTAAGGAAGGTGAAAGGAGGTGAATGGCGATGAGGAGGAGGAGTTATGGCAGCTGCCCTGTTTGTGCACGTGGAAATCAACAGAGCGGCTGGCAGGCAGCCCAGTTTTTGCACAAAAGGAAAACAGAAGGTGGTTTTAGGTAACCTCAGTGCACAGGACAACCTACCTAGGAAGACATGGTATCAATAGATTCCAGGCTGCGAGTACAGCATGTCGATACTACAGATAGTGTATGCAAGATGCCTTAGAAGGGCTACACTATTGCTACTGCTGCCGCTACCACTTTTTTCACCATCACTGCGAACTCTTTCATGATTGCTTTTTTGCAATATACTATGTTAGAATTGACAATATAGCGCATCAACTCGATTCTCTATGGTATAATTTTCGCTACTATGCTCCAGTATCCCCAAGGCCGGGGCCGCTCTTTGATATCTTGCTGAATAATAAAAGACACTTAATTGCTTTCTTTCACGCGTTTAGTCCCAACAGTCGTTTCCACAGAGCCAATTCGAGTGGTCTTGTAGACGGTGCTGGGCGTCTCATTTAGCCAAGGCGAGTCGACGGGGGGCACAATATTCTGGACAACAGCAAACAGAGCGTCCGCTCCTGGCGCATGTCGAGAAACAGCCACCGACGAGACTCTCGGTATGCCGAGTGTGCTGCCTATTCTCTCAGAACATGGTTTGGAAAGCCCGACAAGCCGTATCTTTTCATTGTCTGGAAGATTTCGCGACGCGGCTGCGACCATTTGTGGGAAATGCTGGTTGAAGGCTTGTGACTGGCTTCCTCTGGCGACGAAAATCATGGAATAGCCCTTGTGAGATTTCTCTGCCTCATCAGAGGGTCGCGTAAGCGATCCGAGATTTTTGGTAATTGAATTGAAGCCAACATCCACACTTGCACTGAGTTCTGGGACAGGCGGAGTCGGTATCTTGGCTGAGTTTGGCTCCTCGTTTAACTTCGACTTGATCTGCTTTTCCCTTTTGGCGGCCCGCTTCCCTTTGGAAACCTTGGTGTGGATTCGGCGGTGCTGCCCTATGGGGCTCAGGAGGCTTCGATGTCGTTTGTCAGTACAATGAGGTCTCCAGAGCCACGACGAGGTGTCGCGTTTGGCAGCGACACAAGAATCCGCCTGCTTATTCACAAAAGTTGAAATGGATAGACATACTGGCAGAGGAGTTCCAAGATTGAATCTTGGTCTTCAAGTGAGATTTCAGGCCTATTAGAATGAGCTACTCGTCCATTTCTATGCTCAACCTGCATGGTTTGAGAAGACATACCATGATGTGGTAGAGAAGGGCGTGTCAAGGTGGTGGACAAGCCGTTTTTTCGCTGAGGGTGCTGCCATTACAGGCGAACTGTTTACAAGTAGAATTCCAAGTTGGACAGTAGGTGAATCAGGCGTAAAACGTGGGCTTTGAGAGCGCCTATATGGGGATGAGAGGTGGGAATGGCTGTCCATGCAGTTATTCATCAAGGCGTTGGAAATTCTCATCTCACCAAGGTACGTACCCCTAGGCTCCAGACCACAGTGCAAATACAGTGCGTGCTTTTCTCTCGCTCTTGAAATGAAATCATGGGCATCAGGAAACGCAGTGGCGCTCGAAAACTGCTCCATACCAAACCTACACAATGATTTTGGTAAAATGAATACCGTGGCTTTTTGCCGTCGATTTTTTTCATTCGTTGATTTTTGCAGCCGTATTTTGCAAATTTCGCGGCTTATTGTTGCAAGGCAATTCACCTATTAGCCATACATGTAATGACGGGCACCTGGACAGCCATCCGCAAAACTCGGCTGTGAAGTATTGACAGCCAACAGAAAACCACGATGTTTAGAGAACTCAAGGGGCTACTATAGGAACGATGGTCAGCAGCAAGTAGTACCTAGGCTTGACCATATAGAACAAGGTACTGTAGAAAATTAATTCAATTTGCGAGTGATTAAATAGGGCATCCACATAGGCTTTCTTCTTCTTTCCTTAGAAAGGCCCCATATGGAACAAAGAGTTCTGCAAGTTAATGTTGCTTCCAGGTACTGGTTATATGACTGGCACGCCTTGGACATGGCTCAAGGGACACGGCAGGCACTCGCAATGACCCATTAAGGCGTTTACAAACCTGAAGTTTAAAACCAATCAGTGGCTTCTGGAGCGCATCTGTAAAGCCCAAGGCCTTTGATTTACCGCCCGACGGACTGGCTGATCGTGGGTGCCTCTTCGTCCGTCTTGCCCTCCATATAAACCCACGAAGCCCACCAGGCTGCGCCGCTCAACAACTTACCTCAGTTAAGGTGCCGGCTCATTACCAGTCAGCAGTTTCTTGCCCGTACTCTCATACCATTTTACCTATCTTTACCTTATTTTACGTCCAGTGTCTTTGCTGTGCTTTGAGCATCACACATCACACTTCACACATTACACTTCACACTTCACACTTCACACAACGCACTGCACGGCCTCTCAGGCACCGGCGCCCCTTCGACCTGCCTAATACGAGTGCCTGTCGACGCCTGATCCAGCTACGGGATCCAGCTACGGCCGCAGGTACTGCGCTAACACCAGCCCCAGGTAAGGCAAACCCATCGTTGGATGGCACCTTAGTAGCCGCATACCTGCTGCTAAACTCACCGATTTCCCTCTTTGGCCCTCCCCACCACAGCATTACCTCAGTTATAGCTACCCCTCGCCTTAGTTCCACACAAGCACCGCGTCCCTCCAATGCCGATTTGGCTTGATCGCGAGTTGCAACCACTTTTTTTTTCCTCGCGGGACTGATATTGGTGTTGATGCATTGGTCTGGCTCTCCAGATTGCCCATCTCCCATCCCCGGTGCATAGCTGCAGCCTCTCAGCCCTGCCACAGCCCTCAACGCTCATGCTCATGCTCATGCTCATGCTTATGCCTATCTCTATCTCGCACTCATCCTCACACACATGTTAATTTTCTGTAGCTGCCGCCCAGACGGCCCTCGCGTCGCCGTGACGTCTTTGGACTTCCAGGCTTCGTGCTGCCTCGATCCCGCACACCGGCCAGATGGGTTTGGCTCCAGCGACGTCCGACTTCCCGGGCCCCAAGGCCTCTCCTGAGCCAAGCTCGACCCGGCTGAATCCCTTCGATGACAGCGACGTCTCGTCCCGCAAGCGCCGGCGCACGTCTGCCTCGGGCTCGGGCTCGCCATCTGCATCGGTCGAAACAGGCGTCTATCTGTCCGACTCGGGCTCGAGCCCATTCTACACCACTGTCAACGCCATGCCGGTCCTGGACGGCGCAGTCCAGCCCAGCCAGGAATCCAAACAGCCTCGCACCCCGCCTCAGAATGTCGACTCGCCCACCATCCCTCCCGACCCCCCTGCGTCGAGAGGAATCACTATTAATCTTAGAAATCCGCCGTCCAGGGCGTCTACAGCATCTCCTACCCGTATGCGATATTCCCCTACTGCCGCTGCGCGCTACGTCTCTCCATCGACACTCCGAGAGCCAACCCCCGAAGAAGACAAGGCCAAGAAGAGCGTCGAGGAAGCTGAGCCTGACGTAGCCACAAATGCCGATGCCGACGATGGCCCACAGACTCCGCCAACAGGGTGGCGTGCCTCTCTCAGTCCCCCGATTGAAGAGCTGTTCCCCGGCGATCATGAGATGCCAGACCAGGCAGATGTCGAACTTGCCGCCAACACATTTAGCCCCCTCGATACCGGGAATGTTCCTCCTGCAGACCCTACTATGCAGTTTCCTTACTGTGATGCGGATACGCTACCAGAGACCGTGACTCGTCTGCATCAATTCCTGTCTGAACGTTAGTGTTTGGTAATACCTTGAGATCTATAGCCTCCAGATGCTAATCATATTGTGTAGAGCCACCAATAGAGCAAGAAGTGAGCATATACGAGCAAGTACGGGCGTGGTTAGACCTATATGTCCAGTTCGCAAAGGCTAGGACACCAGAAGATACCTTCAATTCGGTCTACAACAATAGGGTCTTCTGGCAATCATTCCTGGGTCTTTGCGGCCTCATCACAAATAAAAAGTATGTCATCATGGTAGAAGAACCTCGTCATCAGCTCGCTAACAATGCTCAGTCTCTCCCCTTCAGCTCCTCCAAGGTTACCAATCCTACAAAGATTGGCATGGAAGTTTTCCCACTCTTTCGTTGCGCTCACAGCGCAGCTTGTCATCGTCGATTTCCATACTGTCCGCGACTGGCAAGCCGGTGCTTTTCAGTCCAGTTCTGAGAGCCCGTCATTGATTTCTATGGACTATCTTCGACAGCTTCATCAATTAGCCCAGCGCAGCAACTATGGTCCCGGCAGTGACCCTGATTCGCCTAATTCTGCTTCATTGGGCCGATCAAATTTAATTGCATTCTTCATAGAACAACTGCATGACTTTACTCTCGAGGTCATCGACTCACTTTGCGTGTTTGCAACGGGTCTCATTGAAATCGTACAAGCTTTCCCGAGACTGGTCAATATTCTCACACCTGTTATTCAATCTCTCACAGATTGTCTGAACGAGTCTTGTCGTCCTGTGCGCCCGGGCGAACCAGATGAGATGACTGTCAAGTCGAACTTGATTCATGTCTACCATGTATGGGGAGACTTTTCATCGCTCTTACTCGAAATCATCGAAAAGCACGTCGGAACTTTAAGCAGTGACGGTGTTTCTGCGCAAATCCAAGCGTTGGCGGAATTGCTCAGGCGTTGTCTGCTATATGACGGTGAGGGAAACATTACATTGCTAAACGAGCACAGGGCAATGTATCCAGATATCGAAGGACCACTTGTTTACGAAGCCATATTATGGGGGTGGAAAGTGGGCATCCTTGAGAGATTGATTAAATCTAGCCAGATGCCGTTGCGGCTTATGTCCGTCACTACCATGTGTTCCGAACTCGTCACTGCTTGGAAACGATATGGCATTCAAAGTGCAGTCCCAAACAGGCAGTTCACCAATCATTTGGGTCGCCTCCTCCTCCAGACAGAACTGATAGACTACATCCTCGGCCCGAATTGCCATCCAGAGCTCATCACTGAAAGCGCCAACATCATTGGATACTTGATTGTTACTAAATTGTACGATCAGGCGCATACCGATCGGTTGTGGCAGGGAATTACAGAGACTCAGGACCCCCGCGTAGCGAAAGCTGTTGCCAAGATGGCAAACTCGGTCGCTAATCTTCTCGATTATCCTACGCTGATGTCTCTCTGTGAGAAGCTCCAAGCTCTTCCAACCCCCGATTTCAACCAGGCCACCAAAGCCCTCTGGGATACCATACACCAGGAGCTGCTATCGCGATGCAGAGCGGAGGGAATAACTCTCGGCTTTCTTCCATATGACCTCTGCTTGAGATTGTTGAGGGAGGCGTTCATATCTTCAGATGACCCTCAACCGCCCAGCATGGAAGCGCAATCAGCAGCTATGGACAAGTTCAGAGCCCTTTTGCAATTTGGCCCGGACAGCCAGGGGCGTCAAGAGTTATATTCTAGCTGTATCAAAGATATTGCAGCCAAGTCCCCCACCACACTGGGTAGTCTATGCTGTCTAACAATGGCTATTCGTCCGAATATAGCTGATGAGATGGACGTTCTCATCCAAGAGCATGACCTCGTACGATTGTTAGTGGAAGAGCTGGGCCACGCGGTTAAGTTAGCCCGGACTACCAGCGCCTCTTTGGTATTCCATGGACGCTTTAACCAGCCAAGGAAAGATTTCATTGCGAATCTCGTTCGCCTCCGACCAGACGCAATATCCGAAGATTTGGGTAAAAGGCTTTGGGACCTACTCGTCGGGCCGGCTTGTCTTTCCGATGAAGATCGAAATGCGGGATGGGAGGTCTTCATGGATTTTGGCCCCGGGAAGGTATCCAAAAATCCGTTTCTGCAGCTCTGTTTTTCTCAGTATCTGCCCGATCTCCCCCCTTCCTGCTTTAGTCGTGGAATGCTCCTTTGTGTCAAGAAGATTGTCCTCGCAGCAGTAAATAATGCTGAGGTGGATTGTGATCTTGATGATGAGACGTTCCTGAAGGGAAACGGCATTGAACAGCTCTGGCGTTTCGTCATGGGTACCAGCCATGCCTCAAATGCGGAGGACGCGATTGGTAGTTTGGCCGTTGGCGTATACATTAAGAGCCAAGCCATTACGGCATATCCCTTCAATCGAGCCCGTCGGGTTCAATCAGCTTTTGTCAACCGCTGTTTGAGCCAGTTGAAGGACTCTGCGATGAAGATTATGGCATCGAGCGATGGAGCATCAAGCGGCGAAGATGAGCCAATGGTGATGGTCGCAACTGAGGAGGAAATGCTAGAGCAAGAGCGCATCTTCACTAGAGCCTTGCAGCTTCTTAGGGTCTTTATGGAGTTTCATTATACGAAACCCACCCTGTGCGCTCCCGATTTCCGATCAATTTTTCATGAGGCGCCGTGCCAAGTTGAAGGAGATCTCACGGCACTCAAATACCAGTCTTTTGACGATGGCCAAGCAACAGCAATAAAGCCATTACACGTCGGTAAACTAAACACGGCGGCCGAACTGATATCCAACTTGAAGTTCGAGACCGGCTTCGACAATTATCGTGCGTTTTACCGAGGCCGGCAGTTCCTCCCCTTGGCGAAGCAAGTACGTGCATCTCTAGAGAGCTTGCACGTTGAGGAAGGCATGATATTAGTGAAACGCGAAGAAAATGACCTTTCAGGCTCGACCCAAATCCCGTCTGCCGCATCGCCACTTGAGATTCAAGTCATGTCTCACTTCTCGGAGCTCTGGGGCTACCTGAGCTTGGACGATAGAATCGCAAAAGAGGTATACAGCCTCCTTATCAAGCTCCCTACCGGCCGCCACATCATCAACTTGTTTGAGAGCCCAACAACGGTGTACACAGACCTCTTTCCCCCAGGACAGCCTTACAAGTTTCTATATGCCATTCAAGCCATTTCTAAGCACATTGAGTCTGTTCGTTTGGCAGAATCTAACAGCAATAAAGTTGGGATCTCATACAAAGAGGCTCTGAGGACTTCTTCCTCTCTGGTATCGCAAGCAATTTCCGATGAGAGTCTTCTGGATCAAATAAACCCTGTGTTGCAGGTTGAGCTCATGGGAGCTTTAATGCATACATTTACGCAACTCTTACGAAATACGCGGCTGTTGGGGGAATCGCCCTCCGAGGACGGAGTCACGTACCCGGATCCAGGTCGCCTTGTCAACATCTTGGCCGACGCAGCAAACGGTGTGGAAGGGGAGTCCTCGCTGCCTTTAATCGACACCACCCTCTCGTCCATACTACAACTATGTCTATCGCGCAGTGCCTTCATGAAGGATATTGTTAATCTTGCCTCGTTCAAGAAGCTCCTTCATAGATTGATTCTGCTTGACCCCCGCTTAGCGGTAAGGAGGCTCGTTGTCGACATGATCAAAAGGGCAGTGCGAATGGAGGATGACTCTGCAAATGCTTTCCCAGAAGATGCTAGACCGCCCTCTGTGCTGATGCAATACTTCTGGTTGGTTATTTCGGATCTTCTATTTGAAGCGACTGGTTCTCCTCACCAATGCCAGGAGTTCTTCGATGGAATTGACTATCTCTTCTGCAAGGCTGCTCAAGCTATACCCTGTGAGGTTAATATTCCACTCTTCGCTGGACAGGTCTGTGAGCTGCTGCTCAACCACACTTCCACTGAACAGCTTGATCAACCAGAATCACAAGATCTTGTTGCAAATGGTCTATTAACTCTTCTACTGGGATGTCTGCAATTGGATTGCACGCTATCTGCCTCTCGGATCTTGCCAGACAATCTTGCTGAGGTTTTCTTTCAAAAGCTCCTTTTCCCACAGCGCCGACTGCAATCAACACAACCTGTGCAAAGGGTGCTGCTGAGGAAAGAGACGCGAGCAAAAATGTACGGAGCAATTTTCATAATGATTAAGGACAATCCGAGAAGATTTGGCTCGATACTCCAATGCCTCAATTCCCTCGTCCCGTATTATTCAGAGGACGAAGATGGTAACGATACTTATATATACGATCTGCCATACCAATTTGATCGCAATAAGGCCATTCGAGCGCATGGCTATGTGGGCTTGCGGAATCTCTCAAACACGTGCTATTTGAACTCATTGCTCACCCAGCTCTTCATGAACGGTGAATTCCGCCGATTCATACTCGCATTCAACATTGAGGATCCCAATGATTCTCAACAGCTGTTATTTCATACGCAAAAACTGTTCGGCTATTTGCAAGACAGTTATCGCCGTTGTATCGATCCAGGTCAATTGGTTAACTCTATCAAAACTTACGACGACGTCCTAATTGACATTCACAACCAAATGGACGTGGAAGAGTTTTACAGCTTGTTTTTTGACCGATTAGAATCTCAGCCGATGACGGATGATGAGAAAAAGAAGCTGCGGTCAATATACGGTGGGCAGCTGGTCCAGCAAGTCAAATCGCAGGAGTGTGAGCATGTATCTGAACGTCTCGAGCCATTTTCTGCAATACAGTGCGATATTCACGGAAAGGTCTCGCTCCGTGAAAGCCTCGATGCTTATGTTCGTGGAGAGGTTTTGGAAGGTGGTAAGTGAACCACATTCGTATCACCTTGTATTGACTGGAATTGCTTTGGCTTACAAAGGGTGCTACTATAGATAACAAGTACAAGTGCTCCTCTTGCGACCGACATGTTAATGCTGTAAAAAGGTAAGTCTTGGGAGACGAGGGAGGAAAAAGGAATATCTAAAAGTCACGGTTTACTAATCGAGTAAACTTAACAGGGCATGCTTGAAAGAAGTACCAGATAATTTGATCTTTCATTTGAAACGATTCGAGTTCAACCTTCGTACACAACAACGAAATAAAGTCAACGACTACTTCTCATTCCCTCCCACAATCGATATGCGGCCGTACACAATCGACCACCTGAGTAACCCAACGAATACGGATCAGCAAGACGATATGTTCGAACTGGTCGGTATCCTCATTCACGCGGGCACGGCGGAATCAGGTCATTACTATTCCTATATCCGAGAGCGGACATCGACGTGGGACCGTCCTAGCTGGGTAGAATTCAATGACGATGTCGTAACGCCATGGGACCCGCGTCAAATGGCGGCCAGTGCCTTTGGCGGTACCGCGGGACAGCCAACGGGACTTGATTCAGGTGGAACGGGCTTTGATAAAACTTACAGCGCCTACATGTTGTTCTATCAGCGCTCGTCATCTCTCCTCGCAGAGCAGCAAGCGCTGCTGTCTACTCAGGAGGTCAAAACTCCTCTCCACGTTGATACTGACATCACTCCGCTGAAGGAACATATTCTCAATGACAATACGGTCTTGCTCAAACGACACTGCCTGTATGATCCCAGTCACGTTGAGTTCGTACAGCATTGTTTCAGGCACGCAAAGTTGCTCGAATATGAACCATCACCCAGCCCAGATGAAGAGCAATCTCAAGATTCAGGCCACGGCGCAACGGCCACACATCCTCACGCATTGAAAACACTGGCCATGGAGATGGCTCTCAGCCACTTTGACCAATTAGTGACTCGAATTGAAGGCACACCAAACTTTGATTCATTCGCGGCCATGATTCAATCGGCTGTAGTGGATTGCAGAGACTGCGCTTTTTCATTTTTCGAGTACTTCAACATCCGTCCCGAGGCATTTAGGGCTTTAGTGCAACGGAATCCAGACGCCGACGTTCGTGCCTTTACTGGCACCACGATGGTTACTGTACTGAGGAAAATCGCCACTGAGATGCCGCAGATTTATGATCGACTAAGCCGAATTGATGATGAGAACGAGTTAGCTTCTAATTCTTCAGGCCACGAAGAGTCTCTTCTGAAACCATACGTCTTGGAAGAGGTGATGGTCAGCTTCGACCGTCTTTGGCGATTCTTTCAGTTTCATCTTCGCTCCTGGGATGAAGTCTTTGGCATGATGCTCCAGTTTGCCCAGCTAGGGCCACGAGAGGTAGCATACTTGTTGTCTAACGACTTTCTGCTCAAATTGCTGCGCATCATTGCGGCCGATGCGTCCATGGAGCTGCCACCCAACTACGCAAAGATGTTACACACCATCTACCGGCGGCCAGCTAACCGACCACCATCGTATGAATCGATCCTGAAACTCATCAGCTACCTTCTATCGCAGCTTGAGTCTACACTAGGTTCGCAGTACATTGTCGACGCGCCAGAAGATCGACTGGCCTTCCACGAGCCACCGTTTCCCTGGACCTCGGATGAAGTTCACCTCATCCACCACCACCCAGACCGTCAGCTGTCCAGCATTTTCGTCGAAAAGCTACTCGGGATTGATCAAGCACGTGAAGCTACCCACAGCATCCTAGGCCGCTTGACCGCATTGTCGACTCAAATGGACCTCAGGGTGTATACCACTCTGCGGAGAAAGATTCAAGGAGATACGACAACGGAGCCATTAGATCCGTTCCTAAGAGGCGCCAGCGTTTATTTGGAAACCACGCTTTCTGCTAGCCACAGCCAGAATCTCATGCGCCACATCGCTGCGCAGGCTGAGAGCCTACATAGCACTGAAGGCATGGCGTTTCTGGAGCACTTCCAGGCGTCACTAAATTTGAAGAGAAAAGATGGGACAATGGCGCAAACCACGGCAGCTAGTAGCCTCGAGACTTTGCCAGACTGGGTACCTCATCTTCTTGCATTCCCAGATAACGAGTTGAGGTACAATACCGAGCGCTTCCTAGATGCGGTACTCTTCAGCTCGGCACCAAATATCTCAGCAGAAGATACAACAATGCAGGATGGAAGAGAAGGCACAAGAGATGTCATCCAAAGGTTGGGAATAGCGTGCCTGCTCTATCTTCGAGATGCACATATAAGACGTCGCATTCTGATCGGACGTGATACTGCGGTCGCCATGGTGCGAGTAGTTGGTAAATGTGCAGACTATTTCAGTTTGGACGCGGAAGACGACGACAATGGTTCAGATTTCAGAATGCTCCAAGACGGTATGCACCTATTATTCCTTGACTAGTCATTATGGGGGTATCCGGTATGCGCTCTATGCTAATACCATCCAAACAGAAGTCGTAGGCTCCTTGAAAAGATTTGTCGTTGATGAGGATGTAGAGGATGATGGTTCCGGTATGCTTCATACCGTTCATTAATTGTGCCCTCATGTTTATCGGCCCGTTACTGACCTGGCCTCACGCATTCTAGATTGGGAGGGTTCTTGCATCTCATCAGACCCGGTGGATTGTCAGCCGGACATTGGAGTTCAGCAAATTGGGGAGCCGGATGATGCAAACGCTATATGAAGCGTGTTACTGCTTCTGGAAGAAGGGTGATTTAACAAACTTGCTTGATTTCGATAGAGAAGCAAGTATGGAGTTTATGGGGTCCAGGTCGATGTTTACCATCTTATCTTGTTTCTTTTTCTTTTCTTTTACTGGTGTGCTTTTTCTCCTTTTTATCTCTTTACTTTTACTCCCCGGTCTCATCATACGCCTCCCTCCCTATGTCTTGTTTTCTCAACCCGACGGATTAATCAACGCAACGCCGTCGGCTGAAGCAAGAAGCACAAATAGAAGCGCATGGGTGAATAGGCTCTGTAAGACCAGATGGTGGATTTGGGCATAGCATCGGGGCGAAAGGCGCAGGGAAATCCCAGCTCACTATGAGATAGCAGTTACGAAATCACGAACTAAGGCAAGGAGAAGGGCTTGTTAACGCGGCAATAGACTGGTATGAAGCAATGTTATACCAACGGTTTTCTTTTTTGTTATTTTTTTTTCCCCCTTTAGCCTCTTGGGGTTTTTAGCAGAGGGCAGCCACATCATCGTTTAGGCAAGATGACACAGATTGTACGCTGAGATTGAGTTGAAGCTTAGCTGTAATGCTATCTATTTATGTGCGAGAAATATCGTCTCCAAAAGATGCCGAGACTCGACCGATTGCGAGTGTTGGAACGTACAATATAGAGCGACTCGTAGATAATGTCACTTAATTTACCGCGACCATGTTGATCGATGAATATAGTTGACGTAAGTATATACACATGCATTTACTTTTGAAGTACATGCCATCTAACTTCTTGATACTAACTGCCTAATGATTTATCATGAGATTGTCAACAAGCTTCAGTCGGAACCGAGCTGGTCCAATACCCAAGCCGGCGGCGCATAAAAGGTGGTTCCCGTCAGAGGCGTGGAAAAGTCAAGGATGCGGTCGTGTTTGCCGGGAGGATCGCCGACAAACATGCGCTCCAGCATCTTCTCAATCACCCACAGGCGGCGCGAGTAGCCGATGAAGTAGGTGCCGAAGACGCCGGACCCGGGAGAGCCAAAGGGCATGTTGTCGCGCATGATGCTGTGCTCGTTGCCCGCCTCGTCCTCAATGGTGGCCAGCGTCTTGTGCGCCTGCTGGTGGCCGTCGGGCTGGTCGTCGAGCTCCATGTTGTCCATCTTGGTGCGGCCGATGATGGCCTCCTGGGCCTCCGTCGACAGGCCGGTCCAGCCGGCCATGTCGTGGACGTACTTTTGCACGACGACGTAGCTGCCGCCGGCGCAGTCCGAGTCCTCGTCGGCGATGAGCACGGCGGGCGGCACGTCGGGGCCGATGGGGTTTGCCGTACCGTCGACGAAGCCCAGCAGGTCGCGGGCGTCGAAGTAGCGGAAGCCCTGGGTGTCGTCGACGACGGCGGCGGCGTCGCCGAGCTTGAGCAGCAGCTGGCGCTCAAACTCGAAGCAGATGTCGCGGCGGTCGGCGCGGATGTGGAAGAGCAGGTCGCCGGGCGTGGACACGGCGGTGTGGCGGGCGCCGGCGATCTGGCGGAAGGGGTGCAGCTCTTTCGGGCGGTGCAGGCCGGTGCCGGCAGTGAGGGCGTCCCAGGCGTCGGAGCCGATGCCGACGGTGCAGGAGAATTGCGAGTTGAGGTCGCGGAGGGAGACGTTCTTGGAGAGGTCGGCGATGCTGGAGAGGGCGGAGCGGATGGTGTTGATGGCGGAGGGGGAGGGATTGATGGTGAGGACGAGGAAGGTCGCGGCCTTTGTTAGAGGGGCCTGGACAGCCTGGGGGACGCTCATTTTGGCGGTGCTAGTGGTTTTTGATGGGGATTTTGATGATGTTGATATTAATGCTGATGTTGATGCTGATGAGTGTGCGAGGGGTATATAGGGTCTATATGTGGGAGAGAATGAGGACGATGAGGGTGAGTGTCGTCGTGATGCTGAGAGCGACGAGCGGGGTCTTTGTTGACGGAATCGAGACTGAGATTGAGCTACAATCAGGCGATGGCAATTCTGGCTGCAATCTCCAACGAGTCTCTGGCTTCGAAGCTGCACGGCACTTGTAGCAATGCGATTGACTATCGCGTCCATGCCTCACTCAATTCAAGCAGACGAGAAGAAGAAGAAAAAGACGAAATAAAAAAGGCCACCGAGATGAGGAGGTTTTGCTTATTTATTTACAAAAGGGAAAAAAGCTATGGTGTGATGAGCTACCCATTGGTATTTGTGGCAGCACCTTGGATTGGGATTAGCCGCTGGTTAGCATATTGGCGTTAGCATGTGCCTTTTCCTTTCTTTGGATAGGAAGCCATTCTAGATTGAAGCTTTTGGCGGGCGAAGATGCTTAGCTGGGAAAGTTCTGTGACGTCAACGGTGGAGGAGGGATCCGTTCTGTGAGATCCGAGGGGATTCCGAGATTCGAGCGGCCAATCGGAGGGTGGGGTTTGGTCAGCCGGGGGGTGCTCGGTATCTTTTTCTTTTGGAGCTACCCTGGACTCTATGATTTGTGTACTTTGTGATGCTGTGATGTAGAAGGTGATTGTATTTGTCTTATTGTCGGTGTCACAAATACATTGCCTTGTGTGTAGCATGTGTTTGTGTATTTAACCCCATTTGTAGCACAAGGAGAGCGCGTGTGTTGAGTTAGATTGGTGAACTCCCATCTGCTGCTACAAGCCATATATAGATTACTGAGAAGAGGCCAATGAAGTATTATAAGTGCCATGCAAAGATGAGCCTAAATATTGTCCCATCAATTGACTAAGTGAAACACGCGAGATACTTTGTGTATATGCTTATATACCTGGGCCCAGATGTACTCTCTTCTCACTTCAGAGGTCTAGCTTTGGAGAGAGGCGGAGCTTTGTGTGCATCCTCTTAGAATGAGATGAGTGGAGTTGGCGACTTAGTCTCCCGCGGTGGGTATTTTGGACAGAGGCTTAAAGAAGATGCTATTGGCTAGAGCTTTAGAAAGGAAAGCTAAGTCAATAATTCGAGCGGACCCTTGATTCGGCTACGTATACGAGTAGCTCATGATCATGGTAGCGATACCGACAGACGACACTACTTTGTTCGGCATTAGTAATTATACTCTCGTAGATCATTCCGCTACGGGCGTAGTGTTGATATAGGTAGGCGTATTGGGACTTTAGCACGTCTGGACATCTTGCGAATTATGGCTCTCACTAGCCAACCCAAGATCTGCCTAACGCGATGAATCGCCGGCAATCGCGGAAAGTTGAGATTTCTTTGAGCATTATGTTCTGCCAATATGCCATCTATATGTACTGTATGCCACATTTGTTCCAATCCCCATCTACTCTCTGTTTGTAAATCTTCGACTCGGCTTGTCGCTCGGGCCATTGCCACCACCCTATTAATTTTATGTTGCCTTGCCTTTGTATGGTGTCAGTCCCCCTGATCCCCGATCTTCCTGTTACAGTAAGCCAAGGTCAATCGCCCTCGCATTAACTTGATCTGCAATAAGACGTTTCCGAACACCGTGAAGTCGGATCTACAAATCGGGTCCTCTTGGAATATTGACTATTTCCCGTCAGGGTTAAAGAGAGTCTTGGTTAAAACAACCTTACGAAGTATTTCCAGTGAAGGTCATGAAAGTCAATGATGCAATTCCTACTCTGCCGTGTTTAACCAAGGATTGGATGATGGAACGGTGTATCAATGGCATGTGTGACTTGAGTTTTATGACGAGATGCTACCAATATTTGCTAGACATTTTACGCTTTTGGAAGGGAGCTAGTGTTTGAACCCATGCTGTCTCTGTAACCCTTGCTTTAAATGGGCGAGCCGACTGCACGATTGCCCGCCTGACTTGCTTATTTTGTCTATGATCTCCAGAATTTGGATGGCTAATTGGTGTTTGACAGCTTGTGGATTTTGTAAGACGTAAGGTTGGGATTACTAGGGTGGGAAATGCTGCGCGGAAGGTATTACGAGAAAGGCCTATAAGCGTCGATGCCCTCTATAAAAGGCATTGCTTTACCCTTTGCATCAGCATCTTTCTCTATCTTTTGCCTATACGCATAGCTACATCGTCAAAATCTCTTATATTAAGCAACCACGAAGTTCGATCTGGCTTCTTTTGTCATTCTGGCAAGTGCGGCTCTCGTTCAGGCAGGCTGTATGGAGCATATAAGATTTACAGCCTCTGATGAAATGTCGTCGATGATTGCGTACTAACGGATTTGGGAGTTCAGGGCAAAAAATGTGGAGGATTTTTTTGATTCCGATTGTTGCAAGCCATATAAGTGCCTCAACTCTATCTGCAATGTAAGTTACCTCCCGTATTTGTTAGAGCATGATTACTGGTAGCATGTTGATGTGGTCAAAAATCTCAGCCTTAGAAATTTGGCATTTGTATTGCGCAATAACGGTTGTCTGCCTCTGGAGGAGAAAGTCATTGGTCTTTGTATGGAGTTCTCCACTGAGTTTAAGCTGGGCCGGCCTTTGGAGGAATGAGGATCAGAATAAATACACATATAGTACAAATGTAGGTGCGAAAATAATATTATATACGTGACGGGCTGGTCTCGACTCTGGTACCCGGCTACTTATGTATCGTAATAGCTTGAACGAGGATATTGACAACTGGCTAGGCGATGTATATGGGTATCTGAAGCTAAGGGAAAAAAAAGAGGGAGAATAGGAAAGGGAGAGCTTAAGGGCTGCCATCAACCTCGGCCCGTTTCATGTAGATCGTAGCTTAAATGCTTTGCGAGGCGTTTCCTAATGCACAAGGAGGGAACTTAGATAAGAAATTTAGTTTCGTTTAGTAGATTAGAAAACTATCGAAAAGTACTGCGAGGTTAATATGTATTGCTTTTGGGATTCTATTTTATTTTTACAAAATTTTACCTATTTAAATGAATACACAAACCTTGGCATGGAATCTATTTGTCAGGATAACCACTAAACGGTCACCATATTCCCAAGCCACAGGTGAATATACTATCGAATTATTTAATTTCAGCAATTCGCCTTAGGTTTAGGGTTCATTATACTTTTCGTTTACTTCTCATGTATTTTTCATCGTCCCCTCCTTTCGCCCCATCCAGCGCACGAAGTAGGATTCGAATACGTATATAATAATTCCCCCCCCCCTTAACAGACCTTCCCCCCTTCTCTCTACATAAGAACATCTTACGCCCATTCTTTGAATATGTTTCCTTCTCTCCGTCCTCCTCCCGTACTAAAAGTAACGATGGATCACCTATTTTGGGATGGAAGAATTCGAATTGCTATGGAAGACTACCTCTATTCCAAGAACACTAGTCTCGAAGCAAAGCAAGCACTCCTTCGGTACATAGAAACAAGTCCAAACTTTGCAAATCCGGATCCAATCATCAATTTGGAAGAGTACGACCTGCGACTGATGTTCATTCCCGATCTTCAAAGGTCTTACCGCAAGTTTACTTCCAGTCAACGCAATAATGATGGGAACTTTCAGTTTACGACTCTGCAGATGTCGTATCTTCTGTTAATTCCTCTGGGAAAACTCAGTGATCTCGTCAGGAATCCTATGGCCACCATCGTGCCATGGCTCAACTTGGAGACATATATTTCTTTCAGTGAGTTCTCTCATATATTTTTCCTACATCTAGTAAATCTACATACGTCTACTAGATCTACCTACATCTACTAGATCTACCTATATCTACTATATCTACCTATATCTACCTATATCTACCTGTATCTACTAGATCCACCTATATCTACTAGATCTACCTATATCTACCTATATCTACTAGATCTATCCAGATTTAGTGCCGGTTTCACGGATTGGTGTACACTTACTAAGTTTATGATCTAGTGGTTCGAGGCAGAATACTGGATAATGTTTCCACTGGTACACGCGCAGTTTCCCAAACACCCCCCAGCAGTTCTTGTAGCCAGCTTACGGACGACACAATAAGTATTTGCCGAAATACAGACGAACGAGACAAGTGCATCGCTCGAGATAATGGAGCCTGTATCCTAACAGGGGCGGCATTCCCTGACGTTTGTCCTATTTTACCATTCTCAATCAATGCAAACGACGAAGGCCTTGCTCATTACCGCACTCAACACTCCCTAGCGATGTCTCTTGTTGACGAAAAATACCTAGTTAATATACCTAACCTTCTTGGCTCTGAGCTTGGTTGCTCTGACAAAGTCTGGAATATGCTCTGCTTACATCCGGCTCTCCGCCAATGGTGGGAGAAATGTCTCTTTGGTCTAAAGTGCCTTAGGATTATTCCTTCGCCCAAAAGTGATGGCAAATGCACTATTCAGCTCCAGTTTCATTGGATGCCTAGGAATGGGTTGGACCCGCAAGTGTATGCTCAGCCTGATCGCGATACCTTCGAGAAAATGCTACAGATAATGTCGCCACAGGAAGAAGACTTGACTACTGAATTACGAAATCCTTGCTCTCAACGACTCAAAACCGGAAATGTCTTCAGCCTCATCATGCCGGAAGAAGACGCAACCAAAATGAAGGGAATGATTGACATCCAGTGGGCCAACGTAAAGCTTGCAACGATTTCTGGTGCGGCAGGAAATTGGGAACTGCTGGAACATTCTCCTCACGAGTTTGATGCAAATCCCGACCCCGTCGTATATTGGGATGATGGCTGGTCGCGAGAGTAGCAGATACTAGAAGAGGGTAGCGATAGTATCAGATACTAGAAGAAGCCAAGTACTTGAAAAGTGCTTAAATATATTGTCAGATTCAGCGCTGCCCAACTGTGGTGGCCCAGATCAGCCTGATTTCCGTGCAATCATATCGCAAGAACGTGTCTACATGCATCAATAACCATAAATCTCTTCCAATTATTCCATTCAGTCACCCACCATATCCATCCCCGCAGTGACGTGGCAGCCATAATGTTTGTCACACAGTCCAATCATTGTGTTATCTCTCTTGTTGGAAGAACGTCACGAATTTCTCCCTCCCTAGTGAGACTGGCTCCAGGGAATCGACCACAATTGTTGGAACACGTTTATGAATCTAGCGCACATCTATTCTACCTGACTTCTTAGTTCCTTGGATTGTGTTCCTTGGATGCTGATTGTGTTCCTTGGATGCTGTCTTCGTATTTCTTACCGAGGTGCGACATAATGTGGGCTAGTGACCCAGCGACATTCAACAAGAAGATGCTTCTGCTTGGACAGCACAAGCAAACTGCCGACGTTACCAGTGTGCTCCCCGAGGGGTTCTTGCCATGCTACGGTCGTAAGAAATCCTATCGCCGAACTACAGTGATGATGAAATCGGCCGCTGGCTGTGGGGTGATTTCGAAGTCCGCCGTCGCTCCGCGGACAGATACATAAACAAGTATCTAGACTGCTTACAAGGGGTGCCCGACGAACAATCTAGGCATTTCTGTGAGATAAATGACCTGGCCGATGCGGGTCCCTCCACAGGTGCTGATGCCGAAGAGCAACCAACCAGCGCGTGTAGAGATGCTAAAGTGTTGTCACTAGCCATACGAGAACCAGATGCTACAAACGAGACAAGAGAAGAATCGCGCCTTAGAATCTCATACGACAGTCTCACCCGTGATCTATTGGCCATGTATGAAACACTCGAGCAGCTCAAGAGGAGGCAGTTGCGAAGAAGAAGCAGTGTTCTCCTTATTTATGGGTTTTTCGTATCCTTAAGCATGCTGTAGGTCCGAGCCTGAGTCTCCTGAGCTCCGCAAGGCTTTGTCTTACGTATTTGATACATTAAAGCTACGTCATGTGGATTTATACCTACCCCTGACGAGCTGTTGTAATTTTCGCGGCCGCAAACGCGATCATAGTCCTATGCTACTACTCCCAGATCCACAATTAGGTTAGGGCAATGCGGATTGGGAGCTGTCAAGAGAAGATTAGAACTTTGTATCGGAGACTCAAAAACGTTGAGCTTGGTGAACGGAACAGAGCGAATCTCAATGAATGCCAATTGGACCGATATGTCAATTCAGGAAGTGTATGAGGGAGATACTTCATAGAATCTGGTTTTCCTTAAACAGAGAAGGTTCTCTATTTGAATCAGTGTTACACTTGCCACCCGGAAAGACTTTTGAATTATGCTCCATGCTGCTTTATTTTGTATAAAGAGTAACTACATCCGCCAAAGGTATCTCAGGCTATCCTATCCATGAATCAATCATAGGTTGTATAAATCTTCAACAATTTATGCAGCAACCTTGGCCTCAGTAACCTGTCGGAGGCGAGCTGCAAGATCCTTGTCAACATATGAGAAGTATTCTATTGATGCAATCATTAGCACTAAAATCTCATCACAAGTGGAGGTATTTCGTCAACTCACCATAGACCCTGCTTCGGATCGTTGCATTCTTGGCTCCAGACAAATGACCCGCCAAGTTGTTAACGAATCGCTCCTGGTGGCCCTCTTGTTGGCCGAGGACGTGCCACAGTGCAGTCGCCTGTTCAAAGTCCTCTGGGCCGATCTGGCTAGTGAAGCTGCTGACTTCGCCAACCCACTTCTCGTGCTCGGTGATAGTGGTGCTGACCTTTCCGGCGGCCTTGAACGTCGTGGGCTTGAGCGAGGAGTTGAGGTAGTTAGGGTCAGCGCCGTAGTTATCCGTGAAGTTCATGAAGCCATCACGCTGGAAGGGAGCGTAAACGGGGGCCTTGCTGCGGTTGGTGGGGAGCTGCTGGTAGTTGACGCCGAGACGGTATCGGGCAGCGTCGGGATAGGCAAACATACGAGCTTGCAGGACTGTTTAAGGCGTGTCTGGTCAGCAAGTGATATCATTTGACTTGAAAGAACCAATCATGTTTGTAACATACTGGGATCAGCAGATGGGGCAATGCCGGGAACCATAGTGGATGGCGAAAAGGCGGCCTGCTCGATATCGGTAAAGTAGTTTTGGGGCTAAGCGGTCTAGATCAGAACACTTTCTTTTCAAAATCAATGGTGGGGAAAGAAGCAAACTCACGTTACGGTTGAGCGTCAGGCGACCAATCTGGCGCAGAGGGAAGTCCTTGTGAGGCCACACCTTGGTCATGTCGAAGATGTTCCACTTGTAGGTCTCAGCCTCCTTGGGGTCCATAACCTGCACGAAGACGTCCCACTTGGGGAAGTTGCCCTGCTCAATAGCCTCGAAGAGGTCCTGGGTGTGGAAGTCGGGATTTTCACCAGCAATCTTTGTGGCAGCCTCGGCAGTGAAGTTCTTGACGCCATCCTGAGCCTTGAGGTGGAGCTTGATGTACTTGAAGCTGCCGTCCTGTGGATTCGAAAGCTCGCATTAGTATGTATTGATGGGTCTATTCTAGAGTTGAAGCGACCTTACCTCCTTAGTGAACTTGTATGTGTGACCGCTGTAGGCGTTGATATTGCGCAGAGAAGCGGGGGTGCCTCGGTCGTTGAAGAGGTGCATAAGAGCGTGGATACCTTCAGGGTTGCCAAGGTGGAAGCTGTAAGGAGCATCGTGTTAGATGGATGATTCTTCTAGACTTTTACATGTGACGTTGCTTTGCTTTGTATGGGTACTTACTCCCAGAACTAGGCAATTAATGTTAGTAAATCACTTGACTTTTGAAAACTAGCTGAGATAGTGACATACCATATCCGAGTCGGCCAAGTTTGTTTGAGGGTGGCGCTTGTGGGAACGGTTAAGCGAAGGGAACTTGATGGGGTCACGGACGAAGAAGACGGGCTATTGGATCTGTTAGCAACTAAATCAAAACTATTCGCCACCACTCCAATAGCTTACAATGTTGTTGCAGACAAAGTCTTGGTTTCCTTCGTCAGTGTAAATCTTCATGCCCCAGCCGTGGACATCTCGGCAAGTGTCGGCAGAGCCTCGCTCAGGGCCGACGGTTGAAATACGGAGAAGCACGTCTGATTTCTTTCCAACTGTGTTGAGGAAGCTGGCAGAGGTGATGTCGGTGCAGTCATGTGTACATTCGAATTCACCGTAAGCACTGATGTTTTGTTAATACTGCTGTAGAAAGGTTGCGTATAAGTCATAAGCGAGAAAAGCTTACCCAGCAGCTTTGGCGTGAACAACACTAAGAAGAAGCATAATGTTAGTCCCAATGTGCTCTAAAAAAGCTAAGACTCTTCGCTGATGTATTTACCGTTCGGGGATTCTTTCACGGTTAAAGTGAGCCAGCGTCTCAATCAGCTGGGTATCTTGAAGCAGCACGAGGCCTCCGCCTGAGCCATTGCGCACTTGCACGCTAGTGGCAGGAGTAGGGTACGGGCAACCTGAAAGGAGGTCGTGTTAGTTGAAACGGTAAAGTATTGATGCTATTGGGTGGAATGGGAAGTCAGAGACATACCCTCGGCACCGGTGTAAAATGAAGACATGTTGATTGGATATGAGATTATGGTGGTGATAGACCAAGAATCAAGATGGAAGATGATGATAGTGATAGAGGTTGATTGATGTGGCAATGAGTCCCGGGGATGAATGACTGATATAGTTGATTCTATCTTCCGGTTTCCTTTCGTCCTCCTTGTCCCAGTTTTTTGACTCACACCGACACTGTTCAAGCTTCTCATTTAATCTAACATGTTGCAACCTATACACTGTCTTCTGTCTCATAGCATACGCAAAGTCTCGCTCAGCCTTGGAATGACGCTCACTCCCGATTCCCGACACCGAGTTCCATCCGAACCGTCTCGGCCGTATGAGTGGGGTTCCGGGCAATCGTCTAACGGTTCTAACGGTCCCCCACTCGGTACCGATGCCTGCCAAAAAATTCTAGTATCCAATGACAGCATAGCGAAAGATTTCGATTTTGCTTGTGACTGGTGGTTTGTTATTGTCTACGTAGCTGGGCGTTGTAGAAGCCCTCATGTTCCCTCCAATTAACTTGCTACGACAACATCATGGGAGACATCATGGGAGATTTCGCAATCTAGAAACCCTGTCACTGTGCCGGCAGATCCGTGCCACGATCTACAGCTGCATCAGCCTTGTGTAGCTGAAAATCAGATAAACGACAACGAGGGAATAAACCAGCGTGAAAATTTCAAGGTTGGACGGCAACTTCTGACTCGGGAGTTCGGTATGCAGCTTGGGTAGCGACACAAAAAGCGCAGGGGTCTCCTCCGAGCCAATCGGAAGCCCCTATTTCAGCCACGGTCACGGAAGCGAGGGAGACGCTGATTGGACATCGAGAAATCTCCGTGGGCTCCACCGACTACGACGCCGAACCGCCGCAAGCCTGCAGGGCTTATGCACCAATGGCAGTCGCTGCATAGCAGCTGATGACGTTGATTGGAGATTATCGACCAATCGCAGCAGAAGCCGCTTGGCTGTGGCTTGATGCCGAGAAACGGGCGCCTCAGCCTCGCTGTGGAGCAGCCTTGCGTTATACCCTGGCAGCTGCACAGGAGTAGCTCGGCTTCTGCGATTTTACGCTCAGCATCAGCATCATCGCACAGAACAAGTGGGTTTCAGCTGCCTTGGATCTTGCATCATGACGCCCGAAAGCCTCGCGTACGAGATGCAGGAGGCAATTATGGTAGAGTTTGAAGCCGAGGTCCCGAGATGAATACGATGACGATGGTACAAGATGCACACGACGAAAGATATAAGATGGAGGTGATGGACGGCATCATTTTGGGATTCACCACTCACAACATCATCACAACAATCAACACAACAAAGCAAAGCAATCAAACAACAATCAGCATCAGCATCAGCATCACAACCCCAACACATCAATTCATCTACTAAAAAAACAACAACAATCAACCGACAGCATCAAACTACCCCACACAACAACCAACTAACCCCATATCTTCAATCCACCAATTCAATCAAACAACTTCACCATGCCTTCCACTGCCCCCATCAACTCTGGAGACCGCTTCGACTTCATCGTCGTCGGTGGCGGCACTGCCGGTAACACTGTTGCTGGACGTCTCGCTGAGAACCCCAATGTCCGCATCCTCATCGTCGAGGCCGGTGTTGCCAACCCCGACCAGCTGAAGGAGGTCATGACTCCCTCCAACGCCATGAACCTCCGTGGCAGCAAGCATGACTGGGCCTACAAGACCACCATCGTCAAGCGCGACGACTACGAGCGTATCGAGAAGCCCAACACCCGTGGCAAGATCCTTGGTGGTAGCTCTTCTCTCAACTACTTCACTTGGATCCCCGGATGCAAGCCTACCTTTGACATGTGGGCTGAGTATGGTGGAGAGGAGTGGACCTGGGATCCCCTTGTCCCCTATCTGCGAAAGAGTGTCACCTACCACGATGACGAGGGCCTCTACGACCCTGAGCTTGCCAAGATCGGCACTGGCGGCCCCATCAACGTCTCCCACGCCGAGCTGCTCCCTGAGATGGCTCCTTTCCGCGATGCCCTCACCAAGGCCTGGACTTCCATGGGCGAGCCCCTGACCGAGAACATCTACGATGGTGAGATGATTGGTCTGTACCACTGCGCCGATACCATCTACAAGGGCCAGCGCAACGGCAGCTTCCTCTTCCTGAAGAACAAGCCCAACATCACTGTCCTTACCGAGGTGCACTCCAAGAAGCTCCTCATCGACTATGCCGACCGCACTTGCAGGGGTGTCACTGTTGTTGGAGCTGACGGCAAGGAGCTCAGCTTCTACGCCGACCGCGAAGTTATCCTGTCTCAGGGTGTCTACGGAAGCCCCCAGCTTCTCATGCTCAGTGGTATCGGCCCCGCCCGAGAGCTGGCCAAGCACAACATTGAGTGCATTGTCGACTCCCGCCACGTTGGTCAGAACCTGATTGACCACCCGGCTGTGCCATTCGTCCTCCGCGTCAAGGACGAGTTTGGCATGGACAACACCATCCTCCGCAAGAACGAGGCCAATGCCCAGGCCCACGCCGCCTACGACAAGGACCACTCTGGTCCTGTTGGCTCTGGCTTCCTCGAGATGGTCGGCTTCCCCCGAATTGACAAGTATCTTGCCAAGGACCCCATCTACAGCAAGGCTGTCGCCGACAACGGTGGCAAGGACCCTCTCTGCCCTGATGGCCAGCCCCATTTCGAACTGGACTTCGTCTCCATCTTCGGCAGCGCCTTCCAGTGGCACTACCCCATCCCCAAGGTCGGTGCTCACACCACCGTCGTCGTCGACCTGGTGCGACCCATCTCCAAGCCTGGTGAGGTTACTCTCAACAGCGCCAACTACCTCGACAACCCCAACATCAACCTCAACTTCTTCGAGAGCGAGCTCGACATCATTGCCATGCGCGAGGGTATCCGCTTCAGCTACGACCTCCTGACCAAGGGTGAGGGCTTCAAGGACCTTGTTGTCGACGAGTACCCCTGGGACATGCCTCTCGACAACGACGACGAGATGAGGAGGGTCGTTCTCGACCGATGCCAGACTGCCTTCCACCCTTGCGGCAGTGCCCGTCTCTCCAAGAACATCGAGCAGGGTGTCGTCGACCCTGCCCTCAAGGTCCACGGTGTCAAGAACCTCCGTCTCATTGACGCCTCCATCATGCCTGTCATCCCCGACTGCCGAATCCAGAACTCGGTCTACATGGTTGGTGAGAAGGGTGCCGACCTGATCAAGGCTTCGCACAAGGATCTCTACTAAGTTTACTGAACTTAAAAAATGGCTTCTACGGTTGCCTACGAGATGCTCTAATTGGGTGGATTCTATGGATTTCCTTTCTTTTGAGATAGATACGAGTTTTAGTTGGAGCGAGTTTTAGTTGGATAGTTGAGTACATAGTTAAATTTATATGATGCTGAAAACAACACTCGTCCACACATCGCAGTGCAGTGATCTGATACTCCATTAACATGATTCCAATAAAAAATGCCGATATTCCCCAACACACCCAGCCTTTAAATATCCAAAGCCAATATCTCGTCGACGATCAGCTTCAACTGAAACGGCATATCCAGCCACGGCGTCACTCCTCCCAATACAATCCACTCAGCATCACAACCTTCACACCCTCTCCCAACCTCATCACGCGCTACCCCTTCAGCCGCATCAAATCACACCAACAACAATCCAGCGATCGAATCTAGCCTTCCTCCTTATGCAGGGACAACACATCAATCCCAAGAACAAGAAAAAACCCCGCCAAAACCCCACTCGATCCAGCTTCTTCCTCTCTCTCCCACATGGGAAGAAATGGGAAAAGGGGGGGCCCGAAACAACAGCCCGTCACAATCACTCCGAAACAGGGTCGCAATGCATTTTCCATTCTGCACAGAAAAACATTAAAAATAGCATCACCAGGTTTCCTCGTTGTCCCACCCGTTTTCCCGCATCACATCAGCTATCCCAGTTCTAGAAAAAACCCGCAATCTTTGTGTTGACCCCCCCTTGTAATCGCCATCACATTCCACCGATGGATCAATCCTCGGAAACACCACACTAAGCCATGCAGATTGTTGGTTGCAAGGTTTCCCAGCGCATCGTCAACGCCGTTCGACCAATAGCCGTCCAGAGCATGCCTTTTAAAAATAAACCCCAACCTTGCTTAGCCGCCGGCCTGTACGCGACCAGCGAATCAGATGCCGATCCCCACCATCATATCGATTCTTAGCGGTGACAGGGGGTGAAAGCCAAAACGAGCACATTGCAGAAAGTAATCAGACATGGGTTTCCTTTGTCCTCGTGTGTTTGTTTTTGTCTTGCACGACTGCTGCCTTGTAGGACTCTGTTGGTAGGACCTTTGACGTTGAGGCTCTTTGCGAAACCCACTCGAAATCCTTTCAGCCTTCATCATGACGTGACTGACACACACGTTTTTGTCTCGCTCGTCAAGCGGAACAAGCTCCCGAATGGTTCCCAACAGCTCCCGCAGCGGGGCCGCAGACGGGGCGAGTTTCATCTCTCTGCATGGCGTCCATGTAAGTGGAAACTCTCTCGATCCAGGGCTGACCACATGTCCATGCCCACCCATTTCCATACAGTAGCAGCCTGTGTGAACATGCACTCTTCTGCCCTGGTCCGTACATAGTATAAAGCTAGCATGTGTGTGTCCCCTCTACGCGCCGGGCTCGATGCATGGGCCGGCCTAGCGTGTGGTTTTGGGTTTGGACAAAGAAAAACAACGTTTGTCAAAAATAACTCGACGCAGGGGGAGGCTCCGCTGATTTGACTTCTGGGGCTCTTCTTCAGGTGACATTGCGGGCCTGCCTGTGTTGTCTTTGTTCAGTAGAGTGTTTTTCCTTTGTTCCAAGATTTGATATAACTTGAGTGCCGGCTGTCCGTCTCCGGCTCCGCTCTGCTCCTCTGCTCTCCACGACGTCGGTCCCGGACGGCGGCGGCAGCAGCAGCAGCATCGAACCAGAATCTTCACCTTGGAGGGGGGGCATGACCAACGACGAAGAAGCTGGGAAGAGGCATCTATGGGGCGACGATTTTCTCTCTCACTCTCCTTTTGCACAACTCTTTTTTTGTGATTCTTCAATGAAATCCGGACCATGGCGCCGCTCAAGGACAGAATCTCCTCGCCCCTCGAGGCCGGCCCGTCCGTTCTCGACTCCCACCACATCGCGCCTCATCTTGTCCCAGTGCTCGAGTACACCTCTAGCAAGCTGGCGAAGAAGGCCGTCCATCTGACGCTCATCATCGTCAAGAGGGACTACCAGCTGCTCAACTCAATTCCCTCGCCGAGTTCCTATTCGACGCCCGGAACCCCAGACTCACCTCTGCTCACCGGCAGCAGCTCCGGCAGCGGTCGGCTCGGATTCTCTAGTCCTGTCTTAGCCCTGAAGCATCTCATGCGATCAGCCTCCCAGCATGTTGCTGGGTCGAGCCCCAGGAGCGCCGTACCGCCCATTTCGTATCCCATCAGCGAGCCATCCCCTAGTCCTAGGTTCCGATGGCCGCTTTCTCCCACTACGCCCTTGTCGCCACCACCGATGACACCGTCCACGACATCGTCATTGACGACCACCGACAGCAGCGGGCCACCGACACCCAATTGCACGGGGCTTCGATGCTTCCATTCAGGCGATGTGTCTCCGCGAACAGAGAAGATTCTGAAGAGCACCCTCATTAAGGCGGGGAACAAGTTTGGCGTCGGGTAAGCGCAAGATATGCTCCCCAGTTCAGTTCTCCATGTTATTCGAGAATAGAAAGAGAGTGAAACGTAGAAGAGAAGAGAGAAAGTGTATTGACAAAAGCTTCGTCTCCAGGAGCGGATGGCTTGTCCCCTTCACAAGCCCCAGCACCCGCGATCTCACCACCCAACTCTTCCACAGCTCCGTCGTCCAAAACGAAGTCGTCTTCTCATCAGATGGCTTAACCCTCCTAACTCTCGACCGCCTCTATAGCCTCAAGAGCGCCCTGTCCAGCTATTCCAAGACGTCGTCGGCCTTACGCCTCGAAGACGCCGTCGACGAGCTGCGTCGCTACGTCCTGGCCAGCAATGGCCGCAAGGTCACCAGAGCAGACCTCCTCCGGTCCTACGACTGGCTTAGCGTCAGCAACGCAGCCATCACAGACCTCGACCGCATGTATCGGCGAGCGTATGGCGGCCCGGAACTTGTCGGTGGCATCTCCGGCATGCCCCTGGACCGCCCACCCAAGCCCTTCGTGCTCCATCTTCCGCCTAAGAACAGATTTGTCGACGACTGGGAAGATGGTAGCCTCAGCCCCTCGAGCACAATACTCGACGAGGGTATCGTCAATGTCGCCATGATGGCCGTCAAACTCTCCCGGCCGCCGACACCTCGCAGGATCGGGCCCTCGCTGAAGTTGCAGACCGACTTCTCGTCCAAACCCGAATCCTCAGACGAAGAAGACAGGGCAGAAAAGGGCAACGATTCTGATGACGAAGTCTACACAGCAAGACCTGTTGATCGATCTACGGCCACTATGTGGAACAGCCGGTTTACAATCGATCAAATGCTCAGCCCGGACATCAACAAGGAACTGCAAGTCCATTCACCAGCCATAGGACCCATGACGCCCCACGTATACGACGACATATCCCCAGTGACGCGCGGAGAATGGGGGTTCCTCATGGGAGGCAACGGGCTGAACATAGGTAAAACAGCTGCGGTTGAAACCTTCTGATACTTTTTGTCAGGGGGTTACCGTATCAGTTGACGTGGCATATGAACGTGTTTTAAATCTTCTCTTCAAAAATCTCATGTTATATACTATAGTTCTACTTTCGTTTGGGCAAGCGCGGTGAATCGGCGTTTTCATTTCGGGGGAGGGTATTTGGCGATGTAATTCGCACACATAGGGAGGAAAATACACATCAATGATTTCATGTCGCTAAACAAGTCTGACGTCTCCAAATCGTAAATGTTGTTAAACTCATCACCAGCCGTAGCGGCTTGAAGCTTCTTTCCGGTTGCTTCTGCCTTTCGCAAAGCTCTCTTCCAAGGCCTCCCGTTGGTTGGACACATTCCGTACCAACTGTTGGAGACTGTGCTTACCACTAGCTATGGCGCGGACGGGATTGTGCGTTTGCTGTTCGCCAGCAGCTCTGAGCTCTTCATTGTGTTGATATTCCTGATCCATATTGAAGTTGATGAGTTTCTGCGCTGTCTGGTTTTGACCTCCCCTTCCAAACAATTCTCGTCTCGCTGCGGCAGAAAGATTCAAGTCATTGGCAATGCTATCCAGAGACTCTGTTCTCGTATCTGATGACGATGGCGCTACGGTTGCAGCCATCTGGCCACTGTACATTTGCTGGGAATAAGCGTCTGGTCCGTTGACAGAATATGGATTCGCGGATTCTCCAGTTTCGAAGAGCGGTTCGTAAGCCCCCTTTTCCGCTGATGATGATGTTGCAGCTGACGGTTCCTCCACATGCAGTGAGAATAGTGATGTCTTTTTCAGAGGCGGCGCGGGAGCTGCAACCGGCTCTGGTGCTGTGCTGATAGCCGATGTTGCGACTTGGGCTGAGGCTAGTGATTTTGACGCTGATGCTGCAGGAGCCTGAGCCGCCGTGCTTTTTATGGGCTTCTTTTTTGTATTTCGAGCAACAGAGAGGGGCTTAAACATCAATGGCTTCCCTACGAGCTTGACTTCTTCGGCAGGCTTCATTGTATCCGGTATCGACGGTTCGGCAGGTCGTTTAGGGGGCGGCAAGCTCAATCCTCCAGGTGCGGCATCTGCGTTGCTGGAACTGCTCAAAGGTTCTTCATCACGGCTGAAGCCCTTTTCGGCGCTGGTTTTGAGATTGATGCTGGGGCGAGCTTGGCTGCCTGAGGGTTTGCTCAGCGTCGCCTTTGCCGCGTTCTTTGGTGGCGGGAGAAACGAGTTGAAGCCAGAAAAGAGACCGCCACCGCCGCCCGTGCGCGCACGTTTCGCTGGCGGCCCATCGCTATCTGGTGCGCTTGCGCCGTTGGAAGAGGCGGCCTGGGGAAGATTGACGATGATTTTGCCCGGGTTTGATCGATCGACAACTTTTTGGAACGCAGGTTTCTTTGGAGCTGCAGCCTTGACGGCGGGCTTCGGCGCGTCGACTTCGGCCTCCGATTCGGATTCGGAATAGTCGACAAGACCCATTCTGCTGTTGGGAAGATTGCAATGAGTGGGCAAGTTGTGTGGTTGTGAAGAGGCGATCGCAAGTCGGGCTGTCGAGAGTTGTAGAAGCAGAAAACTAACTTGAGCCTCGACGAAGTGACGTGCAGTGGATACACTCATTCGCTTTAGCGCATGTGAAGTGCTTCAGGCGCTAAAGCAGGGGTCCCTGATAATCCTACCCCACGATAAGCTTCAATCCCTCGACCTCTCCCAGCAACGTCTCCCCATCGTCCTTTGCTCTGCCACCAAGCCCGGCTTGTGCTGGGCAAACATGTGAGCGCTCAATGGCACATGACTAGACAATAATCTCAACCCTACAGACGCGACATCAGCTTGAAATAGCTCCCACCGCTCTCTAGCTTGCTTCAACCACCATCCTTCACCATGTCTCTCATCCAGCTGGAAGAGTGAGTTGGTAGATCCCAAGAGACAATGGACATGGCTCGTTGGCCATTGTGATGCGCATGGCTAACCAGATGCTCCTCTTTAGGCTTGTTACCTACCAGCTCCGCACCGGGTACCTCAACGAAATCGCCGATGGCGTAGGCGAGCGACTCATCAGCGTCAACGACAGCAGCATCAACACCGTGCCATTCAAGTCAGCTGGCTGGCGGCCGAACTCATCGCATGTCAAACGCACCCATTCTCCTCCGATCCCTACGGCCATCGCGTCAGAGTATTTCCAGGCACCACGACAAGCTGGTCTGACGCTGGAAGATGGCTTCGAAGATGGCGGTTTGCTTACGGGCGGAGGCGCTGACACCATGGGCCCTGGAGCAGCAACCAAGAGGCGCAGGCGCCGCGAGCAGATGGAGGAGGACGACAGTAGCGACTTTAGCGACGAGAGTGAGGACGAATCTGAACACCGGGCGGCGCAGCAGATAAAGTTTGCCAAGATGCCCGTAAGACACCGCGCGGGATCCTCGCCTGGTCAGGCCTCGCATCTTCAACCTATGAACACTTCTCCTCGAGCCCCCAGGCGGGGCTCCCAGTCATCCCTCAACATCTTGCCCGGGCGGCCACGACGAGATACGGTGACTAGCAGTGAAGTGTCCTCTGAAAATGAGTTCGACGTGCCGGTCGCGTACAGACACAGGGAGGCAGCGCGAGCGGCCACCAGGGCAATGAGGATGCAAGATAAGATCAACGAAGAACCTTCGCCAGGTGTGCAGTTTGGTGACTCTTCTTTGCCCCGCGAAGAGGATGAGGACGACGATGACTCGGATGAGGGCTCGGATATCTCGGGAGAATACGTTGCGAGCATTGACGAGGCTTCGATTCTGGATGTCGTGGAGAACAACCCCATCAATGCATCCCCTACTCGGCAAGTGGTGGGCACACCGCCGAGGAATTTTACCAGGCAGTCTACGATTCGAGTCTCACAGGCGGCCGCTCCTCCATCAGTTTTCAAAGCATTGCCGCCTCCACGACCGATGAGCACCATTCGACCCCTCAGCGTCGTTCAACCTCAAAGTCTGCTCTCTGTGGCAATCAAGGCCAAGCGGTACAAGTCAAGCGTGCCCTTTCAGAAGTTTGCTCACCTAAATGGAGAGGGAACGCAAGGGGCCATGACTATCCGCATCTACGCCGCATTCTCCAAGACACCAAACAAGTTTCTGGAAGTGCTTATCCGGCCTAGAGTGCAAAATGGTCAGGGGGTAGAGAGGGCCGTCACCATAGCCGACTTGATAGGGTTGGGGCTATACAAGTACAACGAAGAGAAGAGAGAGCCTCCCATTGCTCCTAAAAAGCGCAACATCAACTGGTATAATCTCAGAATGGTGGAAGAAGGCGGCGATGTGGACGACGACTTCTCGCCGTTTGTCCGGACAAAACCTCTGACAACTGCCACTACCGTCAATAACGCCCACATGAGGGGCGGCGGACGAATGCGATCCAACTCAAAGGTTTACGACGAGTTTGCTATTGTGGCCGCTACGGAATCAGAGTATGAGGCCAATCAGAAATTAACACCTCAGGAAGACGAGGAAGAGGAAGCGCAGCCCTCTCAAGATAGCATTCCGGAAGAGGGCACTCCCGTGGGAAATGAAAATGAAACCGCAAACGCCGGTATCAATGCCAGTGGCATGTCATCTCCGCCGTCTGTTCATCCCCGACCGAATCCGATCACCACGACGGCTTACCGGCCAAACGCACTCTTGGCAGATGCCCCTCAAACGCGCACCACTGTGTCAAACGCGATGCGGGGCCAGCAGAAGTTGCTACGGATCTACATCATGTCATCCGATGTGGCGGCAGGCCAGATGGTGACACTTGACATCACCACTGACACTTACTTTGCTGAAGTGCTGGATCAGGTATGCCGCAAGAGACATCTCGACAAGGCCAACCACGTATTGAAGATGCCGGGATCTGGAGCACTCGTCATGCTGGATCGGCCGGTGTCCTCGATTGGAAATGTGACGGATCTAGAGCTCTACAGACGTCGGTTTGCAACAGACGGTCCGCTAGCCATAACGGGCTCGCCAGGGACCTCGTCACCCAAGGTGATGCCGGTGCTGGACGGGCCGCCGCCGCGAAAGGGCCACAAGAAGGGCTACATCACTGGCTCGCATCCGTTGGCACGTGAGGTCATCCAACCAGACGAGCTTCCCAGTGCCAACTACAAGAGGTACACGGTCTGGCGCAAACAGCCTATGCGGATCGTGGGAATGAGTGAAAGGGTGTTGGTGATTGACGGCGAGTACATCCACATCGTGCCGGCATCCGGGGGCAAGGCCGTCCAGGAAGGCGGAGGTAAGACGACAACGGTGCATTTCAGCAACGTGATAGGATGCAAGGTGCCTCGGAAGCATCCCACCAACGTCAAGGTGAGCTACTGACAATTTTCTTTAATTTTCTTTTTCTCTTTCACAGCGGCTCCCCGCAGAGTGTGGAGCAGTTGAGTGGCGGGCTCAGCCTCGCTCTCGTTTGGATCGCTCTCGTTCAGATCTGTTGGCTAACCACTGACATGCCAAAAATAGCTCGTCGTTTACAAAGCCACGGAGAGCAAACGCTACGATTTCGAGGCTCGGGGAGCTGACGAGGCTGCCGAGATCGTGGCAGAGCTGAAAAAGGGCATCTCGCCTTACAGGGAGGTCTGATTGGGTGCTGCTTGGAGGCGTTTGGAGATTGGAGTTGCACTTGGAATATGACGGCCGCAGAGAGATGTGCGAGTACGCGGCCAATGGCTAACTAGCGGTAGCGTCTTATTTTTCTTCTTGTTGCTGCACGCATTGTGTATATAAGTGGAAATTTTGTGTAACGAGTCATACGAGTATGCGAGGCGAATTGTACACACGTTCAAGCTGTTTCGTATTATGTTTTTCTGCGTAGCACAATGACGAGTCGTGGCTGAGATTTGCCAAGCTCACGATGGCGGCATGTATAAACTCGAGTAGCCGCAGCGAGGTGGGTTCCTTGGCCCGCAGCGGAGCATTTCTTAGGCAGGCCGGAACTTGGAAGCTTTTTCAGAGGTACATTCAGCGCAGGTACCGGTATTACGTACGACAGGGGCTTTGGTGTCGATCGAAGGAGGTCAGATGCCGGGTCTTGGATTGATGGAGGAACTGATTTTCAGAGGGCGATTGATGATGATGATGATGTTCACTAATGTTGTAACTTGAGCAGCTTACCCAGGTGCCAGGGTACTGTTACAACGTACCTATGGAAAAGAGGAAGGTGATGCAACGAGGGAGAGGGAATGTCGTTTTAGTGTATTGAGATTAGATGAGCGCCGTTTGATCGACACAGCCAAGACGCAAGAGTTAAATGCGCAGTACCATGCTAGACATTGAGATATTCTGCCTAAACTAGTATCAGAGGTACTGTATTAATCAATGGGAAATGAATAATTGCATACCTGTACCTATATCGACCACCTACACAAACGGAGAGCCTCGTGGAATTCTACGGAATACAGCGGCCACAAGGGATGCAACAATCCTGCGTCCCGTGCGAGGGTGTGCGAAGACGCGGCATTATTTGATTTTTTTTTTCTTGGTTCAGAGGCAAATGTCTCAGTTCCGGATGCCGTGTCGTGGCACAAGAATGCCTGGCCACCATTCATCATGTAAGTGCGCGGGTATGAGACATTGATGATGCTGCTGCCTTTTGGGTACTTGCTTTGTGCTTCCGGCATGAATTAGCCACTCATTGCTTCATGGACCCCCCTTTTCCCTCCAGAATCAATGTCATCATCGCCATGGCAGGCATCATTCATTATGAAGACGGTCCTAACAAACGTCAAAAGTTGACCATTTCGGGCTTACAGGCGCTGCAGCCAATCCCTGCTGCTGTATTAGCTGGGTTATTATTACAGGGGCGCGAGCTGGACGATCCACATGAATCTGATCCGCACTGCGATTTTTGCAGCATTGTCGCGATAAAAGCCCATCTGTGACGTAATCAGACATCAAATGCGCCTTTTGAACTCTAAACCAGCCTTTTTTAAATGTCTTCACTTCAAACAGAAGAAAAGAAGCAAAGGAATTGTTACGTGTATATGGAGTGTGGCTGAGCAGCAGCTCTGAAACGGGAGACTAGCAAACACAACAACCAACACAAACATTCACGATAATCAACACCCAAAAAGAAACAGACTACTAAGCGCGGGCCATGCACACAAACCTGCCCTCTTCCAGCACCTCCAGCTACTCTGTAACATTCTAAAAAGAAGAATAACAAGAAGAAAAAATCCTGCTGAAATCCTCTCCCGCCGGGAAGCAAGCCTAGAACCCGTCCAACCAACCAGCCCCTCGGTACGACCGACTTCAAATCATACCAGACACGCAAAACTTCCGAGACATCAAAAGCCGCCCAGCCGCCCGGCGGCTGCTGAGCTGGCACACGGCGCTTTGCTGCTGCGTCTAACGAGGGGAAGTGGGTGTGTGTGGCATAACGAGCAACAAGCAACAAGCAACAGTAGTAAAAATAAATTAATATCCATGTAAATTAAATCATCTCAATAGCGTACGGAGTACTAAGGTGTTGGGTAGCATTTCTCGAGCTTGCAGCTCAGCTCCCTCGCAGTACAGGTATTACTTGATCAAGAACTACATACTTCTGCCGGTGGCGGTGGCTGGTGCAAAACAGTACTCGTCGACAGCCTCCCCTCTGCCTTGATCCGGCTTGGCTCTCCAACTTGGCTCTTTCGCCTTGTCTCGCCCCAAGCATCTTGGCGCGGTACTTGCACGATGCGTACATGTACCTACCCAGACTTGCCAGATATTACTGTACCGACAGGGATCTGCCTCCAGATGGTGACATCGCCCCTTGTTGCACCAGACCTTATTTCCTCTTAGTCGCATACAATATGATTTGCCCATGCGGGAACTGCACAGAGCACGCTCTGGTTCTTGCGCCATGCTTGTACAAGCATCCGTATCTCATCCAGCATTTCAATGAGCATCTACTCGTACTGCTAAAACCCCCCTCCGTATGACTTGGCGTTTGGCCAGCACTGCATCTCGCTCACATGAAGCACCAGCCCAGCTCTCCATCGCCAATCGCAAGCCCCTCGTAGGATCCCCAGCCCTGCCAGCTACAAAATTCTTCCATCTCGCTCGCTTAAAACTTAAAAGGACAGTAGAAATAGAAAAAAAAAAAAAAAAGCGACCAGAATCGAGGCCCGATCGCTTCTATGTATAGCCCTAACAAAAATAAGCTGCTTGCTGCTACCGCGGCCCAAACCAAGGCCTACGAGTACATCATGTCGCATCCCGGATCCACCAAATTCCCATGTCTCATCTTCTTCCTCCCCCTACTTTTAGCTGCCCTCAGACTCTCCACTCCTCCAAGCCCTGTTGGGTGTTGGTGATGGCCACACAAGCTACCAAGTACATCCAAATCTGAGCCACTCACTGTGCTGTGTTACATCCCCCCCAGTGAGGCAGCCCAGGCAGTTTTTTTTCGTTTGTTTGTCTCACAAGTTACCAAGGGCTGTCAAAGTCGTACTCGTACACTCCCAGCCGGTTGCACCTGTATAAAACCTCCAAGCCTTCCCGCCGTCGTTTTGAACTTTCTTTCTCTCCACATTGTCCACATTCCTGCTAGCCAGATCGCCTTTTGATATCCATCTTTTTAATCTATCTCCTACAAATCCCGAATATCACCTATCGAAACATTAGCCACACCAAAGCATCAACTTTCTTTACACATCCACAATGAAGTTCTCCAGCTTTGCCATCCTCGCTGTTGCCGCCCTTGTTCAGGTATGACTGGACTCACTCATCTCTCTCTCTATTCATCCCCCTCGGAATCAGGACATTCTCATGCCCCCGTTCTCTCACATTCAACGAAGCCCAACACGTGTAAACATTATTGAGAAGCAGCAAAAACTGACAAAAATCTCCAGGCTAACCCGGCTCCCTCTCCTGCCCCTTCTCCCGCCCCCGATCTGGGTGACTTCCTCGACGGCGTTTCTACCTGGCTCACAGGAAAGGCCGGCGAAATCTCCACCTGGGCCGAGGGAAAAGAGAGCGAGGCCTCGTCCTTCGCCAGCAAGATCAAGTCCAACGTCGATGTCGGTCTCTCTAAGGGCAGTGCAGCCGCCAGCGCCATCCACTCCATCTTCTCCGATGAGCCCTCCAAGGTCATCGCCAGCCTGACCTCCGAGGCCGGCCCCAAGTTCAGCTCCCTCAGCAGCCTTGCCGCCACTGCCACTGGCGAAGCTGCCTCGTCAGTCAGCTCTGAAATGTCCAAGCTCAGCGCCTCCCTCGCCAGCAAAACCAGCGAGGCTGCCGCTGCTGCGTCCGCCAATTCCAAGGATGCTGCCCCCGTCCAGACTGCCTATATTGCCATGGGCGCGCTGATCGGCGGAGCTGCGGTTCTTGCCAACATGTAAGGCAGTGAATGCTGGTCATTTAATGATGCCACGAGTCAGGTCTGCCGAAAAGGACAAGAACGGTGGGAATACTAGAGTGTACGTGTATTTGGAAGGCACGGGAATGGAATACATGGGAAAGGATGGACGACGGAATACCCCTAAATTCGCGAAAGCACACATGGCACACCTTTGTTGATGGAGCATTTCTTTTTGCATTTCTTTTTTCTCTTTTCTTTTTCTAGCTGATTGTATTATCTCAGCTCCTTGTTGCGATGAGTCTTTATGAATAACGGTCTGAGGCTGCATCAGTCGGTGAATTTACTGCACAGTCATTTCTTCATTCACCTTGAATGCCCACTAATAGCCCGATACTGTGACTTGTGCTACCATTTAAAAAGCAACATGTGCTTAATCCACTTGGCCGCAATAGCGCCAGACGAATGACATTTTAGCAAAAGTGTAAAAAAAAATTGCTTGACCGAGACAGGGGTCGAACCTGCAACCTCCTGATATACTAATCGTAGTCAGACGCTCTGCCATTGAGCCACACGGCCTTGTTTGATGTTTTGAGAGCGTCGCTATTCGCCTCAAAGATGAGCGGCTCCCGAGGAGCATGTCTGCTTGAGAATGGCATGCCTCAAGGCTTCTTCGTTGTTTGTCCCCAAAGCCTATCAACAACTTGGAAAATGGCGGTTACGTCTTTGATAACATCGCTGCCGCTCTGCACGCCGAGTTTTTGCTGTATTTTGTCGGGATGCCATCGCACTCGCTCGTCTTTCAGCTTCGCAGCAAACTCCTTCTCTCCAATGTCCTCCAAGCCTATGCCGTGAATGAAGAACTCGCGAACAGCCTCTTCGTTGACATCCTTTCGCTGTCCACTTAGCACTGGCCAAGCGAGTGTGCCCAAAGTCCCATCCCAAGCGGACCAGGCCTGCGTATACGCGTCCCATCCATCGACCCAACGCCGTCTGAGACGTCGTTCTTCTGCTCGGCGTCGGCTGCGGTCCATTTCCTCATGTAGCTTTTGGTTCTGCCGCTCCTCTTCCTTTCTCTTCTTGCGCTCTTCTGCACGCCGTTCCCTCTCCTCTAGGAGGCCAGCGTTGGTCTTCTCCCACATCTTTTGCCGGACATAGGCCGCGTATTCCTCCTCTGTCATTTTTTCGAGCTCGCCTGCCGGTCCGACCTTTTCGTCAGAGTATACGTGAATGGGCTGGCCATAGACACCCTCCCAATACGCGGCGCCTTCGTCATCAGCCATGGCATCAAAGAGTGATTCTCGGAAGGCGGCGTCTGGATCAAGAGGCGGAGGTTCATGAGGATTCGGTGGCGTGGGAGAGCGGTGTCGTCGCCGGCGATGCCGATGGTGATGATGCCGATGGCGACCAGATTCAGAGTCATGCTCGTTGCTACGAGAGCGGCGACGACGTCTCTCGCCCTTGAGCTTCAGCCGCGATCGCCTAGGCTTTGTTGTATCCATGTTCGCATCGTCACCGTCATCGGGTGTTGGCTTGACGTCATTTGATGAAGAGATCCGTGTCCTTTCTCTCTGGTGACTCTCCGACGACTGATCCGGGTTGATGGAGGAGAGAATATGCCGCCTCTTGGGAGACGGTGGCTCATGGTTCATGATTGAAGCGCCATTGTTGACACTGGCCAAAGCAGTGCTGCTTCAGATGTTGTTCTGTCAAGGTTGGAAAGGGAAAACGCCGGGCCAGCAAGCTTAGGTACCTGCCAGGCACCGCCAGCCCCAGGCCAGGGGGGGAAGCGGGCGTGTGGGGTACAAGCCATCCACTCCGATCTTGTTATACGCCGTATCTGTAGAGTTAATGTGCACTGCATTTCCACTAAAAGAAAGCAAAGCAAGGGCATCAGGGAGGTTTTATGCGTAAAATCGAGTTATTGTTAATTGATAAAATGTAAATCATTTAATAGAAAGGAAATATGAGAAGAAAAATTTAATAGAGCAACATCCTTTCTCCAAATACACCACGTATTCCAATACTGCCAAGTCATCACACTTCAACCAAAAACCTCTCCCATTAACGAGAGGCATACCATACCTGACAACAAAATTCTATAGTATCTGTAACCAGATTTACGATGCCATTTGCCAGTAAACATGTCCTTTGCAGTCTCCAAACGGAGGTTGACTTATTTAAACAACTTTTGCACCCGCTCGCCCATCCGCTTGAACACGGCCATGCTGAAGCCCTCCTCCTTATCCTTTGGCCGATGCTGCTGCAGGAACAGCCAAACAATCAGCATCACGACACACGATGCAAGGACGATGGGCTGTAGTGTCTTGACACCCTTTGCTTGTGCGATGGCACCGACTGCGAATGGCAAGGCGGCTGAGCCAGAACCTCCAATGGCTGTTGCAAATCCAATAGCACTGATATGAAGAGAGCGCGGCAGCACCTTGGTCATGAGCACCACTGCCGTAGGGTAGATGGGTCCTATTGTAAAGTCAGTGTATGTATCAACGTATAATCGCCAGAGAAACGTACCCAAAATCATGCCCAGCAACGCAGATGCAACAGCAGTCACAACCATATTCGGGACGAGCCAAAATACTAGCTCTATGGCAATGGCCAGTCCAAGGTACAGAAGCATAGCCCGAAAGCCACCGAGTCGGGAGGTGACGAAGCCCAGCACAAGACGCCCAACAGTCATGCCGCCCCAGAATCCTGTTGCTGTGGCACTGCCAGCGAACGGAGTAGCGTTGCGAACTTTGGTCATGAAAACGACGATCCAACCGCCAATAGAGACCTCGGTACCAACATACAAGAAGATAAAGAGAGAAAAGAACCAGGTCAGGTTGTTCTTCAGCGCCTCTCGTGTTCGTCCCGACGTGGCAGCCTCGCCGGCCTTTTGGTGTGGGTTTTCACTCAAGTATACTGCACCTGTCTGCGTCCAGAACGTGGTTGTGCTGGTGCCAAGCTCAAGTGCCGAGACACTAACCTGCAAAATACCACGGTAAGATATATCTCCACATAGAATCACTTGGCATAGAGCTTCATACCATGATGTAGTAAAACGTCCACCAACCGCCGCGACCATGCGAGCTGATGGCGGTAGTAATCAGGGGAGCTACCGTCGCCCCCAGAGCGTAACAGGCCTGCAAGACGCCAGAGATTTCGTGCGAGTTGGCCATGTTGCCGATCCAGGCGCTCCAGGCTGCGTCTACAACTCCATTGCCGAAACCAACCAAGATGTACATCACAACGAGGACTGGGTACGGTGGATGAAAGGTTATGACAAGATAGGGGACGAGACGAAATAGCGGCGCTATCATGCTCACGCCACGTTGGCCTAGACGAATATGTATCGCGCTGTTGACCAATGCGGCCAAGGTGTAGCCAGCGAACGGGGAAAGAAAGATGAGCGAGACGACTGTGTAGGTTAAATGGTAATACTCCTCCAGCTAGGAATCTTGTTAATATTATCCATCATGTATTGTAAGAGCCCGACAGCGAAAGTCATACCTGAGGGACCAAAGCCTGCAAGAGTAGTTAGTATATGAGTTCGACAACATACTTGGCGACTCAGGTCCGCCAGACTTACACCATAGGAGCCATCATTCATGCCCAGAACGAAAAAGGACCAAAAAGTACAAAGGACACGATACTTGTTGATAGGCGGCGAGTTCCACTTCACCTTGGCCTCAAAGGCGTCTTCAGGAGCTGTAGAATCATCACTTGCGATGGCCGGCTCGAGAATCGGCGCATCTACAAACGGTTTCTCAGAGTCATTGCTGCCTTTCAAGACTGCTTTTGGTGGGAAAACGCTAAGCGGAATCTCTTCTGTTGTGTGAAGAGTCTCGGTGACGGTAGATGTTGCCATGCTGGATGGGCAGCAACAAATGGCGTAGCTAGATTTGAACTGTAGCCAAGAGATGCTATCCCAGAGATTGAGTGATGGAATGATTGTTGTTCCAGGGACTCTGCTCGTATTAATACAATGGCCGATAGCGGGGGTGGGTTTTCGTCTGGATCCAATCGGATCACTCGCTGGATAGGATGAATTAGTGTTGCCTTTCAAGTTGACGGTGAATCGGATATTCAGAAAATAGCGTGCTGGCAGAATTACCCAATTCAGCTAACCAGCCAGCATTACCAAGCAGCAGGATGTTAGCGGCAATTGGGCGGTTTAGAGTTATCTATTGCAATGCCCGTATTCTAACGTAACAAACAACTTGTCAAAGCCAGATTCGCCAGAGGCGGTCACAAGGACAAGCCTTAATAAGAAAACCGGCACGTAATCTTGATAGTTAAACCCATGAGGCAAGGGTGCTAATGGCTAGCGCTTTCACGGTATGGAGATGCAATCGCTCAAATGGCCTGTTTGAGCATCAAGAGTTATTCCCATTGGTGGCTTATAGACAACCAGTGGTTAATGAAATACCTGTCATTTGATTCTTTCTTCATAAAATAGCCAAGTTACCGATAAACAAGAGGCACAAGTGCCGAGGCTGGAAGTCGGGGAGCATCCGATCGGGGAGTGTCGGGCATCTGCATTGACCACGAGGCTGTGCCGAATTTTAAGCTCAGCTTCCAAAGAGTCATCCTTTGTTCTGTGGGGTATCTCTCAGGTCTATAACGGTGGAGCCGCTCGATTGAAGCAAGAATGCCAGATTCTCAAGTCAAAGAGACGTGTCAGCGGATATACCGAAGGATCATCTAGGAGGATTCTGGTTTGTAATGAATTGATGAGGATGATGACAAAAGTGTCAAGATGCGTCAACGTGGGGAGAGAGTCATATGAGCCTGAAGAACGAAAGAGGATGATGGGGGTTGAGACAGTATTACACCTGAACAGTGATGGAATATTCTTACCATCTATTAATTTTGACAACTAGTTATAAACTCTTTATCTAAGATGTAAAATGCATTATTCTTCAATTTTTCTTCAATTTTTTATCAATCCCAATGCGAAGAAATAGCCAATTGAGTTGATGAAAGACGTGCGGTAGAACATGTATTAGTCTCTACATGTATCTATTCTCCTTGGAAGCCCATCCCACTAACACTAACAACTGCAAAAGACGCCAACTCAGCTGCGCCATGCGCATTTGTAAGAAGCTACGGCACATGAATCCCATTACTCAATGTCAATCCTGATTTGCCTGCAACATCCCCGCAAGTGAATATAGCTTCAAGTCGCAATCGAAGCCAATTACGAGCATATCCTGTCCAGGCAATCTCCCTAATCGCCAGAACCCTAGCCAGCGGATACAAGGGAAGTGGGGCCCCTGTGGCTTTGATCAACGGGGGGTTTTAGGACACGAATTGGCTGATATGGACCAATCAATCAACTTGTGCACAGAATCGCAAACCGAAAATCCAACCTCTGCTACTGCAGTTCGAGTACGTCGCCTCTCTGCATCATCGCGTCTCGCCTGATCCACCACGCCCTGCTTCTAGAATCCCGGCGACTGAATCCGATCGCCGTCTGCAGAGAGAGGCGAGCGCTGGTCCAGGAGGCCATGCCGCGCAGATGAGCCTGCAGTAACAGCAACCCCCCCCTATTCCTACGGTTTGCGCCGACTCGCTATTCACCATGGGCGGCCTACTCTTGCTTGTTGGCCTATGCGTAAGTCTGCTCAGTCGATTCCAAGTAGCGTGACGTGCTGACTCTGGCCGGTGTAGATTGTCATGGCAGTGGCGTATGCGGCACCTCGATCCAACGATTACGATGATACCGAGACACATGGCTGATGCATAACCTCGTGGAACAGTTCATTTTTAGCCGGAGCCTTACCTTTGTCGATGACACTTTCACAATCACAACTTCGATTAATATCAAGCATTGGCGTCGGAGTGCTTGTCGGTACCTCTCTTATAGTCATCATACCCGAGGGCATTGAAACTGCAGTATCGCCCGCAGAAGCCTCGCACCTTCACAAAGCGCGGAGTTTAGTGCGAAGATCGCCTTGGACCCTCGGCGTTGAGCCACGAGAAATCATCGAGGCCTTTCCAGTTGTACGGACGACAGTAATCCGATCCACGATCCACGATGACTTAGCCAGCATTTCCCCACGAATCGAAGTTACGGAGAGTTACAGAGCTACAAAACGACAAAACGACGAGGACATACCAGAGGAGTCACCCGAGCCTGCCCCAGAACACGATGAACACAAGGAACACGAAGATGGTGGTGACGGCACAGAGCACGCGCACACTCACGAAGTGCCAACGCTGGAGATCGGCCTCTCCATGATTTCTGGCTTCATCCTCATGTTCCTTATCGACAGACTTCCCAGGCATGCCACAGAGAGCCTGCGGTCTACGCCGGAAACTCGCCACATGAGCCTAGACGATCTTGGAGGAGGCGATACGGCATCCATTGACGAGGAGGCAGACGGCTTCTTGACTTCCCTGACGCCAACCCCTCGAAGAGCTCGTAGTTTGGCGACAACCACCGGACTCGTGATCCATGCCGCAGCCGACGGCATTGCCATGGGCGCATCTGCAACGTCGTCCAACATGCGGCTGGGCTTTGTCATTTTCATTGCCATCATGATCCACAAGGCCCCCGCGGCGTTTGGCCTAACGTCAGTTTTGCTGAAGCAAGGTCTGTCAAAGCGGGCAGCTCGAGGTCATCTGGTCATTTTTAGTCTGGCTGCTCCTGTCGGCGCCTTGACGACATGGCTCATGATTACGCTGCTTGGCGGCGACCACTTGAAGGGATATTCTGGGCAGTGGTGGACGGGCATGTTGCTGCTGTTCTCGGGAGGAACATTTCTGTAAGTTTTGTTGATTCAATTCCGAAAAACGGTCAGCTAATTGTGGGTAGCTATGTCGCCATGCATGCTATGCAAGAAGACGGCAGCGTCCACAGCCACGACCACAGCTCTGGGGTGAACGGCTACTCAGATGGAAACTCGGCCCACCAGCGAAAGTCCAAGGGTCCTCAGATGCGAGACACATTAGCCACTGTCGTGGGCATGTTGATTCCTCTTCTTACTCAAATGGGCCACTAGATGCTGTGTCCAATATCACATACTACTTAGAGTTAAGGAGGGGTATTAAAAAAGAGGAGACGTTTCTGGTTTTTCTTTTTTTCTTTTTTCTTTTTCTTTTTCTTTTTCTCTTCCATTTGTTTTTCTTTTCAAGGCAATACTACCTGAGGGTATTATTGCAGAATGATCTACCACAGATGTAGACAGATTTGCAGATGGCTATAGAGTTACGCATTGCAGGACGAGACATCTGGTCGCTGTGATGGTTATCAAGCGCGGCATATAATTATATAGAGTACGATACATGTCTGGCATAGTTGACGAAGACAAAAAAGCATTGGTAATTTAGTTAATTGAAGATGGGCGCGGAAGTGAGGACAGCTGCCGTCATTGAGCATCCAATACTTGAGCTTTCTACGGAGTACACTCTACTCCATATACAGGCATAGCTGGGCATCACTTGTGGCTTTTCCCCATGGAAATCATATGGATCACGCCACCTCTCGAGCACAAGATGAAGCTGTCCTGACGCAAAATCGTGGCCAACGCATTACACGCCAACTCTATCCATTAACCCACTCATTCAACTTCAGATTAATGCCCAACGGGTCAATGCAGCAACACAACTCAAGACCCGTCTGGATTGGTAGGTGGATAAATGACGTAGTTCAAAATGGATTTTTAGATCCTAGGGTCTTTGCACGAGCGCCACAAGTAACGTTGTGGGAAAAAGAAGAAAATTAAATCTCTTATGGAGCATGGTTTCTGTGACCGAGTGGACATGAATATGAAACAAGTTGGGATAAAGAAGGACCCCTGTCAAACGGATACTTTTTTTTAGGCCAAGATGGGTCTGACGGGGGTCATTGGTGCCGGTGCCGATGCTGATGCTGGATATCTAGCGGCGAGTAGCTCTATTTTTTCCTCGTGCCAGGATTGAATGCCCAAGTGAAACGAGGCCACGTTGGAATGGAGAAACTGAGCTCCATGTACGTGGTGCCACCGGCTTGCTGGTCTTGTAGCAGATGGACGATGGGGATTTGTCAGGCCAGGGATATGGCATGGCATCTAATAGGTAATAAAATAGTGTGCATCGACCCCTCTTGCTGAAGGATTTACTCCGAGCTGCAGCGTCGTGTCTCGTCTACATACATGTAAGACTACATGTAGTAAGGATGGGTGCTACTCGAAACGGCCAACTCCAACATGAACCTAAGCCAAAACCAAATCTTCAGCAATGGCCTTTAGGCACATGTACATGTGCAACCTCGGCCGCCATAGACGCAGGACGCAGTGGTCAGATGAGGCCACTGCTGCGTGTGCTGTATGTACAAGTACGTGCTGTATGTACTTTGGCTGCGCCAGTGAGTCGCATGCCCGATGAGCTTCCCTTCCTATTGATACTTGACTGTACTCCGTAAAGGGCTCGGCTTGAGCTCCGCAAAGGCGACATGGTCAGCATTCCATCTGGTGGTGTGGGAATGGAGACGGGCGAGTAAGCCTGGCCCGGCCCCCTTGAATATGACAATCGACCGAGATTCAGCCATCGATGTTGCTTCTGAGTGCCGTGCCCTTGCTGTGCTGTCCTCTGTATAATCTTGATGGCTTTCCATGTTGGGGGCGATGTATTTCTCATTTCTCATTTCTCACATTATTTCATCAATGTTTCGATCCTTCAACTTACACATGCCTTAGGAGGTAGGCACCATTAGCATCTTACATGCTCCCTCAGGTACTCTGTGTGCAGTGCCTTATGCAAGCATAGACATAGCCAGCCAGTGACGTGCATACACATCACAAGCGCACCTGTTTCTTCGTACAGCTGTTAAGACATTGGCGGTTGAAGCGGCAATGGGCAATGAGCAGAGAGGAGAAAGAGGCAATGCCGAGAGAGCAATATATTGTATTGTACCTTGCGCCGTATGAAGCGCGCATGAACGGGGTACATGGCAAGTCTGGTGACCACATCAGCCCAGGTGCATGCTCGTTGATATTACTTGGGTTAGCACCTTCTATTACTATACGGAGTACCTGTATAGATACATGCTTTGTACCGTATGCACCTGTAGAGAGGCCCGATGAGGAGAACGATGAGGAGAAGATGGAGCCGCAGCATCAAGCCTGTGGACCCGATACACGAAAGAAGCATCAGTGAATCCTCCCGTCCAACATCGGGTACTCCGTAACGTTAAAACGGTGTTTCTGGCGCTGCAAGGGCCTCAGGTCTCCCTGCTGCGCTGGGCTCCTCGGCCAGTCAGGCGCCGCATCCGGCTGAGCAGCCGCTGTCTGCGTCTCAGTTCCAGCAGTGACAGTGACACAGTGCTGCCCCTAACGCCTGACGCGCATGGGTTGTTGCGTGCTGGCGCCTGTGTTTGTGTTAGCGAGCAGCGTATCCCGTACCGTGCCTCCCCCATCTGCGGCGGGGGATGCGCCAGATCGGTACCCAAACCACTAAGACCGGCTCAGCAGGTTTGGCGCCATGGTCATGCTGATGATCCACCTCACCTTCCGGGTACATTAGTCGCTTCGAGTGCCTTGTACCGGTACCTGTGCCGCTGACTATCGCATGCTATGGCACTGGAATCTGGAGGTGGCTACGGAGCACCATTGGCCAACACACTGTGCATCCCCCAAGGCACAGCACGGTACAGTACGAGTACGGAGCGCCGGCTTACCTACACGCAGCTGGCACCGCCCGCTGCAACTCAACATGTATCTGTACCACCCCGGGAGGCCCAAGGCGCTCGGTCTCAGGTAATTCAAGTCACCCACCCGCTGGAACTCTTCGCCCTCCCGCTCACCTCTCCTTCAACTTGCCTTTGACGACAACAACCACGTCGAATCGTGCCTCCAGCCCTCGTCTCTTTCCATCCCCGACCGATCCGACGCCAGAACCCAACCGCAGCGCGCTCTCCCCGGCTCTTGCCCGAAAGGACACTACGGGGCCTGCCGAGCAGATCAGGAACCAGGGATTGTCACAATCCCTTTCTTAGGCGGTCGACGCTCGAATCCACCACTCCATTTCATCATCCCTTCGATACTTCGGCACTGCTCCGTCATCCAGACCGCATCATCGCCAGGGAGTCCAGAAACGCGCGACACGTCTCCGGGGGCTCTCATTCGCCCTACATTGTTGGCGGCTTCCACTCGTTTCCTTCTCCAGGACTTTTGGGAATTTCCCATCCGCCTCTTGCAGCAGACTTTAGGAGGCTGACCCATGTCCTAAACTATCGGTATGCTCTTGTTCTGCTTCTCGTCCAGCTCTACCACTTCCGCTAGCACCCAGTATTCCTTGGGCTCCCTTGGCACTCTCCCCTTTCAATATCTGCTTTGTAATACTGTGCCTTGTTGGATTTGATGTGCCAGTAATGCATCTTTGAATGCTTGGACAGCAAACAAACCAATAATCCTATCCAACACGCTTCATTCCCGCCGACATCACCTGCGAGCCACGTACGAATACGTATAAGCTGACATTCGCCTGTTCCCAGGCTAGACCAGGCCAGGGCCATCTTTTTTTGCTTTCCGCATCCATTTCGTCCCTCGCCTTACACGTCCGAAGCCTCCTTTCCCGCTCTTATTTAGTCGAGCTCTTGGCCGTTTGACTCCGACTTGGTAGCATACCACTCTCTCCACTCTCTTTGACCAACTTTCCGGGCGACGACAGTGACGACGCTGCTTGGTTGGACTGGACGACGATGGCTGGCTACGGTAGACCAATGAGCTTTTCTGAGAGGAGAGGGAGCCTGCTGAGCGAAGAGCTGACACTCAACACCAACAACTTGTTATTACACCGAGTCGAGAAGCAGCAGCGCCAGATGAGAGGGCCACCAACTCCGAGCATGCCCACGCCGGCCGCTGACTTTGATCAGCAGCTGACGGGATCGGCTCCTGATCCGCCAACCCCGGCCGCGTCTCCTGGACCTGCGCACTGCCAGCCAGATTGGAGCGATGCTGCTGATGATGAAGACTTCTTCCTCGCCAAGGTTCGACAGCACTTCCAGAACTCTTCCGGCCCTCAGCGAACGAGAATCTTGGCCGATTTGTTGAATCTCTGCACCAGCCAGCAGCTCAGCTTTGTTCATCAATTTGTCAGCCCGTTGTTGAAGAAGGACCCATTTACCAGTCTTCCGGATGAGTTGTGTTTGAGGGTACGAATCCGCAACCTGCAGCTCGCAGATGCTGAAATTTCCTCCCATTTTTTTGGGGTCCCTCCTTGCTGACATTCTTTTAGATATTGTCATTCATTGATGACCCCAAAGTCCTTGCGCGAGCGTCGCAAGTGTCCAAGCGGTGGCGAGATCTACTGAGCGACGACATGACGTGGAAGAACCTTTGCGAGAAACACGATTATGGTCGCCGCTTGTCTGAAGTGTCGCCCTCGGCGCCAATCATGACAACGAGATCCTCTGCCTACGCCGTCGATGTGGATAGCGAAATGTCTAGCAGTTTCCCGGGAGCTCTCCCCTTCACCTCACACGCCTCAAGCTCAATGAGCTATGACAGCAGGCGGCCCAAGATACGCTCGTACAAGTCCCATTTCAAGCAGAGATATCTAGTGGAAGCAGCCTGGAGGTCCGGCGGCACAAGCATCACCCGTAACATTACACAAGAGGGAGGCGTGGTTACCAGTTTGCATCTGACGCCAAAGTACATCATTGTCGCTCTCGACAATGCAAAGATTCACGTTTTTGACACGGATGGCAACTCGCAGAGGACTTTGCAGGGCCATGTCATGGGAGTCTGGGCCATGGTACCTTGGGGAGATACCATGGTCAGCGGTGGTTGCGACAGAGATGTGCGCGTGTGGGATTTAAAGACTGGGTAAGTCCGAGTCCACATAATGGCAGCTTTGCGCTCTTATTTTTACTAACTTGGTGACAGCGCTTGTCTACATACATTGAGAGGTCATACGTCGACCGTCCGATGCCTGAAGATGGCTGATGCTAATACCGCCATTTCCGGCTCGCGAGACACCACGCTGCGGATCTGGGATATCCGCACCGGCTTATGCAAGAACGTCCTTGTCGGACACCAGTCTAGTGTACGGTGCCTAGAGATCAAGGGCGACATTGTAGTATCCGGTAGCTACGATACGTTTGCCAGAGTTTGGAGCATTTCAGAGGGCCGATGCCTGCAAACGCTGCAGGGACATTTCAGTCAGATCTATGCTATTGCGTTTGATGGCAAAAGGGTGGTGACTGGGAGCCTGGATACTAACGTTAGAGTCTGGGACCCCAAGACTGGGTGAGTTGCTCGTCGCGTCATTTGTCATGTTATGCCAGAAACTTGATTGCTAACCCTAATCAATAGAGAATGTCTTGCCATTCTTCAGGGCCACACGTCTCTTGTCGGGCAGTTGCAGATGCGGGGCGATACTCTTGTGACTGGTGGCTCTGACGGCTCAGTCAGAGTGTGGTCTCTGGAGAAGATGTGCCCCATCCATCGCCTTGCTGCCCATGACAACAGTGTCACGAGCTTGCAATTCGACGATACGCGCGTTGTCAGCGGAGGAAGCGACGGCAGAGTCAAGATTTGGGACCTCAAGACGGGTCACCTGGTGCGTGAACTGATTGCTCAAGGCGAGGCCGTCTGGCGGGTTGCTTTTGAGGAGGAAAAGTGTGTTGCTTTGGCTTTGAGGCAAGGCCGCACAGTCATGGAGGTGAGTTAATCAAGACAACCCCCAAGCTTGGGTTGAAATTGATTTAGAATCCTAATTGCTAATCTGGAACAGGTTTGGTCATTCTCTCCTCCAGAAGATGTGCTCTACGACCGCCCATTTTCGCTTCAACAGCGTGTTCTTGAAGATGATCCAGATCGCCCGATGAGTGCCATGGCATTCGACTATCGAGGTGGTGACGTGACAATGGCGGGTTTGAGCCGGGACGGTTCGTCTCAAGACATGAACATGGTGGATGCCGGCCCATCAACAGCTCCGCTTCAAGGAGTGACTTTTTTCCACGACGATTGATCGGCACAGATTCCCCAAAAAAGTTTTGATTTAATGCGGCCTCAATCGCCGGCGCAATGATGGCTACGGTCTGGGACTCTTTGCTGCGAGAGACGGAGAGACGAGATAAGAATCAGACAAGATTCATTAATGAGGACAGGGCTAAGCTGATTGGAGCGGCTGGCTCGCCCGCTTTGGCTTTTTATATACTTGGCGCGCGGTTTAGGTTATAGATCGCGGCGTGGATCTCGTGGGAGCATATTTTTCAATGGCGTTGCTGATCATTTGGTACTTCATGCATAGCTGGGGGGGGAATTGCATCGCGTCAAGGGCATGAAGATTGGGATGTTTATCAGTTTGAAAACGACAGGGTCGTGGAGCTTGCTTATTGCTGAAGATTGGTTTTTTGTTTCCTTCTAGGACGTGCGCCAGCGACTCGGGATCATGGGCACTCAAGTATTTCTAGCGATAATACCAGTGAATATAGGATTAGGTAGAGGTAGATTCGATTCGACAGGGGGGAGAGGATCGGTTTTGATAGCCTCTCGAGATTAGCATATGCATACATACCCGTCTATTTAATTAGCTTTGGCCAGAATCCCAGCTGAAGACTCAGAGTGGATATGGAGAATCTGTTAGTAGTTGCAGCTCCGAGTCCAAGAGTATCATTGACGTCACTATTTCAGAGCGTCATGTTCGTTTACACGAACACGGCGAATTTTGTTTAATAATTGCGTCACAATGGCATAATATTCAGGAACTCACATAAGCAATTCAAGTGCTGTACGAGAGCATATATGAAGACTTACCCAGTAGACAAACCATAACACACACCTTTGATTGCTCAATTCCAGAAAAAAGCGGCATTCACTTCCTCCAGATCCAATTCTCTCACCACATTCCTCATCTCCAACATGATTTCTACAAGATCAGCAACCAGACTGTCGCTGTCCCAGGGCAGAGCAGCTCTACGGGTTCCAAAACGCCAACATATTCGCTTCCAGACAACTTCATCTACGTCTTCATCAGCAAGCGGTGGAGCTTCCAATGGATCATTGGGAGTCGGCCTTGTGGGCGGCGTGGCTGGGGCAGCATTATTCTACGGCGTTTATTCCTTCACTCCTGCTGGTCGAACGGCAAGCAAGTTGAACAAGACGGTGAAAGAGGCCGAGAAGAAGTATCAAGAAGCCGCCAAGGCACTGCAGGCGAATACCCCGAGCGCATCGCAAGCAGTGGATTCCATTAAGCAGTTTGCCTACTCTTACGTGGGCTGGATACCTGGCGGCCGTGGCTACGTGGATGCGGCATTCAAGGACTGGGAAACCGTGAGGAAAGAGCACGGCAAGGAGGCGGATAAGCTGGTCAATGATGCATATAAGCAGTTTCAGGAGATTTCTAAATCGAGCCTGAGCCTTGAAACAGCTTCCCGAGCGTATGATGCCCTGGCGGATTTGGCGAGCAAGATTGCCAGTCTCACTGGTGATGCGCTTTCGGATGTTATGGACAACCATCCGCAGCTGAAGGAGAAGCTCGGGGGCAATATCGATCAGCTGAAGCAGATGGGCGAGCACTACGGCCCAGAGGCGAAGAAGCAGGTGGACGAGACTTGGCGGCAGGTCAAGGACATCTTTGCCGGCGGATTCAGCGCCTCGAGTCTCGCGAAAGCGCGGGAGCTCATCGACGACAAGGTGCAGCAGGTGCAGAAGCTAGGAGATGAGGCCTGGAAGAAGGGCCTGGAAGAGGCCAAGCCGTATCTTGAAAAGAGCCCCAAGGTCAAGGAGCTATTGGAGAAGAATGGCGAGGCTTTGAAGAAGGGCAATATAGGTGAGCTTTTCGGCAAGGTGCGTGACGCGGCCAAGTCTGGAGATGTTGGCGGCTTGGAGAGCTACATCAAGCAAGCGGCGCAGAAAGTGGGAGATAAGGCCAAGGAGAGCGGATGGGGATCACTGGACAAGTATCTGGACAAAGTACCGCAGGGCAGCGAGATTCTGGGCAAGCTGGAGGAGATGGGACGGGTTGCGGAGGAGCACAAGGAGGAAGGGGAGCAGCTGCTGAAGGAGACGATGGGGGATATTCAGAAGGTGCTTGAGGAGAAGGGACAGAAGGTGAAGGAGATTGTGGATTCTGAGAAGAAGCAGAAGAAGTGAATGGTGAGTGTGTGAGTTCATATGGGATTCAATGTTGCAGTGTAAACTGTCACTTGACGTGTATAATAGAAGTTGGTTGAGAGGATCTCAGCCTTTGGATCAAATGACAAGAATCGAAAATTACGTTGGCTTCCTATCGGCCGAAGCATCAGAACGAGCTGTACTAAGGGCAATGGAAGTTTCAAGGGACCACAAATAAAGCTTGAAATGATGAATAGCCTGAGAAGTGTGTTGAAAATGGCTTTTTAACACTGCCATGGCAACAAGAGAACATGCAACTGCGAATGAGATGAAAGGGTACCTCGTCTGCTGTGCGGGCTGCAGCCACAGCGGCAGTACATGTCTAACAGTGTGATTCTGACTAACCCGTGACAGTTGCTGCATTTAGCCTGCTGATCAAGTCAGACGCACGTTGCGAATTCCTTGGATAAGACTGGATGCTCCTGTCGCCAAAATGTAACCACAGCTCGACCTTGTTTAATTTCCCTCTTCTTATCTGCCGCATCTTTCATGTCAAGTAACGGCAGATCACAGCGGCGGGAGCGTTCCGTTTGGTCGGATGATGCGTTTTCTGTGGGCGAGCCAAAAGCAGCTGCCGAAGCATCACATCTCCCCCTGGTTACCATTCCTTCTCACGGTGGTAGATGGTTGATCCTACACATCCATTACGGTTTTCTGTGGCTGTTCCGCAAGGTCCCTTCATGAAGCATGACTGAGTTATAAAAGAGGCCGCTGTTCGTCGCTTCTTTCCGAGAGGAAAGCAAGGGAAGTTACTTGGCACGCCCAAAAACCTTGTTAGATTTCGGGTTTCTATAAAGAGAGAGCATTGGGACCTTTCTCTGGTTTGCTAAGTGATTTACTGTCCAAAAGAACGAAAACAGAAAGAAACAAAGAATCATGCTGCTTGCTTTGCTACTGCTTGGCCCTGTCTTAGCAGCGCCGTCGAGGCAGATTCCTGTCCCGAAATTGGCTCAGGCTGAACAAGATGATGGATTTGCATCAAAGCCGCTGAGTTTTACTCGGGATGGAACTTTTCAAATATCAATCTTTGAGGACCTTCATTTTGGCGAAAGTGAGTTGAACTACACAGCATTGTAGAGATGCAGCTGGCTAACTATACAACTAATAGATGCTTGGGATACTTGGGGCCCTCAACAAGACATCAACTCGGTCGCGGTCATCAACAAAGTGCTCGACCGAGAGTCTCCTGGGCTTGTCGTCTTGAACGGCGACCTCATCACCGGGGAGAATACGTTCCTGGAAAACAGCACTCTCTATCTCGACCAGATTGTCCAGCCGCTTGTTGAACGCCGCCTCACATGGGCATCGACATATGGGAATCATGATCACAGCTTCAACATCTCTGGCGAGGGCATCCTGGAGAGAGAAAGGCGATGGCCGAATGCTCGAACGCAAAACATGGTTCCAGGACGAGATGCCGGTGTCTCCAACTACTATTTGCCGGTATACGCGGCAGAGTGCAATGAGATGAATTGCGCCCCTGAACTCTTACTCTGGTTCTTTGACAGCCGTGGCGGATTTTACTTTCAGGAGCGCCATCCGGATGGAAGTCAAGTCGGCCAGCCAGATTGGGTGGGTGTCAGCGTCGTGAACTGGTTCGAGCAGACGAATCAGCAATTTGTGGCAAAGCATGGACGAATCATACCGTCGTTGGCATTTGTCCACATCCCGACCGAGGCTTCACAGGCTCTGCAGGTGGAAAATGGGCAAGACAGTGTCAATCGGAATTATCAACCCGGTATCAACGACGACTATCCGGTTGCCCAACAGGCACAGGGATGGTGTGCTGATGGACGCAATGACGGGACATGCGCCTACGGCGGCCAGGACGTCCCTTTTATGCAGGCCATTGTTTCGACTCCGGGTCTCATGGCTGTCTTTTCGGGTCATGATCATGGCGCCACCTGGTGTTACAAATGGGACCATCTCGTCCCAGGCATGACGGTCGCGGGAACAGGCGTCAACCTCTGCTTCGGACAGCATTCCGGATACGGAGGGTATGGCAACTGGATTCGTGGATCACGTCAGGTCAGCGTTGACCTAAGAACTCTTCGCGATAACTGGGAGGCACAAACGTGGATTAGGCTGGAGAGCGGCGATGTGGTGGGCTCTGTGTCGTTGAACGCAACGTATGGGAACGATTGGTATCCTGCCACTCCGAACGACAAGACATTTTGCCCGACTTGCAATTACAGTGTCATTACTCCGGGGCCAGGGTCCTTTCAGAAGAAGATTAATCCTGTGCGCCGCCGGATCTGAGTGTTGGAGGGTTTATGTTATGGTTTGGCTATGTTATGGTTTGGTTATGATACGGTTTGGCTATAGTTGATTTTTGTCTAGAATGTATTGGATAAATATAACTTTCTTCTCTTTTTACTCGTGTTCAACTAAAACTTGCTTCATTTTGTATTTTCTGGATACATCAAGCGCATAAGGATGGTTCTTTCTCGAGGCAAAGTGGAGGTTCTCTTGAATGCCTTCAAAGTATGAATGAAAGTATAAACGTTCAGCACAGATAAATTATGTTCTTGAAGTTGAAACTATCTTCCAAACTCAGCCAGCCGAATGGAAGCTTTACTGGCGCATTGGAAATCTCTTGTAGCAACTTTGTAAGTCTCTAGACTTTTACTTTCACTTCGCTTTTAACTTTGATGGCAAGGTTCTGGGCTGTTTTTCTTTCTTTTTCTACGTCTATATATACCGAGGCATGCTCTTGCTTTTTACTCTTTTATTTCTTCTCTTCTATCATCACACCGTCCCCTAATACACAACGATTACCAGCTTTCTTCCTTTCTATCGTTGCACAGATATTCCACAGAGATAACGATTTGACTCTCACTTTGTGGTTTTTTGGTCATCGCCCTCACTCACCAAGTTAATATGGCGCCGAATCGTCTATTTGAAATGGTGAAAAGTCTTCGCCCGCGCATGGATAAGCCAGATGGTTCAGTTAGCTCAACTGAGCATGTTGACGGTGAAAGGCTTAGTGAAGACGAATGGACTCTTGAATCTGTTCCTCCTTCTGAAGGTGAGAGAAATATCGCATGCGAAGAGAGCGGTGAAAAAAAAGAGCATACCGAAGACGAAAATTATTCTAACGTCCAATTTTCTCCAGAATCTAGTCTTCTTATGAAAGATGAAGAGAATACTGGAGACGAGGATTATTCCAAAGTCCAATTTTCTCCAGCATCTAGTCTTCATATGGAAGATGAAGGGAATACGGACTACGAAGAGTCTTCTGACTACGATGCGTCCACCGAAGCCGAAGAGTACTCTGAATACGAAGGGTCTTCTGAGTATGAGCTTCATACTGATACTGAAGAACCCGACGAAGAGTACAATCTTCGGATTCGGATAGAGGAAGATGTGGAAGCTTACCTGCGCGCGCCCAACCCCATCCCCTTGGTCTGGAAGCACGAAGACTGTGCCTTTACTCGAGACGAAGCCATGAAGATGTTCCGGCCCATCGCGGAGAAATTCCACGCAAGCTATGCGACTGCCAACGTCACGGCCCAAGTTCGACGCATCTTCACGAGGGAAACGGTCAGAGTTCTTCCACCGTGGGAGAAGAAGCTGCTCAAAATGAATGCAGAGCTGCACGGAGCGGCTGACATCGTCGAGTGGTTTCAAGAAGCAGAAGGGGATCTACTGGGAATTCGCAGTCGCAGGGCTCACAGGGTCGCTCATCTGACAGCAGAGGAAGCGGAGCGAGTCTGGGAAGATCTGTACGACCTCTCATGGCACAGCAGGCTAGATTTTGCGAAGCTTCTTGAACCAAGGATTACTGTAGTGAAGACGCTTTTCGACGACCAGAAGCGGCGCATTCAGGAGCTGGAGCAGCAGCTTCTCATGAGGAATTCGGCAATGGAAACTGCAGATGGAGATGGTGATGTTGCGGGAAGAAGCCCAACTCAGCCCAGGAAAACAAAACTATCCATAGTGATGACATTTCTTAAAAGGATGATTTTACCGCCGCCGATGGATGAATTGGGTAGAGGCTAAATGTGGGAATGCTTTGAAGAGATACCTGTATGATTTCTAGTATAATAGTTTGTGGTGTTTGTACTCCGTAATGGAATAAAAGATTAATAACCAAGGTATAATTGCCAGAGCTACCCTGCACCCAAGTGCGGAATCTAGCCCCATCTGGTGGTGACATCGCATCACTGCAGCGTATCGATAAGCTCCTCAAACATCCGTCTTCGCTTCCTCTCCCAACCGCAGCTCAACTTGTTTCCTTCTTCACCAACCTGCCACCGCCCATGATTTTTTGAGACTCGAAACGGAAGAAGAAGCAGAAATTGGTTGGAAACCGAATATATTACTACTGCACCGCTATTGTCGGCATCTGCGGCCTCCAAGATGGCGGACCACGAGAATTCCAGAATCAAACACAGTGACCACTTGCTCTTGGTAAGCTCCTCCTCCTCATAGCCACTGCTCCCGTATCAAAGCTTGCTCTGCATCCCGTATAGCACCTGATTGCTCATATATCCATTTCTCTTACAGGACCAACCCCTCTTACGTCTCCCCCACGAACTGCTCCGCAAGAACTTCCGTGCCGCACACTTTGCCATCGAGAAGGACACCTCGTCGCTCAAGTCCCTCCTCAAAGACTCGGCAACCGCAGCCCTCTCCGGCCGAGCCTCACAACAAGATGTGCTGAAGAACCTGGACTCCATGATTAGCCGTATGCGAGGCGTCAAACGCAAGCTCGGCGCCTGTGCCGAGGAAGAAGGGCGTTTGCACGAGCAGACAGCTGCGCGGATCCAGCACCTGAATGAGCTGTACACCATGCAGAGCGTCGACGACGTCAAGTACGAGGCTTGGAGCAGGAAGAGGCTGGATCGGCTGTTGACCGACTACCTTTTGAGGCACGGCTATAACAACAGTGCGAGGGAGCTGGCCAGCGAGAAGGGCATGGAGAATCTGGTGGATGTCGAGACGTTTGTTAGCATGAGCCGGATACGTGAAGCGTTACTGAATCAGAGTGTTGTCGAGGCGTTGGCCTGGTGTACGGAGAACAAAAAGGAACTGCGCAAGATGGAGGTGAGTTGGGCTAGGACGCTATTATTCCTCTGTTGACCCTATATGCTAACCAACTTGTTCCCATCTGCAGAGCAAGCTCGAATTCATGCTTCGACTGCAGCAATACATCGAGCTCATTCGCACACAGTCGGAGCCTAAACTCGTCGAGGCCATTGCCCACGCCAAAAAGTACCTCATGCCATACTGGAGCACGTACCCCAAGGAAGTCAAACAGGCATGCGGCCTTTTGGCCATTCCCCCGGACGGCACAACAACCGGCATCTACAGCGATCTGTACAAGGCCTCTCGCTGGAATGAGCTCGCCGACGTCTTCACCAGTGCCCACAACAGCCTTCTCGCCTTGCCATCCGTGCCACTGCTGCATGTTGCCCTATCCTCAGGACTGTCGGCCCTTAAAACGCCAGCCTGCCACTCGTCGCATCTTGACGAGGCATACAACGAGGCGGGCTCATCTACTCTAGGCCACGGCGTCTGTCCCATTTGCTCAACCGAGCTCAACGACTTGGCCCGGAATGTGCCCTATGCGCATCACACGAAGAGCCACGTTGAGCACGACCTGTTCCTGCTTCCCAACGGCAGGGTGTACGGCAAAGAGCGCCTGGATGATTATGCCAGGAAGTCGGGCTTGCCGCCCAGCATGGTCAAGGATCCGATCACTGGGGAAGTGTTCTTTAACGAGCTGCTCAAGAAGGTATTTATCACTTGAACTCTCCGAGGGAGCTCTATGCCTGCCGCTTTTTGCTATTATTCGTCCACTCTGTGGATATGGGGACTGTCGGTTTCTCCCCCTCCCTTTTTTTTGCTGATGCTTGACATGATAAGTCTTGGTCATTAGGAAATTGTAGTTTGGTTTACTGGTTTCGTTTTGTTTGGCACTCTCAGATTTCACAGCATGGGGCATGTTTATTGCGGGACACTGTATCACTTCTTCCTTTGCTCTTCTTTGTTCTTTAGCCAGGGTGTTACTTTGCAGTATGGCTTTTGAGTATTCCTGACAAGTCATTCAATAATTACCTCTTTTTGTGATTCACGTTTTTCACTCGTGCCAATAACATATTCGTAGTTGCAGGCATGAATTTTTTTTTTTTAAAAAAAAAAGGGCGGACGAGAAAAAGCAAAACGTTGAATTTCCCCCCTTTGACCCTCCAAAGTACCATACAATACACGGAACACGCATACCATGTCCTTGACCCAAATCCCTTAAACACAATGAAAAACGGAAGCTCCTCAATACAACCATCTCACAACCCAATATCGCAAAAAAACAAACAACGTAGCGAATTCATCCTCGCCAGTTTAGTTTTTCTTGTTATAGCATTTGCCTCTCCCTTTTGCTTTCCCTCTTCCCTCTTCCCTCCTCCCTTGCAAAAATTCAACCACAACCCATCGAGATGAAATCCCCCCCCTCTCTTTGCCATAAAGAAGAAGAAAGAGAAGGGGGGGAAAAAAGCTCCCCACCGGGCACCCGTTTTTTATGATTTCGTTTCCCCTCCCAAAATTCCAAATTTTTGCCATTTCCCCGTTCCCATCCCACCTTTGCTAATTTCAAAAAAGGAATAAAAACCAGAGTACAGGGCCGGAGAAACGCAAAAATAGGGGGGGATGAGACATGTAGAGAAGAAGAAGAAAGGGGAAAAAGAGTCATTCGCGAGGGTTAAATGTAAGTAGCCTGTCTTTAACGCCTTTGTCCACTTTTCTGCACTACCTCTTCCTCTTCCTCTTCCTCTTTTTTTTTTTAAATATGCCTTTTGTCTTCCTGACTACATGATATAGTGGTAAAGGCCAAAAAGGTATTTAGAGGACAGAGTGGAAGAGAAAATAGGGAATGAAAAGGAGAAATAAAAAGCTGTTATAAACACGCAAAGACCCAAAATGGGATTGATGGGATGAAAAAAAGCAAGGGGAAAAGAGAAAGGGTCATTCATTCAATTATAGGATGAGAAATGCGCCCAGGCAGGACCCTATCTGCCGTTCCCTCCAAATGCAAAATTACCAAAAACGCCGCCCCCTCCACCAGGAGTCATGGGGCCCATATTGGGCAAGCCGTTTGTGTTGTGGCTCTGAGCCGGAGTGGTTGCGAGATGCGCCGTGCCCGTGTTGGGAGTGCTGGGAGTGTTGCCGTTCTGCCCGCCGTTCTGATCGCCGCCCTGGCCCATCATGGACATGGGCATGCCGACATCAGGGATGCCCAGGCCCCAGACTTTGCCGAGATGGTCGTCAGGAATCTCGCCGTTAAATATCCTGTCGCGCATCTGGAAGAAGACCTTGCCGGTGAGCAGGGAATCCGAGCCTGCCTGGTGAGCAGACCCAATGCGCTTAACTTTGAGAGTCTCTGCAATATTCTCCAGACCCGACTTGTGCTCAAACTTTTGCAAGATTTCAGTGGTGCCGGGATCGCTGGGGGTAAGCATCCCCGAGTTGTGAAGCTTGATGGCAAACTTCATCAGATGCTTCACATCGTATGTCATGGGGAAATATAGCTTCATCTTGTGGTCAAAGTCCACCTCATCATTTGGAAGGGGCGTGCAGATGAGCAGCTTTGTGAGATACCCAAAGTCGTAGCCACCATGGAAGGATATCCACCGGACGTTATCGAAGCATACCAGACCCGACGGTATTAATAGGGAGGCGAACTGGTGGGGGTCGATACCGTCGCGCTCCAGGAGGTTAAAATCGATGCCGGCCTGCTGAAGAGACTCGATCGACTTCTCGTTGTACATGTCGTCTTTTAGAGAGAATTTGAAGTTGAATTGCCACGAGTAAGGGAATGGGCCCGCGCCTATATGCCGCCTGGTTGCCGCACTGAGTCCCAACTCAGGACCCGGTCGCGCTGGTGGTGTCTCGCCGTCTTCATTGAACAACGTGATGCCGATCTGGATGACCTTGAGCATATCCACGTTGGTCCGTAGACACTGGTAATGGTAGTCACTCTTCCCTCTGAAACCACCCATAGGTCTTGCTACAACGCCAGGGAATTCCGTGTCCTTTTTTCAAGTTACCACCCCACTCGGTCAGCGGGATTGATCCTCCATAAAGAAAAAAGAAAAGAAGGGTAAAGTCATCATCATCATCGACAACAATGGGCTCGCAACGCCTCAAACAAGACAAGACTCACCATGGCTACATAAGGGTACTTGTCAATGATGTCTCTCAGCACGGCCATCTCCTCCTCGAGGTTGTGTTTCCAGACTTCGCGTATCCGGCCCTTATTAGACGGCTGCGACCGCATTGTGGGATGGTCCATCAAGGCATTGTGCTGCACCTGGCCGCCATGCTGCGGCTGCTGGAGGGCTGCGGCCGCGCCCGGCCCATGCGCAAACCCCATCCTTGCGCTCTGGCTGCCAAAGCCCGTGTCGGGGAAGCCACCGGCGCCATTGAGGGCAGCGGCGTTGAACGAGTTGATGTTATTCGGCGTGAACGGGTTCAGCTGAGCGTTGGCATTGAGATACTGGTTGCCCAAAGGCCCTCCCTGTGGCTGGCCGTGGGAGGGGAAGCCGGGTTGGTGGAAAGGCGCGCCGACGCCGGGCCCGCCGCCGAAGGCCCGGAGCTGTGGTGGCATGAGATGAGGTGCTGTGCGTTGCGGATGCTTATGATGGAGGGGCACAGAGTCGACGGGGCCAGTGTGGTAGCCCGGCCGAGGATTGGGCGGTGGGTAGCTGTTGTATCGTTGAGGATGGCCGCCGCGTCGTAGGAAATTGGTCTTGTGTCGTTGTGGTTGCGGAGTGAACTCGGGCTGTCTCTAACGTGACGAAGGGGGGGGATATCTTGAATCTCCACGGCCTCTTCGGGCTTGCATTGGGCACGAGGGCTGGGCGCAACAATGGCGTGGCTGGCGGTAGCGGCTCTCAGCTCTCGAGTCTGCGGCGAGGCTCGCGGTCTGGATGCTGTGTCGAGGCAGCAGACGTCGTCGCGGCGAAGGATATCAAATAGTGTTGGGTACAGATAATTGCAACGTGCAGGATACCTAGGGCTTTCTCCGCCTACAGCTCTCTCTCTCTCGCTCTCTGTTTTTGGTCGTTTTCGTCTGTTTTGTCCTTGCGCACACCTGGCTGATTAGTCCGTAACAAAATACTCGAGTGGTTGATTGACGCTCTGTGGATGCTGCAGAGGAGAGAATGTTTATCAAGATAAAAGAACACGATCGCTGGTGTTTCGTTCTGGAGGAGGTGACGGAAGCGAAAGCCCATCCTAATAGCCGGAGATGGCCCGTGCGCCACATGCCGCCCAGCAGAGCAGCCACCATTTTCTCGGCCACCGCATTATTCCGGCCCCAGCAACTTGCCCAGCTGCGGAACTTCCAATCGAGCCATCCAAACGGCTTGTCGAGATCAGATTGCAGGCGCCCTCAATTGACATCATGCTTGCGACAAGGTACGGCGATGGTGACTGCTTCTGATGCTGCTTCTGGGGCTACTGAATTGCTGACCATTGCGCCCTGACAGAGCACTGCGAATGGCCCACGGGCCCAAGCCCAACATCACCGGCTTCAACATGCGAGCCTTCAAAGAGGCCACTGGCCAGCCCCGATACGACCCTTGGGAGAGAGCGTTGGTCTAACCCTTGCAATACACCCTCTGGCAGCTCCCACGGTTACAATCCGGAAGAGGGAGAAAGCGTCAGAGAGCAGCATAGAGAAGAGTGAAAGCTAACCTTGAGCATCATCTCATAGCGAGGCATGGCGATACCGCGGCACCTTTTCCAGGTTCAACCGATTCAGGAGCGGCTTCCCCGGCCTGGGAATCGCCTCTGTTGCCTTTGCCGGATACTGCGCCTATGAGTACTTCTTCCTCGACGACGGACACCACGGCGAGGGGCACGGCGAGGGGCACCATTAGAGCGTTTTTCTGCGAGCGAGGGCAGTCAGGGGACGTTGCTGGGAGGGGTTTTTGAGAGCGAGTGAGTTGTTTGTGAGAGACAAAGAGAGAGAAAATGTATATACATCTCTCGGAAGAGACGAAAACTCTGGCCTGAATTTGCAGCGGGCAACAGGAATCCAACACAAATCAATATAAACTCAATTTAGAACACGGTGTAACGAAACTATGCTAAAACAACACAATGCTGAATACATGCCCAGCTATATAAGATGATGGCCTTTTTTTTTTTTCCATGCGGAGAAGTAAATTGTTAGACTTGGCTACCGAAACACATATCAATATGTACACTTGAAGCATAAAACCCTCCCTCTTCTTTCAACAATTAAAAAAAAAAAAAGATGAACAACGTTTTGATTCAATCATGTTTCCTATCATAATTCTACGTCTCTCATATAAACGCTAGTTTTCATTCTTTGCTTTCGGGATATGCTCCGCAGCTGGAGCTCCCTCTTTTTTTGAGAGCTCATCCCAGCTGACATGCCTCTACCGTATACCGCGCAGGATGAACGAAGGGAAAAAGGGGGAGAAAAAAAATCAAGAGATTAACAAAAAGAAAGTCGAGAAAAAACACACAAATTTGTCATCATAAAAAAAAAAGAAGTCCGACTCCAAATTTCATGCCAGAACATGGTTGATAACACCGGCTATTCGTGGAAAAACACCCAGACATGCCAAAAACTCAGATATGCAAGAGCTCGTGTTATTGCCCGACGCCATTGACAACGTCTAGTACTTCTTCAACGGCCACCTCCAGCTCGCTGACCCTCTCCTTGAGAGTCTTGTTTTCGGCTTTCAGGAGGCCCACAGTATCCCAGGCGATGCTGGCATCTTGGCCCTGGCAGTTGCGGCACCCGTTGATGTCCTTGTTGGGGTCACCGGAGATGCCCTTGAACAGCTTCTGAAATGTAGACATTTGCGGCGGCTGAGAGTTCCGGAGTGGTCGAGACGGTCCAGGTGTGCCTCCAAAGGTCGATGTCCTTGAGGGCGGGCCAGGCGGCACACTGTCTACATCGGATATGATGCTTAGCGCCGTGTTGGTAGGGCTGCGAGGGCGAGAGAAGATGCTGGCCGCTTCGACGCTATCCTCATCCGTCTCGAAGCTAAAATCGGTCTTGGAAGTCTCACCGCTGCGCCTCCATCCTCGCTTGCGTTGTTGGTCTTCTTCGACGCATAGGTCCTCTGATATCGATCCTTCAGATGGCGTTAGGAATTTGTCTCTGGCGTTTGCCCGCTCTTCCATCCTCAGCCTCTTCTCCTTGTTCAGCTCCTCCATCAGCGCCGCCATCACGCCCTCTGTGTCAGCCAGCTTCTGAGCCATGCCTTCCAGCTGCATCTTGAGGTGTCGCGTTCTCGTGTCGGCCTCGGCTTTTTCGTCATCCATCGCCTCCTTTTCAGCCATCAGCTCCTGGATCGTGACGGCCTGGCGGTGGTAGGCGGTTTGGAATTTCTTCAGCAGGCCAGTCGCCGTCTGCTGCAGATTCATAAAGGCTGCCGGCGAGAAAGTCTGTCCATCGGAAGGGCTGCCCTTGGGGAAGAGAGACGTTTCGATGTTTAGATTGAGGAGCTCGTCGCTATGCGCCACCACGGTGGGCGCAGGGGCGAGAACCTTCATGGCCGGCATCCTGGAGGTAATAAAGGAGAGGGCAGAGTTGCGGGCGGAGGAAGAGGCGGTATTGGGCCTATTGTAGTCGTTTTGGTTCGACGCGCGTCTATCCTGACCGACTTCTCCAAACGAGGTGCGACGCGTCGCAAAAGATGAATTGAGGTCTTGAGGATGCGACGAGGATGTTGGGAGTACTGTTGATGACGCTTCGGGGGCTTGCCCAACTGCTAAAGGAATGTTGCTAGTAGTGTTTGCGAATTCTGATCTCGACCTCGAGTGGCCTCTGGGAAGCTTGGGATTGTGCCTCGGCTTCAGAAACGGCGGCAAGTCGGGACGTCCAGCGTTGTCTTGATAGGAGATGCTAGTAGAGTGACGGAGAGGAGATTGATGTTTCGGAGGAGATGGTGGTCCCACATTGAGCAGGGCGTCTCTTCGGTCGACGGAGAGGCGAGGATTGGGACGAGGCCTCGGGGTTGCACGAGGTGTTGATGGGGAATCCAGGGCCAAGCTTAAGCTCGGTGAGAGAGGAGGAGTCTGAGTCTGCTCATACCCCTGGCCGGGGGTTGCAGTCGAGCTGCCCATTGCACTTTGTTTGGCGCGGTGTAGAAAAGTAGCAGAGTGGAGAAGTGGACGGAATATTGGACCAGACCAGCAACCAGCCCCCCCAGTATTTCGCGATCGCTACCGATGCTAGACGCCACAGCGGCCTTTGTTTCTATTCGTTTGGAGGAGTTTTTAATTTTTTTTTCTCTCTTCGCCGCGACGTCGATTCGATCTAAAAGTTGAATTGAGAAGATGACCTTGTTACTCGCGTCTCGTCTAGCAGCACAAAACAAGCCTCAGCCAAGGGTTTAGGTGAGCTCTGGATGATGAAAATCTCAAGGAACCGGGAAACGTGACCCCGATTTTTCTGCGGTCCCTTTGAATCCGAGAGTCGGCGCCAGTCTTCAACGTCGATCCCGCTGCCACAAGTTATTCGCTCTTGGACAACGGCGGGCTCCACTGGGGCGCAATTCAGCGTGGAAAGCGGCCGAGCAGAAGCAACGTGTGCGTGCAAACGTATGCAGCGTGTACCTGAACCTATGCGTATGCAAACGTATGCAAACGTACAAGTGTGCAGACGCTCGCCTTGGTAGAGCTGCAGGTCGGCTGCAAGCGCATGCACAGGATGCTGTGAACGGTGTAGCGGTCACGCACAACTCGACTCATGCAGCGAGACTCCAGTCTTTTTCTCGTCCTTGGCGTCGAGACGTCCGGGGGCTCCTTGTCTTTTTCTCTTGCCCGTCAGCTCTGCAGCACCCAACGGGTCTGTTGTCCTCGCGACCAAAACAGCGTCTGTTTCAACGATCCAAGACTGCCGGAGGGTAGCTGCCTGTGGCACTTGGGCCAATATGCTACCTGTATGTCTCAGATGCGTGCGAGCGACGGCATGTGAGAGGCCGGGCTGGAATGCTGATACACCGGACGTCAGCTCTGGCGGCCCACTGAAACGTCGAGGCTAGACTTGCGATCAGATGTCAAGCCTTGCGAAGCTAGTCGGCGTACCTGCGAGCACGAAGCGTGCGGTATGGAGCATGCAGTCTGGCTCCCCAGATTCGTGCGTGTCTGTCTGTCACTCGTTGGTTGTGGTGGCCAGGGATCCGCACACGGGCTTTGCCTTGTTTATGGCAAGTCGGTGAGGCAAGGCAGCAGACAAATGAACAAGCAAGCAAGCAAGCAAGCAGGTGGATGCAGTCAGCAGAGAGAATTGAGGAAGGGGAGCAAGGAACAGCACAGGTATGCAAACGATGTGGATGTGGATGTTGCAATTGCCAGGGACGAAAAGAGGACGGGAGGGGAAGATAAAAAGACATGCGAGCACAGTAGAGTTGCAGATTGCGATAGCAGGGACAAGGGCGGTCCCATTTGATCTGTCTGTCTCTGTTTCCCGCCCAGGCCCAATGGCGGCAGGCATCGCAACGTGGCGGCCTTGCGCGCTGCATGCAAAGAGATATGCGCCAAAGTATGTGCTCCGTCAAGCTCCGTCAAGCTCCGTAGAGATAAAACCGCCGGCCAACTAGATGCTGTGCCTGTCTGCATCTCGAGCCCATCGTGTGCCTGTGGCCGTCCAAGGGTGGTGGGGGGCCGTCTTCAGCCTCCAGCGGCTCCAGCCAGTCCGGAGCAGCAGCCAGCCAGTGCGTCAGGCTCACTAAATTCACTAACGTCGCTAATTGCCCTGGGAGGTTCACACCAGCAGGCTCAGCTCATGCCAGGCTGTCTCTTCTCTGTTGTCATTAATACGAAGCAGACAGAGTTGGCTGACATCGTGATGGGTGATGTAAACCTAATCCTTCGGTACATGCATGCAGTCATCTCTTCGACCAAACTGCCGGCCACTGCTTACCTAGTAATAAGGTTACTACTAGGTATAGCACATGTCATTCTAAGAGTCTATCGATAGGTACCGAGAAGAAAGATGACAGACGCCACAGCAACGCCCGTCTATGAGCAAAATGACCCTCATGGTGGCTACAAAATACCTATCAGTGATAGAACTCCTACCTAGTAGGTACCTTATGGATAATACAGGTAGCCAAAGGTAACCATGAGCCACCACGCACTACTAGAATTGAGATGACATGTAAATGCACGCTATACATTTAAAATCGAAGTCCTAAAGTGTTATGCTTGTATATATCCGCCGGCGTCTCCATCACTTACAGAGGCCATCTTTATAAGAACCGACAGTTATTTGTAGTGAATTAGTTGAAATCAAAGAGTTCTTCTTTCCTCTCTCCAAAAATGACGTCTCACGGCCCCAGTGCCATAGCTTCCCTTTGGCAGGCACGCATCGTCATCGCCTGTATAAGCCATCAAAACCTGTCACCAGTATTAAATTACATCTACATCTACTTACATATACACCTCGTGTCGACTTGAAATCAAACACTCTATACGTCTCCATCATAGAGAGCCTCCAATTATTATTGTCGAGTTGAGTCTACTCTCGCTATCATCACCACCATTGTCACTCATTGCCATGCAACCCATCACAGCAGCGCCGAATCACACAGACATCTTCTTTCACACAGACATGCCTCGCCTCAAACCAACATCCACATCACGGCGCTTCCACTGCTTCTCCAACAGCCTCCTCGCCTACCTCGTCCCCATCTGGTCCATCCTCAACTTCGCCCTCGTCCTCGTCTCCACCGCCGCCTGGATCGCCGCACGCACCCGCATCCTCGCCGGGCCCTGCAAAAACTCCTCCTATGGCCAGGCCGGCGGCTGCGACTTCACCCGCTGGGGCCTCTACTTCTTCGTCTCCGCCAGTGCCACCATCAGCACCTTGACTGCCACCTTCATGGCCCTCACCTCCATCCTGCGGCCCAAGCCCTCGGCCCTCGATCCCATCTGGGTCTTCCGCGGCGTCTTCTTCACCCTCATCCCTCTTATGACAATCACTTGGATCGGATGGAGCACTCCCGATAAGCCCACTGGAATTCTCAAGTTCCCTCGCGAGTTTGACGAGTTTGTCCCGCCACGCCCTTTCCAGAGACCACTTCGAGGGATCGGTGGCGGTTTCATTTTCGAGGTGATGGATCCGTGGAAGGAGACACTCCCAGCTTTTATACTGCTTCATATCAACTTGTAAGAGTATACTTATATTTTGTTCTCTTACCAAGAGAAAAACGTATTAATACAATTACTAGGTTCATCGGTGCTGTACTCGCCGGATACTCTACCGCCGTCTGCCATCCAATTGCACCTCCAAATACTCTGGCTCATGCTTGTAAAGATCGGACGTCTAAGGGCCTTGTTTTTCTCCCGGTTGCATGAATGAGGTTACAGAGGTTTGGTGAAAAGAAAGAAGAAAAAAAACGGTTAATCCTTGTCACACTCGGTTGATGTTGTGTCTTAAGTAAGCTAGGTGCATTGACAGGTGCTTTGAGTTGTACGATACGCTGGTGCTCGGACGGTTTCATGCGATTTTGTGTTAGGCTACGCACGCACATTCTTACTGGTAGTCTAATAAGAAGAATCTTCAGCACGCAATGCATCATGAGTTGTGCATGGCTCGCGAACAATTGCAAACTGAATCTTCCATTAGGTCGGTAGTCGTATTCGTACCTATGTCAAGGCCGGACAGCGTTCAACAACTAGGTACCTAGCAGGGTGCTAATGCCCTCGATTATTGCCTCCTCCGTCATAGGACTCGTACTTTGTAGTTTAGCAAGAAAACCTGATTCCAGTATCCAAGGCTTCAGTCTCGGGTGCCGGATGATCAACTCCGAAATGAAAGCAAATGGTTGTACCACTTAGTACCCTTACCGTGATGAAGCGCCATGGATATCCTTCAACACCCGTGCGCCTCTTCGCCCCCAAAATAGCCATTCCATCGTTGAAATCATGGTTTGAGACAACGCCTTGAGTGGGAAATTAACAAAAGGAAAGAAAAAAAGCAAATTCCCGTATATACCCTGCCAAACCCCTGCGCCAAAAATGTTCTCGTACAGTGCATAATAGTTCGCTTAACCAAAACAAAATGGCCGTGTCCGCTTGGGCACGTTCATCAACTTACTCGCCCCCTTTCTTTTTTTTTTTTTTTCCATGTCCGTGCTCATCGCAGCTCAGCAGAAGGAAAGTACCGTGGCCCAGCAAAGCCTCGAGTGATGACAGACTGGACATCGATATTGCTCCCTGGGTCGTGAGACGAGCTCCACATTTTGAGAAGGATGTAGCGTCCCGAGACTGGTGGGTCGAACTTGATAGTGCACTTGCTCTTCTTCTTTTCAATGTAGAAGCGTGCATGAGGAGCGAGTAAGCCGCCGCCGCCGACCGCACGGACGGCTTCTTGGGTGGCATTAGCATGCGCATCCAACGCCTCAGAGAGAGCGAAACTGGGCGCGTGGTCGTGACTTCTGTCCCTTGGCCGGTGAATGATGTTGTGGCGGCGGCTGTGATGGAGAAGAAGGTCGTCCGAGGTATCCTGAGGGCTAAAGGGCATAACGATATCCTCTGCATCTGACTCTGCACTCTCAAAGGGCAGAGAGCCAATGCGATTGGGGGTGCGATGGAATCGTGGGCCATCAAAACCGTCGTCATCGTCGTCTTCCTCGTCGCTGCACTCCGTAGTCACGCGGAAATCGGACATCTCCCTGCTGAATTCCTCAGGCATTTCGGGTAGATGATTGTCGTCGTCTTCAGCTCGATACACGTAGGACGTTCTAGTCCTGGTACTCGTAGTGCCGTCGTCATGGTGCTGGATAGAAATTATGTGGCGAGGTTCTCGCTCAAGAACCAATGCATTATCCCCTTCTCCAGCTCGTGGACGCTGCCTCGAATTTGGGCCATACTGGATTTGGTATTGAGCCGTGCGATTTAGCATATCGTCTTGGTTCATGGTGATGAAAATCATGCCCTCTCGAACGCTGTGGAACGAGTTAGCAACAACGAATTATAACACCTGCCCAAAGAGATAGAGACTAGACAGAACGTACGGGTGGGAGAAGTTGGTGGCGCATGGAGCCTTGATGATGAGCTCCTTTAGTGTAAATACCGTCGCGCCTTGATGCTGCAGAATGATGTTGCATCTGTTTCCCTTGGTGCAATAGACAGAATTATCGTCCTTGAGGATGTTCTCGGCCGCGTACGACGACTGGTTGGAGAACATGCCACCGTCGCAGCTCACAATCTCCATTCGCAACTGGCCCGGCTCCACCTGTCCATACCTGCCATAGCGGAAGGCCTTGACACCACCAGAGCCGAGTCGATCCGCGTCCAGCTTCCGGCGCTTGTTCCGGCGGTTGTCATCTGGGGAATCATGCGAGCGGAGAGGCTGAGGGATTGAAGTAAGAGAGGAATGGGTCAGAGCGGAATGGGTAAGGTCGAGCAGTGCTCTGAGATTGGAGTTTGCCTCGTCGAGGGATCGGTCCAGCTCCTCAAAGTTGGAGCTCCGGCCTTCTGTGGCATGCATGCGAGGAAAGCGTCGCAGCGAATAGCGCCCGCTGTAGTCTAGATGGCGCTCTCTCTCTTCGGCGCGGGATGCCAACCGCTCGTCGAGGTTTCGAATCCGCTCGGCTCTGCGGGCGGCCGTGGAGGACCATTGAAAACGCGGTGGCGATCGGGGAGCTGCAGCGCCATCGCGGCCCCGCGGCGAGTTGAGGGTGCGCAGAGAGGACAACGTCGATGGCGGAGACAGCGGAGGGAAGTCCTGCAGCGAGTCTCGAGGCCGCTGGGGATTCGGTCCCGAGCCCGACCTCGACGACATGGCGGACAGAGACCCTGGCGATGACGTCGCCGTAAGACAGCTGTTGGTGAGGATGCGAGGATGCGAGGACGAGAGGGTCAGGATGAATCCCGCTCAGCGACAGAGTTGACGGTTAAATGGTCGGGCGGTTCTTGGTAGCTGCGAGCTGCCAGGGTTGGCCGTTGCACTGCGACGAGGCAGAGGCGTGAGTTGGGCGGTGCTCAAGTGACCCAAACGGCTACATATGTTGGGCATTCGGCAAAGCCTCTCAGCCACCGCGACTAGGTAGTAGGTACAGTACCTGGTAGAGCGGGTAGGGTACTGTAGTATGTAGCTGGGTTTAGGTTGAGAGGGGAGACGGGCTGGGATGGGATAGAAGTGGCAAAGTAGAGATGCAAGGGAAATGAAGATGAAGCAAGGAAGAAGGAGGCCGAGAGAGAAAGATGTCTTGATGAAGAGAGAGCCACTGTGGAAGAGTCATCGGCCTGATCAGCTCATTGTCTCCAAATGCTTTTTGCCTCTGCCTTATTGGCCTTGGAAGGCAGCACGGCTAATGGCCGGCGTCAGCTGCTTTGCTCACTCACCCAATCGATAGTGAAGCTGAGAAGCCCGGTCTGACGGACGGACAAAGAGAGAGGGAGGATTCGAGGCTCTTTGGTTTCTTCTATCGGGTCAATTTAATGTCTGGTGCTCAGGTCGAAATCCGGCTGATTGAGTGAGACCATCAAAGGAAAAGGAAAGCACAGAGGACAAAGGAATACTGTATTGTAGCTGACTCGGGATGAGCATGAGCATGCAAGTAGGTACAGTAAGATTCATCAATTCTCAACTTCTCGGCGTGCTGGGGACGGCAGGTTGGCGAGTGCAACGCGGGGTCGCTTAGTGCTAGTCCTGCCGCTACTGGCTGTATCCTCTGCCTTAGCCGCCGAGGAGCCGACAAGGTTGGCCTGGATATCGCATGGGGAGCATGAATATTGCGAGCTCTACCATCTACTGTACCTAGTGATGCGATATTACAGGTAATATGCATGAGAGCTCTCTAGGGGCCAATGAGACTGATGGTCCATGTCTTTTTGACTTACGGCACAGCCAACTCCGCTACGCAGCCTGTATACGAGTGCTGTATCCGCCGTTGTGAAGCACTGGAGATGCAACACACTACATGTATGTAGGTACCTAATATTACTGAATAATTCATCGCCGCATACTGTACTGCACTGCACCGCACTCTTCCCCTCCCCTCCCTCAGCTGGTGGAGCCATGCGGATGCTCGAGTCAAGGTTCTCACAAGACAAGGAATCGTACAGAGGCAGCTAGCAATTGGAGACATTAGCTTGGTAGTTTAGCAGTTATTAAATCCCATCTCCATGAAGGAGACTGGAGAATGCTTGATTACGATTGCAGCTCCAGTAGAAGAGACACAGATGCTTGACCGATGACCAGGACTTGTGCCATAATCTGGCAAATGTCAGCCATCTTTCGTGCTAGAAATATAAATCAATGATACGAGTCAAAGCTAATAAGTACCTGTAACATCACATTGAAGAGATGGACCTGAGGTACTCCATACCATTTCCCAGATATCGAATACAGCAGCTGCCCATCGACCCACTGTTAAAAGGTTACCCTCCTCCAACAGTAAATCGTGCCGCCACCGCAGTACCCTTTTAGCACCCTCTGGCCGTTCCTAGCGCCAACTCCCCAGCGCATCACCGCTGCACGGCTACACGCAAGGCTGCACGCATTTCTCAACCGTTTGATATCCCAAGTCTCTGCATCTCAACCAAAGTCACTTGCATCGCCATTGCATGCATGTCTCTGGAGTACCGCCAGTGCCAGAGAGTTGCAGTGGGCTGTCCAACGGCCCGATTCGAATTCCAGCCGCGTCACTCGTCGTAAAGTCGTCACTTGAGAGAGAGCCCACCCCCAGAACTTCGCAGCCTTGCCTTCGTTTCGACTTTCAAAACTTTGGCCAACCGTCGCCATCTACTTACCGCACGCATCTCAGCATTTTCCTGTAAAACCTGGTGGCAATGGAGCAACAGCCGAATAACGGCGTCAGTGAGGCCACCGCTGCACCCATATTGGACACCAACGGTGGCGCTTCTGGGATGCATCCCGATGCCATGGCAGCCATGATGATGCCTGCCCAAGGCTTCATGCCGGATGGCTCCCTCGCCGCCACGGCCATTACAGATCCCTCAATCATGGCTCCCATCATGTTCCACAACGGTAACGCCGCTGCCGGCCTCACTATGCCCGACAGGGCCATCACAGCAGGTATCTCATCACTCAATGCTCCGGGCCCTCTTACTACAAGCCTCTTCTCACACACCCCCTCTCTCTCCAGATGAAATCGCCCTCTATGATCGGCAGATCCGCCTCTGGGGCATGGCCGCCCAGGCCAAAATACAAAACGCCAACATCCTCCTCATCACCATCAGAGCCCTGGCCAACGAGATCGCCAAGAATCTCGTCCTCGCCGGCGTCGGCTCTCTCACCGTGCTCGACAACGCCATCGTCACCGAGGCCGACCTGGGCGCGCAGTTCCTCCTCTCCGAGGTCGAGAACCCCGTTGGCCAGAACCGCGCCGAGGCCGCCAGCGCCGCGCTGCGCAAGCTGAATCCCCGCGTCCAGGTCCACGTCGACGCGGAAGGGGTCAAGGCCAAAGGGCCCAGCTACTTCGCCGGCTTCGACATCGTCATCGCCACGGATCTCGACCCGGACTCATTCAATCTCATCAACACGGCCACTCGCCTCAACGGCAAGGCCTTTTACGCTGCGGGCACACATGGCATGTACGGCTTCATCTTCAGCGACCTGATAGAGCACGACTACGTCATTGAGCGCGACCTCGGAAACGTCGCCACCGAGCCCAAGCAGGAAACGCGCACCCGGTCCATCGTCGACGTCAAGACCAAGAAGGAAGGCCCCAAGGTCATCGAATCCGTCACAAAGCGAGAGCTCTATTCCACCTGGTTCCTCGCCAGCGACGTCGCCAGCCTGCCTGAAGAGTACACAAAGTCCAAGCGCCGCCTGAGGAGCGTCTCCCCGACGCTGTCTTGCCTGCGCGCCCTGTGGGAGTTTATGCAGATCCAAGGTGGCCGCCTGCCGGGCAACCGCGAGGACCTCAAGCTCTTCACCCAAATCGCCACGCAGAAGCACAAGGCCCTGAGCCTCCCCAGCGAGACGCTCAAGCCCGAGTTCTTGCGCAGTTTCCTGCAGAACCTAGGCAGTGAAATCGCTCCTGTCACAGCCATCTTGGGTGGTCAGCTAGCGCAAGACGTCATCAACGTGCTGGGCCAGAAGCAGCAGCCCATCCAAAATATGGTCATCTTCGACGGCACCACCATGGAGGCCCTCATGTACCCTCTGCACCCCGAGGGCATCCTCGGCGCAAACCTGCTCTCCCTCGGAGGCGCCGTCGACCCCATGGTCCCCAACGGGGGCATCATGATGCCGCCTAACATGCCCATCGCCCTCGACGGCAGCATGGTCATGCCGCCGCTGGATCCCGCCGCCCTGGCCCACTCGCACGGCATGCCAATGGGCGTTTTGCCTGCCGTTACAAGCGCCGATTTGGCCGGTCATGTACCCATTCCTCAGCATGATGCAAGTCAAGTATCTGTACCAGCAACTGGAGCCGAACCCATCCCTGCACCTCCAGCGGTGGAGGCTCAACCACAGGTCACCACGAGTTCCAACGATCCGGTAGACGCACCGGCTCATGCCGCACCATAAGTCGAACATCTATCAGCGACCAAAAGGGAAAAAGACATCTGGACTCAAGAGTACAAACAATGACGAGATATACGATATACAGGACGTAGTGAGACATCGGGGGTAGTTCAACAAGAACAAAAAGGCAGTCGATAAGACAAGACGCCTCATTTCAGTCCCAAATCTGATGTGGGAGGGCGGATAGGATACAGAAAACAAAGGGATTTAGGCATATTGTATGTTAAAGAGAATAAGTTCACAGTAGGCACATAATCGTGCCCTTTAAGAAATGTTTGCAAATTTCACAGCACGAAATCATTACATACAACAGTCAAAAATGGCGATCACAACTAAATTCTCATCATTTATTTCCGTAACTCCTAAGAAAGAAGAAGAAGTAACCATTGTCCCACCCCCCTTATCAGAGAGTCCATTTCGCAAGCTACCTCTCATGCAATGCACAGGTAGATATAAAAACGTAGAGTGAAAAAAGGAACAATGCCAATACCTCCTGCCATCTATCACAGCCGTCATCGTAGCATCTAATGATCAGAGTCCCCCAAGTTTTGTTGTCCCCCTACCCTTCCGTATGCTACCAGCAACCAGTGTCCCAGATTTTAAACCCTCCCCCCTTCCTAAACCCTCTCCATTTCCAGGCACGAGTAGACCATATATAACGGTCATTCCAGATGGTAGTTTCCTTGTTCCTTCAGGCTAACCGACGGAAAAAAAAGAAGTAAAAACGAGAAATGGAAACAAAGGTAAGAAAGAAACTGAGATCTCATATTGGTACACCAGAAAAGCGGGAAATCAAAAAGTTGTGAAAGAAAATCGAAAATGCTTCCGTTGCTTTCTGCTCATACCAAAACGGGGAGCCAACGGGCAAGACATTCACTGCTATCCGCCAAAAAGTGGTCGAAGCCGTGTTTTCAAAAGCGAACCGAAACAAAGGGCAAACCCCGAGGAAATAGGAAGACAAGATTGCAAGTTAGGAGCAAGTCGAGGCTTGCCGAAGCATAAGTGTAAAGAAGAATGAGAATGCAACATTGAAATGAGGAGCTAAGATTCAGTTCATCTCCTCTGAACGCCGACAAAATGCCGAATTAAGTAGCTTTTGGTATCTGAATATTTTTCGTGTCTGCCATTTCCTCTCTGGACAGACTTCTTTTTGGTATCTGCGTGTCTGGTTTGGTACCATGACTGCTATGAGGAAAGGGTATAATCGTAGCGGTAAATCTCGCAAGCGTGATAAAAGGTGGACAGATGTATTCGTTTATATACGTCATCCGACGGTATAGTGTGCTTTTCTTGGCCAATTCACCGCCTGAGGCATTTCATCTTCTTATTTGCTGTCGGCCTCTTCTTGAGGGGTAGAGTCAACAGCAGCAGCTGGAGTATCGGTGACGGGCTGTTGTTGGGCCTGTGTGGCCACAAGAGCGGCCTCCCTTCGAACAGCCTTCTTCTTTGATGATGCTCGGCTTGGTTTTTTAGATGTTGTGCTCCTTGCACTCGGACGGCGGGGTCCGGTTGCTTGAGAGGGGGCTATGGTGTTGGGGGCTGCGGGTGTTTTAGCCCTTCTTGGGCGAAGACGGCGTGACGACGTCGTATTATCCAGAGAAGCCGAGGCTTCAGCAGGAGATGGATCAGTTGGAGGAATAGCTGGCTCGATAGGATCACAAGTACTGTCATCAGGCACTGTGAAAGGCTGGACTAGATCCATATCTAGAGCCATTGTCCGCCGTGGAATGGGGGGGGCGCTACGTGGAAATAGAGGCGGCAATTGAGTGATTGGCTCGGCAAATCGAACAGACCAGTTGGGGTGAGGAGCTACGGCCTCAGAGTTGATAGAGTCCCCTTGAGCCACTGGTTGACCGGGCGTTTCCCGTTTCTATCTGGAATCATCCCGATCATTTCCCGAATCTGCTCTCTCCTGCTTATCAGCCTTGCTTCGCTTCCGAGGCTGATTGACATTCCATCCTCTAATTTGCGTCGGGCCTGAGCTTGGAAGGGCAGCCAACGAGCCGGTTTCCTTGTGGTCATAGGGAATCGTCTTTAGCTCTGGCTTGTTCGACCATGCTCGGTGAGCAGGGACTGGAGCGGGTTGCAGTTTGCGATATTTGCCAGATCCAGCATCAGAGGACCCCGAAGGTGTGGATCGATGGCGGTGCATCGAGCTGTGAAGTCCCTGTGGTGTCCCAGGAGGGCTCTGGGCCATGGGACCAGACATTGGCTGGGGGTTACCAAAAGTTGGCGACAGAATTTGAGGCTGGTAGCCAGGGCCAGACGGTCCCATGTACGACTGCTGTTGCTGAGGATTTGGTAGGATTCTCTCCGGTCCGATCGATGGCATAGGAGCAAGAGGTTCGGCGGTAGGATAGCCGTGGTGGTAAGATCGAGATGGGGGAGGAGGGTTATAGTAGCCGTGAACGGCTGGCCTCATCATAGAATCACGCATCATGTCATCTTGGACAGGTTGAGCACGACCTCGAGGTGGTCGGAGAGGCGGAAGTGGTTGAGGCGGAAGTGTTTCAGGATTTGGGTTATGGGAGAAGGGCATCCTTGGAGGAGGAGCCTGTGGATAATGCTGCGGCTGCTGCTGCGGCAGCGGCTGTTGAGGAGGTGGTGGCGGCGGAGCTTGGTTAACTGCCGAAGGGTGAGCAGGCTGCTGGGATGGCCAGTAGGCGCGAGGATATCCTGCGTTGGGGCCTGGGGGTGGCACAGGGGCAGCTTGTGTAGGAGCTGGGGCTGGCGCCGGACCGGGGCCTTCGGGTCCATAGTTTGCCATGCGGCTACCTGCGTAGACCGGCTCGACTGGTCGTCCAGAGCCCATATGCATGTCTCGAGGCTCCGGCACGTTATAGCCGTAGGAGGAATAGTAGGGCTGGTGTTGTTCCTGAACGGGAGGAGCTTGTGGAGGAAGAGGCGGTGCAGGATGCTGCTTGTACTCCATAGCCCTTGGTGGCGGTGGATGAACCACAGGCTGCTCGGGAGGAGGCTGCTGATAGGCCATTGGCTCTGGTGCATGGTGAGGGGGGTGAGGGACGGCAACATGACCCGGGCCGACTGGTTGCACTAGTGGGAGCTCTCGCTGGTGCTGGATATATCCTCCAACAGGCTCAATGGGGGCATGCTGCCCACTGATGGGAATATGGCTCAAAGGAACAACTTGCGGCATCTCCTCGCGTTTGGTTCTCATGTCGGATTCCAACTCGGGCATTGGCATGGGCATGGGCATGGGAATCAGAGGAGTCGGTGCCGTGGCGGTATTGCCCTCGGGTTCTTGTAGGCGGCTCGTGACGTTGCACAGCCCAGCAAGGAAATTGAGGTTGAGGTTGTTGTTCGTCTCAACAGCAGGTGCCCCAGCAGGTTTGGAATCCGTGAAGACATCTCTAATGGCATCATATCTTGCAGGCTTTGGTGCAGGTACCACGACTCGCGTCTTCTCTTCCGCCTCGACAAAAGCAGTCGCGTAGGTCAGAACAGACATGGCGGCAAGGCCACCCTGGGGCGGCTCGACTGATTCCTCCTCAGTGGCGACCTGCTCGTCGGTCTCGGGCGAGGTCTCCACGATATCGGGCTTGGACTCAAGCTCCATGGCTGCTGTGCCTAGAGATCGGGCGCGAAGCTCCTCCTCGGTGGGCAGATATTCTGTAACGGCGATATCTTCCAGGGGGATGTCATCCATCTTGCAGAAGCGGCGCATAACTGCATTCATCTTCACTCTTACAGGCGCATCAACCACACGACGATAGTTAATCGTCCTCTGGAACGAGCGCGAAGCGTGAGAGATGCGACCAGAAGGTTCGGCAATATACACCACCGGCTTTCCGGGCATGACAAAGGGGGTGGTTGGCTCCGGCACGTTGGTACTGTTGGGCAAGAAGATGCCATATTTGGGGTGGAGGCCATGCTTCTTGACCAGCTCCTGGTCGAAATCAGACGGACGCGTGTTGGAGTAGTCGTAGCCGTTGCACCAGTAGTCAAAGTGCATGCCGTTGCTATTGGGAGTGTCGAGGTATTTACCTCGCTTGGCGCGGGTGTGGCCCTTGGACGAGTCATTTGAGCTGTCACGGAAGCCAATGTCGTGGTCATCGAACCAGAAGAGTCGCGGAGCGAGAAGGCGGCTGTTAATGCCCTTCTCTTTCATTGATGGTCTCTGGTTGTACATGCGGCAGCCATATTCATCAGGCTCCGAGATGTTCTTGGGCAGGGGTGGGCTCTTTTCGCGAGCTGACAGCTTGCCATTGGACTTGACTAGAGCAGTAGAAGTCGCGCCATTGGGGATGATGACGGGCTCGGGGGAGGCAGGAGCAGAATCCTCTTCTACCGGAGCGCCTTCGATGTGAGCTTCAATTTCGGTTGCCAAAAGACCCTTGGCCGGGGCAATTGGGGCGGCGGGCAGAAGCTGGCTATCAAAGTTGCTGCGAGTCGACTTCTTGGGTGTGGGCTGGCCATCCGGCGCATCTTGGGCACGGCGCTTGTTGCTGCCTCGGCCACGGCCTCCTCTTCCTCCTCGAGTGCCAGAAGAGCTCGTGGTGGCAGACACAATGGCGGCGGCAGCCTCAGCATCGCGCACCTTTTGCCACATCTCGGTGCCCTCGACTCGCGAGGGATAAGGGACCAAGTGGCCATCCTTGTAGCATTCATAGATGCCAAAATCATTGTCGAGGTGGTGATCAGTGATGACTTTATACTCATACTGGTCATCGCGGATCTGTGGTGGTATCGCGTCAGTAAAAGCGCCAGGATGAATGTGCACTCATGACTGTCGGGCGAAGGCTAAAAGAGGCTAGGAGGGTGGAAGGGGACGTGTGCCGATCAGGGCATCCCATGACTAATAGAACAGCTTAATACTTACATCTACCGGGAGATCTCTTGATTCCAGGGCAGAGAGAATGCGGAGACGGTTACCTTGACCGTCGTAAAACTGTTCTTCAATGTCCTCAAGACCATTCTGCGAGACGAGGAGCTGTCAGCTATGGTGCCGCCACCAAAAGGAAATGAGGAAGAAAAAAAAAGGGACGGGAAAAGAACTTCTTAGTGAGCAGGGATAAAAAAGAAATAGACGTACGATGAATTCCTGTTCTAGGACATACTGCTCGGCATTGTATGTGCCTTCAGCGAGTTTCAGATTGGCATCCAGCTGGCGGTCAAAGAGGTCGAGCTTCTGTTGGAGCCGTTCGTGAAGCTCTTGCAGGACAGGCAGGTGGTCACTGGCGTATCGATGTGAGTCCGACCTTTGCAGGATCTCCTCAATGGTGCGGTCGGCGAGCTCCTGCAAGGCGGGCTTGAGGGCATGCGCCACGGCCTGGTAGGTGGCCTTGAGATCTCTTTGGCGCTCATAGGCGGCCTGGACGCGGGAGTCTGCGAAGCTCTTGGCTCGACCTCTCCGCGTGCCGCCACGACCAGTCTTGGTATACGTTGATTTGGAAATGCCCGAAGCTGACGAGGAAGCGCCTCTACCGCCGCCTCGACCACGGCCAGCACGGCCACCGCGCCCACCTCTGCCGCGGCCACGGGTGGCAGGTTCCCGTGCGAGCGACTCGTTCTCAGCAGCCATGGCGAGAAACGAGGCGGGTCATGTATGGTGGATGTGGCGTAGCAGGCAAGACTGGGAGATGACGGGAGAGTGGGAGAGTGGGTGAGAGGGTGAAGATGGGAGACGAGGGGATGTTTAGATGGGCAGCCGAGTGTATGAGATGGGGACAGAGGTGTAGAAAAGGCCTGGTGTCTGGGACCAGAACAAAACGCAGCTTGTGAGTTGTAGAGCCGGGGTCAGGCCAGCCAACCAAGTGTGTCAGTAAGCCGAACGAGCACGCGCGCCGCGGTGCCGAAGGAGAAGCTTGACGACGACGAAAAGAAGAGAGTTGCAGCGTCAAGTGCAGCAGTGCAGTGCAAGGGAGAAAGGGAGAGGAGCTGGATGAAGAAGCAGCAGAATCTGGGCTTTGATGTTGTTGTGTTGATGGATTGGAGCCGCCACAAACAAGCGTTTGAAAAAGAAAAAGGCCCGGCTGGTGAAGTGCATGTACGGCACGAAGTACGTACACCAATGGCAGCAGCCACTAAAGCCAGGCGAGTTACCGCAGTGCCGCTTTTGGGGGGTGAAAGTGAAGAGAAGCTGACTTTGTACTAGCCAGAGAGGCGTCTGCTGTACTGCAATAGGCCGGACGAGAAAAAAAGGCTGGGCAGAGCACCGGCTTTTTCGTCTGACTTGCGAGGCGGCTCACCGCGCAGCTTCACACAATGGGCAGGGCGCGGCGGGCAGCTGGTTGAGCAGCGGGAAACAATAGAACAATGGACGAATAAGTCACGCACGCAGCGGCTGCTGAAATAACAAGCGCTGGCGAGCGGCCGTGAAGATTTTTGACGGTGAAAGCGTGCAAGAAACGCGGCAGCGCTGTCGAGAGAACGAAAAAGGTGCGGCCAGTCCCTTTTCTGGGCCCCCTCAGCCTTGGCCCCGGCCCAACCGCCAGGCGTGTGCTGTACAGCAGGCGGACGGGGGGGGTCACCCCGTGGTACCGGGAACCTCGCCCATCGCCCACTGAACGCAGTGCCTGGCCAGCCAGCGCCGCCCCCGTGATGGGCAGCCCAGCGCCCAGGAACGTCGGGCTAAGCCGGTTTTGTGCCAAATGGCCTTATTCCCGCGCTTCTGGTTGGTGCGGACGTGATGAATCTCCGGCTGCCGCGCTCGAGTGGGCTTGCTGGGGAAGGGGACTTTGAGTGGCAGCAGGTACCGGTGACTTGCAGGGGACAGGCGAGACGAGACGAGAACTCCTCTTCACCGCACAGTGGAGAATGCGCGGCTGCGAGAACTTCAACATGCGCTCACTTTTGGAAGCAGAAGAGCAGCGCCTTGCGGAGCGTTGCTGCGGCAGACGAAGGAACTTAATTACGGCATGGCTTTTATATGCTATTGATATGAGTCACGGCGCACTTAATGATGATATACAGTAGACATGTTCAAAAGCAGCGTCGTCCCGTCTGTTCTAACTTCCATGGGTGCCGCGACAACGACAGCGCCAACGCCGTGGCTACGTACTCGTACGTGGGCAGATGCTGCCATCTCATGAAGACACGCCATAGCGCAGCTGCAAAATGCAAACCAATGCACATGTCGAGACACCAGATGCCGGCGCTGTCCGCGTCTCCCGCGTCGTGCTCGCGAGCCTGCTGTGCGTGCGTTGGGCACAAGATGCAAGGCAGAGCCTGATTTCACTTCCATGTCACTCGCGGGCCATTCATTGCTGGTTTTGGGGGTGGACCGCAGGCATCCGTGAAGCCCCGAAAGCCCGGTCTAGAGCTGTAACGAGGTGCCTGGCAAAGAGTCACGTTGAGCTCACTTTCTGGTCAGTCTCGTTTCCCGGAATGATGCGTCACGGGTGGCTACGTTGCGAGGCGCTGCAAAAACTGCGTAGCTCCCGGACAGAATCAAAGACAATAGAAGCGCGCGCACACACTGCCCGTGACTCTCCCTGAACACAAAGGCGCCGGCTTCCTGTTACGATGCGATCCCCTCCCTTTGTTTGAGACGGCTGCTCCCCTCTGTCTCATTGACGCTGTTTTGCAGTGATTCTTGTGGCCACGAGCACAGTAGCGGCAAACAGGTCCGCCCTGTCCCCACCACTCCCCGAATTGCCTGTTTGGGACTCTGACGGTGCGATAACAAGTAAGGTACGTACTAGCGATAACCTACAAGACCTTACCTATGACGAGGGCTGCTGCCACTGTTAGTCAGGGTGCCGTAGTGGTGTTAGTGCCCATTACAAGAGCTGCAATTGTTGCAATGCGCATCGATGCTGTTGATCCATCTTCAGCATTTCAGAGCCCGTGTTTTAACTTTCAAAGCCAAACTAAAAATAACCTGTAAACCAGTAATTATTCTATTTACCTTAATTTATTTTTCATTTTTTTTTTATCCATCTCATACTAATTTTCCATTTCCTCCGCATCCGCATCCACCCGCCCTCACAACTCAGATGTCAAAAAAGAAAAAAAAGAAAAAGAAACCGCTGCACACGATCTACCGTCATCTGCAGAAGCGCTGTAGCGCAGTGCTCCGCAATCGTGTTAAACAGCGGGCTTTACAGATTTTAGCGCGGCTCTGGACGGCACCTAAAAATTGCGCTTTTGGGCGTCAACCGCTGAAGCCTTATCGCTGATTGGGCCAATCTCGCAATCCGCTGCCGCCATCCCGCCCGTAGTTGCACGTGAGATCTTCCCCTTGTGCTTTGTACCAGAGTCCCTTTTTTTTTCTGGTCAAGTCCTTTGCTCTCTTTGGAGCACACGCCCTAAAAGTGGTTCCGCCTCAGCGAACCTCAGCTTTTTTTTTTTTCCGCTTCTTTACGTCGTTGGCCATTCTATTCTCTCCACGAATTACCACCACTCGGAGCTGCGCTGCTTCCAACAATTGCCCAATGGCCAAGAGGCGGAAGCTGCAGCGCCAACAGGCGGCACAGCGGCCCTCCGGACGTCCGCAGCAGAAGGAAAAGGGCCAATTGAAGAAGCCCCCCCAGTCCAAGCCCGGGAAGAAGCACCGCCAGCAGCAGCACGACGAGCCCGTGATTCCCTTCAGCCCCGGCGACCGCATCCTGCTGGTGGGCGAGGGCGATCTGAGCTTTGCCGCGTCCATCATCGAGCACCACGGCTGCACAAACGTCACGGCCACCGTCTTGGAAAAGGACCATGCCGAGCTGCTAGCAAAGTACCCCGCCGTGGATACCAACATTGCCGTTGTCAACCGCCGCCCGGATCCCCATGCTGCCAACCCCAGCCGCGGCGCCGGGGCCGATGCCGAGCCAGACGGTCAATCGGACGATGATGACGGCACCGATGAGGACGGCGAGGGCGAGGGCGACAACTCCGACGGCTCTGTCCACTCCAGCGACGAGAAGCGCAGCAAGGCGGCCGTCGTCAACAACAAGCTGGTCTACAACGTCGACGCCACCAAGCTCCCTCCCTCGGTTGCCCGCACTCCCCACGACCGAATCATCTTCAACTTCCCCCACGTCGGCGGCAAGTCCACAGACGTCAACCGCCAGGTCCGCTACAACCAGGAGCTCCTCGTCTCCTTCTTCCAGCGCGCCCTCTCCTCGCCCGCCGCACCCCTCGCCCGCGGCGGCTCCATCGTCGTCACCCTCTTCGAGAGCGAGCCCTACACCCTCTGGAACATCCGCGACCTCGGCCGCCACGCAGGCCTCCAGCTCGAGCGCAGCTTCCGCTTCCAGGCCGACGTCTACCCGGGCTATCACCACGCCCGCACTTTTGGCGTCGTGAGGAACAAGAAGGGAGAGGAGAGCTCTGGCTGGAAGGGCGAAGACAGGCCCGCGCGGAGCTACGTCTTTATGAGGAAGGAAGAAATACAGAGCCAGGTGGGCAAGAAGCGGAAGCGAGCTGGCGACGATTCTTCGAGCGACGACGATGACGACGAGTAAATTCATATCCGATCCATCTACCACGGAACTCCATCTCAGCATATCAACACCGAGGTGCTATATATAATGGGCTATGCAATGGGACAAGCAACAACACATGTGTACATATAATTGACATCCCCAAGGTCATCATTTTAGAGGATAATCACGGCAACTTCATTTGGACAAGGGCGGCATTGTGGCGTTTCGTTTTGGGACACGGTTTCTACCTTTATTTGTATCCTCTAAAGTTAAAGTTAAATTCAGCATTACGTTATCCTGGTGCAGAACCTAAGAACCTTCCCGCGTTATCTTATTCTTAAGCCAAATAGGTTGAAGAAGAGAAAGAAAAAAAGGCATATCCAAACACTCCATAGACCCGCGGACCAAGCCGCAGAGATGCCACAAGAGAAAGGGAAAATACTCAAACTCCAAACGGTGAGCCCGTTAGCAGCACCTTTCCCCTGTAAAATCCCGCCTTCCCGTCCCATCCATTTCTCGCGCCAAGGCACCGCATATGCATAACACAACCCACCAAAACATCCCCTATACCCTGCCGCAAATCACAAGCCTAGACGCCACAAAGCACAAAATCATCTCGAGGAGTGAAACAAAAAAAAAGATCGGTAGAAACGAGGTATATCAAATATCACGATTCGCTCCCAGTCCTCCAAAAACGCCCCTTTTCAAAACGGCATAAGTTCGTCGTCCGTGCTCCTCTCCTCTCCGATTACGCAGATACCGTAATGAACCTTCGTTGGCGACGACGCCTCATTGTCTGTAAAGCTTTCCATTTCATAGTAAAAGTCCCCCCAACCCCCTCCACCTCCAATGTCCCGGTATACCAAGCCAAACCCAAATTACATCGTCCCAGAAAAGAAAAAGTGGGATAAAAAAAAAGTCCTTTTTTTGCTGCTTCCTAAGATCATAAAAGAGTAGATATAAAGAATAAAGAAAGCGAATAAAAGGGTAGAAGAGAGAAAAACTGAAGCACATCCCGTCTTCTCCACTCCCGTTATAGGGAAAATAAAAACCGGACGGGTAATGATATACAAATACCCCAGGTTGAAAAAGAAGAAGAAGAAAAGAACCGTATGGTACAATGCAGATTCTATCGTGACCCTTTTAACTCCCATGCAATCAGAGGTTTGTGCATTAATTGTAGTATGTGCAATCCAGGATAGCCTGATTATGATGATTGTCATCTTAGCTGGGAACTGTTAATGGCCCAACAGCTCCTGCTGTAGGGCATTACCATGTTCGTCCATAGACGTCTGTTGTCCGGCCGGGCCGTCTGGGTTCTTCCGTGACGCGGCCTCTTTCTTCCTTGCCTGCTCTTCATCGTCGAGCCTCTGCGCCTCCTCATTCTCTCGCATCAAAGCCTCTTCTTGTTCAAGCAAAGCCAGCTCCGCCTCCGTGCGAGTTGCACCAGGGTCCTCTGGAGGAGGCGGAGGAGGCGGAGGAGGAGTGGCGCCGTCTGCGCCATCCTCTTTCAATCTCTTCACGTCGGGCCCGTCAAGGGGCGAGCCTGCAGAGCCTTCCACGGCCTCAACATCACGCTTTCGTTTACGGTCAGGGCCATCCGGCGACTCATCTTCCACATCACTAAGAACAATATCATCCGCAGCAGCTTCTGGCTCTTGGGGGGAGCCGATTGGACTCTCGCCGGCCTTGTCTGCGTCGGGGGTCGGCTTCCCATTGGCAGCCTGCTCCCTGTCCGCGCCTTTCTTCGCAGTCTCAGACGCCTTCCTTTTGTGGTGTGCCTCATACTTAGCAACTGCACGGTCTAAGAAGTCTTTCACGTATTTTTTGATGTTGCGCTCTTGCTTTTCGGTAAGAGGCGCGGCAGGGTCGTTGACACGATTGTTCTTGTAATCAGATGTCACAAGCTTCTTCGCGACGTCTTTTCCAAGCCTCTTTAGCTCTTCCTTGGGTAGCTTGTGTCGGAATTTATCTAATACGTGCTTCACGGGGGGGTACACCTACACAGTTGCCATGTCAGTCCCAGCCTGGATAGAAGGGGGGAAACACCACGATATGGTGCATCCCGAGCTCAGTTGATGTTGCAACGTACCGTGTGTTCATAGACCTTCATCTGCTTCTCTACCGGAAGAGACCGCCACTTATCCTTCTTAGACTCTTTTGGAGAGGCTTCAGCAGGCGCCGGAGTCTGCGAGGCTGGCTGCTTGGGTGTGCCTTCCTTTGTTACCTTGTCAATGATGCTTTGAATGAGAAGCTGTTCTTGTATGGCCTTGGACGGAGCCTTTGGGGTCTGTTCCGCGGCTGGCTGCGTGGGCCGCTCCCAAGTTGATTTACCCTGCTTGTTGTAAAAATACGTGTTACCGCCCGCATCCTTGGCGGTAAACCATCCTGCAGGCAAGGAACTGTGGAACGGTCTGCGCTGACGATGGCCATTGTTGTTGAAGAATGAGTTGTTCCTTTGTGGCACATTGCTTCGCGGTCCCTTGGGGGCATCAATGGGGCGCGGAGACGCAGTCTTGGGAGTTGCCTGGGTCGCCGCCGCCGCAGCCTCTTCTTCTCGAGCTTGCCCCCTTCGCTCATCAATGCTGTTTTGCGTCGGCGCGTTGGGGTCAACCTTTCGCCTTCGTATTCGGTAGGCGACCTCGAGCTTGCTCCACTCGTCGAGGAGCTTCTTGGACTGAGAGGCTACGTCTTCGTGCTCGGATTCGGCGAGAATTTGGATTGTCGCCTCAATTTTGGAGTCTTGGATCTTGTTTCTCGTCAATCGGGGAAACTTGTCCAAGATGGACAAAACTTGCAGGACCACGTTGCGATCCTCAATAAATGTGTTGAGAGTTGTTTTCAGGATTTGGTATGCGTGCATGCGCATCACACAATGAACGACGCGTTCCTCGTCACAGCGTTGGATTCGCTCGAGCAGCTTGACCGCGATCCATTTCTCCTTACACTGCATCAACGTGGCCATGACCTTGCGAGCATCGTCCTCGTCCAAGCTTCGGGGCTGTATGCTGTTGACATATTCCTCATCATCCTCGTCGGGACGCTTCTTGCGGGGCTTCTTGGGGACATGGGTATCCCAACTGTCAGCGCCGTCGATACCCAGCGCCTCGACAGTTGTTGTGGGCAGCTTGGTGGCGCGCTCCGTCTGTGTCTTTCCTCCGATGAAGCCGACACAGTTCGTTTCTCCGCAGTAGCATGGTTGGGGCTCCGCGCCGTAGCGATCAACGTTGTAGTTGAAGACGAGCTCTTCGCCGGCCCGAATCTTGCGCAGGGCAAAAATGCCCATCCGAAGCTTATCACCAACCACCCACTTGTCCACAAAACAATTGGGGCTGCATGAATGGTTGCAGAATCGGCCCAGGTTTCCCTTTTTGGTCGCGTCCACAAACTCATTCTTGTTGAGCGACATGAAGTAAAAGTGCTTGATGCCCTCCTCGTCATACTGGAGCATCCGTCGCCGGAAGGTCGGCTCATTGATTACCTCTCCGATGTACTCATAGATGAAATCGTTGGGCTCAAGGGCTGAATTAGTGCGAAGGCCAAAGCCCTTCTTTTCGGTCTTGATGACCGTCACGTCGGCGTACTGTTTGCGTTGAAACCGCCGGTTTTGACAGCCGCCACCACAGTTTCCTGCATCGGCGCTACATTCCATCTTGGTCGCGCGGTTGATACAATCTGAGTCTTCGCCACAAGCAAAATTCTCGCCATCTCCTGTTTTCCGTCAGTAAAAAAAAAAAAAAGGCTGGTTGTAACCAAGAGAAGCCAAAGGGCGATGTGGTAATCAAGGGGCGGGCGGGTCTGAACATACGCCATTCTTCTCTGCAATCACAGTCGAGGGCGTCACTGTCGGTCGAGCCCAGGTGCTTCGATCCATAGAGGCAGTCGGGAATGACCTGAAAAGTCTGGCAAGATTCGTCGGTAACATCTGGGAGGTGGGTATACAAGGGGACTTCGCGAGCGGTGGGCTTCTGTGACGACTTGCGCGACGACCGCGCGGGCTTGGCCGTTGAGTTGGGGGTTCCGACGCTATCGCTCTGCGATTTTGTGCCGTCCAGCGAAGCAGGAGACGGGGCTTCGCTACTCCGCGGCTTCGGGGTTGAGGTAGAGGCTCTCGCTGCGCTTTCCAAGTGCGCGCCGCTCTCGGCGGCATCCTCGAGCTTCACTTTCTCCATTCTGCCCGTCGTGTTCTCGTCATCCTCCATTTGACGTCCTGATCTGGGGCGCAGGTGCAGAGAGGCAATGCAGGCGGCGTTGCTCTTGGGAAAGCACAGAGAAAAGAGCTCAGTTCAAGGGCGGGAGGCCGAACAAAAGGGCGTCGCGGTGGCAGCCTTTTTTTTTTCCTCCGTCTCCTTGGGTACGCGCAGGGCAGGGAACCGCGTGTAGAAAGCGAAGCGGGCGGGATTGGGTAGAAACGCGAGGATGGCGGGCAAGCGAATGCATCAAGGGACGGACTGCATCAAGATTCGCATCGGAGGTCGAGGGCTGGGGGAGTTGGAATGAAAACACAGAAGAAGCTTTTCGAGGTCGGGTTTGGACCTGGACTCCAGCCAAGGACGGCGTTCTACCTAGTGGCGGCAGGGACTAAGGCCAGGAAGACGCTCTAGTACCACAGTTGTTTAATTGGGTACATGCCTACCCTGTAACGAATTGGTTTCAATTTATATCTAATCACATTTGAGAACTAATAATGCTTCATGTATACTAGATGGGATAAAAAAATAATTTTCTCTATTGATCAAATTTTGTTTCGTATTTTTTTAGGGCATATTACTAATTATTGGAGCATATTCAAGAGGTGTTTGGTCAGCATAACGAGGAGCGGGAAATTGAATTGAATAGAATATGTTATTTTAAAATGCGTATCACATTTATTAAGGCCAATGTGCAAGTGTACATCAATCTTGGTGACTGAGTGCTTGAATCAGCGTAACTGAGGACAAGGAAGTCTATACGGAGTATATATCGAGATATTCGATGGAGATCGGGTTCTCGAAGCAAAGCCGCTTCCTAAACAGGTAGTGCACTCCCCCGGGCTGATGATCGAATGGTGAATCTTCCCCATAATTGGCTTCTCGGTCCGTTGATTAACCCGCATATACGTACCCATGCTGCCCTTTCTGGGAGACCCTTGGACGTCGATCGGGAAATCTCACAAGATCAGAGCTGTCACTTTACGCTGGCAAGGCTGATATAGAGAGGTACGTGCACTTGATTAATGGTTGAGGATAATGCGCTCCTTCCTCAATCGCGATCGCTGCCAATAGATTGTTCCAAATGTATCTATATGGACCTAAATCTGCTATTTTTATTACCCATCAACACCTTGGATAGAGGCCATGTTAGCAGGCAGTATAAATCTCGACGTCTATCTAGCATGCTACGAGCCAATTTAGTAGCTTGTTATTAGCTGGAAGCTTTTAAGCCTGCTCTCGAAGATAGCGGAAGGTATTATTTTGCTTTGACATCGTGCCGTCCCATAAACTATTTGACCAAGTCGATTCAGTCGTCCATGGATATATCGGATAATTTTGGCATTGAAAGGGAAATTGGCCAAGGCACTCCAGAGCATTAATGATACTTGACAAATATCTAGACTCATTATATTGATGTTTGCAATTCACACCTCTGCAATTCACACCTCTATATATAGGAAATGGATTCGAAAGCTCCTGCACCGATCAACCTTGCCAGCTTGCTTGGCAGCCGATCGATCTGCAAGACACCGCTGCCGAGTCATTTGCGCAGTTCCCAATATCAAATTGTCAATGAAATTAACTATCTCGTATATCACCAAACTCTCAAAGCTGTTGTACGTAGTACAAGCTTGAACAATTTTACAGGGACTGGTGGAGGAGTGTCACTGGTCGTCTAAGAGTATCTGTACGAATTGCTGCTCTCGACGAGGCGAATGACTGCCAAGAGCAGTGACAAAACGGGACATGAATGGACCTCACCTGCATAGAATGGCTTGGCACATGGGGATTGGAATTTATTTACAACTCAGCCTAAGTCTAGAGATACTCTTGGGCCTGGGTTCCCACTTGTGCAAGACTTGAACGCCGACAACATGGCCGATTCCACGCCATATGGTGTCCGCCACATTGAACTTGAATGACATCGTATTTCAGCATCTATGAAGCTTGTTTGCTTTGAGTATCTAGAGGAATAATCTTTTTATCTTCAGATTTCTGTTGCAAATCAATCTGCAGCTCGTTGATCAATCTACATCTACAGGTTCATGTTTAGTAATATCTTTTTGTGCGTTTACAAGTTGTAACTATATTTGGCCAAATGTCTCTACATTTCTTTTATAAAACACTGTTTAGTATAATTCTACATCGCGAATCTCTTTCATGGCCCTGCTCTATACTGAGAACCTTGTAGAGAGCAACGTTTATAGATGGGTACCTGCATGAACGCATCACGTGACAGCATCGCCAGGCTCATGGCGTTGAATTTCGATTGATGGAGGTTTCGTGCTTCTTACAGACTGCGATTCGATTTTTTTTTCCTTGCAAGAAAATATGAATGAAAAGCGGTATTAATGCATCCGTTGCCGAGACCCAACGTGCGACCAACAGCGCCGTCACGAACAATGATTGAATTGAAAACGAGAGAAATTGATTTGAAGGATGGGAGAGTTGCATTTCTTGGGGGCTGGTGATGGCAGCCACTTTAATTTCACGGATATTACACGGAGTGTATATGCAACACATCGTTGGTTAATCGACAGATGCAGATGGCCATTCAACTGCACTCCGTATAGGCTCTTTTCGCGAATTGAGCAGGCTGCAGGGGAAATTCTAGAAAGGGTTGCTCAGCTGCAAAATGTACGAGCCACGCTGTGACATACATTGCATGGGCCAATGATAGCATCTCAGGCTCAGACATCCGGCGCCAAAGATGGAAGCTGTTTAGCGCCTTCGCAAGGGGGTATCGGATGAGTTGGCAAGGTTGGATGCCGTCAGAAGCACAGCTTTCCGAGCGACGTGTACGAGTATGGTGACAGCAGCCTCAGCCTTGTGTTCAACTACCAAGAGTCTCCAGGGTCAGTAGTTGGAATTGATTTGGCTCACTTACATTAAGTCCTGCTGTCCTTGCAGCTAAAAGACGTGCTTTCCCAACTTTGGGTATTTTGTACCAGCCGGTCGGGAAGCAATGACATCTCGTGTGTCAAAGCTAAAGAAACCGTCGCGGCCATGTATGGAGTATAACCGCAGAATCCCATCTTGACCGCCATTTGAACACTGCTTACCCCCAGAGTTGGTAAACGTCGGAGTTGCCGACTTGTGGAAAGAATGTTAGAAACACACAGAAAGCCATGGTTGGCGTACCCAAAAGTGCCGATAAACAAAGACTGCTAGCTTTGGGTACTTTGAAGACAGGCGAATTGCATGCCGAGTGTCAACCCCAGATTTAACCTTGCCAGCGATTGATGCCGCAGCCACGTGGCGACGTAACAGAAAGACAGGCATTGAAAGTGGTATGACCATGTTGAAATCGAAATCTGCGATTGGAAGATAGACACAAGATGCTGTCAGTCAAGGGGAGTCCGTGCCGGAAAATAGAAGCTGTTTTCGAAGGCCAGCATCTTGTTCGGGCTTTGCGTAGAGAATTTTTATGATGTGTTGTACATGAGTGGGTCTGGTGGGTGCCAACTCATTATGCATGAGGTATTGGCCTCCAAAGGGAACCGGTTCGTCTTGCAAATAGTGAGCCTATATAAGAGAGGCGGACACCGATAGTTTGACCCGGGTAGTCCTGTGTCGTCGAGCGAACGACAGAAAAAAAAAAAATGAAGCAATCGCCGAGATGTGATCGCGATGCCTTGCCCATCTGGATCGCGCGGCTAACGGGACGGGGCGGCCACCGTCCAAGCATGACCTTCTGTGCAGCCATACGCTGAGTCTCGCCAGCGACTGGTGACGAACTTGTGGATTGCGCTGCGGCAGAGACATCTGACAAGAGCGCAGAGCGCGGCATGATTGGTGCGCTGCCATCCAGTGGTCTTGTGGCCATCCAATGTGCTCTGGCTCTGGTACGGGACGCGACCAGCATTCGCGGCCAATGGGCGAATTGCAGTCAGCTCGACGCCATGCTGCATCACGCGGGCAATCAAACGACATTCTTTTATCAAATCTCTTTCCGGAGCCTTGCTTTTGCATCATGTACTATGGTGCAAGCACAGGATTGTCGCCCGCCGCGACGGAGCGAATGGCCACCGTGATGCATATCTGGTGCGATGCGGCCACCTGAGAGGCCCACCCCCACCTTGTTCAGGATCACGTTGGGGTCAGACAGACAGACAGACAGGCAGGAGGAGATGAAAGCCGCCAGCAGCAGCAGCCACCCGGACAGGGAACCAGGACGAAGACACGAGAGCCAAGCCGCGCAACAATGGGAGAGACAACGACAGCAAAACGAAAGCAGGCTTGCCGCTTTTGGTGCTGAGGGACGGAAAGCAAAGCAAGACAGTCAGGCGGCCGATGGCTGGCGTGGGATTGGCCGATTCAGCACAACAAGGTCCGCCACGATGCAGCTGCACGTCAGGTATGGGCACACCCATTCGACAAAGGCTGCTTGACGGCGTCTGGAGCGTCGGCTGTGTGTCGCATCGCCTAGGCGTGGTAGCGCGCAGCAAATCGGATGGCGCCGTGGCCTTGCCCAGCACCCGGGGGCTGCTGGGATCCATCGACAACAGGACTCAAGGGCCTCTTCGGTAGTTGGCGGTACTGGCGAAGGGGGTTCGCGCACAGCTAGATTAATTCCTCGGGGATCTGAGGGTTGCGCCGACTGCCAGCGGAGGAGGGAGGCGAGCAGGCAATATCAGGGAGGGAGGATTGGGAAGGGGGGGGGGGGGGGGGGGGATCGATGGGTGAGGGTGGTCGAGGAGCGACAGTCGAGCCCATGGCCCTCAGACTGCACAGGATGGAGCAGAGCAGGGACAGATCCAGAGCCACGACATTCACCGAAGTTGCCATGCCCTGGTATGACGGGCCAAACAAAGGCGGCCGTGGACGACTGCGTATGTGCGAGAGGACCCGCCCAACCGCACGCAGGTGGACGAATGAAACCTTGGTCATGCTGGCCAGGCAGTGACTTATCATACGCTGAATGACGGTGGGAAGAGAGATATGGAGATGGAGACGGAGACGAAGATGGAGACGAAGATGGAGATGGAGACGCGAGTGCGGTGCATTACGTTGTGCGGCTGCGGCTGCTGGAGCTGTTCTTGTTGTTGGTGTTTGTCCGTCCTGGGAGAGAGAGAGATGGCGGAGGGAAGACGCCGAGAGTTGACCAACCGCGCCGATGGAGATTCGAGATTGAGGCGAGGCAATCCTGTGTCCAAGTCCTGTCCTGGTACATCCTGATCCTGGTCCGTGTCCGAGTACACCACAAGTACATCGCCTACACATGCAATTACTAGAGGTACTTGTCCGCAACCGCAACAGAGGGCCCTATCCCGCTTTGGAGGCCCTGGCCGTCTCTTTTGGTACCCGTGCCACCGCAAGGCCCGCCCGCCGGCTAAACAGGCGCCCGTCAAGCCAAGGCCCATGCTCACTCACTCGCGAAAAGAATCCTTGAAGATACAAGCACAAGCACAAGCACAAGCACGAGTACAGTACAGTACAGTACAAGCACAGGAAGGCCGACCAGACCAGGCCAGGATAGGTGCTGGCCTGTGGGTTGTTTATTTTTGTTTTGGTGTTTTTTTTTCCCGCATCGCATCGCAGCTCAGCTCAGCTGTGTAAGTATTGGCCGTGATGGAGGGGATGCTACCTCAGTATGCGATGCGCCTGTGGATGCGCAGATGCAAGTGCATGGGAAGTGCAAGCGCAAATGCAAATGCAAATGCAACCGCAGCCGCAGTTCAGTTCAGTCCAGTCCAGCCCAGTCCAGGCCAGTTCTGCTCAGTTATGAAATCGATGGATTGAGCTCCGTCCGTATAGCGTCAAATCCGCCCACCTCCACACCCTGGCACCTGGCTCGCCCAACCCACAGGGGGCCCCTCCAGGCTCCTCCGTCGCGAGCACTCACAGACGGTCCGGATGCAGACGCGGCTCCATCTCACGATGTGCTGCAGCTCCCCGGCAGACCTGACAGACCTGGATTGCCTTTACTGGCCACGGCTGGAACTGGCTAGACACGCCACCAGACGCCCTCCGCCAGCCTGTCGACGGCCCTCCCTACATTAGTGCGGCGGCCTCTGGATCGCTGTGTCAAATCGCCACTGCAGGGTGCCGTCATGCTCGACCTTGCCGGCTGCTAAAATAGCTACAGGCCATACTATCGCTTGAAGTGGTGGCTCTGGCTGGGCGGGAGTACGAGGTTAGCAGCAGTCTATTGACGGTCCTCGGTACATGCTATGTACACGTACTCCGTCCTAACTCGTGCTGGCCTCGCCTCGAGGTTTTGTATACATGTACCCACGAGTACTTGGGAATATTAGCACTCTTACCTCGTGGTCGCTGTACTGTACCTCTTTACCGCAGTATGGTATAAGCACCAGACTCTTTTTCACTTCTATCGGTGCTTTTACCACTAGGCAGACCAGGGGGGCCCTGGCGGTAGTATTTTTTTTGGCCTCTGCATCAGAGCAACTCATCCCGGAACCCAAATCCAGATCCAGGGCGAGCAAGCATCGATCATCCGGGCCGTGGAGAAGCTGCTGCTGGGCTGCACTGCTTGGCTGCATAGCACTGCTGAGGTGCTAACCAACTAACCTGCCGTGCTGCTATTGCGACTGACTCAACAACCGCGCCGTGCCGTATTCGCGCCTACGGGTACAGGTTCAGGCTCAGGCTCTGGCTCAGGTTCAGGTCCAGGTTCAGGTCCAGGTCCAGGCTGGCTATACGGATTGAGTAGTTCCATTTCAATAGCAGCGTAGACGTGCGGCGCAGCGCGGCCTGTTGGACGCTTGCAACCGCCTCGCCTCTCGGATCTTGGACAAACTGCCTCGCAGGCTCTCTCTGCTCTCTGGATCCGTTATTACCCAAAGAGGTCCTGGTTCATCAGCATCCGCAACAAGTGGTGGCTTCCCCCAGCCCACCGTGGCAACCTTTCTCTCTCTTTCTCTCTCTCTCTCTCTCTCTCTCTCTTCTACTTGTCCCTCTTAAAAAGAGAGACGTCTGGACCTTCAACGCCGCCGCCATCCCTTCTTTTCTCTCTGCTGCAACTGTCGACCATCCCAACCTGCGAGCTTGCATCAGATCAGGTCATCAAAATCCGCCCAGGGTGCGTTACGTACGGCTCGACATCTGGCAACCGGCCGTGCTTTTCTCCATCCCGGCAATCTGCACCCTTCTCGTCCTCCTCTGCACCTGCTCGCTTCGTTGCCTGCAACAAGCGTGCTACTGCATGTCGCGGATCGACGCTGCACAACCCGCGCCTCTCCATTTGTTTTTGTTTCTCTTCGAGACCCCCAAGAACCCGCTCGTATCAACGGGAAAAAGCCGCGCGCCTGTCAGCCGGTGTCGTGCATTTTTCTTCTTCACGATAGCGGGCTGGAGACGACATTGACGGACAGGGAAACGGAGGATCCAGTCCCTCCTCCACTGGTGCCGGGGAGCAACGCCCGTCTGCAGGGCTTTTTTTGACCAGGCCTTGTTTTCTCGACTAGTTTCCGGCCTACTCTTTTTTTTTGCCCCTACCTGTTGGTCCTGCGAGATCTGCCTGGGAGGGGTCTCGTGGAGGAGTGGCTGCACAACCACCACAATCAGGTTATCTTGATCAGAGCCGTACTACGACACTCTCTCGCCCTGCCTCGCAGCGTTGCAGTTGGATGATAACTCCCTCATCGGGGCTACGTTGCGGTGTTGTCTCTTCGACTTTCGTCGTCTTCTTCTTTTCGCCGTCACTTTCAAACCCTGTACTTACCGCAGCGTCAATGTATGCGCGAGAGCCGGCACCACGTTCTATTCTCCTTTGCTCTTCTCTTCTTTGACGTTCACCACACCTTTTCCTACGACTTATCAGAAACCATGGCTGCTTCTTTCTCCCTGGAAGAAAAGGTATGTTAGACCATGTAGTTTTTTGGAAACCAAAATCTAACCAGAAGCGTCCTCTTCCAGCGATTTGTTCTCGCAGAGATGATCAAATGCAGCACTGTTGATATTGAAAGGCTGGCACGATTTGTTGAGTCCAATGTGCTCGACCCAAAATGGATGACAATGCAAATACCAACAGGTATGGTGGCGATATAACTTCGCTGCGATGGGTTCGTTTTCTAATTCGACATAGGCCGCAACCTAGAACAGTGCATGCAAGTCGCGAACCTCCTGTCGACAGCCCCAGGTTATAGATCCGCAATGTCTCAGAATGATCATTTGACCAACAACGGCATGAACCACCCAAGACAGATTGCGCCGAGGACGAGCCCTGGCGGCCAAACCCCTGTGGCCATGCCGACGTCGCCTGGCAATATGTCCCCATGGCCGCTGGCAGATGGCGTTGAAGATAGACGAACGGCTCCCTACGAAACTCCTAGCACTCAGCCCCCAAAGAAGCGAGGACGCCCGTCGCGAGTAGACCGAAAGACAGCCGCACCTGCACGACTCGCCACCATCGCCCCCAAGCCCGCTCAGCCCATCCCGGGCCCCAACACCCCTCGAACTATTCTTCCAGCGACTCAACGACAGGACGATGCTCAAACCCCTCAGCCGCCACCTCTAGTTCATACTCTGCCTCCTCTTGATTCGCCCCCCGGTAGGAAGAAGAGACGGACGGCCACAGGTGCAGTTTCCGTTTCTACCTCTCCTCCTGCCCCTCCTCCTGCCCCTCCTCCTGGGCCCTATCTGCCTCCTGTTACTACGCCTCCATCATCCCTAGACCATGGCAATCGGCCGGTAAGTTGCAAAATGTAGAAATCACATGTCCTCTGTCTAACTCTATTACGACAGCGAGCACCGAGTGAGACAGACTCCACAGGCGTGCGCGAGTCGGGACAAATACAACACTCTCGCCCAGTACCGCTCGAGCCGGAACCACGACATCACCCTCTCATGCCGGTAGGATCTGCGGCACCGCCATCTCAAATCAAGGCCTGAAAAGGAGCCACAGCTCTCTAATTTCACCTTTCAAGCATTTCGGCCCAAGGCGTCAGAGAGATGTCCCCACAAGAATACGTTTTATGTTTTTCGATGCAGCATCTCAACTTTCTTTCCTTCAGAGTGATTTTATATACCCTCCAATTTGTCTTTTTTATCCTGTTTTATGCGTCTGTTATGTCGCTTTTCTTCATCTTCTTCTTCCCCCCCTTTTCTTCCTTTCCTTGACTTTGCTGTGTGGGGGTGAAGCATGCCAGCGGCGTCTGGTGGCTGCATGGCCTGAGGAGTCGGCCTCTTTGACATTTGGAATCTATATGGATGGATTAAATGAAACAATGATGAAACTGGGTTTGACAAACGAGTTTAGGCAATCATGAATGATATGGTCTCATGATAGGGCGGGCTGTCTGCTATCTTGCACTTACTTTCATTCCTTTTGCATCTTACGGATAGATTGGCTGGGCTTGCTGTTGAACGGTACCTCAGTCCCCCCCTTTTTTTTTCTTTACAATCACGGGTAGCCTGCATTTCTGCACCATAGGGAATTCTACGATGCAAACCTCATTCTTGGCATCTGACGGATCTGAAGGATGTATGATTACTATTCAGGTAATGACTTAGATGGACAATACGAGGTCGGTTGGTAGGTATCTTTATTTATAGAGGCGCTTGGGGGCGGGTTAGGGTAATACTCCGCAGTTTTGTCAATCTGGACGTATCAACTGCGGCACCTTGGCTTAGGAATGTGCACACATGTACACGCAGACACGTACTCGTATTGGGAGTCTCTACTGGATAGCGACGAATAGAATGCTTCGTGTCTCTGTTGCTCAAAGATGGTGGGATATTGCCGCGCTGTGATTGCACGAAAAAAAAAGAGAGAGAGCGAGCCGTGTCTGTCTTTGGTGACATGGGGGCTCGATTGGAGCAGCAACGCGGGCAAGGGAGGGAACCGGCCATTGGACAGAAATTGTTGGAAACGGGAATGAGTGTGTGTTTCTAAAAATAGGGGTTAATCTATTTGATACGGAGGGGTTTTGTGTGGTATCTAGACTTGGCTTGTGTTTTTTTTTTTGTGATTATAGAGATTTTTGGGTGGTATTTTTGTGGTGAAGATGGGAGATGGTGACATTTAAGGGGGATTTGATGGATATTTCTCTATATATTTGGGAGAGGTAATCTATGGGATGTAATGGCGAGGCGTTGTCATGGTAAAGAGCAGGCTTCGTTTGATTTACCCTTGGAGGGCATGTGTGTATAAGTTATTCCAATCGACAGACTTGGGTAACATTCACGGTTCAGATTGCTGCCTTATTCTTCTTTGGATCTACTAGTTTTACCCAGGACTCTATTGCACCATACATCTCTCTTCCCACTTTATCAGTCGTCAAAGGGGGCAATTCTCAGCGCTGCTTAATTCAATTTTTCATATTCATTGCAACTATAACAGAATACATTAAACTTTTTGTTTCTGTCTCATCAAAACGCTAAAAATTTTTTTTTTTTCCTTCTTAATTTCCTTATTCCACTCCCTTTTACAGAGTTAGGGCAATCTTCTCCAGGGCCTCCACCAGGATATCCGCGTGGTGCTCCTGGAACGTCAGCATGGGACGCAGACGCACGGCGTTGGCGCCGCTGCCGCCAATGTTGATGCCAAACTCCTTGGCCTTTGCCAGGAACTGGTCGCGCTTGGGGTTGTCGAAGGCGATGAAGGTGCCCTGGCCCTTGCCGCGGAGGTCCTTGAACTGCTCCGGGTACTTGCGCTGCAGGCCCTCGAGCTTGGTGAAGAGGTAGTCGCCGACGCGGGCCGTGTGGTTGACGAGGTCGAGGCGCTCAATCTCGCCGATGATGGCGCGGAAGAGCAGGGCGCGGGCCGGGTCGCCCATCCAGGTGTTGAACTGGCGGTAGGGCTTGTTGGGCCGCAGGGCCGGGTTGCCGTAGTAGAAGCCGGCCGTCTGGGCCTTCTTGGAGAAGGTGACCATGTCCGGGGGGTCCTGCAGGTTCCAGTGGTCGTGGGCCCAGAACTTGCCCGTGGCGCCGACGCCCGTCTGGACCTCGTCGACGATGAGCAGCACGTTGTGCTTCTTGGTCAGGGCGCGCAGACCGCGGAAGAAGTTTGGCGTGGCGTGGTTGTCGCCGCCCTCGCTCTGGATGGGCTCGACGATGACGGCCGCGGGCGGGATGTGCCACGTCTTGATCAGGTGCTCGACCTCGTCCAGGCAGGCCTGCTCAATCTTGGCATTCTCCTCGGCGTGCTCCTCCAGGGGGTACTTGAGGATGGGGAAGGTGGCCTGGGGCCAGTCGAAGGCGGGGATGTCGATCTTGTGGATGGGCTTGGAGCGAGTCGTGGACAGCGTGCCGAACAGGCGGCCGTGGAAGGCGGTCTTGAAGGACAGGATGGACAGCGACGACGAGCCGGGCGCCTGGTTCTTCATGGCGGAGTCGAGCTCCTCCTGGGTGAACTCGACGTCGGGGCCACCGCGCTCCTGCTGGCGGCGGTAGATGAAGGCGGCCTTGAAGGCGGTCTCGTTGGCGTCGGAGCCGGCCATGGCAGTGAAGACGTGGTTGAGGCCCTTGGGCGCCACCTTGAGGATGCCCGTCTTGAGGATCTCGGCCCAGTCGTGCGAGGGGAAGTTGCCCAGGGCGGGGCGGTTGATGATGGCGTTGACCATGTCGGGCGTGGACGCGGCCTTTGCCAGGGCGGGATTGTTGTAGCCAACGGGGATGGAGGCGATCTGGGCATAGCTGTTTGGCGTTGTGGGCGAGATTGTTAGCAAGGCTGGAAGCAATTGGAGGCAGCAATCTGGAGATTGGGCGGCGCTTCATTTTCCACTTACACGTCGAGCAGGTAGTTGCCATCGGGGTCGGCAATGTAGTTGCCCACGCTCTTGGTGTAGTCCGTCATCATGTTGATGCTGCGCGTGTCAAAGACCTCGCTCAGCTCGGCGATCCTCTTGGAGCTCTGGGCTCCGGGGATGCTGCTGGTCTTGAGCACGGGGGCGTCGGGCTCGCCCTGGACAAAGGCCTTGGAGGACGCCATTCTGACGGCGAGACTGCGGTTGAAGGAGGAAGAGACGCGTAGAGATGATCGGATTGCAGGACGCAATGCCTGGGCAGCACGGAGGGCAGGCATCTTGGGCGAGCGGTGGTTTTATGTGTTATGTGTTTGTGTCAAAAGCTATACAGATCGAGTGTCGCAGCTATGACAGAGCTTCCCCGTCTCCCCGCTTCGAGGTCCACGTGAGGTGCAATTGGGAGCTGCTTGCCGTCTTGTTCTTCTGCAATTGGCAAAGCTTCTCGTTTGTTTAACCTGTTTCGCCCTTGACCGGTCACACGGCAAACAGAGGCAATGGCAATTGGGGTTCGCGAGTCCGTCAACCCGTCTCACACTGGTTGGTGCGACCTCGACCCTTTTATCGACGGATGGCGGCGGCTTATCTGTGGGAACGCCTGATGCGGGGGAAATGGAACTGAAACGGCGTCTTGGCCTAAACCCACTAAATACTGTATCTACTCCGTACTGGCAGTGGCTTTCTAACACAAGCTTCGCGGTTTGGGGGGATTTGGGGACTGTTCGTGAGCCGGAACCGGGAACCGGGCCGGACGCCCATTGGCTGTCTGACGGAGCTGCCTTACGTATTGGCTCCTCCGGCGCGGTGACAGTTGGCCAAGTCGGGCAGGCGATCTAATCGTGGCTTTTGGGTAATTGTTTGGCCGTGGCCCAAGAGCGTTCCTGTGATCAGGTCCCTGCTAGTGTCCAGCTCGATTGCACGATATCCATCTCGAATCCAGGCCAGAAACTCCATCGATATCAACGTCCAGCTCCATCGTCATCTCCATCTCCGTCTCCGTCTCCGTCTCTCCTCCTCCTCCTCCCCCCCCCGACCTCGGCGCCCCCCAGTTTATTGATTGTCCAATCTCTTCCAACGCCGCCTTGCACCTGACCATTTGCAACCGATGCATTTGTCTTACGTTTTAGTTGGTCCTGCGTCAAGGGCGCGCCAGTACAAGTCCAGTAATTTTTGGCGGCCTGACGCCATCTTGTCTCTGGAACTACTAGGTACCTCTACACGTGGGGCTTTTTCCCCGGCGTGGAGGGTCCCGATTTGCGTGTGTAATAGATAGTAGATCCAAGATAAGGCAATAAAATGTAAAAGCATGCATGCTTAGTCTTCCGTAGGAACAGAGTGTTTTGGAATTACTAAATTATCCAGAAAGGGGGAAAAGAAGCTTACCTCTGTTTTGTATCTCGTCCCGAGACTTGAATTGAGTTCAGGTAGGTGGCCATTGAGTGATACATCATCTTTTTTATGTTGTTTTGGTTCGTACTATGTGCTTCGTCCACCCGCCCCCCCGAAGCTTCTAAAAATGGCCTCGGCTCCGCTCCCATCACCGCCTCCGGCTCCGGCCTGCTTTGGACTCCATCGGAAAATGATACTGAGTTGAGGTGAGAATGACACGGCATATTAAGAAGGCACTGTCTCTCTGTGCACCAACTTTACATTTAATACAAAAAAAGGAGGCATCTATAATGTAATTTCTTTCAATCTTATCGCAAAAAAGATGTCGCACCGCCTTGCAAACCCTGGTGCGAATACAACTGCGCAATCGCAATGCGTTTCCCATTTCCAAACATCTTCTGCCAATGTGCACATCTAGGTAAGGTACACATAAAATGCAATATACCGCCAAGTCGGCAGCGCAAGTCGACATGCTTGCTCTCTCTGTACAGAATAAAAAAAAAAGAAAAGAAAAAGAGAAGAAAAAAGAAAAAACCAATCCACGAGTGGCCAACTAGAATCCAATCGGCCACGCCAAATGCGCCATGACTATGCAAAACAACAAGTCCAATTCTTTCCCCTTCGAATGCACAACTTGTTCTCTATACTGGTACAGTTTCCAACGTCCGCGTCGAGAATTCCTCTCAGTGGCCGCCTTGTTGCTCCTCAAGTTCTCGTGTGTACTTGACAAATGTCTTCTTATGGATCTATAGCACAGCCATGTTTAGCACTCTACCGCCTAGAAAATATATGGATTGGATCATGATTGGTTGCAGGATGCTACTTACCATGCCCGCATATTTGCCGTCCCTCAAGACGCAAACGTATCGCAGACCCAGCTTGACAAAGCATTCATACGCAAGATCGATCGGCGACCGGATATCCAGTGCAACAGGTGCCTGTATGGTATTAGTACGAAAAAGAAAACGAACACAGATCCATCTGTTGTCATCTACGAGTACGTACTGGATCAATGAATTGTGTAAAGTCTGTAGGGTCGGGCAGGGTGCCGTCATCGTCGTCGTCAATACTAGGAATTTGATCCATCAAGCAAAGGTTTGAGCTTTCATCTGGAAGCTGGTCCAACGCAAACTGAAGGTCAGGAGCGGGAATGAGGCCCACCAGAACATCTTCTCTCAAAATGGGCAACCCGCCATCAAGCTCGCCATGGCGATGAAGGACCTCGAGCTTGGTGCGGAGACTCGAAGCAGGAACCATTGGTGAGTTTGTAATATCAATAATTCTCTCCCGTCGTAGGCGCCGAACCAGGTCAGTCAAGTCGCCAGTGAAAATAGGCTTATGTTTGTTGTTCAGGAATGGGTAGGCATTCATGTTTGTAAGGAGATCCTGTTTGTGTCCAAGTTAGCCCATTACTCTTCATCACGTCACCTCAACAAATTCTTGGTTTGCTCACATAGATACTGCATGGCTCAATGGCATCTGCCGTCCATTTGGCCACCAGAATAGACAGGGAGAATGGCAGCACATAGTCGAGACTGCCAGTGAGCTCAAACAGGATGACAGCCAGCGTCACAGACAGTCGCGTAACACCACACATGGTGGCACCGGCGGCAATGAGGCCATAAACTCCCGGCTGGATGCAGGTCCCGTCGGATGCGGTTGCACAACCACCCCAGACACCCCAGTCGGGTGTGACGAGTACCAACCATTGTGCCAAGTGACCCACAATCCGTCCCATTAAGCCACCGACGACCATGGATGGGATATAAATACCGGCGGGGACTTTCTGTTGAGCGGATTAGCATGATACTTTTTGAAGCAACTGGAGGGGAAAGGGTATGGGAGGCGTACGATTCCAAAAGCGATGACGGTCAAGAAGCCCTTGATCAGAAAGGCGATAATTAACGTCGACAAGATCATGGGAATGTCATCCACCGACCTCGGGCAGAGCCCAAGTCCGTCACCCTTGGTGCGATCACATGGAGAGGCCAAGTTGAGGAGCAGCTTTGCGACGGAGACCTTGGTCAAGGGATTCCAATAGCTCATGAGACCAGTCACAACCGCGACAAGGAACACCTCCAACATGGGATACGTCTTGATGGCCTTGATGCGGCGAAATGATTGAGCCCAGTATTTGGAGGCTTTGATGAAGAGGGCTCCCATGGCGCCGCCGAGGATGCCCACGAAGATGAAGGATCCCAGTTCAAAATACTCCCAGTCGACTAGATACCGGATCTCGAACATGACAATCTTGTGCGTGCCGTATGGATTCAAGAACTTGAGGGATAGTGCGGCGATGATGCAGGCGAAGAATGTCCGGAAGAGTGTTTTGGCTGGGAAAAAGTACGAGACTTCTTCCAGTCCGAACAAAACACCTCCCAAGGGCGCTCCAAAGGCGACTGCAACGCCAGCTGCAGCCGCAGCAGAGAGGACCTCTCGCCTCTTGGCATCGTTGCGATCGTATTTCGCAAAGAGACGACAGGCAATATTGCCAACGCAGGTCGCCATGTGAACGAACGGGCCTTCTTTGCCGATGCTCAGACCCGAAGAGACGCTCAGAATCAGCGACAGCATCTTGAAGATTAATGTTCTCAGACCAAGGAATCCGTGAAGCACGAAGCCGCTGAGGATGACTCGGACTTCGGCGACACCACTGCCTGCTGCTGAATAGTAGACCATGGGCGGGATATCAGGTTTCCTCTCAACCACCATTCGAGGACTAGCACTATCGTCACCGGGGCCTTCGTCGGCAGCCTGATGAGTCTCGGCCGCAAGGTTTTCGTCTAGCGTTGTCAATTGGTACGCCGAAGGGACCACCGTCTTTGTCCAGAGGGCGACCCAGCACGAGGCGACAGCGAAGAGAACAACGCAGGCGACGTAGATGAGGAAATCCGTCCACTTCTCCCCAAACGGATGGTAATGCAGTGCCTGGGACCAGGTCTTCCAGTCTGTGCACTCGGTGCGCCCACCAGGACAGCATCTCTGGGCATCATGTTAGTAAACACTCGGGATCCATTCCTCTCCCTTTCTTCATATATTTCCACCCACCTTTTCGTCAAAATACCACGCCCTCGCACAATAGCCATCTTTAAAGTCGAAAAAGACCGATTCGGCCGCGTCGACTGTATATGCTATCAATGCAATGACAAAGCCGCAGAGAGCGCTGAGAATCCAGCCCTGGCTACCGTCGATCGTCGTCAAGACTCGGCCCCAAAAGTCCTTCCTGCTGCGGAGGGCCCTCACGCGGTAGGAATCGGCAATGGTATCGTGCACCCAGTCGGTGCTTGTAAACTGATCGTACCACACGCGCTCGTCAGGGAAGATAGAGCCCTTGGACTCTGACATGGACCGCTCGGAGAAGGCATTGACGAGGCGCTGGCCCCAGGAGGAGCGGCGACTGTGGTGTCGAGTCCCCCGGCTGCTGTCTGTGAAGCGATGGGGTGGTGTCAGCCGTCTTGAGGTTGCAAGTTACACTGTAATCTCTTCGATAAAAGGGGGGGGGGGGGGGAGGGGGGATTCATGTGTAATTTTTCTCCCCTCGTCTCCTCCCTTCGTTTTCTCTGTGCTCCATACCTGAGTAGCTCTGATCGCGGGATAAATCGCCTGGACGGCGCGGTGATGCAGCCCCGCCGTGAATTCGAATACGCGATCGAGAAGCGTTTATCAGCAGTGGGGAGCGCTCGTCAGGCTCATTTGCCGAGTGCTGGCGGCGCATGGGAAAAGGACGGCGAGACAAACGGGGGGACGTTGGCTGCGACGCCGACCCGTAGCCATCTCGATCCGCCATGGCGGTAGGTTGATGCGGAAGAATGGCGAGCAAAGGAGGACAGAAGAGATGATGGTACGAGTACTGTAGCTGTAGCGGATGGGTGTTATAACGGACTCATGGATGCGGTAAGCCTCGATGGGGGCGTGGGCTATCAAGGTCACTGTAATGGTCGTAGTTTGATGTGCACTACTAGGCTGGTCATCTGGTTAGGTCCAGGCTCGGAGATGGAGATGGTGTATGTACAAATACGGAGTACCCTCGGCAAAGGGGAGGGGTTGGAGGGCGATGTCTTGGACACGAGGCAACAATATCAAGGAGGCTTAGGAAATGGTCGAATAGTATAAGGTAGGTTTGTATGCGAAAATGAGGCAACAGTAAGAAAACAAAGAAAGAAAATAAAAAACATTAGCAGCGTCCAAGACGGCAAGGCTGACCGTTGGAAGCTGCACGTCCGTCTCGGGGGATGCAGCGCCTATCCTGTAATTTGTTCTAGCTCCAACTCTGGGGTCGCCAAGCGCCTCGCCTGTCGGACTAGCAACAGGCGCTGCCAATTGGTGCAGCGCCATGCCACATGCAGCCCCAGCGGCGCCGTCAGGTGAACCGATTCCTGGGATTTTGTTTGATGGATTGAGGGCTTTTGGGCAGCCATGGGCCCAAGCTGTGCTGTTTTCTTTGGTTTCTTTGATCTCGATGGATAGATAGTACGAGTACAGCAGATACGACTTATAGTAAGATGCCTACCTAGGCAGGACACTGAGAATGTGTTACTCGATATGGGCAGTGCAGTATTTGCCATACCTGCAAGGTAGTATCGGACGACTGAGACATTGAAACACCAGTTGAAAGGCTCTGTAATAATATCACTGCATGCACAATAACGACAATGACTGGGACCGTCATGCAAAAGCCGGGGGTGGCGCAACATCGTGCTCGCATTATCTTGACTCGAATGTGCTTGTGACTGGCTCGGCAGAGAGTTGGGGGTGCGTCATCTCAGCGCACTACTGCCCACGTCTAGCTGAGTGGGCCATTGATTTCATCATTCGACATGCATTGTGGGCGAGCAGCCCAGCCTTGCAGCACTGGACCCTTATTTCTTGAGTACCTAGTCAACTTAGGGAGTATACTGCAGCATGTGAGTGGGAGTAGCAGTACATTGTACAGCACCAGCCGCGGTGAGCGCTGCATGCCTTGCTCGCCTGTAAAAGCACCTCTGGCTACCATAACCCCAGATTAATTGGGTGTTGGATGTTAGTACACTACCTTAGTACCTAGGTAGGTACTAAGGGGTAGGCAGGGAGAGATGGCAGCACACAGGGCGGGAGACGCAAGATCATGAGAGGCAGCCTAGTGCCTGTCACAAGAGCGCCACGGGCGCAATTAAAGCTGAGGCAGGCGGCAGCCAACAATGCTTTGGGTGTGGAGGCGTTTTGCGTGCCTCTACCGTATTTCTGGTGGCGGGACGGTCTCGTGGGCTGACCTAAGCATCATATGTCATGTCACAGCCGCATTCTCCAGGACTTATGGACCGTACCTATACGGAGTACTATATGCTGGTATCATTCACCAAAGGGCTACAGTAAGTAATTTATACCAGGTTAACAAAAAATTTTTGGTGAACTCTTGCTACCTAGGTATCCGAGTTATTGACATTGCAGACATATACCCTGACAAATATAGTTGCAATCTTCGTTTACATGATTCGCCTGGATGCCAATGCACATGGAAGGAGGGGTGCGTTGGGTGGTATTGGCGCAAGAAAATGAACGCACGCTCCATACATGTGACGATGCGGGCGGCATCAGCACTGCCAGGGTAATCCGGCAGCAACGCCTATTTCCCCAGCTTAACGCGCAAATGTCCTTGTCCTTGTATAGACTCCGGAGCATCCTGTCGTCGTCCTGCATGTCAGCTTGCTGCGCTTGTGGCGGGCTAGCAAAAGGGTGGCGGACGCACGTATTTCCGGCGGAGTGCAGCGCATACCTGATACTATCCACCTCTGTACTAAGGTATGCAAAGGTACGTACCTCGTTGGTACTGTAGTAGCGCCAGGGACTCGAAAATTCTTATCTTATCAGCCAGGAAAATTTCAGAGTCCCGTCAAAAAGTTCCAGCGGCCGTAGCCATCGCCGGCGCAGCGACGCATCAAGACCAGCTTTTCAGCCAAGGGTTCGCGGACTCCATCCCGGACACGCAAATTGGGCCACAGACTTCCCCAAAGACAAGGCTCTACATCTCCAATCATGGCAAAAAAGAGAAAGGCTTCTCGCGCTGCCGAGTCCAGCGGGCCAAAAGAGCTGGACCCGGCAGACGCTCGCCTCAAGGTCAACTCATACGAAGATGTGGCCAACTCAGAAGACGAATTCTTCATGAACCGAGACACAATCATGCTCGATGACGAGCCCAACATGAAGCGCCGGAGAAGGGGCGAAGAAGAGATTGATTTCTCCGACGAAGAAGTATTAGGCTACGAAGAATCAGATTCCGGCAGCAAGCCCCGGCCGAACAAATCAAAACGAAAGGCCGCCGCAGGGTACGACGATTCACAAGATGAAGAAGACAAAGCCGAAGGAGAGGAAGGCGAGGAAGAGGGCTGGTGGGGTTCATCCAAGAAGGAATACTACAATGCCGACAACATCGAGACCGAAGCCGATGCTCTGGAGGAAGAAACCGAGGCAAAGAGGCTGCAACAAAAGAAGCTGTCCAAGATGGCGGAAGAAGACTTCATCTTTGACGGAGACGAGTGGCTCGCAGCCGAGCAAGAAGAAGAAGAAAGCGCAGAAACCGTCACCGAAATCCTCAAGGAGGTGGAGATCACTGACGATATGGGCCCCGAGGAGCGGTTGAAGCTGCTGTCTGCTCGATACCCCGAGTTTGACTACCTCGTCAAGGATTTCCAAGAGTTGCAACCCCAGCTGGAGGTTCTCAGAACAGATGCCAAGGCTTCGACCGGCAAGTCCCTGGCTGCCATCAAATACTGGGTGCTTGGCTGCTATGTTGCCTCATTGGCTAGTTACTTGGCTATTCTGACATCTCCAGCTCGCGACGCTGCCAAATCGCAGAAAACAATCGATCCTGCAGAGCTCCGTGACCACGATGTGATGGAGACCCTGGTCCAATGCCGCGAGGCCTGGGAGCGGGTCAAGGACATGAGATCACTCAGCGCATCCGGCGAAGCATCATTGGCGCAAGACATCGATTCTATCCCTGAGCTGGACGAACATGAATCACTCGTACAGACCAAGAAGAAGACAAAGAAGGCCAAGGAGAGCGCGGCTTCTGCGGCAAGCAAGGCCAAGAAGCTGGCAAAGGCCAAGGCAATTGAGGAGACTGTTGCTGATCTTTACGATCTGCCCATCAACACGAAATCCAAGGCAAAGAGCAAAGATAAGGCGCTGCAGGCTCAGGATGACGACAGTTCAGACTTTGGTGAAGAAGAAACTTTGGACGCTCGTGCGGCTGCTGACAAGGCGGCGCGCAAGAAGAGCTTGAAGTTTTACACATCTCAAATTGTGCAAAAGGCCAATCGTCGCGCCGGTGCTGGTCGTGACGCAGGTGGTGACATGGATATCCCACACCGCGAGCGCCTTCGAGACCGTCAAGCTCGTCTCCTTGCTGAGGCCGAGAAGCGAGGAAAGCGGGATTCTAAGCTGGGCGCGAACCTCGGCGAGGACAGCGACGAGGAAGACTCCAAGGCTGCCAATGCAATCCGTGATGATGAGGACGAGTACTACGACATGGTGGCCCACGGTTCCAAGGCCAAGAAGGACGACAAGGCTGCCCGATTTGCCGCTTATGCCGCCGCAAGCAAGGCCGACAGGGTGGTAGAAACCGAGGAAATTGGTGAGGACGGCAAGCGCAAGATCACATATGCCATCCAGAAGAACAAGGGCCTGGCGCCGAGAAGAAGCAAGGATGTCCGAAACCCCAGAGTCAAGAGGAGAAAGCAGTTCGAGGCCAAGCAGAAGAAGCTGAAGAGCATGAAGCCGGTGTGGCAAGGCGGCGAGCCCAAGGGAGGTTACCGGGGAGAAATCAGCGGTGTCAATGCCACCGTCATCAAGAGTACGAAGCTGTAGAATATTTCTTGCGATTAATATACACATATCATTCATTGTCCCACTCAGCTTATAACCTATTCTTTGTGAAAATGAATTCATGAAAAATTCTCAATGTGATTGTGAGCCATCAGTATTTTAGAACATTTAATTAGTCACCTTTCTATGATAATATTTCACAAGATGGCACAGCGCTTCTACAATGGAATGTGGCTATGAATCCATTTGGTTGGTGTTGAGGTCAAGGGTACTTTAGTAGCTAATAGAAGCACCACCCAAGCTGTCATTTGGAGCCCCACCTCCATACTAAATCACCACATCTTACTTGTCAAGTAGCGCTTTCGCAATAACATCCTCACCTCCAAGCCGCAATACAATAGCACTCTCGAGCTTGCATTTGTCTTCACACACCGTCGAATTTCCCAATGCCACTCATATAATAACGCTCTAGCTTCCAGCGTCGCAGTCACCGCACAGCCAAGCCACAATGGCTACCCCCGACGCGAGCAAGTTCACCACCTCCGATCAGATCTTCTCCGCGAGCCACACACTCCCCCAGATTCGCTCCATTCACAAGGCCCTTCATGTCGAGATTGAGGATAAAGCAAGCCGCCTGCGCACGCGGGTAGGCGGATCTTACCGCGATCTGCTGGGCACGGCCGATACTATTGTTCAGATGCGCAACGACAACGATGCGGTCCAGGAGCTGCTGGGCAACATGGGCTGGCGATGCGGCAGGGCGGTGGTGTCGACAAAGGTTGCTGGCATGGCCAAGTTTGTGGAAAAGGAGCGGAAATCAGATATTGCTGCGTCTGCTAGACAGAGGCTGCTGGATGGGTGCCTCTTGGTAGTCGGCAGGCTGCTGAGGGGTCGTGGAGAGCTGGACGAGAGCATCAAGACAGGCGACAGATTGGTGCTGACGGCAAAGGTATGGGTGTTGAGCCGCCTGTTGGTCAAGAGCCTAGGGAATGAATTTTCCGACGACGAGGCTCGACAAGCCGCCGATGCGGCCAAGAAGAAGCTCGATAGCTTGCGCCGCCGGCTCAAGAGAACCCTAGAGAAGACTATGGAGAAGGCTGGCGCCGACTCTGATAGGGACGACGTGCTAAAGGCTCTGGCTGCGCATAGTCTTGCAAATAGCTCTGGAGCCAAGGACACTCTGAGGCACTTCTTTGAAGTGAGATTCAAAGCCCTCGCAGTGGCCTTGGACTCTGAAGAAGAAGACGAGCGGGTGGGGAGCTCAGACGATGTTATCCAGAGCCTAAAGCTCTACGCCCGGACTTTGCTGGACGTTCAGGCCTTGGTGCCAAACAAGCTCTCACAGGCTCTCAATGCCCTGACAAAGAAGCCTCTTCTAGAGGATGCCTCGCTCCAGAAGCTGGAAGGACTGCGACTCGACATTTTTGAGAGGTGGTGTGGCGAGGAGATTCAGTATTTTACGCCCTTCATTCGCCATGATGACCTTGACGGGTCGCAAGCAAGGGAAATGTTTGACAGCTGGGTCGAAAAGGGCCAACAAGTGTTGCTTCGCGGCTTAAACAAGACATTGGAGGCTATGCACGATTTCAAATCCATAACGGAGCTGCGGACCAACCTTCTTCAGCTATGGATACGCGAAGGCAGTAAGGTGCGAGGTATCGACTCCGAAGAGATGCAGAACAATTTGCGAAAGGCCGTTAATGCGCAAATGCTCTCTGTTCTGGAGTCAAAAGTCGCCAAACTACATATTGTTGGCTCTGAAATAAAGGCCACGTTGGATAGCTGGAAAGATGGCGTGACAGGGAAACTACCCGGTCTATGGGACGAAGAAGGCTACGAGGATGCACTGTCTAGCGGCGCTCGCCCATTCCTACAAGAAGTCGCGTCACGATTTTACGGCCGCAGCGATGCCGTGTCCAAGGCACTCAACTGTTACTACTCCTGGTTCCACATCATCGACGACGTAAAGGAGGTGGTTGGACAACTGGAGAAGCAGCGATGGGATAACGACTTTGACGAAATCGAAGATGAAGAGACTATAGAAGCGAGACAGCAGCTGCTGAGCAAGGACGATCCGAAGATGCTGCAGCAGAAGCTAGACGCTAGTCTTGATGCATCTTTTGAAGCCCTTGAAAAGGAGATGCAGCAGTTATGGACTGGCAAATCCGAGAGCGGTAGTAGCAGTGCCATCGCCATGTATCTGATTCGAGTTTTGAGAGACATTCGCCGCCAACTGCCACAGCGCGATTCTATCAAAGATTTTGGCCTAGGCATGGTCCCCGCGCTCCACCAGACAATTGTTCTCTCGGCGTCAGAATCCCCAGTGGATGAATTCATTACGGCTGGGCTCTCTGGGAGGGTAGCGGTTGGTAGACCCCTGTGGGAGGGTGACCCAGCATTACCAAATCAGCCATCGCCAGAGACATTTCAATTCCTCCATAGCTTGTTGCTCTCTCTATCAGCTGCGGGAGTTGATCTGTGGACAGCAGCCGCATTGGTCGCTTTGAAGAAGCATGTTAGCCAGAGGCTATGTGAGGCATGGAATCAAGAACTCCAGAGCATAGTATTTGATAGAGGAGTAAAGGAAGAGAAGGAGGATGCTGAAAACGAAAAGGAAGAGCCGAAGGAAGAGAGTGAGGAGGAAGTAAAGAAGGCAGAGGAGGCCAGTGGTGAAGAAGAAAAAGAACCGCAGGAGGATACAGAGAAGGAGACGGAGCCAAAAGAAGATGGACAAGAAGGAAATGACAGAGATGGCAAGGAAGAGCCCAAAGTCGAGGAAAAGGGAGAGGCGATTACGGATGAGAAAGACAAGGAAGCCGAGAAAGAAGAGGACAATACGTCTGGCAACGATCAGCTACGAGATCTTTGTATCCAATGGTTGTTCGACATTTCCCTCCTACGCCTCTCAGTTGGAAATGGAGGGGGAGAGACAACAGACGAGTTCCAAAAGCTGGAAGATGCCGTATATGAACGCAGCGGCCTGGAGGATTCCTCACGACAGCACGTCGACAAGGCAGCAAAGCACTTTTGGAGCCGGACGAGCTTGTTGTTTGGATTATTGGCATGAGACACGCAACATTCGCGTATTGCTCCCTAGCGGGCTGTCCTTTAATGACATTACGGATTAATTACATAGCCTTAGAATCGTCATTCGTCATGTTTACAGCTTGTGCCTCTTCTCGCCGCTTGCAATCTTCCTGAATTCCTCCTGTGGGACGCCAGTGACAAACCTTTCTAAGCCGGCAAACACTTCGGTGAAATTGCTCAGGTTGACAATATTCTGCTCCGGCCCCCTTATCAGCTTCTTGATGCCTATCAAGCTATCGCCGACAAGGTGCTCCCCCAGCCTCTCATCCACCTCCTTGAGCACCAGCTCTCTGAACTTTACGTCCTCGCCCTGCTTCACCTCCTCAAAGATCTTGTTCACGAAGCCGCACCGCTCCAGCTCCGCGCTCGTAATGCGCTTGCTCATGATGAGCGCCTCGTTTGCCCTCGCGGGTCCGAGCCGCGTAACGAGCGCGCGCGAGGAGCCTCCCTCGGCGACGAGGCCCAGGGACGAGAAGGGCGTGAGGAGGAACGTGTGCGGCGCGCAGTAGATGAAGTCGGCGTGGGAGACGAGGGCGGCGGTGAGCCCGACGACGGGGCCGTTGAGGCCGACTACGAGGATCTTGGGGTGCGAGGCAAAGGCCTCTGTGATGTTGAGGTTGAAGGCTACGAAGGTCTGGAGCCACTGCTTGCGAGCCTCTTCGGGGTCGCTGGGGCTTGTCCTGCCGATGCTGACATCCGCGCCTCTGTGTGGTGATTAGCTGTGATCTCAAGATCTGGTTCCTTTGCCCCTTGATTATTTCAACCACGACACTTTCTCATGATGATATAGAAACCAAGTAAAAACGAATAAGAAAAGAGGACTATTGAATAGTAGAGCCAGCAACGTACGCTGAAAAGAAACGGCCCTTGCCGAGCAGGACCGTGACAAACACCTCGTCATGCTTCGCAACCTCCCTCAGGGCCTGCGACAGCTCAAAGTACTGCTGCTGCCCCATCGCATTGAGCTTCTTTTCGTTGGCGATGGTGATGACGGCGACGCGGCCGCGGTATTCGATTGAGATTACGCCGGACGACATTATTTGTTCGTGTTTTGTTTTTATTCTTGTATCAATGCTTGAAACGGGGATATAAATAAATGTATATATATGGCCAAATAGATTTTCAATGGAAATGGTTTATAAAAAAGAAACAAATACTCCCTTATTATATATCTGAGCGAGACTCTTCTCGTTTTGTCAGACGTGGAGGTGAGGATACCCGGCGCTTTTTACCCCAGACATGACATACCGAGGTCTACGGGTCGATTCTGCGGGGCACCGACGGCATTGGATTCCGCTTCGTGCCAATTCGTCGATTTGTCTCTACCCTGTCAATCTAATGAATTAACAATATTCTTCATCTTCTCATTCTTCACCACGGTAGATGGTTAACATGGGTTAATGGCCGGGTATTAGCAAAAAGTGAATGCGAAACAATGTATTTTGAAAAGACGCCTCCATGCAGTGAGAGCAGTCGAACGATGGGAAATATAACTATATCTCACAGCGCCCGCTCGTAGAATCATAACTCCCCCCCATTTATAAAAATCTCACATCTTTGTCTTCTAATTGCTTTTTCGGCCCCTTTCGTACATATTTAGATCACACTCATCGACGCGCCCTCATCTGTCGCTGCTTCGGAAAGTCTAGTGGCAGCGCAAGCTTCGCAATGTGCAGCATCCGATCCTCTGCCTTGTCCTTGACAGGCTTCACCCTGGCTCCGATTTCGTGGAAGTATTGGTTCATCATCTTCTGCTCTATCCGCAGGTCGTCTCTCAGGTTCTGCGTGTCCACCTCGAAGTTGTCGACGATGCAAGCAAGTGCGCAGCAGTGCGCGATGAGCAGGTCAATGTGGAATTTCCTCAGCTGGCCGGCATCCGAGAACTTGCGACGAATGTTTTCAATGACCGCCTCGGGCGCTGGCGCGAGGAGCTCTCGGAGCTTATCTCGAGGAGGCACCTGTCGCGTACCCTTTTGGCGGCCGGGTTTTGAGTAGAGGTAGAATAGGAGGACGATGGAGAGGTATCTTAGCACACGCAAGCGCATCTCGGCAGAGTCGTTGGAGGCAATGGCTTGCACGCGAGAGACGACATATCGAGAGCGGAATTGGATGCTTTCGCCGTGTTTCGCCTTCTCCTGCCATTCTCGGATGGGAACAAGATTGAGGATTTCTTTTCCGATGATTTCCTCGGGGCGGTATACGTCGTAGATTTCTTCGGCGTCGAGGTTTGCCTTGGGCACTGGCTTGGCTTCGTCGATGACTGCCTGCAGCTCTTCTCTCGAGGCCATTGTGGATGTAACTGCGCCGATGGAGTTGAGAATGGCCTTGGAGGCATCGTCCAATTTGGGTGTGCTGAAGTCGCCAGGTTTTCTTTGCGGAGCGATGGCGTTCAACACCTTGTCTTGGATAACCTTCTTGGCCTTCTTCGTTCCGAAAGTCTGTCCAAGATCTGTTCTCTGGTCCATAATGCTCTGCTGTACGTTAGTATTTGACATTGCATCTCTGGAGGATTTCGTATTAAGAAGTTGAGCCCTTACCTTCTTCGCTTCCGACTCGGACGAAGTTGGCACCTGCTTAGAGCGGACGGCGCCGCGAACGACCATCTTTTTCGCTTCGACAACTTGCAATTTGCCAGACTTGGGATCGTAGATTCCGATGAAGTGATTTAGGAGCGGCTTTGAGTCGCGCGACTCTTCTTCTCTTGCTGTATAGTCCACATTCCGGTGCGTTGTAGAGTGAAGGAGGAGTGCCTTGTCGGCTGCCTTTTTGGACTTTGAAGATGCATTCTTAGGCAGATATGAGTGGAAGACCAAGTTCGAGGGCATTTCCATTCCTGGAGTGTTTGCTATATGGATTGTTAGCAGATGCGCGCATCATCCAATTCACCCAGTTTGCGCCGCATACCAATCACAGGAGGGCATGATTTGGGCCGGAGAACAGAGGAGACGGTCGCAATTGAAGCCGGTGCGTCAATGACGACCTTTTTCTTCGAGGAGCCGGCCTTTTCCCCGTCTCGCTTTCTCTTCTTGTTGCTGAGATCCGACATTTTTGCGTTGAGCGTCTGCAATCTTTCTTTCGACCTGAATTTGATGCCAAGTGGGATATCTGCTCCAAAAAATTTTGGTTATCGGGCGGCAGGAAATATCTAGCCGGTATTTTTCCGGGCGGGCGGTGAGGGACCAAACCCCACACAGCTAAATGGGCAACCACGTACGTCACTAATGGCAGCAAGGGAGCATAGCTGTAGAGCTTCATCGGCAACAATGTGCCAGCTCGCACACAAACTGTATTGAAAATATTAGGTCACACGAGCATCATAGCTGCTCCAGCTCAATTAATGCTTAGCATGCCAATGATTACGACAAAAATACGTCACGAAGAAGCTTAAAAATGGTTTGGAAATGAAGTAAATTCTGCCTTTTGTTCTTGTCAAGCAACGTAAATCGATCCTAAGCGTGCCTCTTGCAACAGCTTTTGCTTCATGGCCTTGCGTTCCTCAAAACGATGTCTCCACCTGGCTGAAATTGTCCAGTTCTCATCTCTCGCGTTCGTCCATTGACTCCCGTAGCTGAATTGGCGAGGTGCACCTGATATGCATTCCAACTGAATGGTCGCAATCGTTCATAGTGGTGTCGTGGTGCAGCAGCTTTGCTTGTCGTGTTTTATCGTGAACTCATTAAAAATGTGAAAGATGCGTCAAGTCAGGTAGCAGAGCGAGTCGTTTATTTGCTAATTGTCCAGTTAGCTCCAAGCTTCAGAGCAGCAGCGTCGGCAAATTGGATGGCACTTACGAGCGAGCCCTCATCTTTCTTCTCTTGCGCTTAAGGCGACGAACGCGCTTCTTCCTCCATTTGGCTCTCATCTTGAACGATGCGTCTGGGAGCTTGTTAGTGGGGTGGTTCTGGCAGCAAGGCAGGCGGCATTCACATCAAACAAGGCATTGGCATTGCGCCAATGCCTTGTCTGCGTCCGAAATGCTTTCAAAAGCGCTGCAAGGGGGGGTATGCTTACTTGTTCTTTGATGAGAATCGTTGTTGGGATGAGGTACAAGAAAGGAACTTTCGCGAGAGCGGGGGAATTTCAAGCTCTTTGACAAGGCTGCTGTAGGGCACAAACCCCCCGGATATCACGTGGGCCCCTCAGTGAGGCCCGTGCGTGAGCATCTGGGCACACGGTGCAAGTGTAGTAAGGAATACAGTATCCACACTGTATGTCGTATCATGATAGAGCAACGGAGAGAGCAGGAGCGATTGAGGTCCATCCAAAATTGTAAGTCGGTTATTCCTGCAGTTTCTAGGGTAGCAGTGTTGGCTGGTAAAGCGTAGGAAAGCAATTTCGAGAATTTTGAGTTTCTTCTTTTGAAATTGCACACGTGAATATTTTGATCCTTTCTCTGCACTCTGAATTCTCTTGACATCTCTTTATATACGGGATTGCTCGTTATGGAAGCTGCACCAGCCGATTTGGACAACAGCTGCGATGACGATTATGAGCTGCCAGCCGCATATCTGCGCTTAGTGGACAACCGTATCAGTGACCAGCCTATTGAAGACCTTCCGATCTAGGAGCAGGAAATCTTCAAGATTGGACGAGATCCGGATGCCAAGTAGGCTCGTGAACTGATATTTGTCTTGCAGAGTCGCGTTGCTAATGATGCTTATAGTACTTTCTCTATTCAAACCGATTCGGAGAACCTTGTGTCACGAAATCACTGTGAAATATATGTCATTGTCTATGAACCATCAGTCAACCACGTCTATGTGCGAGATCGCAAGTCTGTCAACGGGACGTTTGTCAACGGCCAGATGATTGGCGTTGGCCCCCAGATATCTTCTGGGTATCTCTTACAAGATGGCGATTCCATTGAAATTCGACCCCATTGGAAGTTCATATTTCGCCAACCTCGAACGCCTCCACCTCGGCCCCTAACGGCCATTCAGAAAGACGAATGCCAAGTTTGTCCTCCTCACCTTAGTTGCTACTATTCAATTAATCTAACAAGCAAAGGTTTTTAAAAACGAGTATCTCATAACCCCACGATGCCTGGGCAGTGGTGCGGAGGGAGCTGTCTATTTGGCCACTGAATCAAAGACCAAGAGACAGCTTGTCTGCAAAGTGGTCAATCTGGGTAGGCAGGATGGCAAGATGCCTCGAGAGGAGCTCTACCGGAAGCTTCAAGAGATTGATGTTCTCCGACAGCTCAAGCATGTGAGTCTGCTTTCAGTGAGGACCCGGACACCTAGGAGGATGCTAACTTGCTCTAGCCCAACATCTTGCCCTACACCGACGCCGTTATTTCTCCACACTCTCTGTGAGCAATGAATCTCGTACGCCTACCAAGTACTTTCGGCATATTAATTCTGCAATCCAGGTACATCTTTACTGCGCTTGCGTCTGGCGGCGATCTTGTCTCCTTCATCAATCGCCATGAATCTATTCAGGAGATTGACTGTCGAATTATTCTCCGGCAGGTGGTACGTGGCCTCGCCTATCTTCACAGAAAGGGCATCATCCACAGAGACTTGAAACCGGAGAATATTCTGCTAGCATATTCCCCAAAGATAGCCTACCATCGAATTATGCTGTCGGATTTTGGTGCTTGCGCTGTTCCTCGCCGAAGCCGAATGATGACAGATATTGGCACATTTGAATACAAAGCTCCGTAAGACCAAAATGATGTTGCATTTTTGGCATACTTTAGGCTGACAAGTATACCATAGAGAAGTTTTTTCAACTGGAGAGGCTCAAACCACCGCTGTTGATATGTGGTCGCTTGGCCTCGTCACACTGCGATTGCTGACCTTTGATGTGGAGAGTTTCGGAAATCTGACTCGCATGGATCAACAATCCCTTGAACCAATGGTGAAGGACATGATTAAAGGATCATCGCCAAAACGCTCCTCGAATAGCCAGAGATTTGCCTTGGCATGTCTTCAGCTAACACCAATAAATCGAATAACTGCTGCCGAGGCAGAGTGCCACGATTGGTTTTGTACACCGCAAAAACATTTTGAATTCTTCCTACAACTTGATAGACGGTGCCTATCAGACTTGAGTGATGATACCCAACTCAAGCCAATGCCCTGGGACTTGGCTAGTCTTCAGCCCCCTTCACCCCCCTCAACATCTACCAAATTATCTGATGCTAGAGGTCATAAATCGATCCGGTGGAGCTCCCCGGCTTGCACCGAGACGTCAGGATACTTTCGAGATGTCCAAAAAGACATGAAAGCGACTAGGGTAGTACCATTACCGCAATTGTCGTCACTGCCGCATGAACCTGGCAAGCCAACCGAGTCCGAACTGGCCAAAGAAGGTCCTGATGTGATTCACAAAGGGGAACAAAAACAGAATACACCACACCGCGATCGTCCCAAAGGACACCGCAACTCAGATACCCCCATTATGACGTCGAAACAACTGCGAGTTTGCGATGTACTTCAACTCCCTCTTCCTGGCCTTGATAGGCACTTGAATCCGCCTCACTCTAAGACTCACAGGCAAGATGTGTTGGCAGAATTGAAACGCCTGAATGCCAAGTTTCTGACAGATTCCATACAAACCGCGGTGGAGAATGGAGACGCTAGGGGCGACGAATGCTAAAGTCTCGCTATTGCAGGTAAAATCAACAATCTCCCCGGTGAAGATGTGTGCTTGGAAGATTTGAGACGTTGCAGATGATTCGGCCTATCTTGCGAGTGAATAGTTTCGGATTTCGGACTCCCTTTGAGCCGAAGATTTGAAAGGAAGTGAATTTACCTAGGTAGGTTTGATGACCCCATTTTGAAGATACGTATGCGAGGAAGTGCAGTGGTATTATTGTGTCTGATAAACAATACCTGGGATGAGAGTATACAGATGTAGTCCTTTGATACTGAGAAATATGGTCCTTTCTTCTTGGCACAGATAGGTTTGCTGGTGGTGGTCCCTAGCAGGACCATGGGGACTTACACAATTTCGATTCATACTTGTTTCCGAATGCTCCTCGCATATACTGCAGGAAGTCAATATACACCTTTATTTAACCACAGAGCAGAAGAGTATCCGTGCCATGCGCTGAATCAAGCTGCCGAGTTTGCAACACCAACATATAATCAATCACTCTTCTTTGCCGCCACGCGGAGGCGCGAAGCTCCTTACCTCAATCCACTGCAACACGCCCCCTACTGGTTCCAACCTCGCTCCCCTTCGACGGCGCTCCCACATCTCGACGGCCTCGGCCACCGAATCCGTGTCCGGCTCCCGGTCTGGTGCTCCATCCCACCAATCCCATATATGGCCCACCTTCTTCTCCTTATCCTTTCCCTCCTGATCCTGTCCTTCCTCTTGTCCCTCTTCAACAAGCTCCAGCTCACACTGGATAATGCACCGATCACCGTCCGCCTCACATCTCTTACACCCCCTATTCTTCAAATCCTTCCCCGAACCTCTCGCCTGCACACTCATCGAACATGCCAACCGCTTCACTTCACACTGCAAACAGCCCCCCAGACCGGACATCTTCTGCCTCTCCCCGGCCGTAAACTTTGGTGGACAAATCCCTTCCCTCACGGGGTATCCCTCCACATACTGTGGCAGACCCATGCGAATCCTGTCTTCGTTGTCGTTCCAAACCCGGTAAATCTGCTTCCTAAGGTCGACCATCCTCTCCCGCCACACATCGTGCGATTCTTCCGTCCCGTCCTCCATGCGACGCTTGTCCATGCCAATCCCCTGAACCACCGCCTCCACCAACCGCTGTACTTCCGCATCGACCTCGGCCCTCGAAAGATAGTTCCGCGCCTCGGCCTTGAAGCGTTTCTCTCTCCACCCGTTCAATTCTTTCTCAAATAGCTCAGCTATCAATTTCTTCGTCTTTTCCTCTGCCTCTGCCTCTTCTTCCCGTGCCCTTTGTGGCTTCAGCACGTGTTCTTCCTTCCACTTCCGTTCCAGAAGCTGCTGTTTCTCGCGCTGCTGAATGCTTTCTCGTTGGCGTTGTGCAGCGGCACGGCTGATTACTAGGAAGAGATCTGCCGACGGGTGATCTTCTGTCATGGTTTCCGCTTTTCTGAGGGACGAGTCCGACTGTTGGCTGGGATGGCTAGTCGTGGAGGGCACTTGGGTAGTTTGTGAAGAGGACATTTTGAAAAGGGAAGAAATCTTGCGTCAACTACCCATTCTCTGTTCCTTTAGATGCAATGTCCAAATGTACAAGGAGCCGACTTTAATGTGTGATGAGCATCGAAAACGCGGCGTTCCAAGCCACCCATAGTGAATTGCTTCTGCGCGAACCCGTCATGCAAACAGCATTCACTCGTCATTCCGAAACACCGCATACAACAAACACATCTATCACAAAGCAAGAGAAACAAGGGCAAACACAAGAGTTTCCAAAAACGTTGGCAGCAATGGTATTGGTATCATGGACTAGGCTACGCGCTGAAACGCAACAATCTAAAATCATACAAATTCACGCACAAAAACCAGTCCTCGCCCATATCCGATCCCACCGCTACCCATGACTCTTTCTCGGTCATATAACGATACCGTCCCGTTAAAAAAAAGATCCATCTGAACCCACATTGCCCTTTCCCATGTCCCAAAAAAAGATAAAGAAATAGAAAGATAGATGGAAAAAAATATCCCAATATCCAGAAAATAGCACCAATATAACGGCCGAAGCCAAAGATGGGCGAGATATTACTAAAGCATATAACGAGAAAGAAGATGAGTGTAGATGAAGAGAGGGTAAGAAGATAAAGGAAACACTTCTGTTCTGTTCCGTTCCATACCAGAGCAATCATGTGCTCGCTCTCTCGCTCATTCCTTTGGTCGTCTGTGCCGGCTAGCAGCTACTGGTCCCTCCAACTTGGAAATGCAATATAATCCTAGTCCAAAGGAAAAAAAAGAGGATAAAAACATAATCAGCCATTCTCTGGCTAGGGAAGGGAACCAGCGAGGCGAATAAAGTAGAAAGATAAAAAAAAAAAAAAAAAAAAACGCCTGGCCATGGATATGCCTAAAACCTTCAAACATGAAAATACCAAATAATCACCCAAACGCCCGCTTACATTACCTGAGCGGGGATTCTGTTCTGGTGCTTGTCTTTGCAAGCTTCCTCAACGCCTTCAAAAGAAAGGGGCAAATCCCAAGGAAGGAAAGAGAAAGAGGTCTTCTGGACCTCGAGCAATAATACTGGTGTCGTCCAAGATAATGTCCAGCCGTGAGGCTTCCAGTGTTATGTAGGGGTTTGCCTTTTGTTTATCGTATCGTATCCGATGTGTGCTGCGATTGTTGCTTTTCGGGTTCTTTTCTTCTTCGCTCAGCCAGATTAAGTCGACGCCTGTGAGAGAGGGCTGCGAGGCGTAACATCGCCACTTCGTCGACGGTTTAGTGATTGTGTTTTGCTGTTAGCTTCGGCAATCATGCGCTGCTTCTTGCGGACCATGGAAAGCCGGCCGGAGATCATAGTAATCACTGGTCATTTTGTTAGCTACGGTTCAGTGACCGCTGGTATACAGAGATGATGATGAAACTTACTTTTTCGGATATGAGCCTCCTCGTCACTCTCGAGATCACTGCAGCTCTCCTTGGTCCTCGCAAGGCCTGCATCATCACCGCTGTCCAACACAGCCTCAAGCATGCGAATAGCGGTGATGTATGAGATCTCACAGCCTGGCAAGTTCTCATTTGTAACTTCATCAATGGCAGCAGCGCGACTCATCTCAAGAGCTCGGTCATACATCAGCTTTTCAGCTGTAATGCCCGGTGTGAGATATACCTGTTCCATCCCAGATCCTGCTGAGGACATGATCGAGTCGACTCCTTGATTTGACGGGTGGCTCGGGTGGTCCTCTGGTAGTTGTTTCTGAGCCTCGATGAGTTTCAGGCGGACAACCTCGGACTTCTCCAGCACCTCGTTGAAGCGCTGTCGCACCCACTGAACCACAGCATTGATGCGCTGGACAACAGACTGAGAGACAACCGCTGAGAGGCCGGTGGTAACATCTCCCCTGCTCTTCTTGGACCACCAGATGCTGGCAATATCCATGGCCCGTGCCAAAAGAGAAAGTGACTTCACATAGAGGACCAAAGCCTCTTCGGAGAGCGCCACCACGGCCTCCGCTGTAAGTCCTTCATCGTCCACTGACATCTGGTCGGCGGCAACACCTCCCAGTCCATGGTTTGTGGATGGTGCCATAGGGACTAGCTGCTTGTACTTGACCTCGGCAAATCCATAGACACAGTCACTGCGGGTGGCAAAGTCTTCGATGGCCTGCGCGGAGCGAACATCTTCGTCCTCCGACGCAATGTTCTTGCCATCTCCAATCAAGCCGGCCGAAGTTGGCGGTGTCGGATAGGCCGGGAACGGCTGGTACATTGGTGGAGATTGTCCCTTGGGGCGAATGGGGACCCTGACGCCGAAGAGACGGAGGCTGGCATCTTGGATAGCCTTGGTGATGGCGCTGGAGGCCGATCCGGGACTTGCAGACAAGGCTTTCTCGTACGACGAGCGCCGGTCCTGGACGGCTCGGCCCTGTGTGACAAGCTGCGTCCGCGATGCGGGAGCTGCGACGGCTCCAGTGGTGGAATTTGGGGGCCCCTGCTGCGAAAAATGCCGAACCAGTGGCTTCGATTTCAGAGAAGTCGGGCTTTGCGAGGCCAGCTTCTCGTTTGCAGCCAGCTCATCTGCAAGCGCATTTACCTCGACGTGCCTCCTCTCCACAACCACATAGTCTCTCTCGAACATGACATCTTGGGCTGCCTTTTCCTCTTCGTCCGTCAGAGCCTTGCCGCTTGGAATGCGAGCCTTGCGGATGTCTTGGCTTAGAGAGGAAGGCGGCGAGGTATTATGCAAAGACGGCTTAGATACCCTAGGATGATTCGGAAGTGATGCGGCATGGGGCACTGTTGGGCGCTGAATACCCAGGCCTGCTGCCCCAGTCTCCCGGGGTGAGTTTGACCGTCGGTGAATCTCACCGGAGGGCGGCCGATGTCGGCCCTCGCCGGGACTCTCCATCAGCGGTGATGACCGAGGCAGCTGCTCCCGAGATGATCTGGCAGGGGCAGGTTCGAAGCCTCCGTTTCGCAGGGAGCCAATGCGTGGTGACGGTACCGTGGCCTCTCCTTGGGAGATTGTCCTCGGCTCACGCCTAGCGGGCCTTGGAATGTCATCTTCGACCAGTCCGGGGATCTCATTGACGACGATGGGGTGGGAAAAGAAGTTTTCAAAGCTCAGTCTCTCCACGGGGCTCCTCTTGAGTAGGCTTCTTACTAAGGATTTCATTTCAGATGTAATGGTCACTTCTTTGGGGAACTTGATGACGTCTTCGGCAGCTTCTATCTTCCTCAGCAGTTCGACGTGATTTCTCGCGCGGAAAGGGGGCTTCCCCGAAATCATTTCATACAAGACAGTACCGACAGACCATAAGTCAGCCTTGGCGTCGTACCGCTCATAACGGAGGATCTCCGGGGCCATGTACAAGGGTGAGCCGCAAAGGGTGTCGGCGAGAGACGTTGAGGGCAATACACGAGCGAATCCGAAGTCAGCAAGCTTCAGCATCGGCAGGGAAGCGATGCCGGACATTGGTATCAACGAATCCTGGCTGGCCTCCATGATGGGGAGGTTTCGCTTTTCCCTAAATGCTTGTGAGGGCAGCAACAACAGGTTCTGCGGCTTGACATCTCGGTGGACGTAGTTTTTGCTCCGTAGGAACTCCAGGGCACTAGCCAGCTGCTTGAGGAAATGACGGATGACGACTTCGTGCAGGCCAGAGTCAGGAGCGCTGGGATACTTGCGGGCCATGTCGTGGGTGGCAGGATGGGTAATGAGCTTGTCACGTTTCTTGATGAAGAGGGAAAGGTCACCGAGCTCGCAGTATTCCATGACAAGGTTAATGTGTGTAGCGGACTCGAGACAGTCATGGAGAGCAACGATGTGCGGATGCCGCAGGGTCTTGAGGATTTGGATTTCGCCATATAGGTTTTCTTTCAGCTTCTTGTTCAGGCGATCTAGTTCGACGGATTTGATGGCCACAGCAGCCTTTGTCTCCTGTTGAATGCGAAGCATGGTTAGCATGCGCATCTCAATGAAGGGGAATAGTCAAGGGGGGAAAGATGGGAGGAGAGGTGAGAATTGCTGTGTTGACGGCTAGAACAGCTTGACTGCACCATGAGAGGGTACACCGTTGACGATGGCGGAAAGCAAACTGGTTGGTGAAACATGGCTGGGGTAGGGTTTATCGCACCTTATGCCAGCCCATATAGACCTGAGCAAAGCTTCCTTTGCCTATCTCTTTGTCGATGGCAAACTGGCCTACATTCCGTCCACCCGACCGCCGGGAGCCGAGGGAGGAACTATCCTGTCGGCTCGCCATTGCTTCCTGTATTACGTTGTCGATGGCAGGAAGAGAGCGAGGTCGGTCACAGCCCGGGGGCTTACAAGGTTCGAGGGTGTGTGCCGTCGAACGAAGCTGTCATGTAGACCTAGATGGAAGAAGCTCCAGAAGGGCAGAAAGAGAGTAAAGGATAGAATAGAAGAGCGAAGTTGGATGAGACGCGACGAGACAGGGCTATAAGGCGAACGGGCCAGGGGAGATGAAACGAGATGGGAAGTCGGTGTAGCGGGAATCGAAGGCCAAGAATGGAAAGTCGATGGTATGAGGTAAACAGTAGGTATCCGGATAGGGTGAAGAGTGTATATATGTCGAAGGGTCTGCTGAAGGTTGATGGTGACGAGAGTTAGCAATACAGCAGATGACGGAGTAAGTTAATCGAGGGAGAAAGCGGAAAGGTATTTGGCGAAGGACGGGATATGAAGAGGAAATGGAAAAAAAGAAAGAAAGAGAAAGATGGTAGTAGGAAACAAAACAAAAGAAGGCCAGGGGACTGTCGGAGAGAGACCGCGAGCCGAGTCAGACGAGCGCCGGCGTGCAGGATCCTGTGGCCGGGTTGGGGATCGGAAGGGATAGCAGCTGCTGCAAGCTGGGGGTGACAAGGATGGGGGAGGGCGTGACTAACACTTCAAGACAGCCGTGCTACGGCGCACTGGCGAGCGGTAGCTCGTCTCGTCTGGTTTGGTCAGGTCGAGTCGAGTCGAGTCGAGTCGAGAGAGCCCAGCGCTGGAGCTAGGAGGCGGATGA